AAAAATTTGATCATAAATATAAATAATGTTAATATAAATGTAATATTACTTATAAATATTATATCTATGTATTTAATCAAATAAGCAATTGAAATTACAAAAGTCTCCACACCTAACTAGATAAGCAAATATTATTTCATAGGTCTTCACAACTAACTACATCACTCATATCATTTCTAATATCACAACTACTACAACTCATCCATTACATAAATCCATTTTTTTATAAATATTTAGTTTTTTATGAATAGAAATTCTAATATTGATATTTTGCATTGCCTTAGATTTTATAAAAAGGATCAATTCATAAGTAGTTCTTGTATTTGTGAATTAGACTCAAATTTTCATATTGATTTTTGTTTTACTAAATTGTTTTCAAATATTTTCTAGATGAAGATGATGATAAAGAGAACAAATGAAGTTCAAAGCTAATCTTCGTTTAAGTTGAGACTTGAGTAAAATATTTGTTGAATTTATTTTACCGTTTCTGGATTTATACATCTTTTGGTTGATAATCTATTAGATATAATATCATTTATTTCTTATTGCAATTCATAATAATTGCATTCTTATTATTTTTTTATTATTTTATAAAATTTGATGCTTATGTCATTAGATGAGATAATGATTGATCTTTTAATTGATTTATTTTAATAAGCAATAGCCTCAAAGCTAAGCAAATATTGGAAGAAAATTAATAAGTTATTTTAATATTAATAAAAAATTAATAATAAGCATCATGAATCACTGCTTAAAAGAGGCAAATGAATCGTAATCGACATATTAATAGACAGTTAATTCTTTAAAGAAATCGTTAAAACATTCGAATTTCATTAGCAAAACAAAATTAACCGTTAATGAAATAAAAAATATAATAAAATAGTATGATTTAAAACGAAGTCAAAGAATGATTAGATAAGCAACCTAACAAGATTAGAATACTGATTTTTAAAAACAAATAACTTAATAAGGATAAGTTATTAATTAATTGCAGCAATAACTTAGGAAGTAATCTCTTGAGATAGAAAATTTACAAAAAGCCTTTTTCTTATGGGAAAACAAAAAATAGAATGGAGTTCATAAGAAATCTAAATCCTCAACTGAAGATGTATTAGATGAATAAATCAATGCTATCAACAAAAAATATATAAATTTACAATCATATGATTAGAATTTAGAAAATCAGATTAAAGAAATAATATCATAGGAGTTCGAAAAATTATATAAACTAATATCTTAGTAACTTAAAAGTGAAATAAATGATATCATATATTAAAGTATTTAAGAGTAAATCTTTGTAAGCAACAATAATTCACCAAAACCAGAAACTTTTAGAAAATATTCATAAACAAAACAGTAATCAGAAGATTCTTAATCAAATATTAATGTAATTATTGAATGTCTAAATGAGTAATTTGGTGAATGTGAGAATAATAATTACAATTTTGATTAAATTAAAACGAAGCTTAAATGTTTGAAATTGAAATAAATCAATTTATTATATGAAGATTTAAATAATGAATTCACTTAAAATTCATTAAAAGATTATTTTATTGGACCTGCTGAACCACTAAAATAATAACAATATTCTCTCAAGTAAACTAAACTTTTAGAATATATCAATGGAGAGCACAGAGCAAGGGAAGATAGCAATAACTTCTATGCAGTTTTTGGATTTTAGTATTTGGATATTATACTTACTAATGCTGATGATAAAAATTTTGAAACATTTATGGAAAACATTAAGGGAATTCCATTTGATTTATTGAATAATTAACAAGAGTTTACTAAAGAGGAACAATAAGAATTAAAAGAGATATTTTGTTATAGATGTATTGAATTAAGACAAATTGAGATATCATAAAGATCGAATGAACTCTGGTGTTAAATTAGTAACATACATAATTGTTTTTACGGGTTAACTATGATATTCATTCGAAATTTCATTTAATAAATAGTACGATAATCAGAATTAAGTCAACATTTAAATGAAAAGGATTCTGTATAATTTTTAACTAGAATTTTGGAATGGAGCAGTCCATGTCCTGAAGTAGAGTTTATAATTGAGATAATTTCGCATGAATTAGAATTGTATTTTATTTAATTTATGAATTAGATGTATAATATTATTTTATTTAAAAGAAGAGAAATAGGAATTCTCTTTAAGAATATTTGGAGATGAATAAAATTATCAACTCAATGTTATATAACGTAATAATGATTTTTATTCTATTGGAATTAAGAATTGACAACCCATAATTTATATTGCAATTTTGTTACTAATTTTAATTTACTTAATAATAAATGTATAAATAATATATATCAACTGATGATAAAAAAGTATAAAGTTATTTGAATTTTACATGTAACCAATATACTGCCTTCCTGCTGAAATTTTTTTAATTATTTAAATTTAATTTATAAAATGACAACAGACTAAAGCTTCGAATATTTTACCACGGATTTGTATGTTATGGGTGATAACAAAGAGTCTTAATGTGGTATAGATAACTAAGACTACGTAAATAAATTAACCAAAATAAATCTACCAATGGTAATACGGGAAATAGCATGCGGTTTGGAACATACTTTAATTGTGACAAGTTTTATTGATATCATCATTGTTAGATGAAGGATAGGTTTATGCTTTTGGTTCAAATTTGAAGGGATAGCTGGGAGTGGAAAATATTTCTGTGGCATGTTCTCCGATATAAGTTTAGGGAATAAATAATCTGAATTGTATAAAGATAGCAGCCGGAGAGTATCATTCTTGCTTATTGACTGGTATAAATAATGAATTAATAAAGAGATGAAAACTAAGGTTATTAATGGGGAGACAATGTTGTGAAACCTTAATTCATAAAACAAGCTCAAAATATAAAATGTGGTTTGAATTTTACAATCTTCTAAGACGACTGTCTATATTTATATAAGAATCAAGTTTTGTAAACTTTGTAAATTCACTCTCCAGTATCAGAATTTGCGTGTTCTGCATACAACTTATTTTATTTGGACAATATTAATAGTTTGTATATGCATCCAGATAATAAATTGATGGATAATGTATCAAATATATTTAGTGGTTATTATCTATCCTTATTAACCGAAGAAAATAAGTTGTATTACTACTAGGATAAAAAATTAATTCAAATCAATATCTAAACTAATAAAATAGATAGCACTTTTAGTAAAGAGTTTGCAATTGTTTTGGACGAGAATAATAAAGCTATTATTATTAATTTGAAAACTCAACAATAAAAAGAATAGGATTATGTATTTCATGCAATAAGTTCAGGAGTCAATCATCTTATTTTGATTGGAAATATTACGAGAGGGTCGAAATAAGATTAAGAATAGGAGGAGTAAGAATAAATTTAAGAAGGTGATGATGATTCCATTTTGGAGGAGGATGGCATGAGTCCAATTATCACTCAAAAAACTTAATAGGATGTAAAATATTGAAGTAATCATAGCAACTTCTCAATACTCAATAAAATAACACTTTTTCATTTTCTATTAGAAAGGACCTTTAATTACTACATAGCATCAAAACAAATCATAAAGAGACATAGACTGATGAAGATATATACTATCAATTAAAGTATGAAAATGAGGAATTAAGAAAAATCCAATAACAGTAAAAAAAGAATTTAGAAATACAAATCTAATTTTAAAAGACATTATAGGATTAAATCAATAGATTAACATAAGAAAATCATATGTTGAAGTTAGGTTAAAATAAAAATCAGTTATTGAGTTTGATCAAATAAAAGCAATAAAACCTCAGAAATATGATTGATGAATTTTACTAAAAGTAAAAGGAGTTTCTTGGATAAAAAAAATGAAGATCAATGTATATTATATATAAAATATTGGATTCATAAATTCTTTTTGAAAAACTCTTTAAATTCTTACAAAGACATTTAGTCATGGAGTACTCCACAAAATTTTAAAACATCTATTTTAGTTAAACTATGTAAATACTTTAAATTTCTTCTTCGCTGGTGTTGTCCTTGAATTTAGAGAAGACCTTTCTTATCTTTTTGGAATCTATTGTACCACATTTATCAAAATCAAAGACAGAAAAGGCACTTTCAAGTAATTCATCATGCTAATCTTTATTGGACATGCATTCATTGTATAATTCTTAAAAATCTGAAAAATGCATAGTAGTTTTATTATTTGGGAAATATCTATATTTAAACGATTTATACTTCAATTCTGTAACAGAAACATAAGTAGGTGATTTAGGTGAGGAATCTTTTGGAATCTCTTCAAAATTATCAGTTGAACTAATTTTTTTGACCAATTTTCGGCCATGTTGATAAGGTACGCTGATCTGTTATTAATCTTAATTTATTGTTTCTAATTCCTTAATTAATTGGTTTATCTATTAAATATTGATTTCTTCAGAGTTTTCTTATGAGAAAAGTTGAAAAATTTATTTTAATTCCTATTAATTAGCTGATTATTGCTGCATAGAGTATTCTTAATTTAATATAATTATTAGAAATATTAATAAAAATTGTTTGTTAATAATTTCTTTATTCTCAATTCCAATATGAATCATGTCTTTACTTTCAATAAAAACAAGCTCTTCATTGGTAACATAAAAGTCTCACAATCAATATGAGAGTAGTACTTTCTTTATTGAAACACCTATATCATCAAATATAAATCATTTTCATAAATAGATACCATCAATTGATGATGTGAATATAAATTAAGCCGCTAATTTGATGAAGTAGCTGATTTTATTCATAATCATTTGAAAAATGGCAATGTTTTAGTTCATTGTTATGCTGGCATATCAAGATCTGCATCTTTGTTGATAGCTTATTTGATTAAATATCATAACTACACTACATTAACTACAATTAATTTTATAAAAGCAAGACCAATAATAGAACCTAATGATGGTAATCATTTTTAAGATAATTAGGATTTATTGCTCAACTGAATGCAGAGGGAAAACTATAAAATCATATTTAATCAATTATAATAAGTGACCAAGAATGAGATTAAATCATATCATAGATAAGTCAAATCCTTTCTGTCCCCAAGAATAAAAACTTTACTTTGAATTGCTAAATTACTTTTTATATTACTTTTAAAATTAATGTTAAGTTAAATTTTTTCATTTTTACCAACTCCATTCAAAATAATAATAAATATATACTATTGGTTTAAAAGAATATAAGTTGAAATAAATTTTAAATTCTTTCAAACCATATTTAAAATATAATTTTTGATTAACCATCCTAATAAAGCATGAGATGATAGAAAAAAGCAAGATGATTCAATTTTAGAAATTTTAATATGATTTATTACTTTAATCTTATGAATTTAAAATTATCAGAATTTAGTAGACTAACAAATTCATTTCGAAATAAAAAAAAATCTTTGAGTAAGATACTTCTAAAACAAGGGTTATTTTATCTATGTTTCTAAATAACTGGCGAGAAGTAAATTTGAATATCTTAAGAAAATTAGAAAATACTTAGCTAGTAAGTACGGATTATAGAGCTACTTTGAAATAATTTTGAAAAGGCACTTAAGGATTATTTAATAAAGTTAAGAAAAGAAGAATAATCTCACAAGTGACTGCTTTCATAAAGAAAAAATAGTCATTATTAAGAATTTCTAAAAGATCATTGACTATGTCACTTCCTCTATGGTGGTAACCATAAGTAATAATAAATTTTGCCTCCATAACAATACAATTGTATGGAAACTATTCGAGTATATTTTTGATAAGTATTATGTAATTAATTAATTATAATATTGATGATTTCTAATTCCGACATTGAAACAATAAATAAGTTTATTCTTGAAGCTAGTGGAACTCTTGAGAATATTTAAAAGGCTTTTGTGAGAAAATTTTCATAAGAATATGGTCCTTATCTATATTTTTATTAAGGTCTCTGCGATAATGTATAAAATATTAATTATTTTGTTTTAGATATTCACAAAGGGATAGAGACTCTTAATTATTTTCTTGTTACACAATTCTGAATTGAGATAGTGTTTATCGGATATATCAAATTACTGTTTAAATCAATTTGAAAAAAAGTTCATTCAAGATCCATAACTTGTAAAGCATTCAATTAAGACTTATAAGATAGTATGCTGGCCTTACAATAAAGACCGTTTTAGAAGAATTAGATAAATTTACGATGAATGAAAAATAAATAAATAAAGAATTGTGGTAGCCATAAAGTTCAATGTTTAAATTGAGAAATTGTATATCTATAAATAATAATCCACCTTAGTAATATAAATTAATAAAGTTTAGGAAATTGCTGTAAAATTAAAACTTATCACAATAATAAAATGGATTCGAAATTGATTTTTTAAGATTGACTCCAAACATAGTTTAGAATCGATGTGATTGGATTGAATTCTATTAGGTTTACGATGTTCAATGGGATTATTCATTGCAGATCAATTCTGACAAGTTGAGTCAGATAAAGGAAATTATGCAAAAGGCTCATTTACAATAACTGACTGAGTAAGAATTAAAGGTACGATCTGTAAATAATTGACTTAGTAATTTCAAGAGTATTTGAGGAAGGACAATAATAATTTATTAAAAAATAATGGATTATTAAATTTCAATTTAAGCGATTTGATAGAGAAGAACTTAAATTTAGCCTTTTTCCTGTTTACTAAGCATTTTCCAAATACTGAGTTTCTAGAGTAATAATATCGAATAGAAATAGTTTAATGGATGCCTTGGTTACAATTGATATTACACCAAACTCTTTGGAGATGATGTGCATGATAGTACAGTAATATCATGTGCCTCAGGAATACCTTAATTATTATGTGAATTATTGCATTTAGTTCTGCTCAAATATAAAGGTAATTGTTAAAGCGTAACGAGTAGGAAAAAGGATAGCAAGTGAAAATGATCAAATATTTGACAATTTTCTTGAAACATCTGATCAATAAAAAAATGCTAAAGACTCATGAATTACAGACTGAGGTATGATAGATTTAATGATAAATTTAGTTGCAAGCTTTTTCGATAGAATTTTCTAATATAGGAGAAACATCAAGTCTATTCAAATTGATAAAGAATGATTAATAATAATGATATGTATAATAATAATTATTGAATTTAAGTGTTTAGATAATGTTTTTTGATAATCCTTATTTAAATTATTGAATTAATACTAATTAATAAATGGATCAACCAATGGTAAGTCCGAGAAAAGTCACGGAAGGACATGATATCTCTAATTTGATTACGTTTCGGTATTCAACAGATTAATATTGTACACCAAATATGATTAAATTTCAGTATTGCCTACGTAAAGGAGCGAGGGATTCAATAGAATGAAATAAACAATTTTAGATTCAGATAATCGAGCGATTCTGGATGCAGGGTAAAATAATTAGGAAGAAGAACCTTCAATAAGTTCATCGGAATCGGAGTAAAGTCCCAGTAAAAAGGGATCTGAAACTATGAGATTCGGATCATAAAGTAAAGTTGAACATGCTGAAAGATAGTATAAAACTGAAGATTTGGTACCTGTAGATGGAGGATGGACGAATATAATATGGAAGAGGGGTTCCTTGAGAATTATGACCTATGTAGTCAGATTTGTGATTTCTATTCTAATTAATTCTGAAAAATCTAAGTTTTCATTCATGAATCGAAAGTAATTCACTGCCATAAATGACATAACAGGAGTTTATCAATTTTACGAAGAGAATAAACTGATAAGATAGAGAATTAAAAAGAAATTTAAAGTAATGTTGTGATTAAATTAATAGCAAATTATAAAATCATATATTTAGAATAATGTGTGTTATAAAATTATAAGAAATGGATTGGAGACATTTGTTCATAGATGTCTCTTTGTAATAGATCCTTCAAGCACTATTAAAATATTATGGGATTTTTTCATGTTATTTGTGCTATCATGGTAGATGGTATTTGTTCCTTTGAAGATTTGTTTTTTTATTTAAATCTAGGATCCTATTTTGAATTTCATCTTGAATTATTTGCCAGTCTACGTGTATTTAATGGAGATAGTGTTAACATTTTTGACAGGCTATTATGAACATGGAGTGTTGATTATGGATTAAAAATAGGTAGCCAAACATTATTTCAAGAAATCATTTTTTTATGATTTATTAAATGTATTGCCTTTATTGGTCAGTGCATATTATGTATAATCTAATTGGTTGGAGTTTTCTGTGTTGGTGAAAGTAAAGACATTGAAGTTTTTATCGGACTAATTAGAAGAAGTATTTGGATTGAGAACGAATTACTAGACTTTGATAGATGTGTTGAGATTGATGATATAATTTATATTTTTGTCTCATCTTTTCGGTTGTTTTTGGCATTATTTGGGAATTCTGTAAGGAGATTATGGGTAAGATGTACTTGAATATCTTATAGAATGACTAATACTTGGATAAATGCCTTAGAGTTGGAAGATGACAGTTGGTAGATTCGATACATCAACTCAATATATTGGAGTTCTATAACGACATTGACAATTGGATATGGTGATATCACTCCTTAGAGTAGTGTTGAGAAGATTTTCACAGTCGGAGTAGCTGTATTCAGCAGTGTTGTATTTGCATACACAATCTCAAGCATAGGGTAAATATTCAGTCAATTGAATGAGAATAAAAAGAATTAAAGATACAAAATGAATTTGATTTAGCAATTCATAGGTTAGAGAGGAGTGAATAAATAATTACAAAATAAAGTCAAGAAATTCTATGAATATTTTATACAAGTAGATCACTCTTAAGACAGCGAATGTGAATTATTGCTAAATTCATTGGAACCTTCTTTAAAAAATGAATTGAAGATAGACATCTACAAAAAATACATAATGAAATCCAAACTCTTTAAATCCACTTTCTCACTAGAGTATATTATTACGTATGATTTAGCTAGATTCTTAGATTTACTCTGCTAGTTATTTCAAGAAAGACAATATACACCAGACGAATAGATATGTGCAGCAGATACAGAAGTTGAAGAATTGTGTTTTGTTTTGAAGGGGGAAATCTCTTTGTCGATTCAATTGAATAATTGTAATTAAACAATAACATTCTTAATGTAGAATCTGGTAAAACGCATTAAGTTAGTCTCTTAAAGAAAAATCATATCTTAGGAGAAAGGTTCTTTATTACCGGTGACAGATTACCTTATGCTGGAAAAGCAATTACAGCAGTCCGAGTTGCCTTTATCAATAAAACTTAATTCTTCAGTCTATTGAAATAGTATCCCTAAGAATACGAGAAATTCTTGGAAGCCAAAAGTAAGGTCGTATTGAAGGAGAGAGTCAAAGTCTAAGGATGTGAACTATGTTATTAGAACCATTAAGTTTTATAATGTCCCTTTGTGTTTTATTACCCAAATGTTAGAGTCATTGTGAAAAGATAAGAAAACATCACCCAAAAACGATAGTTTAAATAAAGATCCTATATAAAAAGTCATGTAAGCTTATACACACTATTTAGAAATCACTCTTAGATAGAGGAGGTATCTAATATTAGTTGATCTCTTATGCATTGGACTCAAATTTGATGCGCGAAGAATCTCTAGACGAATCACTAATAAAGAATATGGATTTACAGTTTATAGAGCCAACAAAAAAACAATTCAATAAAATTCATTCTGATATCTCTGGGGATCAATAACAGCAAGACTAGTCCAATCCCTTTTTAAATTAAACACCTTTACGTCCTAGTTAAGAATAAATTAGTGAAGACAGTGATGTAGGTACTAGCAAAACAAATAAAACATCCAATAATGGATTATAAAAGTTAATTACCTTAAGACAAATATCATAATAAAGTTAAAATCAATAAGGATAATAAAAAAAAGTAGAAAAATTTAAATAGAAGAGTTTAAAAGCAAAGAAAAGCGAATTTAAACCTCCAGAAATTGTAGAATTGTAGAAGATTGAAGAACTGTAGTCTTTTGAATCCCCTTTGGGTTCAGGTCAAAAGGCAAATCAATAGTCTATGTTTTTTCATTTAAATGAAAATCCAATAACCAGAGATTTAGAAATTAAGAGAATCTTATGGGAAGAATATGTCTAGTCTCAAATTATAGAGGATAAAGAGAGATACGATTAATAATAGGATTATTAATTCTTTTATCCTCATTGTAATTTGGAGAGAATTTTAGAGTAGATCAATATCAAAGTTAATGAGAGAAAGAAGAAAACATAAAAGTCAAGATTGACAACTCTAGGTAAGAATAGATTGGGCTAACTATAAAATATATCTGTTAGACCTAGAAAAAGCATGATCACAATTGAATAAGCCTTTTCTCAAGATGATGAAAGATAAAAAAGTCTAAAACTATGACATTTAAAAATATATGTAAACTAACATAAGAATTCAAGTATCTAAACTTTCTGCATCATAATTATAGGATCCAAATTATTAATTCCATTTCAAATAGTCCTTCAAATCATTTTGATTCACTGTTGGTTTCACAATTTAGAGAGCTCTCTTAAAATCCTCTATAGTAGTTGCTCTGATTTAATCCAATTTCAAATTTTTGATTGTGTACATTTTAGCAGCATCTCTAATAGCATACATACAAGCCTACCAATTAATAACTAATGTCTACCTCTCTACTTAAATTTCTAATATCAGCTCCAGAATATCCCTTCGTCAATTCTACCAAAGATTGCAATTCTGAACTATTCATTTCAATTCTCTTCCCCTCCTTTGCTTCTTTAATGATTAAGGTCTCAAAATACGATTGTCTTCCCTCCTAATTAGGCAATGGGATATATATCTTTTTTTAAAATCTCCTTTTAATTGCATCATCTAATTCTTAAGGTCTATTTGTAGCTCCTATAAACACTATTCTTTCACATCCTCCTCTTGTTGCTCCTTCTAATTGAACCATGAATTCTGTTTTAATCTGTCTGCTTGTTTCATTATCTTTCTCAGACCTAGCACATAACAGAGAATCGATTTCATCAAAGAATATCACACTAGGTTATCTTTAAGCGGCTAATGCAAATAAAGCTCTCACAGTCTTTTCTCCTTCTCCAACATACTTAGATGTCAATGTGGAAGCTTTAATTGAAAAGAAAGTCGCTTTTCCTTCACTTGCTATGGCTTTTCCTATCATAGTTTTACCAGTTCCTGGTGGCCCAAATAACAACAATCCACTTCCTGGAGCTATGATCCCTTCAAACAATTTTGGATTCTCCAAAGGCCACAAAGCTATTTCAACTACTTGATCTCTCACATGGTCCAAACCAACTATATCAGTCCATTGGGTTGGTCTGTCCATGATTTCAATGATGTCAGATTCAATTTTATTAATAATGTTATCTTCAAAATTGGTTTTGTTTTGTTATTTTTCACTTTTTAAGGCTAATTGTTCTTAATTGCCTTTGTCACCCACTTTGGTTGGAGGTTGAAATCTCTTCTTGGGCATTAATTAATTGGCTTGAACAAAACCAAATTATTATTGTTATTGTTAATTGGATGATTGTGGCTACTATATTTAATTTAATGGTTATTAAGGTTACAAAGGTGGTTGTGGTTAATCTACCTTTGTATTTTACTTCTTTATATTGGCTGGAATATTTAATTTAATAAATTCAGATCTATTTGTTAAGTATTGCTTCATTTAAGCATAGTTGATACACTTAAGATCTAGATGAACTTTCAAAAGGGATTGCTTATTTTTCTAAGTTTTCAAAAATACTTCAGTCTATTCTTAGATAATAGTAATTACTTTAGTTACTTAAATTTAGAAAGTTTTGGTTTTTTGCTTCCAATTTAGTAATCATTTCAAAAATAAATATTAATATATATTATCAATTAAATAATTATTATTACTAAGATGTGAATAAGGAAAAAGAATTGTTATCTTGTGATTGGGTAATGAATTTCCAATCATCAAGGTTCGGCTTCTCTTGTTTTCTTCTCTCCAATATGATTATTGGAATTTAACATATAACTGGAATAGCCAATGAAGTTAGTAGTCCATCCTATATTATATATATTATTTAATTACTGAAAATGCTTGCACTTATAAAATGTAATGATTTTTAATAAATTCCATTTTGACGGTGGCTGCCAAATCATTAGGAATTGTAATTGAATGCTTTAAGATATCACTTCTCTTTCCTGCCGGATTCCCAGGCAATTCAGTTGTGTAGAGCGTGTTATTTTTGATCACTCTCTCATTTTCATCATCATCTATGAAACTTAGGTAATGATTCAACTTCACTTCCACTTTACTTATGCATCTTTAAGCTCTGGTAGTATTTAAAATGTATTCTAATTCTAGTACTTCTCCAGGCTTGTAAAGATTCTTTGCAGTTCTGATACTTAGTTCAATCATGCCCCGATGAATACAGAAGAACTATACAATGTTACCTTCACTCTCTCTTTTTTACTCGGTAAACTTAAATCTACTGTTGATATAAACTGGAATGCTCTTTTATATTATTACTTAATTTGATTGCAAATCACTTATTTTTAAATAGATTTTATATTGGATTTTAGCCTATTACAATCCTAAATTCATGATAAGATCATACCATCAGAGTTCCGATATACAAAACTAGAATTCATACCAAATTTAGTAGGTACTTAAAACGGTAGTTTATAATCCCCACTTTTAATCACCCCTCTATAAAGATCCTAGATATGAGTGTAATCTTCATTGACTCCATATTGTCTTGTAACTTGGAACATAGTTCCGTTTTGCAATTCATATTTTTTTTTTGGATTTGATTAGGAAATTTTGAAGTTTCTGGGACTATCTAAGGTAATTTGAACTTGCTTGTTTTTTTCTAATAATTTCTCTGGAATCATCTGAGGGTTGTTTGCATCATAGGGAATCAAAAAAATATAAAAATGCATTACCTATCGTTTATGTAAAATTTTAGAATATTCGATTGCAACAAATATTAGTTAAACATTGGCTTGTTAAATGTCGTCAATCAACCTTAGATAGCAGATCCCATTAATATTTTCACCTGCTATTGACACTGGATTTTTGATCCAAAATAAAACTTCATTCGAATTCATTAAATACCAAAAAAAGTATTAATTAAGACGAGAATTATTCATTTTAAAATCATTTATATTTTGAATTAATTAAATTAACAGTTAATAAAATGAGCTACTCATAAGAGTTCTCTCCATTATCTATGAAGGAGGAGATTTTTTTTTAGAATGAAACTGAATCTACATCTTTAGAATAACAATTGCGCATTGCTAATGAGAAAGTCCTATAATTAATGCAATATCAATAACAATTGAGGTATTATTGTCTCAGTATCTGAGTGAAGAACTAGAGCATCTACACTATAAATACAGAGAGACTTAATAGGAAAATGAGATCCTTTCGAATTAATTGCACCAGGGTCCAGATGAAACCAAATTCCTTAATTGCGTTCTCGATATGGTTCGTGTCTGTCATCCTTAAGAAAAGCCTATCTCCCTGAAATACGCCTGGAAATGGTTGAAATATGTCGTTGATGATTACATAGAATTAAGAAAACGAAATAAAAGTGCTAATACTCAAAGTGAAGTCTTCAAGAATCCAAAAAAGAACTCGATTATAGTTGGCGATTTATTGAGAAAGAATTGCCAGGTCGCAGAAAGTTAATATATTAAAAATTCAAAATGCCATAATTGATAGTTATTATATGTATTATTGTTTGCTTATATAAATATATAATTATAATAATCTATAAAATAAAGAAATACAGACATGGGCAGTTTGTTTGGTAAAGAGGAGAAGCAGAAGAAACAACAGAAATAATAGTAGTCTTCCTACCCAACGAAATCTTAATTCCCATCACAAAAGAAGGAATTAAGTGAGGGAGAAAAGATGAGAATGAAATTGCAACACAATAGAGATGAATTGAGAAACAAGAGAAAGTAAATTGACCTATAAATTGAGACCTACGAAAAGGAAATAAGGGTATATTCAATCTGATAATCATAGACATTAATTTAAAGTAACAAAAGAGATTAGGCTAAGTTTGTGTTATAAAGAAAATTGTTGTATGATAAGTTTCTTGATAATATCATGGAGAAAGAATAGATCATAGAAAAATCTATCATCTCTGTGGACTAAATGCAGTCTGTAAAATTGATATCATTATAAAACAATAGGATAAAGAAATGGCAGATATTATCAATCAGACCAACCAAGTTATGAAAGATATCTAATCATCCATTGATTAAGACAAGTTAAGAGATGCTTTTGCAGATATGTAGGAATAGAAATAGAAAAATGATGAAATGAACTAAATGTATTAATAATATAAAGTTGGTGATGAAGATGAGATTAATGAATTATATGGAAAATATGAATAATAAGTATGCAAAACTACTTAACCAAAATAATAATAATTTGTTCCATTACCTTAATAATAATAATAATAATAATTTGTGCCATTACCTTAATAATAGGAATAATAATAATAATAATAACATTAATAACAATAAGAATCAAACGAATATACAGATAAATTAGCTATGTTAGAATGATAGTATAAACATATAAAAAGAATAATTTAATTATTTTAACTATTATTTATGTTAATTCCTATTAAAAATAATAATATTCTTTGTAAAAGAAATTATATTTTCTTTTATGAAATTAAAAGTGATATTACTAGATAAGGAGTATAACTTCAAGAGATATTCCAAATATTAAGACTTCCTTGATATATTCTGCTCAATTGAACCTCAATTTGAATTAGATAGTTTTACTTATTATGATGAAGAATAAGATCTCATTACAATATCAAAAGAGGAAGATTATAATTGCTTTCTCGTTAGTTCCATATCAACCATCTAAGCCAAAGGTAAATATAACTGTTAAGAATTACAGTTACAAGCAGAGAGGAATTTAAGGCTAATTTAAGACTTTAAGTAAAAAGCCATAATATTAACAGACAGGTCAAGAAATAATCTAATTGATGTAACTAACTCATATGATTTCATAGTAAAAGATGTTTTATGAACACAATCTGCAAATTACTCGTGCAATTCAAAAAGTTCCAATCGAAGAATAACCATTATAATAAGAGAAGAATATAATTTTAAGAAAGATTGAAGAGCAGAAAAAAAGAATTGAAAAGAATAAGAAACTAAAATTGAAAACAGATTTGGTTTATCATTTTTTAAGTTCAGATATTTGTTCAATAGTTAATTAAGTTGATCGTAAACTGAGATATGATCAAACAACGTAGGAAGAATTTGATAAATAGTTAGAATCTACTTAGAAATATTTGGTTGATTAGTTTTTTTAAGTATATTTACAAAGATTAAATAAAATAATCGAGATAAGGGAAACACAATAGAATGGAAATAGGAAGATGACAGAATTAAAAAATAATTTGAAACAAATTGAATATCAGATAAAAAGAACTAATAAAGAATTAAAGTTGAGAGAAAACTATTTTTTGTAGGGCATCTATGCAATAAAGTGCTTGGTTAAGAAACTTTGATTAATTAATTTATATAAAATATGAAAATAGAAGTACATATAAAGGATAAATAATTCGCTATTAATTGCGGGGATGGATTGCAAAAAGTGAAATGGTTAGGAGATGTGGCTATATTTAGACATAGTCATTTCTACTCATAAATAAATTCAACAACGAAAGGGATCAAACTTGAAAATGGAGAAATGGTTGATTTGAATGCAATAATTAGTAGTACTTTGGCAGAGAATACTCATGTTTGGGTTGTTTTAAAAGGTATGTTTAATTGATGAAATGTTTTAGAGGATCTAGAGGCTGTGGGTATGGATGTGAAATAGTAATAACAACAACATAAGAGACCAATAACTGCCGTGAGTAGAAGAAAGTGAATTATTTAATTATATTTACTAATAAATTTAATTGTAAATATTTATATGTATATTGTCTTGTTCTCTTTTATCTGTGTTGTGTATTCAATAACTTATGTGCTCAACAAAGAAGAGATAAAAGTATATATAGCATATAATTGAATAGATCTTGGAGAATTACGCAAATGGAATCGAAAAATATGATAAATAGAAAGAAAAGCTGCCTCTATAGAGTGTTCTTAAACTTGACAATAATGAAAGTGTGGTTCAAGTAACTTCTATGTTTACTCCTTTTGATAATTAATAGAGAGTCGACATCTTAACCAAGAAAGCAGAGAATACTTACTCAGTCTATACTATATATTATGATAAATAAGTAAAATCCACAATTTATTTTAGTTTAATTCAGAACCTAAGTATGAAAGTGTTGAAATACAATAAACAGGTAGATGCACCTCCTTAACATACTTAAATAATTAATTTGTTGTTGATTGCTCATTTACTTCAATTTAATTTATATTGTAGAATGGTACTAATGTTACATACAATAACGACCAACACCTTTAATTCACTCAAATTTTAGGGTTCTACGGTGGAATCCTAGCATTATCTCCAGGATAATTAACATTCTTTGACGAATAGTTGAAAATGGAAAGATAGACTTTGGCCAATTACATTTAAGTGCTTAAGGATGAAAAAAATGTTTATGTATTAAATGAACACTAAGTGATCTAATATACACAAGATGATGGCATACTCGAATATGATCATAAATGCTAAGTTACACCAGAATTTATGACCATTTTAGATGATACTTTTTATATTTAATGTGGTACTCTAAGAAAGGTTGATTAAAGTGAGATTGAAGTATTTCAGTTAACAGTATCCCAACTCTAATCAACCAATCGATATATCATTTTGAATAATACCAGCATCTTTAATAAAAATTTTGATTCTTGTTTTTTTGTATCATATGGCTAATTGTATCCGGTAAATTATGATGACGATGTGATTCAAGTAGTGAATAATCAAATATCAATTGGCTCCATTAAAGGATACTACCTGATTTAATCAAATGAAATATCCTAATTCAAGTTATCTTACGATTAATTTTATGTTGTCGATAAGGGATTATAGGTTTTGGCTTCTGGAGAAACTGATTTTTATGGAAATGAATATTAAGTAGTCAATTATGTTTCAGGACCTAATGTAGTAATTAGTGATCAGGGATAAATCGATGGCCCAATTTCCTGGAACATTGAAAAATAGATATCAAATAAACAATTGCTGACATTACTGAATTATTTGGATGAATCTATAGTGATTATCTATTAACAAGATAAAAAGTTATACTCGCAAAAATGTGATGTTGATGATAAACTTAAATTTGAAAAGGAAGCACTCATAACTTAAAATGTTCCATCAGACATTAAAAATGTCCAAGGGTCTGTGGTTGGTAATCAAATTATAGTTGCTTATATATCCTAAGGAAGTTTGTTTATATATCAAAACAATACACTTTTACAATAAGTGAACAATGTGATTACTTTCCAATTGAAACAAAGCCTTATTATTATCCTTAATGACACTCAAGTAACTATAAGCTAAATCGTCAATCAATAATTGTAATACTTAAGCATACTTAATGTTGGTTGTACTATGGTTAGTAAATTTTCAAATGAGATTGCATTGGTAGACCAAAAAAATAATCTTTTATTAGTCAGCAATTCTAATAATGGTTGGTATTAATCATTTTCAAAGGCTTTTACAGACAAAATTATTAATATTTATTATGTAAATAGTTAATTGATTGTGTTGACTGAGAAATCAGCACAAGTTTATGAGAATAGAATATTGAGAGGCAAGTTAGATTTGGATAAATTGGAAAATGGGAAATATTTATAAACTCAAACCCATTTGTATTATTACAATAACTCCTAAATACTTTAATTATAGATCTACTCAGAACTATCCTTATCAAGTTGGCCATAATAAGTCATCAATTATAAGATCTAATAAAAATTTTTGGTTCTGACATTTGATATTTTTGAAATATTACTTTTAGATAATAATCTATATGCATATAGTTCAATTTTATTATTTACACCCAATACTATTGTGGAGAGAGATGTATATTCCAGATTCACCTATGCCAATGTAATCTTCAATAATTACTAAAACCACTCTGTTGATGTTAAGGTTAAGGTTATTGGTGACATTTTGAAATTGCAAACCTTGCCTTACAATGAATCAGACTATCAAATCAATGATGGCATGGTATAAATTGATCAAGCTTTGCTTTTTGATGGACCAATCTCGAATATTGGCACCAATGTTAAAGATGAATTTGAGATAATTTAGAGAGTAAGTAGGAGTAAATAGTAACCAAGTTGGATTAATACAGGATTGGTTGATCTAATCTATATTGGAAACAACCAAAAAGTTGCCTATTTAAACCCTACTTTATTTCTTTGTTCAGACAGTAATTGTTAAACAATCGCAAATAATACTAAAGATTGTTTCACTTTAGAGTAAGATTAAATATAATTTTATTTGGTATGCAGCAAATCTATTTATTATGGTTTAAAATCAAAACCAGAATAAATAAAGAGTATTGATTTTACTGCAACATCAGACTAATTAATTAGTATCAAATTTGATCAAGGTAAGAAAATAGGAGTAATAAGCTAATCTAAATCAGGTATATAATTCTCAATCTATATCAACTTTAAATTTAATGGAAAAATAGAAATTGATGATTTAAAAGATTTCTAATTCGGCAATGATCACATAATATTATTAAAATCAAAATAAGTGATGATGGTGGATGATGAATTGAAAGAGTTAAACACATTTGATTTATTAGACAGTTTGATTTCGACTGAATAGAACTTTGCATTGAAATTTTTAGAATTTTCAAAAATATGTGAATACAAGGAAAGTCAATATATAATATCAAGTGTTGATGGTCCAATCTATTTGATATATTTTAATAAAGAATACTCAGAGTTAGTTTTGTAATTCACTAATATTTAAGATTCAACCCCAATTTAAACCTATTTATTTGAAAAATAGATATTAATATGTGTTTATGAGGATGATGATGATCATTACGCTGCTTTTTATGATTTTGAAGATAAGTCAAAATCATCTTTAATCATCCCATATTTTAATGTTATTTAATTGGGATCTTCATTCTCAAAATTACATTATACTCAATAATATAATAATAACTCAATTATTTTGGTTGATAGTTCTAATAACAGATCAATCTTTACTATTCATGATTATGTAAAACTATTTAAAATATTCTTAGCTCCAAATTAAAAGTATTTCATCAAATAAACAACTCCAAGATCTGATTGCTTATGATTTGCTTTTTCAATAAGCCAAAATTAATCTAAAAATAGATTTGACTGAAACTGATGATGCTAACGATGATTGGATGCTAGCTATATATATTTTATGTGGTATCTTAGGATTTTTAGTCTTGTTAATTATATTCAGATATGTCAGAAGATACTGCTTAACGAGACATCTTAAATTTGTAGAAGAAAAGCCTTCAGAATTCAAAAGTGAATATATATGATATATTTATATTATTTAAAGATCTATAATTAGAATTAAGTTTATCTAAAAATGTTTTATTCATTAACATATCAGCAACCTTTAATTGATTTTATTATATTTACATTTTATAATGATTGCCATCCACATAGAATTTCCTTTCAGATATTAAAATTCTTAATTAATAATTTATTTTTACAATACTTTCTTGATTTAATTTAAGGAATAAGGATACAAAATGATTAAATATATTTATAATCATAAATTCCAAATAATTTCAATTTTTTATTTAGAGAAATTAATTTTTAATCATTTGGATAACAATAAAATAGAAATACCACAACTCTAATAAATTAATAACGAATCTTCATGAAATTTTTGTTTGTTTACTTCTAATACCTAATTCACAAGGATATATTTCCTGTGAGTCTTATAAGTTATTCATTTGTTTATTATTATAATTATTTGTTATCAATACAATAATGATAATAAAAAATATGGGCTTCATGGTTCATCTCAATCCTTAAATTCCAAAGTTGATTATCTTTAACAATTATTAATTCTCAATGGCAGCCAAGACTCTTTCTTTGTCTTAGAACAGTTTATTTAATTCTACTTCTTTGATATGCATATTCTGCTTTATTTCGACATAAACTTTATAATTTTTAGGCAAACTTCTCATCAATTTAATTTTTAAAGTAAGTCCAATTGTTTGAGCCATAGAACAATGAGGAATAGTAGGAGTAAAATACACCATTACTCGATTTCCTTTTATTTAAATGTCACTGGGATTGACTATATTCAATTATTCTAGAGTGAATGAATGTTCAGGATCCTTAATGGTTTTAATCAAATCAAAAATTTCATATTCATCAATAGGGTCTTCAACATCTAGGTCGTATTCTTATTGCTTTCGTTTAATATATTATTGAGTGAATTCAAAATTGCCAGTTTGAAAAACTTGTGGTTTAGGATTTTCCAATTACATTTAATTAATGAATGCTCGATTTATAGTATGAAATTTTATTATTTTATGAACATTTCAGAAAATGATTTGTGTTAGTTGATACAATCAGTAAACAAAAGATCAATGTTTAAAACTCAATATGACATAGAATTAATTCATTCTAAATTGAGAGATTTCACATTCTTTAGAAATATGAATAAGGAAATTGGAGATTTACAATATTATAAAATTCTAAAAGAACTACAATATGAATGTCCCATTCCTTATGAACCACTAGTGAATATTGGAGATTAATGTTCTAAGTTTTACTTCATACTCGCTGGAAGATTTCTGATCCTTACAAACAATTAAATGGCCAATATACATTTACCAACTGAAATGTAAGCAAACTGATTAAATTTAAGATAAAGGACCATAGACAAACTATTTCCAAATTAGATTCCACAAGGGTACTTATCAATAGGACAATATTTTGGAGAATAAGTTATGATGTTTGATTAATAGCATACTTAAACAATCTTACCCCTTGAGAAGTCTCACCTTCTGGTCATCAAACGAGAAACATACAGAAGGATTATTGGTAAATAATAATACTTAAAGATTTAGATTAGGAAACCAAGAAGAGGGAATCAGAAAGGTTTTCTAATCTAAGTACCATTCCACTCTTTTAGAAATGGAGTGCTAAAACTGTTAAGATGCTATCTTCTGAGATCTAAGAATTGAACTTTATACCTAATCAAATAATCTATCATCAAGGGGATCCCGTTGACTCAGTCTATATTATTATCGATGGCTAAATCTAATTATTTAGAACTTCAAATAAAAGTTAATTGCCTCTTTCAATTCTGGGATGTAAGGAGAGCTTTGGGGATGATGAAATACTTACCTAATTTAGAAGTCATTCAGCTAAAAGTCTTACGAGTGTTAAACTCTATAGGATTTAAAAGAAACAATTTTTGGATCTCATCCCGTTTGATTATTCCAATAAATATTTCAAAAAAGATACGCCTCTCAAACTCAATTTAAATTTAAATGAAGACTATTCGAGAATTTATAGATCGGAATCTCTGAAAGCTATCAGATCTCCAGCTTAATTGTTGCAAAGAATTATCAGAAAAAGTTAAGATAAGAACAAAACTCATTAATCTATTTCATTTTAGCAAATCCATGATTTTACAAGAAAAGACTTGCGCTATTCAAATACTCCTACTGTTCTATAGAAATCTAGCAGTGTACATGAATAAATCAGAATTCATGCAAACGGTAAATTCGATAAAACTACTTATTTGTTAAATCAAATTAAACTCAGATCAACTAATGTTTGGAAAAAAACTAAATGATTTATTCTCATTTATTATTTTTAATTCCTTTGTGCTTTCGATATTTTAATGAATTCATGTTAATTCAAAAATAGGAGTCTTCACATTAATAAATTCCATTCACTAACCCCCTCTCATAGAAATGAATTTTCAAATAGACAAAACGATTAGATTTTTAGTTTCAACAATGTAGATTAAATTACCGAACGTAAATATATGCCCTTTATATACACAAAATATAAACCATATTCCCATTAAAGAAGAAACCAATCAAATGTTGCTAAGTCTGGTGATTACTTCAATAGTACAATAGAATAATCCTCGTTTAATTAATTGAAACTTAAAAGCCCTGGTTCTATAACTCCATTAAGGAAAAAAACTATAAATTCCTTTTTATTTTCAGACATTTAACAAAAGCAGCAATCAAGCCCAAGCAACTGCAAATCAGAAGTCAGATAGTTTTCAATAGATTTACCTCAGATGCAACAATTACCCAAAAAAAAAAGAGAATATACAATTTTGAAAAAAAAGAAAAAAGTTTATGCTTTAAAAATATAAGTTGATTGATTTTTCCTTTAATATATTTATATCTATTTTTGAGAAACCCAAATATCATATAAATAACTCATATATCCCTTTCATAATAATTGGAGACTCTCCCTTTCACATGGAACTTATAAAATAAGATTGGGTATAAATGAATAAATTCTTGTGTATATGGCAAAGAAACAAGTATAAGCATATTAACATTTCTAAATAAAATAAAACCCAATTAAGCATATGTAAAATCAAAAAAACAAAAAAGTGGATTAAATATTGATTCTATATCAAGTTATTGTTTAACTATGAATTGTGATATATTAAAGTTCTTATCTGGAGAATGCCTTTAAATATTAACCAATAATTTATCTATGAATTGTTATGAATTAATAAAGATTCTGGAGCTGTGAGTTTATTTGGCATTAAGAAGGCAAGCTATGGATTTAAATTATTCATAAATAATTGATGGTTCTTTTCTCATTAGTCTTATATAAAGATTTTAGTAAATTAATTTAGAAGTTCAAAATTTAGAAGAATTGCTTTATATCTTTAATTTTATCCTTATAACAATAATTTATATAATAATATTAACTCTAAATTAAATTAATAGAAAAAATCTAGAAGGCTCAATGGGAATTAATCCTATCAAATAAGCTTAAATCTAATACTAGATTTAAAATAACTCTATTAGAATTTATGTCCTTTTTTTATTTCAAATAATTAGTTCCAATGTAAATAGAATAAATATTGATTTAGAACAAATAATCCAATTCATAAAGTTGATCATATAATTATTTCATCAATTTCTCTTCTTGTTTTGGATAAATTACCCTCCATTTTTCAAAAGAATAAAATTGCTTTTTATGTTTTGAATAATCAAGAAGCAAAAATCTTTCTTTTTTATAGGAAAATCTTTCAATCTTTTTAATATTTAGTTATCTGATAACCTTAAATATCAATTATATTCTTTAATAATAATTATTTTCTTGCTACTCCTAAATTCTTTGCAAAGATTGATCTTTTAAAATAAATTCTGTATAATTATAATATGAACCATAAAATCATTCCAATTGCTGCTCGACTTTTGGAATTCCAATATTGTAATGTCCAGGTTGAAACAATAGATAGATTTTAGTTATTGGGTTAGAAGAAAAATTATATTCTAAAATTTAAAAGGATTAGTTTTCAATCTGAAAAACGATCGTATGACTAATATATAATATAATATCTACATGTTTAATTTTTGACTCAATATCGTTATAACATTTTCATTACTTTAGCAATCGAATTCCCATTCTAATAATTATTCCTTTAAATTCAAACCTAACGCTTAAAAATTTACACTAATTTCTGAATCCTCCGAACAAAATTTGAAAGCCAAATTTCTTAAGAATACAATTGATAAACCATAAAATTCATTTTCTTCATCTTTGAAATATTAAAAAAATTAATTTTATCTCTCTTCTTCAATTTATGATCTTAGATGTTAACATACTCCAATAAATTTGTATTTCATATTATCAAAATCATTTTAATTATACATTTCATTTCCATAATAAATTTCAAATGGTAGCATTGATATCTACTAAATTAATTATTCATATTAAGCATTTTTTGAATTATTGATCATAAAATCTAAATACTAAAACACAAACGATGTATAAAAGCAGTTACCATCTCCCCTCGCTCTCCTCATTCCATTTAGTTATTACTTTAATTTATTTTTAAATTCCATTTTAAAACTATACTCTTATATCAAACAAGATTAGTTTTAAAAGTCGCTAACAAAATTTCTATACTAAGGCTACACAGATCTAGCTCTGCAAGTTAAATTATATAGTTTAGATATTATGGTATCATCTTATGGAAGTGGAGGAGGAGAAGGGGGAAGAGGAGGAGAAGGAGATGGAGGAATTAATTTCTTCAAATCCTCCTTCATTTTTTAAATTTCATTAGTTAATTGTTCTATTTTTTCTTATGGATTTCCTATTTTTTATATTTGATTTTTTTGGTCTAAAATTTATTCTTCAACTCTCTCTAGTCTTTTATTTAGAATTTCAAGATTCTAATTAACTTTAGTAATATCGTGTCTTACTTCCTAGGATTAATCATTTATTATTGCTTATTGATTTTAGACTTAATCAATTAATTATTTTATTTCTCCTTACAGTTATCTTATTTCTCCTTACAATTAATTTTTTAGTTATTTCATTTCCTCTTAGAAATTATCATTTTTTTTATTTGTTTCTTTTTCGAATAACAATGGCATTTCATTCAATTTTTTTTTTTATTCTTTCATTTCAGATTAAATTTAATTTTATAATTATTCAAGTTTTTATATAGCTTCTTTCATTGTTATATTCTCTTCTTTTATTCCTTTATTCTCTTCTTAGATTCTTTCATTCTCTTTTTTGATACTTTGATACTCTATTTTTAAATTATTAATTTCATAAGACTATTATTCTATTAGGCTCTCTTTTTATTTTAAACTCTCAATTTACTTCTATTTTTTTGAATTTTCAACTTAATCTTTTTCTATTGATTCTTATGAATCTTGTTTATCCTAATTTTCATGATTTAAGTTGCTTTATGGATTCTATGGGGTTTTGTGATCATTTTTTTTTTTTTGGTTTTTACGATTATTATTCTTCTCTGAAGAATTGTGATTTGTAAGTTTTCCATTTTGAAGGAGACTTTCATTTTTAAGTTTTTCAATCCTCTTAATTGAATCGTTTAATTATGTGCACCATACCCAAATCCACACCACAATACACATCATCAAGAAGAGTAAAACTGGTTAAACTTGATCAAATAATCTCCAAATTTCACTACTCATTGTTTAAAAAATTTAAATTATTTAATTTCTATTAAAATGTGCTTATATAAATTAGCAAATTTTTTGAGTTCATATTTTAAATTTCAATTTGAATACTATTTATGAGTTAATCATTGTCACTTTTAAAGTTATTAATAATAGTATATTGTATATATGATAATCTCAATTATATGACATTAATAAAATTTGTAATTTATTAAAATGGAAGACCAAGAAGTAAACGAGATAGCTAAATCTTAAGTTATTAATATGCTCAATAGTTAAACAAAATCCCAAATCTTCAAATCTTAAGATAGAGATGACTCTGCAATCGATAATGCTGAATTCGATATAGTGGAAGTTAATGAAAACTAATGCTATGATGCTAATATTATAAATCCTGAATCTAAAATTGACCTCTAAAAAAATAAAATTTAAGACCTTTAGTCTAAGAAGGAATAACTTGAATAGGAGCTACGATAATAGCAGTAAGAAGTCAATTAGCTTGAAGAATAATTAAAAAAAAAACAGGAAATTTAAAATGTGTTTGCTATGAAACCTTAACCTGATTAAGAGAACTTATAAAAATAGGAATGGGCTTAAAAATAGTTAGAATATCAAGAAATTTTAAGCTAATATGAGGAAGTCGTAACTTAAGAAAATGATAAGGAGCTTAAAGATATTTACTAAGAGTATTATAATCAGTCCACCAAGGCAAGAAATGACTAGTAAAGACTATAGAATAGCATAGAGTTGGAAAAATAATTAAATTTAGAATTTGATTAGGTCAATTAGGAGATCGATTAAATTAAGAATATATTGGATAACGAAATCAATCAAGATAACATCAATGAATTATAATAATTATTGATATCTGACGATGAGTCGATGATTAAAAACATGGATCAATAATTAAGAAATAAAAAATAGTTAATCGAGGTAATTTAAGAAGACATAGTAAATCTGTAAAATTAATTGAATGAAGCAGAGAATAAATTCTAAAACATCTTTATGATCTATAATGAATAAAGAAAATAAATAAAGTTGTTGATGGAGAACATTAATTAAATTGAGAAACCCAATGAAATTGGTATATAAAAAGTGGATTCTAGAAGATCATAAACAACAGGAAGGAGCAGTAAGATTTCTAACTGCATAGAATACTTCTTTTCAGGATTGATAGCCTTATTTGGAGGTTTTCTGATGTTCTTATTTTTACAAGATATTTATGTATCTAGTCAGCAACAATAATATTTTAATTGATTATTTGATGTTATAATGTCATATTTCATGCATATATATTAAGCAACACACAGATATTAACATATTAATTTATTTCAAATTAAAATTAATAATTCATTAATTCATACATGGATTAAGCACAAGAAGATAATTCTCAGGGATTTCAAAATGAAAAACAAGAAGAACCCACTCTTGAATAATAAATAGTATAAACTGCAGAATATCCAAATTCTCCAATTGAGATAGCCATCACTGATGCTATAACAAAGGATGGTGGATTGGGAATTAAATATACTGTGTATTTGATAAAGGGATTGGATAATTAAGGAAGCTTTGAAGTTTTCAGAAGATACAATGACTTTTATGAACTGAGAGTAGCTTTAATAAAAAAGTGGCCTGGATGCTATATTCCTCCAATTCCTGAAAAATTGTTAGGTAGTGGAAATGACGCTGAGATTGTCCAGATTAGAAAACGTTTGATGGAAATATTTTTAAATGTCCTAACTGAATTGCCATACATCTATTATTCTGAAGATATTCAATAGTTATTTTTGAGATCTACAAACACAGAAATAAACAAAGTAAACAAATTCTCCTAGATTAGGTATTTTAATAATAAAAGTAAGTTACATCAGCTGACATCATTGATAGATTCAAGAGAGCATTTCCCAACTTAGATGTTAGGGATTCCTCAAATAGTGAGTATATGCTGTAAATAAGTACATTCTAAGGACAATTGAAAAAGTCATAAGTTCATTTGAAATAGTACATAGAGCAATCTTAAGTAGTGGCTCAGACAAGAAAATAAATTTAAAATGAAAAATGTATCAAAGATTAGTTATTTAAGTGAACTTATTTTTTGGATCATTGCCACTCTATGAAAAGGTGAACTTGACAGAATACGTATATGGTAAAGAGAACCTCCTTATATTAAGTAATCCTTAGAACATTGAACCTTTAACTAAATTATTGGATTAACTTGTATGATTTCTATTTATGTCATAGAAAGAAGTCTATAAAAAATTTAATAGTCTAGACAACATCACAGATTTATTTAGATTCGAGTTAAAGGATGCAGAATCAATTTAGTAGTCATTGACATATAGAGATTAGTTGCTTATATAAAGAGCAAATCAAGAATAGAAAATGAGGGAAGATTAAGCTGAATTGGCCAAAATTGCAGCGGGTAAGCAAACACTTACAACAATTACCAATTCTGTGTTCAATAAAGCTAAGGATCAATCTTAAGTAAAGGTGGAATAGAAGATATCTGAAGTACTATATAAAGTGAATTTAATTAGGGCCAATAAGAAATTGAGAGGCTGTCGTAATTGTATAACATTACTACGGCAATCATTGCAACTAAGGAAATACAAAAGTATAGAAAGACCAGAATAAATCACTATCACAAGTTTTTGAGACAAGTTCAAAATCAAGAATAATAGGTGTATGAGTGTGAGAATGAATTACTTTAAAAAATAGTCGAGGAATGTGAAAGGTTATCGGAATAATAAAATATTTAATCGTGAAGAAATTCTATTTATATTTTGTTAATCGTTTTATTAGATTATAATTTAGTAACATAAAAAATAAAACCAATTTATAAAATAATTAATATTATTAAGTATTTAAAAGCCTTAGTCCATGAATATCTTTGTTTAAGAGGAATTAGAGAACAGTTAATAGTTGAGCAGTCAATCAATAGTTAAATCGAACTCTTACGTATACAATTAGATGGTAAAAATAAATAATGGGTTGAAAACATATGCTTTGTCCTCAATTTTACTTAATTAAAATCATGATCCAGAAAATCTGATGATATCAGAATTAACATTTCGATCACTCTCCAACGATGTTGATTCGAAGATACTTCAGGAGTTTTAAATTAGAAGACATATTATTGAGCCTCATCAAATATAGATAGTACAGTCATCTCTTTTTAAACCCAACAAATAAGCCTGTTAGATCTGTTTTAATGAACTCAATAACATTGCCATAATTGAATAATGCAATCACCAATTTTGCCAAAAATGTATTACCTTATATTTATACAATAAAATAATATCTGGCGAAGTGCACAAGATCACATGTCCATAAGTTGGCTGTTCTATTGTTTTGAGTGATCAGTAGATTAAATAAAATATCAATCAAGATGTTTATCTGAAATATTAGAGGTAGTAATATCATCAAATATTGAAGATTCCTATTAATTAAACAATATGAGCATGTTGTGAATGGGAAGTGGTGTCCCAGACCTGATTGTTTTAATTTTGTTTTTCAATAAGGATCAGAAAAACTACTATAATGTGTTTGTGGATAGTAATTTTGTTTTGATTGCGGGAATCCAAATCATCCAAATAAGACTTGCCAAGAAAGTGTGGATCAAGTATTTGCTTAGGCATTGCAAGATTATAAAATATAAAAATGTCCAAATTGCAAAGCCAACATACTCAAAAATGGTGGCTGTAATCATATGACCTGTACTAAATGTCATTATGACTTTTGTTGGCTCTGTGGATGCAGGTATTCATCCATTCATTATGATTGGATGAATCCATGTAATTGTCCTGGAGAATAATATTAAGAAAGAGATCCGTACTCATATCCCAAAATTTTAATATTCATTAGAGCAATACTGAAACTTGTAATTTATGTACTACTATCACCAATATTGGTAATTGCAGGAATAGGAATGCTTGCCTACGGACTTGGATACTTGTTATCAAAAACTTGTCATCTCTGTAGATGCCTCAAAAGATGTTGCTAGACTTTGTGTAATTGAAATTGACTTAATATTAATTGTTAATAATGTGAACATAATTGAATATGGCCGTCTGGCTCAATTGGTAGAGCACCAGATTTCGGGTCTGGGGGTTTAGGGTTCAAGTCCCTAGGTGGTCGAAGTTATTTTTGTTTTTTAATATTTTTAATGCTTTAAATTAAATTTAAATCAATTCTTTCATTATAACTTAGAAGTATAAGTATTTTAAATAAGACAGTACAGATTGTAAATATTGACTTTTTATTTTACAGGATTCATCCAACTTAAATGAAAATTGATTCATATAAAATTCATTGTATTCTCAAAAATGAGTTAAAGAAAGATTAGTTAAACCTCCATAATTATTATAGATGTACTTATACTCTTATTCAATTTCATATGTTTTTAACTTCGGAATAGACCATAATTGATTAAATAATTATAAGTAAAAGTTAGTTATAATTGATAACATAATATTTTATATGAGTAAAACAAATAACAGTATAAAGGATTTACAACTTAGACTTCTCATTTCTGAATCCGAAAAGTAAGTAGCTCAATAAAAGTTAAATGACATCAAACGAAGTGAAAGGGCTAAACCTAGTTAATCCTTGTTTGCTCTATCTAAAGATGAAGCTAAAAGAAAGGACAAAGTAGGGAAATTGCTAATAGAATTAATGAATTTGATTGCTACTAATAATTCTCTACAGTGCATGCTTTAAATAAACTCATTAGAAAACATGATGAAAATGTTCGATCAAGGAAAATGCTATAAGCTTCTTAAGAAAATTATCAAGCCCTTTACTTTACTAATTACATATTTACTAAATACGAATATAACAGAGACTATGAGTGTGAAAAGTGAAAATTAAACTCTTCAACATCTGAGTAATTATAATTCAGTTCAAGCTGGAATTCAAACTCCAATGTCTTAAGTGATAACTATCAATTCTAATAACATGCATAACCATAAAACTTCTTTGCCTAGCTCTATCGCTTTCAAGCCTCCAAGTGAAGCCACTACACCTGAGAAAAGTGTGAAGTAGGCTCCCATCTCATAGCCGCAATAAAAATAAACAATAACACAATCTAAAGGGATAGGGAAAACTCAAAAACCCATATCAAGAAGGACAGCCACCAGTAAGTTGAATACTTGTGGTGATTGAGCAAAACAAGAAGTGATGATTTCAATATAATTTATTTTCAATTTAGAGAATCTATAATTTTAACTGTCAATGTAATTAAGAAATAGTCGAAATAGGAAGAGTGTAGATTACTAGGAATCTCAATTAAAAAGATGTTTGGCTACTCAAAAATCGGTGGGACAGATTAAATAAAAGCGAAGCCTTTCAAGAGATTATGAAATTCAAAAATCTCATGTTTCCACCAATCATACAAACAAAAAAGCTAGTGAGATAATAAAACTAAAAGATATTCTGAAATAGAAAGATTTTAATAAATCTGAATAGGAGAGCAAAGAATTAATTTAGAGTAACCCTTCCCCTTTTAAAATTGAATGTAGAACAAATAATTCTAGGTGTACTAATTGCAACTGTAAGAATGAAATAGCAGAGGATGATTTAATGTAAGATGATGAAAATATCAAGATTAAAATAGGAGATACTAGGTCATTTAGACAAAATTCATTAGATAGTTTAAAAAAATGATAGGTTTCTGAGTCATCGTTCATAATTAGAACTAAGAACAGATAGCCTTTTAAAGAAGGAGAGAGCAAGCATAGATGGTAGGATGAAAGAAAATGAACAAGAATTAAACTAGGATATTTTACGCAATAGTAAAAAACATAATTTAAATTATATCATTGAATAATAACAGTAATAAATATCAAATATGAAATCTTAATTGTCCAGTTAAGAATAAATGTATATAGAAAAGCAGTAAAAGTATGAATAAGACATTTAATAATTGAAAAATCAGATTATGTAATTATCAAATGGATTGGAGAAAATGAAGGAGCATTTTACTTACAATCAATTTAAAAAATAGGATAATAGTAATAATATTCATCTAAAAAAATGATTATATCTTTAAGTCTAATCCAATTAAACAAATTTTTCTGTTTCTTACTTTTGTACTAATAATGTTATTCAATTTTAAGGATCAAGTAATTTAAAATTCATAATCTATCTGATTGAACTTTGGATTACCTTTTTTATAAAATACTGTGTTTAAAAATAATATTGTTTTCAAATAAACTTTAATTAATATCAATAAAAAGTATATTAACATTATGAAATTATATATATACCTATTATATTTATTAATATATTGATTTATTTAATATGATATGTAGATCAATATTTGTAATTGTCAGGTTTGAATGGACCATCTTATTCAACACCAACATATTATACTCATTAGTCAAGACAGTAAGTTCAGCTCCTAATTTCTTAAGATGAATGGCCGCTACTTTCTCATCAAGTTCCTTTGGTAATTTGTAGTCAAAATTAATAGATGATCAATCTAACTTAATTTCTATATTTTCGATTGTCTCTATTAATCCATAGTTCGATTTGAGCCAATATTTAATTGGTGAATGAATTAGACATTATAAAAGATGTATGCCCTGTGGCACAACCTAAATTAATTAATCTACCTTCAGCAGAAATAATGACAGCATGTCCATCTGGGAATATCCATCAATCACATAATGGTTTAACTTCCACTTTCTTGATTCCTTCCCATTATCTTAATACCTTCATGTCAATTTCAACATCAAAATGTCCGATTTTACCAACTATAGCATTATGCTTCATCTGAGACATATGCAAAGGATTAATGATCTCCTTATTTCCGTAGCAGTAATAAAAATATCTATATAAGGATAATTGAATTAAATAACTTATTTTTAATAATTTTTAACCTGCTATTGAATAAGTATGATAAATATAATAACAAATAATTAAAATATTAGAATGAATCTATATGAATTATTATTATTAAGTGTATAAACTCGACAACCTTATCTTTAGAATGCTTGAGCACATCCTTTTCCTACATCTCCAAATCCACAAACTAATGCTTTCTTTCCTGATAACATAACATCTGTTGCTCTGAAGATTCCATCTATAATTGAATGTCTACATCCATAAATGTTATCAAATTTCGATTTAGTAACCGAATCATTAACACCTATGGCTGGGAATATTAGCTCTCCTTTTAAGCAATTTACTTTAATCTATGAACCCCAGTAGTTGTTTCCTCTGATACTCCTATAAGATGGCCGATATAATTTCTAAATTTATTTGGTGATTATTGAATTTCCTTTCTCAAAACTTTTAATAGTGCTTGTTCATCTTTAGATTCTCCTTTTTCTGGTTCAGGCAGTTCACCATTAGCCTCTTATCTCTTTTCCCATATAAATCCTTCAAGTATCATTGCCATATCGCCACCATCCTCAACTATCAAAGTGGGTCCTTCGACATTACCCAAATCCAAAGCGCTCATGATACAATCCCAATACTCTAACAATGATTGAGCCTTCTATGCAAATACAGCTGCAGTTTTAGCTTAAGCAATAGCAGCAGCTGCATGATCCTGTGCTGAAAAGATATTAGATGAACACCACCTTACTTTAGCCCCTAAAGCGTGGAGTGTTTCAATTAAACCGCAGTTTAGACAGTCATATGTAAAGATCCTGAAATACGAGCTCCCTTTAGTATTTATTCTGGCCCGTATTCTTCTCTAAAAGCTATCAAGCCTGGCATTTCAACTTCTGCTAAATTTAGCTCTTTCCTTCCAAAGTCATCTTAAGTTATATCTTTTACCTTGTAATCTTCTGAGTCCATTATAACGTGTGATATAAAATAACGAGATTTCAATCGCTCTCGCTAAATAACATTTATCTCACGGAATCATAATCATACGTATCATTCATAATACCCAAATAAACATAGCGTTTATTCTCTTTATATATAGCCAATCACATATATTGGTTGGATAAAAAGAAAGACTTGAGAAATCAAGAAAAAATTATAAAATCACATTAATCCCAATCAGCCATTGTCGCTACTGGAATCAAATAATAGCTATCTAATAGTGGATCAATTTGCCATCCAATTTGATCTCATTCTTGCTTCGTAATTCTGTTAAATATATTCATCATAGATGTTTTCATATTCATTCTAAACCATGTTTCATATCATTATTCTGTCCTCTCTACCTCTTTTTTGAATAAATGAGCCAAACCATCAGACGGAGGGTAATTATTAATACAAATCACACGTTAAATTTGACAATTTATATTTGTTGAAATCAATTTAAAAACATGATATTTTGTACTTATATAAATTTAATTTAATTCCAATTTATACTAGATTCTAATTGAAAGTGCTGTTCTGTAAGTCTGACAACATTAATTTGAATAATTTATCTAGAGGAAATCGCTATTTAGATTATATTGAGGAGAAATAAAACATTTCTAACAATTTAAATTTTATAGAAATTCATTGCTCATAATAAATTGGATATTTAAATCACTTCCAGTTTTATTAGGGTTTCTTCTTATCCTCTTATATGGCTTTTATATTTAAAATGTTAAGAAATTACAAAATTACCAATAATACTCTCTACCAAAATTTATTAAGTTTGTACTCATTTCCTTTCCAATCTCATCTAGTTATTATTGTATTTATTAAGAATTCTGTAGTTTTTGGTAGAGTATCATATCATATGTGCTCAAGTTTTATCGGCGGAACAATCTGACATTCACTTTTCTGCCATTAAAAATTAATTATATTAACATCATAACATATATTTTCACTCTAATTATTCTTCTTGGCATCTCCTATATATAATTACTTCGATAAAGTTGTGCTTAAACATTTTCATTAACATTCTTGTAGCTTTTTAATTCATTTTAATTCACATTAACATATAAATTTTACTATCTAGAATTTTGTATTAAGCTTATTATTTCACCATTAATTTATTAAGAGGATAATATATAATAATATTTATTAATTTATTCATCTAATTAATAGAATTTTGCCATTCAAAGACTACTGCTAGATTAAGTCTCATAGTAAATATATATTAATTATTTAAATATGGGTAGTGATTAAATATAATTGTGTTGTACAAACAATAGCTATTGGTTTGTAGTTTACATTTATATTTCAATAATCCTCAGTAAGGCCTGCTAATGTTATGTGATATAAATAAATTTTGATAATTTTGAGCTGTTATAATAGGCGTTATTAAAAATATAATTAATTAATTATTATGTAACCAGATTAGATCGAAGAGCAGAAGAAGAAAATTCAGGAGAGTGAGCACAATGCTAGGAAAAAGGAAATTGAGTTGCAGTTTAAGAATGTTTTTGATGAAGCCAAGAAAATATTAAAGAGAGAATATTATGAAAATGAAATGAGTGAGAAGCTAAGAAATTTGTTGGATTGGATTGAAGTAAATAAATGTATCATTCTAGAGTGACATAAACAAGTTGTCAGAAAAAAATGATAGAGACTTTGTAAAAAAATATAAATCATTTGTGGAAACTTATAGAAGTGGACTTGTAGAATTTAAGGAAATACTATTGAATTTAAAAAAGGTTTAATAATAAATTTACAAATTAGATTGAGGAGAACCGCTAAGAAATAAAAAAAGTGAAAATTAATAGTTTCAAGCAAAATCCTTAATGTTTAAATACGGAAATTAAGTTTTCAGAGAAAAGACTACAAAGAATGAGAGCAGGAGTTCATCTGATTTAAGTTTTGGAAGAATCTTTAGCAAGAAAGTACTAAGAAACTATGAAGAAATCTATTTCCGAATAACCAATCCAACAAGAACCTCAATAACAAATGGATTTAAGTGAAACTGAAATACAAATATTTTAGGAGTTGGAAAATGGATTCAAAAAAGATAGAATATCATAAACAAATGAGGACTTGGATAAAGGAATAAAAAAATAGAAAGATATTTAGATTTTTGATTAAGTTGAAAGGGCCTTGGAAGAATAGAAAGAGAGGTATTAAGTGATCTCTAAGGAATTCGATAAAGGATTCTAAAAGCAAAAGGTGAAATGTGAGTCCATTGTGAAATCATCGTATAAGCCTGTAAAAGGAGATTTAGACTTTACTAATAAATATTAGGATTCATATTTCAAGAATTATTTCAGAGAGAAATTTAAATTGGCTAATTATTTTCTTGGTGATTAATTAATTAAATTATTTTTACATGAAAATTAGAAATATGTGAATAAAGTATTGAACAAGAATTCTAATTCTTCCTAACAAAATTCTTTTAATGAAAAGAAGATTTATAATAAAGAATTGGACCCTAAAAACTTTATTTAACAAGATGACTTAGAAAGTAATGGCAAGGCATTATAAAAAATACTAAAAATAAATGAAGAAATATAAAAAGAACTACTCTAAGATGAACATTAAAGAAATATTGAAGAAATGAATAAAATTGAAATATAAAAGAAGTAAGAACACTGGGAAAAAGTGTTGTAATAAGATGATCATAGAAAATCAACCCCAAACTTAATTAAGAAAACATCATAAGTTCAATTAAAGAAATCACAAACTGTTGAAAAAAAAACCATCAATATTAAACCTGTCATTTCCTCTTTAAAAAAAAGAACCATTTATTATTAAGCTCATCCGAATTTTCCTTTAATAAGTGAAGTCTACAAATCTCATTAAAATGTTCCTGAAGAAAGATTAAAGAAAGCAGCCATAGGATATGATATTATTCAACAACCCTCCAGGACCTTATATACTCCACCTACTAACGTGAATTCACAATTAGAAAACAAAAATAAAGTATTAAAACTAGAAGATGACATCTACCCATAACACCCTAACCTAAGAGTTCCTCGAACAGCAATGCAAAACTTTAGAGGAACCTTTTTTCCGAATTCTCAGCATGGTTTATCTCGCTAAAATAATTAAGATTATAAATCACTTACAACTTTATGGGGAGAATAATGGAACAATTATTGACAATTTTATGCATATATGTTATTACAAATCTTTAGATTTTTACTCAATAATTTATTATATTTCTATGTTTGTTTATCATAATAATAAATCAATAAAACAACAAATTATCATTATTATTTCTATAAATAATTTTTCAACTTAATAATTTCTCTCTGTAACTCTAATCGTTTCCAACTGATATTTCTTCCTTATTCTTCAATTTGAGTAAACACTTCTAGAACCTTTTCATTTTTCAATCTTTTTACCAGTTCCCATTGTAATGTTTTCCTATTTTCATATATTAATTAGGCTTATTTTATAAGGATATCTCCCCAACATTCTTTAAATTTGTGATTCTTGATCAGAACATCATAAGGCACATTCCCCAATTTATTAGCTCTCTCTCTTAAGGACAATCCACTTATATCAATTTAATACTCTTCAAACATAAAATTAATAAAATGAGCATCCTGAACAAATTATTCAATTGTCGTTATTCTTACATCTACCCTAACACAACTTTGACCACATTTGAGTATTTCAAAGAAATAAGGATAAGGAACATTTTTATTAATCAAATATTCACCAAAAAATCTGATAAAATGCGAAAATTTAAGCCTTTCAAATTTCAAAAGATCCGATAAACAATTATAACTTTCTGCAGGTTAAGCTACCTTATTAGGAGCCTCTAAAATCTTTCTTGCATATTTAGGAACTTTTGGTTTCTAGCGACTTTCTTAATTGCAAATTTCTCGAAAAGAAATGAGCTTTTAACCAATTTAAGAAATCTTCTCTAATTATAAATTTGGGATTGAAGAACTGTTTGATTCTTCTTTCAAAATGTTTTCAATTTATGTTATTTATTGCTTGGCAGAAGGCTTTTTGATATGTTTTCTTATTTATCTTTCATATTTACTGAAATTCTAGTCCAATATTTCTAACTAAGCGATAATAATATCCTCTTCACTTAACATTTCATAATTCTAATAACTTGGCAATATAGTGTTATAATAAAGAGTCTTCAATTCTGACCAATTCAAATTTTCATCCATTTGTCGGATGCAATATTGAAGCTTTTAATCCTTAATTTCATCCTATTTAGATAATTATTTAATAAAAAATAATGGATATCTTAGTTCGACTCCCTTTTGACCGATGAAGCTATTTGAATCTGCATTCGAGAGTATAATCTTTCTGACAATCTCGGGTAGTCCAACTTTTTATTCATTGATTTAAGTTATTGAAATTATGACTAACTTCTTTATTATATATTATCTTAGTAATTCTATATTATTTGTTTTATTCAATATTTCATTTGATAAATGATAGCAACCAAAAGAATTGATTTTTTCTGCAATATTTGTATAAATCTATTTAATTTATTTATTAATATGATCAGTATCGGAAGCAGTTTATATTATTTTGAAAGTTTCATAAATTTGATTAAAATCGTGTTGGTTTAAATGCTTAGGATTTAAGAATTGATCAACTTGAGGTTGTAGTAATTACAAGGATAATAATAATAGATATTGATCATTAATAGGCTGTGATTCGTCAATGTCTATTTTTTCTGAGTTTCTAGATTTATAATCGTCGTTTAGAGAGGCTAAAGTAATCAATTCCGATAGATGCAATAGATTATCATTCAATTTGAAATTTCCATTTTCCAATTTGATGCAACCTAAGATTTGAGGTATAACCCTCTTTTCTTCTAATAATTGCAAAAGGCCATAAATAACCCTTTATTATAATTGCTCTTAATTGTATTTGTATTGTTGTTAGTTAATTTAGATACTAGACAATAAGTAGAGCATATTATTCAAAGGATTAATTTTGAAATATGATAGAGTACCTTTATACAATTTCAAAGCCTTATTTTATTTAAAGAAATTGATTAAATCATCCATATCTACGATGAGATTTTGATTTATTTCTTAAACTCTATTCTTGGATATTGATTTTTGTAAGAGCTTTAGTTTCTTTAAGGTTTCTTTGGAAGGCCTTTTTTTGGCTTAACTTGGCATTTTTCTATTTACAAAAATAATCTTATATCATTATTAATTATTAAGAATCACCTTAATTTAAATCATGGAAAAAAATATTATTGAATGTAGAAATAAAAGCATTGATTTAATTTTACCTAATAAATTTTGGATCTTTTCAACATTTGGCAATATAAAGAAAATACGTTTAAACCTGTAAGGCTTAATTATCAACTACTTTGAAGGAAATAACAAATTTTTAATAGTTCTTATTTTATGTATTATGAAAATAATAAGATTATTTTTATCGATAAATATCTTGATTATATTAATATTTATTTAGATATATTAAGTATGATAAGATTATGGTTTGAAGGAAGAATTGTTTTAAATGAGATTAACCAGCAATAAATTTACAAACTCAAATCTTGAATTAAGAGAGGACAGAACCAAAATAAACTAAATAAGGACAATTATTTACTATATTTAGGACAATAATTAAAAAAAAAGTAAATCTCTTTGTTATTAGACATTTAATATAGTGGATATTAAAATTATGAGGGAAAAATAATTTATATTTGAAAAGCAGAGTAAAAGATGAAATATTTGAGAATTTGATATAGATTTTAGAATTATTTTTAAAATTTATAACATAATCATAGGATTAGTTCTACTTTTGAATAAATACTGAGCTTAAATTCAGTAAATGACAAAATTTATCATCAAAGAGTGAAAATTTAGCTATTAGAAATGTAAAAGGAATATCAAAAATAAGAACATATTAAGTCTGAATAGAAGTGGATCGAAGGAATTCTAGATTTGAGACAGTCAAAAATGTAGGAATAAGAGAATGTAATAATAAACATAAGTAATGGTCTTAAAAGTATATTTGAGTTTTAACTATTTTAATTAGAATAAATTCTGAAATTATATTCATTTAATTATCATATAGAATGTTTAATGATTTAAGATAGAATAATAGGAATTTTGAAAATTAGAGTGTTGCTAAGACCAGATCGGAGGAATAATAGAAATAAAAAATAAAGATAGGTGCAATTTTAAAAAATTATGAGACTCTGAAGGAATGGTCAGATTTAGGATAGGTGAATTATCATCATTATCTATTTAGTGGCTATTGAAATTATAAGGCGTATTTCAAACATATTAAGGATCCTATATTCCAAAGAAAAAATTATTATGTAAGAGATTAGCATAATGCTTAAGTCCAATATGGAACAAAGCAATTCATGAAAATGCTTTAGTCATTTATGATTTGATTCTGCAAATTCTATGCTCAAATACCGAATACGACTTGGTTTAGGATTTGCCTTTATTTTCTCTTGGCCTATTTCCCTTTTTTGGATTTGCCTCAATCTAATGTAAACCAAAGTTTTTGAACATACTTGAGAAATACTACTATCCATTGTAAAAGGACCTTTTACCATGCATGGGAGGATTAATAAGTTCAATAATTGTTGGGATGGAAGACACCAATGAGGAGATGATGAAAAAAGTAAGTGATTTTCAATAAATTAGGTTATGAGTTCATTGGATTAGGCTGCTGAGAGTGTTGGAATAAAATAATTTTTTGGTTTGTTGTGGGTATCGATAATAAGATCAGGGAGATGCAGATTGGGTGCTTATAAGTATTTGATGAAGAGATGGTCTAAGCAATAATAGGTAGATATAGAAAATTGCATATTGTAAGAAGATGAGAAAATGCCAAATAAAAAAGCCTTGGTGATTAATGCATTATTGGCTTCGCTGGAGGATGAATCCATTCTTGTGAAAAGGGCTGCCTTAGACTTTATGTGTCTATATTGTAAAATTTCAGAAAATGTTTTTTAAGAATAAGAGAATTTGATATTAATTGAATAATGCTTATTGTTATTTATTAAATTAGATCATGCAGTAGTAAGGAGAATCAATAATTGGTTCTTTGGTGAAGATGAGTTGAATGAAAACATGGAAATAGTCAAGTATATTCAAGTGGGGTTGCGAAGAATTTTAATAGAAGAATAAGGCGATCCCTTGAAAATTTTATAAAATTGGTATATGCAACACCCAGAAACTGTCTCCATGACCTTATTTGATATAGGATACGACTTGGCAAGATTTATTTATAAGAAAACAATCTAATACTAAGAGATATAATCTGACAAACTGGGAGAATTGTAGAAAGCAAGTGAAAGACTTATTGAGAGTATTTCAAGTTAAAGTGAATTAATTCTAAAATCAATATACGAACATTTGAAAAAATTTACAATAGCTCAAAAATAAGATCTCATCAAGGAATGTATTTAAATTATTGACTACTGTTTAAATACCTTGATGAAGTAGTAGTTCTCTGACTTAAGTAAAATTGATGACATTACACTTTTTCAATAGAGAACTTAATGTCTCTAAGAATTCTTTGTTTTAGCACTCAAGGAAATCATGAATCTAAAGATTGAAAGGTTATTTGAAATTTAAATACCATAATAATTGTTAGCATAGATTTTAGATTGCATTAACAAAATCAGACAAAGACTAGAATTACTAGAAAATGAAAAAGATTTATCTTTGGCCTTGGGTAGTAATTATGGCAGAATCTCAAATTTGTAAAAACAACCCAATTACCAACTTATAGACTAAATGGATATTAGTATCATTTCTCAATATTGTGATTATTACGTAGAAATAACCAAATATTCTATTTAAAATGAATAAGAGGCTTTATTTCCACTTACTTCCTAAATTCTACTCAGATCACAACTATTCTTAATGAAACATGCAGATGTACAACATTCAGCAATACCAAATTGGCTATTTTAATTATTTGATTCCTTAGAATAAGGAACCAATAAAATAAGTCTATGCTCAATAGAAATGATAATTGAATTACTAAAACAAGCATAAATACACTAAAATGTATTTCTGTTAACAGAAATGATTACCAGAAGCAGCTATTATGATATTCAACCTTTTGAAAAAATGGAATCTTTATCTATGGATAATACTTAATATGAATACTCAAGTAATTAGAATGAAAGAAACTATATCAAATAGATGTTTGAAAAATTATGGCTGCTTCTAGACTAGAATTATCATGATTAATTAGCCGTAGAGTTCATACTATATATAGCCGAAAGGTTCTAACATATTTTTGTAGATGTAATTGAATAAGCGTTAAAGCAGGGAGATTAAAGGAGGTATTAGATATTCTGTAGAATAACAAATGTCTTCTATAAGAAACATCCAAAACTCAACACAGGCGTTGGAATTCTATAAATGTTAAATTACTTAGAACATGAAAATCCTTTAATTAGGTATAATACTAAAACTTGGCTTAGTGAATCTGCACCTTTTTTCTTTAGGATAATTGATCCAATACTTCTAAGATTGGAGAGTATCTTAAAAGATATTTAAAAAAACAAAGATTTTTCTTTAGAATTGGCTGTAGACACCATTAAGAAGTTATAATAAATTTATGTGTCCAAAGAATGGTTTTAACCGTATATAGAAAAAACTAAACCCACCTTTTCTTAGGATGAACACTTAAATACATATTATAAATTAATTTGCTAAATCTTAATCTAATTTGTATTAGCCGATTTTAACAACAATGAATTTTCAAAAATCAATGCAACAAGTGCAGAACTGTTGGAAAATGTGATAAATTTAACTCTTGATAATAAAAACAAAATTCAAGTATTACTTTTGTATTTTAATTAAATTTTGTAGAAATTTGAGTAAGTGATTTAAAAAAATGATTAATTGCTTTAATTATAATTACTCAATTTAATAAAAGTATTTTTATTAAATACATATGAATTAGAAAAAGAATTATCTTAATAACATAGAAATGAACTAATTGATCTTTATGAATAACCATCATTTTTTAGCAATCTCATTATTGGGTTATAATCATCAAAAGTATTTTTCTTAAAATAAAGATACTTAAATACCATTGTTGTTGGAGTTTACTCCATAAGTTAATTGCTCCCCCCAAAAATAATTACCGAGAAAATATCAATTATCTTAAAATCTCTATTGTAGTTATTGGGATAGTGTGAATATAATTAAAATAAGATTGGAGCGAATATAGAGAAGCGATAAACTAATTTATCACTTATCAAATTAGTTAATAATGAAATCAACAACAACTTTCAATAGTTAAATATCCAGTAATTAAATTCAGAATAGATTCACATAAAAACAGGGTTGTCAGGAGATGATTTTGAAGAAGTCATGTCTTTATCCAATTCCATTAGAGCTATCATTAGTTACTTTTTTTAATTTAAATATGATACAAAAGACATAGATTAAAGACCTAATGCTGCTGGTGTATTAGTTGATTTATTTACTTTAAATGTATTTTTCAAAAAGACTGATAAAAACCATATTCTAAAATATCAATAAACACAACCATAATTTTAAAATTATTCAGATACATGTCAAATGCTTCTCAAACTATTTCCATAGATTCTGGAATCATATTTAGAATGTTGGAGATGTTCATTAAATTGGGAACATTTGTCAATTATGGGCTGTATTGTTTATGAATATGAGAAATTCGATCAATTTAACAAAGTATTGAAAGATGAATTATAAAGATCAGAATAAGAATTTACAGATGAAGTTTAAATAAAATAGTCAATTCTACAATTGTTAAGACCTTGCTCAATACATTTTTCATCAAATTTAATTTCTTCTATTTTAGAGGTCTGGTAGAGTTAAATAAATGTAAATAAGAATCAATTAAAGATTAATCAGAATATGTGCAAATTAATTGAACTAGCAATAACGTTATAAATAGTACCAGATGAATTCATGACAGCATTTGTTCGTACTAGATAAGTGTAAACAATAATACAATATAATTAAGAAAACAAATATAAAAAAGGACCTTACTCTTTTAATTACGAATAAGCCAAATTTGAAAATGATGTTCTATTCTTCTTATACACTTATTTCTCTTCAGTTTAATATCAAAATTTGAAGAATAAGGAATTAATTAAACTATGGAATGTATTCTTAAGTTTTTCCAAATGTCTTCTCTAATCTAGACATATAAATACTGTTTGTTATGTTTTGGAAATTATATATATGATGTCTTGGAAGTTTTCTCCAAAAGATGTTCTAGAGGAATTCAGGAAAGAACTGCACACTCAATTAAGGTAAAATTTAGTGATTTTGGCTGAAATGGCATCATTCTAGTAAAATTATTCAACCTAAGTATAAGAAAATACAATTGATGTTTAAGCAGATCAAAAATTCTAATTGGTTGTTCCTTTTACTCCAACAATCTTTGAATTGTATGAGGATTATTAAGATAAAATTGCATAGGCCTAAGAATCATAAGCAAGTTATCAAATCTAATAATTTTTATTTGGTTCAATTAGTAAATAGCCTATAAATTTGACTGAGTCTATATTTTCAAAGCATTGTTCAATAATAGCTCTAAAGACTTTAAAAAGATTATCTTGGGTTACTTTAATAAATACATATGAAGTCTCTCGAAGTGAAAGAATTTTTGAAAATACTAAGGAATTTATGGTGCTCCTTTTCCCTTTGATAGAAAATAAAGAAAATTCAAACATAGTTGAAGCTGCATCAGAACTTCTTTGTACAATTTTAAAGCACAATAAAGAAATTTTGCCTCAAATCTTTTTAAATAACATTTTAGATCTTTTTAATAGATAGGACTTTTTTAAATGCACAGGCAGATGTCTTAAGTTTTGGACAGAAATCATTGACATTATTTCAGATAAGAATGATATTCTAACTGATCAATTAGGAAATAATTCTAAGTTTTTCTAAGGGTTTGCAGGTCTATTTAAAAGTAAATCAGCTGAAATGATGAAAAAGACTAAAGGATTTGAAAGGGTGTGTTTTATAATATATTCTGGAGGGGTTGATAAATACTAATCTAAATTAACTACTTTATTGGATGCAATATTGTCTGTTATTAAAGATATTAACTCTTAAGATGCTGCAATTTCAATATTAATTATATTTTGCATAAGAATTTTAGTTTTAAGATTGAGTCAAAGTTCCTTGACTTAAGTTTTTAGATAGATATGGCCTTACTTAGTGAGTATGTTGATGTAAATTTTTGATAGAAAAGGAAAATAAGCAAATCCCTTTCTTTTAATATCTGGTTTAAAATTGATTGAACTATTCTCATTATTTTAATTAGAAGAGTTTTATTTCTATGAATGGATGTTTGTTTTTGATTGTATAAATTACATTTATTATATATAGATTTTGGAATTACAATCAATCATAATCCCATTTAAGAGCAGTAATAATAAAAAGTGAAGATAGAATCACCATACAAATTTATTCCTTATATGGCTTATTAATTTCCAAAATCATCAGAATATTCTGTTGATTATGAATGCAAATTATATTAGGAATAGCAATAATAAAATTTATACAAAAAAAAAAGATTAATAAAAATAAAAGACATTTAAGAAGTTGAGGTATAAATTAAATATCGATTTTTAGGAATTTGAGCCAAAATTAAGACAATAAGCATTAAATTTGTGTTAACATTTGATAGATATTAATTAATAGAGAATGATAATCTCCCCTTAATCATTGGAATAAATTATTGAGGAGGAATTTATAAGTTTGGATGACAATATAAGCAAAATACAATGACTTTAAAGTATTCTAATTATGTCTTAATTTTTAATAATGTTTTATATTTATATAAACAACAAGAAAAGCTTCAATTTTCAAATCTAAAATTGATAATAGAAAAGAAAAATATTTAAGAACTTCTGATGTTCTTAATTTATCTTGAATTCCTAATGATAATTAATTGTATAAAAGCTAAATAAGAATCAACACTTTTTTCAATTATTTAAATTGATTTTACCATAGTTTATGGATTTAATGCTAGACTAAGAGATTGCCTAGGTAGAGAAGGTAGAAGAATAGATTTCTAGCTCTTCTGAATGTTCTTAAAACTCTGATTCTTCTTTTGATTTAGAAAATAATGGCAACAACAAATCACATCTAAAATAACTGGCAAGTGACCAAAACGGAGATGATAAAAAAAGAAAAGGTAGAACGTTTTAATTAACCTTTAGGTAAGTTTGGCTTAAAATATGCCAAAATTTCGAACAGGTAGAGACAAGCATTGATCGAAAGAGTTACCTCTACTGGTTGTACTATTAAGAGTGCTGCTAAAGACTTGAGTATCAACTTCTCAACAGCCAAGGCAATTATGCAGATTTTTAGAAGAGAAGGTAGAGTAACAAAAAAAATAGTCAGAGAAATAAAATAGAAATCCAATAAGAATTTAGGATCAAATAACGAAGGTATTAATACTCATATTAATTTTAGATAACATTTAGAAAAAATCTTTATTTGACACCTAAAATCAGAAGTTTGTAAAAGTTGAGGCAATTTAGGACAATAACGAGACAAATTTATATTAATAGGCAGAAGAGGCCAATAGACATTAAGCTTTAATTATTCAACAATTGAATACTTAAGTACTTTATTGATTATATTTTTAGAACCTATATTTACAAAGCAGAATTAATCAATTATAACAAGATAAATTATAATTAAACTCAAAGTATGAATTAATGGTAATGCAATATCATTAATTATAATAAATGGTAAACTTATTATATTAACAATAGGCTCAACAATTCCTTTAGCCTTGCATGTTCTAATTTCCTACATTTGCTCAGTGAATCTTTAACCTTATTCAATATCTATTATTATAAATAAATTTTAATAATATGTAATTAAAAACAAAAATCAAATCCTATTTTAAAATAATATAAAAAATTTCTAATCTATATATATATAAATCTATGTAGATAAAAAAACAAAATTTTTTTAAAAAATTTCCTTTTTAAGCTTAAAGCCTATTTTCAATATTATTAATAGATCAAATTTATAAATTAAAGGAAAAATAATGTGTATTATTAAACGACTTAATTATGTCTATCATTTAAACAATTTAAATTATTTTATGGGAAATTGCACCATTTAAAGCAACGAAATTTAGGATGAATCAAGTATCCTATTTAGTGATCTTAGATCTATCATCCAGAAATTTTGAATTTATAGAACTTCTTGGTTAAGGAAGCTTCGGACAAGTTTGGAAAGCTTAGAGAAAAAAAAACAGGGAACTTTATGCTATAAAAATTATGGAGAAGTAACTGTAAGTGAAATTAATAACTTAGAATATTAAAGAGACAACATATTCGTCTCGTTATGAATGAAAAAAACATACTTAGTTAGATCCGACACCCATTTTTAGTAAATTTGATCGCAGCTTTCCAAGATAAGAAGAGACTGTATCTGGCTCTAGATCTATTGACAGAGGGGGACTTAAGATCACACCTAAACTATAATAGAGTGCTCTCTGAAGAACAGACAAGTAATATTCTTATTCTAACAAAGAATTTTTTGTTGCCTGTATAATAGTAGCCCTAGAATATCTTCATTCATAGGGAATTATTCATAGAGATCTTAAACCAGAAAATTTGGTTATGGATCGAAGAGGATATCTCAGGTTAACTGATTTTGGTTTGGCTACGTTTTGGAAACCAAATAATTGTTAGGATATAAGTGGTACTTTAGGTTATGTTGCCCCAGAAATTATGTGCAAACAAAACCATGGAATAGCTGCTGACTACTTCGCCTTAGGAGTTATAGCTCATGAATGTATGCTTGGCAAAAGACCATACAAAGAAACAGATCTAAATCTAATGAGGGATCAAATGTTGACTAAATAAGTGTAAATCAAACGATCCTAATTGCCAGTTGACTGGAGTATAGAGGCTGGGGATTTTATAAATTAGGTAACATTTAAATTTAAGATTTAGTTAATATAGAGAAAACCTGAAAATAGGCTCGGCGCTTTGTCACCAGATGAAGTTAAGAATCATAAATGGCTGAGGAATTTTGACTGGAAAAAATTACAATCGAAGGAAATGGTGTCACCTTATTAACCAAAAAAAAAATTCCAACCTCGTACCTATAATTAGCAAGAAAGCACGAAATAAATCAGCAATAAAAATATAAATGATTTCTAATTGTAAAGTATTTTTTAATTTAAACTATTAGCTTAATTCGAAGGCTACTTCTTTGAGGCTGAATAGATAAAGAACACTTTGTGAATAATCTATCTTTTTTTATAATTTTGAATATAACTATTATTTCTATATCATAATGCATTTATTTAAATTTTTATTTGCGAATAACAAATTGAAATCTTTTGAAAATAAAATAATTTTCTTCTGATGTATTTCCTCTTAAGGATTACTATTTTTAAACCGTTTAAAAGCAACTCAAATAACCATTCATGAAAATCTATAAAAAAATATATTAATTGATAAATATATTGATTAATTTTATAATTAATTAATTAATTATATGATAACAATAATATCAAAAGACGGTTTGAAAATCAGCATTTCCAATTAGATTATTGAGCTTGCAAAAGGATTAGAACCTTATTAAGTGGATAAAGATATTATTTTTTAAGAAATAGTGACCGGAGACTTTTTATAAACATTTAAATTGTTTTACGAAGAATTCTAATTTGATGTTGAAAAAATGAAATTCCCAAAACCAATACAATCTAAAGAATATGAAAAAGCATTTGGTAAGGTATTGTCAGAGCATATTAAACCATTTATGGATATCGCAATAAGAGAAAAAAATATTGATATTTTTATTTAATTCATTCAAGGGGCTCACTTATTTTAGGCAAAGCATTTTATAGAATTTATTAATTGCTGTCTTGCAATGGTCATTTAATTTAAGGGACAATCAGAATATGATATTAAATAATTTTAGAAGGACTGGAATCTTTCCGATCAACAACAAGAATCCCAATTTAATTAGTAAATTTTTGTATTATTTAGACTATTTTTTTCGAAATTATAAAACAAATATATTTAAGTGTTATCAGCCAAAGATGGAGAATAGCAAGTATAACAAATACCTATGGAAGAAGACCTATTTGGAGAGGAATGGTGATTTTTATATTTGCAGTAAAGATAATAAGTAAATAAAATATAAATTACATTTATTCTTGTTCTTCTACTTTGATTCTCATATACCATGAATAATAGTATTCTGTTACATAATTTTGATTGGATTTTCTCAATAACATAGAAATAAATTAATCATTTTGATCTATATTATTATATAATTTATTTAATATATTAAAATGGCAATGAGTCATGGTTCATCGATATTGGTTGGATCCATAATCTACATGGTCTTAGGAGTAGCTGCATGTTTTGGATTCAATACTTATGTCACTAAAAAAACCAAGAATCCTCATGACGTTCCCGAAAACAGAACGTAATAATCTATTTCAATATAGAATAACCCTTGTAAGTGTGACGATTGCTACATTTTGTGCTTGGTTAATGTGGGTTGTTGCTTATATGGCATAAATGAATCCAATAATTACACCAGAATGGGAAAACCATTAACCTAAATCAGATAGTTGAGTATTGTATTCATATTTCATTAAAAAATATATTAGATTTGTGATATTTAATTCATTTATATCCCCTTAATATAACTGTACCATATAATAATCTAAATGCCCTTTAAATTATGGTATTCTGAATGAATATGTCATAAATATATTTTTTTGCATCTGATGATATTCCTTGCTATTATTTTCGAGAATAGTCTGTAAAACTATATGGCATTCATGAATTCTGTGTATTGCATGTTTTTCAAGAAAAATAAGCAGCAAGAAAACCGAAAAATTAGGATGCTTCCAAAATTTGAGAATGTTTTTTAATAAATTTTAGAAGGTTTCTCCATTTCTTAACTAAATTAGTGAAATTAACAACTAAAAAGTTGTTTTAAAGTTCGAATTTCTTTTTCCAACAATCAAACAGCTGTATAATTTTAAAATGTTCACCAGATTACTTTATCTCAAATATTTATATCAAAGAAAATTATTTCTGCATTTTGATATTTAAATATTTGTAAAATCTATATATTAATTATAATTAAAGATTTCTTCTTTGAAAAAAGTACGTAAATTCCTTATCTTATCATATTTTGAATCTTCTATATTAACAGTAAATAATATGGTCTTTAATTTTATCAAGCTAATGATTATATTCTATTTTAGATATATATTTTCTACTATAATTATCTTTATGTTACAATCACTTTAGTAATTTCAGAAAATGTTTGCGTTTTTAGAAATATAAATTTTCTGGGAAGCTAATACATTAACATGATAAATACGGACTAAAATTAAATGTTTATAAATTTAATTATCTACTCATAAATTTTACAATTTTAATTAATACAAGCTTTAGTTTATTGTCTCTAATTTATTTAGAATTTTAAATACTTTATCCAGAAAATTAAAATTACAGTCATTTCTAAATTTTGCATTTTGATTAAATTAATTTATGACTCTAATACTATCATATTTTAAAATAATAGAATTAGTGCTATTTTATATTCGCTTTTAATTTTATTTTGTAATTTTTATTGAATAGCACATGGAAAGTTTCTTTCTTCTTTCCTTAAAGAAATTATAAATTTAAGTAATACCTAATATACTTTAAATTTATTTGTAAATGATTCACAATTTATGATCATACTCATACTCACAAGTTAAAAATTTAAATTTTATTCACAGAAGAAAGCTAAAGGGAGGCTTTAGAGTAATGCAAAATCTCTATATGAATGTTATGAAACTATAATGAATTAGATTTAATTAAGGATTCTCTAGGAAATTTTTTAATAACAGTAGTATTAATACACATTAAAAACAAATAAAGAGTCAGTTATTTTAGAGTAAATGTGTATACTAAATACATAAATCAAAAATGCTCATTCACTCTGAATTTCATCCTCAGAATGTATTTTATTTTGTGAAAAATATTATCTCATAATTTATTTACTTCTCATTAAAGGTTTTTCTATTTTCGGCATTTTTTTATTTTTATGATTCTTTCTAAGGCGCGGATTAAAAGGGTTAAATTTTTAATGATGAGATCTTCATAATGAAAATAAATACCTGCATTAACTTGGAGATCTTGTACCAATAATTTAACTCATCCTTTTAAATAAGGGCTATCCTTTTCTTTAAGAATCACCTGAGCCTTTGACTCTAAGTAAAAATTAAACATATTATTGATGCTCTTCTTCACTCCAATGTCCTTATTTGATATGTGTGCTATTGCTAAGATCTTGCTATTTCGAATGATTGAGATTTAACTCAAGATAATCTGGGTTTAATGATTCAGATTTCATAATTTTTGTGATTTTGAATCTTAAAATAAATAATATACAGAACCTAATCATAGAAAAGGACTTTAAATATAACTTTTTATACTGTTGTTCGCCATAGAACAATTTCTTATTTTACTGAACAAAATGATCTATAAATAGAAAGATCATATTGATAAATTACGAAGATAGAAAACCTATTTAAATAAGTCAAATTTTCTTTTGAAGGTAAAAAACAATGTAATAATTATTTCAATTCAAATTTCCATTATTATATGATGATTAGAAAGCTAATTAATACATATCTTGACCTAAAACATAAATGAGTTGATACTAAATTTTTATTGGATTATTCCATATATAAATTAAAGTCATAAACTATAAATTAAAAATGTAAAAAACACATTAAAGATAATCGAAAAGCCCTTTAGTTAATAATAAAGTGATACGAACTAAAACATAACATACAAGCAAAGACGAATCGATTAATTTAGATAACAGCATAAAAGACCAAACTTTAGAAAAATTATTTTTGCAATTAGACCAATTAAGAAGAAGGCACGAATAAGAAAAAAAAGAAATGAATGATACCTTCAATTACTAACTTTAGATTAAAAGCAATTAACTTTAAAAATCAGCATAAGAGTTTTAACAAAAAAATTTGCTCTTAGAATCATTACTATTTTAAGAACAAGCCAAGACTATTCATTTAACTAAAATCATATAAGAAAAACAGAAATCAACAGCCCTTGATTAAGAGAAAGAATAATATAAAAACAAAATTTAGCAATTGGAATCTATATTATAGGATTCTTAACGAAAAAATTAAATTATTCCAAATAAACTTATATAGAAAGACACTTCATTTAAAATACTTATTGAAATAATAAATAAGGTATCTACTAATATACTTCGTCTCATCAAAGATAAGAATACCATCTTAAGCTGGATTGATTAGGAAATTTTAGAAATAGACATTTTAAAATAAAAAGACCTAAATAAATCTTTACTAAAACTTAATACAATTTTCGAAAAGTTTTTCGTATCATTGTAAGAAAGAGAAACATTGTCCTTATCCCCTTATAAAATTGCTACTAAAAACAATAACTAAACAATCAATACAGAAAAACCAACAGCAACAACAATTCCAACCTAAAAGTCTAAGGTAAAAATGATGAACTCTGAAACATAAACAAAAGTAATTCAAAATAAAATAAGTAACTTTTAATAAACAGACAAAATTGATTTTAAATCCAAATTAACTTAAACTGATTTTTTAAATGTTTAAAATGAAGGAAAAATTGAATAAGCCTTTGAAAAATAAAAATTACAAGTAGAACCTTAAAAATAAAAAATTAAAGAATAAAAATCGAAAAAGAATTGTAGAATTCAATAATTAGTCTAAATTTCTATCTTGTTGCAATGTCCTAATAGAACTTCTCAGATTGCAAAACCAAAACTTATATCAAGCGAAGTGCAAACAGATCAAATCTAAGATCAATAACTTAAAATTCCTCATGAATAAAAGAAACATTATTCAAAAATTACAGAATATGATGAAGAGGAAAATGAATTAAGTAAAGACGAAAGTAAAAAAAATTCGTAAAAAGAAGACAATAATGGAGCTGATTCTAGTTTTGATTGTAACAAACCTGATTATGACTCGGATTAAGAAAATGATAAGTAATAATTAGAAAAATTAAAGATAGAATGTTAATAATAGAAAATAAATATTATTAGTTTATAATTAACTTTGAATCAGCTGCTTTAATAATAAAATTTGTTTTAGTTTGATAACTTAATTACTAGTGAGCATTATTCTTTACAGGACTTAATTACGAATAAATGGAGCATAAAACTAAAAGATCATAATGCAACATTAAAATATTCAATTGGTATTTTAAGTTAAAGCTCAACATTTTTAACAAACATGATAAAATCAATTTATGGTGTAGATTAATAGATATAGTTTGATTTAAATTAAATAGCAATTTAATATTATGATAGTGGATTTTAGGAGAATTATAGACTAGAGATTATTATTAAGCAACTTGAATTTCCATCTCAATTCTTAATAAATTCTGCTAAAATATAGGAAAGACAGGAATTCTAACATTTTTGGATAGATTTTATGATTTAGCAGTGCAATTTATTTATCTATTTGGTTTAGGACTTTAATGAAGATGATTAAAGAATAATAAAATATCTTTAGGATAAGAACAAAAAAGTAGCTATTATTTCTTATGACCTAAATGATTACACACTTGACAATTTTGATGTGTTCAACAATTATAAATATAACATAGATTTATAAATAATCAAGATTTAAAACAATTAAAATATCTTATAATCTTTATGGAGAGACATTTTATAATCTGATTGGGAATGGGAGGAAGTCTATGAATCTATTTTAGTTTAATTACAATAGTTCATTAGCTAAATAGTGGAGAATGACGATTGCATTCATTTATAGATCAAAGAAGATGGAATTTTTGAAATATCATTAATGATTGATGAAATTGCCTACGATTATTTATTGAAAATTCCCTATGTGAAGAATAAGGAAACTTTGGATAAGGAAGTTTAAGTTCTTCTTGAATTACCTGAGAAGAAAAGGATTTAAGAAGTAAAATGCATTGGAAATTAGATTTTAATAGTAATTGATAGATTTATATTGCTTGAGCAATGTGATCAACTCATATAACTAAATTCAATCAATAATAATTTAATTTTACTAACAATAATTTAATGATTTTATTTAAATATATTCTGAAAATACTAACTAAATATTAAATCAGGAATGCTCACATGTTACATTCTTTTAATTTTTGACTGTAATGATTTTGAGCATTATTATAAATTAATTGGTATTAGTTTTTTTCTTCTTTGGTTCTTTATTCGTCATGTATGATTTGCTTAATTATTTCACTGGCTGTTTGATTGTCTCCTTACCTTGCCTTTTCTTATCCTAATTTTAATAAGTTGATAATATTCTAGAGAATATTAAATTTATGAAAATTGTACATTTTATCCAGGGAAAATAGCTTCCATATTTGTGAGTATCATAATTAAAATTTATTAAGTAAGTTCTGCTTGCAAAGTAACTTAACTTTATTGTTTAATTTACTGTTGCATTTACCTTTATAACCTATACATTCAATTACATGTATTGATTTTGTAAATAAGGGTTTATTTAATTAAGTTCCTATTCGCCATGAGCAAAAGTGCAAGTAGAACCATTTTTGCATTAGCCTATTTGAGGATTAAAATGTTTGCATAATTATGCTTTAAATCATAAGTAGATTAAATACTCTTATAATTAGCAATCATAGGATTAATATGTTGAACCCTGTTTTGAGTATCTCCTTGATGGTTTTATTGGATATTAGTTTGAGTGTAATTTGTCACAACTTGATTATTGGTTCTAAGTTCCTATCTTCCATGTGCAAATTAACACCTAGCTCCCAGTGCACAAGAACCAATAGTAACTAAGTTATTGATAAAATTGTACCAAAATGGCGACACAATTGGGTCTTATATTTGGAATTAGGTTATTAAACTTAGAGATTTTAATACATATTTTATAAATATTTCTAAAATAATTTGAATTCTTATTTATTATAGGGGAATTCCAAAACAATATATAAGTAAGTCTATTTGCTGATTCCTTAAAATTATATGATTACTGGAGTAAATCAGTATAATTGGGTCAAATAGTAGGAAGATAGAAGAATAAAAGATTCGAGAATAATGAATTGAGAATTAAAAAATAAAAGTTTAATATATGTTCATAAATGAATATTGAGATTTAAGTATAATGGGTATTAAATTTGAAAAGGAATTTAAAAAAAAATCAAAGATATATTTTTATATATTAAATGTCTCACAGAAAGTTTGAAGCACCCAGACATGGAAATCTTGGATTTACACCAAGAAAGAGAACAAAGCATCACAGAGGAAGAATCCGAGCTTTCCCAAAAGACAATAAATCATCTCCAGTTCATTTGACAGCCTTTGCAGGATTCAAGGCTGGTATGACACACATCTTGAGAACTGTTGAAAGACCAGGATCAAAATTGAATGGCAAAGAAGTAGTTGAAGCTGTCACAATCGTTGAAACCCCACCTTTGGCTGTTGTTGGTATTGTAGGATATATCGAAACACCAAGAGGATTGAGAGCATTGACAACTGTTTGGAGTACTAAAATTGCCAAGGATACCTTGAGAAGATTCTATAAGAATTGGATTAACTCAAAGAAGAAGGCTTTCACTAATTACAATAAAGCCAATGCTGAGCCAAAGAATTTGGAAACACAATTAAAAAGAATCGTAAAGTAATAAAAATAAAATAATATTTTAGATATTGCTAAGTTGTCAGAGTCATTGTTCACACTCAAATGAGCAAATTGAACTTGAGATAAAAGAAGAATCACGTTTTTGAAGTTCAAGTCAATGGAGGCACAACAGAATAAAAAGTTAACTATGCCAAGGGATTATTAGAAAAGGAAGTCAAAGTAGATTAAGTCTTCAAATAAAACGAATAAATTGACGTTCTCGGTGTCACCAAGGGTAAGGGAGTTGCTGGTGTCATCAAGAGATTTGGTGTTAAGCATTTACAAAAGAAGACACATAGAGGTTGGAGAAGAGTTGGTTGTATCGGAGGATGGCATCCAGCCAATGTCAGATACAGTGTTGCCAGAACTGGTCAATTGGGTTACCATCACAGAACTGAAATGAACAAAAAGATCTACAGAATTGGTGCTGCTGGAGATAAGAACACTGCATCTACCGAAGCCGATTTGACTTCAAAGGCAATCACTCCATTGGGTGGTTTCCCACACTATGGTGAAATCAGAAACGATTTCCTCATGCTCAAGGGAGGTATTGTTGGACCCAAGAAGAGAGTCGTCTTGTTGAGAAAGTCTCTTGTTCCATAAACTAGCAGAAAGGCTTTGGAAGAAATCACTCTCAAATTTGTTGATACATCATCCAAAATTGGACATGGTATTATCTCAATTCTATTTTATTAGGACGTTTCTAAACTCAAGAAGAGAAGGCCAAGTTCTATTTCACTAGAACCCAAAGAAAATTAAAGCAATAGTAACAATAATGATGTATAATTATAAAAAGAAACAAATTTTATAATCTTTTATATTATCTTAAATGTTTACTATACTTTTAATATATCAGAATCTCAACTTAGAAAATAGGAATCTTGATTAAGCTTTTTTATCTGCCAAACTTCCAGCTGGTAAGGTTCTGTACTTTTCAGCCAAATACTTTCTCAAATTCTTTCTCAATTCCTTTCTTTTTTCAACATTCTTCAATTCAGATTCTTTGACTCTCTCAATTCTATCTCTGACTTCCTTCAATGTTGATTCTTCTAATCTATATCTATAATTAAGTTATTATTATTAATAACCTTGTTGGCATTATATGATTTAAATTTAATTGTTTAATGAACACTTTTAATGTGGTTCGCTTTCTAATTTATTTTTATCCCATTCTCTTTGTTACTTTTCTTGGATATCTTTGTATTCCTACAACCAAACCATTTGGGAATTTGCAGTCCTAACCTATAGTTTTTTATATATACTTTTGTAGTTTCCTCATTAGCCTTAATTAAAATTGCTTTTTTTCCAGCTTATCTACCTGCAAGCATAACAATCAAACGTCCTGGCTTTAAACTTAAATAAGAGTAATTCTTACAATTTTCCCATTTCAAAACTCTAAATAAATCTTTTTAATTATTTAATGCAAATTCTGTAAATATCATAAATACAAAAGACTCCATTTATAAATTTATACATACACAAATCAACTCAAATCAACAACATCAATAAACTAACAATCAACAAGGTCACGCTATCAAATATATACTTAAATTGGACATCAATCAATCCTCCTGCATTTTCATAACTGTGGATTTGAGTGAATTAAACTTGAAGATAAAAATTAAATAGGAACATTAATTTGAACAGATTATTTGAATTCTTCACTACATTCCTATCAATTTAATATTAATACCTTATCTTTCATTCAGCTCTCCGTATTTACATAATTTTGGACCAATATATTTTATAAATATCAAACCAATCAAATAGGGTCCCAATAAAAACAGAGTCAAAATTAAAGGATTTAACCATAAATGAAATTCCTTTACACCCACAAAGGCTCTATCCACTTTGATTGACGATATTGTGCATCTATTTCCAAAAATGAACCAAGTAATTTGACAAATTAATGATATCATAGCAAAAAATGAGAGCAGTGAAAATTTCACCAAGTTCCTCCAATGATAGTAGATACAGATAAAAATTAATATTTCATATGAGTATATGGCTAACCCATACTTATCAGAGACTACTATACAAGAAAGCATCAAAAATATTGGATCCTTTGAAAAATAATAGTATATAGAAATGATATAGATGATTTTTGGAATATGCAAGACCACCCATTCCTTATATGGTTAATCCTCCATCTAAGCATTCGGATAAATGTAAAAAATATCTATTAAGATTAAACCTGCTTATGCAATTATTTTATCTAAAATTGGACTCTTTTTATGATACATAAACAAACAACCATGTAAAAATATTACAGGCAAGTATAACATATAAAATGATTAATTTAAAATTTCGTAGTGTTAAAATGTCAAATAAAATTATTCGAAATTTAAAGCAAAGTAAATTATAATGGCGCTTATACATGAGATGATAACGTCTTTTACTTTAAATAATGTTGATGAATCTTCTTAAGTGTCAATTAATCTTGATATAAAATTAAATATGCCAATTACTGAGCTTAACACTATTAGTTGAATAATTTCATTATAGAGATACCTCTCTTCAAACTTTTTTTGTTGAATTGATAATAATAAGTTGCCTTGAAGGAATATTTTGTAAAGGAAAAAGAAAAACACTGCAGTTTAAAGCAATTTTGAGAAGCGATTATTTAATTTAATGGAATCTGGTGTTTCAATTAAATCCCATTAGTATTAATTCAAATTTTAAATGTGATTTTTTTTGACTTTTAATAATAAACCAAAATCGATATAAGCAATCAGCACAATAAGGAGGAATGTTATTAGGATTTCTAGTTCATATAATAGAAATAAAAAGATTGATAATATTGCTAAGACTATAGATGATTTTTTATTATTTTATAAGACATGCTTAAAAGCAGCAGTAATTTATTGTATTGTTATGAGATCATCGTTTTATTAGGCTTAAAATAATATCACCATAACAAGAATGAAGAATACGACAATCAAACCTTGAAGCACAAAACTCAAATTGAGTAAAGGAATATCATATTCATTCCATATTTTACGTGAAACAGCCTAGATATCATTCATAAGAATTAAAGCATCTTTGCAAGTCTTAACTTCTGAGTATTGAGTTTGCCATTAGCTTTTTTAAAAATAACTAAACTTGCCTTATCGACTGTGTACAGTTTCAACAAAATGCCATACTTACTTTAGATTATTAAGACAATGCTCTTCACTATTAAAAAATTCATTCATAAGGTAGCCAAGATTACTGAAAGGTATTGGAACTCCTAAGAGAGTGGCTAGAGTTGGTACAATATCAATTTAGCTGATTTTCCTAATATATTCAGTTTAGTTGATTAAAGGAGATTGATAATTATCTTATAGTTCAGGAATGTGTTTCATATAATTGGGATAAAACTTTCCTTATTTCCTAGTTGCAAAAAATAAAGTGTTGGTTTCTTCAGTGCTATTTCCACCATGATTGCCATCATTTGCCATTCCATGATCACCAGCAACTATTAAAACAGTATCATTTGGCATTTTCTCGTATATGAGTGCAATGATCTGGTCTAATTGACTTAATTTTTAATTTAGATCAGGATTATTTAATACTTTATTATTTTTGTGACCTGCATGATCCAATCCCAGAAAATGGGATACTATTAAATCAAATCCTTTATCCAAATTCTCAAGTATTTTATCACAATTAAACTGATCTACAGAATGCATATCTCCTATGTTGAATGATTTCTGAGGGAATTTGACTGTAAATTAATCAGGATAGAGTCCTATCCAAGTATCATCTCCAGAAAAGAGAGTCTTCTTATTAAATTTGTTCATTTGAAACATTATATTGTCTTCTTTAATCTTGGATGGATTTATAAAGAGATTAATACTTCTGAAGCATGGAAATTGTCCAATAATTTGGATAAAGGGGGGAAATTGCCGCTTGTCATAGCTTACAATCTTGGACCTGTAACTGTAGGGACTTCAGCAAAAGATAAAAAAAACAGGGATTAATCTGGCTTGTTTTCAGTCATATTTTTGAAAAATGTGAAATGTTGACTCACTGCTAAATCAATACGGAATGAATCAATGATCAAAAATATTACGGGTTACGTCGGTTTCATCTTTCCTTCAGTTGTATCCAATAAGTATCTACGATCTATGAAATATCCTCTAAAAAATAAAAGTAATCCAAGCAAGTAGAAGATCACAAGATTGATTATCAAGCACTTTGTTTATTTCATTTTAAATTTAATATTAAAAAAACAATAATATTTGTATAAGAATTAAGTTGGATTCAAATCAACAACATTTATAACATATTTATAATAATGTACTAAACTCTCAGAAGACTAAATCATGAGGTCTTGTTGTTTTTCCAATGCTGAAACGAGCTCCCAAATATTATTTCAATAATTATGTCTTCTTAATTGTTGAAACCAAGGCATCATCAATTGATTTTTGAGTCTTTCTCTTCTCATCCAATCTCTTTTTCTCAGCCACTTATTATTCTTCTGTCAACTTAATAATCAATATAATTTATACTTCTCCTCTTTTAGCCCAAAATCCTTTTTCATTCTTTCTTCTTTATGCCTCAGTTCTCTTGAAGTACTCATCTTCGATTTTGCTAGCATCGACTCCCTTAATGTCAACTTTTGTTGATGTTGGGATAACATATGCTTAATTCACTCTCTTAAGTGGTACACCATTAATTTTGAAGGGTCCTGTGACAAGTAAGAGTCCTGATTTAAGTTGCTTCAACAAGACAACTCTCTTGCCTTAGAATCTACCAGCCAATAAGATTAACACCTATCCTGGACTAATTTTTCTCAATTGAGATGGTCTTGGAGCCTTTATTTATTTAAAATCTGTATTACTTTTCTTTTTCTAACGAAATGAACTTTCTCATCGTCTGATTTGTACCAATTTCCGATTCTAGTGGTTCTCTTTTTTGCTGGCATTGAATAATATATATATTTTAATTTATTTTAAATCTAATTTCAAATTTAATTATCCCTAATCACTTGGAGAACATTGTATTCATTATATTGACATATCAGTCTGAATCTACATATTAGAAATATCAGCCATTTCCTGCTCCTCTAAATTTTTGAAGGATTTTAGGGAATATTCAAATTATTTGCATATTAACTCAAATTATAATTATACATAATGTATATCATTTTTAAATTATATCCACATTTTAAATTTTATATATTTTCCATAAACTTTAGACTAACATTTAACATGCATTTATAATTGGTTTTTCTCAAAGAATTTCTGATATTCTTAATAAATATAAAATAGTATGCCGACTTTAATTCTTGATTTGATAAAAATTTATTATTCAACCCAGTATTTTTACAATTATCAGAAGAAAAATTCCAATTAAATACATATAAATCTACTAGAGATGGTAAATTATAAGAAATATTTCTTTCTGTTGTTAGTTTATTCAAAATATAATGTATTTAGATAACTTCAATCTTGATGTCATATCATCTTAATATATACTTATGATGAATTTTTATAATAATATGTTATAAAATCATCCTATTTTGAGGTAATGGAGGTTAATTTGATTTTTAAGAGCTAATATTTCTTTTTAAAAATTTATTCCATGCATATTATATTTTTTGTATTGTAACCATCTAATAAGAATTTGAATTTATTTAATAATTATTCTTGCAAGACTTAAATAATTCGAATCATCCTCTTTATATTTGATATGAAAATTTCCTAAACTAATAGGTATCTTTATATCTTTGTCATTCTTTGCTGTTAAAATCTTGTCTTATTCATTTAAAAATATCAAACTTCTATTTTTTATTGTTTACATACTCCTACCATTATTTCTTACTCAATATCCGAACCGATTCATTATTTTAATGTTTGCAAGAAATTAAAAAATGCATCACCTGGATCAACCTAGTGGAATATTTCAAGCAAACACCCAAATTATTCTAAAATACTTGTAAAGATTAATGAAGACTCTTATCAATTGTAATTATATAGCATAACCTCTCATTAATTTATCATTCAGTGATTCTTTTAAGATAACAATGAAAATTACTCCTTAAAAACGAATTCTTGAAGGGAATGATCCAGATTAATGAATGAATACATAGAATTCCGAATAAAATAACATAACTATAAATTCATATACTAGGTTTGGAACCTTTCAGCTTATGGAAATAAATTGTTGAGTAGTACTTCTTCTTCTCATAATGGTACTTTTAACTAACTAATATTTCCAGGAACATACGTATTGACTATATTTTAATTTCCCCCCATTAGTAGATTTACATTTTTCTAGCTCCTTAGCCTTTTATTTGGTATTAATATTCTTTGTCTTTCAGATCAGGATCTAAGATTATTGGCTTTTGCTATTTTCTAATATGACAACCCATAAGAGTAAGTTTTCTAATGATAATAATAAATAAGATTTATTGATTAACAATATAAATTTCCATTATGTATTGTAAATAATGCATAATTTTTAGTTCTAATTTTTCTAAATTTCAAAAGAATCTCTCTAAGAAATTATTTGCTAATGTCCAAAATTGAATCTCAAAGTCAAAGTCAAAAATCAAACAACTTTCTTTGATAAAATTTAAATTGAAAAATATCTTCTTATTTCGATATCCAATTATATTCTTACTTAGTGGTTGACTTGATGATATAGAATATCTCTAGAATAATAATTTTTGGATCAAATCAAAAAATCAATCGCTAAAAATGTTTAAAACTATAAAACATACAAGAAATTTAATTAAAAATTATTGAGATTATATAAAATTAAAATCAGTTAATTATCTTCTAAATCTTTAAAATACATGGTGCCTTTTATCATTCTAAGGAAACCTTTATTGAAAGAAATTTAGGAATGCTAACCTAATAAAAAACTGAATTTTTTATAAGATTTTGGGCTACTAACTAATAAATAACTTAAAAATAAGTTCAAAAAACTTTGTATATTTTGTATTTGGCAACTTTAGAATCTCAGATTCAATAATAAGAAAACGTAATAACTAAAGAAAGCTAAAAAAAGTGAATAATGTCAGTTATTCAATGTAATCTTGCATTAAATTGAATATCAAAATAAGAATATTCCTTTCAAAAATTTAATAATAATTTTTATATAACAGATAATCAATATAATAAACTACTGTTTAAATTTAAATAATCCAGATTTATATAATAAACAATGTAGAAATTGTAGAACTTAAAGAAAGTCTTAATTCGTCTAATTAAAAAAAAAACAATAAACCAGACCTTAGTGTCTTATCCTATTGAATTGATAATGATGTTTTGATTTTCAATTATAAATATTAATGTACATATATGGACATTATACAATCTTTATATAAAAAAATGAAAAATAATTAGTTTCATGATTCAAATTTTCCTAATCAAACCTAGAATCATTTATTATCCCTAATAAATAAATATTGATGACAATATAAAATATATTTCAATTAATTCACTCTATTCCTTTGTGATCGTTTAATATATGCAGTGGAAATAAAATTAAGTTGAGTCAGGTAAATAATAAAGTCAAATTATTCCTATAATCCCAGAAATGGGCTATATCTGATCAACCTCAATCATACAATTCTCATCTATTAGTACTAGAGAACAAAAAATAATATTTTTTTAAATATCTATATAACCATCATCAAATTCTGTTAAGGTAATAAAAATTATTCCATAATAATAGGTTATGCTCATATTAAAATGAGCTTACTATATTTCAAACTGGTTGAATATAGCTTACAAAAATGTATTATTTCGTTCAACAAATATACAAAAAGAATCCACCAATAGAAACTTTGATATATATACTTAATACTGAAATTTGATATCCTGCCTTAGAAAAGATTAAATAAATTTAAAACAACACAAATTCTAAAAACTAAAATGAAAGCTTAGAATTTTTTATCACAAAATTATTAGTTTAATAAAATTTCATGCCTCCACTTTTGATTTGGGCTCTAAAGGCTCTCCATTAATTTTAAAGGTTATATTATTTTGTATTAAATTGATAATTTAAATCATGCAATTTTTTAATAATATGTAATTTAAATTACAATCATTTATTGCTTAAGATTCTCATTCAGCATAAAATGGTGTGTGTTCTAAGTAAGTGCGGATTAAATTGATTGTATTATCAAATTGATAATGAATGAATTAAATAAAAAGGAACTGCTTTGATTAATTAATTTATATTAGAGTTTAATAAAAATTATTTAATTTAAGTTAAATAGTTTATATTAAGCTGTTAAAAAACAAAGGATTTAATCCGCTTTTGTTAGAAGTTGGTTGGATTGAGAAAGCATAGTTTTTAAGCAAAAAATAAATATATAATAAAATAATTATAAGTATAGAAAGTAGATGTATGTTCAAATTTGGTAGTAATTATTAGGGAGTTAGGGTAGTTCTATAGTGTCTTTGATTGACTCGAAATTGTTGGGATTGTTGGATTAATGATCAATCTTCTTTTCATTTAATAGATATGATAACATGCTCCCTGGTGGTTAAACTTCTTCTCCGTTATTAGTTTCTAATGGTTAATGCTTTTTGAGCAAGAATGAGTTTGTATTTTGAGGGGAACCTAGGTACTCCTCATTAATGAAAATTATGTAAATTTTTTTTTTGATTTTTTTCTTTATACCTAAGACTTTCTTTGCCTTCATTTCAGCTATCCAGCGTTTGTAGATTTCGAAATACGTTGGTATTTAAGTTGATTTCTCTCTATTTTATTTGTTATTGCAAAAATGAGATGTCGGTGTTTTAAATTCGAGAACATAGAAGGGGGTGGGTTGATTATAATGATATATAAATTGAGTATATATGTAATAATAGGAAATTATAAAATGCTAGATTTCTGATTTCAATTTAAAAGTAAAAGAGCAATTAATAGCAGGTTAAAAAAGAAAGCAGAGAGGATATGAGACTAGCATAGATGAAATACAGAAAGTGTTTGTATTGTTTATTATTATATATGAAAAATTAATGAATTGTATTTGTAAGTCCTTGATTATTCTGATCATTCCAAAGATTGCGAATATGATTTTAGAATGTAATGATGGAATTTAGAAATTAATTAATAATTAAGGTCATGGATTTTATCATCGAATTTGTATTAAAAGTATTAAAATTGTGATTAAAATCAATATGTAATAATAATAAAAGAAACAAAGTTGGATTCAACAATTATTCTGTGGATGCGTTCGAGAAGAACCTCTTCATTAGGATTAGAAAATACAACGTTTGTCAAGCAAAATGGAAATTCAGAAGCAGAAGCCGATGAATCTAATTTCCATGTAATAATAGTCTGAAGGGTGGTTGAATAAGACCACATCTCAGGAAGTGGATTACTCAGCAGATATAGAAAAGGATGTGGATTCAGATGAGGATCATGATAAGGTTTATAAAAGACAACTTTCATATTTGGAGTAAAATTCTCAGCTTCAAAAGACAAGTTTTTCTGATGTAAATATTATGGAATAAAGTAGGAATTCAATTCAAATAATATTGAAATGAAGATATTGCACCGGATAGGTGGCCTATTGTCAAGATAAAGCAATATTTAGATAGAAATGCAGTCACATTTGTGGATAATGAAGATATTCAAAGATGTGCAATTAATTGTTCAAGACAAGGAGTTCGAATCTAAATTCAAATCTCAATTGATCAATCCTGCTATTGTTGACATAATGAACTAGAGAATCAAATCAAATATCATATTATTGGCTCATGATCCAACAGGATCTATCTTACTTAAATTGGCAAGTCCTAGTAGAAAGATCTAATACCTGTAATAGGATAAGACTTTCTCAAATATCATAGATAGAGGGATTAGCAAATCGAAAGTGAAGGTGGATAAAGTTTTGAAAATGGATTTAGACTAGAAGTCAGACATAGTCATAGTGAATCTATTTTATATTGATTGCAAAGATAATCTTAAGAACATTATGTATGAGTATCTGCAGTATGCTCATGACATCATTGTTCTTTTGTAGCCAAACATAGAAAATTCCATAATCTATAATTCTGCAGAGTAAGCCATTGCATTATCTGAATAAGCCAATTAAAGTTGCAGTGTGGAACTCTAATGTCTGACTGACAATAATGACAATATTGTAGCTAAATTATTGTATTATGGAGATATTACTGAAGTACTAATTTTAGTGATTATTTTAGATCACATTGAATGATGAATTAAACTTCGTTTACTCTTGTATTGATTCTTCAATCAAGAAACAATACAATTACAAACTTATGTTTAGAGATTTGAGAAATCAGATGGGCATGAGTAAACTCATTAGAACTTTAAGTCAATTTCAAATTATTTCGGGAATTGGGTCATTTTCTGAATTTGCCACTAATATTAATGGCAGCAAAGAGAAATATCTATTGATGAATATACCATCCAAAGATTACGAAAATGAAAATCAAGATGGCAAACACAAATTAAGTGAATTGCAGTCTTCCTCCTCATCAACCGAATCAGAGCCTGAAGACAATTAGGATAAGTTTGGGTCAAGAAGTGAGTCATTTAATCAATCTTAGATGTTGGAACCTCTTTAACTCAAATATTCCAATTCATAACCCTTTAATTATTGATTTATTGCATTGTTTATAATATTCTAAAATTACAATTACAATGTCCTATTACTCTGGGTTTCAAAACAGATAATAACTCTAACAATATGAACAATTGTTACAATTGCTTCTAGTCACCCTAAATAAGAGATTGGTCAAGTTTTATTAAAATGAAGAGTGTGATGAATTGGCATTTCGTAATATTTTCCACAGAATCATATCTGGACTCAAATCCTTAGAATAATAGTAAATATAGTGATATCTATTCAATAGAAAATTTATGCCTCCAAGATTCAGTGAGACAGTTAAAATTTTGTTTGAGATTTTGAAATTAGAAGAATAGCAAGAAGTATCAAAATATCTATATAGAGTGAAAGGCTATACCTGAATCCATAATTTGATTAAATTTCTAGATAAGCCAATATCATAATGAACTAAGAGAAGAAACCAATTCAACATATCTAATACAAATTACAAGAGGATCATTAAGAGATGCCACCTCATCCATTGTTGCAAGCTGAACAGAGATAAGAATCAAATAAATTAGATGTTATTTTTGACAAGCCAGATAAATAGGAGAAATTATTAAAACTAGAATAAATTGATAAAAACAAAAAAATATGAAGGTGGAATAACTGAAATAACTACACCTCGCAAAATTAAAGAATCATAGCAACAACAGTAATTCTGCTAATAACAATAATATAACTTAATACCAAGAGACTTCATGAATTAAATAGAGGAATGTGTTACTAGAAATGTCTTGGATAAATTGAGTTTTCCAAAAAAATTTAAGAAAAAAAAATAAAGATCATCATCAAATTCATTTTAATTTAGACAAGTTCTTTTAACAACCAGTGATAAATAGAATTAATCTTTTTAGTCAACAAAGAGAAAATTCAACAACTTAATATGAATCCTATATGTTATTTTATTTTTTCTTCAAATGCTTGAATGATATAATATATATCCTACATATCTATTCAAATCCTAACAGTTATTTTAAATTCTTCATAATGGTTTGTTCGGTTAGCAAGTCTTATCCCCTTGTTCTCTAAAGAATCCTTAATTTCAAGTTACTTAACTTCCCTCTTCATTACTAACATTAATAATTCTAATATTTAATTTAATAACTTAGTATCTTACCTTATTTAAAGGTTGATATTACAAAAATAAACAAAATGATACAATATCCAAATCCATAAAAAATAGAGAATAAGTATAAATAGATAACAAATAATTTATCATTATTAGATATTCTACCTTAAACTTATTAAAGACTGATTTATAAACAAATATATTTAGATTTTTGGCAAAAGTTATAATAAATTATGAAAAAAACATTTTATTTGTTATGATCACACTAAAAGCCCGTTTGTGGTAAATAAATTTTGTTTAAGCACTCCAACTGGAAATTAAAATTGCCAAAATTTAAAGACGATTGTTTTATTCTATTGAGACTCCTTGTAATAATGGAATAATATATAGCATAAAGCAGTCTATTAATATTATGTATTTAAACCTTCAAAATTATGTTAAAAACACAAAAAACTAGTGTCATTCTAACAATAGGATCCCCTGCCTCTCCCCAGGTAGGTAGAGTTTTATCAGTACCACTCCACCAATTCTAATATTTAATCAAGCTATACTTTATATATGCTAATCCAAACAATATCATTAATAACACTTAGAATAGTCAAAACACCTACAATTTTGATATAGGTTGGTTCGAAACAGTCTCTACATACGATTATCAAATAAAACATTGCTAGGATTAACTTATTATATTGACATTTATACATCCAAATAATCTGGACGAGCAAAACATTAAAATAAAGCCAAAAGCAACATCAGCATATATAAAATGAACCCATAATATAACTCATCTGATAATTCGTCTTACACAGTATTTGGATCAATTTGATGAATTTGTATATTTTATTATTGCTGAGGCTGCATTTAAAACGGTTTCTATTATTGTGGAAGATTTTGTTGCTATTGGTACATAAATGCTTAATTTTATTGGGGCAAAGAATAGTTTTGTGGCTACTTTAAAGATTGCTATAAATTATTTCTTAAATTATTCTCCAAAAATGGCTATTGGATTGTTAATAAATCTCTTTGATAATCATCAATATCAACTTGGCTCTATTAAATAGTTTGCTCATATTTAAGAATCATTTCTTAATGATATTTTAACTAATCATATTGATCTCTATACTTTATTGTGAATCCATTATGATTCTAGCTATAAGTAAGTTTGCAGTTGTTATCTATCATTAACCAATTATAATTGCTAAGAATGAACTTATTGATCATGCATTTCACCCAAGTCTATATGGCTTTATCCAATTAATATTCTCCTCTGATTTCTATCCTATACAAACAACTTTATTAAAATCTCTTCTGAACCAGTTTGTATTTGACTTAATATTAAATTATATTTACAAATTTAGTTGTTAGTTAAAAGTAGGATTATATTTATCACCTGTAGACATTTGGGTCTAGACTTCAGCACCATCCAAACTTATACTGACAAAACTAAATTGGTAATCAGAATATTGAATATTATGAGCCTGTTTAACCACTATTATTAATTAAGAGTCTCTATCTACTCCCTAAGGGTTAAGTTTTTAATTATCTTTTTATATATATCTAATACATTGTAATTCTTAAGCCTATTGTTGGCATTCCTTCAATTCGTCTCTATATTGTTGTATTTGTTGTTCCGTCTGATTTATTTTTTTCTTGAGCACTTTATCTGCTTCTATAATAACTTATGCAAAATCCTCTAACTAAACTTGACCTCTTTGGTTTGGTGAACATTATTCAAATAATTGTTAAGCAACGTCGCGATCATACAATTATCCAGTCTATCCTATAAATAGTTATTGTTACGAGTTTGTCAAGTGCAGAAAACAATTATTCCATTTAATAAGCTTATCCTTAAGATAACCCTGTTCTTTAGAAACCATTCAATATCGAACTAACAGTTGGGCTATATTGCAACGACATATAATATTTAAATTTATATAAATATATTATTATGTTACTTATTACCTTTCTATTTCTAATTTACTAACCAAATTAAATCTTAATTTTGTAAATATCATTGTATCTCTCTAAATTATCAAAACAGAGATCATAAACCATTGTGCAGTTCTAAAATTTATTATCATCAATAAAAGAAAGAACCTTAGTAAATGATAATTTTGTAATATGAATAGTGATTAATTATTAGAGATATATAATTTTATTTGCGATATTAAAAACAAGACTCCTATACGATCATAATTATTTAAATTTATATATATATCAGATTAATGCTACAGCTCTATTTAATAACTGATCATTAACATCATGAACCACTTCATTAATTCGCAATATTGTGATCTTTTATCTATGTCCCTAAGATTTCTAATATCTCTTTCGTCTCTTTTTTTTATATATTAATTCTTTTTCACTTAGTGTTTATTATTCAACTGTTGCTAATACTTTTGCATTCTCCACAAATGGTCTTCCTAAAACAGTATAATCTTTAGCTCCAACCATCAAAACTTAATCCAATTCAATAGTTGTGTTAATGTCCAATCCTTCCATAAATTCTGTGATGATCTGATCATCCTTTACAACTTTATATTAGCTATTTCCAATTTTACAAACCGCAAATTTAAGAGATGTAGGCAATTCGATACCTTTCAATTAATCATGCACTATAAATTTGCATTCCTAAGCAACAGGAAGAGTCTATTAGATAAATCAAAAATTGAGTAATACCCTCTGTCTTTCCAATTCCTAATGTCTAGCTCTACGTTTGGCCTTCTTTTCTAAATCATTTCTCCATTTTTGAGTGTACATGATGTATCTCTTATCAGTGAATTTGTTATTGTAATATTCAAATATTTCAGCCTTATCTCTCTCTTTAAAGTACTCACTAAAAGTAAAGAGTCGAGGTTGAGTAATTAAGGATCTTCTAAATAATTATTTGATCATTAATTAAAATAATTAAGCAAGTGAGAAATTAGGGGATTTGATATTTTATTTTAGGATAAAATTGTAAACCTAAGAAAGCCAAATCAATATACTTAAAATATATATATAAATGTAAAAGAGAAGTCCTTGATTAGACCAATATGTTTATTAATAATTTTGAGCAATTATCAATTAAAATCTTTTTTTATTTGATTAATTATTTGAGAAAGAATGTCTGGTATTTCATCAAAGTATATAGGAAGAGGAATCGCAATATTCTGAACATCCAGGAGGTTGGATTGAATGGTTTTGTGCTCATGAAGATCATTAGTTTTTATGCGAAGTAGATGATGATTTTATTCGCGATCCATTTAATTAAATTGGAATTAAGGGAAAGTTTGGTTTTTATAAGTAAAAATCACAAAGATATCTTAGTGAAGCTATTAAAATGATTTTGCAATCCACTTCACCTGAAGATTAGGACTTAGAAGATGAAAGGTTTTCTTATTTTACATCACAAAAGATTTTTAGAGGTTTATTAAGAAGCATCAGATATTTATGGTCTGCTTCATGCCAGATTCATATTTACTTCGAAAGGATCTGCAATAATGCGTGAAAGATATTTGTAAGGCAAATTTGGTCATTGTCCTCGGATATATTGCGAGAAACAGAATGTCATTCCTATTGGATTGTGTGAAGATTTAAAGACAGCAAGAGTTAAGGTTTAAAATTAAAAAAGAACTTAGGTTTTTTGTCCTCGTTGTGAAGAAGTTTACATGCCAAAAAAAAAGTGTGCAGATATAGATGGTGCATATTTCGGAAAGTCATTCCCATAATTTTTGTTGATGGTTGATATATATATTAAAATGCTTAGACTTATCCTGATTTACATCCAAAATATTAATTATTACCAGATACTTAAATAAAGGCTAATTTTGAGCCTACGCTATTTGGTTTCAAAATAGCTGGCAAATTAGGCAGTAAAATAAAAAGGTTTGAATAATAATTGTAGCCCAACTAAATTATTACTCAACCTATCATTTAATCTGCTGAATAAAATGTTCTTATACAAGAACAAAAATAAATTAGAATATAATAATAATAATAATAATAATAATAATAAGAACAACTGACAAAAGAATAGAATTCAGAACACAATCATAAAAAAAAAAATAAGAAAAAGCATAAAAATTGATATTACAATTATTTGGTATTATATATATATATGTTAATGTATTCTTAATGAATAAAAATTATACAAAATGCTAATCAAACAATTTTACGCTGTACTCCAATAATTCTTTTTATATAAAATACCTGCCAAATACTAACAAACACTATAATTAAAGTTTCAACAATAGTGTAAATGAAATACATTTTATTGTTATCCCTCAAAAATTGATAGCCTCCTTCTCTTTTTTATTACGAGAATTTAGTGTCAAACATTAGATCATTAAGTCCAGTATATAAGTTAGATAGCTTTTTCTAAATTGGATCTAAATCTGCTTCCTTTATATGCTCATAGGTTGCATTTCGAATATCGAGTGCAAAAGTCACAATATGATTGTTTTTACCCTCTGAATTAAATGAGTGTTTACATTTGTATTGCTGAACACAAATTTATAGTCTCCAGGATTGGTGATATTAACAGAAAAAACGGCTTCTTTCTTTTAATTCTTGTTGTCTATGATTTTTCCTCTTGGATCCTTGATCTATTGACAATTAATAGCTATCATACACTAAAATCGATTTTGTCCTTGTTCATAATTGATAAGAAGAATGCTCCTCTGATATTAGTTGGGTGTTTAATGTATTGCTCTAAGATTTCCACTTCTCCCTTTTTTAATTCAAATGATAACATGTCATCTGGAATGAAATCAGCCATCTACCCTTCCCAATCATCCAATAGTTATTTTCTCTCTTCATGATCTGCATGATTGCCATTAGTATCATTCGAGGCTAATTTACAGTATGCAGATATGATGAATATTAAGAATAATTTCATTTATGATAATAATTTATTGTTTTTTGTAATATTAATAAATTATTATGCAGATTAAAAGGAATAGACCAAAAATGGGGGTTCCTAAGTCAACCATTCTAAATACTCCATAATCTACAAACCCGTCGTTGCGTAATTTATTCATGAGATAATCATTCTAGCAAGTAATAAATTGATTGGTTAAAGAACAATTCATGAACCCTTCACAGATTAGAGCCAGAGTATAAATTTGCAGAGATAACAAAAAGAAATGAAGCAAACACTTAAATTATCTCCTGTCAAATAATTGTTAAATTATATATTTTACAACTTTTAGATCCCCATTCAATTTGGATTCCACTTTCCGATAAAAAACACTCATTTAAAAGACCGAAGGTAGTGCATCTGACCCTCTTCTTAAAATTAATCTGAAAAACCTTGAAATTCCAAAGGATAAACTTCTATTTGCTACAGAAACCAAGCATATTTCTAAATCACTAATCGACTTAGATGATGTAACAAATCCTTCATATATTTTAGCAATTCGATTACATTAAGACTTTTCGAGCAATGCCTATGCAAACTATAAAAGAAATCTATGATACTGATCGCAAAGAGATAGAAAGATTAAGTTCAGCAGAGAGACATATTCCCATGGATTCCAGATTAGCTCCAATAAGACCATAACTATAGCAACCAAATATTCCAGAATTTCGTAAATATTTTAAAGAAAATGAAAGATTTCAAGAAATGCAGCAATTTTATTAAATTGATCCAAATATTTATTAAAAAATGACTGAAAAAGTATCATACATAATCTAATATTAGATTAAATAAGAGAAATTAATGCCTAGAGAGATGAAACTATTCACTAACAATAACAATGACAAACTTATAGCAAATAATTTATTAGGATCTGATATGTACGTAGATCTGTTTTCTGAAGGGCTATCCTCATCTCATTTTAGCAATTTAAAGTCACTCTAAATGAAGAACAATAAATTAAATAACAATAGAATCACTATGATAGCCAAAAATCTCCCTAGTAGCATTATTGATCTGGATTTCAGTAACAATGCTATAGGAAATGGAGGCATTGCTAGCATTTGCGATTTCTTAAACTCTAAAAATTGCTATTTACAAATATTAAATTTAGAAGATAATAAATTAAGAGATGGACCTATAATGACTATTCTTAAGACCCTTCAATAGAGTAAAACCATAAAAGTCATAAAATTTTCAAAAAACTATATTACTGACATTAGCATGGATTAGTTTGGAAATCTATTGAAAACAGTAACTAAATTTATATAAATAGAGTAATTCATTGTAAGAAGTGTACTTGCATTATAATTAAATACGAAACCAAGGAGGAACTGTATTCTTTAGGGCACTTCTAAAAAATTAATATATGAAAGTGCTAGATTTCTCTTTCAATAAATTGGGATAACACAAGGAATGTGTGTAGATGATATCTGAGTAAATATTTTTATCCATAAAGGGTCTTAGGCAAACCACATTCCGAATTATCTCATCTTGACTTATCATATAATAATTTCAATAATGAAGACTCCAAAATATTCCATCAAGCTGTTATGTTTAATTAAATAATATACGGATTTCATTTTGAGGGCAATGGAGATTATTGTATCAACACAAGAGGGTTTTTTGTCAATCAGAAAGAATTAGATTAGGAATACAACGCCTTGGTTTCAAAATAATCGATAAGACTGTCGACACAATAATTTGTTGATTAAAGTCTCAATAAAATAGATTTGAAGAATAAAATGAACAAATTGGATTAGAATTTTCAATTGGCAGATCCATCCTTATTCAAGAGAATCTAAAGTACAGATTGGACAAACAATAAGTCTCGAGATAATTGTTGGCTATGCGAGGGTTGGACGGAAATCAGATTTCAATATATAGTTGGTAAATCAGGAAGTATTAGCGACTATCCAATATATTTGCATTTAGATTTTGAAAATTATAGGCCAATGATTATGGAATAGGATTAATAGATCTTTTTTCTATTAAGAATGTGTCCGCCAAATAGAAAGATTAAATATTTTTTTAGTAATCCCTTTTTAGATATTTAATTTACAGCAAAAGATCAACGTATAACTGCATTAGAAGATTTTGAACCAATTAAAATGTAAGGGATACCCATGATCTATGCAGATACTTCTATTGTTTATAGTTAAAAGATTTCAATAGTCAATTATTTGTCAGCCACGATCAATAAGAAAGTACTTGACTCATAAAAGCACTATATTCCCACAGTATTATCTAGACCTAGAGAATAAGAGAAAATAATTTATATAGATCCTAATAAGGCAAAGGAGAAAATATGGTCAATTGAGAATTCAATCTTTCGTGATTTCTAGGCAGATACAGAAGGACATCTTTTAGATTGCTTTGATTTTGATTTCGAATGTGGAAGATTATAAAAACATATCCCTGATCCTGAGGATTTGGAAGTTTTAAAAACAAAGGTAAAAGTATTCTACAAGAATATATTGGCATGTTATAAATATTACTGTGCTGAAACTCTAAATTACGAAATTCCCTGTTTGAATCAGTAAAGCTTTATTGATTTTATATCACAAACTCACATACTTTCAAAATCAATATTAAACAACATTGACTTATAATTAACTTATTTGTCAAGTTATGTTGTTCAGAAATCAGCTGAATTTATTCATGTCCTTGATAAATGCTTAGTTAGATATCAATTTCTTGAGATTATTATTCGTTTGGCTAAGGAATAATATTTGAGAGTGAATCAATGCAATAATATTACCGAAGCTTTGGATAAGTTGTTTCAGTAAGATAAGGTTCTAGATTTGATACAAGAATATGGAGTTCCTTAGGATTGGAGAGATAACAGATATTGGACTTAATTAATGGATTCCACTATAAAAATGAAGATCCAATTTCTATAGTTAATGTATGATTATGCATCAAAGATTACATTCAAACATACTAAATATGTAACTCTGACAGATTTCAAACTGTTTATCGAATAATTAGATTTAGGAAAGTACGTTTCTGAGAAAGAACTCTACTTAATTTATCTACAGAGTATGTAAACATAGAGAGATGAATTGAGAGAGTCTAAACATGTATAGATGCAATTTTTAGAATTTGTTGAAGCTATCGCACGATTAGCAGAGAAAATATCTCCAATATCACCAATGTATGCTGTTCGTAATCCAACAGTTAATAAAATAACTAGAAAGTCCTTACCCTTATTTGTTAAATTTGAAGGGCTTCTCTTTATTATATTTTAAAAGATTAAATAAGGGATTACTACAAAAACAAATGAATAATAAATTTAAGAGTTGGAAAAAAACGTTATTTCCAAAACCATATTGAAAACAATTTAAGCCAAGAAATTGGGAGTGTTTGGTATGTTAATATAAATTATAATATTTTTAGAGGAGGACAGAAGTTCAGATGAGGAAAGAGAGAAAGAGTCAAGAAATGTGCCATTATTACCAGATGAGAAAGATTTGTAGGAGATAAAAGAGAAGAAAGTGGCTGGGAGCGGATGGAGTAAATTAAGGAATTGGGCAAATAAAAAAAAATTGTAGAAATAGGGAAATCCAGAATAGATTAACATGTTAAAACAATTATAAACATATTAAGATGAAGAGGAAAGATATGTGTAAGTGGAATATGAGCAAGCATCAATTTATGAGAAGATGGAAATCAAACAGAGACAAAAAATGAAGTAAGAGTTTCAAAGAACTAAATTAAATTAAGAACCAACATTCAAATTTGAAGAGGAAGATGAATTTAAAAGATTCTGATTTACAGAAACAAACAAAAACTTATATTTATTTTTATAACAATCATTCCCATCCATTAATAAATGACAAGTCAGATGATTAATGTTCATCTAATATTATTTGCAATTATTCATTAACGTTCAGATTTGATTTTTTTATTATATTAGATTTAGGTTTAATATGAAACGAGATCCTGCTTGCAATTCTGATATCGTCTTATTATTCTTATTAACGATGTTATAATTATCTTAATTAGCTTTTGATAAGCCCATTTTTTTTGTTCAAGTGTGGAATTTTCATCGTATCAGGTATCTATACATGGTATAGCAATTTAGGTTCATTCTTGTTTTCTTTTTATCTTTAGTATGAAAGATTCCTATTATTTTCAATAGGGTAAACAATGTATGATGTATTAACCCTTCTTCTTACATACTGTTTTTTTGCCTATTGATGTTTTTATTCTTATGTGTTATCTAGATTAAGGAGGCCTTTTCTGATAATTTACTCAGTGTGATTTCCGAAGACCTAATTAGAATTTGAGAATATTAGATTTTCATTGATTTCTTTAATTAGAGGATACTTGAATTGAAATTGATTCAAAGTCTGATTGAGAGGTGGAACATTATAGAAGGTCTTGCAATTATTGGAGTTATCGGTTTTGTTATGATAAGATTTCTTTTGAGCATTATTATTCATTTCAAGAAATATTATTAATAAAATGCATAACAATAATCCAAGAAGTAGTTCTCACAAATAATTAAAAACCTTGCAAAGCCAAATCTAATCTACTCCAGTATTAAAGTCTATAGAATAACTGAAGACAGAAGGAATTCAATACTATTACCATTAAGGATATGAAAGGAAGGCTCTACATAAAATTTTTACACTTAATACTAAAAAAAGACATATACAAAGATATATAAATCAACAAGTTTATAATGCCGATTTAAATGGAATTTCCCTTAAGGCCAGCTAAATGGACCGATTTAATTTGTATTAAAAAGGCTTGACGGAGTACTTTATAATAAATGATAATTTAGTGAATTACTAGCAAATTCTAAAAGTTACAGCAATTTATCTCGCTTGAAAAAAGGAGACTTTCAAACTAGTTCTACTGAATAACTCTATGGATATAAAAACTCACAGCATAGAGACATACGTATTACATCAGGTCAGAGAATTCCATCGGTCTAATAAGAGAATTATCAAAATAATCAAAATAGAGTTTCTGTATCGAAACACTAGGTTAGACCCAAAAGAGAAGAACAATTAGTGTAGGCAATAAGGAAAGACAATTTATTTACAATCGTTTATAAGTCTAACATCTTTTCCAATTGATATATTTACTATTTAATATTTTATGAATTTCAAGTTTAAAACAATCAGAAGAACCAGGAATGCCTTAAATGCTTAATAAATATATTGGGAAATAATTAAATTAAAGAAATATTTTAGAGTGAAAACTATTTTTGGAGAAGAGAAAAAAACTGAAATCATTTTTCATAGAACACAATTACCAAATAAATATCGCACTCATGATATGAGTTTATTTATTGAGCAACATCAAGAAACACAGAATTCGTTCTATTACATAGCAATAGGACTATTTAGCTTTGCGACAATGCATTTCTATGCAAAAATGCTATATGATGATGATACTAGATATTGGGTCAGCATTCGATATCCAAATCACATGAAATACTTTGACATCTTTAATACTCGCATATAATAACAATATGATTATATTTTGGAGAAAGTATAACATACAACATAAAAGTTTAGTTACAACTAAAGAATAAAGATCTGAGTGGAGCTGTCGGATATCATAATGTAAAACAGGGCATTAAAGATCTATTCAAAAGAGAGACTAAGATCATTGATTTTGAAACTACAGACTAATCCATATAAGGATTGGATAGTTTTTTATAGGAATAAGATAAAAAAGTACTTAAATCAATTAAATGAATTTTATATTTGATCAACTTAATCATTAAATCGATGATATCATAAATCATTACAATCTTTCGAAAATGCCCGCTTTGTAACTCATTTCTGTTATCCTAAACTATTTGGTTGGAGATACAAGACAAAGTTGTGGAATTGAAAAAAAAGAAGAGATCTATAAAACCATTTTAATCATTAAAAACCACCTCAAAAGTGATCCAACTTTGAAAATGAATTTATACAATGCTGATTATGTTGTTAAGAATAATGATTTAACCATTAAAGATTTAGATATTCATTATAAATGCAAATTTGAGCTGAATGAAATTAAGTAAAAGATCAAAAATAGAGATTAAAAATTGGCAGAAACAACCTATTCATATCTAAGAGACTTATAAGGTCTTAGAGAATAATTGTTTAGACAAGCAAATAATCTAAATTACGATTTATCTGATCATAGACATTTTGATACCTTTGAAATAACTGATCCAAAATACAGAGAGCTGTTGAATACTAAAGTTACCAATATTAAAGCTGACTACGAATAGAAAATTAAATATCTAACATAAATATTGGAATCTTAGAAAAAGGAAATAGGAGCATTGAAATCCTAAATATAAGATTATCAATACAGAGCAGAACACTATGAAAATCCAGAGTTTTTAATTAGGAAACTGTTTCATGTAGAGAGAGATCCTTATGAATTGTGGAGACTTGTTTAAGATAACTAAGGAAATCCTTTCCTCTTTTAAGTGTTCTCAAATTAGAAAAAAGGTTATGGAATAGATTACACAGAAATAGATTAACTTTTGATGGCTGTTAAAGTTCAGGATAGAATATTTGAGCGACAGAAACAAACGTTGGATTAACAACTCGCTTAATTTATGGAAAGAATCTTAGAAGATGTTTATGATTTAAGATAATAGGTTTTGGACAAAGAATCTGAATTAGATACTTAATAAAAACAATACATTAGAAATCTAACTTTATTGAACAAAACTATACTGAAAGCTTTTAATAAAAGTAACCTTTCAATTATTATTAAGTTATAAGTTCATATAACTTGTTGTTGATGAAGACTACTTTTAAAATATGGAAAGACAAAGAACTTAAATTAGCTCCTCTCCTAAAAGATTTATCTAAATTTTAAATTAAAAATCTTGAGCATGAGTTATTTGATTATTTTATCTAATAAATAAATGAGATGTAGGATAAAGTAATATTTTTAGAATTGAAACTTAATGATTAAAAAGCATTATCTAAAACTTTAGAAACTAAAAATTAAATTGTTCAAAATACATTAGCATTATTAAAATGTAATTTCAATATTAAAAATTTTGATTTGGATCTCGAACAAAAATTATTGAAGTTAGATAATTTTCAAATCAGATTTTGTAAAGAATTATTAGATTAATTAATGTTATAGAAATTGACCTATTAAAAGTATTTATAATAAATTCAAAAACAGGATTAATATGTATAAACAGATTGTATAGAAATTGTTGACTAATCTCTAAAAACTAAAGAGATAATGGTTGATAATGTAGGTTTTATAACATACATAAAAGAGAAGTATTAGGAAAAAAAAGAAAAATAAGCAGTCCAAAGTGGAATTCACACTTAAAATAGATCATATTCTATTTAAGAAAATTAGAAGCCAAATATTGATTAATTGCCTTAATTAAAATAACAAAATAGAAGAATGACTAAAGTAGATTCAAATACTATAAAGCAATCAAATCAGCTCCAAGTGAGTGAATAATAGGAACAATAATAATAATAATCAAATAAAATTACAAGAAAAACATCTTAAAAAGATATAGAAATTTTAGAAAAAAAATAATCTAAATTTAAAACTGATTAGTAAAATTACTCTCCCAAAAGCAATTATATTCAGAACCAGAGAATCAATCCAAGTAGTTTTTCATTTGACAATGAACCCATATCAAATAAGCAGATGATTTGCAATTCTGATGATATATCATTTGAACAAATAGATAACAATCTATTATTCCCCCATCAAAGAAATATACTTCCTTAAGTCTAGGTTCATAAAGAAATTAAGTAGAGTATCATGAAACAAGCTAAATCAATTTAACATACTACTTAGGTACTGTGTGATAGTGAACCTGAAAGGTAAAAGAAATGTAATGAGGCAAAAAATAAACACAAAAATATTAAATATAAAAACAACATGATAATATAATACGAGGACTATCCAAAATATGAATAATCGGAATAATTATAAATTTTTCTCAACCAATCAAGTTGTTAATCGAAAAAAAATAAAACAAAATTACCGTAATTTATCTATAAAGTGTGAAAACATTTTTGATGATTATTTAATTAAATATTAAAAATATTATTTTTATTTATATTTAGGATAAATTTGGATATATTTTAATAACTCAAATTTTAAGGGGATTAGTTTATATAACTAAATCACTAATTATACAGAATCATAAAGCAGCATAAAAATGAACAAAGATTAAAAATTGTTGATTTTTAAGTTGATAATCACTTGAATTGCTTTAGCTTGATAATCATTTAATTAAAGCAAAATTGCATAAGGAGAATGTAAAATAATCAAATTATTGAAGTTTCTAAATTCTAATATTGAATTGGGCTAGTTTTATGATTGAAACTTAGATTCTTCAATTTATGATTTCGAACAAAATAGCCAATTTCTAATTAAAATTGTAGAGTCGAAAAGTTATAAAAGTTTCCTAAAAATAATATATCGATAACAATTATTTTTCTATCAAACTAAATTTTGAGATTTATAGATACTTTACTCATCTGTTTTTGAAAAAAGAGGACTTTTTCTCTACAAAAAACTTTTGAAATTTCATATCAAACAAATATAAAACTCTATAAAATATGTAGATATTGATATAAAACATATATGATCTAAAAATTATCAATAAATTTTAAACAAATAATTCATTAACACAAGATTTATGAAAAATAAATAAATAAATCAAGAATTTGTTAGCTTAAGAACAAATGTCTATAATCAAAAGATTTTGCAAGGGCAGCATTCATCAAGATCTTATTGAGGTTCTTTAGTATAGTACTTAATTTGTTTTAGAGATTATCCAAGGATTTGATCTCGAAATGTTACTCTATGTTATTTTTTTCCTTTCAAAATTTCATTTTAGAACATATCTCTCCTTTAATGAGTTTTCTTCATCACCCTCTCAGTTTCAGGGTTGATTTCAATACAATCACCATCTGCTTTAATTAAATTTTCTAACTTTGGTTCAAAAGATGACACTAAAATATTAATTTTAGGCATTGACAATTCATGCAACACAGATTTTTATGTTAAAGAATGATTACCACTTAGGTCAGTTACTTCTGAGTTCCTATTCCTCAAGCTGAATAAATCAATCATTATTGTTATTTTTATTTTTTCATATGAAATAATTGCTATTTTTCATCAACTAATACTCCTAATTAATATTATAAATAATGGGGAATGTTAGTAATATTATATAAAAAAGAAAGAATTAAAAAAAGTAAACTTTTATTCATTTCCAATAATATGCAGAAAATAGCTTTATAATCATTTTTGCACAAATGTCTCTAAAATCAAAATAGGAAATTAGCCATGATTAGTGATGATTTCTAATTTTTGATCTTTCTTTTTGTAATCAGTCTCAGGAACCTGAATGAAATAGTATTATTACTTTTATAAATTTTAGATATGGATTTTCAATGGCTGGTTTATAAAATTAATCTAAATGTAATTTTGTTTTGGATTATAATGCAATAGTGTATTCCTTATTGGATTCAAGTAAAACAGGGGTAATTTTAATATAATATTGATTATTAATGACATTTAATTAATTATGATTCAATTTCAATTGCTATTAATAAATGAATTCAATTAGATTGTATCCTTAATGTATCGAGAGATGCATTGCTTATTCTTACATTTAATCGATACCATTAATACATGGTTGCATAAAACCAATTAATTTGCAGTTACGAGCTACTTAGATAGTTGTTACAATAATTTCATTAGGTTTAACTGTTAAAATTTCATTTTTTAGTAATTGCATAAATTAGTTGATCTGAACCTTAGAGTCAAGCTTTTGAATATTTCGATAGGGATTTAAGACCTCTAATTTCTATTGAACATTTTAAAGCAGACTTTCAACATATTAGGCACTTTCATATTAGATTTTAAATTCAATATCCAATTTCACTTCTTTGTTGTCTTTTTTTGAAACTTAACTTAAATATTGTGCAACAAATTGAAATTCCAATTCTGTTAGAGTGTTTTCGTTTTTTTATTGTAGGTATTTTTCGATTGTAGATTCAATTTATTGTTTCATCTTCAATTGTTAAATGACTTCCTTAATTTTTAACTCAACGAATTCTAATTCTTTCATTAAGTTGATTCTTAGATTAATCAGATTGTTGGATATCAAAAGTAGGTCATCATGTACTTATTTCTTTAATTGAATATATTCTTAGCTCATTTTAATACTTTATTAACAGTTCACAATAAGATGATGTGAGTGATCATGAATGCACTTTTTGCAAATCAACTTATCTTCGACACTACAATACTATTCAATGCACAGATATTATCTTTGTAGACCATGGCTATTGCAAATGAATGAACTTGACATTTTATTTATATTTAATAATACACATCACAAATCTTATTTCTAGGTATTTAATTTAGGTAAACTTGAGAATGATTATCCAGATTCAATTTTCTTGATAACTCCTCTAACAAATTCATTTAAATTTTCAACTGTTAGTTATTTTTTAAATCTATAGTATTTCTTTGAATTCAAATCAATAGCCACAACCTGAGGATATCTAAAAAATTCATATCATATAAATAGCAATACCCTTCTCCAATGACACTCAATTCAGCCTCGAAATCATCAAACTATTCTCCGACAAACCACCCTAAGTTAGCTCTGCCTGTCAATGACAAAGATGTCTATAATATACTTATATATAATTACTTTCTTCAGTATTTAAAGAGCATCTTCTTATTCTTTCTTGTCACTTGGTAAGAATCCCAAAACACAGAGGGCTTAAATAGTTTAAAAATATTACTGTTGCAAATCTAGTTTAATTTTTCGTCAGAAGTAATTTGAATCACCTCTGTAACAACTGATTAACCATCAACTGGTTTTTATTCTTTAATATATTTCAAAAGAGCATCCAAATTTCTTTCTCCCTCATATTTCTTATGAGTGTCCTTTTTGTTTCCAGCAGGGAAAAAGTAAATTGTTGGATATGACTCAACATTGAATCTTTTAGCTAATGCAGTTTAAGCAGTAGCATCAACTTTTGCTATTGGAATATCGGCTTAATGTGATAATTTATTCCATTCTGGTTAGAGCTACTTGCAATGTCCACACCATGGAGCATAGAATTCAACAAACCAGGCTTCTTAACTATTGATAACCTGCTCATCAAAATTAGAATCAGTGAGAACAACAACTTTGGAATCGTCATTTGCTGGTTGTGGCTTGATTTCAACTCCTAATCTGTTTAGGGCAATTTCTCTAGCTCTATCCAAAAGATAATCTACTATTGCATTCTTTTTCCTTTCTCCCTCATAGGCAATAGGATCTGCTTTATTTACACCAAAGAATTTAATAGTTGGATAACTATTGACTCCATAAGGTTATCCAGCCTCTCCATCAGTAGTCATATCTAATGCACCTATTTTGATAATTCCATCTAAAGCTTTAGCAGCCTTATTATATTCTGGGGCTAAAGCTTTACAATGACCACACCAAGGAGCGAAGAACTCGACTAGCCAAGGTTCACCTGAATCAAGGACCAATTATTTGAAATTATCTTTAGTAAGTTTGATCACTTTGGAATCTGCATCGTATAAAGCAAAGCATTATGTAATCATAAAGGTCAGAAGAAGTAAAGAACAGCAGCTTTTCATTTAGATGTTATTTTTATTATCGTGTAGTGTTGGAAATATTCTAGAATTTATAAATCTACACGTTATATTTATACTATATAATTATTAAATATTCTCTAATTTCCTATTATTTAACAATTCAATTTATTATAGAAATATAAATTAAATAGACAAAAACTATGAAAACAAAAATAAGTGGAAAATTAACATGTTAAAAATAATGAATTAAAGTAAAATATTTAAGATAGTATGAAATGTGTAAAATCTATTTATTTTATTATTTAATATACTAATATATCTCATGCACCAATTGCTAATTTGGATCTAGCTGCTTGTTTTCTGGATTAACGAGCAACAACTTTATTATTGGCTTCCTTTTTAACATTCTCATCTCTTTAAGCTGCCCAAATTTCAATATGTGCATTTGATGATAGGAATGCTATTTGAATTATAAGTATGATAATTTTACGATTGATTCTTCCGTGAGCTCTGTATGTTCGACGTCTTCCCTTTTGAGCTCTGTTAACTTGAACATGATTGATGATCAATTTTTCATTGCTCAAATTTTTAACTTAAGCATTAGCTGCTAAATTTTATAAGAGAGACAATACAATTCTAACACTTTTCTCTGGCCATCTACCTAATCATTGATTTTAACACTCAAATACCTTGGGATCTGCCAAATTCTTTAGCTTATCCTGTTCTACCAACCCCACCATTGAATCTGGTGAATGGAACGCATCTCTTATGTTAAAGGACATCTTGCATGTATTTAAGAGCCTAAGCAAGTGTTTATCCCTTGATTGCTCTTGCTACTTCATATGTGTTCTTGAAATGAGTTCTTAAATCACTAGCTTTGGCCTTGGCTGATTGTTTTGCTACTGCAGGTTCTCTGGCATATTATTTTCCCATTAAATTATATCCTTTTTAATTTATTTAATTTTTTTTCAAATTTTATTAAGAATTGAATAACAATAATGTTTTATATATTGATATTTAGATGCAGCCATTTCAATTATTTACTATAGCATATCTGACTCTATATCCACCTCCAAACTATTCAATGTTGCCACTATCAAATAACTCTTTTGGTTGACTTTTGAATAAGAATCCTAAGTTCCTTTTCTATTATGGTATGACAAACTCATTTGATGTGTAAAAGTTCTTGTCTTAAATGTAATTAAAAAATGAAACCTGTTAAAATTGCATAACTGTTATTTGAGGCAGAGAACTTAAGAATCTTTTCATCCTTAGGTAAATCAATGGGTCTTGGAACATAGCTCTCATCGAATCCTGATAAATAGATTCTATTTTGGTCTGTCAAAAATAAGGAAAGATTATATCCAAGATCAAAATCAATCACTTTTTCATTAGGCTAAAAGTATTTCTAATTAACTGGAGTGGGTGTATAATTTTCCTAAGCAATATTTTAAATATCTTACTAAATCTGTAACAACATATTCTTATTGTCTGACTCCCAATGAACCATAGTAACTTCTACCCCATCCAACAACTATTCCCTCATCTGATAACATATATTATAGAATATACTTAATAAGGCTAATGTTCCAGCAAAGCAGGATTTGATCTTCTAGATGGTGTAACCAGATTTGCTCAATTATTCAAATATTGGATTAAGTTCTGGATATTTGAAATTGAGACTGCATCCATTACCTAATTCTCCTCTCTTTCCTGCACCCCAGACATAGACTTAATTGCTTTCATTCACAACAATAGAGTAATCGATGCCAGCACTAACAAATTTACCTTTTGGAGTGCCAACTAATTTTTCAACTGCTTAAGGTGTTGCAACATTATTCTAATAGTTATCTCCTAATCCACTAGCTTTACCTTAGAATTAATCCCAAATTGAGTTGTTTGCATTTCCCCAAGTATAAACATTTCCATCAGCTAAACTATTAACATTTATTCATAATACAAGCCAAAGCAACTGCATGATTTGATCCCAAAGCCACATCGGTCACTTTTAATCCTTTATCTCTGAAGTATCTAACCAATTGAGGTGTTTGATGTTCTTCTGTGTTGCCTAAACCTAATTGTCCATAGTTATTGTGACCGAATGTATATAAATCACCATTGTCTTGTAATTTAATATCAAAGGAATACCTGTAATGACAGCGGTAAAGTATTCGCTTGGATATACCTTAGCCACATTACCATTAAATTCATCTATTCTTCTTGGTCTCAATTAATCTCCTTTTGAGTCCTAATTGATTCCGCAGCCTAAACTGTGAACTCCCCAAGTGTACAAATTGCCTGCTCTATAAATTGGACGAGTCCATAATGATTTGAAAAGACCACTATGTGTTAAGCAATTCATAAAATATTTATTTCAAGATCTAATTAATTATTTACATAGAAAGATTCAAAAAAAGTCTCTTTTATGTCGAATCTCTCTTTTCATAGTCTTTTGGCAATTGCATGGATAGTTGGTTGGAATACAATTATAATATTTTTTTGGATAGAATTTCAGTTTCTTATTGGAAAGTAGGAAACAGATTAGAATTATGTTACGAACAACGAAACCCAAGATTGTAATTATTAATGTTTTAATAATAATTAAATTTACATGAGTGATTTAATCTCCAAAGCAGTATCAAATTTCTATGACAAAATAACTGAATATTGCCTCCCCATAATAAACCCTAATTCTCAAGAATCTAGGGAACCCAATAAGAGACTTTTATTGAATAAATCAAGCAAATCTCAATCGCAACATGCAATATAAAAAATAATTGCAACATCATCAAACCAATCCCCTCCGAATACAGGGACTACGCTTTAGTTTTCCTTTGGATAGAATAATCAGCCCAAAGATAACGAATCAATCTAACCATCTAGTTTAATGAATAAAACCATAGATCAATAGGAATCTTATAATGATATGATCAACATTAATTAGTTAATTAATCAAAAAAAGAAGGAACTAAATGCTGAGAATAAATATTTTCTATAAGAAATTTCTAGAATCAGATGTAATTACCCTCTATCATTATTAGAAAACTTCGAAATGAAATCCAAGATTAGGAATAAATTTCAAAAAGAAAGAAAGTCTACCACTTCATCATAAGACAAATACGAAAAGTGCTGGGATGAGACCCTGAAAGAAATAAACAAAGATTCCAAGGATTTCGAGTAACTAATTGAGCAATCCAAGCGATTCAAACGAATCGAAAGACCAAAACCTCTCAGAAGCCAAGTAAAACTTATTTTAATCTCCTAGGTATTTTCCAGGATCAGAGAACATGAAAATCAATATTTTAAATAACGTTCGGAATCTATCATTAAATAAATGAAATAAAGATAAATATAAGTTGTAGATGAAGTTTCTGCCCAAATTGAATAAGTTTAATTATTAAAAAAAGAATAATAATATTAAAGATCCAAAGAAAGAGAAGAGGGAAAACAAGAAATCATTAAATCTTTGAAGTTTAAGGAATAAGGAAAATTACTTAAATTATTATAGAATAAGTCTTCAAATCGTCATCTTCAACTCTCTAGAAAAATCCTAGAAAAATCGGATGACGGTATCCATTCCTTTTCAAAACGCAATAAAATCAGATCAATTAGTTTTAATTGTGTTTTGCCTACCATTGATTTGAAATAAGATGAAGGATTAATTTAAACGATAGTTTAGTAATAGCATTAAACAAACCACAAATTTATTGAAAAACCCAATTTTAAAAGAAAAAGTCTAATTGTAAATCAAATTAATAGCAACCCATATTAGGATTTATCTAAGCTCATTAGATGTTCATGATATCTTATTGTTCTCATTATTCATGCATTTATATTTTATTCAATTAAAGAATAAATATGAGTTAATCATGTAAATTGTCACTTTCTACTCTCAAGGGTTAGCAGCCATTGTTTCCTAACATTTCATATAAAACTTCTGAGTCTCCTTCAAAAGATTTGATTCCCCTCACTAATTATATGTTATTTGAATAAAAGTAGGATAAAATAAATGCTAATCGAATGAAAAGTGGTAATTAGCTGAAAAATGAAAGAGTAGAAACTATCTCTAGATATCTTCGTTAATTAGTACTCACGAAGAAAAGTTTTAATCAAGATATATCGAAAATATAAGACAAGGATAAAATAACTGATTCCAAGGATACAATTTCAAATTCTGAGGAATCTACTTTGTCTTTTCATAACCTAAAGAAAATCGATGATAAATTCCGCAAATAAAGTATTTAAGTTATCATATATATAATTAGTGTTTTAAAGGATTAGTAAATCATGTAAAGATCTTACTGTTTAAGGTAATTAAGACAACTAAATGCAAAATCATTGCATCGTTGAATTAGACTAAGAGCAAGAAGATTGCGAACGCAATATTTCTCATGTTATTAAGAATTAAATAAATATCTCACCAAATTTATATAATAATTTCATACATAATAAAATTTAAAAGTTATCACCATAAAATTAATAAAATGTATTTAATTACTATAATTTTAGGTTGTGTTGGACTTTAGTTAATAAAATAAAGAATTTCGAGAAAAGAATACCCAAATTATACACATGATTAGGAATGTTCAGCAAAATATTTTCAGACAAAGAGAGGAGGAAAGGTTAAATTTGGATAAAGATTATAAAATTTAAAAAGTTCAAAGACAAAAGGAAAGAAAAGAAGGATTGCACAACGCATAAGTAGGTTTGAAAGATCGAAAATTAAAATTATTGTTAAATGCTCTTAAAGGATCTTAAAGTAAGTAGAGTTAAGATCCTTTAGTATTAAATATTAAAAAAAAATAAAATAATATGGGGAACTAATCAACAATTATAAGTAGATAGAATTCCTTTTAATATTATAACTTAAATTGTATTACTGACAAATAAAATGATGATAAAATGATCAGAAAATTTTCTTAGGTTTCTGATGTTTGTAGTTCTGAAACCTCATTAGGCTCAAATTGTTATATATGTAATAAATTGAAAATAATCTGTAGAATTTCCACGAAAACTTTCCAAAGCCACTTGATTATCGATTATTAATATTCTATAGATTATCATAAATTCGTTTATTTAATAAGTTTATTGGAAAATAAATAAAAAAAATAATATCTAATGTCTGGAGAGCTACCTAAAATCACTTCTAAGAGTTTATTTTCTACTTATGTTGAAAAAAAGAATGCAGAAGAAGAATCTCTAAAAATTAGGAATAGAATTGATTAAATACGACAAGAACGTGATAAAATATTAAAGAGAATATAGTCTGAAGAGTTAAAGGCAGAACAAATTTACAAACATAGATTGGAACTATAATTAAAAGTAATTTCTATATTAAAGTGATAGAAAGAAGAAAAAATCAGATAGAAGGTGGAAGCACCTCCTCCTTTTTCTTTAGGTGTTTCTAGAGCATAGAGAGAGACTCTAAAGAGAATAAAAGAAGAAATGCTTCACAGAAAGAAAACAGAAGTAAAGGAATTTAGAAGTTGGCATCGACATGATTTATAGGAAACTAGATTATAGAAAAGTTTAGATCATGAATCTTATCGTTCTAAAGTTCTTTAAGGAAAGGAAGAAGAGAGATAGGCTAATTAAAATACTTTAGAGAAATTGAAAGAAAGACGAAATAGAATTAGATATGAATTAGAAATAGAAAAAGATCGAATTCAAAGAGAGAAGAACGAGTATGATTAAAAGATTCAAGAATTAGAATAATTGGAATAATTAGAATTAGCAAATTTGTAGAAAACTCTCCAAAGACAAAATTAAGCAAAAGAAAAGGTTAATTTAGCTTAAACTTTGCCACCTAAAGAATTGGAAGCTAAATTTGGTTATAATTCTACAAGTTCATGACAATATTTATAAATATAAAATTTCATTTGTGAATTGAACGTATTAAACAATTTACAAAATCACTTATTTTCTTACTTCAAATTACTTTAATATTTTTACCCAAGCTGTCCATACATTAGTAGTCATAAACTAGTTATTAATATTTTATAGTTAGATAATTAAAGTGGTTGGCTCATAAATGAGTTAAGTTATTACGCTGCTGTTCTTAACTTTAATCAATAGCTATTTCTATAAATTCTAGATAATATATTTATGATAAATATAAAAAATTCCCAATAATACCAAAATAAATCAATCAACTAACATATATGTATTTACACCCTATCCTTACTAGATGCTTCCATTGTCGTATAATTGCCTTATTGATTATCTTTTTATAATAGATTTAAATACTTAATGTCCTATAAACCATGTTGATCTGAAAACATATTAATAATCTTTTACATAGGGATACTAGTATCACCAAACTATTTGATAAAATTTAAAATCTATTTTAATATATAAAATTGGATACCTTGTCTGACAAACTTTATTGTGAAGGTTTAAATTATTCCTCTTCTACGATTTATGTGCTTGTTTACATAAAATTTGGATTTTTGATATGATTAGATTTAATTGTTTATTGTATAATATTAAGCATATGCGATATTACTTAACCAATTTGATTTACTTTTTTGATGTTCATAATATCAAAGCATATACCCTCTTTGCGAATTCTAGTTCTTAGCAAAAATTAAAAATAACATGTTTTTGGCTCTTCATTATTTACAATATTAAACATTTCTCTGACATAGTCACCTTCTGAAAATAGTATACTAATTTTTTCAAAACCACTATCATCATTAATAACTATAGATCCTTTGCCATCGCTATCTTAAGATGATTCTGCTCGAGCTACAACTTGAATTAATGTGATTGGTTTATCGTGGAAAAGGATCTCGTTTTTATCAGATACAGATATTTTGAGTTTCTTCATCATTCTTATGGTCATATTAGTAACTTGTTCATTATAGTTCACTCCTTGCTTGAATCCTGATTGATTTTTTTATTCGCTAAACTAGGATTATTAAAACATAATTAAATTAAATTCTTAGCGCCATTTCGAAAATTAAATTGTTATTATCAAAAATTGATGAAGAACAAAATATAAGTAAAAATATTAGATTAATATAATATTGATTGGATATCATCCTAATTTATCAATTTAAATAATTTAAATTTCATTAAGCTCTTTATTCAATCTAATACTTTATTTATTTTTAGCTGTTGAAACCTCCTTTTATACATCTTTCAACTTGTTGTATTCAATATGTTATGATTTAGATAATCCATAGATTTTTAAGTCCTTTTTCTCTTCTCTCTATGAAGAATTATGGGATAATTAATTTATCTACTCCCCATTACTTTCTGATTCCACTTTTAAAAACCTGAAATCAAATTCCTATTACGGTAATGTAATCTCGTTTTCTCTTTAAGTTTACATCTATCTATTCTATTTAACACTACATAACTCACTTTAATATGTTTTCGTCTTCTCCTCTAATTACATTTTATCAATTGTATCATTAAACATATATTACATCTTTTGTTGAATTCTTTACTATTCTACATAAGAAGGTACTTCATAATACACCTATACTTTTATCAATAAAATACATTCGAACTGAATGATATAAATTTAGATCTTATGGGCTTCAACAACTTATGCCAGGCACTTTAATATAATCGAGCTAACTTCCTCTATAATAGACGCCCTTATCCATGATAGAATAGCAACTTATGATAATTAATGACAAACCTATTGATTGTCAAATATTCATATGTGGTTTTGTTGGCAAAAATAAAATAAGTATGCAAAACTAATAAATATGCTGAGAACACTAAAAAGCCAAAAGTTTTTAGAGCATAAATTATAAACTCTATTAATAAATAGTCATTCAAATGACTCAGATGTTGGATTTGTACAGTCAAGAACCAAGTAAGCATAATGGTTAAGAAAAATAAAAATAAGTAAAAGTATCGATAATTTCTTTATCCTATGCATTACCCTAACCATAGACAATGATGATCAAATCCTTAAACACAATTATCACATCTTCTGCAGTGTGCAGTGGAGCTAGTTTTATAAATTTTACATGAATCACAAAACTTTAATTCACTTACTTTTGTCTAAATCACTGATATTAGTTCATTTGTAAATTTTTATTTCTGTGGTATAAGATAACATTCAGTATACCTTATTCATATAATATTTTACTTTTTAAAATTAAGAATCGAGTCTTGGTATTATACCTGGGTCACTGAAAACAGTTAATATCATGAATATATCTGTTAGAACGATTAATAGTATTTCTGCAAAAAATACATCCAATTTTGGTGAGATTCTGAATAGTTGAATTAAAGAAAGAGCATTCAAATATACAAAAGATGCCATAAACATCAGTCTAGAATAACCCATCACTAATCTTCCTTTTAAACAATGTTTTGACTTCCCATGATAAACTTGATAATAAGGAACCCTATAATCTGTACTTTGTACTCTCATGTATTAATTAAATTTAAATAAAATTATAATATACAATTTATGATTCAAGCATGTGAATGCTTACTTCTCAATTTGAAAAATAAACAAAATTCTCTTCCAAATTAAATTTGATTATCAACTAGTTATATTATATTCTGGATCCATCTGAAATTAAATTATTAATTACTTTAAAGAGGAAACTTCTTTTTCAATCTAAATGATTATCAATATCAACTCTTATGATAGGATAATAGTATTTCATAAAATAAATCGTTTTGAAATTTTAGATTATATTTATAAAATTATTATAAACAAGTTTTAATTTATGAAATAAAAAAGAGAAGAGTTTAGATAATAAATTAGAAAATAGGCAAATGAAAAAATTTTTTCGCAAGTTAGAGGATTGATTTAGAGATCCGATTAAGAGTAGAATTAGATGGTTACAACAGAAAGCGAATTTTTCCAAGAGCTTACTTTGTAAATTAAAAAGGATTTTGATGAAAAAAGTTTACTAAAAATTTTAAAAAAATGGGAGGACAATTTTGATAAAAAATAGTTGCAAATCCTTTTATTTAACTAAGAGTTTCCTTATTTCAAATTTCTAATTGCAAATTTTAAGATGACAAAAAAGTATATTAAAATTTTGATTTTCATTTTTGTGGCAATAGAGCATGATATCTCTGAAGTTCATCATGCTTTGTATTAATATTAACTGCTTAGTCAACTGCAAAGTAATTTTGAGAAAGTGGATTAAGAGATGTAGTAATAAGTATCACATCTTGCAATATTAGATAATGTTTCTATTCAGCGTATTAGTACAATATTCGCAATTATATCGATTGGCTATAAAAAACTCAAATGTAATGGACATTGTTGTTACTTAATTCATAAATTAAAAGATTGATAGTTTCACATAGAATTATATCGAATGTTTCCTCTTTATGATTTGGTCCCTAATAAATCCAGACATTTCATCAATGTCTGATTTATTTGAGTGGTTGTTTGACTGTCTTCTCAATTTAAATGCAGCATTGGTTGACTTTTAATCTGAATATTTATTACCTATCATTTTCAAGGCTGCATCTTAATTTACATTTTGCCGAGAGAAACTGTTTTAAAAGAATATGAATTAGATAATAAACTAATTACTATCCTACAACAGAAACTAAACAATTTACGTATATTTTGTGGTTATAAAATTAGTTAGAATTTTTAGACTTCTTAAATAATTTGTTAATGCAGTAGCCAGACATTTTTGCTGAGTTTTTCATATAAAATTGTTGGAATGTCATTAAATAAATATTGACTTAAAGTGAATTTATTTAGGAGGCTAAAATAAGGGCAGGATATATAATATTGGAGGCTGTGAATAACAGGGAAATAGAAGAATTTTTGAAAGGATAAGACATTCTAAATGAGGTTTTGAATCTCGTACTCTAAACATAAAATTTTGATGTAATGTGGAAATTAATAATTTAGTTAATTTAGGTTTACTTTAATTTACTTTAGGCTTTACTAATATAAGAGTAATGCCAATAAAATCAAATGGATAAATTGGCTTAAGGGATAGTCCACTCTGTCACACTAACAACTGAAGTATTTAAATAATGATATTGATGAGATTCAATTAGTACAAGTATGGCAAGTGATCTTGTACCTAATGTAGGATTTGGAAAACAAAGAAATGCTTATAGACTATTTAAGGAAATATAATTTCAGGAGGATAATGGAGAATTGCTTGCAAATAGCCCAGAGCTAAATGATTTCGAGCATCATAAACAGATGTTTCGAATTATTATGATGAAATAATTTAATTGTAATTAATTTAAACAATTGGATATTTTAATTTAAATTGATTTCTAAATATAGCAAAATCCTATAAGGCAACTATCAGATTCAAAATGAATATTGATATTAAAATAATTTTCTATAGGAGGATTACTTGATGATTATGAGATAGGCAAATATATTATATTTATAAATTGATAACATTGCTATTCAGACTAATTCTTAGACACATTCACATTCTGGATGTCTTTCGAAGAAGCCAAAGGCGCATGAGAAGCTGGAAAGAGAATTGGAATCAAGGCATTCTTCTCTCAAGACAGCAGCACAAGCAGCAACATCACAACCAGTTGAGAATTAGAATGATGGGTAACAGTTGGCTTTACCGCATTTGCTCCTAGAGTTGAATAAATTATAATAGAATACAATGCAATAAGTAATTTATTTCCTGATTTGTTAGAACAATCGATCAAACAGTCATAATCAGCTGCGCATTTGTTTGAGCAATTTGTTGCAGCAATAGCACAGAAGGCATTCTTTTCACAAGCAGCTACTTCATCTGGGCATTTTTCTCTAACACATAATTCTACTGGGTCATCTTAAGCAACAGCAAAGGCCAAAAGAACAATGAATAAGAGTGCTTTCATTAATTTTAATAACACATTATTAATTATAAGATTTTTTATATAAATCCCGGTGACGTTATGAAGAAAATCCAAGCAAAACTATATATGTTTTGATTACAAATTAATAGATACATGCATAAATATCATATTCTATGCTTATATCCTTTAAATTTATTTTTTCCTCAGAGCTCAGTACGCATGAACATTCTGGATGTCTCTCAAAGAAGGTTGAAGCACATTAGAATGATTGTAATCCCAAATTCTATGCGCATTCACTCTTGAAAGAAGCAACGCATTCTTCAACATCACAAAATGATAGTGCAACATCTTAACATTTTTCATGTCCACATTCAGCCCTTAAAATAGATTATAAACTTACAATGCTATCAATTTGGCGTTCTTTGAGGCCACAGAACAGTTATACATGCATTCAGCATCTTCACCTCCACATTAGTTTTTGCATTTCATTGCTGCAGAAGCACATCCAAAAACTTCCTTTTAGCATGCAGCATATTCATTTGGGCATCTGTCTTTCAAGCATTATTCTGGATCAGCAGCATATGTGAGAGCCAAGAGAACTACAATTACGATTGCTTTCATTTTTTTATTTAATTAATGATATTAAACAATTATTATATCCTTCCTTATATAAGCATTCTAATGACGTAGTTAAAATAAATTTCTAATTATAAACATTTGTTATATATTACAATCATTTATTTTCTTAATTTAAAAAACTCCCAGAATTAAGATAATAGAGAGTTCCCATCACTAACTTATTTATTTCTAATCCAAATAATACTTAGATAACCATGGAATTTACTATTAAAAATAGATAAAATTTAAACTATTTAGTATATTTTGAGTATCCAAATTGAAGACATAAAATAACAAATCTATAGTTAATTATCCATAAAAAGAAATCTATAAGTATATGGCTACAACTAAATTTAATTTATAGAGGAACTTTGTGACTAAAATTTAAAGTTCAACCAAAAATTACGATATTCATTTACTATAATAATAATTAACATAATATATTATTTTACTTGAAGAAAAGGAAATTAACTGATAAATGGGATATGATAATAATTTATTTATAACAAAAGAAACTTTATAATGGGTAAATTCCTTAGTTAATGACAGACCATGAACCCAACCTTTCTTTAATGAGGAGAACTTATAAATATTGTTTAATAACATAATAATATTGATATCAGTAGGCTAGTTAGGATGAGGACTAACTTGATATACTTTTTTATTAAAGTTATTAAATTCTGGCAGTGAGTTTTTGAGGAGTTGATTATTTTTATGAAAGTCTAAGAATAATATTGATTTATACTTTCTATTATTAATTGTTAGACTTATTGATGCTCGGCTTTCATTCAAAACAGATTGTCTGTTGTTTTGTTAAGATTCAAGAATAGATTTTTGTAATTCAACTTCCAAAGTTTTCAATTTCTTCTCTTTTATAACTTAGCAGTTAGGGAGAGTTTTCATCAAGCATTTCCATGAATCAAGAGGTTACAGAGAACTCAAAATTACAGTTAATTCTCTTGCATTTAAATTGCCATGAATTATGCTTATCAACTTTGTAATATAGTAAAATAAGCTTTCATTGTAGCTGTGAGCTCTTAAAGCCGTTTGCATAGAAAGTTGTATAAGCATTATAGAGGGAACTAATTAATCCAACATTAAATAAGATATTTTAAAGTAAGTAAGTGGGAGCCTTTTCAAATATCATATTTATAAATTCGACAAACTGATATTGATATAGAGAATTTTGTTTGCTCTTAAAGAAAAAAATAATGTATAAATGGATGGTTGTTTCACTTAAGAACTTGTAGATATTTCTATTTAATTTTGTTGCATCATAAGGTTCAAATATGGCAAATCCATTGTTGATTGTTTAAAACAAAATAAATTGAGAAGTAAAACTCAAATCTAAATTTTACCTATTTAAGTTAATGATGATTTTATTCAGATATTCTATTGTTGAATAGAAAATCTCCCTTAAAAATTCTTATTATTCAGCATTTCCATACCTTTTAGCAAGATAGTATATTGAATTTATTATTTTACCACATTGGAAACTTACATCTTTCTTCATATGTATTTCATATAAATAAAATTTAAATAAAGAAAGCACTAATTCTTAATTTAAAACCAAATTACAAAAGTGTTCTCCATTGTCTAAGTTTCTCATCTAATGAATGGCAATCACATTAACTATTTTTTCTAATAAGTTTATGAGATGTTCAAAAGTATTTGCATTAAAATAAAATTCAGATGAATGTATTTCAAATTAACTTGGATTTGCTTTTTGATTACCTGAAGGGTACAGCATTATAAGTTTACTACTTGAAAATCCAGTCTCTGATGACAATGAAGACCTGGAAGTCTATTAAAGATTTTAAGCCCATAATGATGTTTTAGAACTGACAGATTTCTCATGTTTTTCCAATTTCTCAACACTTCCCCTTTTTGATTTGGAGTCATTAAATGCAAATTATAATTCACTCTATTTATTAGACACTGATTTTGGAGTATTAATCGATGGGAGAGTGGGTACATTGAGACTTATGTTACGACTATGTGAAACAGTCGGTGTACGATGAGTTGTCATCTAAGATTCTGCTTTCGTACTTTACTTTCTACTATAATTAATAGACTTATGCACTCTTCTTTCATCTAAATATGCTCTTATGGCGTCTACATCGTTTTCTAATAATTAAGCATAAGATATATTTTCAGGATATTGGATATGTTCTTCTAAATTTTGTGAATTGGCTGATCCTCCTAAAGGTCCAATAAATTCATCTAATGTACTGATTTTCACAATTTCAATAGGTTTTTGAACATCTTTGAATTTTGATAGAAAGTTGAGTATTTGCTATTTTTCCTCATCCTTCTCTGTTACAGGAAACTTTAAATTGGCAATAGAGTAATTTTATTGGAATATTGCATTACTTAAATATTCTATCCATTTAGTTTCCAAAATGTATTACCAAATCTATTTTTAAATAAAAAAACCAAGTTTATATTTATCAACAGTTAAGTCTAAAATATCAATTATCAAAGATTCAATAAATGGGTTACTTGAATATTATAAAAACAAGAATAGGAAATCTAATTCGATGATCTTCAATACACTAGCTTTTGGACAAATAAGCAATAATTGATCAATTAAAATAGCTAAATGATTTAAATTCAATTGAATTGATTGATTGTTGAGGCTCTCTATAATTTATTCAACTATAAGAGGATAAGAATTAAATGATACATATTTTGGGAGTCATATCTTGAATTGTCAGATAAAATCTAGAGTGATTTACTTTTTAAGTCAAAAACTGAAGACTTTTGAAGGATCTCACTGTGTTCAAATAATCCATGGGTATAGTACTAGATTTAAATGTAGTTTTGTAATCATTGCTATCTATATCCTTTTTCTAAAATAATAGACCCTTAATATTGAATTGTAAATAATACCCAATCATCTATAAGTTCTGTTTCTAGAGGATTGATTATAAATTTAATTAGTATCTCTATGTTGTCGTTATTATGTAGCTGGAGTTGATCATGTTGAGTAACCATTTCTATAGGTTTGCAGATTATCTTTTGCATAATTTCAACATAATCAGAAACTGATTCTACTTTACTGGCTGGTGTTATATATTCATCATCCTACTCAGTTTTGATTTGTTTTTCGGTTCCAATGTAGTTGAATGAAGACATAGACTTTTTTCTGTCTAAAATCCACTTAGGAGCAATCTCAATAGTCCATCTATTGCAAACTAAATAATATAAAATAAATATTACAATCGTCTAATTCGTAATCATATTTGTTCTTCCATGGAAATTCATAAAATATACTCTATTTACAATCGAAGAACTGATCAATCAATTATTACTGAAATTTTTGGCATCGAGTATGTGTAATGAACTGTTTAAAAATTATTGACATTTCTTCCAAATCCACATTGAGTTGAATTGCCAATAAAAAGAATCTCTTCAAGTAAGAACAAGCGAATCTTTTAGCTATTAACAATTTCTCTATGACTTATTTTGAAAATGGTGTGGACCCCTATTTTTATTATTCTTCAATAATCTTATTAACATTTCCGCTATGCATATATATCTTTATATACTTAAATGTCATCTTTAGGCTTCTAGTACTCCTATTGCCTAAAAATTCTCTGTATTCTTAGAGTTCACTTACATCCTAAAGTGCTCTATAAAAAGCGAAAAGGAATAACTTATGTTTAAAATAATCAAAGAAAGCTGATATCAGTAATTCAATGCTTGCCTATTAGAAAGGATAAGAACAAATCACTTATTATAAGTTACAAATAAAAACTTGATTTTAAGATGTTATGATCTGTGATTATTTACATGTTTCTCAAGTTCAAAGAAACTTCCTTAATTCCCAAACTTATTTTTTGAAGTCGTACATATTCATCGTCTTCTCCCAACTAAGAATATTAAGGATATTGTTACAGCTTCTGCAAACATCATTAGAGTGTGTTATTTTTAATATATGATTGTAAAATTAAAAAAAGCTTGGTTATAAATCAAATTATTCACAGATATGTCATATCAAAGTAGGAAAATCATTTTTAGATACCAAACTTACTAAAGCCTACATTTTAGGATAAAAAATTTAGAGACAGTTTTTATGGTGGATGGCCAATTAATTTAAAATTGCTTTGTCTCTTAAAAGTTGAATTTAACATAAAACAGAGAATAGTAATGAAATAATTTTGGAAAGTACTGAGAGTAAAATAAATAATAAATAGTATGGTATTTCAATACTTTAAAGTGTTTTATTTTATTTAAATTAAAATCTAGATTTAATTATAATATATAAATATCTGTGAGTTTTGATATATATATACATACTGTAATGATAATATAGTGTGTGTAATATCTTGAATTAAAACATATGAAATCAAATACTAATTATAAATCAAACGATTTTGAGGATAATAGTTTTAAGTTCATGGAAATCATGATATTATTTTATTAAAAGGGATTGAGCTGATTACATTAAGTTTTTGAAGAGATTAAATGAAAATTCACGATTTCTATTTTTTACCTTCTATGCCCAGGTATCAAAGAGTGATATTGAGTCTTCTAAATTCATTTCTTAGAATTTAGCAATGAAATTATTTCTAAGTGTGCTATCTCCTGGGAATGTTAAAATTAAATGCATAATCAGTGCTCCAAAGGCGAGTGCCATATTTTCAATATTATTCAAGGTTTATTGATTATTATTAATGGGATTGAAATCGGAGAGCATAACCTTTGAAAATCCATGAATTAATTACTTATAAATCTCCAGTGACAGTAATAGTAACCATGATATTTTCAGGTTTTAAGTCAACAATGTGGATGTTCCTTAGTTTCAGAAACTCCAAACCTTGGACAATCTACACCATAATGTCTTGAATCAACTTGAGTTTTTATTTGCAAGACATGGGGTTCATATAAAAATAAGCATAGCTAAGCAAATTTTTGGCCTATGATACATAACGTGGATAAGTGCAATATTCAATTTACATAAATAAATAAGGTTGGAAGTTGAGCATTTCGAGCCACCAGTCATATAATCTGACAACATTGGGGTGCGAAAGGGAAGCAAGTATTTTGGCTCTGCCTATATGTACATCTTTAGAATGGAAGACATTCATAAATGATGAATTGAAGGTGGTTCTCAGATGAATCTAGGAGATAATATAGTGAGGGATATTTACTCGCTTTACAAAATAAATCTGATCATCCACAGGCTTATAGACATGAAATAATGATTGATGACTTTCGATTTCTTCGTTTAAGATGATGAATTCATTCTTGAATTTGTTTGTTTTTAGAAATTAGTTTTTGTAATCTTGCTGCACATATGGTATCTTAATTATATTTTCAATTCTAAAAAAATGCATTAAAAATCTAACTCGCTCTTATTTTTAATCAATCACTATCTTTTTGATAATGAATTCTCTGATGTTCCTATGGATATAGATAAAAGCAGTGGATTTAATCTAGCCTGTCGAAGTTATGAACCCAATGTTGATATCCTAATAGAAACATCTAAAAAGCTGATTTTCTTTGCTCTCTATATTAGATCATAAATACAATGAATTCCTATTTCGATTTAATGTAATTAGGGATTAACATCCTTTTGAGAGCTTTGCGAATGACTTTAGTGATCATAAGGATGTAGTGAAAGAAGGGATCATCGTAATAGCAATTGTGGCTTATGTTTGAGATGATGAGAACTTGGGTGAATGATGGATAGTTGTCTGTTGATAGGAATTCCTGTTTGAGTTTTTGATTGTCTATCTAGTTTTGTAGTTTGACTATACATTACAAGTGCGACCTTGATTTTGTTCTCATCAGCAATTTGGACAACTTCCTTATAATTCTCTACGTCCTCGGCGACTTCCTCAATCACAAGGTTACTATTCATGAATTCATAATGCTATCATGATTCTGAATCATTTACCTCACAACTATTCTAATACATAAATATATAAATATATATTTTATAGAAATCTTATTTTTATTTGCGAACTTATCATGTGTATTTTGTGAATATTTTGTGATTCTCCTGATCTCGTCCTATTCCTCAGATTGCCCAAGGGAGAAACAGATTTCCGCACATATATAACTATATAAATAAATTTGTATAATAAAATAAATATTCAATTTAGATGATGACCTTATAATCGGACAATAGAGCATTAAATGTCAAATAAACAATTTTTGAACACTTTATATTTCCATTCAAATTGAACCCCCAAATTTTAAATCAAATTAATAGCTCATTCATCTCCTTTGAATAATTTAGAGATATTGCTCAAAAATACTCAGTCTCAAATATCGATGCCGATGTTATTTTCACTTTCTTTTAGTTGGCATTAGAAAACTAGCCAACAGTAGAACGCAAAATTGTGGATCTCAAACAACTGAGCTTATTCTTGTCCTTACAAAATTTTAATCATGCAGGAAGACATTCAATTTTTGAAAACATCAACATCAACGATGTGAAATATCAAGAAAGACAACGACAACCCATGAATTCCTATTCTCCATTGAACTCTCCCAGAGCAAAAACAATGAGGGCTCAATCTCAATAGAATGACATACAGTAAGTAATATAGTTTGTGAAATCGAATGTTAAAGATTGGATGAGTCTATTAACCAACAATCAAGAAGCAATAACTAGTTAAGAATTTAATTTGTTATCCTTGATTCTATTTAATGAATAGAAATCTATAAGTTAATTAATTTTTGATCGAACTAACAAATTGGGCAAAGAGATTGTGTCAGAATGGACAATTAAGAATATTTAGTGTTAAGAATATGGTACCTAAATTTATTATCTATATAGCATCAACTATCAGTGGATTCACAAAGTCAGTAACCATTAAAAACAACGTAGGAGAGGATCTAAAAATAACTCAGTGTGATGATTCTATGATTTACATCGATTGCAGTGTAAATACATTATCAATATCCCAATGCACTAACTGCTAAATCTTTGTTGGATCTGTGAGAATGATTACTAGCATAACCTCATGTGAGAAGATAACTGTTTGTGTAGCATCCAATTATCTTAAAATCAGCAATACAATAGATTCAACCATCCATTACTATGGGTCATATTCACCCATTCTCTATGGTGATTGCAGATCCATCATACTTGCTCCCAATAATTCTAATACAGAGAAGACTCTTCAGAGATTAAGAGAAGCATCCATCCCCATTAATAAGTAATGTAGAGACAAATATCAGAAACCCTTAATTATAGGACAGAGTAAGATTGATTGGTCACTTCTACCTATTGAAGAGTTTAGTAAGTTCATATTGCCAGAATCACATTTTGGATGCATTGATTCACCATTGATTTTAGAGTGCAATTTCGATATTGACAGAATGAACAAAGAAATTACAGAAAAGAAGATTTTGACTCAATAGATGAATTATGAAAAGTAAGAAATACCATTTTAAATAAGAGAATCGTTCTTCCACTTCTGGCTCCCCCTGAATACATTAAGGCTGTTTATGATAGATACTAATTGTTTGCTGGCATCCAAGCTTAAATCAAACAATCCAATCTAAAAGAGGAAAATCAGAAACTACTCTAGAATGCCATTTAAGGAAACTTCAGAGAATGGCTAGTGTCCACAGGAACTATTAAAGGGATCAGCGATTTAGTTAAATTAATTGATTAAGAATAATGAAATATATAAAATATAATTTATTAAATGGGTGGTATTTATAGAAGAAAAGGAAATTCGGCAAAGAACAAGTAACATCATCGTATGTTGAAAACCAAATCCTATATAAGAGCTAATGATTAAATACACGATGATATTAAACCTGAAAATATATAAAAATGGTAGAATCAACCAATCGATGAAACATTACCTGGATTAGGTTAATATTACTGCGTCTCTTGTGCTAGGTACTTTGTTAATGAAGAATCCATCAAAAAACATTAAGTTAGCAAATAAGTATGATTACTTTAAGTATTATAGCATAAAAAACAAGAGAAAAGAGCCAAAGAAAAACCATATACTCATATGGAAGCAGAATAAGCTGGAAAATGATTATAAAATTAATATCATCATTTATTTTGATTAGATCTACTTTTAAAATAGTATATTATGCATACTTTCTCCGAGATTGGGGTATCAATATTTTGGTTTCATCTTCTCATTTGAATATTTAGTCTAACTTTGATTACAATAATCTAAAAATGACTTAATAATCTAAAAATGATTATCTCAATCTAATAATGATTAGCATAAACTTGCGCAATCCAATTTAACTAGAATTTAATAGGAATGAATTTATTATAATCTAAAATCAATAAAACTAAATTTCTCAAAAAATATTGCTAATATCCTTATAATCTAAAAAAATTATTCATTTTTTTGAATTGTTCTTTCGAATAATTTAAATCTTAGTATTTAATCTTTATTTTAGTTTTATGAAATCATCAGAATTTTGAAATTAAAATAGCATTTATATAATTTGTTTTTGAACTTCATTTAATTCATTAGCTATTAGTTGTACATTATTATACTAATTTACCAATTCAATCAGATATAATAATAATACATTTTAAGAAGAGGGCAAAAATATTATTTTCTGAAATATAAGTTTATTGTCTATAATCATGAATTATTTTTAATTAAATTATATTGTTTATTTGATTATAATGTTGAACTCTTAGAATTAGATCTAATAGAACTTTATATTATCTCCATTAGAAGAAGAAAAGAATCATTATAAATTTTACTTTTTTCAATTCTAAATTATAATATTACTTGTTTAATAAGGAGAAATCTTTTGCCATTTTAAATATTTTATAGTTTAATGATATTTCCAAATTTGATTGATATATTTGATTGCAACAATAAATTAATAATTGATGAATAATTTGATACCAAAATTCTTACATTATCCAAACCCTTACTATCCTTGTTTTAAATGTAAATTTAGTATCCTTAAAGTCCAACTTAGAATTCCAAGTGAAAACCATAGTTTTTGTGATACTCATAGATTGGAAGCGCATATTACTTAAAAAAAACTAGATAATAGAATAGAAATATGAATTAATTGATGCCTTGAAATTATTAATCTTCAAGTAGGGAATATAAAAATTAAGTAGATTTAATTTAGTATCTGATTGATTAAATTTTATTGGATTTTATTTCTGTAGATTATAAAGCATATATTAACACCTCATACTGTTATTTTAATAATAAATACAAAGTTTTAAAATTTTAAATATAAATCTAAGACAATATTCTAAATCTAATGGAAGGTACAAGTCAATTTATTCATTTGATCAAGGTTCATTGAGTGTAATATACTAATCTTAAAGTATTGGCTAAATATTAGTATTATTTAGTAAGTACAACAGTCTTAAATTAAGGATTATAATGTTCAATCTTTTGATTCTAATAATCTTCATGAGATTTATAATTATATGGTCCATCTAAATGGTAATACTGATATTGTATAATATATAAAAAATAATATGTTTTAATAGCTAAGGTGACGTACATCTTCAGTATAAATGAAAAAAGTAAAATAAAAGGAATGTAAAATAATAAATGAGAAAACCACCATTTGAGCATTGTTTGGATTGCCCAATCATTATTAAATTGATGGATGCATGCCCTCTCTCCCCCTTCTGGCAAATATTCCAGGAAGAGGGATTTGGTGGTTTGGCAGATGCAACACTACTTTATGAATTATTTATGGTCATTATTTCTTTGGTGCCTTGGATTAGTGGATTGATTTTAGGAATATTGCTACTGAAGAGAAGAGACATGAGATCTCTCATTCGTGCAGGAACTCATTTGTGTGCTCATATGTATAAAGTGTTATTAACTCTATTGTAGAACTTGTGATGTTGTCAAGGTTGTTTATTTCAAAGAAGACAGGCCGGATGGTTCATGCTCTTTGAAGTATGGATTGCCATCCTGTCATTCAATATTCGCAGGATTATATACAAGCTGGGTTTTGATTGAAATATTGGTTATTGGAATGAAATTAAAAACAAGACATATAATTGCAGTGATCTCTATGCTCATTGTCCCATACTCAAGGATTTATTTAATTTATCATACGCTGAAGCAATGTATTTATGGTTGGACCATCGGATTTGGGTTTGCAGTGGTGGGATTGACATTGCATCATCAATGCAAGAAAAGAAGAAAGAATAAATAGGTTAAGGCCAAACAATGATTGTTTATTTGTCATTAATTCCAATTCTTCACCTTTTTTAATTATTGAAATCCTGCAGCTATGAGAGTTTGAGCTAATTTATCATCTGCATTTCTATTTTCTTCAAATTAACTTCGAACTTCCTGAATCCAATCATCCCTAGCATGACTGGGCGGTATTTTTATGAAAGCTCTATAGAGTTTCAAAGCTTATGATTTCTAGATAAATTACCTTAGATTCATTATTTATAAATATATAATAAATTCACTATTTTTAATCAATATGTCTATATCATAATAATTATTAAGAATAATTTTTATAGTTCCACTAATCGAAATATACTAGAATATTATTAAAATTATTTATATACTTGAATAGTTATTGAAGGTGAGTTTAATATAAGTAATCTTAGTCTTTAGTACATAATTGTCTATATCATTGAATCCCTTAATTATTTTTGAGATTCCAAGGTCGGATTACTTAATGTTCATAATATTGAAGTGTTTATTTCAGAAATATGAAAAGAGAAATGAATTATTAAATTATTTATGTTATCATATTATAGTACAGGACAGTTTCCGAAATCTTTAGATCCACCATCTCGTTTCAAGTAAAGATAAGCAAGCAAAGTATTCGATCTATCATTTAATCAAGGGAGATGGCGAATCTATGTATAAAAGAAACTTTGAAGATCCCCAGAAACATGATTTCAAACAAAGTGCTCATGCTTTGAATTAAGAGTTCCATCATAAGCAATACCATAAAATTAATGCTGATTACAAGTATTTCTGTAAATCTAAATAAAAAGGGATCGCTTCTTTGATACTATGCATAACACGACAAAGCTATAGAAATAGGAAGATAAGTTGTTTTATGAAAGTGCTGCACGACAACAGAATCTAGATTAACCCAATCATTTGCATAATTGGAAAATTGTAAAAGAGAGACAATATGCAGAGTATGTAACTGCAAATATTTAATAGACGAGTGCAATAGCAATCTAAATGTGACCAAGGGAAACTTGTAAGCAAGAATGAATATTAAGCTACTTAATCATCCAATCCTGAATCTAAAACAAATACTTTGGCTAGATCCAATATGTTCGAAATATCAAAACCTCTATTAAGAATTAACAAAGATCTCAAAAGCTAATAATTGATAAAGAATGTGCAAATTGTATCTGATGATATTCCCGATTGGTGTTCTTCTACTAATAAATACTATACTCCTGAACATATTGAATAAATTAAGAAGTAAAGACAGTAACAATTAGCTAAAGCTGACATCTTGGGTAATTTTATTAAGGAACCCAAGAAGGATCCCGATAATAAAGTTTATCAAGACAATCCCTTTGTTGGCTAAAGATATGTAATTAATTGTATTAACTTAATTTAAGGAACCAAAACGCATGTGTGTATTTTATGATAAACCAGATCATGTGAGAGGACAATAAAGTGCCACTTAGGATTTAAGTAAATCTAAAGTGAACTTAACTTGGAAGGAGAATGTCTAATCACAAAGATTTGAACCAAGATTACCAGAATAAATTGGAAGAACAGATCAACCTGTGATTAAATCACTTAATTAAAAAAGAGATCCCAATTTTCCAAAAGTAGAAAAAATTGGACAATCAGATGTGTATCTATATTTTATTTTATGTAGTTATAAAAAAATAGAAAAGGATAAACCTATTTAATTAAAAATTGGTCATGGCTCTCCTTCTACGTTGAATCCAGTTAAGTATTGATGTATTTGTTACATAATTTAATTGATATAATATTTTACTGTTTTCTCTAAAATTAAAGATGTAATTATATAATCAACAAAATTGCAATAAAACTATTAAATTAGTAGTTTCTTAGGACACTCTTTCATTCTCATGCATGCTTAAATTATTTAATTAATCGTATAATTAATTTGGAATCAATTTAAGTACTTCTGTTTAGTAGTGCATATCTTCTATTTGTAATACATTTGAGAGAGCCTCTATCAGATATAAAATTTATTCCACCTTGATATTAACTTAGTCCAAAGCCTACTCCACCACTCCAAAGAATTTCTAATGAATATCATATATATAATACTATATAAGGTTCAGGGTTAAATTATTGTTATTCTTATAGTCTAAATTGGATATGCTTTTGACAATTGATAAGTTTGTCTAAAACCTTTATTTTATATAGAAATGCAAAGTTTGACTGAGCATAAAAATCAACAAATTTATCTAGATATTCCATCAAGCTTTTCTAAACATATTTATATAATATTTGATCTTCGATTAAACAATGCAAATTGGTATAAGTCTTGTAATAGCATGAAATCAATTTTAACAGGTCTTTTCCGGCTTATTTTTCTAATTTGAACGCCAAATTATAAAGGACTTCAATTATATTATTTTTGCCAATCAGAGGAAATAGCAATTCAGACATTTTTTTAATACAAATCCTAAGTGTCTGTTTAAAATATAAGAATTATTTACCTTAAAAATGACAATATACTCAAATTGCGAAAGATCCTACTCTAGATATTCAACGATAATATCAGAAATAGCATATATTTACTAAAAAAATGTGAATTCTTATTCACTTAAACAATTAGCTAAAAGAACCGATCCATATATAATTTATAGGTCTTTTGTTTGAATGGCCCTATTGAGTATATCCTAAGTTACGTTAAATTAATCTTAAAATTTGAGTTCTCTTTTTGACTACAAATATAAGGATAAAAATTCGGTAAGCGCCAATAAATAGTCATCTGAAGGCAAATCAAATGCTTAATAAACAATTTATTCTAATAATAATTTTTCCTATTGTATTATATCTAAAAGTTAACTTTCTTGTTCTATTAATAAATTTAAAGTATTAAGAGCATCTACATGCAAGGATTTCCATTCTGTAGATTATAAAATTTTCATTAATTAGAACAGCAAGGCTAGGTCGATTTTATCCTTCTCATCTGATAGAATAGTTTTAACAATTTTGGGGTTGACTATTATGCAGTTTTTCAATAGTTATAACATCTTATTGAAATGTGATTGATGATTCAATGGCTAAATGAGATAATATTTAATGTCAATGATGAATTAAGAGACTTCATAGTATGCTTCAAACAAATCTTTAGAATCAATCAGATTACAAAATTGATTCAAAGTTTCAAGAGCATCTGATTTTAAGAACTCTTATAATGAATCTAGGATATTTAAATTGGAAGGAAGTTTTGAATCCCCTAACCTATGGATTCCTCTATTTTATCTGAAGAGACTTTCTAATTTATTTTTCCTAATGTCCATTCTGAATTTCTCTCTCTTCATTTGATTTATGCTCACACAATCATTGGCTATGATATTAATCTAAGGAGTATCCGACATAAAAATATAATTTAAAATATTGCGGCAAATAATATAAAAATATTTAAATTTCATAAAGAAAATAAATTCTTCACTCTCTCAAATGTTTTTAAAACAATAGATTCCCCATAAACTAAAGTCTTGATTTCTTCAAACAGATGTTCACAAACCAAGGCATATGTAATATTTTCATTAACAATGTTATTCTATTTCAATAAATATAGAACATATCTAATTGCTCTATCTATTAACTTATTATTAGTTGGTCGAACGTATATCATAATATTGCTTTGATATCTTCCAATCCGACCCATTAATAGAGTCGAATGAATATTAATAAGACATTTTAACACAATATTTTGTCCTAACACATCATCAATGGCCTTAACCTTTGCAAAATGTATTCTCTCTGCATTTGGTGACAGAAATTCCCATGACATTTCCAAGTTGTCTTAATCATATACAATTCTAAATTAGTTATGATTTCCTCCAGCATACTTGATTCTTCTCTCAATTTGATCCTAACTGATGTCGTGAGATAGCACTATAAAATATGATATTCAATATTTACATTTTTCTAAGCCAACCTTATGTTAATATTTATGCCAGTAATTTGATGACAACGCTCTTGGTTGTCTACCATAAAGCAATGATTCCCAAGCTTATAAGGAATTATTGTAATTTCCTTCAGTAACATCCATCACAAAATATGACCAACTGGGATTAATTGGATTATCTAATATACTCTCAAAAGGATGTAAACTAAATGTTGGACATCTTAAATTATGAGATTATGATGTACCTCTCAGTTGTATCAGTTAAGATATTGATGGCAATATTTGGTTATGATCTATAGAATACAAATTCCTTCTTCAAATAGCAGTCTGCTTCTAATTCAACAAATTTTGCAATAAATTCATGAGCATCGATAGATTCATAATATTGTCTAACATTTTTAATTGAGTTTGTTGCATAATCAATAAAGTTCTCTTTGCATAAAATGGCTAAACCTATGGCATAAGTTAATACAGTGGAACACTGCATTCTCGTACTTCCAGTGATAGCTTAGTGACCAACAGAGAGATTTATTTTATTAATGTTCGGATTGTTAAATACATCTTAACTTCTTTAGACAGTCAATACTTCATCTGGATTACAATACAAGTAAAATGGTTTGCCTATTTTGCTTGCTTCTTAAGCAGCTCCAATAACCCAAGGAGTTTCTCCTCCTTCTGTCGATGATATTAATAAATCTCCCTCTTTAAAGCCCAATTCATTCAATTGCTAAGCTCCAAATTCAGGATGATCTTCAAAATCTTCTACTGATGCTATAATAGCCACATCTCCTCCTGCCATAAATGATATTATATTAGTCTGTTTTGTGATTTATCTATATAGAGTTTCCAATGTCAATGCAAGTCTTCCTGTGGATCCACATCCACAAATGAACACTCTATTACCTTTAGACCAAGTATCCAAGACCATCTGATTCATATGTGCTAATTAATCCAATTTGTTCATCAAGACGTCAAACACATACATATCCAAGTCTTTCATTCTCTAGATTCCAGTTTTTAAATCATTTTTAGCAAATTCAGACAAACCAACCGTATGTGGATGAGCTTATTCAGTTATCAAACCTCCCAAGCTAAATTACGCACTAATTTCTAAGAAATCCTTATAATTCATAAATATTATAATTAATATAAAATCATAAAGAATATTTTTTGAAATTCTCATAACTAACTCCTTTAGGATCACTTTATGACATTCTGTTGTAAATAGCTAACATATCTGCTTCAGTCAAATGACTATCTTTATAATTCTTCATTAAAAATACAAATTCTAAATCTAATTTAAATGAGAATACCTTCTTAGTTCAAAAAGCCATCCTTATCAGAATCATGTCTTTTAAATATCTTTTGTAGGAATCTATCTGTAGTGTCTTCATTGATATATTTTTCAACAGAATTCATTGCATTACAAAATGACTCCTCATTAATCTCATCCTTATAGCAATGACTTTTAAATGATTAGGTTATCAAATTTTTGAAATTCTGTTTAGCTTCTCCATTTTGATCATTTGGATAGAATAAAGAACTCACCATCTCTGCAATTAAATCAATTTTAATTCCAAGTGAATCTTATTGTTGGAACTCAAAGGCCAGAATTCTGTAAATTTCCTTATTAGACATTGTCTTTGTTTTATGAGCCTTCTATTTATTTTACTTGCTATCCATAAATTTAAATTAAAAATATTATAAACAATTTTATAAATAATAAATATCCTTTCTAACAATTCAATAAAATTAATGTCTATTGAAATATTAGTGCTATAGAGTCACTGAGAAGGAATCCATTTATTCTAGGACTCTATAGAACTTTTAATATAGTAATAAATTTATACTTGTCATGGCAAACTTTAACACTAGTGCATAAACATCTATTTATTAATCATAATACAGGTGTATCTCAGTAAATATTTCTGAATATTGATAATATCCTTATTATTTGTAATCATAAATCATTCAACTAAAAGATGACTCTAATCAATTTTTTTGTCTAAATATTATTATTATTGTTATGACATCAGTCATAACAATAAATACTTATGTTAAACTTTGAATTCATGACAGCATTAATTACAACCTTTTACTTAGGTCATTTTTTAATGAAAACTATTTCCGACAAATCTTCAATTCATCATTGCTAGATTTTGAGTTATTTGTAATCAAACTCCTTTCAAGACCTTCCTAGATTAGCAGTAGCTTGTGTTGATTAAAGTATAGTAAAGAAAGATATGAAAACAGTTATTATCAATTATTTGGAAATTTGATTATGGTAGATGATAAAATAAAAATATAGTGGATGATTTTATAAATAAATTGTTAATAATATATAAAGAAATGATTTATCTTCATACTTTAATTCTGTAAAGCTTAATATATTTTTGCCAGGTTAAAACTGCTATTACAGCATCGTAACTACCCTAAATTTATTAGATATCTGCTGAGATTAAGTTTTCTTGAGTTAATTTAATGATAATATCTTGGTCCTTGAAAATTCTATCCAAATTGTATAATTCCATTAAACAAAATTGCCTATCATGTTATGGAACTATAATTGATTAATGGCAATGATACATGCTAAAAGCAGATTCAAATCTTATAAATATGAGAGCCTTTGAAATCTTTGTCCAAATGAGGAGCGATTTTGATAAAAGTTATTATCAATAACTTTAAATTCCTTATTTATGACTTAACATATTTTAATTGAATCCTTGAATCCTGCAACTATATTATACTAGGGTAATTGATCCAATTCAAATATCGAAGTCGTTTTGGTGTATTCATTTAATAAAATCCAAGATATACACCAAACCCATTCTGAAAAGATTATAGAGTATAATTGTGTCCCATTTTCAACCAAATAAATTCTTAAGCCTCCATCGATACTTCCCGAAGCGAGATACTAACAGCAAGGAGAGAATGATACGCATGGTATATTGTGTTTATGATTTTGAATGCTCTAAAGATATGGTTTAGATGCGTACATATCTAATTGGAAATTCGATGTCCGATCTCATTAGATCTTACTTATTGAATTTGAGTCTGATTTCACGGTCTTCCCAATACTTATGATCGGGTTTATCGAAACCAAGTAGTTTTTTGGACCACAAGGAGATGATGTGAGAATTTGAACCTACAGCCAAATATTACTGGCAAACATCAATGCTCCAAATGGAACAGTCAGCGATTTTCTGTAATTAAAATAATAAGTTACTTCGTAGAGACCCTACAATTTGATTGGTTTGATTAAAATATTATCTAGATCATAAATATAAATGTATGAATTCATGGTGATGACAAAGAGGAGGTGGTCATATTATTTTATTTAATTGATCATATCATTTTCCTCAATTGATATGGATTTTAGTTGTTCTAATTTCAGTCCTGTGATTGAAATAAATTGTATGTAATTTGTGCAACCAAGAATAAGCAATTATCTTTGGAGATCCAATATTAGAGTGTTCATTCTCCAAGCATCAAAATCAAGATTTTCGAATTTCTTAGACTCAATTAACTCAATGTTATAACCTTCCATTATATAAATATTTAATGTATAAAATTTCAATTTTGAGTGTTACCTTCCCTAACAATAAAAATAAGTAAGATATCTACTGCAAATTAACAGAGGGTGATCAAACATATCAAACAAAGGTTGATATGGACACTATCACAATTGCCAAGTGGGATCAGAATTTCAATGTTAAATAAACCCAATCGGAAATCACATTTTCAATCCATCTTTGGAAAGGAGACAACAAAGATCAATTGCTTACCGAAACTAAGGTTAAATGGGAGTAGTTCCTGACTCTGATGAACACACCCCAAACGATTAAATTTGATGTATGCGAAATGAGTCTAATCATTGAAGAAGTTACAATTCCATCAAACGAAGCTTAAATTAAATAATTTTCAAAGTATCTCTCTGACACTGGCTTAGAACAATCATTCAAATTGATCTTTGCTGAAATTCTGAGCAAAAAAATTGATCGATCAGAAGTATTCACATACACAGCTTTACGTTTGAGGTAGATTGGAGATGATCTTAAAATGTTTCTTACTAATGTAAATTTATACATCTAAAACGTAGAATCACAAAATGAGTTAGTTACTTAATAATATAAGTGAAGTTTAATAGGATGATGAGCCAGATCAATTTTTAGAAAGTTAAGATTAATGATATAATATTATATTAAATTAATAATATGTAACAGGAAAGCATATACAATTTAATACCCAAAGAGTATGTTCCTCCCCCCAAGGAACCCATGTATAGATCTGCCTATCCTTCAAATCTTGTTCCCACTGCCAGCACTTTCAATAATCACACTACAAGCAGGCCTAAAGTACTTCTCTCTCCTATCTTTTAAGATTAACAATATCAATGGAGATTATGAATTGGTCAAGGGTCCTCATTCTCACAAAGGACAATCCAACTCTCTAGGTAGGCCCAGAGGTAAGATCAAATAAATGATGAGATAGGTTCATATAAACCTGATACAACTATGTTCAGATTAAAGAACACTGGAACCATGGGATCAAATCAATTACCTGAAAGTATCAAGCATTATTCTAATTTAGTTCAATCATACAAATATCCGCCATCAATTAAACCATAAGTCCCAAAAAAGGATGAGAAACCAATACATGGTCTGAAATCTAATAAAAACTATATAATAACCAATGCTGTCGATAACATCTTGTCAGCACCCAAATAAATTGTTGAGGATGCTGCCTGGACATCGAAAAAAGATTATGGAAAAGTTCCAGATTATTTAACCAAAATTAAACAAAGCATAGCAAGCGAATACGAAATCATTAGAAACATGCACATAAGTGAGGCAGAAGAAATGGACAAACAAAAATATCTTTTATCATAGGAAGAAGTATAATAGTTAAAGGAAGGACTCAAAAAAAAATGGGAGGCAGTCAATAAAGAATATTAATCAATTACTCATATTAGAATGATTGATACAGTTGGTTTGAAAAGAAAGTAAATCTAATTATGACTATTACAAGGAAAGAGTAATGCGAAAAAGAATTAGCCTAATTAGAAAAGGATATTGAAAAACTAAACAAGAACTATGTATTTGTTGATACATAAAAATGATTCCATTTAAATTATCAATAAATAATCTTAATATATTATATTTTCCAAATTATTATTTCTACTTACATCCACCTTTTTAAAAATATTTTAGTATAATTAATTTAGTTATTGTTTTAATTCAAATAAATTACTATTAAGTAAGATTGGATTTAAAAACCATTACAATCATTTTACCTTTAAAATTCATCAATTGATGAATAGAGGATGTCTTATGACTCAAAAATTGCAATATGTTTACCTTATCTTTTATGAGAAATCATTATCAGAATTCTAATTAAATTATCAAAAGTAAAATTTGCAATTGAATTCTCTTAAACATATTCATTTAGAAATAAGAATAAACTTTTATATACACAAAAGACATATTTTAATTATGATTAAATTTTTAAATATTTTCAATACAAAAGACCAATAACATAATATTTTCGAATTGAAAAAATTATTGGAAGTTAAGGCAATATTCATATAATCAAGCTATACATAGAATAATTATTACTAGAAGTAATCAAGGATAAATTATATATTATTTTATTAAACCGCTGCTGAGTTGAGTAAGTATTAATACAATTATATATACTTAAATATTTTAAAAATTATAAAGTCACAATATTGGATATGTTATTATTATGATCTCTCGAACTTGATTAAATAAATATTTTTTTAATGAACTTTTCCAAATAAACTATTTTCAATAAAGATTTTAAGTATTTTATGTTGATTCTTCATTTCTATTTTTATTTTATTTAAAAAGATTTCATTCTTTCTGTTATATCGGATTATCAATAAATTCATTTACTAGATGATAGGAAAAGACTAGGAATGATTCTTAGTGGTTATTTTTCATCGGAAAAACAAACGTTTAATTAATTTTAATAAATTTAGAAAATATCAATTCTTATTATTGTCAGGCTAGTATGGGAATATGCTAAAAGAAAAGTTAAAAAGATAATTCCTAAAAGCAAACTGGATATGAGTCAGAATAGATTATAGTTTTGACAAGCATTCAGAGCCACATTTAATATTTTGATTAAATAGATTTAGAACTTCTTAAATATCCAGATATTTCCTTACTACTAAGAAAACATATCAAAAACTATACATTCATTGAGGAGGGAAAGACATGGGTTGTGGTTAAGGAAATTCAAAGTTTTTTGAATAATAAAATGCCCATATTGATTAGAAATTTTAATCCTGAAACAGATGCTGCCTTATAATTAATATAGGTTTTTGAGTCGATGGTGTTTCAGACCCAAAAAGTATTTGAGTGTTCGGTAACTTTTAATGAGGCTAAGGTTGAGTTATTTTAATTATTCCAAAATTAGTTAGTTTAAGTAATGAATATGATTATATTAGACTTCGATAGAATGCCTAATTGTTGTAAATACTTTAATATCTAAGAGATTGTAATGGTGGAATGAAGAGTATTTTAAATGGAGATAGAATCACTTAATTTCAATGTTTATCATTAAAAATATAAATAAAAGTAATAAGGAGATTATAGGGCCAATCTACGACTTCATTTAATTGTTGATAGAATGCATCAGACATTTTGGAGACATTGAAGTCTCTAAAGGAGTCTAAGAAACAGATTTAAAAGCGGAATAAAAGTTCTTGGATTAATTTTACAATTAAATGAGGATAGGGTTGATTCAGAATTCGTTTTTTTCGGAGAGCATATCGAATGAAGTAGTTCCAGAACAAATTTAGATTGATTAGAATGTTAGAGCATATGCCATATTAATTAATAAAAAATGATTTACTTTTTTAACATTTATATAAATCATAATAACTTCTTTTAAAATTTAAGCAAGATGAAGAATATTGGAATCGATCTTTTTGTCGGAATAGTTTCCAGTAAATATTAATTTACAGTTTAGGTTGTGTTAATACAATGGTAGGTTACCCAATGGATTTTATTAAAACCAGGATGCAACTCCAACACACTAAATAGGGTACAATGTAATCAATAATAAAAATTATTTAAATGGAGGGCATCAAAGCATTGTATAGAGGTAGTATATTAAAAGGATGATATGAAAATAGGGGTATCTATTTAACTATTGAACAGTGTATTTGCAGGATCAATTTATTTCACTACTTACGAGCAAATTCGAAGATAATTTGAAAAATACGATAATTTGCCTAGGAATAGTTATTTACCATTGCATCAAACTTTTCTAGCAGGGTCAACGGCTGTAAGTTAAAATATGAATTTAGGGTATTTGTAGTGATTTATTCGCTATTCCATTTGAATACACAAAAATTTAATCCTAAAAACAAGAAATTCTTAAGGGTTAAAAAGTTAAAGGTCCGTTGTATATTTTATTTGAAACCATTAGAAAATAAGGAATTAAATAAATATATAAGTATATTTTGTCTATATTATATTTAGGGGATCTCTATTGCAGGTGATAAGGGATTTTGTTGGATGCGGTTCATTTTTTTTAGCTCATTCAGAAACTTTGCATTTCTTTACACCTGAAGGTAAATCGAGAAATGAAGCATCTTAGACTGGAATCTTTGCAGCTAGCATAGCAGCAGGATTTGGATACTGGGTTATTAGCTATCCATTAGATATCATAAAAACAAGATATTAAGTTGACAATTAGAAGTATTTGTTTAATTTAATTAGTGTATTAAATGTGGCAAAATAAACTTATTTATAAGGAGGAGTCTTATAATTCTACAAGGGGTTTAAAATCACAGTTCTAAGAAGTGTATTTGTCAATATATTTTAATTATACACCTATGAAAATTTAAGAAGAGCTTGCTATAAATATGCTTGAAATGTTGTTTATATTTCATTAATTATATCCATTACTACATATAAATACACATTTATAAATCTGTTCATTTTCTAATTTCCATCTATGAACTCACCACTCACAATAATATATTTAGTCGTATTTATCCCAAGTATTCTGAAGGATAATTTATTCTTGATTTCTTTTATAGTAAGTATGGCATTCCTCATTTTTGCAAATTACTTAATCGAATTAACTTTGCTAACATTATTGGCAAATCATGTTATATTTCTAAAAGCGACTTTGCGAATTGATAAGTTGCTAAATAATATAATTTAAGATATACTTGAGATATCTTAAATAGTATTTCTGACTATTGAGATCTGCAATTGAAACAAACAGGTTTATTTATTGGGACTTCGTCTCTGCAATTTACACATGTAATTCTCTTCTTTAAATATTTGTTTAGAGCCTTTTTAGATCCATTGTTTTGAACTACATTACAAAATGTTTTTTTAGGAACTGATGTATATTAATTCAAATTAAATAAGGCTTCTGGATTTGGTATTATATGTTCTAAAATGTGGATGATCGGTATTTTTATTTAGTTAATGTAGTACTAGATGTTTAATTTATAATTATTTTTAAATGCTTCTAACGGATCTTAGGCGTTTTCTGATAATTGCTATCCAGGTATATTCTCTACAATAACGTAAGATATTCTATCGCCTTTTTGAAATGTATTACTTTATTTATTTTTTACTTTGTCTTAGGCTACTTTGACATGAGGTTATTTTCTAAAATCATTTGTATCGTGATACTTATCTGGATATGAATGAAATTCTTCCTCCTTATTTATTAAATCCTCATCAACAAAATCTGGCTCTTGAATTTTTATCGATAGAGATTTTGATATGATTAAATTTGAAATATTTATTTCCCCATTTAACAGTTATTGAATCTTTTCTTTCACAATGCTGACTGCTTTTTTATTATTTTATTCTATTAGTATCTCATGTAACACCTAATTCAACATATCTCTTAAGAATTATGTGTTGTCTCTCCTAACTGTACAAATTCCTTTTTACTCAATTTTATCAGCTACCAATTTCGTTTCTTCCCAGAGGTAAATTCCAACATAAACGTTTTTTTACATACTAACAAAAAAAGGGAATTGATACATGTTTTTCAAAAAGAAAAGATTTTATTGGCTTTGGGAAAAGGAAACTAGTTACTTAAATTAGAATGCCTCAAATTGCGAATATTAAATAACATCAACTTAAATCTTAAAATTTTGGAAATTTATTAATAATGAAGTCTGTGTCTCCATATAAGAATTTCAGCATTTGGATAAATTGTTATTAATAATAGATATCGAAATTTTATAATATGGCTCTTCCTACCCTGAGTATAGATTATGTAATTTCTAAACAGGGAAGATACCCATGCTCTGCACAGCCAGTAAATCCAAAGATAGAATTAGCAGCGATTTTTAATGCTTGCTATCTAGCATCTAATAGACTTTTCTTTTACTTATCTTCTTCTTAGCTAAAATTCCTGTTTTGTTACTGCCCTTTTTGCTAACAAATTTTCTAAAATTTATGGCAATATTCCCTTTTTTATATGCTATTTAACAAATTTATGCCCAAATTCTGGGATGATATGGTAATCATTTTCATTTAACTTGATAGAATAATCCTTAATTATTGTTGTGTAGCACATGTTATATGCTATGATTATACTTGGGTACAAGGATACAAAATCAAAGAGAGCTAATGGTATTTTATAAAAGCCCTTTTTAGGTTCTAACACCAAGGCTCCTTTTAAATTAGATGTATCTGGCTTTACCAGATGATTTTCATCAGGAACCAAATATTCATTTTTTTTGGTCTATCTAAGTAGTTATGACAATACTTTAATCGATTAACCTCTCTATATAATATAGTCGATTGGTACTCCAGTAACTTTTGAAATTTCTGCATAAGTGTAAATCCATCCTTTATAAAGTAATATTTCTAAACAAGCTTCTGACTTTCTTAAACTATATGTAGATATTCTTTTAATATTATTCTATTCATATAACTAAAAGATAGTTTCTTAATCATATATTTCTATTTATCGATTAAAAAGCGAATAATAAATACTTCCAAGTGAATACTAAGATATTTTTGTGTCCCTCAACATACAAATCAACGTATCTAATTGAATTCTACCATTTGTCTCAACAAATTTTGTTTCTCTCATTCTCATTACAGTACTAAAGAATCTACCATTAGATATTAAACTTTCTTCATTTTTTGATCTGCCATAATTCAAATATTGACAATTAAGTCCCAAAGTTCTTGATCTTTATATAATTAAAGGTAATAATTCATCATGTAGATTGTAACCTGTAATAACATCAGGATCAAAAGATAGAAAAAATTAGTTGAATTATTTTAATAAATCTATTTCATTTTCTGATTAATAGATTATCGCATTTATTATTTCATAGCATTTTTTTTAGGTAAACACAATTCGTCTCTCAAATACTGGATTGATTTGTATTACACAAGTAATAACGATAATTTCTTTAGAAGAATCAAGTGTTATTTGCGATGGAAAAATTGTTTGAATGTCAAGACTAATTATTCTTAAGTTTGGTATATGTTATTAATCTTCATGAGGACTAATATCTTCAGTTTTTGCTAAGTAACTTTTTTAACAATTAGACTCTCCATCTTCTTTGAGATTTTTCGCCATTGCCCATCCCATGCCTCTTAAATTTAAATCGATCATAAATTTTAATGGATATGTTATTCTACATTCATAAGTTTACTTTGCAAACTAAAATCCGTTTAGATTTAACCCTTTTTCTATGAGTTAAGCTACTTTCTTCATTGAACTAACATTATAAAAACTTAATTTTAAAAAAGGTTCTTTTTGGTAATTTTAACCTTTATAATTCCTTATAATTTCACTCTCAACAACAGTAATTTCTCTAATTGGTTACGATTCAGCGATAATCCCGTTTTTATAAAGATGATTATTAAATTAATGTAAAAAATAATCAATATCCTTATCATCCCTTACTAATTTTGAGGGAAAAGGAATATAGAAATAAGGAAAATAGTCTATTATCTTAATTTCTAAGGATTGTTGTTAATCTGTAATACCAAATAGTCTAATTTAATTTGTATTCAATTTATAATCACAATCTAGAATTATAAAAGTTAATTTATCTAATTCTTATATGGGAATTCTTCTATAATGATTTAGAATGCACGAAAAATGTGTATTATTGAAATTTTAGGTATTCTGATCCGCTTTAGAAAATGCTGTTTAAAACATCTCCTGTTAATGGACAGTTTCATTATAATCAAGAGTTTTGTGATTATCATCCTTGAATTCGTTCATTGTAAATATTAATATAATTTCCCTTTTCTTTAATTGGTATTTCTGATTATATGTTATAATCTTAAATGAATTAAAATAAATTTTTAGAGCCAAAATCAAAAAATGATATGAATAAAAAGAATCAGTTGAATATTTATAATATGATTGATTAAATAATTTATAGATAGCAATATATTAATGGTGAATTATTGAATAGAAATCTAATTAGCTTAGTTTAGTGCCTTTAATAAATATTAATTTTATTTAATAAGTTTTATAAATGATAACTCCTTAAGAATAACTTGATATCAGTACTTTAACTTTTAAATTTAGTCATTAAGAAGATTAAGTCATATGTAAATGGAAAATCTCAAACTACAATTAGAACTTTAGGGAAAACATTTAGAGGTTTTGAATCTTTCGATCAAAAATGCAGAATTGATAAAGATGAATTTCTGATTGGATTAAAATAAAATGGTGTTGTACTAACTAAATTTTAAACAGATGTAAGCATTCATGTTACTTTAGTTTCTACTAAATTATCTTGATAGAAACAGAGATGGATCTATTGATGTTGCTGAATTTCTTTATTTAATTAGAGTATTAATAATTATCAATTGATTTAGGGATCCCCAAATGAGAATAGATTAAATGTCATTGTTTAAGCATTTAAGAAGTTTGATAAAGAAAATTTGGGAATTATAGTTGCAGATGAATTCAAGGGAATATTTAATGCTAAAAACCATCCTAAAGTAACCAGAGGAGAATTAACAGAGGATCAAGCTTATATAGAGTTTTTATAATATTTCAAAGAAGGCAATAAGTCTGGCCATATTACATTGAATGTAAATTATAATAATAATACCTATAATTTAGGAATGGAAGGAATACTATGCTGCAGTTAGTGCTGATATCGAATCAGATGAAAACTTTATTGCTTTGATAAAAGAAACATGGAGACTAAAATGAATGAAATTTAATAGATAAGTATCATAATTACATCATGATTCTCAAGACTCAGATTCATTATTTTAATAAATTCCTTCCTTTTATTGTTGATTTTCCTTCTACTATTCATTATTATTCTGGATACTATTGTTTTTCTTATCGCTCTCTTTTGGGTTTTCATTTTATTCTTCTATTTAATTTTCATTTCCGTTTTATTTCTCTTACGATATTTTTATATCTTTTTATTCAATTTCCTACTCTGATTCTGAACTTGATTTATTTTCTAGCTTCTCCAATCTTCTTAATCTTTCATGAGATCTGGACCTAGAACGAGACGATCTAATGAATAATAACATTAAAATTACTTCTTTAATGTTTTTTTTGATTTCACTACAATTTACAAAATTAATGGTTTTATTAATGCAGGATTAATGTCATCTTATCCATTTTTATTATTATCCCTTATAGGATATACGATCATGTGGACCCAACCATTTTGGAAGTGAGATGTAACTTCATTGATTTATAGTTTCTCAACTTCTATTATTCCATCCTCTAGCCAAATATTATCCTCAGGTAATCTTAAAATTCCCTGGTTTTATGAATTGAGTTGCAATAACATTGGTTTATCATCTGATGAATATAGTTGTATCTCTAATTCTATCTTATTTTTATTTTTAATATTTTATCCTTTCATATCCTTCAGGGCAATTTCAAGGTTAAAGTTCTTGTCCTTAAATAAAACAGTATCTAAGTCATTAATCAATACCAATTAGTATTAAAATTCATTTAAACTATAAGATAAAGATTTTAATAGGACATTGTTATGAGTCATTTCTTGATGAGGGATTGATACTTAAATAATAGAATTTATATTATACATCTACTAACAAAATCTTCTGTCTATCCATTATCGAATTTTTGTTCAACAATTCTTTATAGATTTGTTATCTCATCCAATATCTATGTTATAACACTCTCCAAATTGGCATTTTTATTCTTAAAGTCTAATAGCATCTAGTTTTGTTAAACAAACATATTTAAAATTTTTAATTAAAACTCGTTCACAACTTATGAAAACCCTAAAACATTATAAATACTTCATATTACCTTATTCTAAATTATTTGATTGTGTCATACTATTATTATTTGTATTTGAGCTTGCCTAAGTTTAAGTTTATGTTTAAGGTGCCTATTATTATTGTTAAATTTGCTGTTGTTATTGTTATTGTTATTGTTATTGCTATTGTTATGAAAGTAGTTATTATTATTATTATTGCTATTACTATGGCATCATTTGATTCTGTCCTAATTACTATTATAATTGTGGCTATTGTTTAAATGGAAAATCAAAATTTGGCATTTGTCCCATAGGTCCTTAAGGAATCGGGCCCATTCCAGGTAATTACATCGGTCCTGGACCCATAGGCCCCATAGGACCCATTGGACCCATGGCACTCATTGGACCCATAGGACCCATGGGACCTGGTCCCATTGTTCCTGGAGGTAATTGGCCTGGTCCCATTGGAGGCATACCAAATCCAATTGGCATTGGAGGCATATTTGGTAAACCCTATGGCATACCATTGATATTCATTCCACCTTGATTAGGCGGAAGAGAATTCATTTGAAGGCCTGGGTCATGCATAAATTAATCCGGAAATGGATATTTTTAATTTGGAGGAGGCGGCATCATTGGTTGAGGAAAAGGCGGAGTCCAACATTAGTAATATTGAGGATTTGGCATAGGTAACATTCGTCCATATGGATCTGGATTACCCATTTGTTAGAACATCTACTAGTAAAGTCTCTACTACTCTTCATTTGGATTCATTGATATGTTAAATAAATTATTATGAAATAATAGCACATTTCACTCCCCAATTTATCAAAGTTACAAAATCTTCCTTCAAGCGATAGAAGTCCTATAACTGTAAATACTCCTTCAAGAAAAGCAAGTGAAGTGCTGGTTAAATTTAACTTCCATCTTAATCCTTCTTTGCACAAAAAAAAATAAATAAAAAATACCACTAATAATGAATTTCAAACAAAAAAAATAAGCAAGGTTACACGAAATATCATGGAACTTGTAATATTTTATCATTATATATTTCCAAGAGGAGGAGGAAAAAAATGAAATGTGATTCGCTCTAAATCAAACCTAGAATTCAAGCATGTAAGACAAATAAAGGAGGAACAATTTCAGTACTGAAAAATAATGAATAATGCAGATCCTATTTACATAAAAAATATAAAGATTAAATTTATACTGGAGCCTCTGAATTTAGTGATAAGAGTAAAGATAAATTTAGATTACAGATGGTCAAATGGCTAATAGATAATAAAAAGGATGTTGTTAGCGCTTTGAATGAAAATAAACAAAATATTTTAGAATGGGTTCAATGTGTTGAAAAAGTAGACAGAGATGAATTTGATATCATACTTCATGGAATCTAGTTGTACAAGGATCCAAATCTAATAAATCGTTTATTTTGGTATCAAGTAGCAATTATTTAGGGTATTTGATTTAAATGATGATGGATACATTGAATTTAATGAAATACAATATTCAATAAATTTATTTAGAGAATACGATTAATAGGACAAGATTCAGATATTTTTTGAGCTTTGTGATGAAAATGATGATGGTTATATAAATGAGGAAGACATCAAAAAATTTTTCTCCAAGAATCTTACCAATTAAGAAGAGCTAAGATAAATGAAATTTTTGATGAAAGATTTCTATCAAGAACTAAATCCTTATAATTTTAAAGGATTAAATGCTGAAGATTTATATAAAGCTACTTTAAGTGATCAAAATATAAGGATAATAGTTGAAAAAAATACTTTGATTCTTAAATCAAATAATAAAAAAGAAGATGATATAGGGTCAAGCCTTAATAATCTTATTTATTCTGGATAATAGTAATGTATATACTAATATTTTTAGTGAAGGAAAATAAGGCATATTCTTCCCTTAGATTGAGGGTTTAATTGATGCCTTAATTGAGAAGGACAGAATTATGATGCAATATAAATAGATAAATTGGATTTTGATTAGATTGAAGATAATTCTGATTGATTTTATTTTTTATATAAATAAATTTCAAATTTGAAAATAAATGGCAGGTAAAATATAAATCTGAGTCTTTAGATCAATTAGAAGAGAGAGCATAAAGAATTTTCGGAAAGTTATAATCAATATAGAACAATGTTGAGGGGGAGAAATAATAAAAATTCAAATTAATATTGGGATATTTGTAGAGTGTTGAATCAGCAATTGAAGATGTTTAATAATAGAAAAATTAAAAGTTTTTAGACATTGCAGAAAAAGTATTAATTTAATTGAATCAAGTTATAAAGATTGAAGTCAATGTTAGACACAGAAAAGGAGGCTAGAGATTAAATCAATGAAAAAATGAAAAAAGAAATATTATCAGTTGAAAAGAATTGTAAAACTCTTTTGAATAGTTTCAGCAAAGAAAGATTGGAAACTGAGAAGAGAGTGTTTTAAAATCTTTCTTAATAGGTTGATTAATTATCAACAGAAATTTAAAAAGAATTTCATTAAAAGTCTGAGACTTAAAATAAATTATTAGAAATCTAAAATGGTATAAATTCAAAGTAATAAAATAGAGTAAATCCCTTAATTCTACTAAGAAATAGAATAAGAAATTAGAATTAGAGAAGAAATTGAGGAAAAAATTGCCCAATAATTTAATGAGCAATTGGATGAACTCAAAAGAATATTTGATAGTCAATAAAAGTAAAGAGAATAAAGAGAAGAGGAAATCATTGGAATATTAAAGAAGATTTACTAGAATGCCTATGATGCATGCAAAAGGAATAGAGCTGATAGAGAAAGAAATGAAGAATTATTAGTTAAATTAGTTGAATAAGTAGTTGAAAAAATTAAAAGAGAGATAGTTGATTCTGATTTTTGAAAAAACATTATTAATATTATTATATGATTTTGACCTTGCAATTATTTATAATTATTTGTAGTTGATTCTATAATATAAATATTCAAATTTAGACATGTACCAATATCAAAGTAATGTCGTCTCTACTACCATCATTTTGATCCCATTTTTAGTAGGTTTCCCCTAATATTTTTTAGACTCCCAAATCTATATCTAATTGGGTAAAAGGAGGATCTAGTTGATCTATTATCTTTTAGACACTCTCAAAATCCATTTTATCCCAAAGTCCGTCACTTGCTAATAAAATAAATCCGTTATTTTATATTTTATATCTTAAAATTTCAGGATCAGCAATAACTCCCACTGATTTGGCTGCCATATCACCAAATGATCTTGACATTGCCAACCCAGGTACATCTTCATTAGCTAGCCAAACCCTATAAGGCCCTAATCTTTTTCCATCAATCAAACTTTATTCAACTCTGCCTCCAAATTTCATTATTCTTTTATATTCAAAAGTCTTATTAGGTTTATGATCATATGATAATGGTCTATTGTACCATAGATCTTGAGATTTATAAAAAAAGACAGCCCTTGAATCTCCAATATTTGCACAATAAATTCTTGATCCGATCAACAAAATAACTACTCCAGTAGAACCACTAAAATTGCATGCAATATTTGTTTTATCTACCTAAATTAAATTAAATTATTACTAAATCGTTTTCTACTTGTTAAAAAGCAATTTACAATGATTAAGAAAAATAATTAGGATTATTGGCATTATTTTGAACTAGCTAATTTTCTATTACTTTAATCATATGTCTTGAAACAAATTATGATACTAAATGCCCACTTTGCCCATGTCCATCAAAGATACCAAAGAAATGCCAATCATTTTGATTACACATATTTTTTTTTATTGCAAGACAATCTTAATTGATTTTCTATTTCTTTTTATGATTTTGACCAGGAAGTGTTCTACTGTTTTTCAATATCATACTTTGATGCTACTTAAATTAACAATTCTTCTTCTTATTATATTTCAGTTTAAATTCTCTTCATATGATCTTTTTAAATTGGAGGCAATTTATCGACAATACTCAACATTGATTAATGATTAATTTTCCTTAAATTTTATTTCTAATTGGTTGTACTAATAGAACGAGGAATTTTAAATTATCTTATAATGTCTAATTTTTAATTCATATATTTTAATAATATCACTAAAATGGTCCAACTCTTTATCCTTATAATTGCATCTAGGTGCTTCTTACATTAAAAACTCCTTCAATTATTGTTTATTGAGTCTCACCTATCACTTACTTTTCTCCTAAATCTATGTTGAAATTCTTAACAAATAATGGATTTGGATTTGATAAAACATCATCATTGCAAGATAATCCATCCAAATATTATTTGAGTAAAGATTATAATTGATTACTTTCATTTTGTAATGCCTCTTTTTATTTTTAGATTGCTAAAATGTCCAATAAGACCTAATAAATAATATACATTATATACCTTATTGTATCTTTTATAGAAATTATTTAGATATGCAAATTCTTCATATTAATCTTTTTCAATAGCTTCAAAGTCATTTTTCAAGTTTTCTGGAATCTGATCCAAATCAACTGTATCTTCATAAAAAGGCAAGACCTTTTCTCTTTCTGTTTCCAATCTTCTACATAATTCAGCTGTCTTAAGTATCTTTTCTCCTAATTCCTTGTATTCAGTTAATTTTAAAACTGCATTTCTACTATTGTTAACCAATTCCTTTAATAATCTTGATTATTCCTCTCTAAATTTATTCATTTTTAATTTCAAATCCTAATAATTCTTGGCAATGTTCTCTTTTTCTTTTTTTAAAGCTTAATTTCTTGCATTGCATTCTTTTGTATGTTACAATATTTTATATTTAGTCAAATCAATTTTTGCTTTCTTGCTAGCTATGGATCTCACCAATCTTTCAATTTTCTTAGACATATCCTTATTAGCATCATAATATTTAGTGTGATCCTCAGTTTTCTTTGCAGTATCTGATTAATATTTTTGGTGCATTTACTCTAAATCATTATAAAATTTAGTTTGTTTATCTTCTAATTATTATTTCATCTGACTGGTATCCTCTACATCTTTATTTTTAGTTTCTTCTCTATTGGTTTGATGTTAATTTTTGGCTTATTCTGCTTTTCTTTTCTCTTCCTCTTCCACTGTCTTAATCATGTCTTCCAACTCTTTAACTTATTATTTATGTGTTTTAGTCATATCATCAAATTCTATTTAGAATTCCTCCTAGAGTATTTTGATATCTCTTTCAAACTCTTCCAAAAGTGCTCTGTTTCTACTCTCCTATAAAAGATGAAAGTTTTCAAGATGAATAAGATGATTTCTCAAAGCAATTTAATATTGATCTTCGGCTTCATCTAAATTCTTGTCTAACATCTGAATGAATGCTTCTTTAGAATCTAATTCTCTTTTATTATTTTGTGAATATAATTCTATGTCAAGTTTCAATTATTCAGTCTTAACTGCTCTCATAGTTCTTCTCCAATAAGCCATAAGCTTTTTTGTATTAAAGTTGACTATCTTTTATTCTTCTCTAATTTTACTTCGCAGTTACTCTTTTTTAAACTATGTCTAATGCTTAAATTACTTGTGCCTATTTTTGACTTTCTTCAAATTCTTGTTGTGATTTAGTAATTTATCTGATTTTAATATTTCTTTTTTGTTCTGTCCCTCCAGCTTTAGTTGTTCTGCCTTTAAGAGTTTTCCCTAATAAAGCCATAAATTAATAATAATAAAGAAAATTAGATAACTAAATTAAAAAATTCATTTTTTTGGGACAGAAGTTCCTTTGTAAAATGTCTAATAATAAGATTGGTCTTTATCAACTGATGATGACCTATCTTGATTCCTGGATTTTCTTGGAAATCTGCCATAATATTCTGACAATATATAATTTCTGTTGACAGGAGTCCTTAATTTTAGCACTTTTATATCATTCGATTACTAGAATTAACCTCCATCTAGCACTGTAGTTTGTTGCAAATCTAAAGTTATTTTCCTTCGCACCTCAACAGATTGATTCAAGGTAGTTGGAGATTACTATTAAATTGTGTTCTAAGTGTTAACGGAATTGTTCAGTCTTGGTTTGGTATCTATAATGGAATCCTCCAAATGCATGGTATTATTTTATCGACCTAATTGATGCATATATACTCTTATGTACTTTATCGTTGTATCAATGGTAATGGATTTGTAGGCATTGTTTATTTTCTATCAGTGTAAGTTGTTTGTCTAATGGAAATTCTTTACGGTTCAAATACATCAGAACTAATATCTAATATTAAAATTTGAAAATGAACCTGCTATTGACTTATTTCCAGCAACTATATATTTTTTGAGTAATAGATAATATGTTGTTGTAACATGATTGTGTCTATTGGTTTCAATGCATTTCTCAGCATATTCTGCTGAGATTCCATACTGAACCAATTATTTTAAAATTTCTGGATCAATTGGAATCTTATGATGACCAACAATCAGTCCAGTTGGTATCTTTTAATTATCTTTTTAAAACTTGATAAGATGATAATTATACAAAAATTAAGCCATATGTGTTTTCTTATTTCGAGAATTGTATATCTTTTTTAAGGGTCAGTATTTAAAACATTTTTAATCAGGTCTTTTGCATCGATGGTAAGGTACTTCGGGAACTTGAAATCCCCAGATATTATTTTCTTATATAATTGGGTTGTGTTTGGATCTTCAAAAGGTAAATAACCTGCTAACATTGCGAAAAGTATCACTCCTGAACTCCAAATATCCACCTATAGTCCCGAATATCTTTTGCCAGCTATCATTTCTGGAGCAGCATAACAAGGGGACCCACATGCTGTTTTCAACAGATCATCTTATTTATAAAAATTTGACAATCCAAAATCGATAATCTTTATTTTTCCTCTGCCATCCAGAATCAAGTTCTCAGGCTTTAAATCACGATGCACAATATGCAATTTGTGCAAATACTCTATTCCAGATATTAGTTAACTGTAGAATCGAACAGCCTCAACATCTTTTATTCTCTAATTTTAAACGATATAATCGAAAAGTTCACCCCCATTAACATATTCCATCACTAAAAATAATTGTTTAGGTGTTTCTATTATCTGATAAAAACCAAAATATACTTCATACAATTATACTAAGTTAGGATGTCTTATTTATTTCAAAATTTGAATCTCTCTTGTTACTCTTTCTACATCAGAAGCATCAGCTATCTTTTACTTCTCCAAAATTTTTATTGCTACTTTCTCTCCAGTCAAAACGTGAGTTGCTAATTTGACTTTCCCAAAAGTGCCTTCGCCTAAAGTTTTTGCTTTTTTATTTAATTATTTATTCCTTACCAAATAGATATTATCCAATAGACTTATTCTTTGTTAGATCATTCGTCATTTTTATAATACTTATTTATTAATTATAACTAAAATTTTCATCTATTCTTATAAAATGAATTTTATTCAAATATATAAACTAAGATGCTTAAAATTTAGATTTTATCTAATATTAGAATTAATTATATATATATAACTAAATCAAATTATATCCATCAGTTCTATTCTAAATCGATTGGATCATTATAAATTTAAGACCGTTTATAGACAGAATAACGAATGTATTTTATATGGACATATAAAATCAAATATGGATTCTTATTCAAAATTATTAGGTAGACCAGAACATTAGAACATTTTAAAATAATGCATTGTTTATTTAGGTATGAGTATTATCATAGTTTCTTAAATCTAAGTAAATTCTTAAAGGATTATAATAAAATCGATAAATATAAATCATATTCTAAGGTTTTTATGAATATTCGATTTGATAGGGTAAATTTGGAATATGAAAAAAATGCCTAATTATCAATGAGACAATTCTAAAATTTGATTTTAAAATTAATTCAATCAAAGAGTAAAAAAAGTTCCTATAAATAATGATAATTGGTATTTTTCTTGCTAGATATATTAATAAAATTATTAATTATTAAAGGATGGAATAAAATTCCAATTATTTTTTCAATTCTACTATTAAAGAGCAAAGAGAATTTTGGAATAGAGATTTTCATATTTTAGTGAATAATCATGAAAATTTTGAGATTTAAAATGATAATTGTACTAGTTTTTATAAGAGAAGCAAGATTCTTAAAAAATGGATACCTCGATTTTATTCTGTATAAGGCAATTATATATTGTATGGTGATAGGGTATATTTATATCATTATCAAGAACCTCAAAGGTTTTAGAAAGCTAGATTGTGTATACTTAATGTCTAGTATAGTAAGTGGCCCCTATAAATATAAATTGGAGTTGACTTACAGTGGTTTTACTATCGAATTATACACTGATCAAAAGTAGGATTATGACAGTTTTAAGGGAACTCTCTAATCACATTGTATTTTAACTGATTTTCATACTTAATATACGTTATTAAGATAGATAGGATTTGGATCGAGTGCTCAAGTATATTATATCAATTTTCCTATAGGTCTACATAGCCAGAAGTAATTACAATTAGCAACTCTATGCCATCAAAAGAGTTCAAAAAAATTACACAGTCAAATAAAAAAAATTTGAATAAGAATCAGCATTGCGAAACGAAATTTAAATAATGAAGGAACTTAATCATCCAAATATCATTTCTTTCTATTCAGTGTTTGAAACTAATAGTACTTATAAATTCTATGTTTAAAGAACATATAAATTGTGTTTTAGAATTAATTCAAGGGGGAGAATTACTTAAGTAGGGATAATACAAAAGCATTAGAGATGCAAGAATTGTTGCTAAGCAACTGGCTTTATGTTTGGATTACATGCATTAGAAAGGTATAATGCATAGAGATTTGAAGCCACAAAACATTTTATGCAAATCTAATTCTCTTGACGTATTGATTGCTGATTTTGGTTTGGCCACATACATTAAGAATTAAAAACAATAGTATTATCGTTGTGGAACCACTGGTTATGTTGCTCCAGAAGTCTTAATGTATAAGGAGGGTTCTAAAATGTACAATGAAAAATGTGATATCTTTAGTCTTGGAGTCATCTTCTATCAATTGTATCTATTCAAAAAATAAAAGGATTTTCAATGTCCATCCCTTCAAAGACAGCACCAAGGCCGGAATGTTGAAAAGAAATTTAGTCGCTGACTATAAGTTGGATGATCAAATGAGAGTTCCTTAAAGTTGTAAGGATCTTATTGCTTCTATGTTGAGATTGAATCCAAAGCAAAGGCCCTCTGCCTCTTAAATCTTAAGACATGATTTCTTTAATGAAGCATTAAACGAGTTGTCTTATCCAAGTTTGATTGGCTCTTTTCAAGAGTATTTAAATTTATTATTATACTTAGTATAAGTGATCATAAGAAATCAGGTCAGTCTTTTAATTCTCAAGTAGGGGAATTGAAATTATCAACATTTCAAAAGAATGGTTAAGTGTCTATTTTCGAAAAAATGCCATTAAATATTAAATCGGCAAATCAGAGTTTGGAATTTAAAGAACTCTCGCCTCTTTGGAATAAAAGGATTACATTATAATAACCAATAACTTAACCAAGATCCAAAGCTCAATCGATGCAGACGAATAAAAACTTCGATATTAGAAGCCAAAAAGTATCCATATTTCAATAGCATTCTAAAAATTCAGATAATGACATTGAATATCATTAAGTGCCTTATTAAACCATAAGCAATAGATGTACTATTAAAAATAAATGATAATTATTAATACTATAATAATAATAACATATGTATTATATGTATATCATTATTCATTCTAAAATACTGATATTAATCTTGTTAAATTATTTATTAATATTATTTATATTATTTTACTCAGTTCTAACTATCTTAAATTTGTTTGGTTTCCTTTTCTTTAAACTCTTTCAAGCCTAAAAATTAAATCTTTTTTAGATAAAATAACACATTAATCTTCAGATTTACTTTAATACTTGAATTCATCTTTTATTGTGACGATATCAAAAGAAATTTAAATTAATATTATGAATCATTCAGACGGTGCTTAATCCCCTCCTTATTTCAGTATGTATCCGCTACCCTATTGGCCAACAAGCTCATAATTACTCTTAATGATGAACTTTCAGAATCCTTTGATGAGTCCAATCCATAATTTAGGTTCTCCAATTTTAACTTCTCATTTAAGTTTTACCTAGCCAACCATGAATTGTGATATAAAATACGAATAAAGTAATATCCAAAGCTTATTCATTTTAGATTCACAGAATAAAGAAACCACACTAAGCAAATAACCAGAAAAATATACCAGCCAAATTTAAATCATTGCTGAGCAATTAGATGACATGAATTATGACGAAATCACCTTAGAAAACCTTGAACAATTAATCCATTTGTTGTTTGCTGAATCGCCTAAACTTAAAAAGATCTAATAATAACTTAAAGAGAAAAAATGTCTTAAGGTTGTTAAGATTCTAGAGACTTTAGCCAAAAAAATCAGAACACAATCTAAAAGTAGAGAGGAGTTGATCAAATTTTGTCTAAGAAAGGCTTTCAGAGAGATCTTCCATAAAATTTAAGCGAAAAGCACTAAAACAAGTAATCAAATCTTTAAATATGTAGAACTGAATCTAAAGGCAGCTTCCAAAATATTTCAGTAATCCTATTAAGCTGAAAAAATGAAATCAATATAGTTGCCATTCAGAAAAAATAGTAGGAATAAAACTATGAATAATCATTTTCTACATGAATTATTCCAATCCAAACAATTTTAGGATCAATATAAAACATTCCTTGGTATTTATGTTCTTCTTATTTTTAGAAAAGTTAGATACCATCATTGAGAATGATAGAAATAAAAAAATAAAAGCAATTGCTGAAAAATCAAGGGAATTCATCTAATCCAACAGAAAAGTAAACAAAATTATTCACTATTTATAGTCATACACTTTCAAAAGATTACCTTGGTCAATTAAAAATATTGAAAAGTTAAAAGAAACCGCAAATGAGATGCTCAATTACTGTGATGATTAAAAATTTATTTGAATTATTATCATTAATAAAATATATATCAAGATATAATTGAGTTAATTTAAAGATTATGCTCATTAATGTTGGCTTCCACTAATAATTTTTAAATAAATTAGAGAAACCAAATGTTCGAAAATATTTCGAAATTCTCAATGTCCTCCAAGACATTCTGCTTGTACTCAATAACCATTTTTAAATATGTTTAAGTAACATAGACAATAATTCAAGAAATAGAAATCTTTGAGTGATTTTGTTATTCAATCCTTATTCAAATAAAGAGTTAGCTAGTTAAGCAAATTTATTGTTTAAACAATCTATATATATGTAATATCAAAGAGCACCACCATTAAAATATATGATAATTTATGTTTGATTAGAATTGCTATTTTCTAATTTATCACTGGATTTATTTTATTATATTCAAAATTTCATGACAATAAATAATTTATTACACTTTTAATGAGACATTTAATTAAAAGACAGTTGTATGATAATATGGACTAATTATATTCATTAATTCACGAACAAATTTTGATTTTTTTTTCTTTGTTAAATATTTAAATTAATTAATATATATAATATTAACTAACTAAATTTATTTTATTCTTATAATTTTTAGAAGTAATTTGCAAAATTTATTAAAAATTAAAATCTCTCTTTTGAAAGTATCCTTAGATCACTTATAATGGTTTATTTAAGTAAAATAAATATTTCCCATATTTATATTCTTTATAAAATAAAAAAGAATAAAAAAATGCATTTGGTCTTTTAAAATTTATAAATAGACTTTGATTGAATGAAATGTCTTTCACACTTGTTTTGCTTTAGACAAAATAATGTTAATATTAAAAAATATTATTATTAATAAATGAATAATAATACTAATAATGGATTAAATGATGAAGAATTGCTAAGACTTATAAAGTAAGAACTACATTATCCAAATTCACCTGTTTATGATTAGATAAGTGACTAATATTCTTCTGTAAGTGATGAAGAGGATATCATTATCAGAGACCCAGCTTCTGAAATAAGTACAGCGATATAAATTCTATATTTTAGCTGATGAATCAAGCAAATCTCAGTAATTTGAAAAGAAACAAGCAAAATGGAAATATGTACTCAATTTATTAATATTGTTTTCAAGTGTTGTCAAAAATGTACAAAATCTGACAAAGGGTCCCTTAAACCAAAGACTTGTGTATGCATAGTTCCAGCATCATAAAGAAGAATCTAGATTGGAGAATAGGGATGTCTCTCTTGTCATTGTACAGGATGTTCAATAGAGGATGAAAAGAAAAAACAAAAAAAGATCAAGAAGAAAAGAAAATCATCTTCTGTTTCCAGTTCGGATGAGTCTTCAGAATTCAAAACTGTAAATGGATGTTGCAAGAAATGCATGAAAGCCTTTTCCAAAATGGGTAAAGAAGCTAAAGTATAATGATAAATGATCATAAATAGTCTTGTTTATGTCAAGTTCCAAGGGCTGTTCGAAAGAAACCTTTACCTGCACATGGTTGTCAGTATTGTGGATGCCATGGATGCAATCCTGAGGATAAGAAAAAAGAGAAGGTAAAGAAAAATAGTCGACAGCTTTCTCCAGTTTCGAATGAAGCGAATGAGTAGAATCTCAATAATTTTCAAAATGCTCGTACTATTAGGTTATGATGTTAGCTTTAATATAATGGCTTAATGCATAAAATCTCAACCCAGGCATTTTAGGAATTGGAATACCGTAAAGGACATACTCATATATTTATGGGAAGGAATAAGGACGTTGAGAATAAAAACTTATAAATTTATTTATAATCATAAACTCTTTTAATCAATAAATGGACGAGGACGTAGTAATTTTATTATACAATAGATTAAATAATTTATTTATGGATTATAATTCAAAAGTGTACCTATAAATGTAGCATACATGTGTCAAGCATTGCACAAATACTTTACTCAAAGCCTAGTTGGACCCATTAGAAAACCTTTGTTTAAACAGATGTGTTAACAAATATGCAGAAGCCATTGATTTTTCAATGCAATAATTCAAGTAGACAATTTACTCATAGAAGGTTGCACACTCTAAAGCAAGAGGAACTCGCCAAATAGCAGCAGTTAATGCAATAATAAAAAGAAATGGTAAAATCATCACTTTTTGGTAAATGATTAACAAAGTTATTTTATATTAAATAATAATATTACAATTTACAATCGAATCTAAATTTTACAACTGATTCTCATTTATGTAGATCCAGATCCATCTTTTTAAATTGATATTTATTCTAATCTATAAGTTTTATGGTATTTTAATTCTGCATTATAGTAAATGATTGAAATTTATTTTATCTTTGTTTTCTAAAGATTCAAGTTCTATTAGCTCTAATAAATTAACAATTCTTTTGAATTTTATATAATTATCCAATAAAGATATTTAGGCTCCCAATATTAAATTTCCTTATAATAGATTTTCCAATCTTTCATATTATGTCTATTGGAATCAATTTCACTAAATTCATTAGGCAATTTTTTTCTATATTCTAATATTTCAATTGAATGTAAGTGTAATTAATGTTGAGTTTCACATCTACTCAAGATCGCTCCTTAAACAGCTCAGAGTAAATCTTTCTAAATTCGAAGACTCCTGATTAGCAAAATTCTTCTGTATTTGATCAATTATTAGATTCATCCCCATAGTTAATTTGTAAATCCTAGCAAGGATGCTCTTTAATTATATGTCGCACAAAAGGGTATGATAATCTCAATTAAGAGATTAAAATGAATCCAAATATTTAATATTTTTCACTTTTTTGCCTATAATCAAACTTTCTTCTCTAATAAAAACTATAATCTTTCAAAAAATTGTAATAAAGAGTATCATACTTTACAAATTAAATTTCATCTTCATTTAGAATTGAGACTGTATTTATGCTATTGTATTTTATTCTGAAACAAAAGCTCTATCATATTAATATTTGATACTTGCATATAGATAGTGGATGCTGTAGAATTATAGGATCTGAAGAGAATCCTAAATATATTAATCAATGATATCAATTTTTTTATCAATGTTCATATTATTTATATATAATTTCTCAATAACGTCTTGCATAACTTCTAGTTGTTGTTGTTGATGTTTAATTCATAATTTAGGAAGATGATGTTTATGATGGTGGTTATTAACTGGATGAGCCAGACTAATAAATGGATGAAGCTGTCACTGGTTTTTGAGTGCTTGTTTATTAGACCTATGATGCTGTAGGGAATAAATTTTATCTATATCCACTAGATCTGTTTGATTGACTATCATCTATCTATTAATAGGTTGTCTAAGGTTGTTTATTAACTTGTGTGGTAATGGTTGTAGTGAATTAATTAGTTTGATTTGTACTTTAAGGTGGATTATCTGATCTTAAATCTTTCACTACAGAAGCGTACTTGTTATTCCAAGTTTATAAGTCCTATGCAATAAATATATATTATTACAGCAGTTTAGTTGGAAATTATATTCTATTGTCTCTTGATTTCATTTTATAAATCATTGATTTATTGATTCAATTTCTTGATATCATTTTATTGGTTATCAAAGCTCTTCTTGCTTGTGTTCAAATCAGAATTTAAGCTATTCACTTTAGCTTCTAATTCTTTCTTTAACTTTTCTAGATTTGAAGAATCCTATGAGAATTTGTCAAGTTTCTTCTTCAAATCGTCTAATTCTTTGTCTTTTGCTTGAATTGCTTATTACAATTTACTAATTTCTGTATTATCTTTCTTAACCTTCTATAATTCAACATCCATTTGATTGAATCTAAATTAAAAACACATATTACTTCTTTTTAATTTCTTCATTCTCCTTTGATCTCTAAGCAATTTGATCTTACAAAGTTTTCAAATCATTTGGATTGGTATTATCAATAACTTTAACTTATTTAACAATTGATTCTTGTTTTGTGTTGGATGCCTTCAATGCATTAATTTCATTATCTTTGGCTGCAAACTTATTCTTTAATTGTTCAAACTCTCCATTGACTGAATTGTATAATTATTGGAATTAAGTTTTCTATTTATTGGCATCATCAGCTGCTAATTGTAAATCAGCCAATTTTTATCTTAAGTCTCCTAATTCTTTAGTTTGTTGATCAATTAATTATTTCAATCTTTGATTTTCAGCTTCAAGAGGCTTTAATTATGCAACTTATCCTTCTAAGGTTGATACAGTCTTAGATTAAGCTGCATTTTCATCATTCTTAACTTAGATTTGCTTTCCTAATTACTCAATTTCAGCTTGTAATTTTGCAATTCTATCCAAAAGATTATCTCTCTCTGCAGCTAATTGTTTAGCCTATTTATCTAATTAACCTAATTGATCCTTTAAATCAGCAGTCACTAAACATCTAAAATAATATAATTAAAATATTTTACTCTCTTTCGTATAAAGCCTTGTATTTAATAAATTCATTTTAGAAACCATTCAATTATTCAATGACCTTCTACATAGAGTTCATCTCAGAGACTTAAGAATTAAACTTATTGGTCAAATCACTTAATTATTGTCTCAATTTATTATTCTCATCTAATAACTTTTACAATTATGCCTACAAATCTCCAATTTACTTTGATCTTTATTAATCTAATTGTTAGAGTTGATTTTAATAAATCATTAATATGAGATTCTTAATTCATTGATATAATTATCCTTTTCAGCTGAAGAATTGCTACTGCTTTATTATAAATTAGTAATCTAAGTTTACAATAAACTGTATTATTATTGAAGTTTATTATATAAGTCTTGAATGTTTCTTAACTTATTTAACTCTGCTTATAATTGTCTCAATTAAGCATTGAGATCATCAATCTCTTTATCCTTCTATTCATTTTACGATTATAATTTGGCTAATTGATCTTATAAAACCTATTGTTATCTTTCCAAATTAGCAATGTCCTCATTGACATCATCTTGGTTTCCTCCTCTCAATTCCAACATAGGATCTTACTAAAGAGATTCAGCTTTCAATCTTTATAAATATTCAACTTCAAGGAGCAAATACTTATATTTACTCTCATAGTACTCCTTCTCTCTTCTCAATCTATCATTGTCTACTCCAACTTTGTTAAGATCTGTCTTAACATTTTCTCTATTTTAGACTTCTTCTTATCTTACAATATCTAATTTATTATTTGATAATTATAATTAATTAACTTGATTAGCTTCTAAAGATTTATCGAAGTATCTTCCGTAGAGATCTTCATATTCTTTTGTCTTGACATTCAATTATTGAATCAAATCTTATGAATGCTATCTTAATAAATTAATTGTTTATTCCAACTCAGGAACTCTCGATTCTAAATGCTTTAAATTGAATATGGTTTGATTGAGATCATTCATTTTGGCTCTCATTTGTTCATTTTCTTCGACTTTCATATTCAATTAAGTTTTCAATCTGTCTATTTCTTAGATAAATAAATGCTTTTCATTTTCAAGGATATTAATGTGATTATTTAATTATTCAATTTATTACTTCAGTTTCTAAATTTATTAGTATTAATCAAAGTTTTCTCTTTGAAGTTCCTATATTTATTTTCTAAGTTGATTGATTTCATCCTAATCGACTATGTGTTCAATTTAAGGTGGTGGTTGATGTAATTACCTTTGCTTCAATCTTTCAATTTCTAATTCTAATTACCTAGCTCTGATTTATTCTTATTTTAACAGTTCAGCTGTAAATTATAAATCAGACACCAATTACTCAGATTGTAAATACTTATCCTTCCAATTCTTTATCAATTATTCCTTTCTTTGAATCTCCAGTGATTATTCATTCAAATATCCTTCATATTAAACTCTTTATTATTCATGTTATCTATCTTTTGCTTATAAATCTAATTCTTATTATAAATTCTGTTATCTTAATTTATTTAATTCATCTTTTAATTCTTTAATTTCTTTTTCTAATTATGCATTCTTTTCTTCAGCATCAGCCAATAATTATTAAACATCATGAAGTGTTTTATCTAATTGATCAGCATCTCTTTCAAATTGATTTCTTTCATTTCTGACCTTTTGTAATTACTCATTCAAATGATCATTGATTTATAATAATCTTTAGTTATCTAATTTGAGTTCATCAAGTTCTCCCTCTTATGTATGATATTTATTATCAAGTGCAAGATTCTCATTCTATAATTATCCAAATTGAGTTTATAAGATTCCCTTTTCTGAAATAGCATCAGCCAAAAGGTTTCTCAATGTTGATATTTCATCTTCTAAGAATGGTATTTATTTTAATTAAGCTTCTTATGATGCTTTAATAAATGAGAGCTCTTCAACTTCCAACAATCTCTTTTAGATTTCACCTCTCAAATGATCAACTTCGTCTCTCAGTAATTACTTCTCTGATTCAAGTACTTGTACTTCTCCTTTATACAAACGTAAAGCTCCTACTTCTCTCAAAGCAGCTGCTAACTTTTCTTTGCAAGTAGTAAGTTCTTAAACCTTAAAATGTACTTATTGTTTAAGATTCTCAACTTCTAATTTCAATCCTTAAAGATGATTTAACTCATTCTATAATTAATCAATAATATCATCTTATTATTTAATTTTATCATCTCTAAGATTGATTCTCTCTTGCTTTGATGCTAATTCCTATTGCAAAGTCTTGATAGTTCCTTATAATGAGTCGATACTTGCATTTTCAGTTCTTAATTAAATGTTAACCTTTTCAAGGGATGAATACTTCAATCTCCAACCATCTAATTCAGCTTCTCTTTACTTAAGAAGTGATTGTAATCTATCAATTTCACTCTACATCTACAATAACTTATTCTCAGTAATAATAGTAACTGAAGATCCTCCTTACAATTTAAATAATTCAGCATCTCTTGTTTAGACATCATGATTTAGATCATCAATTTGTTGTAATTTCAAATCTAATTGATGTTGTACATTATGTAAATCAGATCTTAATTATTCAATTATAGTAGTTTATTCTCTGAGTTCAGATACTTAAGATTACAATTTACCTAATTCTTCCATCAATCTTTTGATTTCATCATTCAATCTAGCATTCTCATCATTAAGTTATTGCACATCATTTTCTAATTCCTCGTTTCTAGCCTACTCTGCTTAAATGAGAGTCTCATAATCAATAGCCTTTCCTCTCCAATCCTCACATTCTTATTGCGATTATGATAACTCCTATTTTAATTTAATTATTTGTTGATGTAAGCTCTCGACATCTCCCTTCTATTATGGCACTTCCTTTAGGCTGTTGTCCCAATTTACCCTTATAATTATTTCAATTCTAATATAATTTCATTATTATTTACAATCTTCCAAATCTTTTTTTTCCTTTTCAGCTCTCAAGCATCTCTCCTTCCAATTACTCAAATCCTATTACAATTTACTGATCTTCTATTCCAATTCAGAGGTCTTCATATCTGTGTTAGTGATGGTGCTTATCTATTTTTCTATAGTAACAAAACGATTTTTCCATTCATTAACTTATTTTTTTGATTGATCCAACTGCTTTTGTAATCTTTGGATTTCTTCATTCTAATTTTTTTGAGTCCTAATATGTTATTCCAATTCGTTTATTGATATTCTAGCTTAATCCAAATCACCTATCTTCTGTTTCAGCGATTGATTCAATTTCTTATTCTCTCCAATTAAAATTTCAACTCTATCTTATAATTGTTAGATCTAAGATCAAATCATTTTTATACAGTCTCTTCGTATGAAGTGTTACGATCCAGCTCAGCTTAAAGCTCCAGATATTTCTTGCGCCATAAATCTATCTCCTTTTACTGTTCGGCAATCCTCTATTCACAAAAAGTATGATCTGCTTCTTTAACAATTACTTATGTCTTTATTTGAGTCCTTGGTTACTCTTGTCTTACTGAACCCTTCTATTCTCTTACGATATATTCTGCTAATAAATATAGAACTATTACAAGTGACTGGTTGCATAGGCACAATCGTTTCCTGAATAGGAATAACAGTAGTCTCCCTGGGATTTTAAGACGTTCTCGGTGGAGACACAAAATGACGTACAGATGCAGGCAATACTCTACTCATTAAAATTTATTTTAATTAATAAATATCTATTTTTCTAGTTAATTAAAACCTGAATTTTGTTTTTATCAGAAAAAAATTCGTTATGATTAGATTTGTAATAATTATTATCAAAAATCAAAGATATCAAGGAAATCAAAGAAATCTATTCCCACTCTTACACTATTCCCTAAACCATTACTGCTCATTTTATTCCTAAATAAATCATATACATATTTTAATAATTTATGTAATTTTTATAAAAATCACATATTCCTAAAGCTATCCAAATAATTTAAGTTATCGAATTCTTCACAGAATATTTTGCAAAACTGCCTTAAAGTAAATTAATACATTAAATCAAGAAAGAATATACTAAAACTTTTTAATCCTTGAAATTTTAAAATTGTTTCTCAAATTGAGAAAATGGCATCTAATTGATAAATATGGATTGATGATATCAGAGAATAATAAATTTAGAGAAGCAGACCATCGCGAAGATTCAGCTGTCAATTTATTCTAAGAGAAATGGGGAGGATTACAAAAAGATCCTCCTATTGTGGACATCAAATTGGCCAAAGAACAACTAAAAAAAGTCAATGAGCCCATGTTAGAATTCAATTAGGGTTAATATGATACTATTGGAGATAAGTAAGTATCTATAATAAAAACACTCCCTATTCCTAATAGTCTAAAAAAGAGAGATTATGATTCCTAATTGAATATCCTAAGAGTATTGTCTTTATTAAACTGTAGGTCCAAATAGGCGAAATACTATATCTGCTACGTCCTTTAGTTTATTGTTCTTGCATTCTAAAGTTTGGAACAAGAAGTTACTCGCCTTACTTAATTTCATTATCTATTGATATCTTGAGATTCCTCATTCAATTCAAAATACAGATCTTTAGAAAAAGTTAGAAAGAGGAGCTGCGTCTAAGAGCCAAAGATGCCATTGTAATTATCGCTAATATCTTAGATCTGCTATGTTCTCAGGGATCCATTTTATAGTCAGATTTTAAAATAGAAGTGCTTAAACAAGGTATTAGGATTATTAGTAAAAGAAGAAAACATACTTCATCGACTTGTAATCGGACTTTTGGACCTAAGATCATCAAAATGTTTATTATTATGAAGTTAAGTATTTTTTATTTTTATAAATTATATTAAATGTAATAGTAAAATCATATTCTAGTTTTTAAAGATTTTTACTAAGAAATCAATAGATTAATTTATTAGTTTATATCCTTAATCTAAGCCAAGATTTAAATCAATTCTTATCTCAAAGTCTGTTTGACTCTCATATCTGTCTCGATTTAAGCTTACTTTACAATTGAATCATATTTCTAGTCAAGTTCTTCCAACATTAATTCCAATTTGATTATTTATCTTGATATATTCTCATACTCCTAAGTATCTTCGTTATTCTTCTTGATAATTACAATACTATTGTCATCGTCCGTAGTTAATTTGATTTACTCTTACTCTGAAGTAGGTGCTTGAGTAATGGAAATCTTTTTGACCTATTTTTTATTTGAAGTCTGTTAGTATTAATCTTTGGAGTCCTGTCTTTACACCAATAATTATAATTCAAAGATTTTGCCATTTAACTACTCAATCTGTTTATGTTTTTGAGATTCTATTCTCTCATATTGTAATTTAAGTAGCTGAATATCTGAAAGCAATTAAGAATTTTATTATTTTTGCTAGTCCAATTAGTTGACTAGATCAGCATTTTTAGTTTATAATTATTTGATATCAAATTCCATATGTTGGAATTTATCAACAGGATATTGAGTGGTATACCAATCTAGATATTGTTATAATTCTTGGATTTATTCTTTATATTATTTTAAGTCCTGATTCATTTTGGACATACTCTCATTCCATTATTTGCTGCTTTTTACAAATGTATCTAATTGTAATTGATAATTTATAGTAATCTATTGATAGAATGAAAGGATTATACCTATTTTTCTTTTTACAATTATTAATTTAATTAAGTGATCTTTTTTTTATAACTCTCATTTGTATCTAAATTCAAATTTAATTATTGTTATCTATATTAATATCTTTAGATTACATATTATTAATCTCTTCTGCTAATTCTCGAATCTTTGACTCATTCTAACTAATCTAAAATTTATAATCAGAATGAATGTAAGCAATCTTATCCTCATTCTCAATTTCTGACTATTTCAATTTCTTGTCCAGTTCCTTAATTTTTTCATCTTTTTCATCATTTTTATCATTTTTAAATACATCATGTTTAGTCATAGTGCTTAATAGTTTTTCAACCTTATTTCTTTATTTACTTTTAACATGAGCAGTCGAACAATAATTTTACGATATATTCTATAAATGTTAAATGATTGAATCATACGATTTACTCATTGAGAATGCCGTTCTCTCCTTCTAGAGTTCTTATCCTATCTTATAAGGCCTTCATTGCCTTTAAATAACTAGGAGACATTGGTTAACTAAGAGATAGCTTTTTATCAATCGACTCTTCCGATTTCAATTTGGATGTAAAAACACTATTTCCGAGATTGAAAGAGGAGTAAAAGTTTTTGTGATCGATTTTGTTCTTAATCTATTGAGCTAGGAATTTAGTTTAAAAACTATCTGCCTTCATATATGTTTGTTATAAATTAATAAATTAAATAATCAAATTATTTTTCTTCTCTTATCTCTAAAGTATATAACAACAAGCACAATAATGGAGCACAAGCATATGAAAGCTCCAGCAAAATATGAACCAACCAGAACCTATGAATCGATCTCAGAATGTTACCATATTTTTCTATCCAAATATCGTTGTGGTTGTCATAAAGAAACTCTTGACCATATCAGATGAATACAGTTACTCGTTGTAAGCTAATGAATTTAAAATAAGAATTACTATTATTTACAACCAATACATATTGTCCTTTGCTTAGATCATTCTAAATTCTACCCCACAATTTCTTTAATCTACCCTACCCGGCTGTTCTCATCCAAACCATAAAGTGTTCTTTTAGTTCATTTAAAACATTGTACCATCTTCAATATTGGTCCAAGCAAACTTTTCCCATCCCTTAGGGTTTTTGAAGTTAAATTCTCTGTCACTTTCCCAAGCTATATCTGTTTCATCAATCTCAACTATTTCTCCTTTAGAATTTTTTAATTTAAATGTATCAGTAAAATACGTGTAGGCTATTTCACCACACGGAAAGGCATTCTCACTCTTATTTAACTAGTTGCCACCGTAAGATTTCACTTTCTCTGTATTTTTATTAATTTCAAATAGCTACCCATATCAGAATTCGTTTGATAATCTCCACAATTAGAAAGATCAGCATCCGTATTCCCTTTCAATTATTCAATAGATTTTGATTTGAAATAATTTCGATTTCTTCTGTAAAAGTTCTCGAGTTAATAGTATACAAAAATTGGTGCTGTCATGTCACTAGATATTTCAATTGGTATTTCGCAATTAAGTTAATTGGCTGTGCATGAGGACCCATAATAAACCTCCTTTTCGACTATTTGCAAATTGAATACTAAAAATATGATTGCAAAGACCAATAAAAATATTCCTATGTTACAAGCACTAATACCAATTATACTAAATATTATCAGATTTCTTTTGAAGTTCTTATGGAATTTCCATTTCTTTATGGCAATATTCAAAAATTCTTCTTAATCCTCTCTAAATTATTTCGAAAATGAGTTAGAATATTCAGCCATTAATTTTATTAAATATTATAATCATTATCTAACTTTACTCATTACTTTACAGCTCTACTCATTCCTTCCAAAAGAACCAAGGCGACATATTAGTTCAAAAGTATAGTCAATTTGAAAGAATAACAACAGATGTTTATTTTAAATAAATGAAAAAATACAAATATTCAAGTAATTCAAACTGTGGAGAATGTAAACAATTGAATAGGAATTAACTTTAAAAAGAATAACATCACAGATTTAATGAAATCAGGAACATTAAAGTATTTAGCTAATTTTGAAAAGTGCCACATAATATGCTTTGAATTCTTTGTAATCAGATAAATTATAATCATTATTGAATTTTTTATACCAATCAAATACTAACTAAAATCTTGATTTCGTTTGTGATTGATAGATAATTGAAAAAACATCTTTAATTTAATACCTAATTTAATCTATTTAGAAATAATAAAAAGATCAACCTAATAAGAATAATGAATAAAATTAAGATTTGTCTTATTTTTAAATAAAGAAACACCTAATCGAAAATAAGCATAAATCACTGTATGACAGAGATCAATAAAAATAATTAATTACAAGATTAAGAGAATATAATTCAAAATTAGAATAGCAAGAAGAGTAAAATCATAAAATAGAGAGTGAGATAAAAAAACGAAAGAGTGTGTTTGTGATTGATCCTTTCTTATTTTAGATTTTCAATAAGGAAATTTTTAATTATATAGTTTGAATAATATATATCAACAGATCAAATATTAATGCATAAATTAAGATAATTACAAGAAAAAGAAATTCAATGTCACCCAACTTAAAAAGTCTTTGTACCTTTCATTTAAGAACGAGATTCTTTAGGTAAACTGCAAACAAATCACAAAAGAAATACTTCGCAAAAATCAACATTGAAAAAGAAATCTAATACAAAGGTATGAATATGTAAATTTAATGTAAAGAAACTTACAAATAGTAAAAGTGAACATACAAAATCAAAAATTAATTTTTTAAAAGATGTTTACACCATAAATCATAATACGGAATGGGCCAATTTGACTAATATTTCTAGATTGGAAAAAAAATTTAATTTGAGAATTCAGACTGAATTTGTTTTGTAGAAACCACTTACATTTTTAAATTCAAAACTATAGTTGAATGGTGGTTTCGTCTAACATAGAGCAAACACTTAATTAAATAATTCGCCAAAGCTTGGAAAAAATCTTTGCATGAACTCTGTACCTCCAATTGGGTATTATTAACCTAAAGATTTGCCAATTAAAAAATAGCCAATGTTTGTTAAAATGAATTTATAGCAGGATACTAATAGATAGACAAAAAAGGTTTTAAAAACAGAATGCTCATCAACAATATCGATTCCTAAATTAGAATTCTCTAATATCAGAATTTTAAACAAAATTCCTTAAGAATTATTTGAAAAAGCGTATTTAACAGAGAGATTGTCTACAGAACACAAATTCAGATACACTCCTTTACATTTTGATAACGAAGAAATAGAACAATAAGAGTATAAGATAAATTAATTAAGATAAATTTATAAAGTTATGAAAAACAGTATTTCTTGATTCCATTTTGTAAATATTGTTATATTGTAATTTTTTCAATCCTTTAACCATTTTCCATAGAACAACTCATAAATTTTATATCTAATTTAAGCAGAATCCTATAGAGATTCAATAAATCCTATACAACTAAACCAATCATCATAAGTAGCTGTTTCTACTCCACAAATGTAATAGTTTCTAGTTCCTTTTTTTAGAAATAGTTTTTTTAGATCCCTAAGATAATTATTAAATTAATTAAATTACTTTAAATATTAATTGTAACGAGCTTCACTTCCAGTGGCATAACTATAAATGTACTTCTTTAATATTTCCTCATCATGTCTCATCTTATAACCCAAAGTTGAAACATCTTCAATACTTGAACTTTATAACCCATAATATTCTAAGAAATTGTAAGCAATATCCCAATTCAAAATGGCATTTTATCCTTCCTTATTAGCCTTTGCAAGATCTAATCTATATTATGAGTAATCTATGATCTAATTAGTTTTCCCATTAAATTAGAAAACTCTAAAGGATGGATTATATCTTGTGAATGTTGTAACTGAAGGTGCAATATAGAGAGTTTTAATGTACCTTCCATCAATTCTTGATCTAATATGGGAAATTTAATCGGAATGGGTGTGTCCTAGAATTAATGAATTATTACCATAAAAAAGACCTGATACCACGTGTTCAAATCTTTCAATAACAACACTAAAACGATCAGCCCATTAAGTATTGCATGATATGTCACCTGGTGGGATATGTGCAATAATGATAGCAAATTGATTTTTGGATTCTGAATCATATAACTCTTCAACTAACCACTTTAACATTCCTCTTGGATCAGTAACTCCTTCCATCAAAAAGAAATTATCATAATCATAGGCTTAAGAATTAAGAGCAATGACTTTAAGGTTTCGTTTCTCATCAACTTAGGAATAGTATCCATTTCTTCTCAATTGATAATATGCTTCTTAACTTAGATATTATTTCCACATTTCTGCTGTTTCGTCTCTCAACCATTATGAAGACTCTCCTTTCATATCATATTATTCAGCAGGATAAGCCTCATGGTTTCCGTACATTGCATACATTTATGTTGTTGGCATAGTCTTCTATATCTCTTCAGTTATGATCCTTGTTGGAACAGTTTAATTTGATTCCAATTACTACCAAACATCATGTGCAATACTGTCTCCTGTCCAAATAATGAAATCAGGTTTTATCTATTCTTTTGTGAATTCTAATAAATTTTAAACCGTCCTAAATGGCAAATCACAACTAGCCAATGTTCCCCAATACTAAGCTCCTTTGCTAGGATCCTTTGGTGTTCCATATTCTTTCCTGCAACAAAGAGGAGCATCACAAAAAGCATCAGCGCCTTCGGTGTACTCTGTATCAATGTGTAAATCTGTGTATTGTACGACCTTATAATCCTCATTATTGATCAGCAAGGCTTCGGCTTATTCTTTCCAACTTTATTATTGTTGTTTTGTAAGTTTGTCATGCATGACTTCATTTATATATTCTTTTAAAGTTTATGGGTGATGTTCTAACTTACAGGCCCCTAAAAGCTAACAAGCATTTGATGGTTTCAGATAATTTCTATAGGTTATACAAAATCTTTACTCAATAAAGTGCACTGCAAATTCGTCATGATACTATCTACTTTTGCCAAGACAATGAGGCATGTTATAGAAATGAGGGCATAGAGCAAGATATTCCTTTTTTATGATGGTCAATAAGGTGTTTTTTGAGAATTTTTAAACTTGTTTCATCATCAACTTGCATGGCAAACAGAATAAGTGTAAACTAACATAACAATTGATGTATTGTACTCATGAGGCAATTCAACCCCCACATAATTGGCCACTCTTTTGAGTAATTCTTTTTTGAGATGTTATTCTGGTGTTTATTATGTCAGGGTTATACTGATTAAGACAAAGATTATCAATAAAGAATATTTCATTAATTTATAAAATGATTTAAGAAAAAATATCATTGATAAGATTATATCATATTTGTAAGAATAATAATAACTAAAATAAATATGATATATCTCTTCATAACTGTCTCCTAGAAAAGTTAACTTTGGAATATATTATTCAGAAAATTATTATAATTCAACTTAATTCTGTCCACTCTGGATTTCAAAAGAATCTGAAAATAAATTTACTGCATCTTGATCCAAAAAAAAATCTTCCACATAGACTTTTTCTTCAAAACCCTATTTAAGATTTAAATCAGTCTTAATTTGCTCCTATGACTCCTTCTTAACTAATCTCTTGGTTTCTAAACTTTCAGATTCCTTCTCTCTCCTTGAATTTTACTCTTATTTAAATTTAACTTCTTATAATTTAGATAGACATCCATGTTCCTGTAATATTGTTTAGACTTTGAATTTGATATCATATTCCGATAGAAATTTATCCATCCACATTTTTGAGGCTTTGAAAGTGTCACTATTGAAGATTTCAAGGGCTTTAGATTTAATAAAGTCTCTGGTAATTTTCTTTCCACCTTTCTTGGTTTCACTCAATATCCATTACTCAAGTTCTGAAACAGCCTATGGATTAACTCTCTTTCTTCCACATCCTTATTTTCTCACATAACCTTGATTAAACCATCTCTTTAAATTTCTGATTGTAGTATTATATTTTTGACTCTATATTTCAAAGTTCTCATCTGAAGGGTTAGCTGCTAATGCTTCGATAGCTTCTTTTTTTTCATCTGCACTCAGGATATAATGACAAGTATTTTACTTATGCAAGTACGTTACTATTATGTAGAAAGAATATGGAATTCTAAAAGTAAGAATATATGATAATTTTATAATTAAACTACAAGGGTCAATTATTTGATCATTATTGACATGAAACAAGATATAACATTTAAATAATAGTTGATTACAAAAATAAAAATTGTTTTCTATGAATTTATCAATATTTGATCATCATGAATTTACAATTGTAGTCATTGTTCTTTTCAAATTTTTTATTTGAATATCAGAAGGATTTCCTCCTGCTTCTTATTGTTTACCTCCATTTCTAAGTTATTGGGATTAAAATTTAAGTTCTTTGAAATTTGAAGAACCTAATACATCACTTATTCTTCTGTATTTTTTTAAAGAAATTTATTAGTTTTATGGTTATACGCATATTTAATTTATTTATTCTTTTATTTCTTATAGATGATCTTTTTTTATTTCAGGTTTGAATGTTACTTTTAGTTATTATTTGACTGGTCTCTCAACAAAATCATCCTCAGAACTTAGCGTTTAAACTAGAATAGGATCCAATTCAATCACCAATAAATCACTCTTAATAAATCCTGATTAATTGCATCCCCCGAATATGTAAAGTTTCGAATCAATACAAGAAGAAGTATGATTACATCTTCCTGCTACTTAATTACCTCTGATGTCTACACTTATCCAAGTTTGATTTTTGATATCCAAAAGATGAAGATCATTGAGGAATCCATTTATATTTAGATCGTCATTCTTTCCTCCATAAATAGCCAATAATTGATATTTATCCACATAACTCATTGAATGTTGACAGCGACCAACTATAGATTGAAACAAATAAGATACTTGGTGACATCCCCTTCGTTTAAACCTATTCAAACCCCACAGGCTTAGTTGTTGTATCTATTCTTATTAATCCATCCAAGTAATGTCCATTTTTATCGAAGCCACCAAATATATAGATTCCTTAATTGCTTAATTTACCATCACTATCACTTTTGTAGAGTTCAATTTGATTGCTAAAATAGACAGCAGCAGATTTATGAAAGGCAACACCATCTGGAAAACAACTGTTCTGCTCAGTTACTACTTGACTCCATCTTTAAGTAATTAAATCAAATGCAATAACATCCCTTAGATATTAACCCTTCAGATCGATTCCTCCATGAACAATCATACTCCTTCCAATTACCTCTGCGATGTGAGACTTTCTAGGGGGAATAATACCTGTTTGCTTCAATACTTTCAGCTCATTAGAGACTAAATTATTTATGGGCTAAATTTACTTAAATTAATTATCTTAATATCACATGTAATTTCGCTAAATATTCTTTTATTACTAGGTATTTGATGAACCTCTCCACCGAAGATTATCATGTAATTTTTATAGAGTGCGGCTGAATGATTGCTTCGGAAGCCATTCTACTGTTGATCATCTAGTTTTACCTATTGCCATTTGTAAATTTCTAACATATTTAAAGATTACACTTTTATCAACATAAGCGCAACAAAAGTCTTCATTTTACTTAGCCCCTGCTCCACCATACAAAAACAAATGATGATTGTATGAGAGCATAGTGCTGCCATTTCTTGAACACGGTTACCATTAAATTGATACATCTTTATAGATATAGACATTTTGCTTTTTGATTCTAATTTCGTTTATTTGTTCACTTAGTTTCATCTGCAAATCCTAAGCATCTTTATTCTTATTATTTAGATCATTCAGCTTACTAATTCTTATTTGTTTTCTTATGGATTCCATTCTTTACAAATCTTAATATTATAAAGATGGGTAAGATTTGATATCAGGACCCTTCGATTTGATTTTATTAAAATATTTCCTTACTTCTTCAATGGATGATTCTTCCTATTTTTTATACTGTTCCTTTATTTTTCTAAATGTATCTCTGTTATGAATCATTTACATTTTTCGTGATGTGTAGTACTTTAGTTAATCTACACGTTCCTCGGTGAATAATGAATGGCCATAATTATTCCATATTTACTTTGACTGTAGGAATGATCTTTTTAGTTCACTTACTGCGCCTTAGTTAAGTTCTTTAAATCTCATGAAAGATGTTTTATCGCAATCAGGCAATTGTTATAGTAGTTCTATTTTGCTATCAAAGGCTACTTATTGAAATTATTCCAAAGGCAGAGGACTAAGCTTAGTGTTTGCCTATTTGAATTTTTTCAGAAGTAAACCAATATCAACTTTCTCACTTGGGCTTGTATTCAAGTTTTTATTACTATTCATATAAATAAAATTTGCATTAAATTAATCTACGATTCCTTATTAATAAAATATATTATACAAATATACCTTTTAATTTATGAATTGATTTAGAGAAAAAGCAAATTTCACTGATAAACCTAACCTGACTGCACTCTAAAATACATCAGCCCTAGAAACCTATTCCACAAGAGATGGGCTACTCTCTACATTGATATCTTCCTTAATGTAAACAAGATCTCAGAACAAAAATTTTTAAGTATTACAAATCTAAGCTTTTAGTTTAACTAGAAAGTTAATTAGTTTAATTTGTTTGAGTTCAATTAAAAATGAAGAACGAAATAAACAAAAATCTAGGGAACATGAATTTATAAGATTTTGAATAGAAGAATACCATTAATGGAAATAGAATTTCTAAAAGCTATGTAATTTAATTGAATTTATCTAATCTTTAAATTATGATGGCATTGTTGGACTAAATTTTTAGGATAACAAAACAAGTCTTGTTTTCTCCTTAATTTTGTAGATATTCAAAGGAGTAGTAGAGATAAGATCTAGAATTAGATTAACATCATAAAAAGCAATCAGAACAAGATGAGAATTGGAAATTTTGAACTTAAAAATAGGGTGTATTTTAATTGAAAACTTACTAATTTCTAGTAAACACAGCAATTAATAATAATTATAGACCTATGATAAGAATCTAAGTTGATGTTTAAAAATTTATTATTTATTTATTAATATTAATTTATTCAAGGCCTTTGATGGATCCGAAATTGAATTTTTAAGAAACTTTGTAATGTTAGTATTGCAAAGTTTATGTAAATAAAGCCTGCTAACAAGTTCATTATGCCAATTGTTAATTCAATAAAAACGTATTCTACTTAAATTATTATAGCAACACTAATAAGGAATAACTAATAACAATGATAATAAATCCTTCACTGCTTTTAATAATTAAAATTAACCTAAAGATATTTTTGGTCCTTTCCAACAGATTACTTTTAAAAATGTTCCTTAAAAAACACATTAATTAAATAATACAGATATATAAAATACATAAAAAACCCCTCCACCTATTCAGTTTATAAAGAAGCCTATCTAAAATATCTAATTTTAGGATACCTAAATAAAAGGGAATTAACAATATCAATAATCATTTATCCAACTCAACTCAAATACTGAAACTCAATAATAAGATAATAGGTTTGTCTCAAAAAAGGAGTTTCCATTTTACAATAAGGAGATAAGTCAGGAACCATTTCCTTTGCCAAAACCCTTTCAGACACCCTCTATTCCTTAATAAAATACAAGTTCAGAGTAAATTCTATTACATTAATAATAAAAAAATTCTAATGGTAATTAGCCCAAACCTGAATTAGGATTCAACCAGTTTTTAATTTTCTAATAAAGTTAGGTGAAAAGTTTTGGAGACATCCAAAATTAATAATAGAATTAAGAATAATCTTTGATATTTAAAACTTAAAATATAAACAACGATGTGAATATAAATTAACAATAACAATTCCCAGCTCCTAAAAAATTTGAGAATAATTAATAAAAGTAGTTCAAAATTAACTTTTCTCATTTAAATCCCAATATGATTCAGAATAAAAATTTATAGTAGATCTAACCTTAATAGAATTAGCAACAATAATAACAGAGCATTTATAATAGTCAAACCAACCTTTCATCATCTCGTTTCAATTAATTATAAAATAATCGCTAGCCTGATAATCACCAACCTACTAGTCAATCCCAACCAATTTAAGGACAGCCATCTATACCTCGTTAATTTATAATTCCTTAGATGCCATAGAATATTTAACCACCTCCATTAATTTCATCATTTTTTACTAGATTTAAGTATAGCCCATAAAATAATGAAGATGATGATGATGATGATGATGATAATGATGAATATGATACATATAATTCACATGATAGAGGATTGCCTAATTTTGATATAAACAGATAGTATACTGATGATGAAGTCAATAGAATGAATTAAGAATAAATCTACCAGTATTTTTCAAATTTACATATCAATATAAACCATGGATATTCAGAAGATTTAATAAATGAAAAAATATATTAGAATTTTCCAATAAGAGTAGATGACAATAGAATTGATATATGTGTAATATGCTAAGAATCATTTACTTAAGAAACCTTTACTACAGATAAATAGTTACCATGTTCCCATTTATTTCATGAGATATGTTTGATAGGATGGTTGAAAAGATCCAAATAATGTCCAATCTGTAAAACAGAGATCGAACTATGAATTTAATATTATTATTAAAATTTGAATCATTTCAATAGATTGATTTAGTTCATTATATTTAAGGATCTTACTAAAATGTTTATTCTATTAGAATTATATTATTAGAAATTCAATTCCCAAAGTCTTTTTGAAATCTTAATGTTTTAAAACTGCCAGAGACTTGAGATAACAAATATTTGATTTCCCTTTGATTTCTATATTATAATTATTATAGTAATTATAGTAATTATAAGAAATGCTTAATTTGAGTTTTAAATATTTTAAAAATAATAATATTGTTAATTATTTTAATAGTGAAAGAATTATGGATCCCATTTAAAACAAATAAAATATAGACGATTCAGAGGGTGAGGAAATAATTTAGGAAGGAGAAGTTGATGAAAACTTCGAATAAAGAGTTTAAAAGCTATTATATGAAACCGACAATGGATTGAACTTATATAATAAACCTGTAATGCCTTTGATTTATTATGAATTTAATGAAGAAATCAAATAATAGGCACAGTAAGTCATCAGTTAAGACACAACTATCATCCCTTAAGATAAATATGAAAAGTATGAATAGGAAGCATCAAAAATTTGGGATAAGTTTTATAGACATCATCAAAACAATTTCTTCAAAGACAGACACTATTTAGAAAGGGAAATACCAGAATTAAACCATTTTAAAGAAAGCCATCAGAAAGATGAAACTAAACTATATGTAATTTGTGAAATGGGATGTGGAGTTGGAAATGCTTTGTTTCCCCTAAAAAAAAATTATACATTCTTCAAAAAGGTTTATGGCTTTGATTTTAGTAAAAGAGCAATCGATGTTTTGAAGGCTAATGAGTTATATGATGAAAATGTATTCTAAGCTTGCGTTTGCGATTTAGTTTTGGATGCATTACCAGATTTCGAAAGACCTGATTTAGGAACTTTAATATTTGTGCTTTCTGCAATATCTCCAGAGAACCATTTAATGGTCGTTCGCAAGATTTTTGAATGGATGAAACCAGGAAGTGTTCTTTATTTTAGAGATTATGGTTAATATGATTTTGGATAGATAAACTTGTCTAAGAAAAAGAACAGAAAACTTAAGGACAATTTCTACGTCAAGCATGATGGTGTTAGGGTTTATTATTTTAGTAATGAAGTAAGCACTTTTATATATAGTAGGAAGTGACATCATTATTTACTACTGCTGGATTTAAGCAATTGGATGTGAAGGCTCATTATAGATATATAGAGAATAGAAAGACAAAGGTTAAGATGTATAGAGTTTGGGTGTAGGGTAGATTTTTAAAAGAATGAATATAAATTGTTATTTATTTATTAATTCATTACGCTATATCAAACAATTTTAATAGATTATTAATTTCGAAATTTAAGTATTTATTGTATTTGTTGTAATACATCTATTGAAGGTAATCTGAATGTTTAGAGTTCCATTGTATATCTTATGATATCATACATTCAGAGATATTGTCTAAATTGAGAGTATTCACAGATTTTTTAACACAGAAGTCTATGAGATGTTGTTTGATGGAGGTTTCGACTAGATCCTACACATTTTAGTCGAAATTTAATTTATAATTTTGCATAAGGTTTCTAAAGACACTCTTTACTTTGGCCATAGGAGCCTTCAAATCAGGATCATATACAAAATCCCTAGTTATAAATTTATTAATAAATACTTATCAACGTAATCCTCAATCAAGTACCTAGCAAGTAAAGTGCTATTCTTGAGATGAAAGGGATCTTATTTCAATTATTTCTCTAAGTCATTGATTGCAATTTCATTCCCTGTTGAAAACAAGATCTAAATATAGACTTAATCTTTACTAATTCTGCATCTTAGAGGGAGATTCTTTTTTTCCTTAGAGACAATTTTAATTCTAGGATTGTTTACTCAATTTGTTATTTTCTAACCTGCTTAACAACCACATTGTCTCCATGATGAGGAGATATCAATGGAGATAAAAGGACTTAAGTAGCGGATTAAAATAGTTAATCCTCTCCATAAATTAAAGTTTAGGTTTACAGTTTCTTCTTAGCAAATTATTACAGGAATCTACATTAGTATATAGGATTACATATCAAGTTGTTTCTTTTTTTCCAACAATGCAGTATAATCCATTTAGAGTTTATCATATTTGTCATTGATTTACTTTTTCTCAGCTTCTAAAAGTTATATTTTTTATTTAGTATCATAATTTAATTCGGTTAAGGCGTTTTAGTTTTCTTAAATAATTTATTAATATTGATTAAGTCTTGTTTGCAGATGCTAGATTTCATCGATTTTGAGTTGTAACTCATTAACCAAGAGATTTTCATTCTTACTATGATGCTTCATCAAATTGGTTTCTGATAACGGATCTCTATCCCGAAATCTCTATATTTGTTAGTCTTTTAATTTCATGACCTACATTAATTGATTATGTTTGGCTTTGACTTAGATGTAATCGACCCTAATTTTTTCTAATTAATTAATATATTATTTTTGGGACTCAATCTTATCTAACAAATTTATGTTGTCTTGAACGATTTAATTTTAGTCACCCTCAAATTTCTACAGGATCTAATATTTTAAGAGCTCTTTTTTTAGATCTTGAATCTACTTTTTTAAATCTTGTTGAGCCTTGAATTAAGTGTTTTCTTTAAGCATTTGTATTTCTTAATCTTTTTGCTTCATTCTTAGTATACTTTATTGGATGACTTTTCTTTGATCATTCTCATCCATCATATCTACTTCTTTACCATATTATGAGAGTATGTTTTACAAGGATTGGATTTCTATTTGTAGTTGTTTCGTTTTTAATTTTTCTAAATGCAATTACTCATAAAGGGTTTCCTTGTCAATGCTGATATTTTTTGGCACGATAACTTTTCTAATTTTACAGGAATTAGAGTCATTCATTGAGTAAAGAGTCTTAATTCTTCTACTTGACTCATTTTTAATGGGATGAGAAAAATAATGATTTGCTATATGTTAACTCATAATTATTAATTTTAAGTTTTGTTTAAAAATGCTTCACTCAAGTTAACAAAATACTATTTTGGCAATTAATCAAACTACTAGATGAATGCTCTTATTGTATTTGGTTGGAAAAATAAGAAAAACCATCTAGAAATAGACTGGAATGAGTAGATCCTTTTAAATTGAGAATTGTATCTTCAGAACATGAATGAAGCAGTTATTTTAGGATTTAATTGTTACTTCAATTTTTATTATAATTATTTCCCACATGAAAAAGAAATAAACAAAAAAGCAATAACAATAGCAACAGAAAAAGTAAACTCCTCTTAATTCTGGGTAATTGATAAAATTAATGGATGAATAACATAAGAAGGGGTAGTATAAGGAATACCCATTATATGGATTAAACTTTGCAAAAATCCCAATAATAACATTCACACCTGAAATTAATAAATACCTCTAAAAATATCCAAATGAAAGTAAGTATTGTACTGATATGACTTTAATAGCTTCAATAGGTTTTACTAAATGTTATTTGAATAGTTTGGAAGGGTTGGAATATGCAGGAGAAAAAGTGGCAACAATAATAATGAACTACAATAATCTATAAGGAGATAGTTTGTTAAAGATTTCGAAGTTATTTCCAAATATTACTCATTTGAATCTAAGTCACAATTAAATATCTAAGATTGAGGTAATTATCACAATTATTAAAGGATTTGCAACATTTAAATAAATTTAAGAAATTAGAGCATCTTGATCTGCGTTTCAACCCAGTAAAACGATACAAGGACTATAGAAAGATTGTTTTTGAATAGATTCCTTAATTATAACTCTTAGATTACGATCAGGATGTTGATGATTCAATGGACAACTCTAGCAGAGACAATTGGGTATTGATTCATTACGATATATCAGTTATCTAGTCAAGTTGAGGAGAGTGAGAGCGAGGCTAGTTTTGATGATGAGTCGAGTGAAGATGTTAAGCCCAAAAAGAAGGTTAAAAAATGATTTATTATTCATTCTTAAGAAATAAGAAATAATTGAATTATATTAAAAAGAAATGGAAAAACTCTAAAAGGAGATGCATAATTAGTATTAGTACTTACTTTTAGAATTAACTCGATTAAATACTAAATTGGAGAGAATTGAAGAACAATAAGAGTAATACTAACCGCAACAATCAGATACCATCTAGATTAAAGAAAATAATTACGATTTCATTGTAAAATGAATGACAACTACTAGTCATAATTCCGTAGCATAGAAATGATGCAAGACAGGTACAATCATTTGAGCAGCCAACTCGATAAGTTAAAGAACTAGATGGATCAAAAAGTGTGTTTGGAAGACTTTTTTAAGTATACCTCGAAAATTGCATCTGAATATGCCACCCTCTAGATGCTCGATTTAAGCATCTAATCCATTGAAACTAGGATGCGATTCTGTTCATCTGATAATCAAATGAAAGGCAGCTTAGTTGCATCGAGAGTGAAACAGTAAAGCAAATAAACTTAAGTTTATGAATACCAACATACAATTGAATAGCAATTAGAAGAGAGATTGAATCGGTTCAGAGAATTGATTACCTCTCAAGTCAGATAGTTTTGTGATTAAGTTCAGGCTTAAGATGTAAGTAAGCCGTTTAGGGAATAAATTTAAAATAACGTAAATAATCTTCATGAAAAATTGCATCAAGTTGAATTATTTCAAATGGAGATCTAAAGACATCTTGAAGCAAGGGAATTCGAAAAACTCATTAAGAAATACACGGATGTCGAAGAGAGGCTGAACGTATTAGAAAACCATTCGAAAGGTTTGACCAATTTAATCCAAGTTCTAAATCAGCAGAAGAAAATAGATGAATAAGAATAAAAGAAGAAAGTGAAGGAGAAAAAGATTGAAGATCACTTAAATCAATATCTAACAATTTAAGATTTCCATAAGCATTAATAGTACATTAAAGAACATTATTTGACTTCGGTTTAAGGTATAATTTAATTGTAAAAAAGGGGCTTAATTTTTATAGAGAATCAATGAATCTGAAGATAACATTAAGAATTTGTTTAATAAAGATATTTATGATAAATTGTCATTAGAAATAGCTGATTTGGATGAAAAGTTCGGTATTGTGGTAGAATCTCTTTAAAATAAAATTAATGTTCAAATACAAAATTAAGCCACCAAACTCAACACCTTTGAGATGTCTATCAATTCATTTATGAGCAAATCAGAAGTCATTCAAATGCTTGATAATCCACAAGCAATGATGAAAGTGAATTCTGCTGTTTAGAATATACAGGAGAAGTTTAAAGAACTCTATGCTAAATAAATTGATATTCTCGAGTCTTCATTTAAATTCACAATCAGTAACATACAGGCGGCAAATATAACGGAAAATGATAAATTGAATCAGAATGCTTTGCTTTTAAAAAAGTGTGAGTAAATCAAGGTGGCTTTATTTGAGTATTTTGGGTAAAATAATTAGCATAATTATTCTCAAAAGAAGAAATAAGAATTAAATTATTAATAATCTTAATAATTTAAAAATTCAAATAGATTGGAAAGCAAATATTAGAATCGACCTTTATCGGTTGGTAGTCGTATTACAAAAATAAGAAGACAATCGGCAACTCCGAAAGTTATTTCTGCATCTTTTTCAGGAAGTTCAGCAGAGCCATAATTTTTTTAAAAGGTTTTGCAGAATCCTCTTGTTTAAAAAATGAAGAAATGATTTTTGTTAATAATAAAATATAATAAATCATTTTAAGTTTTTTCTCTTATTGTAGTCATCATCATCTGTCACTAATTCAAATCTGCAAACAGGGCAACTATTGTGTTACTTCAGCCAAGGGATTAGACAATCTGGATGAAAGTGGTGTTGGCAAGGCATTTATAGAGCTTGTTAAGATTGGTATTCCTCTTGGCAAACAGTACAACACTCGGATTGCAAATTAATCTTTTGGAGCGAATCAATTGCAGATTGGGATGCAGGAGGGGATCTCAATAATATCAAACTATACCCATATCTATTCGGATCATTTCGACTGATAAAATCAATTAGTTGTTCTAAAGATTGCCCGGGTTGAAATTGAGTGTTCGGAAACATTAATTACAGGAGATTGTCAAACACATTAGACCTTTATTGAAATCTAATAGGTATTTGGTTTCTGGTGATGTGAATAATAGTTTGGGGTTGCTATTGTTGTCGTTATGGGGGGTACGATTGTCTTTATGATTAATTTTCTCCATAGGGAACAAAGCCCCTAGGATCATTCGAAGGGTCTATAATCTCGCAAAACTCTTGTTAACAAAATGCACATTTCATGAGATCTGATGATTCAAATTATTTTTTGCAAATATGACACCAACATAAATTAATGGGTTATTACATAATTAATATATTGATATATATTTAATATCAATTGGTAATTTTGCCTTAGACATCTCTCTTATATTGTGAACTTTGAGATCCAACTTGGCTGGAATAGATTCTGTAAACATCATCAAAAGTGTTCAATTCTTCAGTCAAAGTTTCGCTTACTGATTTATAATGAGCTTCTGCAGAATTCAAGTCCTAAATATTAATGATTAATCTCACTTCGTTGGCTAAATCGATGGAGTTTTGGATTTTCTTTAATCTCTCTTTGCAGGCAGCAGTGGCTTGTAAAATGGTGATTAATTGGTTTTACAATTTTTCCTATTGATAAATGTGATATAATACAAGATTGACATCTTCAGCAACAAGGTGACCCTTAAAAGTCTCATTTTCCTTAACAATCAACCCTTTGAAATCACTGTAGCCCATGGCAGATGTAACTTAGTTGTCCTATTTCTTAGAAAATGACCCTCTGACCTCTGATTCCAGGATGTCAAGGAAATTGAGCAACTCTTATTAGGCCACTGTGAATTAACTATAATCCTTTTAAGATCCAGCTTCTGCAGGAGCCTTTTATCCCTTCTCAATAATTTTGTTGAAGGCTGCAGCTTCCTTTGCCAATTACTCATTGGTAGTCTTTTCAGCAGCTTCGAAGGGGTGTTCAGGAACAGGAGCATCTGGTTCTCCAGCTTCTTAATGTTATTCAATCTCATGATCTTCTGGTGCTGGTGCTGAGGCATCAACTGTTTCTTCAGTTGTTTCTTGATTTGGCTCTTCAACTTCTTAAGTGTCTTGTTGACTGTCTTCTGTATCGACTTCTGCATCTTCATATACATGAGGAGGTTCATTATTGTCAGAAGTGACTTGTGGTTCATCTTCATCATCAGCCAAGTAGGATTTGAGTTGGATGAATTAGGCTGATTGTAATAATGTAGGTAGGTCAGTCTAAAAAGTTATTGTAATGATTTACTTCTTTGGCATTTTTAACAGCTCTTCTAAGGAAAGTAATTAAGTTTAATGTTTTTTTGCTATTTTTGATATCATTGATAAAATTGGAATTAGATTCGCATCTATTGAGATCTAATCTTTGTAGTCTCTCATTATTCTCTTTGATTCTTTTTTCTAACCAATTGATGTAGCTTAAAGTAATTCTAATATCTCTTTCTTTGTTAGCCCATTCTTGGTCTCTTCTATTGCATTCTCCTCTCTAAGTAGATGCAGATCTCATCAAATCATTCACGATATCTTGTTTTGACTTATAGTTTGAATCATATGATTACGTATTAAGTGGCAGACCAATCAGAGTCTAATTGTTCCAATTATTTTGAAGTTCCATTTTTCAAATCTGCTAACATTTTCAATACAACATCTATGTCGTTGGATTAGGAGTAGGTTGTAATGAACAACAATGCTATAATTGCGAATGCCTTCATGTTGATATTAATAATTTATAAATAAAAACGGTATAAACATATTACGAAATAAAGAGATTGAGTGGGTGAGTAATTACTACTTGGAATTTAGAGGGATCTCTTGGTAATTACTCCATTGTGGCATGAATTTAGAAGCTGGATAGTCATGATCACTCTTATATATTATAAATTAATTTTATTATATTATTGTTAATGGGTGTATGCGGAGGAAAAGGAGCTAAAAACAAGGACAATGCAAAAAAGGATCAAGATCAAAAATAACAAGACACTCATCCCAAAAGTATAGAGAATGGACAGAAAAATGATAAGAAAGCATTCACATCCTAAAAAACATAATTCAAAGTCAATCCTTCCATTTTTGTGACCTTAAAGAAAGGAGATATCTTAAACTACTATAGAATCGACTAAACATTGGGAGAAGGTATTCCACAGTTTTCTAATCTTATCAAGGTTCATATGGCAAAGTGAGTTTGGTGACACAAAAAGTAACTGGATTACCAAGAGCCATGAAGCAAATCAAAAAGGAGAAAATCGAATAAAGAGACAACATGATTCAGGAAGTCTCTATACTCAAAGAATTAGATCATCCTAATATTGTTAGTGTTTATGAATTATATGAAGATGAATAATATGTTTACATCATCACAGAGTAAGCATTGAAATATCATCAGGCAAAAGATATCTAAGTGGAGGAGAATTATTTGAAAAAATAAATGAAATCGATCACTTCGATGAAACTATTGCAGCTGGTTATATGAGAAAAATCTTGGAAGCTGTTAATTATTGTCATAATAAAAATGTAGTCCATCGGTATTTGTCTTCTATTTGATGATAGTGATCTCAAACCTGAGAATATTATATTTGAATCGAGGAAAACTAATTCAAGTGTAAAGATCATTGACTTCGGCACAGCCAAAGAACTATTAGACAGCACTAAATTATCATAAAGAATCGGAACTGTATTATATTTATCAATATTTCAAACACAGCCTTATTATATAGCACCTGAAGTCATCAGTAAATAGTATGATAAAAAATGCGATGTGTGGTCCTGTGGAGTCATTCTATTCATCATGTTGTGTGGATATCCTCCATTTAATGGGTAATCCTAATAGGAATTGTATTAGAGGATTCAAGCAGGAGTTTACTCTTTTGATGGTAATTTCCATTAGAATTATATAAAATAGAACCTGAATGGAAGGAGATTTCTGGGGAGGCTAAGGATTTGATTAAGAAAATGTTGGTGACTGATCCTGAAAAAAGAATCTCAGCTCAAGATGCATTGTAACATGAATGGATTAAGATGACTTAAAAGGAGAAAAAAATTAATCACAAATCCCTTGAGAACTTAGCTAGATTTCATGTAACCTATATTATATTAATGAGGAAATTAGAGCCAAAGTAAACTAAAAGTAGCCATTATGCAATTGATCACCACCTAAGTCATGACTAATTAAGAAAAGAAAAAACTGCAAAAATAATTTAAGAAAATTGATGTCAATCATGATGGCACTTTGAGTAGAGAGGAATTACTCCAATGTTATCGAGAAATTTATAATGACGAACTTAAATGCCAGTAAATTGTTGATCATCTATTCGAATAAGCAGATGTCAATGGATCTAATTAAATTGACTATACAGAATTTGTTATTGCTTTTGCAAAGAAAGAGTAAATTATGGCTTAAAATAAATTGGAAAAGGCCTTCAAACTATTTGATAAAGATGGCAATGGACAAATTAGTAAATAAGAACTTTAGGACATTATGGGTGGAGTGTAATTAAGTGATAATTAATGGAGTTCTGTATTTGGAGAACTTGATTTAAACGGAGATGGTGTTGTAACACTATAAGAATTTACTGAAATGCTCATCAAAGGAGCTAATGAATAAGAATGATAAACAGTTTATTTCCTATTTTATAAATTTTTTCATCAATAATACTAGAAGTTTCTCTTGTTATCTATTCAACTATCAATTTTATTTATATTATAGTGAATCTTTGCATTTCTAGTTGTGCTAGGATAAATTCTATTATCAAAATATTTTTAGGAATCATTAATATTAGTATCAATTTACAATCCTGGACGTGACTAATGCTTTTGAATGCTTACATAATTACCTTTCTAATTAACTCAAAATTTACATTCATTTTTAATAGGATTCTTTTCAATGGATCCTATTTATTAGTAGGAACTTTTAATTCTTTAAATTTTAGATGTTTATTAAAATAGATCAATCTCATGGTTATCTTTTTTGTGATAACTCATTCTTCTCTCTTACAATGTTTAATAGTCCATTATTTTCTTTTGTTATTGCTGGTTTTTTGTGTCTACATATTTTTTCCTTATTTTTTAGTATTCATCAGCTTGCTATTTCTTTTCATTTTGATGGCTGTTTATTTGATTATTAAGATTATTAAAAATTGCAGGATTCCTTATTTATTCTATATTTACCTCCTATTTGTTCTAGTTTTTTGCTTCATTTTTGAGTCCCTTTTATTTTGCTATTAATTCGTCATTGTATTACAATAACTATTTAATAAATCCTTCATTGGGGTAGACTTACCAACGTTTGCGCTGCAATTGTGATAAGGCTTCTTTGGAACTGACACAGTGTTTTTTCATCAAATATGCAGCCACAATGGTAGCACTTCTAGATATACCAGCCATACAATGCACAAGTACGTTACCTACTGATCTGGCTTTTTCTATAAAGTCAAAGCAGATTTCGAAATGTCTAGAGATATTGGCATTCTCATTATCATCTAAAATTATTTGCTAATAGTATCTCATAGATGAACTGATTTGATTTGGAATTTTAGATGTGCAAATACTGATTATAGACTTAATTTTTAATTTTTTCAATAATTCAAAGTCACCTTTAATAACTGTAATTAATACATGCACTCTCAATGTTTCCTAAATACAAAGATCCAATGTGGCCGCAATCTAAAATACAAGTGATATCATCCATTTGTTTCTTGTAGCTCTCAATAAGTTTCTGTTTCATTGGAGAGGGCTAAAACATTATAAATGCAAGCAACCAATCCAAAAATTTAAAATTAAATAATAAATAGCTTATAAAATAACGAATAAGTGTTACATCAAATACTTTGATTTTAGTTTGGTTTATGTGGACAATAATAAGCTTTGCCAATCAAATGGAATGGTTAGAATAATTAAGTAAAGTTACAAATAATGATGAAATTAAATTGAATTTGGTATTGAAATATAAAAATATATTGAAATGAGTTTAATGAGCATTGTATTTATTGAATGCAAAATTGATAAATTAATTTATGCATTTCAGATCTTCATCTCAAGGTTCTAGTCCACAGATTGAAATTCTGCAATCAGAACGTACACTACTTACAACTCCTGTGACTCAGAGTGCGTTGTTTAAGACATTTACAGAAATGGCAAAAGCGTACGATAAAAAAGTAGGTTTAGAAAGGCATTTTCAAACTCAATTTAGAGAATTCCATCTCCTCGAGCTAGATTAACACTGTAACTCACTCACAACAAAGCACAACGAGAATAAATTATATCATAATTGACAGAAAGACATTAAGAAGTTATTGGTAATGCTCTAATTAATGGGAATTAAAAAAAATAAAAAATTCGAATTGTATAAAAATAAAAAAGGAGAGATCACTCACCTAAGAAACCCGTAAACTTAAAAGAAGGAGCGAAAGGTAAATTCATTCATGTATGAACTAGTTTATCAAATGCCAAATTTGGAAATGCCTACATTTGAAGCAGAATTCGATCATCCTACTGAATTGACCTTTTATAGTGAAATCTAGGAATTCTATAGGAGTGTAAAGTCATTTAGACCCTCATTTACCGAAAGCGGCACCATGATATTCTATGGAGACTCACTATATTTATATGGTGGCATAGCAGGTGACGGCATAAGAGATGAAATGCTACGATTTGATTTAAGTAAAAATTTCAATTAACTAGGATATTAGGAATGGTATATGGTTGAAGGTTTAGGTGAAAAGCCAAAAAATGGTAGAGCTGCTCACACTTTGATCTCAATGAGAAACCACTTTATATTGTTTGGAGGAGCTTGTAAATTCAATGTAAAGTTGAAGATCAGAGAATGTTTCAATACAGTTTATGATTATAATGTCACGATGAGATTTTGGGAGAAAATAAACACACAAGGAGATTACATAGAACCACGTAGACATCACAAAGCATGTGTTTATGGGTGGAAATGGATGTTGATTTATGGTGGTATTAACAGCAACGAGCAAGTATTGAGTGATACAGCTCTGTACAACATTGAAAAGATGATTTGGAAATAGTGGGATGTCAAATCAACTCCAATTTGTTGTCATTCCATAATCAATATCTCATTGTCAACCAAATTCAATGATAACACAACTGATTTAATTCCAGCTGAAATCATATATTCCTTTGGTGGAAAAGATTAAACAGGAAACTCTACTAACTTTATTAAGAAACTCTTATTTTACCCTAATACTACGACTGCCATCGCCTGGGAAACCATTCAAGCAGGAGGCAAACCTCCTTTGCCTTGTCATAATCACACTATGGAGTACATTAAAAAGATACAAGGAATCATCATCTTAGGAGGATAGAGAGATGATTTAATTAATGGTTCTTTGGAATCAAACTAATGTTTTATTTTCTATCCTCAGTTAAATTTGTGGTAAGAAGTATAGATGGAAGGTAATAATCTCCCTAGATGTGCTCACACTTCGGTGTTATTGAGTTCTAAAATTGCTGTTTTTGGAGGAATTGGGAATGGAAGGTACTTAGAACCTTTGATCAACTATATAGAGACAGATTAGACATAGGTTTCATCCAAAATTACAAAAGAATAATTTAATAAAAGATAAACTTAATATTTATTGATAAAATAAAAGTCAAGTCTAGATAGGATTGAATCTCTGAATTTCACTCCTAAATAACTTCCATCTTTTCATAATGATAGTTACAAAGGGTTGGGATTTAAAATACACACTAAAAAACTCTAAAGTTATTCAACTAAATCATTTCAACCCCAAAAAAGACAAGCCTTAATTAGATATGATATTTTGATTGGTTTTGTGAGCAGAGTAATTGAAGATAATAAAGATATATTAAATAACTTTGATAAATTCATGAGAAGATAATCAATAAAATGAGTATATGCTTTAAGTTGTTATTATTAGAGTTGTAACTAATATTAAAAATCATTTTTAATATATATTATTCTTAAGTTATTTTTATTTTCGACTACATTCTATATGATTTCTCGAAGCAAATTATGTTTTCAAATGTTTTAATGGAATAATCATTCTTAATGATAATTATTTTAAATTAAGCTCTATTAGAGAAAAAAAACATATGAGATTAGAAATTCTCAATTTAATTTAGATGTTAATCAGAATTAAGTAAAAAATTATTTAGATTGAGAAAACATTTGTTTACAAGAATTTAGATGGTTAGATTATTATTGGATTGCAGTTCCTTTCTAAAAATGTTGGATTTGAATATAGATATGAAAATAAATTTCTACTCATTTTAATTAGTAAAGGATTGATATATCTTAATGTTGGGAACATGGGATTATTTGAAAATAAATAAGATTTATATGTTACAGAAAAAAAAAAGTGAAATTTTAAGGACAGGAAAAGATCTTATAAATTTATAATATTAATAACAAGATTATAAGAATGATTAGTTGAATTAGTTACTTGATGAATATATATTAAATTTTATTATAGACATTCATTCAAGATTTAGAACCTTTATAAATAAAATACATAGTTTAATTTAGGTTGAGACTAATAATTGAATTGTAAACAACTTATAAGAGTTGATTTTAATATTTAAAAATCACTAAAATTTCATATCATTTTAAGAATCGGATAGATATACAATTTTAGTAATTAAAGAAAATTCAATCACATAATCTTTATGAGCAATCAAGATTAACAAAATAAACTTATCTTATTCATGAAATAACAATAAATATTTAACTGTTTATTGTTAAAAAGATAAATATTAATAATTTCAGATTTAGCCATTTCAAGTAGTGTTTTGAAGGTCGTTTCATTTATTGATTAATTGAAATGTATAACAGTAATTAATTTATTTATTTGTTGAAGATAATGTTGAAAGAATTGATATTTTCTCATTCCAAAATGATTAATTCTAAACAAACATTTACAATTTTTAATAATGAGAATTTTGATGCCAGTTACCTTAGAATCAAAGACTATGATATAGTTATATTCAATTAAAGCTCATGATGAGGATATTTATAAAATACAATTATTTGATTCCATATGACACTTGATAACAAGTAGCAAAATAAATATAGTCAAATATTGGTTATATAAATATTAGTTTGATATTCTATTTAACATTGATATTCTTCCACTTCAAAAAGAACATGTTACAGAATATTAGGTTACTATTAGACAATAAGGTGAGGGATATAATAAATAATCAATTAAGTTATAATAAATGATAGCAGAAATAGAGGACTTAGATCATTGGCAATGATACATATTTATTTACATTCATTTACGTTAAGGAGAGGACATTAAAGATCGACTTGATTTGAATTTACTATTTGTTAAAATTGGTCTAATTGCAATAGGTCTTTTCTTTTCTACTTTCTAGCAATCTTATTCATTCTCTTCTGTATCTGCAAGATCGAGCAAACTACGCCTTGCAATTACAGTGTTGTCAGTTTCAATTTTATTCAACGATGGGTGTTTTTAAATGATCAAGTCTATGATTCTACATACACACACTTCCATACCTTTCAATTTCCCCTTCTGTTTTGTGTCAATCTGTCTTTGTTGATGCATCATGTACACTGTATAGAATAGTTTTCCTTATATTGTGTCAAATTTATGCATCTGGGTTAATAATAATATCAATTAATATTAATATCTTAACTTTTATATTTTAACATTTAATAACATTTATCCCCTTAATATTCTAGCTAAAGTCTTAAAGGTTTATATTTTGTTATTAAAAATTCAGAACCTTTTTTGGAAACTCATAAATACTTCACAGTATTAAAGGATACGAAAAGGAATCTCTAACTGAAGCGATGGATTAACTTTAATGATCACATAAATGACTTAAGAAATCAATAAAATATGTGAATCTAATTAATAAGGTCATTTGATTACTTATAGATTTAATTAATTATTGTAAATTCTTTAGAATAACAATTAGGGATAAACTAAAAAAACAAAGAAATCCCCATCTCAAGTGAGAGATTAGTTTTGAGACTAAGAATTCAACTTGTATTTTGAGTTCGATTTTAGAATGATGTAGTATGTATGATTAAAATTGATTTATTATAATAAAAATGTAATACTAACTCAACATTATTGATATTGATGGGTTTGAGAATAAATGGTATTATAAATTGAGAATTACAAACAATTAAAATAGTTGTTATCGTGATGTACGCGTACGATTTTAGGATTTGAATCAAATGCACAGAAATCTTTAAAATGAAAATTATTATTCAAATGTAAAAGAGAATTTGTATTTTTGTTATTAGTTACCATTATTTCCTGAGAAATCTCTATTGATTTCATGGATTCAGAGTAATGATAGCAGAGAGGAATTATTGGAGAACAAAGAGGCTATTTAAAACTATTTATCAGCGATCAACAAGTACAAAAAATTGTTCTAAATATAAGGAATCCACCATTTAAATATGAAGCAATTAATTAATTCGTGTAAAATACATATGACCCTAAGAGGAGTACATAATTAAGATTCTTGAACATAAATAAAGATGCATTTTATTAAGTCCACATAAAAAAAAGTATTATAAAGAAGGGCAAATTCAATAAGATCTTTCTTGTGAAGGGCGAATATTAAGACAGAGTTGTGCATTAATTCTTGATGCCTTCGAATGATGCGGCAAAAAAAGACTACGAGAATTACAAAAGAGCCTAATTATTAATTACCGATCATACCTACATAGTGAAATGTCATGAGATAGGATAAATCACGAAGAAGAAGCCATTCTTTTAGAGAAAGCAAAAGAAGACAATTTACAACGCGTTGGAAATTGCACAAGACTCATCCTATGACATTATCTATGCAATTGAAGATTACGCACAATAGCCAATAAATAAACTAATCCAAAAGCGATAGGAGAGATAGGAGCATTTCAAATTAGAAACAATCTCAGAGGCACTTATTACTCTGATAAATGTGGCTTAATATTTGCAGTTTTTGTAAATTTTTTAGAAATAATTTTCTGTGACCAATTTCTATTATGATGAAAAGTTCGGATTCAAGGTCGGGGGATTTACACCATTATATACATACAAGAAAAAGTATAGATTAAAGAATGAGACTGAGCCCAACACATACAAGGCTCTCAATCCGCCAGAGTTGTGTGGATCTGCAGGTGGCTATACGATGAAAAACAATTTGAATTCTTCCATTAAAACTGATGTTTGGCAAATTGGAATTGTGATTCTCTCAATGGCCTCACTCACTTTGCCATTGGATCTGATATGGAGTGAGGCAATTGAGGAGAAATTAAAATTAGTGCAATATAAACATGGGTATAAAGTATATAAAATTAGGGAAAAATTAGCTTTTTTACTTAAGAATATGCTATAACGAAATCAAAATGACCGGTCTTCTATCAATGATATCATCATACCTGCCCAATTGTTGATGCCCATGAATTTAACCTAATTCAAGCAAGTCAGATCAATCGAAAGATTATAGGTATGAATGCTTTAACAAGTAGATCGCATCCATATCTCAGTAGTAATTGGAAGACATGGATAAATAGTTTAAAGAGAAAGCCTCGGATAAAAAATATATTGTACATTTGACAATTGATAAATTCATTGTCCAATAAATATTTCTATTCAATTTGGAACGGATTAAGAGAGAATTTGTGATACAATTGCACATTAACGTATCTCCTTAAACTATACCAGATGATTTGATTGACAAAATGATGTCAAGTTTAATTGAGTACCAACATCTGTAATTATTGGTACTTAATCTTAAGAAATGCACGATATCTGATTAAGCCTAAAGGAATATCATTAATTCGGTCTAAAATATCACAAAACTCAAATAATTAACATTGGATATCAGTGGAAATCAAACAATCCCAATTTCAATTCCACAATCAAAAAACAGAGTGGTTGTATATAACCAATGACATATTTTACATATTTTACATAAGTTAAGTATTTTTAATTCATCCTGATGATTAGTACTTTCATTCAAAATAACTTATTGATCTAAAATTCACAATATTAAAATACAAATTAAACAAATGAGTTATTAAGTGATATTCTTGATTTTGATTAAGCTAAGTGTCCAATCCACCAGAGTCAGGACTAAAGAATCATATACAATGAATCATGAAATTGAAGAAGACACCATTAGAATGGCTCATAAAAAGCAAACTGTGTATGTGCTTAAGTAGATATCTTGACATAATCAAAGTTTGACTAATGCATATGATGTTGATGTATTTGATGAATCTGAATCTGACGATCCAATCTAGACTCCCATTCTTTCTCTGGATACTAAAGACGTTGAATCATTAGAAGTGAAAAATTGTAATCAATGAGTTCTAATTTTAGAATGCGTAGGATTTCCTAAACACCCCTAATTAAAGGAGATTTTGCAATATAAAATAAAAGATGCCACCGAGGATTCCTATTATACAGATATGGTGACTCTGTCGGAGTATTCAAATTTATTTTTAATGACACAAGAACTACAACTTATATAGGTTAAACTACGTTGCAGTGATTCTGGATGGATTGCCTAAGAATCACAGAGCGTCTTTGATTTGAAAAAGTAATTGAAATTGCCGAATTCAACTATAATAGCCAACGCTTAATTCAGTTGTCCAAAAGTAATTATTTGAGCCTATCCCTAAGAAACATCTAAGTTGCTTAATCATAACTCCCTTTGGAGGGTTTTGGGTATCCAAATTTTCAGATTTTGATTCTAATGATTTGCCAATTGAACCTCATCCTGAATATAGGATTTTACAAAGAAAGGTTGTTCACAAAGTATCCACCTTTGGAGAATACTTAGCTGTGGCTGTGGGGGACGATGGCGTAGATCTCTATACTTACGAACAGGAGCCCTAAGACATATACAAAAGAAGCATACTTCACTTATTGACCATCTCAAAGTAATAGTTCAATGTCACAATCAATATTATTGGAGTGAAGATTGTGGATGACAGACTCTTTTGTTTAGATGACACCTAAGGATTGTACATTTTCAATATTTCCAATATCCAAAAGCCAGTCCTGATAATGGATATACATATACCCAGAACTGTAGCATTTGAGGTGTACGAGAACACTATTCTTGTTGTCGCCTAGACTCCAAGTAATATTGAGTACATCTTGGAAATCTTCATTGATTTGAGGGATCACTCCTATTTTGTGAATAGAGTTTATGTTGATGATTTTACATATAGGGACATGTAGATAAATCCCAATTATGCATTTTTGATAGGAGAAGAAGCTCATCTTATAATCAAACATTCGATTTTCAATGGGTTTGTGAAATACAATAAGGAATTGGTGAAGACTTTCTTTGAAAACTAATTGGTGCGTTTTGAATTATACAGCAAATCAAGTGAACCTGCAGAGCTAAGATTCAAGGAGACTTTTTATTATGTAGGCTTATCTCGTTAAGCCATTCACGTATGGAAATTCATGGATTATCATGCCTTTTTATTATGCAGTTTTGATGAGAAGTCAGAACATGAAATCATAGTTAAATTGAACTCGACATCCTGTGATTAAAATAATCAGAGGGACAGTCTATATCAATAATGCTAAGCAGAGTAGAAAATCAATATCCTAGTCTCTGGACCATTATTCTACTCAGACACCTTTACAGTTTTGGTCTTTATTCTAATTTTCTTGGGAGTAATAATATTTATAAGTTTTAGATTGTTTTGTGTATCATATGTATTTGTGTATGTGTTCGTTGGAGAAGATTGCTGAGAGAACTAGAAGATAACAGATATTAGTTAAAAGAAATGAAGAGGTACGGACAATTACCGGAATAGGAATAAAATCAAATATGATATTCTCTAAAATTGTTAATTTTAATTATGCGTGGATCCTTGATTTCAGCACCCTTTCTCGGATATTTGCTAAAACTGTAAGCAAAAATCAGAGTGGCCAATGTCATAATGACAGAGTAGCCTCTAACCAAAGAAGGCAATGCCGAGATGTCTCAGAAGTTGTGTGCGTAATTGTATTAAGTAAATAACTAGCAATCAATCTGTGGTTAATTTGTGTGACATCACTGCTTAATTAAAACCAGCAGCAAGGTTGCTACCATAATAATAATTGTTTGATCAATTTGTCAAGGAAAATTAATTTGATTTGCAAACTCCAATAGTATTCTTTGATGAACACATACACTTTGCAGCCAGAGCCTGGTTCACTTTCAGATATTTCGGATTCAAAAACGTATTCGTTTTGGATGGTGGATATTCAAAATGGAAGAATCATTAGCCAGCTGAATTTTAGGAACACAATATTTGTATATAATAATTTCATAAATACAGAGGATCAACCAAGATTTTAAGGTAGAATCGTGAGCACATCTGAAGTTTCTAGAATTTCCTAGTTAAAACACTCTAACGATCCAAATGGGGAGGAGTGGGCCATTGTTGACACTCGAGATAGTAATCGTTTTAAAAAAGGCTCGATTCCTGGATCTATTAATATAGAATTCTCAGAATATCTTAATCGGGATAAAACCATGAAGTCTGATGAAGATCTTAGATAAGTGTATTAAAAGAATGGAATCGATTTGAACAAAACAAGAATAATTAATACCTGCTAAACTGGAAAACTAGCCTGTATAGCAACAATTGCCCAAGAAATTTTGAAAACTAAATAGTAAGTTATATTTATGAAACTTAGGCAAATCCTTTACGATGGATCTTGGGAAGATTGGAAATTGGAGAACCATAAGAAATGAAATATATAATAAAAATTATAATGATTATAATTATTTTTTTAATAATAATTTATGGAGAAGAAACTATTATCAACTCCTTCCGAAAAACTGGCAGCAGATGCCGCTGATGAAGTGACTTGTCAAAACCACATGAATGCTTATACTTCTTGTCTTTAAAAACATTCACTTACAAATAACTATAAGGAATGTGTCAAACATATGGCTTAATTTCGATATTGTCTTATTATGGCTGCCAAAGTCCAAACGGAAGCACAAAAAAAGCCAGAGTGAATTAATTTTTTTTAGAATATTGCTCATTAATAAATAAAAATAATGCATTTCATTTATATCAGCATAATTCCTCATATCAGAAATACCTTATAAACTAATCGTATTTGAAATCATCCAAATAATACATATTTATTTTATGAGCTAAATAGATATAACTTTAACCATTTATAAAATAACACAAACATTTTAGATTTTTCAATGCTAAAATATGAGTAATTTAGAAGAACAAACTTAATTGTTAGTAAGTTTTAACTATTGTTCAGTCTTCAGTATCAAATTTTATAGTATTTGATGATGGTGATAATACATATTTACTTAGAACTAAATCATCCTAAAAATTTTGTATTGGCAATTACCATAGAATAAAAAAATTAGAAACTTAGAGTAAGAATAATAATAATTTGGACTTTGAAATATTATTAGGGAAATCAATCATATTTTTTAATTTATTAAACTCGACAATAATATATTATTATATGTTAATTAATCATTTTCAGAGTTATCAATTGACTTCTGATTAAATTTTCAATACTATAGAATATGGAGCAAGCTGATTTACATCTCATTATTTAGGAAAGGACAATAATGATATTGATTTATAATGAATATATGAATAAGTCTATAGTGGTAGAGGAGATTTAGATTAAAGAAATTAAAATTCAAGTGTTGCTTTAGCTTAACAGAAATGCTGATACTTTTGGACATATCAAACTAGATAATATTGCGAGCATATTTGATTGCAATTCTAATTAAGTATACTTTTACATTAAAAATTCCAGAGATGGATGAAGAGTTGTTATATCGAGTTTTAAGAAGTATGAACCCTTTTAAGAGAATGATCTTATTATTAATTTCAACAGAATAGATGTAGGATGGAAAACACCTATTGAAGATATTAAGATGAGATTTTTATCATCTTAATAATAATCAATTTATAAATAGTTGCACTTGTAAAATTTAGATTGAAATAGAGGTCGAGTAGATATGGAGATATAATTAAGATGCCTTGTTATTGAAAAGGTATAAAGTTGTCATGTTCTGTTCATATGTAAGATTTAGAATTTATTTACTAATCATAATTTAAATGATATTATTTTATTACAATTTTGTTGTCATTTATATAAAATCTTTAATATGCTATCAAAATTAAGATGAATAAGTAATTTTATTTTATATGATTTATCAACAAACTGTTTCTCTAATCTTTACATTTGCTTATAATTAATTTTTTAATAAATATTGTCCAATGGGAGAAGTAGGAATCAATATTCCTTTTGGGTAGCCCTTAAATAAAGACAAAAAACTGATAGAAATGCAAGAAGAATTAATATCTCACATAAATTATGTGAATGATTGCTTTGATAAAGAATTGTTGGCCATAGGAAGTTCGAATAATAAGAATGGAAGAAGAATTAAATTATCATAATATAAAGTAGATCCAAATATTTTTGGTTTTTCTGTAAATACCTTTGAATTACGCGAACATGTAAATTTCTTGTCTTAGTAATTTTACTAAATTTGCGTATCAGAACCTTTATATAAAAATAATAGTAAATATAAATTATAATAAAGAAAATTGTTAGCAGAAAGAAATAGACTAATCGCTTATAATGAAAAGGGTTAAACCTTTAACACAATAATTTGGCTTCAGAGAAATAATAATATAGATTCTTTTAGTAATCCTCTGCTTTGGATTGATTACTTGGGATGCTATCTAATTACAATTAAATATCTATCCAGAAATAGGCGGATCGAGTATTCATTACTTATTATACTTACGGATTAGCTTAATATTTTTGCTCTTTATTTCATAATTGATGTATCAAAATTATAACTTTAGTTATGTGACTAGGGCAATAAAATTATAATTTTATTTATCCTACCTCCTCAGTTTGATAATTACTATCTTAACTATACTGTGCTTGTATGGGTTTAATCTTATGAAAGAAAAATATGGTGACATAGTAATGCAAATGGGATAGTGCGGAGCTATTCTAATTGGATTTTTTCTTTTATGCATTCACTTATATAAATTAGAAATTAATTTATAGAGAATAAGAGTATTGCTGGGAGCTTAATACTAATCCCCTCTGGGTTGCTTTTGATTAGAACTAATTAATTACAATTTTATATTTTATTTGCTTAATATCAATAATGACAACCAACTTTTTCATCCCCATTTCGATTTCATATCTGGTTTCTTTACTCCTCTTAGTTATGTAAATTGTAAAATATAAACAGGAGTTTAAGATTTAGATTCCTACTATGTCAAATAACAACCAAGCATTTTAGATATTAATTTGATAAACTCATATTAATAATATCATTCAACTTTAATATTAAGCAAATATAATTATTTGATTGTGTAGCTTTTCAAATTTTAATAAACATCCATTCTAACTCTAGTCCAATCTCAATTAAATTTAGAGGATAATACAATAGATAAATGCTATTTTCTAATTTCAAAATTTTTATCTTGAATATCAATTTGTTTTTGTTTATCCAAATCAGTTTAAAAATAGAATGGTAATACTGTTTATGTAGAATACACAATAAATCTTATAATAAATAATTTTATTTAATAGATTAAGTATTTTCAGTATATAGAATGATATAAGGTATATTTGTAATAAAAAATATACTTTTTTATATTCCTCAATAACTTATGTTTTAAAAAGTTAAAGATTAATTGGAATGTATAAGGGAATATAAAATAAATTATATTCGAAATCATTTAATTTGCATTAAATATTGTCATTAATTTTTATTGTTTTAACTTTTAAATACATCTTAAAATAGTTCTGCCTATGTAAATTGAACCCCAAATTGTGTATTAATTCGAGTGTTTTCGAAAAGGAAAGAATGAAAATAAAAAATATATTGGAGTACTCAAGCCTGAAAGATTGGATTTGTACAAGGTAGAATAGTTTAACTGAAAATTTACATTTTAGGAAAACTCACAAGTTTCTAAGTATACTCTGCCAATCCAATTATAGACCCACATTAAATGGGAAGTGGACGAAGATAATCTGAACGGGAAAAAGCATTATAAAATAGTGTCATTCAAATTTCAATAAGTGAGTATAATCCTATTTTTTTTAAAGGTTAAATAAATTAAAGAAAATCATGTTGCTAAAATAACTACATTTTATAGTGACGAGAAGACTCTTACAATTCTAAAGGAGCATTTGAGAAATAAAATCATATTCCAAAGGATTTAAGACTTTTATACACCACTTTAGACTTTGGGAAAAGGAGCATCCTCAAGAGTTCTTCTTGTTAGACACAAAAACACTGAATTATATTATGCAGCTAAATGTGTAGATAAATCCTATGTTAATGAAACAGAAAATGGAATTGTAAAATTATATTTAATCTTAGGAATCTATGTTTCAAGAAATTTCTATCAACAACACCCTTGATCATCCGTCATTCATTAAATTACATGCCGTCTATGAGGGGGACAATACATTTTATATGGTGATGGATTTATTAGAGGGAAGAAGCTTGCATGATGAATTAAACAATCATAAAAATGGATTCCCAGAAGATATTGTTAGGAATATCATGTGGGTATATTTTTATCAATTATTTCTAAGCAAATCCTAACTGGTATCGAATACATGCATGAAAAATAAATTATGCATAGAGATTTAAAACCTGAAAATATTATGCTCTTAAAGAAGGGAGATTTGAATTCTTTAAAAATTGTTGATTTTGGATTGGCCACCTATTGCAATATTGAAAAGTTTGAATTATTATAATTGTAGATATTTATTTCCTAAATGTGGAACACCAGGATATGTTGCTCCTGAGATTGCCAATTTAGTAGATAAAACACTTAAATATGATAAGGTGTGCGATGTTTTCAGTGCAGGAGTTATCTTCTTTAAATTGTATATAATCATATTTATTGAAGATTGACAGGGAAAGATCTGTTTCCGGGAGTTGGATTTAACCTAGTTTTAAAATTAAACAAATAATGCAAAATTGATTTAACTCCTTTGCAAATGAAAAAAATTGATCATTCTATCAATGTAATATATATTAGTTTGAATAGGTTAGGCTTTAATTTAGAAAATGTTGGAGAAAGAACCAAGCTAAAGGATTAGTGCTGCTTAATGTTTATAGGATCCATTCTTTGCATCATGTGCGTAAGCTCCAGGAATGCAAGGACCTTCAAAATTAACTGCTAATTAAAAAAAATAAATGTTCTCTTCAAGTGGTAAGGCTTTGACTACTGAATTTCCTAATGATAAAATAAAAAATAGTCCTTAAGAAAAACTTGAAAATAAGGGATCTTTTATAACATAAGATAATGCATTTCGACCTGTTTAATCTAATTAATAAAAGATTATGTAAAAATTCAATACTACAGAATTCGATCATGATGAAAATGCTTAAAGTCCATAAATGGAAAAAGTCATTTAATAATTTCAAAAAGGTGATGTAATAGAAGAGGAAGATGAAAAATGAATAAATTATCATTAAATATTTATTATTAGAATTATAATTAATTTATTCAGTATTTTTATATATTCACCATTTTCCTTATTTATTTTTCTTATAAGAAAATTGAAAGGTAGTAATAAAATATTTAATAAAATGACTTTTATTTTAAGTTGTGTATGAGATCAGTTGTAAATAATCATTTTAAATATTAATAATAAGAAACAATAAAATCATTGATTTTGATCTGTTGTTTTAGAATTAATTGTTTATTGGAGTGTTTATTGAAAAGATTATTAAACTGAAATGGAATGTATTCTTCTTGATAGTATTGGATTCTTGAAAGGATTGAGATTTTAGTTGTTTTCTTTCATTTCTCTTAAAATCTTTTCGGATTTAGGATTTTCCTTAACTTTTTCACAAATAAGGGGTAATTCACCTCTTATAGGTTTCTTTGCATTACACATTCCCATTTATTTATATTTCAAATCTAATAATTAAAAATTTTAATTAAACCCTTCAAGATATTTTCAATAGATAATTCATATATATATTAATCATTTTCTTGACTAATTCTATAGATCAAACTAAATGGATTGTTTATTCTTCTTATGAGTCTCAGATGCAGCTGGTTCCTCAGATGATTTCAGTTTTTCTTTAAATTATTGAATGCTACTCAGTTTTGATTAAATCAAACCATTAACTTCCTTCAAAAATTTAGTATTTTCATCATTATTAATCTAATTATCTAGTATTTATTGAACTTTTTTACCTTTTATGGTAACTTGACGAAGAGACATAACTTCCATAGATAAATTGCTTATGGTTTTCAGAAGATTTCTACTCAAATTATATGAGAACTCTGCTTTAGCATTTTTCTTAATTTAAATTTATTCCTCAGTTTCAGCTATTTTGGCTTTCAATATTTTAACAATATCAATAAATTCTAGGGTTATTTATATCACTTTACATTGTTGGATATTTTTAATTTCTTTAGCAGCTTAAGTGATAAGCATGGTTTAATAGCCAGTTTTATGACATGTGCTTCTCCAATAATAAAATACTTTTGTTTATAACCCTAACTAATATTTTTGATATGCATCAAATTTTGCTTATCTGCTTTTTCTCTTTCTTGTTGCATATTATTTAAGAGATTTATAATATTTTTTGTATAATTTTAATCTCTCATAATTGAGAACCATTCTAATTGCTAATTTATCATATTATTCTCTCTAATTTCAAAATATATTATACCTTTTACAAATTCTAATTAATCTTTTCTTTGACTATTTCCTAGTGTTCTAAAACCTATTGTTATAATTCTGTATAATTGGTTGAACAATTTGATAATTCTTATTAATAGACATTTGTCTTATTATTAACTTTCAATTCATAAAATGCATGCAATTTTCTTAATGTTTCTTATTTGATTTCATTGAGTAAATCATTAAATTCTTTATTATCTTGAGGATTAAATTAAACTTCTGTGGATATTTAAGTTATTCTCTCTTAAGTGCTATCCTTTATTTCACCAACAGCTTTTCTTAATAAGTTTATGTGTTATTTCATTTGAACTGTACTCATTATTATTCTTAACTGATTATTTAAAATGAAAATAAATAAATAAAAAAGTATTATGAATAAAATAAATTCACACTAACAAATAAATAATAAGCCTCATCAAATTCATTTGCTCAATCTCTTCAATAGATTAAGGTTAGTCTTGTCATTCAATAAATCTTCAGTTAAAGTTACAAGTCCTAAGATACAATTTTTGTATCTCCTTTGGGCACAAATGATATGTATTGTTGTGGTAACGAAATAGATAAACAAAAATGTCAAGCCAAATGTGTAAAAGTAAACTAATAGGTTGTTTTTCTTTTGTTTTATGAGATCCTATGATACAATATCAATCTTATCATAAAATAGTTGAAATCCTTATGAAATGTTAAAGAAATATTAAACTACAAGGTTGTTATACTCCTTATAATAATAAATATCATTTGAGTTATTCTTTTAATAGATCCCTTATGAAATTTCTATTTCAAAATCATTCTTAAATAATGAATCCAAATTACTAATAAATCCAGTGATACCTTTCCTCAGAACTTCTGAATTGTTTTCATAAGGGTAAAATTAGCCATAAATATTTTCAAATTGATTCAATGGAATAGTAATATTGCAAAAAGGTAAAATGTCATTTAAATAATAACAAAAATCGCCTTTGTAAAGATCGTAAAGTTCTGATTTATCATTATCATCTATATAATCACTTAATATGATAGATGAAAATATCGATTCTAATTTTTTTTAATAGACTTGAGAGATATTTTAAAAATATATTGGAACTTTATCTTCCTAGAAGTAATTTTTAATGTCTCCAATCTCAGGATCGTTAATTTTACTAAATTGTTCTTAAAATAAATGTTGCCCTTTTAAAATGGTAGCAAAGGATAACAAATACCCAAGTTATACCTCAAATTTCACATATGTTTTTATCAAATTTTCTATTGGCCTATGTTAAGATTCGCTAAGTTAAATTTAGAAATAACCAAAAGTTACAAATGCAACTAATGTTATATATAAAAATAAAGCAATTCCTAACTTTATTATAATGTCGAGCGACTTATTTTATATTTTCTCATATAAAAACTATGAATCTCTGGATCGAAGGTTTTGGTAAGATTAATTAATGGTTGATTGCATCAATCTCAAAGGAGATTTACAAGTGTAATAGGATTGATTCATATTAGTTTATTACTTTTCAGTTTCAGAATTTTATATTTATTATTGTTTTATCTCCACTAATTTAGATGCTTAATCTTCATTAATTCTTGAAATTATTTATATTAAATATTTATGTCTCTTTTCGAAGCTATACCAATTTCTAAGATTTATTATAAAAGGGGCACTAAACAAAATTATTTATGCAATTAAAATGGTTTCCCAAAAAAACAATATATTTGAAGAATAATCATTTAAAATCTATGTAAATTCATCAATTAAAAAAATAGTATTATCATAAGCTTATATAATGTTTACTCTGAGAAATAACAACGATTTTTAAAATTAGATTGTTTCTTTTGAGTATGATAATAAACTAATTATAGTTTCTCTCAATAAAATCGAAAAAGCGGCTTAACCTTCAAATTTTATCTAATTTTACAATAATGTTAAATTATATGAAGGCTAATCTTCATCTTCATCAATTTTCACTAATTCAGAATATAGAATTCCGAATTTAGAGCGAAGTTCTTATAAACTAACTTACATTTCTTGAGAAAAAGAGTTTTTTAAATATTCAGATTAATTTATATTTTAATAGATTATTTGGTTGAATCCAAAATTAAAAGCTTTATTATAAAATTAATTAATTTACAAAGGTGCCCATATATATTATGAGTATTTTAATTTTGTATTAAAATCAATACTTAGCTAGTTAATTTACAGCATCATAAATAATAAAACCAAAATCACTAAAATTACTTAATAAAAGTAAATGAGTAAGAATGGTTAGCTATTGGATTATTTAAGCAATACATCATGTAAAATAATCTACCCTTTTTATTCTGAACCAACTATGCTGACATCATTTTAGGATTTAGCTTTAATATTTTCTAGTTACAAAATGTCGTCATTGATGTTCTCAACTTCCTCATTGTATTCTAATTTTGTCTCTGATGGAGTCATCTCTAATTAATACTATATGATATTTCCTTTCAATTCAATTTTTTATAGTTTTATTTTGAATTTCAATGCCTCATCATTTTCTGTCTATAAATTAAATTAAATAAATTACAATATTCAAATGAATAATCTGTGTTAGTTTTTCTTATAATTGAGGATCCAAAAAGTCAAATTCAAATGTTTCATGATTTGAAAAACTATTCCTCTAACTTAATAGTTAATGCTAATCTGATCTATCTGAAAGAATTAGGCAATCTAAATTATGTGTATTATTTTAAATATTGTATTTGACCTGGGATTAAATAAACTTTTTATATTGTTTATCAATATTATTTACTTTCAATCTCTAAATAAAACTTATTTCTTTTTCATTTAGAAATTCGTTATTCTGTATGATATAAAACAACTCTGTTGAGTAATATTAGATATAACTATATTGCTTCATTTAAGAATGTAATTCATTAAATTACTCTAAATAATCACTCATACCAGTAATTTTCCCTGAGGTATCAAATATTATATATCCTTTATCTTAGTTGACTTTTTTTAATAGAGAAATAAGGCTAAAGTCTGACTTATCACTACTTATAGTAAAATTAACTTCTAAACATTAAAGTTTACCATTCTCTTATTGTTGAAGAACTTGAAAAGAATTTTATAGGTAATTGGTTTTCAATGAATTTCTTTAAAGAAATCTGTCTATAAATTAGCTATGGAATGGTTAAATTGCTTCAGGCATTAATTATTCTAAAAACTCTAATTTAAAATCCTTATTATATCCAAAGAATTAAAGCATCGATTAATTAACATTTAAAATTATGCCTTTCTGTTTAATCATACTAACTGTTAGCACCAAGGCTTTACTTTTCATGATCTATATGGCTTCTAGTGTTTTATGGTCACTTTCTAATATTTTCTTAATTACTTTCTTTAATTTTAGAGCCTAAATAATAAACAACTTAATACTTGTACATAATTTTACATTATTATGGAGCTAAAATTGATTTAAATTTTTAAATAAATGATATTTGTATGATTGTCTTTGATATTATTTTTAATTAGCCATTTCTCAGTATTTAAAATTGATTATGAAACTAATATTATTTTATTTTCCATTTCTGCAAAACTTTTGCTACCTTATAATAAATTATTGTAAAGTTCTATTTATTTAGTAAGAATATCAGAAAATCTCCTTTAATATTCCATTTCTATTAAGAGATCCCTATTTAACTATTATATCAGTAAAGTGGATTTATTCACTTCAATTATTTCTTTCTACATAGATTTTTTATATAATTGGCTATAAATCTTATAAAATAAAGTTAGATTCATTTATTAACATTCAAATTTGTTGAGGATAAACAAAGCTTAAAAGTAACTCTACTAATTTTTGGTAAGATAATCAAATAATATCAAAACATTAGTTTCATTCTAAAGATTATGATTGTGCAGTATTTCGTTTTGAATTATTTCTTTTATAAAGCCAACATAAACTGCATTATTGGATTTAAATTAAACTACTTATTTTAATAATAGTTGATTAAAATTCAATTTAAGTTTATTCTCTATAACATGAATTATATTATTTGATTTAATAAATTAAAATAAATCAATTTGAGTAAATAAGTAGAATAGTAATGTCATTGAGTAAAGTAATAGATTAAAAATTAAATTTTCATTCATATTAGTAATTAATCCTAATAATAGAAAAACTGAAATCATTAAATTGCAAAAGATAAGGCCTTGATTAAATCTTTCTGGATCATTTTATTAGAATGCATTATGATATATTGCAATAATCTAAGTGATTATAGTCAATATAGAAAATATGATGAATCCAGTTTAAGTTTAAACTATTACGAATACGAGAATTCTTATTAAATCTAATGTATATATTATCTTTAAGTAAGGAGTATAAAATGGATTCAGAGGGTAATAAATCCTACTAAAATTTATTTCAATATCTCTCTAAAGATATGTAGTTGAAGCCAACAATATCAAAAATAAAGCAAAAACCAAAATAGTAATGATAATTTCTAAAACGCTAGTTTAGTGTTGAGTCATGAATTCAAAGTAAATAACAATAAGTGGAATCCTAAAAGTCTTCTAGAAAATATTTAAAGTTATGCTGATTAATTAAGAAACTTAGTGTGATTTTGGGAAATTGAAGTATAAGATTAGCATTATAAAATAGATTAATGAAAGTGAGATAATGAAAACTTCAAATTAGTATTCAGTAGGATTTCTATTTAAAAATAGTATATAATTGGTTATCTATTGGATGCTGCTTAACATTTTATCATCATATTTTAGTTACTGCCACCCGTGTTATGGAAAACACAATGCAATATTTTAAACAAACTCAATTATCATAAGCAATTTAATGAGTCCGATTTTTGTTTTTGTTTAGATTGAAAGTACATGAACAAAATTTTAATATGTAAAATTCATTTTTTGTAATTTTGATAAATATTTTCTCATTTCTTCTGATAACTTATTTATAATGTGACTTCTTCAAACTAGGTCCCATTCAATTCATTCAAACAATGAGTTGCCTAGAGTTCATCTTCAAATTCCACGAAGGCCACACCTTTTGGTTTGATTCCTCTAAACTCTCTAAATCCGAAAAAGTTTCTAAAGTGTTGTTCCAAGTTAACAAAGTCAACCAGATGCAATCCTTCAACAAATAAAACTTTATTTGGTTAGTTTTGAATCGAAGAATTAATTATATAATAATACTTTTATTTTACTGCTGGCTCCTGTGTAGACTTGATTCACTGTTAAAGGCATAGATATAGTTGGTGCTTCTCGTTATTATTTTTGATTGAACATTTCCCTTTATCTCTTATCCTAAATCCTCTTCTTATGTTCTTTTATTTTATCACTCATAGGCAACTTCTCCTTCTCCTCATTATCTCCTTTTGAAATATAGTATGATTTTTCTTTAGCAAAATTCACTTTCTAATCATCAAACTTAGTCTTACCATAACTTTATCATACAATTAAGTATTATGAAACTTTATTTGAGCTTATATTGCCGATTCTTCATCTTCCATTAAAATAAAAGCCTGTCCTCTCATTAAAATATTTTTCTTGACAATTATATCAAGCACTTTTCCACTTTATGAAAATAATGCATATAATGTTTATCTCATTTCTTCTGCTGTCACTTTCTCATTTAATCTATTGATATATAAAGTTTTATTTGGTGGATTTAAATCAATCTCTTTAAGTTCAACAGTTTACTTGGTTGGCACCTGCTCTACCTATGCTTATTGAACAGGTTTAAGTATCTCTTCTCTATTAATAGAAAACAGAGGGGGGACATTTAAACCTTGCAACATAAAATAAAATTTAATATATTTGCATATTTAGCAATTCAAAATTTCAATCCATCTCTTCAATCTCCTCAAAGTAATCAAATTCTTCTAAAGCAGCTGAATCGACTGTCATATCAATTCCTTAAGATTATGATTGTTGCATATATTCATCCGATTCTTAAAACTAATCTTATTGCAATTACGAATCCCTCAAATCCTAAATTTATATTAATTATACTTCTCCCTCTAATTCTTCCTCAAAATCTTCGTTATCATACTTCTCATCTTCAAAATTTCTATTATCAAATTTCTTTTGTTATGGTTTTTTTTAAGCTGCCTCTTATTTTTCTCTTTCTTATTGTTATTTTAATAATTCCTGCTATTTTTACTATTCCTTCAATTTTTCTTATTCCTTCTTTTGTTACTCTTACTTCTATTACTCCTATTTTTATTGTTCTTGTTGCTTTTTCAATTCTTCTTATTTCTTTTATTCTTCTTATTATTTTCGTTGCTATTCCTTTTTTTACTCTTCTAATCTCTTCTATTCTTCTTACTATTTTTTTAATTCATCCTGTCTCTTTTATTCTTCTTAAAGTTATTTTCTCTATTCTTCCTACCTTTTATGATCCTCCTATTTTCTCAACTCCTCTTGCTTTTTCTGTTCCTATAATTTTTATTCTTATTATTATTTTTGCTATTGTTATTACTACTACTGCTATAGCTAGACTTCTTTTTGGGTTGGCTAAGCATTCTTTTAAGGTGCTTTTTCTTCACTAAAAGATATCTTAATGAATATTTTACGATTATTTTTCTGAATGTCGATTCTTTAATAAGAAAAATAATAATGGCTTTGTTGTATCATTGGCTTCAATATTTAATTTCTTGGCAATCTATTCTCTATTAATTTCATCTTTCAAATTACTTTCACTAAAAAAATCATTCAAAGTAAATACCTAGAAAATATTGAATTTGTATAATGCATGTCGAAAAAGAGGAAAAACTCTTTAATCAATTCCAGCATGTCTCGACCACAACCCAATTCATATATTGTTTAAGCTTTATTATTTTCCCAGAAAAATGGTGATGGCTTTTTACTATTGCCTTCTTACTAATCAACTACATTAAAGACAGATGCTCTAATTTAAGCTCTAATCTTAGCTAGAGATCCATTTGCCTCGAGAGATTGTATAACTAAGTTCTTAAGTTCTGTTAACTCTTACATTATTAAAAATTTGAAAATATATATAATAAGAAATTTTTAATTGTTAAGATAAATATTCTAATTTGCACATCACAAAATCCTCAAAGTTTTATTAATTACAGAAAATCAATTGTTGATTCTCAATTTATTTGATAACATAGTAAAGTTAGGATTTTTGTATATTATAAAACCCTCTCACTTAATTCATCAATAGGTTGATCATGGGTAAAAAAATAAATTAAAGCAAAAATATCTAGACAAACGATTCGCAAAGGAATTTCTACCTTTAAGAACTACATGCATCTCTTAAAAATTTTTCATCATCAAACAATACCTTTCAGAATATAAGTTTAAGGTTACAACTGTTTGATTAAATATAATTACTATTGTCCTTACTTAAGAAACCATTTCTTTTGATGGCGGAACTCATAATTTCCCTCATTATTAATGGTTTCCCAGATAAAGCTTTTCATTAATATAAAAAATTTAAGTACATTCATGGCTTCTTGTTATTGATATAAATTTAACTATTATAAAATAATATAAGTTCATCGTTTTGTTAAAGGACTAATGGCTCTTATTTAACTCATTATGTTTTATTTTAATGCATGAATATTATAATTGGAATTGCTACTTATCTTAGTTTGTTCTGTATCTGGTTTATCTGGTTTAAACTTTTGATTTTAAACTAATTTCTATAAATCCACATTGAATTACACAGTTTTTTAAATACTGCAATTGTTTGTCGATTATTGATTATTAACTGTATGTTGTTAAATTTTTTAATAAATGAAATTTTTGATATTTTGAGAATTAGAGTTTGGATTTGAATTTTCATTATTCAAATTCCCTTAAGTCTATAGATTTTACTAGTTAATATTGTGAAAACTTTCGTTCTATTCTGTTTAAAGTCGATTATTTAAAAATGATTTTTTTTAAACTTAATTCTTACTTAATGGCATAGGAGATACTGCTTAATATTTGATAAATGGTGACTGAGTGGTGCTAACGGATTTAATTTATTAAGTAGAAGGAGTTTGTCTATTCGGTTAGCTTTTAAACTATAGATTTGGACTCTAAAAGGGGGAATTAGGAGTTTTAGTAGTTCCTCTTGAATTTGAAGGTTTCGAATATTCAAGTTCTTCCAATGCTTTTTAAATTGGTCTTTTTTCTTCAAAGTCCTCTTATTTATAGGTGTATCCAACAAAAGTCATTTCTTTTTTGCTATTTTGATATCCCTTAATAATCCAAGGTTCTTCTTCTTCATATTTATCGAAATTGCTAGTATCTAATTCACTTCTTATAGTTGGAATGTATGGAGCTTTCATCTCTCTAATTTTAAGTATTGACAGTCCACCAAACCAAGGATGTCTTATAATTTATTCGAATTTTAATCGATTATTGGTATCACAAATCAATTTACTAATTAAATCCTTAGCTAATTAAGATATTTTTGGTTCTTCTGGAAATGTAAAGCATTATTAAAATCGAATAATCTTTTAACAAGTGGTTGATGGATCATCAGTATAAAATGGTGGATATCCAATTAACATTTCATATAGAATAACTCCAACACTCCACCAATCTACTGTTTCATTGTATCCTTATTGTAAAAAGACCTCAGGAGCAATATAATCAGGTGTACCAACAGTCGAAAATGCTTTCTAGGATAAATTATTTAAGTCTTTACTTCTCTTCTAGTTTATTTTGATTTAAATTTAGAGGAGAACACTGGCTTATCAAAATGCAATTCGGCGTCTTTACACAAACCAAAATCAGACAATTTAATATGGCCATTGTTATCAAGTAAAATATTATCTGGTTTTAAATCTCGATGAATAAACCCAAGTTTATGAACTGATGATACAGCTTAAACTAATTCAGCCATATAAAAACGAGCTTCTGCTTCAGATAATATATCTTTTTTCATTAATAAAGTCATCAAATCTCCTCCTGGTAAATATTCCATAACTAAATATAAATTTTTTTCATCTTAAAATGAACATTTCATTTCAACTATCCAATTATTGCCTTTTGCTTCTTCCAATACTTTTCTTTCATTTGTAACATGACCAATCTAGTTTTTATATATCATTTCATGCTTCTTCATTTTCTTTACTGCTACGATCTATTGGGATGGGACATGCCTACATAATCTGACTTCACCAAAGGCTCCTCTTCCAATAATAGCAAGTGGTTAAAAATCTTCAATACTTAATCTCATCCTCCTATCAATTTTGAAAAATCAATACTTCTTTCTCATTTATTCTGCTTCTTTCTTAAGAATATCTTTTTTTATTATTTCCTGTTCTTTTGCATTCATATGAAGAGAATCCATCAATTTAGATAACTGTTACCAGCCTTATAATTATTATTATTCTTCCTCAATTTATTTTGCATATTTTCCTAAATTTATAAAGTTTTCATACGTTCAATATATATTCGACAGGCCTCAACCCTATCTCTTGTTGCATTCGAAATTTATATTTCTTTCTTTCCAATCATTAACGATATTTATATTAATTTTATTTGAATTTATTAAGACTCTTTAAAAATTTCTCTCCAAAAACCTTATTTCCTATTCATCTTCAAAAAATGCGGAACTCTCCTTATTTTAACCTCTGAACTTTATCACTACACTCTATTGAACGAACTCAAATTATTCTATTAATATTCTGTATATTTTTTAATTATTTTACCCACCTATGTATAATACTTTATCATAGGACAATATTTTATTCTTTTAGCAGAATCAATTATTTCTGTAACAATTATACATCTTTTATAAATCCATATAAAATTCCTTTTCAGATAGTGATTTAGGAATTTTAAAAGAACTCTTAGTTGTTATCCCTTTTGAAAGGACAAGGTCTAATTATTTACTACATCTTATATAATAATCTATTAAATATTGTTTTTAATAAAATATGCAGAAAATTAAAAATTATATAAGCAGACTCCTAAACGACGATCATGTGTGCTTTGATTAATCATACTAATTTATACTATTTATTCGGATGTTTTAATTTCTGTAATACCTAGCAATTACGTTATAAGAAATTAATAATAATGAAAAATAGGTTGATGGGCATTTTTCAATTTTCTTTCAAATTCTAAAGTTATCCATATTGGATATTAATTTTCTTCCTGATTATATTGGATTTATTACTACTTTTGTAAACATTGGTGTGATGGTCCTATTCATATTATAATTGGCATATTTTAATAGATAATTAGTGCTTTTGACGAGAGGACTTATAACCTATTTGGCTTTATTACCTCAAATAATGTGCTTTTTATTTGTTTCATCTAGTTTTCGGTCTTTTATTTTGAAAGAAGAGACAAACCTAATCCTTTAGATTTGGGCTATATGTGATGTTAGTTTGATATTTAGCATATCTATAATTTCATGCATTTTATTTAGAAACATAAGTTTTAATCAATCAACTTACACAAGAGATCAAAGTTAATTGAAAATAGTTTCTTAGATTTTTTAATTTGTCACATAAATATTATATTTTTATGACGATAGAGAAGAAATTTTAATACTTAAATAACTTTCAGCTTTAATGTGGATAGGATTGGAATAGATTGATATATATTTATATATGCCTTATAGTTTATATGATAGCAAATTAATTTTTACATTAAATTAAATAAAGTTTGGATGTAATTTGATTAATTTAATTTTGAATAATTTGTCTAATATTATAGAAACAACCTTTTCATAATACATTTATTATTTTATATTTTCATCAATGTGTTTTTACTTAGGTGAAACATTTTATTAGAGATTATTTTATGCAAAGGGATTAGATACTTTTACTAAATCAAGTGAAAAAGATTAGCATTTATAAATAAAAGTGCTGAGATAGTTTTAAATTTAAGCTCAATTCACACTTACTTAAACTGAGAAATTATTGCAAATAGGAATGGTGAATTAACATATCATTCACTGTAATAAATAGTGTAGAGTAATTAATTTATTTATTTAAATCAGTCTCAAGATAGTTCTGATGTAATCACATGCATTGTCAATTGTCAAGTGTCAAATAAAGAAGATGAAAATCTATTTTTATTTAAGATTCAATATTTGGCATTCCAAAACAAACAATACTCTTAAAGTTTAGCCAGGATAAAACATTATTAAATTAAATATAAATAAGAATTATCTTGGTATTTCAATTTAGTTTAAATCGAAATATCCAATAAACTTAGCTAAGAAATAACTAAATAGCAATATTCCAAAATTTTGCCATAAAATTCATCATTTGTTAACTTCACCTCTGATGATTTAGTTCATTTAGATGTTTAATCAGATATTCTCATACCAATTATTAGAAAAACTCTCTCAGCTAAATTAGATATTTGGAAGAAATAACTCAAAGGATTTTCATCTGTTAAATAACTATAGTAAGAATTAGTGAAGTTGGCTTAGGAATTGGAGTAATTACGAATTAAATTCAAATTAATTATAAATAGAGATGTATACGAAGTAAATATCTCATAAGTAAATAATTTGTATCATTTGAGAATGTTGTCTTTATATTATTCAATTATCATGAACGATTAATTACATTCATTTTTATGCGAAAAACAGTACTATTTAATCTACAGCTATGAACAAACCTTACAATAGGATTAGTTAAATTCAATTGCATTAGTATTAGATAAGGTTTCTATTGTAACTGTGAGCTTAGTTTAGAGTTTAGGATCTATATTAAATACCAACAAATAGTAATTAGGACATATGTTTAATTACAAGAAAGTAGAAGAATTCTAAAATATTATTCATTTAAATTAATTAATGCCTGATTTTATGGCTGAATCGCATAATTCAATGTTAGAGAAATTTTTAATCAAAGGTGATTCCCCTTTTATGCAATAGTTTCGTTTAATTTTTGGTAAAACAAAAGACAATTTTATATTTCCTTTGTATTTGAAACTAGCTAACGACTTTAGTTATCAGGATGATTATGTCATAAAAGGCATTTTTTTTTCAGGGGTAAAAAAATATGACTATCTATTATTTGACAGCAATGGAAAAATATTGGGTGTAACAAGATAAGTGTATTATGATCTGTTCACTAATAACAATAATAAACATCAACCATCAGAACTTACTGTGTTATAGAATTAATGCTTTCTTTATTATTTTATGCCTGATTTATTTGATATTGTGAAAAGATTTCAATAAAGACAGAAAGATGCATTTGATAATATAAATTTTTCAGAAGATACAATCTTTATCTCTCACCATGAAATAAAAGAGTTTCATGATAAATTCTAATAGCAAATGAAATTCATTGTAAATGACTTTGGAAATATCATGAATTTTAAGAAAAAGCAATCGTTGTAGAGTATAAAGATATTTTATTTTAAAAGTTCGTACTAGTACATTATAAGCTTCAAAGGACATTAATCCCATATTAATTGAATTAAATTTATTGAATGAAACTTACGCTAAAGCAGTAAAGGAATACATAAATCAAACCGTATTATAAAATTGTATTCATTAGGTTACATCATAAAAAACTTGTTTTGTGAGGTTTACATTATAATACTAAAAGTATTAAAATGATGGATACTATATAATGTAAATATCAGATTATAGAAAACACAATTTTGGAGAGATAGCCACTGAATTATTTGCTCTGTAAGATGCTGATTCTACAATGAAAAAATCCACTTTGAGACACTTGAAGGGTAACTGTTTATTAGTATGCAATAGATTTAATAATTTCCAAACGGAGATATGGTGACATCTAAGCTTTTTCAACAATTAAAAAAAAACGTTAAATGTATTCTAGATAACTGGCTTCTGTCAATTAATCTGAAATGTTAATGACTCAATAATTATCATCAATTGCTTAAACACCAAAGGCTTGTTTTTTTAAACCTGAAATAGCGTTAAATTCTGAAATGGAATCAGTTTAAGAAATTAGAAATTCTAGTTCAGAAGAATCCAAATTTTTAGATGAATTTTTATCAGATGATGAATCAAAGAAACAAGGATATAAAAGGGAGAAAAAGATTTAATCATTTAGTAAAACAAATAATTTTACTGAAAATGAACAAAATCCTAATTAATCGTAACATTCAAGTGCAATATCTAAAGCCTCCAATAATTAGTCTTACTTTTTTTAAATTGTATTTAAATAAAAGGGATAATTACCAAAAAATATTATTATCTTATGGATTATTGTTTATTGTATAAATTTAATAAGTGTGGGAGGATTTAGTTTTACAAACTATCATATTATTTCTAATTACTATTAAGAATAATTATAATCTGAATAATTTATGGGACCTCTTAAATTTAATAGATACTTTTGTAAGACTTTGTCCATTAGTTGGAATTTCATTTTAACAAAATACAATATATTGAATAATAGTTAGTATTCAAATGAATAAAATTTATATTAGTTTAGTTTGCTTGATTAATTCGTTTTCTCTAATCTATCGTAATTATATCCAATATTTCTCAAAATGGAATAGGATGGAACATTATCAAATATGACTTTAACATATAATATGAAAAGCTCAGAGAATGTTGAATTCACAAGATTATTAAACTTTTTAGAAGAGGCCATTCATTATTTAGTTTAAATCAGTTATTTTGACAAGGAGAGCTTTCTAAATTTCGTTAACAAAGATTACATAGATAAGGCATTAATCATTCAATACAACTTACCAGAAGTAATTGACATCAATAACCATCTAATGAATTAACTAAATAACAGTTCCCTTGACAATTAGGAACTTGAAAGTTCGATTTTTGTAGTTGAACACTTGATTCACACAGTAATTATCTTCTTTGTTATGCTGATACAATTGTTTTAATGGAATAATATAGAATAATAAAATAGAAATTTAGCGTTGTTGGTTGGTAGGATCAAGGATAATGAAGTGGAAAATGAAATTTGTAAGAATAATATCTATTATTAAAAGAGAGAGCTTATACTATTTATATTGCATTGAATATTCAAGCTGGTGAAGATTCCTGGAAGCGTTATAATTATTATAACTATGGATTTCAATAAGATGCATCTGTTTATTAGCCAAGGCAAAAATTAAGTATTAGTTAGAAATTGCAATTTGGTTAACAAATCTAAAAAAGCGTAAGGAATTTTAATACTAAAATAAATTTGTTTTCACATTTAATAAAAATATTAGTATTTGTATTGATTTATTAAGCATATCTATGGGGAGGTTACTCATTATCTAAAAGCCAAAAAGATAGGCTATAACCATTAAATAATTTATTAGTGGAGTTTGCATTGTTCAGTACTAAAATAGACAATTTAGCAAGCACTGCCTTAATAATAAAGACTTAATTTTTAATATAAGAGAAATTAAAATAAGAAGGATTGTTCTTGGAAAAAGATCTGAATGATAGAGAGGAGATAATAAAATTATTCAACAATATCTATACTGAGATAAATGAATCTTTTGCTTAACTATATGAACAATTAATTAAAGATTTGTAATTAGATTATTCAACCGAGGAAGCTTAAGGTTTATTACATTAGGATATTTGTTTATTTATGAGTTCACTATTACCATTTTGTGAATTGAAATTGAAATAAAACTAGTAAGAATTTATCAAGTAGTATGGTTAGTATTATGCATAAGATGATAATTCTGATTATTTATCATAAGGCATTCTTTCTCTGGTAACACAAATGCAATAATTTTACAAATAAAATTTTGTTTTTGAAGATGAAGAATAAAGTTAAGATGAACTTTTGAGCTTTTTGAATAGTTAGGAATTTAATGTTATTATATTAAGCCATTTCAGAGATACTTATTAATGTTTTGCTATTTACTTAGAATTATTAGAAGATAATATATTTTTGATAAGAAGTTAAAATTTATCAAGTTTGCTAATCTATTATGACCTAATTATAATCATGTATTTGGTTATTTTTTAGATTTATTATTCATATTGGATAAGGTAAAATGTGAAAGTGATGAGGAACATCAAATTGGCTTTAATTGCAATGCCACATTTTCAATTGACAAGTGACCCAGTTATTAATATTTTGAAAAGATATTAATGATTTTATTTGATTTTTGATATAGACATGATCAATAAATTATTTACAAAATTTTTAGTTTTGAAAAGCTCATTAATCGTTAATAATTTTATATATAATAATGCAGTGTCGCAAGGTTGAACCGAATGTGATAATGAATTCGGCGAGATTAGTTCAACGCCCTAATGAGACCAATAAACTGGAGGAGGAGATAGTTCATGTAATAAAGAGTCCAGAAAAAAAGAGTCCTCATAATGGTAAATCACTCAAACGTACTTCTTCTGGTCCAATCATAAATTTACAACAATAGATAATAATACATCAAAATGCTCCTACAAAAGACTCATAGGTTTTATTGAAATTCAAGAATCAAATGAAGAAAAAGAAAAAGAAGAAGAAGCTTTAAAAGAAAAAGAAAATATAAACGATAGATAATAAGGGATCAGAAATTAGAGTAGAATAGCTACTTAAATAAAACTTAAGGAGACACTAAAGTATTCTTATCTGATTTATCAATAGGGGAAAAACAAGAATTAATGATATAAGAAGAGATACAAAAGTAAAGGGTAGTTAGTTTTAATGAAATGAGAAAAATTATGGATTAATAAATAAGATAAATAAATTAGCAAAGATTTGCTAGAGTAAATTTTACATTCTATTTTTATAAAGTCAAAATCTCCACCATCATCCATGTTACCATGGGGAGTTGATTAAAATAAACTTAAACAATATTGGACAAAAATGTTGGAAATCCATGATAAATTAGAGAAGCCCTAACAAGTTAATCAAACAGCCACAGAACATGCTATCAAAGAAAAAATTAGAAGGCATAAATTGGGATTAGATTTTCTGAATGCAAAACCAGAAAGAGATATTTAAAAGATGATATAAAGTAAAATTCAATTGAAAATTTTAGAATAAAAATCTAAATAGGTCTTAGAAACTATTTCATCTCCTCAAAAACATAAAAGTAGTTGTGATAATAAAGATGCCGAATAAGATGTTAAATTGTATATGATGTATAAGAGAGAATTATGGAGACAACAAAAAATTGAAGAGTATCTAATTTATTATTTATGTAGGAAATAATTATAAAAATTAAAAAAGGAGAAGTTGCAATAAAATCTGTAAATTCTGGATTAAGAAGCCAAACTATTTGCTAAATCCAGAAATGCTTCAGTTAAGTCAAATTTAACAGCCTAAGCAGCCTCTTATCACGCATAATAGTCATCTCAGCATTTTAGAACTTCTGAACCTCCTAATTTTAACAAATTAGAAAAAGAGTATAAGGAACTCATGAGATCTCTCAGATAATCAAGCTATAGCAGTACTTAATCTCATTCAAGAAAAACAAGTTAATTGAAATTTCTAGATTGGTTATAACATTTACCTGAATCTTATCTCTAAGAGCAGCTCTCTCAAATGTAAGCGATAAATGAACAAATGAATAATAAAGGATTTCAATATAAATTAAGCGAATAAGAAATGTATCAATTTTTAGAACAATTCCTAAAAGAAAAGTTTGAATAACAAACTAAATCTACTATTAAAGACCGATTTAATGAATTATAAGAAAGATTTTAATAGGTTTCTTAATAACAACTGTCAAATAGCTAACAATTATCTCAACTATAAAATATAACTCACCAGAGTCATTAGAGTAACAAAAGTCAAAATTAAAAAGTATCTACTTCCCCTAAAGAATACACCATAAATGAAATGAACGAAGAGGAATTAGAAGAAATTTAAAACGTGGCTGCAACTATTATATAAAAGGTTTGGAGAGGTTTTAAAACTAGGAAAGTAGTTTTTTAATATCTTCAATATTTAATATAAGAGGAAGAATTCGAAGAAAATACTGAAGGGCCAACGTTGTCATAGAAATTTGAAGGATTATCTTAAGAGGAAGAAGTAAAGTCTTTAAATTAAATAACTGATTCAGAAAGAAGACTAAATCCTCTTGATTTACATTACAAAAGTTCTTCATTTCCTAAATTTTAAGGTCAAGCACCACCTCCTTCAGAGTCTTTATAATAATCTTCGCAATAGCATTCAAGCCCTAGAGGAAATACAAGTATACCTCCTTTAAATTTGGATTCATTCTCCTAATAGTAATCATCTCCTTAAAAGTCAGTTTAATAATAATAGCAATCAACATCACAATAACAACTGCAATAGTAATAATAGTAATAATAGTAGTAATAGTAATAATAGTAATAATAGTAATAGTAGTAAAAGTAATAATTGTAATAATTGTAATAATAGTAATAATAATAGTAATAGTAGTAAAAGTAATAATTGTAATAATAGTAATAATAGTAATAATAGTAATAATAATAATAGTAATAATAATAATAATTACAACAACAATAATTATAGTAACACTAATAGGAATAGTAATAATAATAATAAAAACAAGATTAATAGTTATTATCAGAATCATAAATTTAAGAACAAGAAATGAATTAGAATTCAACACCATAAAAAAGTATACATTTATATCATGGAGTGAATTCTGATCCTGAATACTTTATGTAAGTTATAAAATTAAGGGAAGAAGCGCTTTAATAGAAGTATGACTAATAACTAGCATTGTTAGAAAAAATGCTTGACAAAAAAAAAGTTTCAAACGATTTATTTTCTGAAAATAAAGAAAAATTGGATAAAAGATACAGAAGGGAGAGAGATAAATTATAATAATCAAAAATAGAAGTAGAAAGATTACATCAAATGTTTAAAGATACAATAAAATCAACACAAAAAGATCAATAATTTATGGAAAGAATGAAAATCTAAACTGATGAAGAGAATTTATCTATTAGGTAAATATTTTCGATTCGTTCAGAAACAGAATAGTCAGATGGAGAAATAGAAAAAAGATCTATTCCACATTATGGATTATTATAATAAATAAGTATAAATTAATTAATAATTTAGAGAATGATTAATTTAAGAAATACTCCAAAAATAGAAAATAAGTGAGAAGTTTTGATTAGCAAGTAAGTTTAGATGAAATTTCGATGAAAAATGAAGAAATTCAAACAAGCACAATATTTAATGTTCACACAGAATCAATAAATCATTCATTACATAAATCCTAATAACTGCCATCCACACTTTAATAATCTGTACCCTCTTAAGAATTGGTATAAATTGAAACTGTTGAGAGTCCTGAGAATAAAGTTATTGAAAAAAAAGATGATTTTAAGAATTCAATAATTCCTTTTGATGATAGAAAAATTGATAATCTAACTGAAAATATAGTTTAAAACATCATTTCAGAATTTGCTGAAGAGTTGAATAATTTTCCCTTATAATCTCTTGGTGTATTAATGGAATGGGATGAAGAATCTCAATTAGACTAACAATTTCCTCCTGGATTTCCAACTACACTTAATTTTATAAAGGATTATCTTGTTTCATTTAGTGAATTTATTTAAAGTAAAAATTATTTCCATTTTTAGAACATTACCTTGCTATTTTCATTCAGTTAGTAAATACTCCATTGGGAATCACACCCTAAGATCTATTGAAGACAATCTCCCTTAGTGATATGTAATAAAATGCCCTAGATGACTCAACATCAGGACCTTTGTATCCATTGATTAAGCACATTCATCAAATGGAACCCTTAATTGATGAAGAGATTTGGAATAAATTTAATTAATCTTATGCTCTCAAATTAAAATACTTTAACGATATAAATATAAGTGATTAATTCAAGGAACTTGAAATTTACCATTTAAGAATGATCTATGAAGCTTTTAATGAGGCTATAAATTATGTAAGACCATTCGGAATCAGAGGGTAACCTTATCCATGGAAATCGAATCCTTTAAAAGTCTATTAAAACTAAACGACTTAAGAATCAATTGATAGAGCCATGGGATTTGCAATTGCCAAAATGTTGAAATGGGGTTCTTTTTTATGCGGATTCATTCCTGAAAAAATTGAGACACCTTAAGGTGAAATTATTGTGATAGAGGATGACTACTTGAATTAAATCAAAGAAGATAGATTATAGCAAATGTTAGAATATGAGGTAATATAGATTTTGATAAAATTTAGATTCAAGAATCCGAAGAAAAATGGTTAAATTATGATGAAGAGTAAGCCGAAGTGGCAGTTGAATTAGCGGATGTTGTTTTTGAAACTATGTTGGATGAAGCGGCTGAAGAGATATTCAAGATTTCTTAAGGAGGAAAGTACTAAATAAAAGATTTTCAATAATGATATTTAATAAAGAAGGCTTTATTATATAATTTAATTTCTTTTAATTCACTTGAATATAATATTATACAAATGTTATGAATTCAAAATTACAAAATTTACAATATTTATAACAAATAATTTTAACATAATTTTAATAATTAAATCAAATTTAAAATTGAAAATAATTTATGTCACAAGAAGACAATCAAAGTGTGAATATGAATAAGATAATATCAATCATAAATAAAGCAATAAAAAGTATAATAATGATTTCTATTATAGAATGTCCTTAATATGAACAGTCATAAAATTATCTACTTGAATCAAGAAAAATTGTGTTGTTTAATGAAGGATTAAGAGAGCAAATCTTTAAGTGTTAAGATGAAATAAGATTAATTTAGAAGGAATTGACTTAACCTTCTAAAAAGTTAAGAAGAAAAGCTAATGAAATTTCAAAAAAGTATAAATGTTCAAATTGTGACAAAAAATATGGATCAGAAGCATCACTTAATTTACATTGTAAAATAAAGCATGCCTTTTCAGAAACAGATTCAAAAACCTAAATTGATCACAGTTTTCAAATTTGATTTTCCTTTTTAATTCGCTGTTTTTTTTTAATAATTAAAATTTATAACAATTATTTTTAATAATTTCAAATATTCTAAAATTATGGGTTTTCATTCAATGGATTATTAAAATCATTATCTATTAAGCATAATATTTAATTTTATATTTCAAATTTAGCGGTCCTAATTTAAATGAAATTAATTTGAATTCTAAATTATTGATTTATATGCTAAATCCGATTCTTAGGTAGATTAATGTTCACATTTAAGTTATGCTGATTACGGATGGACAAATAAATACGATAAAGAAGACTTTAAAATATCATAAAAAACTATATCAACTAATTTGCTAATTTATTTTGGCTAAAATCAAAGTTTACTAAGATGCCATTTTATCAAAAGTTAGAATAGTAGATGATCAGGTAGTTTTGTTGATTCTGTTACTAATTAGATTCAAATTTTTAATTTCCATGTTCTTTAATTCTATCACATTATAGGACATTCATCTAATTTAAATGGACTCTCTAGGATGAGATTGAGGAACAGTTAAAAACCATTAATTTTTATATAATTATTTAATAATCAGATGTCTTTCGTATTTATTTCAATATTTACTTTAAATTACTAAGTGAAATATTTTTTTAGCAATCTTTAGTAAGTTAATTTATCAATATTTAGTAAATGATGTAATTTATTAAATTGCATTTTTTTATGAATATAAAGATTGTGAAATACAATTTATTGTTTGTTATATAAGATTTTAGATTTTTAATTATATATTTTCTATTCATGAATTCTCACAAGTATTAAGTAATTAAAAAAATAGGAATAATTATTCTGGTTTATTTTAATTTAATTTGTATAAATAATTAAAACATATGTCTCATTTAAAGAGGAATAAGTAATTATAAAATGTATTTAAGAATTGTCCAATAAGAAAGCAATTTAGATTAATCGCAAAAATAATAATTTTAAGTTGAGGGATTAAATTATCAAGCATTTCATTAATACATTGAAAACAAATTCACAGACAGCAAATAGTTTAAATTCTTAAATGCTAATGCATTGAATTAAAATATTTATGAATTTTAGATTTCATACTAAAGTTAGAAATGGAGGTGTAAATATATTAATTATATAGAATAAGAAAAACTAGTCTCATGTTTAATTTGGTAGATAATATGGTTGTTTAGGATAACTTCCTATATTTGATAAACTATTTGAAAGAAATCTTGGAGCATTCTGAATTTAATTAGAAACTAAAACTTTTTTTGTAGTTTTCAGATGTTCAAGTCAATAAAAAGTACTTAAGTTGTTATGTCGATAAAAGATCTGGAGGAAGACACAAAGTATAATATACCTTTTAAAAAGAGAGCTAATTGTAGGGAAAGATTAACTTGTTGTCATTAATAGTTTCAAAGAAGATTCTTAACATTGACTTCCGAAGGCATATGTTTAAGTTATGAATAATTCGGTGAACAATCCAGAATTCGAGACATGATATTGTTTGATCATAGTTTTCAAATTCATTATGGAAAGAAATCGACAGGTTAGAAATATGGAATAGTATTCAAGAATAACACAAGAAATCTCCTGGTGAGATGTCATAGTGAATTTGAATTTGTTGACTTAGTAGTTTAAACTTAAATAGTGTTTAATTAAAGTCAGTCTGTCAAAAAGAATCCCTTCGATTCCTTTTCGCCTATAAGAAATAGAAACTTTGCCAAATATTTTATAGATGGACAGAATTACTTTGATTAACTTAGATAGGACATTGAAGCAGCAAAGGAAGAAATCTTTATAACTGATTGGTGGTTGTCTCCTGAGTTATATTTAAAAAGACCATCACATGAAAACGAAAATTTTAGATTAGATAAACTATTATAATAAAAGGCAATAGAAGGTGTAAGAATCTATTCAATAGTATATAATGAGCCTAAATTAGCTTTGACAATAAATTCACAATATACATAAACAAAACTCAATAATCTACATTAAAATATTTCAGTTGTTCGACATCCTAACAGTGTAATTCCAATGTTATGGTCTCATCATGAAAAAATTGTAGTTATAGATCAATAGATTGCCTATTTAGGTGGATTAGATCTCTGTTATGGTAGATATGATACTCAGTCTCACCCTTTATTTGAAGAATATCAAGGGTAATTCCCAGGATGTGATTATTCAAATAGTCGAATTGCTGATTTTAGAGATGTCACTAACTTTAAGTAATCCGACATTGATAGAGAGGAGACTCCAAGAATGCCCTGGCATGATGTTTAGATTAAAATAATCGGAGGATCTGTCAGAGATGTAGCTAAACATTTTGTCTAATATTGGAATTTCGTATTAATTGATTTAACCAAAAAGGATGAATATTCTGTCCTCTAATTATAGGATAATTTGGAATCATTAAATCGATGGGATAGATATAAACTTAAATTGTCACAGATATCATCAAGGTTAGAACACTTTTTAATGACTAAATTGCATATATCTAATGAAAACAACTAATACTAATAATAATAAACACCTGAATCGAGTTTAGCATCTCCAAATATCAATAATTAGAATGTTTAAATTTAATTAGTTCAATCTTAAATACAAATTTAATCAAATTAAAATGAAGAAAAATAAAACTATATCTAAGAAGAGAAATTAAGAACTAAAAGTGCCTCATTTTATCTGGTCAAGGAAGGCTTCTAAATTGAGGAAGACATTTTGAATGCTATGAATAAATAATCTCAAATTGAAGATTCTAACTATTTATTTTAAGCCAAGAAAAGAACTCCATCTTTCTAACAAGCAGATAAACCATAAATTAACAATGAGAAAATTAAATTAGATGTGAGAAAGACCTCCAAATCTGGATCGTGTTCTATCTAAATTTTAAGATCTGCTAATAAATGGTCATTAGGTTTATCAAAAAACCATACAGAAAATTCGATTTAAAAAGCTATGATACATCTAATTTAACATTCGTCTTACTACATTTATATTGAAAATCAATTCTTTATGACTTCATTAGCTGGGGAACCATTGCTTAATCCCATTGGTCTGGCCATTGTACAAAGAATCAAATAGGCCTATTATAATTAACAGCAATTTCACATGACAATTGTACTACCCCTATTACCTGGTTTCGAAGGAGAGATAGATGATACTAAAGCAAATTTAATGAAATTATAACTTCATTATGAATATTATAGTTTATGCAGAGGAGGATAATCTCTAATTGAATAATTAAAAGATATCCCAAACATTAATTCCTACTTGACTATTGCTGGATTAAGAAATCATGGTGTAAATTCCAAGGGTCAACCAAAAACAGAAATAGTTTACGTCCATACAAAATTAATGATTGTTGATGATTCAATTGTGTTATGTGGTTCAGCAAATATTAATGATCGAAGTTTAAAAGGGTCAAGAGATTCAGAAATTGCTATTCTAATTGAAGATTCTACAAAAGTAGGAGATGGGAGAAGATTTGCATATGATTTGAGGAGAGACTTGTATAAAGAACATTTTCAGATTACTGATTATCGCAAACCCAATGATCCTGAATTAGTTAAGTAAATACAAGTTTAGATGAAAGTATTATTTACTGTTATTATTAGAATAATACACTGTTGTATAGAAAAATCTTTGCATGTTATCCAGATGATTCTGTCCTAACATTCCGACAACTAAAATAATTTAAATCTAGTGCTAATTTATAGAGCTATTTTGCTTTGTAACATGAAATTGTAGGGTTTGGAGTAGAATGGCCTCTTGAATTCTTAAAAGAAGAATCTTTAAAACTTCCTGTATTCGCTAAGGAAGTTCTGGTTCCAGATATTAATTTCACATGATTTTCTGTTCTACTTTTATGTTAATGATTTTAATTAGAAATTTTGATATAAATATCTATTATTATTATAGGTGAATAATACAAATATATGTCAAATTTAGAAATTAATTGTCTTTTGTGCATACAAATTACAATAGGAAGTTTTACACAGAGGTAAATAGTATTTTAATAAAATTATGGTTTTATTTATTCAAAAAATAAATAAATTTATAATTATGTTAAATAAATATTTTTCATTTTATAAGGTTTGTAGAGAAAAGAACAAGCTTTATAATTACATCAAAAGTGTATTTGTAGAAAAAATAGAATAAATAGAAGATAGTTTAATCTATTCAAATGACTTACCATATGCGGTACTGAGTTTAGAAAACTCAAGATTTATCAATCCTAATATTGGATAAAAATTAGCAAACACTGCAAAGTTAGTTTTTCATAACAATGATTTATCGAAGTTAAAATCTGCTTAATTTGCAGTTGAAATTCTAAATTCTTTATACTAATATGCTGATAAATCAGACGCTGAATTGTATAAAGAAATTTATAAATTTTACTAAAACCATCCTTATTTATTTGATAAAAATTTGATTACCAGATTGTAATATTACTATCACCAGTTGGCAGAGAATGCTCATTTTGAAGATTTAGTTGAAATAGGCCGCAGTGTTGGTTCCATCACTAACACCAGAATGTTTACCCCAGTAGTCTTGGATTTATATAACATAAAGAGATAAAGCTATTGGAATTTAATTGTCAGATATGATCCAGACAAATTGACTAGCACAGCCACTTTGACTCATAAATCTGGAATTACTATTAGAATGCAGGGTGTCTATCCTAATAATTATGAAGATATCACAGATACAAAACAAATGATCGCTGAGAAAAGGTTTGATGCGGTTATTTTGAATTCTGCTCCTGTGTCTATTGCACAAATAGATGAGAATAAAAAATTTGATATAATAAACAAAATCACTAGCAATCTAGAAGCTAATAGGATTTTTAAGGATAAAGTTGAATAAGTTTTAGTGACTGATTTCGAACCTATTATTGAAGAATTAAAAAAGAATTTCAGAATAGATAATTCAAAATAAATCCTCACAGGTGTTTAATAAGGTTTTGAAGTGCCATACACTCTAGAATCACTAATATACTAATTTTCTACACAAAAAAAAGAATCAAATTAACCTCATTTAATTTTAGGGGGATTAGGAATTGAAGACAAATTAAGATTGTTCTTAAATCAAATTAACCCTTAAAAAATAACTAATGAATTATAAACACTTAGATTCAAATGGCTAAATCAAGTTTTTTCACATGTTGCAAAAGCTCAAAAGATAGGATGTTTTGTTTGTGGTACATAACCTGAGGCTATCAATCCTCCTTCAAAGATCTTGAATGAAAACCCAATTATATTGAATTTTCAATCAAAATTTTTGGCTGATATCACTCTAAAATACATTGGAAATAGTACTAAAAAGGATATTTTATTAATTTTAAACTAATCAATATTTTATGACACTCTAAAACACATTGTCGAGGCTGAGATCATTAAAAATGATTTTAGTATTGATGAATATCGATCTAATCTCATTAAACAAAAATTAGGGGTATCGCCCTTAAATCAAAATTATCTAAATTTATTTAAGTAATTTTATGAAGAGTAATTTATTAAATATTATATCTAGTTCCTTAGAGACAAATTAGATCTATAAATTATGCTCTTAAGAGATACTAGACTTGAATAAAATCTCAAAATTAAAATATATACCAGGATAGTAAATTCGCTGTGGTATAAGAGACATTTTATTTTGAAAATATTTGTGTAAATTAATAAAAAGAATTTATATTAAAGAAAATAATCTAATGCATAGTACAGAGATCCCAGATCCTTAAAAAATAGAAGAAGCATTTAACATAATTATGAACTCTAAAAATCAATAGAATGGAAAAGAGGCAGATTCCTATTTGAGAAATTTAGAATAAAACTATCCATACATTTTAGTGTCGCTATTGTAGATTTTTGAGAATAGTTAGGTATTTCTTTGCATCATTATTTTTCTAAAGGTTTACCTAAATAAATTCTAAGCATTATTACTAATTAAAAATGTTATAGTGAGAAATTGGACTAAGTGTTAAATAAAGGATAGTCAAAAATTCTAAAATATTTCAGAGGAATTAAAAACTCATGTGAAGGATAAAATAGTCTCATTTTTGGGAGTTGTCTAAGATGATAAATTCAAAACTGAAATTAATCTGATCATATCAGTCATAGCTAAGCATGATTTCCCCTTAAAATTTTAAGGATTGGTAAACTATTTTGCTTAAGGACTTAATACAATTGTACAAAGTGGATCTGCTAACTCTGCTATGACTTATGATTTGATTGTTTCCCTCAAAGTGGTTTAGTAAAGCGTAATTTAAAATAGAAATAGTATTTACATTGAATTATCATTTAGCTGCTTTTAAACTATAATAAATGCAATTCTTTTTAGTTATTTGGAATAACCTACAGCATCTTTGGAAGAATATTACCTCAATATAATAACAAGAATTGCAATAAAATATTAACAATTACTCCTTTGTTAATAAAATCTCTAAAAAGTTAGATAGACTGTTATCATTATCAATAATGTCCCTAAATTAAGAATAAGACCAGTAACTATATAATCCAATTATATTTTAGAGAAAAAATACAGTTAGTATTTATGTTATTGTTGGAGAAAACAGCGATTCTCTTAAAAAATGTTTAGTAACAAAAGCTATTATAGCCAAATCTTAAAACCTTGATTCATAGTTTAGGTAATATTTAAAGTCTTTTCTCATTCAGTATCAATTAAGGTTTTTAAGATTACTTAATACTATTAAAGTTAATAATATAGAATGAATGGGAAGACACAAGAGTTTTAAGGACTGGTTTAATTGGAATCTTCAAAATACTCAAGTCCTTATTGTTTTTTAGAGATGAACAATTTTATAAAAAGAAATTATAGGAGGCTAATTCGGAGCAATTTAAATAAACAATCCAATCGATTAATTAACTCTTAAACTCGTTCTTTTAAGAAAACATGTAATTCTTTATTGAATAACTCATAAAAATTGCTGCCATTCCAACAGACCTTAGTGATGAGGAATTGATTGAATAAGAAGAAGACTTAACAATTGATGACGCCAAAAATGAAATGCAATGTCCAATTTTTACTATTTGTCTAATATGCTAAGATCAATTGATGCAAAGATTTCCAGAGCAATTCATTTAGAAAATCACAGAAATAATGCAACAGTTAATAAATAGCAATTTTAATGCAAGTTAATAAATTTTGGAGAGCTTCTTTGCAATATTGGGATCAACACCAAGATTAACTACAAAATTGAAAGTTTAACCAATATAAATTCAACCTGTTTTATAGTATTTAATAAAAACAAACACTATTTAATGCTAGAGAAGGTTTGCATTCTTATGTAGAAGCTATTGTAATTGTTTTAGCGATTCTGAATTACCTTAAATTTTAGAATATGCTAGATTATTATTAAGCAACTCATAAGATTAGATAGTTTAATATTAAACTTTGATGTGCATCAAGAGTATTATTTAATATTTAGGCCCAAATTTCGATTTTAGAAATGTAATATTTCTTGAATAAGTTGCTCCTGTAATTGTTAAACTATTGTGCAATTTATAGAAGTCAAATATTTTATGGCCATTATTATCGTTGTTAGAAATTTTAATTTAAAAATATTCAGAAACTAATGCAAATTCGATGTAAATTTTGATTAAAGTGATTGAAAACTCAGATATATTGATATTAATGAAAACTAAATCATAATTACTAATAGGAGCCTTGTGTGATATGTTTTTAGCTTTATTTGTGTCCTTTCCTTTAGGAACCAACTTGAGTCATCTATATAAGTTAGCCATAATTCTGATTGATAATAATTTAGACTCAAAAGAAAACAACATTTTTGAATTACTGTAGTTTTTATTACAAGAATATGATCCCATTTCAGACAACAATTAAACAGGCATCCTATTTAGCAATTTGTACTTAGCACATGAGAAGGAGCTCTTGGAAGATACAGAATTTAATCATATGTCAACAATATTAAGAATAATTGAAGAATTGTTATTGTTAAATCTCATTCAATTGACACCAAATATCTTTAATCTTCTATAAGAACGATTATCAATTGCTTAATAAATTGATTGCTATGATATTGCTATGATTTTAAAGAAGAGTTGCATAAGTTTATTGGAAACCATAATATTGAAACAGTTCGATAGCATTACAGTTCAACAAAACTAATAGATCATAGTATTTTTAATCTAAGAATTGATTAAGTTAAACGGAGGTGATTAAATCGATCAGATGTATTACACTATTTAATACAAGAATAATATTTTGGAAATCCTCAATAGATTTTTACTAAAGGATATTGTTAGTATGATTTAGGTATTAAATACTGTTTCAATATCAGCAGATTCATACTTTATTTTGTGGTAAGATACTGCTTAACATATTACAAACAGGGGCAACAGAAAAATAAATGTCATTTCTTAATTGCTCTTCCTAAAATATCTTTCAAAACCTACCTTTGAGAAAGTGTTTTAACATATGCTCTCAGAAGCATTCCCAGAAATCGATTACGATTTCGAACTAAGATCTAAGGAATTTAGAGATTTACAATAATAAAACAGAAAAAAATTAATCAATTCCAGATAAAGCAGACTGTCTAAATAGTTTAGAAATAACCATAGGAAAGAAGTTTTATAAGAACTTTGCTTATATGATGAAACATTTAATCTAAGGTAGTTCTTCTTTTCAACAATATAGGTAATTTTATTTATATTTAATTAGGAATGCATGAAACTCCATAATTACTCTGAATTAACTTAGATTATCAACATTCAGTCAGTAATAGACAAGCTGAATCAATTGATTAATGAAAAATGAGAGAGTGTGAATAATATAAATGTATTAGTTGTAATTTAATGTATGTTTATATATTGTACAGATGAGATCATTCTTTTTTTTCTTCTGCTCTTACTTTGCCTTTGCCATTAGTCAATCTAACATTGAGTTCAGCTGCTCTTCTTACAAGTGTAGCCCTTTTTCTGGCTGAGAGATTATGAGCCAATTCACCTGCAAAAGTTCTATTATTTGTAAGTAATAATTCAAGATCCTTTTCATTTGTGATTAATAATTTTCTGAAGCCACTCTAATCCAAATATCTAATTGGTTGTTATTTTATTATACCTTGTTTTTTTATCACCTCTATGACCAGCTTTTGGCATGGGTCTATTTCCTCTAAATCTTCTTCTGACTCTGTTATCAATACCTCTTGGTCTTCTCCAACTAGGTCTTAATTTGTGTGGGTAGTCTTCTGATTCAAATCTAACAAATCTCTTTGTTCTCTTGTGAACAATTCTTTTGTGTGCTAGTGCTTTGACAACCATTTTTAATTAAATAAAAGATTTTATTTCAAATATACATCTTCATTCTCAGTAATAATAAAAAATGACCAATATACCTCTACTCACAAAAGGTCATCTTAACTTGAGAAATTAAGACTATTGACAAGCATAACCCCATGATCAATATAAAAATTCATCTAATTATTTCTGGGTAATTATAAAAGAGAAGGATGGAAATAATATATCTAAATCTAGTATAATGTATATAATTAATCAAGCACAGAAATCAATAGTTATTTTTTGATTTAAGTTTTATCATCAGATTATATATATTGATTCCTCTTTCCTATGAGAATAATCTTAAAACTGATATATTTAGAAGACTCATTATAAAATCAATAAAACCTAAAGAAAAATTAGTAGAAAATAATTTAACTGTTCATATTTTCCTTTGTAAAATAATTGGGATGTAAAAGGTTTTTAAATCCAGATTTTTAATTGAAAATTATCTTAAACAATTTTTTTTATTTAAAATACTATAATGAATTTAAAATTAGATAGATGCTTTATAGAAAGTAAAATTTTATGATTTTTTGAAACTTTATGTTTATTTTATAATCAATTTGTAATAATCATAACATTTGTATATTTATACATTTTTTGTTAAGACTATTGAAATTACGGTTTTTGAAATTTTTCTTACTTTTAAATTTCCATTTTTGAATTCTTTTCCTTTTCAATTAAAAATTACTTTTTTCTTCATCACCAATTGCAGTTAACAAATTTACTTTAGTTTGAATTAAATTTAATATCTATTGATGATTAGAATGAGATACTTTGTTTGTTGTTTCATTTTAGACATTCTAATGATTATTATTAAATTATTAAATGGCCTTCAATAACTCGAATTTTGAGAATGACCAAAATTCTGAGTCTAATGTTACAAATAATATTAAATCGATATATTTTGTTTATTCCTCTTAGAGAAGATCACAGATAGTAGTGAGATTCATGTCAAAATGAATGAGATTCAAAATTTACAATTCCATTTCAAGAAAATCTTCTTTTGAGTAAGTACCATTTCCCAAGAGTATACAATCTTACAAATTAAACTGAAATAAGCTTTAGCATTCATTATACTACAATATTAATCTATAAAACCTTAACAGAAATGAAGAATGATGTAATGGCAATAAGCAAAATGTTATTTAAATTACAACTCTTTTATGTTAAGCATATTTAAATAATTTAGGCAGCTAGCTCGGTGGTCTTTAAACTTAAGTTATTGGATTCACATAACTAATTTTCAATATAATAATATCCTTTTACCCTATAAATCCATTGTGTTAAAGTTTCCACCTTTTCAATCAGTTAGTCTGGTCGAGTGTTTAACTCCAGTTCAAAATTTCTGTTCATAGAGAAATAATTGAGATTTTATTAGAATTGAAAAGTTGGGATTATTTATATCATCTTTTGAAATAATGCAAAATGCTTTATATAATTGAAAAATATCTTTATGTTAATAACAATATTATAAGGTAAACATCATAATATGTTAATAGTATCAATGTAAAAGATATCATAAAATATAACTTAATAAAACTAAATCAGAGATTATACAAATTGAGGTAAGTGGCTTATAAACCCCAAAAACCAATTGTTTCAATTTGGGTTGGTTTAGTATAATTTAGATTAATTATATTTATATAAAGCATTGCAAAATTGTTGCCTTCATGTGACAATTTATAATCTATCGAGATAATAATAAAATAATTAATTTGTTTTGGATTCCTGAAATAACAATTTAGTATTTGTTTATTTCAAAAATTGATATATTTGTTTAAATTTTTTTCTTAAAGAATATTAAATCATACTATTAATTGTCTAATTTATCAAGAGAAAAGAAACTAGGATAATGAGAAATTGTAAATTTCAAAGAGGTAATTAATATTTTTAATATTAAAAATACACCAACTTATTTGTAAACTAATAAAATATTGTATACAGATTAAAAGAATTTGTTAGAATTAATTCAAGATCTAAATATTCGTAACAGATTAATGCTTTAAATCAAATCAAAAGTGTCCTTTTTAAGTTAGTTGTAGCCAAAAGATTTCTATCATTATGTTTGAGAGATTAAAAAATCATTGAATTATAAGATGTTATTCTATTTCTTAGACTAATTGGCTTTACTATCTCACTCTTCCTTTAGAGATAATATTTTTAAATATAACATATAATAAGATAATAAAGCTTTGATAAAATTAATTGATTATAATTTAATATAAATTTCAAACTTCTAATTAGATGACTTCTGTTGAATGATGGGTGTCTCTCATATATAGTCCAATGAGATTTGTTGCTTTCTCAAACATGTTCGTCCTTAATGAAACAATGATGAATTGAGAATCTATTTTATCTAAAAATTCTGCTACAATTTTAACATTTTTAAAATCTAAGGCAGCATCAATTTCATCAAGTATGTATATTGGAGTTGGTCTATAAAAATGAATTGCCAACATTAAACTCAAAGAGGCTAATGTTTTTTCACCTCCTGATAATTTAGAAATCTACTTCCATGTTTTATTTGGAGGTTTGACCATGAATTGTAATCCTTCCTTAAAAATTTCTAATTCATCAATTACTTTTATTTCAGCTTCCCCTCCCATACTGAGATGCTTATAAATTTCTTATAATTTCAATTCAACATTTTTTAAAGTTTTGGCAAACTGAATTTTTCTTTCTTGAAATAGATCCTCATTGCGTGATTTTTCTTATTAAAAATTGATTTCATCATCCTTTGCCCTTTTTAACTTAATTTCATAATCTATTGATCTGTCCATAAAGATTTTCATTAAATTCTTGTCTTTATTTTTATTATCAGAGGTTCCTAATTCAGTATAGATATCAATTAAGTTTTATTATTTGGCAAATAATTTACTTGCATCTTTTATGAGTTAAATATCTTTAGGTATTTATTCTGGCAAGAACTCCTCAATTCCTGCTGGAATAAAGAATTCCCTAAATTTTTAATAATACTCATTTCTGACTTTTTAGATTTCTGTTAATAATTACTAACAAAAGATGTTATCTTGATGGGTTTAAAAAAATAAATTAGGATTTCCAGAGTCTGAATTAAAAGCTAAAAAGTACTCTTTATGTTCTTCTATCAATTCCTTTTGCTTGGTTCTATTTTTATCTTAATCTTATTTTTCTATGTTCTTTTTTAAGATAAATGCTTGTTTTTTATCTTCTGTTTCTTCAATTACTGTATTAATGGAAGTAATTGTTTTTACTAGATCATCAATTTATTTAGAGAATATTGCTTATTATGCTTTGACTACATTTAATGAGCTTTGTAATCTATGTAGTTATTGTTTATGTCCTTCTACAACATTACTGTCCTAATACTTTTTATCTTATATTCGTTTTAATTAATCCTTCAACCTTTCCAAATTTTCAGCTTCCAATTGAATATTTTAAGTATTTTAAACAATTTTTTTACCTGTAATAGTTTTTTAAGTAATAACCTTAAGGAGTTCTTACTAATAGGTTTCGAATGTTTGAGTGTAATTACTAAACATATCTTTAGCAGAATTGAGATCTTGGTTGGCAATCTCTTTTAATTTATCATCTATCGCTTGCAGATCTTATTAATCTAAACAAATTTTATTTTGTATTTTCTCTATTTCTCTTTACACAACTTCAATCTCTTTTTTAACTTCTTAATTTTTCTATTAATTATAATGGCATTCTTAATATTGAATCTAAAGGATTTCCATTTGCTTTTTATTATCATTAATTTATTCTTAGAGCATATTTTTATCAACTAATCTTTATTTGTGTTTAGAATTGACCATTTCCTCATCCGACAAGGTTTCTCTTAACTTTTTCTCAAGTGCTAAGATTTCAAATTTAGTTTGATCCAATCTCTCTTTAAGAAGGTTTCTTTCCCTGATTAATTATTCTCTTTAATCATTAGAAAGTTCCTCATAAAATTTACTAGACATTCCTCCTTTCCTCTGTTCTGGACCACCTGACATCACTCCACTTTACTCTACTAGTTTTCCATCTAAAGTTACCACTCTTTTTCTTTAGCCTATTCCAATATCTCTTGCAATCTCTATGTTATCCACCACTAAAGTATCTCTCAATAAATTATAGAAAACTCCTCTGTATTTAGTATCTTTAAAATTGATCAAATCAAATAATCTAAGAGTCTTATCAAGTGGTTTAAAAGGTCTTTCCATAAATTAAATAACATTATCAGGAACCTTGTTTATGGGTATGAATAAGGCTCTGCCAATTTAATTCTACTTTAAAAAGTTAATACAATCTACAGCATCTTAATCATTCTCCACTACTATACCATCCAAACCAGGACAAGCTGTTGTTATAGCACATTCGTATTTAGGATCAATTGTTCCTAAATCTCCCAATCTTCCGCAAATTTTTAATTGACCTGCTTAGGATGCTCTTATTAATGCCCTTAATACTGTGGAATATTAATTTTTCTCTTTTCTATCTTCATTGTTTTAATCCAACCTTTCTTACTTTTAAGCAATGTCATTAGTCAATCTTTTCTCTTCGGCCTTCCTCTCACTTAACTCTTTTAATGTCTTATCCTTTGAGTCTCTTATCAAACTTTACAAATCTAATTGTCTCTCTATGTAGCTATTGATTTGTTCTATTTAAATTTATAATTAAGCTGTTTTTTTATCAAACTAATCAAGTTGATTTAAAAATTCATCAGGACTCTTACTAGTTCTTTCTTTTTCTAATTATAATTTCTCTAGTTAAACTTATAAATCATGAATCTATTTATTGAATGGCTTAAGCTTCTACTCTAATTCCTCTTTCTATTTCATTAGAAATCTTGATTCAACTTTGAGATCTGTCTTCAATTTATTATAATGAGTTTCTGCAATATTTTTTTCCTTTTCTATTTTATCTACCTTATTTTATTTTTCTGGAATCATCTATTCAAATTTTCTTTAATCCTACTCCAAAAGCTCCTTTTCCTTTATTAAATCATCAATTTATTTCTATAATTTATTGATATTCAATTAACATTCTAACTCTTCATTCTAATCATACTTATTATTTATTGAATTTATTTCTAGATTAATAATCTTCTATTAATTTTCATTATCCTTTATTTCTTAATCAATCCTATCTTTTTCTCCCCTTAAAATTTTCAAATCATCCATTTATCTCTATCTGCATTCAGTTTGCAATAGAATTTCAGCATTTTCATTCATTATTTCATCCTCCAACTAACATAAAATCTACTCCTTTTTTAGGATTTCGATCTAACAAAGTTAAACCCTAAAAATTCTGCTGTAAACACTCTTAACAAATTCAGCCAAATCTACCATACCCTTTATTTCATTTAAAGTGTGCTAAGCAATATTTGCCTTTTCTTAGGATTCAAAATATCTGCTTTAAGATATCTACTTCTTTTTAAAAGATTCCTCCATCTGCTCCTTCTAATATTCTTCTTCAATATATTCCAATAAGCCTGGCTATTCGAAATTCCCAGACTTTGGTTTCATCATACTGATTGATTCCACCTCCCCTTGCAAAATTATGAATTTATTAGTGGCATCTATATTCTTAGATTTCAAATATTAATGTAACTTCGCTTGCTTAACTGGTTCATTATCTATGTAGACTTCAGTTGTATTTCCTCTTATTGTTCTTTTTAACACGAATCCCTCAAATACAACTTCGACTCTGCATTCTGACATTCCTGCTGAAATCAACTAAGAGACAGTTTTACACCTCATAGAAGTAGCTCTTTTTCCAAATACAAATTATATTGCATCTATAAAATTTGATTTGCCTGACCCATTAGGACCTATTATGGAGTTGAAATGTGATCCACAAATAATGCGATGTTCCCCATAATAAGATTTAAAATTCTCCAAAATAACTTCCTTAATCATATTTTCTATCATTTAATTTTCTACTCAAAATATATCTATATATGAAAAAATCATTAAAATATTTTTTAAAGTGAATTATAAAATTTGTATCAGATGTCTCAAATTATTTGTTTAATAAATAATATATAATTTATTTTTTATACAATTTATACTAAAGCACATATATATCATAATTCTGTTTTTCAATTATCCACATACATGCTACTATGAATATTATTTTGACTTGCCCCTTTTTTATTTGGGATGCAATATAAATGTTTTTTTTGTCGTTTTCTATTTATTTAGAACAACATTTTTTTCCTTTTAATTGTAAATAAATCTTTAATAATATTGCTCAAATTAAATTGCGCATCATAGAATTCAAACTCTTATTGAGAATCTATTGAATATTCATGCTTATCAAAAATCTCTCTTACTATATCTAATTCAATGAGTTTTATTTATGATGGCTCAAGCCTTATAAGTCGAGTAGAAGGCGGAGGTGTTTCTTGCACCTATTTGCTATTTTATCTGCTAATATTTAATTTGCTATCTTAATTGGTATCCTTTAAATCTTCGAATTCATTAACGATTTTCTAACTGGAGACATTAATGGTTTACTTCTTTGTCCCCCTTGTTACCTTGATTCGCATCTGAGATATGCCGGGCTCTTACTAAATTTTATTCACCACTTTTTAGACTGAGTGTTTCATATTATTCCCCTTTTGAGATTGAGATGACAACTAATGCTTTAATTAAGTTCCAGAATTATCAGGAGAATTTATTGATTCTTGATCGTCTGATACGGATTGACCATCTCCGGCAAAATTCATTTCATCAACCCTATTAACTGTGAAAAATTCACTATCAGGAAGTAAGTCAGAATATAAGTAGTTCTAATTACCATACTCTAGGATGTTCCGCTAAAGATATCTTAAATTTAACAATGCTTTGTTTGCTTATAGTTTTTGTGCATTCTGCCGCTACAGAAAGAGTCTCTTCTAAACATCATTGTTTGCCTTCTTTTTAAAGAGTGTTATGCTATTTGGAGTGTAGAATACAAAAGGGCATTTGGTAAAACTATGATTTTGAAAGCAAAGTTCACATCCACTAAATTTGATTCTTCCACCAAACTAGATTTAGTGTTTAATTCTATAATATTTTTCTAAATCTTCTTTGTTTTACTTCAATAAACTTAGAACATCATCAAAAGTAACGTAAGCCAATTTAGAGAATTTCACAGCTCTTGATGTAAATTAAGCACAATTTTACGAGATAAACCCCTTCTCATCTATGGCTTACTTCCTTTTATATATCTTGATTAATTTATTATTCCTTAAATAGGCTTCCACCTCGCCTTTTAATATAAAATATATTTTATCTACTTGTTGTCCTTCCTAAAATATCACTTCCTCTGGTACAAAACTCTGCTCTTTAACTAACAAACATAGGTTTGCAATAAAATCTCCTGAGAAATTTTGTCTAAACAATTTCGATTAATCAAAGAGAGTTTTATAGAAATCTATTTTCACTTCCCTGATTAAAGTGCCTGATAAATGTTCCATCAACTTTTCACATTCAGAATCTGTATTCTTTTAAGTTTTTAGATAATATTCAAAAAATTTCTTAACTTTAACTTAGAGATCTTTATTGAGTCCTCTTCTTTTAATAAAAGAATCAATCATAGTCATTTTGTCTCTTAAATAGTTTTTGTTTTCTGACATTTAAGCAAATATTCCTCCAATGCTCGATATTGTATAACCAAAGATGATTGAACTTAAAAGAGTTACAAAGATAACGAACAACTTTTCAATTTGTGTAACCTACTAATATAACATTACATTACCGGGGTAATATCGCCATAACCAATAGTAAGTGTTGTAATACATGCCCAATAAAAAGACGTTATATATCTACTGATCCAATCGGTTTCTAATTCAGCTTTATCAACCCAAGTAAAAATGGAATCCGAAAATAAATGTTCCTGAACAGCTATAAAATGCCAAACGCATGCAATTAAGTGAGATGCAAAGAGAAATGTGGCTAACAAAGAGACTAGATCTATCACAGCTGCGAAATTTACTCTCAGATTCAAGGTTTCCACTAGATTTTCAAAGATGAACATAATCTATTTATTTTAATTGATTTACTCTTGAAATTCTGAATAATAATACGAATTCAATATAAGGAACGTTTGATCTTCCAATCATAAAAGGAATGAGAACTATGAAATCAGTAATAAATTTCCCTCTCAAATAGTGTTTCACTATTTAAACTTAATTTAACACTAAGACTCCACGACTATAATATGCAACATTAAAATTCAATAAAATTTCGCATATAAATACATATTAAGGCAAGGTTTCCAAGAAAAAGTCGATTCCACTGTTAGATCCTTATATTTCAAATGATATTTTTAATGGAATATAAATAATATTGATGATTAGGATGGTAAAAACAAAAAGATCCCAAAGCAATTTTAATGTATGATCTGGTGTAATAGGCGATACTCTTATACCAAGTCTTCTCAAAAGGTTTATAATCTTCTTCGTAAACATCTTGAGGTGAAACTCATAATTACTTAGCCATATTTACGCAAAATTGCTTCTTTGTTTTGGCTCGAATTAATCGCTTGTTCAAATAATAATTATAGTCTGCTGCTTGATCGCCAATAACTTTGAATTATCTTAATTCCAAATATCTCAATTTAAATTTGTCTGAGTTTGTCAATAAATATGTAACAAATCTCGCTACTAACACTATAACATTCAAAGCTCTTTCTTTCCAAACTTTATTTTTGAATCCTTGAGTAAACTTTATTGGAATTTCGTCTGATTCATTCGATTGAACACTATCACTAGGTTCATTTGAAATCTAAATTTTATCTAATTTAGTGAAAAGAATAGAAGGTTTTCTGCCAGCTTCATCTAATAACTATTCATCTAATAATAAAATAATTGATTACTAGGTTAACTATTACGACTAGATAGAATTCTTGGCGTGACAGATAATAAATCTGTTTTTGGTTAATTCATTAATATTATATTTGCTCTTTAAATCTATAGAATATATATAAAAACTTCTATTTAATATTTATATTTTAAGATTATCATGTATTCTTTTTAATGAAATCTGCTTATTAAGAACTCTTTATTTTAAATAAATATGCCTATTAGAAATACATAATTTTATGTTATAATCTAATTCATGTTAATACCTGATATTATACTTAATTCTATTAAATTTATTTTAGAGTATATAAAAGCTTTCCATAGATAAAAACTATAATAATTAAAATATCAATTGAAATATTCAATGATACCTAACAATAATTCTCAATAATGTAATCATTAAAATTAATTTCTTTAGCTTACCAATTCTATTAACCAAATCAAAGTCAACAAGGTAAAACTAGGAAATAATCTTTTTTTAGGTGAAGGATAGACCTAATAGAATTAGAATATTCCAGTTAGTACTCAGCCCCCTCTTGGTTCATCCACAAGTTATACTATGCCATAATGGAATTCTAGTATATTTAAAATAAATTATAGCCTATGGTGGCTCGGTGCCTACTCCTAATATATATAATGCTTAAACACCAAACAATGTAATGCCACCAAACAATGTAATGCCACCAAACACCTCCTTTCCATTCCCTATTACAAACATGCCAAACATGCCAAACGTGCCAAACATGCCAAATATGCCAAATATGCCAAATATGCCTCCCATCCCATCTATATCAAATTTCTCAATCCCAAAACCTATACCACCCAATAAAGAAAAATAACATCAATAAAAAATTAATGAATTAGAATAAAAAATACTAGAAATAGAAGAAGAATATACCACTAAAATGGCAAAAGAAAAAAGATCAATGCTATCATAGATTGATAATTTAAAAAGAAGAATTAAAGATTTAGAAGATGAATAATATGATTCTAATCAAACAGTCTCATCACAAAAAAACGATATTAATCAAAAATAGACATATATTGATAAAATTACAAAAGATAAAGCTAGTCTTGAATAACAATTTCGTGATTTGTAAGATGAATATGAAAATCTCAAACTTTAATACTAGTCGCTATTACGAAGGACATAAACTAATATTGGTGGGTCTACTTAAACATTTGATTAAACACTGACTTAATAATTAGAGAATCAAATGAGGAGGTTAAGGGATGACTTTAAAAGATAAAAAGATGATCTAATGAATTAAAAAAATGCTTTAGAAGATGAATTAAGGAATGCTAAATCTGAACTAGATAAATCAGTCAAGCAAGTTGAGAAGGAGCATCAATATTTTATGGAATCAAGAGATGAGATCGCTAAATTATAAAAAATAATCAAATAAAAGGATGACAAACTTAGATAGATAGAAATCGAAAAGGAAAATTCTTTTGATTTGCTAAAATAAGTTAATGTTGAAAAACAGCGATTGCAGGATAATCTAAAGGAAAAAGAATTTGAGATATCTTCAATAAATCAAGAAATTTCACTAATAAAAAAAGAATTAGATTTTCTAAAGAATTTAATTAAAGAATCCTCAAACGGAAAAGCAATTAAACTAGATTAAAATATGGAATTTTTGTAATTTGAATAAGAAAAATAATGGCTTCAATAAAAAAAGCATTAGGATCAAGAAAAATTGAAATCTGAAAACGAATAAAAAGAATTCTAAAGAAAAGAAAAATTAGAGAAAGAGAAAAAGAGAAAACAAGAAGCACTAGAATAATTGGAGATAAAAAAAGGAAATTTAATTTAAAAGGGAGCTGAAAATATGTAATAAGCTAAAAGAGTGTATGGTTAGTTAGATGTCTGCTTTATAGTCGATGTTACAGGGTATTAATGTTATTTTAGCTTAGGTCTATGGACTCATATAAGGACTAAACCAAAAGGTCGGTCTAAGGATCTTTAAAAATCATAAAACAAGCCACAAATAGAGAAACTAATTGGGCATCAGTTTGTTATTAAGATAAGGATGAATAAAGATAATTAGGGGGAAAATATCATGAATTTCCATTTTCAAAGGATTAGTAAGCGCTTGAAAAATGGTTTGATGGTATCAAGTGTTCTGGAGGTGGCGATGCAGCTGAAGATATAAGAGGAGCAATTAAATAAGTTTGCAAATTATAGTGGCCAAGCAAATTTAAAATTGCCATTATAATATGTGATGCTCCATGTCATGGAAAGAAATATAATGGAGGTTGTGGAGATAATCATCCTAATGAAGATATTTAGGATGCTATAGAAGAATTGATATAGAACGGCATCGTTTTAATAGCCCTTAATTTTACAAAATTTACTACAGTTATGTATGAAGAAATAAAGAAAATATATGAATCTAAGAAGAGATTAGATTTGTTTCTTTACTAAGATTTATAAAAGATGGATCAAAATTAAATGGCAGCCACTATGACCAAATATATAGGCGAGGCATCATAAAATGCAACCCAAACAAATAAAAACTAAACAAAATCTAAATAACCACAAATTTAATAAGAAATTCCAAGAGAAAAAGAAGGAGCTATGGAAGCTCTATGTAAATAGGGCAACTTTTATAACTTTGAAACATAGGAGAATGTGAAAATTGTTAATACTAAATTCTAAGTTTGGAGAGTAGAGTTGAAGGAAGAGGAATTCAACAAAAATATTGAAAGCATAGACAAAATTTAGTGCCCATAGGACTTTTTAAAGACGAATGAAGGAAGTTGGAATTGTATAAGAACTGAAAAACCATTTGCCTTTGGTATGATGAAGGATGTATTTTTAATGAAAAAAACAAATGTGTAATCAGATGAGTTATATGTCATAAAAACACCTATTGGTAGCTTACCCTACAAATCTATGGATGATGCATTAAAGGAATGCAAATCACATTTGATCTGTTAGAAACTAATGAAACTATTTGTTAATGAATTATAAGAAAAGGCAAGTGAAAAGTAAATCAATATCAAAATACCATCTGTTATTTATAGTGATTTCTTAATTCTTGAAGAATCAAAAAGTAATTTTATAAGATATATTTAGATTCATTTTGGATAGCAGAAAGATTTTTTAAGGGAGAATTTGTTAAATATAATAATAATTATGGATTCATAAATGAAGATCATACTTCAGAATTAAATAAGTTTGCATAATCATTTACTTATTATACATATTTTATCAGCACATTTAATTATATGGTTAGCGATGTGCAAGGAGTTGGTAATTATTTCACTGATCCAGCCATCAATACAATCAAAGGTAATATCTTTAATTTAACAATCATTAGGTAATTTTGATGAAACTGACATGGGAGAGGAGGGCCAAGGGATGTATTTGGTTAACTATGAAAATAAAAAGGTACTATTAACTTCTGAATATCTGGGTTTATTGAATATATATGAATGATATTTATTATAGATATGTGTGGGATAATTAATATTAAAATATAATTTATTTGAAATAAAATATGAAAACCACAACAGTAGTAGAATCATAGGTAATTAAGACCAATGTGGAAGTTGAATAAGCTCCAATTAGATATAATAGGAAAAGAAATTATATGTCCACTTCATTTGTCTCTGCTTAATTTCCAAATAATTAATATGGGTGCTATTAAATTATGATTGACAATCATGAATGCAGACCAAAATGTCAACCACCTCCTTAATAACCTTATATGATGCCTATGTATGTTCCTGTTCCTTATCCTTAATAATAAGAGAAAGAATGTGAATGCGAAGATGGCGAATCATACAAGGAAGAATTATTGTTTTTAAGATAGAGAGTAGCAGAATTATTGGCAAGAGAGCCTGAAGTCAAGACAGTCAAAGAAAGAGTAGAAGTCATAGATAACACAAGGGTACTTATAAATTGAATATAAAATATAGGTTGAATAACTTGAGCTTGAGGCTTAAAAACTAAGATTATAATTATAATAGGCATAAAATTAATTACGACAAAAAGAGCAGGAGTTTATTGAATTAAGAAGTGGAAATGATCAATCTTAATAAGGATTGCAGTATAGGATAAAAATAATTGAAGTAAGAAATAAGTAATAAATCAGGAATAATTGTATAATGTAAGACTGGAAATCGAAAGAATCACAGGATTATTAAATTAAAAAGAATAAGAAATTATAGATTGGGAAAAAAGATGTCATGAAATAGAAAGCTCTGTTACTTATGAGATTGAAGAAAAAACAACTAAACTAAGATCTGTATTATTAAATATAATATTCAAAGGAAGTAGAAGTTTGGAGAAGTAGATTTAAGAAATTAAACACAGATTATTTCAATTGTTAAGAATAATTAATTATGGTGTAAGCTGAGATTGATTCAATTAAAAATGGAGGAGTAAAAGAAGTTAAGGAAGTAAAAGTTGAAAAGAAAGTTGTAGGACCAACAATCACAACTGTTTCATCAAATCAATCAAGAACTAGAGGATCAAGATTAATTGAAAGTTCTGAAGTCATAAAAGAGGGAACACCAGCTAGGTTATACCCATGAGAAAATAAATATATAAATATTTTAAACATAAAAATGTTTTCATCTTAATTTACTTGGACTATTCTGTAAATTATTATTATTAGCACACTCTATTTTGTAAACTTTTAAGCTATTGCTGTTGAGGAATAATAGAAGGAAATATCATTTATAAGACATGGTGCAAGATCTCCTAATAAGTATAATCCTTTAGACTAAATTTTATGGAAAAATTATAAACCTGGATATCTAACTGAAAAAGGATTTCAATAACTTTAGAATTTAGGGTAATCATCACAGACAAATTATTTTTATGATGCTGAGGGAAATTGCATATATTAAAAACTAAATTTCGTTTCATCTGTTGTACCAAGAGTTATGCATTCATTCATTGGTTTTGTTATGGGACTATGTCCTAATAATTTCTAAGGAATTTTAAGAAATTACTTTTAAGATTATTATTCATAGTATTCTAAAAATGACAAAATTTTAAATGAAATTATGTAATCAGATTTTACAAATCCATTAATCTTTGATTTCTAAACATTTAAAATGGAACGTGACTTTTTGTTTCATGGTCATAGTTCATCATAATGTCCTAAACTAGATGATATTAAAGAAGAAATTATGAGTAAACAAGAATATTTGAATAAGAACGAAGAATTTAAACAAAGACCAGAATTTTAAGAAGTATTCCAACAAATGAAACTGTCTAATTCTTCTTTAGATGAAGAAAGTATTACCATAAATAAAATGAAAACATTTTATGGTGGTTTCAAATGTAATAGATATCAAGGATTTGACAAACCTGTTCTTTCATTGAATGCTTAAAAATATTTAGATGAAGTAATTCGATTTAGTATTTTAGATTTTTATCTATAAATTTTATAAAATGGATAATTCAAGATCTATTCAACATTTTTCTGCATTAACAGAAATATTCCAATGGATAATTAAATAAATTAAAGGAGATCAAACTATTAGTTTATATTTTGGACATGATTCCAATTAGGTTGCAATGCTATCTGTTTTAGTTGAAGAACCACTTATTCCTCCTTTTGCATCTAAATTAAGCTTCATAATTTAAGGAGAGTATGTGAATTTATATTTTTAAAATGAACTTTTAGAAACTAGAATGTGTAGATCTAAGATTAATTGTACTCGAGGATAAGTAATCAAATATTTAGAATAATATATTTCTAACAATTTGAATGAACTTTGTCAGATTTGATTTTATTATTTATTAATAATTCGATATAGAATTAGAGAATTATTTTAAATCGCTAAAATTACTTAGCTGTTTATAATTTTATATATTATTTTTTCAAAGTGATATTATAGTTTATGAGTAAAGACAATTTAAAATAAAAAGTAAAATAACTACATAAGGAGAAGAATAATTTATGAAATAGATTTAGATAAAAACTCAGTTTAAAATCCTACACTATAATTGATATAGTTTTTCACGAATATCTTTCAATTAACTTTTTAATTCAATTTATCTATTTTTATTTTATTTAGGGGTTGCACACAACTCTCTTTCTAAACGCAATACATCTGCGAATAAATACTAATATTGAAGTTTTAAATCTAAGATGATAATTTTATTATACCATCTTGTCTGCCTACACTTCTACTTCTATGATCTGATCGAAATTATGGTATTTTTTTAGGAATTTAAAAAATTTTACTTTCGTTTTAGATTTGTTATGGTTCTGATGATAATTAAGATTATTTGAAATTGTAAAGGCAAGCCTTATTATTGCAACACTTTACATCAAATATTTAGGCCTCTATCATTTTAAAAAATTGCGGATTTAAGAAAAATCTATTATCATTGTGTTTGTATTTTAATACTTTTCTGTCAGGGTTTTGATATCAAGTTTTGAAAAAATATCATCTTTCTAATCTTCACTGATATTAAATTGTCCTGAATGATCTCTACTGCACATTTGTTTATTTTTCTTAATATGATTTCCTCTCATCTGATTTTCCCTAGAAATCTGTTATACGCACTATTGGAATAATTCTTTGAGATTTTTTGGGTCTTAATGTTCCAACAATGGAGTTTTTATATTTTTAATCTCTATGGTAAGATGAGGAGCTAGTTACATCTGTTTAGTTGTTTATGGCTATAAGGCTTATCTCTAAGTAATATTTAATTCTAAATAAAAATCAATTAAAAGTAGTTAATTACAGTTTTTATGCTATCGAGCACTTACGTTTTAGGATTCATTTTTTAATGCTATATTATTTAACTCTTCTGTTTTTGTCTTATTCAATAACTATTCTTGTTTTTGCGTTTTTAGAAAATTTGCTAATTCCATATTGGTTTCTTTTTCCTCTTATAATTATCTTTGCAATAGCTATTTATTTATTCTAATTACCTTCACTTAATTTTAGAGTGAGAGTCTTAGCTTATTGAGATATTAACATTCAGTTCTGTAAAACAATAATTCCTTGGCAATTACTTCTTCCTTTTATAAAAAAATTAAGTACATATGTGTCAACTGGAGGCTACTATCTGTCTAATAAGTCGATTGTTTCATCTACTAGAGTTTTCAAAGTTAGTGATTCAATTTACTCTTCTTTAATTATTTTAGCTAGTTTAAGACAAAAATCTGTATAAGTTAGCATAGAATATTAATTTAATATAATTAAATGGGTTCCAACAACTAAAAATAAAACCAACTTCTCAATAACTACAAGTTTATCGTAAATAAAACTGATCCTGCCTATGGAGATATTGTTGTCTACTAGTCTAATAGGGATCCCTCTGAACTTATGGCAGTTATTAAATTGCAATCTAATAAACCCGAACTATTATGCTAATAAATAAAGTAATCTTGAAAATTAAATTCGTAGTCAAAGACTTAAGCACCCCAATATAATATAAATTTATGATTGCTCCTAATCAAGTGTAAAAGATTTTTGTGGAACTCTAAATATTGTTCATATCGGTATTCAATACATACAAAAAAACCTATTAAAGGATATGGAGATTAGAAGGAAATTAAGGACAACGTAATATAAATGCATAAATTTAGATATTTTGAAGGAGAATTATGGTATCTAATCAAAACTGTCTGTGAAACATTGATTGATTTATAAAATAATAAATAGAAGTATATGGATTTACACCCTTAAAATATACGCATAACAGATGGTGGAGATATAAAATTATTAGAATTGAGTTGTACTCCATAAAATATATCATCATTTAGAAAAGTGAAATTAGGATTGAGGGAATTGGAATATTTATCATCAGAAGAATTACAAGAATTGAAAGATTCTCAAAACAAAGTAAATTATTGAATAAGATCTAGTATAATTTTGATTTAGAGAAGATAAATATTTTTGTATTAGGAATTATTTGTGTGGTCTGCATATCTGGTTTAGAAGTTAAATAATTTTATGATGTTGAGAAATGTATTTTCTAATATGGATTAGCTATAACTAAATTAAGATAATATATTTAAAAGTAATTCATACAAGATATATCTAGATATAACTATTCTTAGGCTTTTGAATAGATTGTCATTTAATTCCTTTCATATAGTCCTTTTTAGAGACCCACTTATGCTTAGGTGTTAAACATGATAAACACTTTTGAAAGTACTACTATTGCTGATCACTTTTATGTTAAGTGTTCACAATAACCAGTGTTATTGGATACTATAAATACAATCTCAAAATCTGATTAAAAGACCGAAAGGAGTCCAGATTTAAATAGTCACAAAGCAAAAGCTTTTAATTCCAATTCCAACTCCACTCCTTAAACAATAAAAGTAGCTAGTCTTGTAAGAACCAAACCCATTGTTTAATAATTCTCTCTCACTCCTGAACCAAGACCTCATATTAATAGACCTTAGTCATCTTCACGTTAGAATTCTTAAAGAGCCTAATCAAGTTAAAGACCTGAACCAACACAAAAACCATAATTGCCTAATTACAGTTATTATGATCCTTACATAGATTCTGCTCTAAAAAAGAGCAAGGATTTATTAGTTTATCATAACCAGAATTCTAATTATATTCGATAATCAAGAACTAATTCTGTTTCTGTAAACAAATACACACCAATAATGGCAAGCTTGAATATTCAAAATGACGATTATACATAGAACTATCATAATGTATAACTACTAATCAAATAAGTTAATATTGAAGAAGGTAAGCAGAAATAATTTTCAAAAAGTTTTACTAAATAATGAATTTGAAAAGAATATTTATAATCAAAAATTTTAATCCAATTATTTCATATCTATCTTAATGTCTGTAGGTTTATCCTCCCCATTATTATTAATTGACCCTCTATAATTATTTTAAATCAAATTTCCTCTGATTAATTATAATCTTTATTGAGTGTAATTAAATCTGGTGTAAGTGTTTCTTTAAGAAACTTCATACTTTTGATCAACTTTAACTTCTTCATTTATTGACTATTCTCGAGAATGGTTTTAAGATTAAGTAGATTCAATAGTGAACTTAGTGTTGGTCAGCATGGGTGAAACTGGTAGAGATTTTATTTGAGTATCTATTGAACCTGTGTCATAATCAGATTTTTAGTTGGATGACTATTTGGGAGATGGAAAAGTGCCTATTTGGATAATTTCTGAGGTTTAATTTTATGATTATTCTAATGAGAGTTGGACATCTTTGGGTTTGGTATCGTGTTATTAATTTTCTAATACATTATTTTATTAATTTGTATTGCTAGATTATTCGTTATTTGATTCTTATTGAGAAATATTTCTCTAATTTTAAGACCCTTGTTATTCAGCCCTTCGTTATTAAGCCCGATAGGAATATAGTGATGGTTTAGAAGGTAAATATGTGCGAGCAACCTATCCTGAATGAGATTCAATATTCGTAGAATCTTACTCTTTTTAATTAGAGGATCCATTAGGAATTGATGGTATTTATTATGAAGGTTATAATTATTGATTGTTTTAATTTTGAACACTTGATTCTGGGACTTTTTTTTGTTCAAATATGCTCATTTTTTTAAAAGATTTTTATCTTTCAACTTATTTAGAGTAACTTGTAAAATTGTAGTTTTGATGATGTAGCTTTTTATCAACTTCAGAGATTTCGCCACTATTGACCTCAAAGGTCCTTTGTTCTATGCATCCCATAATCTTAGTGTGTCTCGTGAATTCTTTCATTGATTGTTGTAAATTATCAATAATATATTCTTTGGAAACTATTGAAAACCCTTTGACTTATTGGAAGAACATATTAAAGGTCGAAGTCATTTTTGGCGTTTCTTAAGATAATGTTAGATGAATACTTTTCAATTTATCAATCCCAAATTTAAGAGGTGTCGAGCTGTCTTCTGCTTGTCTTTCATTTTGTTCAGCATTATTATTTTTTTCTCTTAATTCAATATTCTTGAGACTGGATTTCTTTATTATTAAATCCTTATTTGGAAGATCTAGTTTTTTATAGAAGAATTTCTTACTTAGCTTAAAATAGGATTCGGGTTAGAAAAGCTCATGATCGAGTTATTTAATTTTGGTTGGAGATTTCACTTTGTCCTCATCCTAAACATTCTGATTAGAAGGTTTCAAATGTACTATCTTGAGATTTTAAATATATAAACAAACATCCGAAATTGTCTTACCTTGATCTTTAAGAAGTTTAATGAGCAATTAGCATTTTTATTAAGTGATTGACATTGGATCTGAGATCGACGGCAGTAATTTTTCTATGAATTCAATAAAGGCTACTTTTAATGACTAAATATCACCCATTTTAATTAATTATAATGAACAACTTCGAATAAGACTTCTATTAATTTGTTAAACATTAATTAGCCAAAAAAAGAAGGTAAAAAGACTCTTCTCCAAATACTCCACTTGGTGAAACTGATGAGATGGAAAGTAAATAAAATGATTTTATACAGAAAACAGATTGGTCAATTAAAATGTGACTAAAGTTTTACAATAAGAGAGAAAGAAAATGAGGATCCAAAAAGTTTCAAAGGAGTAGTAGTTCGATAAGAGATTTAAGGATTTTAGTAATATGGACACCTTCCTTGATATTAAATAGTTTCTGAGGCATTTGAGCAATTAGAAGTTAGCGAGTGTTGAAATAAAAAAGAAATTAAAAACATTAAAGAAAATTGATTCTGATAGCGATAATGATGATTTATTTGATTACGCTGACATCATATAAAGGAGCAAGAATATTGTTGAAAATAGTACCGTTATAAGACATTATCCTGACATTAAAGGATATTTGATCTAGGAAGAATAGCCAAATTTAACAAAATAAGATGTTGAAGAGCTTAAAACCGAGGATGACAAATTTTATAATGCAATAGATAAGTTATTTATTGATATCAGGACTAAATCAGAATAGATAGCATTACAACAAAAATATGAGCAAGAACGAAATAATTGTAAAGGATCTATCTAAATGATTAAAATGCCTCAAAAATAATTAGAAGAAAACCTACAAGAAAAAGAAAGAATGGATGAATTAATTTCTAGATAAGCTAAATAATTTAAATAATAAACAGAAAAGGTTCTAACGCTTCTTGAAAAAACAACTAAGCAATTATTTAATAATAAATAAAAAAAAGGACTATCACGATTTATTAAAAAAAAGAAAAGGTTAACAGAACCCAATTAATAATTATCTGAAATTAGTGAAGAAAGAACTACTCTTCATCAATTTTATCCAGAAACCTCTAGAAGCACCATCAAACTTCCATACCTATCTCCAAATACATCCAAAATCTATTCTCACAGAACTTTTTTAAGTTAAGTTGTCATTCCAGTCTCTAGGAAAGATAGTCAAATCATAGAGAAAGTGGAACCTTAGGAGAAGATAAAAAACCAATTTAGACAATTCATATAAAAATTAGATAAAACAAAAGAAACTTTTGATAAATAGTATTAAACAGACAAAGAATTATTATCGATTTAATAAAGGATAATAAAAAATATGAATAAAATTGGGGAGATCCCATTAGAGAGTTTAAGGATACTAAATAAAAAAGAAGTTGAGGCAAATAATCTGAAATTGAGTAAATTCAAAAAACTCGGCCCTATTCAAATTTTATGATTTTTCAAAATAACATTATTTTATTATTTTATGAATTTCTTTTATAATTTTTGAAGGTTTGAATTAAATGTTATATTTTTATAAATCTGACATCCGAATGTGAATGAGTTGGTGACAAACTACTATCTGAAACTTCAACCCAATCATTATTTCTCATAGATAACACAATCCATCACTTCTTGATATATATTTTAGTGACTTGAGTGAAATTTATAGAATAGGTGAGATGCAATTAATTGTAAATGAATTATTTGTTAAACTAATATTTCATCCGAATTATATTTATGAACGACCTCCAGGTGGATTCTTAACTTTGACGGATGTATGGGTCCCTAAAAAAATATTCAAAAAATATGAAAAACCTTAATCCTATTATTATTATTGCTATGATTGCTATCCTTTTTGGGGAACAGGCTCTCCTCCTAGAGTAAATTGACTAGCATTTGGGTCTCTAACAACTCGTTTTTATTGAGGGGCAGGCTCATCGGATCCCTGAATATTAATTCAAAATTACAAATGAGATGGATGAGTTGCCACCTGGTGCTTATGTGGTTTTAGTTGATGGCTTTGAAAGTGAATACCCTTAGATATTGTTCATTATTTAAATAATTAATGATTATATATTCACTTCATATTAAATATATAAAGTCATCAAATATCTTAAAATGTATTGAGTTAATTCAAATAATCCCATCATCACTAACTTAAATTTTGTTAAGTAGTTATAAGTATTTAATAATTAATTATAAATAACAATTTTAATAGAAAATATTAAGAAATTAATACAACAATCCTAGATAACTCTCCATAATTTTTTTGAGATTAACATCTCCTTAGTTATTGAGATATGGAATTTTATATAATGCATTTTGACCACAAGATTTCAATAGGCACAGAATGAGTTGGATCATCTTTGGTCAAATTTTACAACTTTTTCCATTATTCGTTTTTTATCAGTTGACTATTCAGTTTAATAAAAATTGCTAGCATGGCTATTGATTTATAGTAAATTGTATTAAGTTACGATAATTATTAGATTTAATTAACAAATTATAATTGGTGTAGTTTTTTAATTTTTAATATAGACTAGCTTCCTTCCCCATAAATTATAATTCTAACAACAATAATCAAATATTTATATTCTTAAAGAGAATTTGAAAAAGTTAAGCATTGATTTAAAGTAATATAAATTAATGAGAAGATAAAGTATTAAGGACTTAAATATTAAATATTAAAAATATACAACAAATGAGAAAAGCTAACAAGGAGGAATATATCATAGAAATCGAAAGAAGAATAAAAACCAATAGAATGTCGATAGAAATTTGAAGACACAGCAAAAACAGAATCAATATAGTGACATTGTTTCAAACTCAGGTTGAATTAAGACTAGATTTTAATATAAAAATGTTTTTTATACTAAAAAACTATTTGTTAGGAGTCCATGATATTTTTGATAATCTAAAATGATCAATATAAATCATTTTTTCATAAATCCAAACAAGCTTTTCTTCTCTGCTTGTTATTGTTAAGCTTAGGGTTGAGGTTGTTATTGAGCCTAAAATATAAAACTAATAAATTACTGGAGGAGGAGCTGGTTATTAAGCAACTGGTTGAGCGGCTCCTGTTGGTCTATTATTATTTAATGGATAATTATTTTAAGGTTATTAAATTGGCTATGTAGGTTAGGTTGGAGGTTGAGCTTATCTTTATTATGGTTATGTTGGGGATGGTTGTTGTCTAGTTGAATCTGGTTATTAAGTTGTATTTCTATTTACGATAGGGTCATTAGGTTTTTAAGGTAGTTATTCTTGGTCTTTTGGCACATCTGTTCTTTAGGTAGCATTAGTTGTCAAAGGCTTATTATTTTAATTGGTGTTTGCAGAGACCTATTATGATTATTATTATTAAGGTTGTTATGGTTTTGGTTATTATTATTACTACTATGGTGTTTATTACTAATAATGTATTTAAGTATCATACTTATGGTTTATTCTATTGAGTAGGCGCAGAATTAGCTTATTTTTATTTTTAAATGTATTATTAATCTTCTTATTCTTCATTTGCTGATAATATATATTCTGATAGACTAATTTATAGATTTTGATATTTACTCAGGATCTCTTTTAATAATCTTTTATGCATTTTTGAATGTTTCTACTTCCCTATTTAGCTTCTTTCTCTCTTCAACTACATTTTAGTCTTCACTAATAACTGACAAAATGGTTTAGTTTTGCATTAAATTTTATTACAATTATCTCAACATTTGATTCTATAGTATAGAAATTATAGAAGTACTTAGCATCCTTTAACTAAAAAGTATCCTATCAGTTTTGGAACGTTGTCCCTAGCAGCCCTGACTACTAATTTGAAATAATGCTCTATTTTAGTTCTTAACTCTAAAACCATAGGATTTCCTTTTTATTGATCAGCTTTTGATTCCTTGCCAAATTTGATGAAAGGTTTGCCACTTAAATAGTTTAAATCATTTGTGAAAATGTAGTTTTATTCTGCATCAAGTACATCAGTAATAGAATCATGGGCATTCTTTTTACATTCATGAATCACTTCCATAATTTAATCTTATAACATTTTGTAAACAGAAGGCAATCTATTAAATATAAAGAGACTCATACTATTGTAATTGGCTTTCTAAAATAGTATTTGCATACTATTCTAGGATCTGAAATGCTTATTCAAGAGTGTCATAAGCGGGAGCATATAATTTCTTTAATTCTGGATTCAAAAGAGCATAAAATGCATCCACAGGCAAAAACCCAGGAATAGATTATGCTTAATATTTTTAAATGACTTATAGAATATCCTCTTCCTTAAATTTCTTTAAAGCACAATAATCTAATTGACTGTAATCGTCATATAAATCTTTGAACAGCAACTTAATTGATGACCCAGCTGGCACCTATAAACTCTTGATATTAGCCTTTTGTTTTTCATATTATCCTGATATAGAATTTCGAAAACGGACAGAAAATTCATGGATCAGTTACCAAATATAATGCAATTTATCCTAAATAATGTTATAGAATAGAATTACAGAATCTTCAATTGGCAATCCAGGTCCCAAAATGTCAAGTCTATTCTATACTTTAGAGATCCTCTGATTAATTTCTTACATTAAAGTAGGCAAGAAACTTCGGATTCTTCGATATAGAATTCTAGTTAATTTGCCAGTCAACACCTAAGTACCAAATATATCTCCAGGAATGGAAGAATAAACAGGATGATTGGCAAAGAAATTCTTTTCTCTTTGAACAGCTTACACAATGGGAACACTATCCTTAATTTCTTATTGGGATCTCAACTTCACTCCCACATAACCATATTTGAGTGGCACTTCTTCTCCTTTTAACATTTTAATTGCATTTGTTCCTTGATCCATAATATCTATTTTTGTTAAGACTCCTACAGTCCTGATGCCATCTGGATCCAATTTCTTAGCCAATAATAATGCATCTGATGTTGTCATGTCTGCGTTGGCTGCAACAACACACAAAATGATAGCTGATGGGTCTTCACAATATCTCTTAGCCATATTGGTTGTGATTTATTCAATATCTTTAGGTTAATCCATAATTGGTATTCTTGTAATTCCAGGTAAGTCTATATTACATAGAATCTTTTATCGTTACCAACAAGGGTTAGGTCTGGACAATTAGGTCCAGTCACTGCCAAAATGATTGGTTTGTCAATGATGTTTTTGCTTGATCCACACACCTTGTCAGTTAATTCTTCGATGCTTTTCCTGACTTCTTCAAAATTGGTATATTTCTTGCCTTTGATTTCTTCTACGAATTCAGCTGTTGGTTAGGCACACACACTTTAAGGTGAGTAAGACAGACGCAATTCCAATGGTCTTCTTGTGACAACGCCCTATTTTATCAAATCATAACATTACAGATCCTCTTGGTAAGAAATCAATTCCCACTATATGTTCCAACAGTGAAGACTTTCCTGCAGATTGGATACCTAGGACAACGATTCGAGGTAATTTTATGTAATCATTCAGTCCAATATCACGTAATTGATCTACCAAAGTAATTACTTTTCTTAAGTTTCCCAACAAACTTGTTTATGACTCTTATGACATAAATAATTAAAATATTTTTATATAAACTTGAAATTCCATATTCTCATTATAATTAAAATTCCTCTACTACTAATAATTCACACTTGTCATAAATAAATGCAAATTTATTTCTCTAACCTTTTAATTACTTATGTAAATTTTCCATATTTGTATTTATTAATATTGCCTATTTTTAACTATGATCCTTCTCTCAAAATATCCCTCCTATGATTTTAAATAACTAGCTATACGGCTAAGTTTTGATCTAATTCATATCCTAGTTATATGTATTATATATAGATATAATCTAAAGATTTATTATTAATTGGTTATTACAAATATAATCTTATCTTATAATCTAATACTAAATGAAGATGCAAATAAATACATAAACAACTATCTATTATATCAAATAAGTCTTTATTCTTTTTATTTATTAAAAAGATAATTTAATAAATGTTTTGGTCAAAAAATAATATAAGGATGTAATAAGATTATAAAATTTTGTTGGAAACATGTCAAAAAAGAATCAACTTGGATTCAAAATCAATTAGGTTCATTTTAGATAATTACATGAATAACTATTAATAGTATATAGAGATAATGCTCGCATTTATAATTGCTCTTTATACTTTAGAGTTAAACTTCTAATTATTTACATGAATTGAAAAAGTAAATATAGAAATCGTAAATGAACAAATGACTACTTAAATTATGATCACCCATGAATTTAAATGAATTGATTGAAATTTTTTGGAATTATCATTTAGAAAAATTTAATCAAAAACAATTTATAACAATAATGTATAAACACAAAAGAAATAATTTTTGTAACCTCTTAAATATTTTCTACAAATTTTATTCGTGAGAATAAAAAATATGATTTAAATTGAATTTAATTGATCAACTATGAGTATCTTTATTAATTAGAATATGGTTATATATACTAACTAGTTCCTTTGTTAATTTTAGAATGTGAATATATAAGTATTTTTATTTTAATATTAATTAAATTTGTAACCTACAAATATAAAATATAAATCCAATTCTTCTTTTGTTATTGTATTTTTAATGATCTCTTTTAACAAGCACTACATCAACCTAGCATAAAGCAACTTTGACATTTAATAAAAATATCTTCAAAATGTTCCAGACGATGAAGCACCATAATAATGCATATAATAGTATGATTTAAAGAACCCAGTTGATGTTAAGTATGGATACAAGGACAATTAGTCTCTGCTTTTTGAAATTCATAAAAATCTTCCTCACTAACCTGATTTTAAAATTGGTGTTGATTTAATATACTTAATTGACATTAATTAGACATTAAATGATGAAGCATTAGAAAAAATGAAATCGGCCTTGAAATGTTTAATTAATTATTTAACAGAACAGGATAGGTTGTGTATAATTATTTATAACAATAAAGCTGATAAGCTTTTCCCATTAATTCCACTCAATGAAAAAAACAGATAAATTATTCTTTAAAAGATAGACCAGATCACTCTGTAGAAAGGGAATTCAAATATTTTAAATGCCCTATTGGTTGCAAACTTGTGTTTGAAACTAAGATAATATAAAAACTAAATAACTTCTATTAATGTAATTAGTTAAGATGTTGAAATATAATAAAACAACCATGATTTTAAACAGATCTTTGAAAAAGAGTTAGTATTCAAATTGAAAACCTTTCTGTTGCTCTCTAATAAATAATAAGAATCCCCTAAGATTAAAAAAAAGCCTGGAAATACAAAAGATGGAAATTTATAAATTGTCAAAAGTGTAGATCAATTATCTTCATTGTTATGTTACTAAGCGACCAAGCTCTAATAGTCTGTTATAAAAAACTTATTAATAATAGTTAAAACACACAAGCAATGCCCTATTTAATTATCGGAATAGGAAGGAGGAAAATTTCAATACGTTAACCCATATGAAATTAGGATTTCTAAAAATTTGATTTCATTTGGGTACAATAAGGTTCATTTGATAAGTCTAAAAAACAGTCCAATAATTGAAGCTGATTAAATTTGTGAGATTGAAGTATCCTTCGAGTAGACAACTTCGAATCATCGACAGAAATACTTAATCCCAATTAATACATAGAAGTCTAATGGTATTATAGATAGATCTGTTATGGTTGACAAATATCGCTTGAAATCAAGAAGTTAGATGAATGAAGCAATAATATACTATGATCCACATCGAATTTAAGATAGTACTGAAATTCTTAAAAACTATTTGTCAGAACTAGCAAATTTGCCTGATGACATAAAATAATAATTAACTGTTGAAACGAAATAATTTGATGATGCGCTATAAAAGTACCTCTAAAATCCTTTTTAATAAATTTAGAATCCATTTATAGCAATTGATGATCTTAAAAAGTAGCAAAGATTGAAACCTTTTGATAATCATTGATTTATTCGTCTTTCTAATACAATATAAGTAAAGTCTTTTCATTATCTTTAATTAAATTTCTATATTATATTAATGAAATAATAATAGCTTACAATAGGGACTTAATTTTTATTGGTCAGATAAATATTTTCCATTATTTGAAAAATATAAATGAAATAATAGATATTAGATTAGTCTTTAAAACATAAATTTAATTTTGAATATATACAGAAATAAATTTATCATAAAATAATATCAAAAACTATGTCAGCTTCTAAATTGATGTACTCTTCTCCTCGACCTAAGAATTAATCCGCTGTTTCATATGGTGGTGATAGAGATAGGGCACTTTCTCCCAGCAGAGCGAAGATCTCATAATTAACTGAAAAGCTCTCTAACCTATAGCATTCTATTGATGAGGATTAAGCAGTATTTTCTTATATCAATCATTTTATTTTAGTTTAAGAAGGAAACATTTGAGTAGAAAGTCAAAATTTTAGAGGATAAAGTTATAAATAACAATAGAATGACGAATCAAAATTTAAGTTACTGAAGGAATAATTATCCAAAGTAGAGGAAGGAGCTTAAAATGAAAAAATAATTAGAGAAGTACATTTAATTCGTTTCTAAATAGAGTGACGATGAGAAATTGAGAACCAAAGATTTGAAAGGATTAGAGGCCTATTTAGGCAAGGAACTGCAAGGAGAGAAAGTGAATTGAAAAGATTTTGAATAAAAGATCATAAAAAAACTGACGATAGAGTTTATATTTAGACTGGATTAGGCTAGGTAAAAGAAATATAGAGAGGAAACAGAAGAAAAGTATGCTGAAGAAATCGGGGATCGAGTTTTATAATTATAAGAAGAAGTTGAGGAAGAGAGGGGATAGAGGTATTGAAGTAAATTTATTCAATCTAGAGAAGAATAGTATTAATAAACCATTAAGAGATTGGGCAATTCGATATTGAAATTATAAGAAATCTTGACAACTGAGAAAAAGTAGAGAGAGATTGCTTAGGCATAGATGTTTAGAATGCTCGATGAAATGAATGTATATTTGAATGGAGAATTAAATGCTGAAAAAATGAGAGAGAGGCTACTGAATAAACCATCATCAATCTAATTGACTAAACTTGTAATAGGGTGGAGAATTGATTAAGAAAATGAACTATATAATAAAGTTAAAGAAAACATTTATTTTTTAAATAAATATTAATAAGGGGTTGTTTAAATGGAAGAGGAAATCAACTTTAAGGATAGTCTTAATAATGAACTCACCAGTACTAGATCTCCGAAATCCAAAAAAATCAAAAAATGTGATTCTCTTTCACCTAAAAAAAATGTGGGACATTGGACCAAGGAGGAACACGAGAAATATCTTAAGTTCTTAGAAGATAACATTTAAATGAAAAAAAATAACAAAATCTTCAAGCCTATGTCTGAAATAATTGGAACTCGTTCCCCAAGTCAATGCAGGTATGTATTAATAAATTAATCAGATCTCATCATCAAAAATTCAACCCTTCATCCCCATTAGCTTAGAGAAAATCGTGTAAAATAATTAGTGCTTCTAATTAAGCTACCCCAGCAACAACATTATATGAAGAGACAAATGCAACCCAAGAGGATGAGATATAAAATAGCAATAGGATTAAACTCAGGTTTTTTGAGGAGGACGATATGGTTGAACAGAATTTTAATTTAGATGATTTATGATCATTTATAAATTAGAAGCTATTTTCAAATGAAAAATAGTGCATACTTATTTTCTTAATCCATTTTAACAATTTATTATATTACAAAATAATTATGACCTTTAAATGAATAGAGATGGATTTCTTCATTAAGACATTTGAAATAATAAAATATTTAATGATTGCTAGCTTATATAAGATCGTTGACACCCACTTAAAACATTCATCTGTAATAATTAAAAATTGTTAATAATAGAATCCTAATATAAAACTAAAACTGATAAATTATATTGTAAATAAGGAAATCCATAATAGTTTATTAAACATAGTTAGAGTTATTGGATTTCCTATTAAAATACTAAACATATTAGTTTAAATGCTTTCGAAATAGAGTAAGAGATTAGAGTTAATAAACATATATAGAAAATAAATTACTAAATTATAATTATCACTATTATCTAGAAAGCGATTTCACTTGTATTGCCTATATTAGATCAAGAGTGCCTTTGTATTACCTACTAGGAATATTATAAATAGTAGGTAATTGGGCACTTAATGGTTCATCAATGATTTGACTCTGAAAAGAATTCATTCGAGAACTAAGTTTGATTAACAATTTTACACTTTTCTTTTCATCTAATATGACGGGATCTTCTTGTAACTATAGGTCTATTCATTCTTAAAGAAAAGAGTAGGTTATTAGATGGGTGTTTCGGATTGTTATTTGGGTTTACTTTTGACCATTAAAGGAGTTGAATCTCTTCTGGATGTGACCTTTAATCTTGGATTTCTCACTACTATAATATCCTATTCAGCATCGGAATCAGACCCAGACTCTTTGTCTTCAATCCCCTCTTTTTTGATTAACTTAATGGCTTGATTGATTTCTTATGCGTCAAATAGACGAGGATCAGTTTGATATTCATCATATTGAAATAGAGCATTAAGGATATTTTAGGCTAATAGATGGAACTCTTCCTTTTCGAAAGGTCTTTTTGATGCTCCATACAAAGAAGTTTCAATGGTCATTGAATTAGCAATTGAAAACTTCTTCCACATGGCAACTCTAGCTGTACTCATTCTATCTGGTGTCACATTAAATGAGCAATTCTAAATATGGTTTACATCTCAATTACAAAATAATTGAAGAGATCAGATCCTTATTGTAATAGTCTGCTGAATTGTTTAACTCTCATATAATCTGAAATATGTTTAATTGGAGTGGAACAACCATATAGGAACTAGTTCAATTTCTTGGAATGTCCATGCAAATCAAGAAGAAAGGCTACTTTGTACTTTTTGATATGTTTAACTACATTGTAAATTTCTGGCTCAGTATTCTAATTAGGCATATCCCACTTTCTAAGAATAAATGTATAACTGTGTTTTACCTATTTAAATCTACCCCATTAAAATTGCACCTTGAGTTACCCAAAAATACACCATCTGGGTTAAGCATCGGAAATATTATGAATCTATACTTATTCTGGACTTAATGGCCAGAATCTAAGAATTTAATCATCTCTTCGCAGATGTGTGAACCTACTGACTCACTTGGGTGTTGACGTGCCAAAATGATCACAACTTCAGAAGCTAATTATTTCAATATAAAAGTATACTTTACTTTTATGTTTAGTTTTGAGTTTAAATATTGGCAATCCCAAAGTAGTGCTACATAACACCTTATGTTTCAAAGTCGAATTGTAAACTAAATGGTATAGGTTGCTGACTGTGTAAGGCAAGGTCAACGCAAAGTACACGATGCTTTTATTTTGAGTGAAATTATAATTAAATTGTAAGGTATGCAATGGAAAATTTTACTGCAGGTTTGCAATAGAAGAATCTTAAGAATGGTAGAAGGGATGATTGATGTTTGTTCGGTAATAAAATAACTCTTTAGTAGTTTCACTATTCCATTTATTATTATCATATACTCGAATGTGGTTGTACTCTTTTAATAGGGATTTACCTCTTCGGTTATTGAGAATACGAAAAGTCAATTGTTAAGGCTATTTGACCAAAATGCCAAAATAAAACCATTGTGTACATCCATTTGTATTAGTGTCTCCATTCAATAAAATATTCAATTCATTGCCTTCTTGTTGAACAGCCATGATGTTCGAATTCTCAAAGGATCCATAAACAATAATTTCCGATGATTCATAGAATGGTTAGGGTTCATGTTTGAAATTGCGCTGTCTATATTATTCAATTAACTCCTTTTTACTATCATTATTTATTGTTGGTTGTTTGAGTTTCTTTTCAAATAGTTAAGTAAAGTCTAAATATTGGTTGCCGAGATCTTTATTTGTCTTCAGCAATTTTTTCATTTATACATTCATTATAATATTTAATAAATACTTAATTATAGTATAAAGATACAAATGCATATAATGGATTCGATTTAATATTTCAAAACCCATAAGAAATAGTGGAATTCTGAGAATGAGTGAAAACAATAATTTGAATTTAAATAAAGAATTAGACTAGTATTTACCATTGAACCTTTCGATTCGATTTTAAATAATACCAAACTAAATAAATTGTATCTGTCTTATTCTCTAAATAAATTCATGCATTCTATTCAGGATTTATTAATTGCTTAGTCTCCTCTTTAGCTTCCTAAGCAAATTCTTCAGATTTCTTTGCAATGACCTCACCTTTTGACTTGATGTGAAATATAGCCAAAGGACAGAACCACAACAAATCTGCATCAATTTGAGCGGCTCCCAAAAATAATGCATTTTTCCCTTCTCTCAGATAGTCAAGACTTCCATCAAATCTCTAAACTTCAAGCAAGAGATAGAGGAAGTACAATACTCCTACAATTGGTTACCAAATCATTGGCCAAAAACCTGCTTATGTAAGTAATGCCTAATGATCATAAACGAAAGATTACCAAGAAGAAACCCAAAAATATTCCAAGACCGGCTAATTAGAAAAAGTTCCCTTTGATTGTAAAATCGACTCCATTCAAACCTGCATCTCTATTTCTCACCAATGCTAACACGTACAAATAACCAAACACACAAAGGAAATAAAACACTTCAAATTTATTTAATGGGTAATTTACTCCATAGAATACCATGAATGAAAACTTTCCAATGAAGTGAATACCAAAAAATAAGAAGTTCCAAGGTTTCTATATTTTGTTAATCGAATCTATGTACCTTTTTGAAAAATGGACTGCCGAACTATAAAAATGCCAAGAAAACTGCATATATTATGAAGTTTAGTAGGTTGAACACGGGTATTAGACTGATCAACCATTGAACTGGACCCAATGAATTCACAAGTGCTGTGCTTCCAGAAGCAAGAGCACAAATCAAGACTTAAACAATAATTGCATTGTTGATTGGAGAACCAGTTATTTTGTAGTATTTCTCGATTTCATTTATTCCCTTCTCTCCCACTTCTTATATTTCATTTAATTTGTCTTCCAATCTCACTTCTGCGACTGGATTTTCTGTTGCTGGAACATCTTATTCTCGGTTTTCCATTTTTTATTTAATTGAGTATAAAAACGAATACGGAATAGAATTAAGCAGGATTTAATTTGGAATAGTTGGGAAAGTGATTAAATGGAACAATATAATAATATAGTAAGGCAGATTCGTATGGCATCATATTATTGAGGTTTTTATTTAAATATTTTTAAAAAATACATATTTATGAAAGGAGCAAAACAATAGAAGAAATAGTCAATTTGGGATTAGGTTAAAAACGAAGAGAAGGATTTCTATTTTAACTACCTATCTAAGAAATCTAGAAATCTACAGAAGAAATTAAAGGACATAGCTGATTTGGAAGAATTATCAAAGACCAAAGAATTGAAGGCAGAACAAGTTCAAAAGATTCAAAGCAAAGAGGAAAACAATGAAAAATTAAAGGAATTAGAAGCCCAACTATCCAATTGGCTATAAGCAAAGAGGGAAGCAGAACAAAGTGGAACACTGCTTACTTAAGAAACATTCATTCTCATTTTAGAGCATTTATCTGAAAACCAAGACACACTTGCCCTTCTCTCTCAAGACCATAATTCACTTTATGAACTTGCTAAACTACTTTAAAATAAAGTGAATGGGTAATTGAGAAAGAAAGATCAACCATGGAAGGCTTTGAATGTAAATATATAAAATTTAAATTTAGTTGAAACATTAAGTGCAACCAGTCCCACAATCACAAGAAGTTCAAGAAGTCCAACAATTAAAATAAGAATCACCTCACTCCCAACCTATTGTTGAAACATAGAAGGAGTAGCCCTAATAGCATGAACAATATGTACTAATTAAATCTAGTCCAAAAAAATCATTCCAAGAAGAAACTAAACCTCAAGTACATCAACCATTAGATTAATAACATCATTAACATTCAGAAGAAAACTAATAGTAAGAAAATACTAACTTAGAATAAAATACCAATCAACCCTAGTAATAAACTTAAGAACCACCTTAGGTTGACAATCAAGAGAATTAAGAGAAGACTCATTAACAAAGAGATGGACATAGATAACATCATCAAAATGATAATCATAGAAAAGGTTATAAAAAGAATTACCATAATGATAACAATTATGAGAGAAAAAATAATGGAGATGATTATAAACAGAGACCCTACAGAGGAAATAGATAATATCATAATAGGGACAGATAATAAAAGGAAGAGTGGTAAGAAAAGAAGCAAGGCGCTGAATAATAATAGGATAACGACCATTAAAGCTAACATAGTTCAGACGAAGAATATATTACCATTGAAAAAAGGTGAATAATTTTTGTATGCTTTTAGATAAAAAAAGCCATAACAGAAATCTTAGAGAGGTGGAAATAGAAATAGATAATAAAGATAAGGAGACGCTCAATAGAATGTTAATGTCGAATGATGAGATTATATAATAATATATACAATAAAATAGAATCATAACTAAGACATCAATTCTTCTCTTTATTATTATATCTATTTTATCATTTTAGAGTATTCTATACAAATTGTATCAACCATTTTTGAAATCGTCTATTGATGGTAATTCAAATATTTCAATGGATCCTCATCCTATTACCAACTTTATTTGTTAATAATTTCATTAGCTTTACAACAATATGAGTTCAAATACTAAGTTTACTCGTTTAAAACTTCTTTTATTTATGACTTAAAGGCTGTAGATTACATCAGTTGCTAGAATATTATCTATGTAATTTAGACTAGTTTCTATTGTTACTTCATTTAGGTCGATTCAAATTAAAATAACTTAGAGTTTAGAAAGACGTAATCAATCTTCTATGTCAATTCTAGCTATTATTTTAGTTCCTATACTTCTTTCCTTGTTTAATCCAAAGCTTTTTGCTGAGATTCCTTTAGTTAATTTAACTAAATTAATTCATTCTCTAATTCATCTTTTTTGGTTTTTAATTTATGTATTTATTGATTTGCACTTAAGTTTTAGTTTGTCTGAATTATTTCTAATTAAAGTTTTTATTGCTCGATAAGTTCTTTCTGGTTTTTTACACATTCAACAATCTATGATTTAATTTAATCAACATCTCCTTAATTTATATTGAATTATTTCATTAAAGTTAAAATAAATGAATCTAAATTTTCATCCTCTTTTAATTAAGGAGATTCTTATTTTTAGTCATCCAATACCGAATTACTATTGTCCATAAATGAAATTTCCTCTATGAATTTATATCTTTAATTAAAAACCTTACAGAATTCTGAAATTTATTCTTCTTCTTCTAAGAAGAATGGGTTTTTAGAAAACATTTATTCAACTATGCTTTTCAAATCTTGAAGTTCTTTTCTTAATTGATTATATTTTTCACGATAGTTTTTCTTAAATTTTATAAGCTTGTTTTTCTTGATCTCTTAAAGTTATTAATATCTTTTAATTATATCAAAAGATTAATTTAATTATGAGTTTGTAGTTTGATCCAAATTCTTCTGATTCTTACAAGCATTGAATTCCTTTTCCAATTAGATATTTAATTATGAAAGTTCATCGTCTTTACCTTTTGTAAATATTTAAAATTAATACTTCGATAAACTTTTTCAATTTCAAATAACTATTGTTTAATTTCACTATATGTTTCATTGCATAAACTTAAATCAATTGTACACAATGATAACTGAGATTAATTTTGTAATCTCTCCTATGCTTGAATTATTAAATTATTCAATAAATGCATATTTATTTGAAATTCATCCTTCTTTTAGAATGTGCCATCTTCGTTTTCAGAATCTATCCATTTATTAAATTAATACTGTATTTTTCGTCTGTTGGCTATCTATTTTTTTTAAGCTAGCAGGTAAAATGAGGCGATTCTTAACAATTATTGATTTCATTTTCAAGTTAAGAATGATCTTACTTTGGAGGTGTTTGAAATTCATTGAATCTCTAATTTTCAGCTAATTCTTATGATTCAACTCTCTACTCTACTTAATTTTCAATTTCCATTTAAACATTCTCATCAAAAGAAGAATTTTATTACATTATTTATTTATTACTACTGGCAATGCAATATAAAAATAAATTCAAAAATAAAAAGTATATCATTACGCTTTAATTCTTCTCTCTTATATTTCCTTTAATAGCCTTTTGAATTGTTATAACGTCTCCTCATAAATATCCTTCAATTAATCATAATAATCTTTATAAAATCTTTCTATCTCTTTGGATTCCATTAATTTTTAATTTTCTTTTTTTTGGCATGTCAAATTAAACTAATTCAATTTCTCCATTGTTAAATCAATTTATGTTCTGTTAGAATTTTCAGAAATAATGTATTATCTAAATATTTTAAGTCCTAAGAAGTTAAAAAGAATAGATTATTATTATAAAGTGTAACACCCTTCCAATTACAATTTCATTATATTTTTATACTCCTCCATTAATTATTTTCTTATTTCATTTTATTTTCCTTAAACAAAATCGTTTAATGTTTGAATTTGTTCTTTCAAAAAAGTAATTTGATTTGCTTTTTTGCTGATTTCAATAGACAATTCATAATTTTTTTTTTCCTAATCTGATACTTTTTGTAATGTATCATTTAGAATACCCTAGAGATTATTTTATCTAATATTTTCTTCCAATTATTTTTTTTCCACTTATAAACTTTTAATTCTCATTTCATACTTTTTTATTTCTTAATCCTAATTTTCAATTTGAGTCTCATAATCTTTCATAACTGCTTTCTTAATTTGAGTCACTTATTAGTTTAGTTCTTCCATCATCTGCAATTTTTCAAATGCTTCATTGCCATTTTAACAAACCGCTCTTTAGTTTTATTCAAATTTCTTTAATAAAGAATAAACATTTGAATCATTAAACTATCCTAATTAAGCCTCATTGGCTTGTTCTTGAAATCTATTTTATAACTCTTAATTATTCTGTCTCTCCACATCCAATTCTTTTTTGATATTAATTAAAGATTTCTTCAAATCCTCATTCTCCTTATGTTTGATAGATAAATTATCAGACAAATCCTTTATTTTTGTTATATTCGATTAATTTTGCTTAAATATACTTTATAGTTTTTCTTTAAACTTTTCTAACTCTTTTTCCACTTCTAATCTTAATTTTTGATTCTCATTAATCAAACCCTATTTTAGACTTTCAAACTGAGTTCTTAATTGTAGTAAAGTTTCTTTGTAATTGGAAAACATCAAATAATAAATATTATGGTTAGCTTAAGATTCAATTTATCTATTTTAATGAATAGTTATTTCTTAACTTTATGGTTCGTAATTTTAAATTTAAGGCTAACTTCTAACTTGATTGGAGATTTAAATTTTGAATTGTTGCATTAACAACTTTACATCGTTTTGAATGAATTTCTATGATGCTTCCTTATAAATTATAAATTCCCTTTATAAATTTAAATATTCTTATGAGAGTTTAAGTTAATTCTATTTCAACCGCATAAATGATTCTTTCGCTCTTAATTCATATGAGGAATTAATAAAATGGCATGATGATCCAAATTCTTCATCTCCATTTTCTTAATTAAAATCTTCTTATTAGTTTGCCTTTGATTATTCAAGAGTTTCATTGTAAGCATTGGTATTTTAGTAGATTTTCTATTAATTATCTCTATGGCCAACTAAATAATCTAAATTATTACACTTAATTTCATGATTGTTCGTATTTGAAATTAATTTGGTATCGGAGGGATTATTGATGAATTTATTTTAGCTTTTGGTTTTAATATCTGAATCAATTATTTCCTTATCAGAAATATATTTTGGTGGTGAATCAAATGGGTTAACACTCGTTTCTTAAGAATACCCCTAATTTTTTGCTTTTTCTAATGACTCATCAAGAATGCGCTTTAATTCCTAAAAGTCCTAGATTTAATCCTTGTTCTAAAATTTTAAGTCAATTATTATACTTTGATTGTTACTATTTGAGTGCATAACCTTTAAGCAATTTATAATTAGTCAAGCAACCATTTGATCAAATCCTCTTTTTCCCTGTACAATTGGTTCAATTCAGGGAAATCCCTCTTTTACGTTGTGTCTTAGAAATCATTCTATTCAGAGATTGGCGAACATTCCGGTTTTTATGGCTTATCTAAAGCTCAATAATATTTAATACCTTTTTATTAATTCATAATTTAATTATTTTTTTTTTTAGGAGATTTAACCATTTTGAGTATGATATATAAGTAATATATAGATAGACTAACAGATACAATAATAAAATTTGCAAATAAATTTATTTATCTACTATTATTATAATTCATTTTAAACCAACCAAAAAAGTATAGCTTATTCCATTTATTGTAACTAACTTAGAAAGAATGGTCTAACAAGATATGGTAACTTTATGTCATTCAATAGAAATGAAATTGTTATTGACTTTATTTGATCTCATTAAATAATTGGTAAGCATAATAAATATTATTAGTAAATCTTAGTACATTATAAAATTAATTTTTGAATATCTATTATATTATAGTTTATATATTAACAGTTCATAATTATTTATAAATTTACTTTTTAAATACATGTAGTTTTCTTCTAGTAAGGAAAGTTAATATTTGCTAACCTTATATGAAATGTGCAGAAGAAATGTTATAAATTAATCATAAAAAGGGGAACTCAAAGGTAACTTTATCCTAGTGATTTAACAGATTTGCTAATTTAGGGTGACAGAAAAACTTAGGAAATTCTGCAGATTTATCAGAAAAATGAAAATAAATAAGAGTTAGAGAAAGGCATCCTTGATTTATTGGGTAAGCTCTCCAATGACATTATTTAGATCAATCTGATGAGTCTTATTCAGTTTACAGTATTCCTTCTTAATATAAATCTAGAAGACCAAAGCCAGTGTAAGTGAAATCGCTTGAGAAAAATTGGTAATAAATAAAAATAATGAAGGGCATGCAAATCTCAAGATTCTCTTAAATAAAAACCAATGATGTAGGAAGAATTGAATAAACTTAGTAAAGTTTTAAAAGAAAGATATTCTTTCAATCATCTCGAATTGCAATAATCAAAAAATTAAGGCAAAAGATTATCTGAAAATTTCTATATAGAATCAGTTAACACAGGATTTTGATTAATCATTAAAAATAATTGTTTTCTTATCCAAAGAGTCTAGAATATAATTTTTATAATTAAGTATTTGTAACAATGTTTAGTATTTATTCTGCAATTTTTACAATTACTTGGATTGGGTTTTTTCATACACTAGTTTTTCTTTTAACAAAGGCTTCGTCCATTGCTTGATTTCCATTTGCTCTTATTTTATTTGTTCATATTATTCTTGAATCTTAAGTAATTATTGTTATTTAATTTAGAGCTGAGCTCTAAGATTAGCTATTTCCTCTTATGATCTTTAGCAAGTTTCGCATAATTATTCCATGGGTAAAATTTATTATCAAAGTATATATCATTTATAAATAAAATTACTCCCTAATCAGTATTTAATAGTTAAAATATTTATTGTCTCTTTTATTATAATTAACAAGTTGAATCGTATATTGGTATATTTACACTTGAGATCTCACCAAATAATTCTATAATTTATATAAAAATTATTTATTATAATCAGATGTTCCTTAGTCATTTTTAAAGATTACAATTTAGTGAAATTACATCAATTAAATTCTAAACTTATTAACAATTTATCAATTCAACGTATTAAATAATTTCTTTTTTGAGTACGGAGAATAAATTTATGCTTTAAATTTTCATAATATTGTAATAAATTATTTATAATGATAGAACTGACGCTTATCATAATATATTTGCTTTAATAATTGAGCTGCTAAATGATCTTACTAAATGAGACCAATTTATCTTAAAAAGACATTTACTAGTTTGATAATTTTATACCATAAGGATTTTATTTAAAAATAGGAGAAGTAATTCTTTTCAGTTTATCATCCTTGGATAATAGTGAAAATTAACCCATTATGGAGTTATGTACCGATTAATATAAAGCCAAGTTAATTTATTTTTTATTTTAGCTGTGTGATTGATCACAATGCTATTGATTTTAAATTGAAGGTCTAAAATGTTAGGATTGTTAATTAAGCAAACATCTCGAATTCATATAAAACATAATATAATGCTATTCCTTTTAGCTCTAATGTTTATTTAGATATAAGATCCAATAATTCTTTTAATCTTATGGCTCAAATTACTAAATATTAAAATTGCCCTTAGTATAAATTTGTAATAAGCCAAGCGATTGTAAAAATGGAGGAATTTGTAGCCAAGGCATATGTATTTGCCCTCAAAATTACTTTTCTCATGATTGTTCTATTATGGGCAAATCAATACTAGAAACTTCAACACTGATAAGCTCTCAATTTTATTTTTTTGATATATATGAATGGATGGAAAAAGAGGAAAAGTTTACTCAATATTACTTCGCCAGATTAGAGGAGCAAGCTGTAATTATTGTAGATTGCTATGCTAACAACCCATATTTGTTACAGAATACTACAGAGAGACAATTATCAATAATTAACATAACAGTGGATGAAATGTATAATTGTTTAAATTATGTGAATGAATTAGAATAAAATTCTTAATAATAATTTGCCAAAATAATAATCAAACTGAAACAACCCTTTATTGTTTAATTTAAAGGTTCTGAAAGTCCAGTGGATCCCTTTGTTATAGGAATAGTAATAGGGAGTATTTCTCTTTTTATAATGATTGTCGTTATATACTGTATTTACAGATGTAAGAGAGATGATATATTATAAAAAAAGAAAAAAGAAGAACAGGAAAGATTGGAGAAGGAAAAGAAATTAATGGAAGAAAAAGAAAATCAAATGATGCCTGAATTCTCTTATGCTGAAATCCTCTAAAAATTTCCTGGCTTAAAAAATGAACAAGAGTGTGAAATTTGTTTAAATGTATTCAAAGTCTAAGAAAGAGTGAAGGTTACTTATTGCACTCATATATTTCATGCTGATTGTTTAAAGTAATGGTTAAATAAGCATTAAGTAATAATTTAATGATCCTAGACTTGTCCTATGTGCAGAGAAAACCTAAATGTTAGTTTATTAGTATAAAGTCATCTCTTGTCCTCTAGTGATCATTAAGGTCAGCATATCTCTGAGAATCAGTAGGCTCAATTCTTTTTATTAACTCCAAAATCTTAACACAATACAAGATTGTACGGAGACGAACATTAAATTGTAGTTTAACAATTTTCAGAATAAGTTAATATCCCTCAAAATAATAATGAGGAGGAGGACTAAAACAAACAAAATTAATTGACAAAATGAGAAAACAATTTATTGATTGGTATAATTCAATATCATTTTTGTCAAAAAATTTAGGTAATAAATATAATTATGTTATATATCATCTTATTCTCTTTTTGTCTTGCAGAATAACTCTTGAACTAACAATGGAATTATAATACTTCAGAAAACATTTTTGCTCTGAATATCACTTTTAACCTTTCTCTAATTGATAATGAAAAGCATTTGCGTTTTTACTTGTCACCATAATCTAATACAACTAAGTCATTGCTCATTATATGTAATTCCAAGCCAAATAATACTTTGCTCAATATTCATTCACTCAAAACGTATTATAACAAATAACAGATAGATTAGGATGTATTTATGATATCAATTCATATTATCAAAATTCATCGCAAGCCATTACTTTTGATAATAATCCTGTCTCTAAAGAAATTAGCGAATTATTTTCCATCTTTTATCTCTTCTCAAGCAATCCATTTATTGGAATAATTTCATAAGGAAATGAAAGTAGCTTTCTTCTTGAATTAACATAAATGCGAAAAAATTAATGTGCGAAGTATTAAAATAATATTAATTTAGAATCTGTTAAAACAATGGCAAATGCATCAATGGATTTTGTGAATGTCCAGTATCCTATTTGGGGAGTGATTGCACTATTTAGATCAAAGACATCGAAAATTAATTAGACTTGGAACCAAAATAATATTACTTTTTTCATATTAAATCGTTCAATATTTCTAAGTTTGAAAGACAATTAGAAACCTTTGTTGAAATTCGATATACATGCTAGCATCAATACTAGATGCAATTTTAAGGAGTGTAAATCACAACCAATTTGATTAATTTTAATCAAACCTTTTTGCAATCCTGTTTAATGAAAACTATCGAAATGCAAGAACAACTCCCAATTAAATTACAATCCTATGTTATCTTTGAATAAACCTCATCAAATAGAATAAAGATTACACAATAAGAGAATCATTTTGTATTCTAAAATCTAATTGTTGCCTTCATTGCCTTGCTTATTTTAGCCTTATTAAGTATGCTCTACATATTTTACCATCATAAAAATCCAAAAGACTTGAAGGCCTTAAGGATTGTGCCTATTATTAAATTTTCTTTAGCCCTAGAGTAGGTAGAATAAACAGATATCGAGTGCGCTTTATGTATGAAGGAGCTCTAACAAAATTAGTCTGTCAGAATAACTTATTGCAATCATCTCTACCATGATTTTTGTTTTAAAATGTGGTGGACCAATAACAAAGTAAAATTATTGGTTAGAATGTGTAGAGCTGCCCTCGTTGCAGATCTCCCTTAGATTTGGAGACTATGAGAAAAAATTAGAAAACAGATATCTTATAATAATCAACTTTCTCTAATCTTTAGAGCAATAGGAAAAAGAACTTAGTTACATTTGTTGATACTGGTTCAACAATTAGACATATGCCTATCTAGTAGAAATTGGAACTGTAAATTAAATGAATAATTACTGAAATTTCTAATAATAAAAACTATGTGGTATTAAAATAATATTACTATGATTATTTTATTCTTTCTAATCTGCATTAACTAAATAGTGAACCAAAAAATCGAAAAGACTTATTAGAGAGTGTAGGGTGTTTAATCTTTCTCAATAACCAATTTAACAAAAGACGGCTTTCCTATGAGATCAAAGATAGCCATATCTCTTACTTACTATGATGGAGAAATACCTATTTTCTTATTGTGTTCAAATAAACCAAATGCCAATGTGACGATGGAATATGATTCAATCACAAAGTAATAAAAAATTATAACTACTAGAGAATAATGTACTTATGATGCTAATGCCTATGAAGATAATAGTAAAAAGCAGGTAGTATCTCTTTAGGACAGATTAGAAATGAAAAAATATCATTCAAATTTCAATATTTACGAATTTAAAGGAAAGGGTTTATTTATAGGGGCAATTTCAAAACTACAATCTTCATACAAAATTCAAGCAGAAATAATACCATTATCAGCCTGTGCAAAGTAAAAAGAATATTAACCAACTTAGAGATTGTCGATATGGAGGAAGTTGCTTTTAAGGAGTTTGTTAATGCATGAAAGGATCCTTTGGAGATGACTGCAGTATTCAAGGCTTGGATATTTTGTAATAAACAACACTTTCATCAAATTATTTATATTATTTAGATATTGAATAATTAACTGGGGCAACTTTTTTAAGAGTCCTATCAAGCTCTATCAATCTTAGATCCTAATGTTATGCTGACAAACCTTAAATTAACCATGGAATTTCAATTCTAACCAATTTGATTTAGATAGACAATGATAGAATCTAGAATTGTAAAGATGTTACCTTTCTAGTCTCAGATTAAATGAAGGTGCAACAAACACCTTATTATTTATTTAAACTTTCGGATGAATGTTAGGTTGAAATAATTGACATAAATGACGAAAAAGTAGGCGCTTCAACAATTCTGTTCATTTTATTCATCCCTTTACCAATAGTTTTAATCTTAATTACAATTTGCTGTTGCTATAAGTTGTTCAAAAGCAAAGCAAATTAATAACACAATTTATAAACTGAACCAAACCCAACCACATATGTTGACTTATATATACCAACCTAAAAATTTTAAGAAATTAAAGATACTGATGTTCATTCGATTAATTTAGATTATTAGTATTGCTCAATTTGCTTAGAAAAATTTGATCTCTAAAATAATGTTAAGATTACTTATTGCAAACATTTGTATCATTCTAATTGCTTATAACTCTGGATTGAAAAGTTAAAAGTAATGTCAATATTAATATAGGTATGTCCTCTTTGCAGAGCACCTTTGGATGAGTAAACTATTATATCAATGCAAACTCAAAAGTCTATGAGTCTTATTGATTAGATTACAAGCAAAAGCACAAACAAATTAAAACCATCATAAGCATCTCTAAGTTTTTTGAATAACCATAACATGACTAGGTTTTAAAATAATAATTGCCAACGCAGTCTAATTTACCTAGATTAATGAATTTTATTTAGTTATTTCACTATCACAGAAGTATCCTTATATATAAATATAAAAATTAATAAAATAATTCTTATCATTCATATATATTGGAATTCGTTTCGCTCGTTATAAACGTTTTATGAGGTCTACATCCAGGAAGAGTATCATTAAGTTTATATAACAATTCAGTATTTTTATTATTCCTTAATATTCCCTTTATTAAATAACGAAGTCGATTCTTCAATGATATGCTGTACTAAAGATATTCTTATTAAGTTATATAAATAATTATTAATAATTTCAAAGATTTTGATAAGATGTCACCAAATTAAAAAAAAATAAATTAATTAAGAATAATCTAAATATTCAACAATAAAAGAAAATCAATATTGCATAAAACTCCTAAAGCCTATAGCGATTATAAAATAATGTAAATGTAAATAATTGATTTTTAGAACTTCTAATTGAATGATTAAACTTAGTAATAATCACAGTTAATATTTTGAAATATATTATGTTTATAATAAAAATATCAAATGTACTATAGGGAAAGGAGAGCATCATCCTATTAGAAACCTCAGCCTGGTTATGATAATTTGAGAAATCAGCTGGATTTATTGGATAAATTTATGAAACCATCCTATGATATTTAATTACCTCATGATCCTAGTCAAAAAAGCGGAATTAGATAATCTGGACAATTGAATAGATCCTTCTAATTTCCCAAGGTTTCTTAGTAAGCAGACGACTCAGTCAATGAAGAAGTAGTTCAGATGTAGCTAGCAATAGATTTATAAAACTAGACACTAAAGAGATTATTGAAAGAATAAAGAGAAGTAATATTATAAATGGATAATCAAGATAAATAAGGCTTAGGTTTTTAAGTAAGAACTAGAGAATTTAAAAAGCCAAGTTCATACCATACACCTAAAATTACCAAAGCTACCTCAATATGAATAATTAAATGAAATTAAGCAAGAAATCTCCTCATTAAGACAATCCTTTTTCTAATAAGCCTAACAACTGTAATAGCCAATTATTCAACCTCCCTAGATAATTTATTAGCAAATGCCTTAGCAAATACAGTAACCTCAGTATTTCCCACCTCCTTATCCGTATTATCCTTACGGATAATAACCTCCTCCATATGGACAATCCCCTCCACCATACCCACTTTAATAACAATACCAACAACCCTATTAGTACAACCCCTATCAATCTCCCTACTATCCTCAACCTTAATCTCAGCCCCAACCCCATGAAACTTAAACAAATTAATAAAACCCATAATCCTTAGGCAAAATTAAAACTGTTGGTTCGCAAGCCTAAAATTCCAGAAGATCAAGTCAAAAGACTATTCCATTAATTTCGAAGAGGTCCATACAATAAACCAAATAAAGTTTTTTCTCTGATGTATGCTATAAATTTAACTGAATTTAGAATGGAGATAAGAAAGCGTTATTTTAGGGTTCAAGACTGAAGGTAATTTTTAATGCAGTGAGATATGCAATGCGTTGGAAGATATATTGTAAACCTTTAAATATTTTATGGAGAAAACTATATAAACATTCAGTGGAGTGTAAAGCAGTTATATAAAAAATTTCATATCCTATTGCTTTGAAACGCATTAATGATTGGTGCAAGATGGTATTGGCAAAAGTAGAAAACTATTTGATTAAAATAAAAGAGATAGATTTTATTGTATAATTGTATTTTATATCTAAAGAATCCAGAAAAACCCTTGACAGAGTAAGAATTAGATCAATCATATATGTAATTAACAAATGCAATGAAATATCTGATGACCAGTCTAGTTACTTATTGTACAAACGATTTCATGATTCCAGAATTGAAATTTTTATCTTACCTTTAATTTTTCGATTAGCCAGAAATAGATAGAGGACTGTTTGTTGCTCGAAGAGTATTATTTTGGAAGGAGAAATAATTAGACATGACAAAAACATAATAGATGATGATTGTGGGGGATCTAGTTATATTAGTGCATATACTGCCTGCTTTGATGGAAATTCCAGGTTAGGTATTTATAGTTAAATGTATGGTATCTCTTGTGTAAATTCATTTTATGAAGTATTTTGATTTGAGAGTACTCAATCGAAATCCAGAGTATAGAATTATTCAATTAAATTTGGTGGATGTAGTGGATGGCAAATTAGTTGCCAGATTAGAAAAACTTGACAAATTTGAAGATGAAAGATATATTGTAGGTGTCTATGAGGACAGTCAATTTTAAGGATTTTATGCCAAAAGACCTCATTTTCAGGATGATATGCAAAAAGCTCTATTTTAAATACATACTAATTTATTATAAGCATTAGCTGCTAAATGAAATTTTATATATTTATTAATTATATTCAAATTTAAATTAGCAGTTAAATGGAGGATCTCTTGGAATGCACTAAATGCGGAAATGAAGTAGATTAAATATTGGCATTATCATGTGAACATAATCTATGTCTTCAATGTTCTGCTAAACTTTATAATAAACTCTAATGTCAAACCTTAGTTTGTGAGATCTGTTCTTCATAAACCCTTTTGGATCCCTCTGCAATAGAAGTCTTACAAGATATGTACAAATTGCAGTCATCTCGAATGTCAACTGCAAATTTAAAAAGCTCAAGATAGCAAATCTAATATTAGGCTTCCACTCATTCGAAAGCATCCTAAATTCATCTTAATACTCAACAAGGATTGACAGTGACATGTTAATAACATGCAAGTGAAGAAGCATTACTTTATTGTTATACCTGTGAAACTCCTTGTTTTTGTATGGAATGTTATCTCTAAGGATTGCATAAAAACCATGAAGTAAAGAATGTTCAAAAGTCCTATTCAATCATCAGAACAACCAAAGTAATACCATTCATTAATTTAGGCTGATCAATTCTATTAGAAGGTCAAATCTAGTTAAGATTAATTATTACAGGATTAATGCAAGTTTGCTGCAAAAAAGAAAGAATTAGTTGAAATTAACACTTCTACAAAAATGTAGATTCAATCCAACTTTTAAGAATTATACAAAGCTCTTTAATTGAAAGAGTCTGAACTTATTTAGGTTGCTGATGATACTATGTGTGAGAAGGTCAAAGAAATTGACGCAGAAGTTTAAAAAATACAAGCATAAATGGATGTATTATTGTAGATCTATAAATTTTAGAAATTAAATGATGTTTTAAGTGACATAGAATCATATTTCCCTGATCATCCAGATTAGAGTCAATCTATAATGGCTTTTAATTATATTGCTCTCAATAATAGAAAAATCGATTAACTTACAAGAACCATTCTTACTGAAAGAAATACATGGGGTGCCTCATTATAGTTACAATACTAATTGGATCCACAGAGCATCATTCAATAAATTGAGGACATCAGATCAACCAAACTTAAAATTATGTCTTTGAGAGCATTAGAAACTGCTGAACCAACCATCAATGAAAAAAAAATGTATGAAAGGGCAAGAGATGATAGAACCAAAAGATTGTTCTAATTTTAAACTCCGCTCTAGTCGTTGGTGTAGGATGAAAACAAAGAAAATAATTAATCTTTTACACTAAATAATGGAGAGCAAACCCAATTATCAGAGTTCCAAAGGAAATTTTAGGAGGCTAAGAGGACTTTATCTTAGAGATAAAAATTAAATTGAAAAATTAGAATTCTATATCTATTATCAACAATAATATAATATAATTAAGGGTTAATTTTGGATGAATGTAATTAATGAATTCATTTTGGGGGACTTACAGCTGGTTAACGATAAATGCGATAATATTGTTCTTTAGGGAGTGTGTGGTAATCTAAGATTTATTTCTTGATCAAAGAGTTATTTAGATTTTAGCTTTGGGATACGTATGATGCATCAATTGAAGACATCTAAATTGAATTATTCACCTTTTGTTTTCTTTTTAAGAATTCATTGTCATTTTATTTTTTAATTTTTACTTCTCTCTCTACTTATGATACCCTAATATAAATTGTGTGTTTAATACTCCTTTTTTCCTTTAACAAATTATAAAGCTCTTTAAGTTTCTATTTCTAATTTTTACTTTTCTTACTTTTTTTGTTCTGCTAATTCCTTTTTAACTTGTTCCATCTCTAATTCCCTTTGCTTTTTCTTTAAGTAATTCTCCTTTTGGATGAGCAATAACCTTTCATCTTCAACAGGTTTCAAACCACCTGAGCCCTTTTAATTTTTAATGAGGAGTTATCTTTTGGCTTTTTTTTCAATTCCTTTTGGATCCTCAACGACCTTCTCCTTCTTCAATTCTTCAGGCAAGAATCTTGTATCGGCAGGAGGCTACGGTGGCTATAGTTTTTACATTCTATCCACCAATTTTTGCATTCTCGAAAAGTCGTACATTTATTTTATATATTTTATTTATTATCCAAAAAAAGTATTAAATAAAGAATTTTATAAATTGAAATATTCCACGACCTAAACAACTTGGGATTACTTAATTTTCATACTGATATTTTTATAAAATTATTTGGTTTATTATATTAATCAAAAATGGCATCGGCTACAAAAGAGAAACTAATTAAAAAGAAAGAGAAGGAAGAGCAACTTCAAAGCAAATCCTTGGGGAACTTCCACAATTTGGAATTGTTGTGTAAGGCAGATGATAGATAAAAAAAAACATTAGAGAAGATAATTAAATAGAAACCAGATTTAGCAAGAAGTTTAAACATCTATGCTGATGGAGTGAAATATTACATAGCAAGATAGTAGTAGAGGGATAAATTATTGGCAGGAAAAGACATACCCTTGATGGAAGTTTCAGAGGAAGAACTCTCATAACCAACCCTCCCTCTCATAACAACCAACAGACAAATGATCAGACAAAACAAATTTGATATCCTATCACCCAGACTGTTATCTGAAAGTTAGGAAAACCAAAACAAAAGATATATTAATCCCAACAATTATACTCCTTTTGCCAACAGATCAAAGTTAACAATTCCTGCATTAAATCCTACTTTGAATTACAACAGAGATAGAAATTTACCAAAATTAAAGGTATTAATTGAAGCTATAAAAAGTTCAATTACTATGTCGGATCAGGCAATAATGGAGAACTTGTAAAACGAATTTTATAAAAGAGAGAATAATATTGGACAGCAGTACCGCAATCATTTTAATACAAACATTTCATTTGGCAACAATCCTATTTTGGTATGGATTTTAATCGTTTAACACCATCAGAGAGTAATTATGTAAGAGTAATGTATAATTTCTTTGAATTTCATAAGAATATCACATCGAAGACTGGTATCTATAAGAATTATGGTTAGGGTTATCGTAATCTCTGCTTTAATATTACAACAATATTGAAAGAACCTTCGATATAATACCTCTAGTTTTTATTTTTAACTTTAAAACCCAGGATTGGGTGAGAGATGTTCAATAATTTACTGAATTCTATCAAACAAACAATCCATTAGGATAAACAAACATGAAAACCTCTTTAGAATTTGATTTTTATCTATCAAATCTTGCAGGTACAAAAGTCAATTACAATGGAATTAAAACTTATAAATTGTAGGAAACTTTGATGAGTAAATCATAGTATTTATGGCTCTTGAAACCAGCAGATTGGAATCGAGGAGAAGGTGTTCATGTATTTAGCACTTTAGAAGAAGTTGAAGCCTTAATTAAATCTTACTACTATGGTAAAGGAAATTATGAGTGTAAGGAGTTTGTGATTCAAAAATATATTGAAAGGCCATTGTTGTTGAGTGGAAGAAAGTTTGATATAAGATGTTGGGTTCTCATCTCTTAGGACATGCAGTACTTTTTATTTAAGGAGGCTTACATTAGAACCAGTGGAACTACATTTTCATTAGACAATGTAAGATATCAATTAATAGATTTAGAAAGACAGATACATTCATTTGACTAATAATGCAGTTTAGAAGAATGCCTAAAATTATGGATAATTTGAAGATGGCAATTAATTGTCATTAAAGAGATTTCAACAGTTATTAGAGTATGTATTAGTTTAATAGTAGTCAACAAGAGACAGTATATAATTTTAGAAAGGAAGGTTGGCCAGTAATTAAGGATGTTGTGAAGATAACTATGAATTCCACCAGACTGAATAAGAGAAATAGAAAATACGGGATGTAATTGTTGGGTTATGATTTCATGATCGATGAAAATCTAAAGCTATGGCTGATAGAAGTCAATGCAAATCCATGTTTGGAAGAGAGTTCCAATCTACTAAAAATGTTGATACCTCGGATGTTGGATGATGCCTTCTAGCTGACTTTGGATAAGGTGTTCACTCCGGAAGTGATTCATGGATAATTGTCGCCAAAATATAAGGTGGATGAGTATGAGGATTAGGAGAATATGTGGGAACCTTTGGGGTTTTGCAATTGACAAATTAACTAAATATAAATATTTATATATGATTATACAATATATAAAGATTTAAATAAATATTTAAATTTAATATGGATTAATAAACAGAATAAGATAAGCTTGAATCAATAGCTACTCCAGGAGTATTAGATAAATATCAAAATGCAGGCAAGATTGTAAATGGTATTTTTTTTAATTTAATAATGATCAGTTGTTCTTGAAAAAGTGATTGCCAAAATATAGCCAGATGCTGACATAGCTTCCATTTGTGCTTTTGGAGATCAGGAGATTAATGGAGAACTACAAAAAGTTTACAATAAGAAAAATATAGAAAAAGGCTTGGCATTTCCAACAACTATTTCTGCCAATCAAATATGCGGACATTACTCTCCATTGAAGTCTGAAAACAGTAATTTAGCAAAGGGAGACGTGGCTAAGATGTAAAATTTATAATAAACAATAGTCAATTGGGTGTACACATTGATGGATTTATTGCAATTGCTGCACACACAGTCGTAGTAGGAGAAGATTAAGTAGAAGGCCAAAAGGCAGATGTGATATTGGCTGCATACTAATCAGTTTAAGCTCTTTACAGATCAATCAAACCAGGCACTACAAATACAGCTTTAACAAAACTTATTTAATAAATTGCAGATGACCACAAATGCACTCCTTTGGAAGGTGTTTTGAGTCACGAAGTCAAGAGACATTTTATTGATGGAAACAAAGTCATCATCAATAGAGAAACTCAAGAACAAAGAGTTGATGAAGAAGAAATTCAAGTCAATGATGTTTTTGTTTTGGATGTGTACATTACAACTGGTGATGGAAAGACCAAAGAAGTAAAATTCTAATCTTATCCCTATAGTCTGATTTGAGAACTACAGTCTACAAAAGAGCATTGGATAGATAATACTAATTAAAAACTAAACATGGCAGAGCCTTCATGTAAGAAGTCTATGAAAAATATCCATCTTTGTGTTTCTCATTGAGAGCCTTCGAAGATGAAATCACAGCTAAATTAGCAGTTCAAGAATGTGCAAAACACGAATTATTGAATCCATATCCTATTTTGATTAGTCCAAATAGCATTGTAGCATAATTCACAATTACTGTTGCAGTTCTAGCCAATAGCACAATTTAAATTTCAGGTTTGAAATTGGATGAGACTAAATTCAAGTCTGCTCATGATCTCAATGATCCTGCCCTCAAAGAATTATTGAAAGTATTTCAATCATTTATCCCCTTAGTTGCCAATGGACAAAGATTCATAAAAAAAAAGACATTAGGAGCAAAAACAAAAAGCTTGATGATATATATCATAGTAGTAAAATATGTATATTAAACATTATAAATAACAATATTAATCCCTCAATTCCATCTCCTTGAGGCAATACTCAAATATAGCATATATTCTAAATGATTGAAAATACTATGTAATTTTCATTTAATATAATTTATTATTATATAATATAAATTAGGATGAATCAATAATTACTATTGTTGAGTTATTGCTTTATAGGTTCATTTGCCTAAGTAAAATTATCGAGTTCATATCCATTAAATAGTGCTAATTATATGGTATTTCATACCTTGTATTGAATTTCTCCTTAGCATTATAACATTTTTTTGAATCAATTCATTGTTTTCTTCATCTTCAATTGATATTTATCGAGCATCGAAATTATCCTCTGTTTGCTAAATTTACTAAAAAACTCAGAATTACATGAGGAATAAACGGTGCTTTTAATTCCTTATTATAGAGCTTTTACCATGGAAAATTTTTAAACCAGGAATGCTATCTCAATTCCTAGGGTTCATTAAAACCTAATCTATTCGCAGGTTTTCTTTAAATTAACTAATATGTTAATGGTATGTAAAGTTTACTCGATTGATGAAATCAGCAGATTCAAGAGACCAATTATCAGGTATTTCTGATCTTTTAATTTAGACTTGCTTTGCCAATATTTAATCTCTAATTTCTTTACGGGATCTTCCTGTATAAGGCCTCTATTCTAGTTTAAATTGAATACTTTGCCAAGCATAAATTCGTAACCAATTACTCCTAAGGCAAAATAATCCACAGCATAGGAGTGATTTTATCTACACATAACTTCAGGAGCCATGTATCCTGGTGTTCCGCTTGTATCTTAAGCATTATCAGGTCTCAAAACTCTAGCAATGCCTAAATCAGTAATTCTGACATATCCTTATAATATTTGATAGTAGTATTACCATTTTTGTCTAAGACTAAATTCTCTGGTTTGATGTCTCTATGTATTATATTTTTAGAGTGCATATGTTCTAATCCTAGAAAGATGCAAGCCATAAAAAATCCTCTTTGTTGTACAATGAACACTTACTTGTTTGATCCTCACTGAATCTACGCATTCTTCCTATGTGATATCTCAGATCTCCTCCTTGCATGTAATCCAATACTAAAAATAAGTTTTCTCTGTCTTAGAAAGCAAAGTAGATGTTAACAAGAAAGCTAAAAGTTTACATATGGATATTTACGGATGTTTAAGGTTACTCAATATGCTTCTTTCATTGATAACAAGAATTTACACTTTTTTTAGCAATGATCCTTTTGATATGAGAATATATTAATACAAAGCTTTAGACATCTCTTTCATAGCATAAGTCTAACCATTTTTTTTGTGCTCTACTCTCCAAACCTTACCAAACCCACCAATTCCAATAACATACAAAAAATTAAACATGTTTCTCTAAACGACTACTTCATTGGGGAAGTAATTATTTTACATGAATGATGACTATTATTGTTTATGTTGATTCTGTTATTGTTGAACTACTTGTTTCTCTTGCTCTTCATCCTCTTTTTTAAGAATCAAATAATTTAGAAATGACATCTATTGGGTTTATTTAGGTTTAAGAAATGGAGGATTTTTTAGAATGATTAGCAGATGTAGATTAACTAGACTATACTGAAATCTTCTACATGGCATGCATTAAGGGGGAAGGAGAATGATCGTTGTGTTCATTCCATCTATTAAATGGTTGTAGAATATATGCATTACCTATTATTGTGTATAACTTGGGCCCCTTGGTTTCCTTGATTTAGCAAACTTTTGTCGCCTCTGTTGGCTTATCCTGAATCTTATCTAGAATGAGGAAATCTGTAATTCAAACCTTTCATTTATATTATTTATTATATATATATATTTTGTTGTAAAATTATAATTATCTGAATTCAATTATTTCAAATTTAAGTTTCCAATCATAATATATATTTATGAATAGATAAATTGAAGAAAGTTCCGAGAACTAAATCAAATATGTTACCAAGGATGAAGACGAAAAGAAATTTAAGTTGCTTAAACAGCTTTTCAGATCCTAATTCAAATAATCTTACAAATATATAGGTATTGTCTTTTTCTTGAGATCAGGTTTTTACCTACTTTTTAGTTTCGGAAAATATCTTGCTTGCTTTTACAGTTTGTAGTAGAGGGATAAAAAGTGCGAGGTCAATCCTTTGGTAGTATGGTTAACAATTGTGGGCATGTATGAATTTTTCAATTCCATTCGGTATTTCAATAATCATAAGGTAGTTACTTAGCAGTACTATATTCATTGCAGATGAACTCCAAGGATATTTTCTTGTTAGTTATGGCTGATATGTTAACCAAAACATCAGATGAATCAATGAATCTAAGTGGCATGCAAGAAAGGAATAGGTAATAATTAAATATATCCAAGACGAGCATAAATCAAAACTCTTATTAAAATGAAATTATCCACTCGAGAAATCTCATAGGAAGAACTATTTGCTGAACCCCCGTTCACTTAATACGAGATTATTCATTAGGCTGAAGTTCTCAACAAATATACTAGAATCATGAAGGTGTATAACCAATTCGTTTACTATATGATCTTCACAGGAGGAAATGTAGCATACTTCTAATCAGATTCTAATGATTGCGATGATAGTAAGCAACTCATATTAATCTATTAGATTTAAACAATGTAACCTTTTTACTTTTATTAATTGGTTACGTATTTTCAGCATTTCTCATTATTGGCTTTGGACTAGCTGTCATTTCGATGGCTTTGTATATGCCCATAATACTCTTCTTATTCATCTACAAATCCACTCGCAATATTGTCCAAAAAATACAAACCAAAGTATTATTGTTTAATAGATTATCTTAGAATAAAATATAGAAAATGCGCGTATTTCATTATAATAATTCTATGGAAATTTCTATTTCATAATGCAACATTTGTATGTGTGAGTACTTGGAAAATGATAAAATTATATAGTTACCATGCAGCTACATGTAGATCTATATTTTAACATAGGCATCACTTCCATGATCATTGTCTCTAACAATGGATAATAATTAAATAACAATGTCCTGTTTGTCGTAAATTAATTTGACAATATTTACACAACTATATAATATATCATTAAAAAAATAAGAAAGTTTCATAATCTTTCATTTCCAGACAACAACTGTTATTTATCCCTTTATTGCTTAGAGGTAATATCCTTCCTCATGTGTCACAAACAGACCAAAGTTTTTACCCACAATACAGTGCCAAGGACCTAAGTGTCTTTTATCTAACCTGAATAGTGATTATTAAACATACTCTCTCTTAATATAATATGCAATATCTTTTTCATTGCTGTGCTTCCTCAAATTTTCCAATATTATGTATTGTACATCCTTTAACAATTCACTTGTCATATCGCATAATTTGATTTTTATTTGTTGTGTCTAATCACTCATATTATTCAATAAATTTATTTATTCCTAAATAATTACAGAAATTATATTTATTATTAACTGTCACATGAAGTCTAGCGACTTGCTCTAACAATTTAATGATTTTAGAAGAAACCTCAAAGCATAAATTTAATCAAATGAAATAACAAAAACTCCCTAAAAAAATTACATTAAAACTTAGAGTTCCCCTTAAAAACTCAGTTCTAGGATTAAATCAAAAATAAATCTAACCCAGAACCAAAATAAAAACTAAGATAGATGTAACACAAATCAATCAATTCAAAATAATAACTAACTTGAATCCCTTAAAAACAATTCTAAATTATAATGCATCACTCATGAAAAATTATCCAGTAAATAATAGAATGTCTAATCCTTCAAATCCTCTAATTGCTCAAATAAAAAAGAACTTACTGTTAATAAGCTTATAAGTTAAGAATAATTGCAGAAATTATGTTCTACTTTTTAATCGATATCAGATGAGGAAGTGAAATAATTACCAAATGAGTATAAATAGCTTCTAAAATAATTGTCAACTTTTGTTAATGCAAAGTTTCTTAAGTGATTTAAAATCTGCCATATGATAATATGTTGTATTATTGATAATGTATAATATACTCATTATATGTAAATTTTAAGAAAAGCAATAAGGAAACATTCAAAGGCATTTTCCTATTTTCTTAAGAAAATCTACTATGTCTATAATTTAAGACAATAGTTTTCTAAGTTTTTTGACATTTATTTAAGCATCTCTAAAATTCACTTTAAATATTCATTTGATTTTGTTAAAATTCATTAGATTATCTTTATAAGTAATACATTTTATTTCAAATCGCACAAATTTTAGTAACTTACTATTTACTGTATTTCTTAAGGAATGGTTTTTTTATTGTTTAAGTTTCCTTATTTGAGTTGGCTTTTTCTTCAAAATTAAAATTGAAGAATTTAAGAACCTTTCAAACTTAATAGATGGCATACTTTAAAATGGATATTTTTTAAGTTTGAATCCTATCTTGTTGGCTTCTTGATCTTCTAACAGAGTGAAATAAAGTAGAAGACTAGGATGATTAATTAAAAACATTTTTTTTGAATACAAATATATTTATTGATTTTATTGAAAAATAGTTTGGCTTTACAATATTTTCCAATAAAATCAGTCTTATCCAATAGACCCAACACTTATATTATGATTGAAAACTTAAAATAACAGTAAACTTTAGTAATGTGATGTTTCAATGGCTAAAAATATATCTATACACTTTACTTGAATTTTATTCCTTAAATATTTATAATATTTAATATATTGTAAATCAGAGATATTTGATCTGTTAAACTGAAATATTAAATAAATGAAAAACAATAGAAACAGTAAAATTTTTCTTTATTATAATTGAAAAATGTATTGGATTTTCATAAATGAATATATACAAATAATTATAAAAATAATTATTTTATTCAAAAATATACACAGCTGAGAATGAGTTATCAACTTTATCCTAAGCCTTTCCAATTTTGTAAATTGATTAAAAATATTTTTAGATTATTATTTACCTTACCTTCGCTAAGTTGCCGTTCCTATGATTCCTCCTTATAATCCAAACAACTACCCCCAATAATTGAGCTCATTCTATCATTAACCGATAATTGGAAACTCATCAGACAATTGTATTGTGATAGAGGATGATAATGTATTCTCAATGTTTATTATTACTACTTAGATTTAACATCCACTGAACCCAAATCAATAATCGATAATTTAAACGTAAACTAATCGAGACTAGACAGCTTAATCAGATTAGTTGATGATTCTAGAATAGCCATTAGAGAAACAGATGAAATAAAGTGACAGATTAAATGAAAATGAACCACACATTCGTATAAGTGTCTTTAAATAGCATTCAAGCCAAATTGATGCTGAATATATCCTCTAATATGACAGGTAAGTTTCTGAATAATTATTAATTAGAATTTTGGGAAATTAATACAAAAAGGAAATAACTATAGGAAGAAAAAAATTATAGGATGATAGATCAGAAAATTGTGATATATGTAATTATTTCAACTAACAACCTTAGATTTGCCTCATGGAGATAAAAATGTTGAAAAACTCCATTGTAAACTTTCGACAGAAAAAGGATTCTCGTATTCAAATCTTCTAACCAAATCAGTTCTTCTTTTTTTTTCATTATTTAAGTCAAATAAGCATGCTAGGAAATTGCCATTTTCAATTAAATAACATATATACTCATTTATTAAGTAATAATATTCATATGTCTTAGAGAAAAGCCTTAGTTTTATTTAACAGATAACGCAACTAAGACAGGAACGTTCTTGAAAATTAAGAAGGACAATTTGAAACTTATGCAATTACATAATACATTTCTGATTGGAGCTGATACATACTTTCATATTATGGAAATTAAATCAAAGCCCATAGAAATCAAATAAAAAAGAAACAAAGATTTAAATCAGTTCTACAATGCTCTTGCAAAGGAACACATAAGAAAAGGGGCTAAAATTCATGGGCTTTCATTAGAAGAGAGTGAATAATTAAATGCTTTAATTAATGAATTTAGAACTAACAATTTAAGACAAAGAGCTCCACACAAGTTAAGTTAATATGATAGACCCTATTTAAAGTTTGCCTTCAATAGTCCTTCTATCAATCAAATTCAAACTCATATATTCATTGCCAAGTATGATGAAGAATATGTATTTAAAATTGGAAGATCCCAAGAATGTGATGTCATAATTAATATCAATACTGTATCTAGAAGACAAGCACAGATAATATATAAAAACAATGAGTATATACATTTATTTATATTCAGATGGTTCATACATGATGGTGAGGGTATTAGAGAGTCGGCAAATGGCACATGGTAATCTCTCCAAAATTATTCGACGAGAAATCATGAAAAGAAAATATAAAGCAAACCCAGATTGATTGAAGACTAAATGGAGATCAAAATAAGTGAGAATATCGTTAAGTTTGATTTTGTAAACTTCGGTATTACTAAAAAGTATTTATTGTAATAATTTTAGGCGAAAACTTAATTAGGCCTTAATTCAAGATTTACTTTGGTGATTCATTCTTATATGTATTTAAAATTCATCCAATTTTGTGTTAAATAAATCCACATATATTAAATAACTTTAGAAAATATAAGAACTCTTTTTGACATGTTTTAATATTTTTACCCAGAATAAAGATTTATCAATATTATTAATTATATCATTTATCTGAGGTTCTGGGTTTTAAGGTTATAAATTACAAGTGTTTGTAGCGATATAGGATATATGATATAATATAAAAATCAAAGTTTTTTATTTTTTAGCATTTTTACAAATTCTTCATAAGATATCTATCCATCACCATTATTATCACAATCTGTTAGTATTTAATTCCATATATCATCACCTAAATCTCCCATCACAGCTTCTAGTTCTTTTTTTGAAATAAATCCATCTCCATTCTAATTTAATAGAGAATTGAAATACTTAGTCAAATATTTTAAAAGCCTATTCAACTCTCTATACTGAGAGTAATTTTTCTTAATTCATAGCTGCCATACAAAACTCTGAAAAATCAATCAAACCTGATCTATTTATATCAATCATTTCTAAGATTTTTTCGACTTCTTCTTAAGCCAATTTAAGGTCATTTTATATCTAAAGATAGCCTTTGAGAAACTCATCCTTAGATAAGAATCCATCATTATTTATATCTAATCTTTGAAACTCTTTTTGCAACTCTTAAATTTCTTTTTAAGTTGACATCTATGTAATCATATAAGACATCAATGCCTATTTTAATACAGTTTATGCCTTTATTGATTATAAATTATAAGAATTACTTAAAATTAACGAATGTTATCCAAAACTTTTCTATTTACTTAAGTTGAGGGAGCATATTTGACTAGCCAAGGATCTTCTAAAGCCTATTTTGCAGACAATCTTTTACTGGCATCCACTCTCAATAATTTAGTAATAAATGCCTTAGCTTCCTTTGAAATTGGATCCCAATCCTCGGCTAAAAAGTAGCATATTGAATTTACGATCAAATGTAAACTTTCCAGTTTTAACTCTTTCTAAAATTTGGTTTTCTGTTTTACCGACAAACGGCGGATAACCACATAATAGAATGTATAAAATGACACCGCAAGACCAAATGTCACATTTCTCCGTGTAGGAATGACCCAAAACCTCAGGTGCAATATAATAAGGCTGATTTAAGTGAAATAAAATACTGTTCCTAATCTTTTACTCATTGCTTTTTAATTGTCAAACTTTCGGGATGTTCCAAAATCAATGACTTTGAGTTAAGACTTGGGATCTTCACTTATAAATATAATGTTTTCTGGTTTTAAATCTCTATGAACAATTTGTTATTCATGGCAATGCGCTGTTGCTAATAGAATTTATCTAATGTAATCTGCAGCAATACTCTCACTGAATGACGACATCTTTTTTATCCTATCAAATAATTCTCCTCCTGATAAATATCTATATAATTCAATAAATTACTCAGTCACCAAATAATAGTTATTTTCATCTTGAAACAGTTCAAATAATTTGACTATATGAGGATGATCTAAGTTCTTCAAGATATTCATCTCTGAAAACAATCTTGATTCTTCTTCTTTGATTATGGAACTCTTCTTAATTTATTTTATGGCTCTGACAAGACCAGTTGTTTTATTTGTTGCCTTCCAAACTTTACCAAAGGCACCCTATCCTAAGACCTTGCCAAAGTTATAGTGAGTGCCAATTAATCCTTCCTTTTCCTTAACAAAAGTCTCGACGCCAAATTTGAATACTCTTCCTTATGATTTGACACAATTATCGGTTTAATTTTAACTCTGTACTTCATTTTTTACTATATCTACAAAGTATTGATTACTCTATTCAATGGTCATATTTTGAGTTTAAACTATCTCTGGAACCTTTGAAGTTTGTTCTTGAATTACTGAGTCAACAGCCTTTTCTTATTTTAGTTCTTATTCATCAATCGCCATATCATATTCTTTCTACTTATTCTCTGTTTGAGCCTGTAAATCTTCAACTTGAGATTACTTGCTTCCCTATTAGGAAAGTGATTTTTTGTTCTCTGGAATTGGTGGTGCAGTAACATCTGGATTCTGAGCCGTTAATATTTCATCTACTTGAATTTTCTTTACTTAAACCTTTTATTTGTATATTATCGTCTCTGCAACATTTACTTCCCATCTTTAAACAATAATTCAATATGAATCAATTAATAAATATATAATTGTAACACTCAAAAAAAGAATATTTACTGTGATCACATTTTCTTTATTTATTACCTAAATATAACAATATTTTAGATGAGTTTTGTAAATATATTTTAATATTAAATTTAATGCAATTTTAGAAACAGTTACTCAAGTAATTATTACTATTTATCTCCAAACTAGAAATACTCTCGAAGAACAGCAACAGTATCGACAATAATAACAATAGGATCAAAAAAGAAGAGTAATCGAACAAGAGCAATAAATACTCCAAGAACAAGCAAAAGCCTTGGAGTATGATGAGCTCTAGCGCAAATAAATATAAAAGATAAAATAAAGAGAATTAAGTGAAGCCTATGAATAAAGCATCAACTAAAAAAAATAAAATCAAAACATAATCAAATAAAAATAAATCTAAGATGAATACAACCTTGTCTCTCAAGCATAATAATATTAGGAAATGTAGAAGCAATAGAAAATGCTATAATAATATCAAATGAAATAAATCGCTTAAGCATCTATGGATGATAAAATGAGAAAAATTATGCAATAAAAGGAATTGCAAGAGCAAGACAAAATTAAGGAATAACTTAATTAAAGAGATGAAGAATTTAGAATAACAGAAAAGCAAAAATAATATAGAGATGTATTTAAATTTTTTAAATATTAGTATTATAGACAAGTAGCAGAGTAATAGGATAAAATGCAAAAAAACTTTGCAGATAAGATTGGTAGTGATAAATAATACTAAATTGAAAATATGATTAATAGAGGAATCGAAAATGTATAATATAAAGAAGAGATGGAAGCCCAGTAAAAAAAATAAAGTTAACTATATAATAAATAAATGATGAGAGATTCATTGTAAAAATAAATCTTTGAAAAGGAGTAAAGTACTAAAAATCAAAATGGTTCGTAAGTTATGAGCAATGGGGTATTTTTTAAAAACATAATAAATTAGTTTAGAAGCATTGAAAACAATTAAATTGATCCTTCAGTACACAATCCTCTCTTAAATCCAATTCCAGGATATAATTAGAACCCATACTTAAATTAGCGAAGTTCGTTGGGTACATATGGAAATTAAGTACTTAAAATGTATTGATAAATTTATAAATACAATCAATAATATATTTTTTATGCAAAAAATTTCCTTAAAGAGTAAATTTAAAATACTCCTGCACCAATAATGACAACTATTTGAATTAAGGTGGCATTGAACACATTATCATTTATTTTAATGTTCTCTATACTTAACTTATCCTCGTTTTCTCTGTTCATTAATTATAGCTTAATAAAATCATCTTCTTATTTTTGGAGTGATTTAATTTTTTGCTTTAATCCTGTAATCTTAAAGTAATACTCTAATAAATACTTGACTCTCTTTTGCAGCAGATTAAAATTCTTAATTTTCTCCTTGCTTAATTCTTAAGAAATATAATGGTTATTTCTTATCTCCGAACCAACCTTTACTATTTGACATTTTCAAACAAACTTAGTATCTTCCTTACTTTTTTGTTGTAAATGTAAACTTTCCTTCATCACTATTAGTCATTTTTGTTAAAATCACTTAATTATCTGGATCAAGAACACTCAATTCAACTCCTCCTCCATTAGGTTAGACTTTATCTAGTAATTAATGAGCGCCGATAACAACTGTGTTTGCAGTGTATTCATCTAAAAAGCATCTTTGTTTTCCTTCTGTGAGATAAAACGTGAGAGCATTGCTGCACGTGGCAAAAATAACTAGAATAAAAAAATATTTTTGCATTAAAAATATTAATTAAAATTCTAACTAAAAAATGATAATCTAGTCCAAATATATTTGAAAACCTAAATTACAAATAGGTAATATAGTATCTATAATTTTTTGAATAATAATATATATATATTCAAGTCATAGTTCTTACATTAACTTTATATAGTTTTGATTAATCTTTTAGTATAAAGGGTCGTATGATTTTATAGTGAAGCTTATTTTCTTGAAATGGCTAATTATTTTGGAAATCATACAAATTAGCACAATGAAACAAATAGTATATGAAAAAACTAAACAAGAAATTAATATTCTTTCATTCTCAAATGAATCTTCTAGTAAGTGGGTAGTAAAGTAGCTTAAAACACCAATTATAGTGAAGATAATCAATAGAAAGATAGTCTCAAATAATAAATGCCATTTGTTTTATTGCCAAAGGCTAAAATCAAAATATACCTAACTATTCACTTACCTAAAATCATTACATTTTTGACATTTTAATTATTCTAAAATAGGTCCTAATTTTAAAAAGTTATTAGCGCATTTAAAATGTGCTTAAGAACATCTACATAAAGGAATTAAATTTTCATTTTCTTTGCAAAAGCAGCATCCTTAAGATTAAGCATTTTATAGAGCATCTTCTGTGTGATTAACATTTAAATTTGATTGATCATTGTTCAGTAGTATTTTGGTTTCATTTGGAGAAATCTTTTATCTTATAGAAGTATCAAAAACAGATAATTCATTATAGCAAGGCTTTTGCTTAATCAAAGTGAGCGATATCTCTTAAGGTTCATCGTTTAAAAAATTTCTTGATTTCTCAACCTTTAGTGATTAAATGTTTTGCTTCGAATTGACCTCTTAATTCTTGAAAGAAGCAGAAGAGTATTAAGGTGTTTTTGGAAGTTAAATCATGATTGTGTTTTAAATTAATGAAATTGCAAAGTTGGAAAGATTTCACTGAGAGAGTTGAACTAAATTTTTAGTAAGAATAAATAGATTTAATTAGTATATCTTATTTTTAATAATTTGAATATTAATAGTTCTATTATTATAAGTTAATATGAATACATCAGTACTCAATGAATAACAAGACTATTATATATATGAAAAGTAAAAATACATTTAAATAAATTTTTATTTCTTACATAGGATTATTGTGTTATAGGTTATTAAATAGAGTGTGTTGGATATAGATAATCTTTAAATTTGAAGAATATGATACAAAATAATAAAAATATTTATATATATTATAAATTAATGGCTGATTAAGAAGATTAATAAAAAATATAGTAATAGGAAGAGGAAGAAAATGTTGATTAATATTCATACTCAGAAGGAGATCAGTACGAATCAGATTCAGATAATTTGAAATTTGATATAGCAAAGCCAGAGAAGAATCCTTTTAGACCAATAGGAATTGATTTTCAAAAAATTCAATAAATAGCGCATTTAGCACCTAATTCAAAAGAAATACAATAAGAGGAAGAAAATAGAAAGAAGATTGAGGCTTATTAATTGTACCAATAAAAAGTATAAGAAGCAGATCAAAATTAAAAGGAATTAGAAAAGTAGATTGAAGAAAAATTAAATTAACAAAAGGAGGAATAACTTCAAAATTTGCAGAAATAACCAATAGAATTATAAATTAATAAAGGAGGATAACTTGTAAATGCAGATGAGATTCAAAAAATCATATATCCATGGTAAGTGTTATTTGATGATACATGGAAAAAGAATTATTATTACAATCCTGTGACAAAGGAAAGTGTTTGGGAGTTGCCATTAGATATAGTACAGAAATTGTCTGATTATAGAAGATAATTCGAACATAGGTTGTATGACTATTAGGAGAGGAATTTTTTTAAATTTTTGCCTAAATAATACATAGCAAGATAAAGAGAGTAGCTATTTTAGAAAAGACAGAAGGTGATGTTAAGACCAGCTAGAAAGTAAGTTGAAGAATCATTGGCAACAAAATTCGGTTATAAATAAGGAGATGAAGAATATAACACATGGTTTGATAGATTTTTAAGTGATGGAAACAAATATAAAGAGAAAGATTCTGCATTGACCAGAATGCATCCAGATATTGATAGTGGTTATACTAAGGCAGACTTATATGAGAAATTTAGTACTTACTTTTGCTTGTTCTTTGCTCGAGGTTGTTGTGCAGAAGGAGTTAATTGTAGATATTATCACAGGATTCCAACGATGGATGAGTGTGAATAAATCGATAACAGTAAAGATGTCTTTGGTAGAACTAGATTTGCCAATCATAGAGAGGATATGAAAGGGTAATAATTCATTGTCTATGACTCATTATAGTATAGGTTGTTTCACCAGTGACACTAGAGCTATCTATATTACTCATTATAAAATGCCTAAGGCTGATACTAGTACGCAGGCATTAGCTTTAATGTATGATACTTTATGGAGACATTTCAGTCCGTTGGGGGATATCGATGATTTAAACGTTATACCTGCCAAGGGTGTCTCATTTATAAGGTATTTAATAAATATACTATTAATGTAGATATAAACATAGATGCTAGGCGGAATTCGCTAAAGAAGCCATGGATTCATAAGCCTTGGATTAATAAGAGTGCATAATGTGCAAATGGGCTTATGAGGATCCGAATCCTAAGGCTATGTCTAGAGAATTTGAGGAGGAAAAGCTTAAATTAGTTAATGCTGTTAAGGATAAAGAGAAGTAATTCCTGATTTGGATTTATTAGAAAAGAATAACAAAATAGTTAGTAATTTAGAAAGAAAGTTGATGGCCAACAGATTAGAGACAGATCCCAGGATGATAGGAAAGGCAAAAGAGGAGGAGACAGAGGCAATAGAAGAGGGGGACCTCGTGGAAGGGGAGATAATAGAGGAAGGGGTGGAAATAGATTATTTGATGATGATTGATAATTTACATCATTTTATATTACATAATTATTTTATAATATGGGGAATACATAATGCTGTAACAAAATTGTCGAGGATGAGGATGTCTAAGAGATAGTTATTCGTGAAGATTCGAATAAATAGACTGTAAAATTATAAGAGTATGAAAATATTATTAATTTCTTTATAGAGTTTAGTAAGTAAAACATAGCTAGAAAAAAACAGAAGATTGTGGTACTCCTGCTTTTCCAGAACTAAGGTCCCAATAGAGTAAAAAATCGGAACAATGCTAATCCTTGAAAGAAATTCAATTCATGGGGCAAGTTGAAAAGGATGAACAAATTTTTAAATCATCTTGCACCTTAGGGAGAAGAAGATAAAATGATTCTCCTATTGTTGCATTCGAAGCTAAAAACTCTTTAAAATCTTTTGATTCTGGTAGGCTTAAAAAACTGCAATCTGTTACTGAACAATAACTTAATCTAAAAAATATCTCTTCTCCAAGAGAAGAAGATTCATTTATGCAAGATAGTTTAAAAGGTGGACAACTAGATGAGAAGTCTAGTAAAAGCATTTTAAAATAAGAGATGAAATATAGTAAATTTAGAAATTAGTAAAATCAGGCTGAAAGCGCTTTCAGAAAGGTGCAATTTAATTTGGAATGATTTTAGTATATAATTTTATATTTTTTTTATTTCTTTATCATAAATTAATTTATATAATGAGTGGTGGTTTAACCTACTTTAATGAAGATTTTCCAGTCTATTCTGATTTGATATCTACCATTAATGATCAATTGCAATCTATTGATAATCTGCATGTTATCACTTGTACAACAGAAAATAAAAATAATATTGCCTAATATTTAAGAGCGAAAAATGCAACAATGGCTAAATATCTGATTCATCTCAATATGTACTTATTACATAAACTCAATTATGGAAATTTGGATGAGTTTCCTGTTGATTAGTTGATAGAAGATAAAATTTTAATACAGAAAATTATTTAAGCTTAAAAAAAATTATAATATTCCATTGACAAATTATCAAAATATCAAGAAACATAGATTAATGAAGATGATTAAATTGTGGATTAAGTGGAGAAATTAACCTTAAAGCCTAGAATAGAGAATCTTCATAAAGATGAAGCTAATGATAAAGTCAACAATCCAAATTAAAAGTATGTGCCACCAAAACTTGCAGCAACTCTTTCAAAAAGCGATTTAAATAAATAAAAATAAGAGAGAAGGGAAGAGCTTAGAAAAACATAAAAAAAAGCTTCATTAATTAAGAGTATATTAGATGATCAAGAGGTATTTATGTATGCAATCATTTTATTAGACTGATAAACCAAAGGAAATGACAGAGAGAGACTTATAATAATTATATTATGGAAGGGCTGAAGATGAAAAATAAATAGAAAAGAGAAAATATGAAGAAGATCATATGACCAGATTGCCTACTACAAGGGATGAGAAACGAAGGGAAAGAATAGCTGAAAGAAAGGCCAATGTGACAAGGTTGGATGACTTCTAAGAATTTGAGACCATAAATAAAGTGCTCAATAAAGGAACAAAGAAAATAAAGAAACCATAAGGATAGAAACTCAAAGGAAGCATGAAAAAAATTGTTAAAAGAAAAAGAAGATGAATTATTATTGTTTATTATTTTAATTATATTTTTTTATGACAACAGCACATAGACCAACATACAGGCCTGCTATAGGTGGCAGTGAATAGGGTGGAAACAAAATGCTTGTTCATTCAAGATCCTATCATTCAAAAGACTTGCCAGCTTATTTGATATTGAAAATGAGGAAACCTGGATAAGGTACATAGGCAGAATTGGAATAAAAGGATTTTAAGTTGGATTTAATAAAAAGAGAGGAAGAGGGAAGAAGATAAAGAGAGTTAAAGGCTTTGGGAGTATCTGAAACCTCATTAGCCATAGAAGCAACATAAAAAAGTAGAAACTTTTTTTTAAATTATTAATTAGATTAAAATAAAGATGTTTAGGAACCCCAAATATTGAAAAAGACTAAAGTGGAAGAAAAGGAAATTTACCCATAGGATGCTGATGATAAAGAATTCATTAAATCTTCAGATGATGAAGAAGAAAATGCCCAAAAACCTGAAAAGCCTACTGTGTAATAATAAGAAATGAAAATTGAAGAAAATTCATCATCTTCCTCAAGCGATGAAGAGGATGACGATGAATTATTGATGAGAGAGTATCAAAAAATTAAAGAGCAAAGAGAAATTGAAGAGAAAAAAAAAGTAATTCAGATTTATATCAATAGATTTTAGAGAAGCAAGAGTACTTGGAAAAGAATAGAGAGGAAGAGATTATTAAAGGAAACCCTTTATTAATTAGTGAGGATTATTCTCTTAAGAAAAAGTATTTTTCATTAATCATTCATTTTAGATGGTATGAAGATACTATCTTCAAAAATCAATCGAGACTGGAAGTAAAGGAAAAATAGAGATTTATTAATGATGCTGTCAGAAGTGATTTCCATAGGAAATTCTTAAATAGATATATATAAATGTGATTATTTGTTAATTCTATATTAATTATAAATTAATATGAGTACGAGTGAACAAAAACAATTTAATATGGATTATCAGCAAAAGCTAACCTTGTCACCTTTGTAAAAGTATGAATTATACAACCAATTCCCTTGGCAAATGATTTTACACACTTTATTGATAGTTTTTACGACTGTTCAAGTTCTCAATGTGTTGGATTAATTGACTGCTTAAAGCAGAGCTCAGCATATGATTTTTAAGAACATTCTCCTTGGATTGGAAGAGGATAATGATGAATAATAATTTTATAACTTCGATGATTTTCAATAGTAGTTGCTTACAATGATGGACAATCTTAATGGTTTGGAAGATATTTTATTTTAAAATGTTAACATGAGTTTGTCAGAGTTTAAATTTAATATTTTCTATTCTCAATTCGACACTGACAATGCCAACCAAACAGTATTCGATGTAGATATCGATGAAGGTTTTACAGAACCATTTAATATTAATGATGTACATTCTATAAAAAGTTTTATCGGAAATGTTTAACTTATGGAATTTCAAGGGAATAAGATTTATAACTTTATAAATTTCAGAGATATTGAAGGAGTCGAATCTTGTACAAATTGGAATTTCAAAATTACATATAATTTCGATAAAATAGGAGTCATTAATGCTAAGATAGAAACAGGTAATAGTAACTGTCCTGAAGATCAGAAAAAGTAAAGTGGCTAAGACTTTTTGCTTATTCATTTTATAGTCCTTATCTTGGGAGGTATTTCAATTTACACTACGATAAAGTATTTATATGATATAGGTTCTGAATATATGTATAATAAATAAATGTATAAGGACATAAAAAATATTGTGGAAACTCAACCCTTAAATGATTAATCAGATTTAATTTAGTAGGGACCCTAAGTTGGTGTGAAGTTTTCACAGGCTTGGAGGAATGTTGATTATTAACAAGATGTTAAGGCCTTCAATAATTGGTATATCTTAAATGCCTTGGGGGGATTTTTCTAAGTGGTTGGAGCAACAATAGCGATAATGGATTAAATTTTGACGAATGATTTATCGATTTATAAGTTTTAAATTATGATGATGGGATTTGGATGCTTTTCATCTTGGTTAATGCTGTTACAATATTTGGAATACTTCTAAGATATAAGTCTTGTGACTTGGACATTGAAGAAATCAAGCAAGAATATTGCCATGTTCATATTCAGTATTTTACCATTCTTTTTTGGATTTGTGTATTTGGCTTAGGCTATATTTTGGAAATACAACTACTTCTAATCGACTATTGACACTATTTTATCATTGTTTTCCTTATCCAATGGCGATATTTTATTAGGTATAATAATAGTATAATATATAATTAGAATCATTTAATTTGGTGAAACCAATTGGAATTATTGGTTAAATTTATCTTATTGTTTTTATGATTGTATTTTTCACAGCAGTATAAAGTGTGTTAATTGCAATTATAATGGAAGGATATGATGAAATTAATGCATAAAGAAAAAGGGAGAATAATCAAGATCAAAAAATCAAAGACGAAATTCTGGATTAGATTCAAAAAGAGTAGGAAGAAATTAGTAAATCTGCAAGAAACGATGAATTTGATGATGACAAGGAGATTATTATTTCCAAATTGAATTTGTTTATGAGGAGAATCGATAGAATGTTAGAGGATCTTGATCTGATGGCTGATGAAATAGAGAATGCAAATATCACAATTAATGAGAAGGAATATTTATTAAATGTATTAAGGGAAAACATAGATAATATATCTAGAAATGTTAAATTTTAAATCAGTAACATGGAGTCATGATTTTGATTATTTTGTTTTGTACTCTAAGTAAAATCGTAATAAATAGTTATTATTAAATAAAAAGTAACTCATTAAACAATTATTAAATTTGTGATTAAGGAATTCAAATAACAAAACGAGAATTTGAAGGGTAATTTATATCTTGTTATCGTAAATCAAATTATCGTTTAAAATAAAAGAGTTGAATTATCCACCATTTTATATTTAAAATTGTGAATTAAATATATGAGTTATTTTTCTTTGTCGCCTTCAAGTGAAATACTTTCTCATCAAAGTAAGGTGTAAAGCATCAATAATTTTGAAAATTTTGTTCGATCGAAAAGGGAAAGGGATAAAACTATTGACAATAAGTAGGTTAAGGAATTCAGAGTTATTGCAAAATTTCTTTAGAAATATGAAATATATGTGTAAATGCTTCTTGGCAGATAATTATCCCATAAGGATGAAATGAAATTAAGTTAGAAATGGAGCGATAATGTTGATAGTTTTAATGATTAGATGTTGCCAGACGCTATTTTGAGGTTTTGATTTTAATATTATATTTTAGATTTCCAAACCCTGATTTTAAAAATTGCGAATCATATGATACAATGACAGCATTAGAATCTATGCTCTATATTGAGAGAGTTTTGAAATTAGATAGAAATAATATTGAAAATAAAATTTTTTTTAAGGCTGTCGAAGGAGTATTGACAAATCTTGAACCAAATAAAATTTCAAGGGTCAGATTCGCATTCACCTAAAATTCATAATTAAAAGCAACTCATTAAGATTTATATTTATTGGACAACATTCATTAATAAATAAGTGAAAATAATGAACCTATCTATGAGACCATGTAGAAAAAATAAACTGACACTCAAAATCATTCACTGCCTAAAATTGACATGCTCAATAAGTTAATTTCAAATTTTAAAGAATTATTAAATAATAAAACTGACTAATAAGCTAATATTAGATAAAAATTAAATGAACTTTTAGATGTAGACTATAATATTTTGAAGAGGATCTCACCAAGAAAAATGAAAAATGGAGGATTTCTGACTTTCACTAATGGAACATGGTCTCGAAATTAATCTGATGCTGCAGACTTTCTTACTTTAATGAGAAATATCATTATTGTCTAATTATTATTAACTGGATATAATGTATACAATTCAATTTCAGAAGATGGGAAATATATATTTTGTAAATTGTATGCAACTGAAGACAATCTTAAGACAATGGCTGAAAAACAGAAAATGAAAAAAAAATTAAACTTTTGCTTCTCTGATCTATTTTCTTTAGAACCAGTTGATAAAAGCTTTCGACCTTTAAGATTGAACAATAGATTATGGAAGCCAGATGATTATGATGATTTGACAGATATGTTTCTTTATTTAAGACCAAAGATCATAAACCTAATAGAAGATATAAATTTCAAGAGAGTTGCTAGAGAAGTAAATTAGAGTAGAATAAGCAATCAATTATTTTAATATGGCAAATTGGATATCTAGGATGATGATGAGCTGCCTACTGATCTCCAATGGTTCGCATATTATTAATATCTTGTCCATCTTGAAAAAGAATTAAGAAGTATTAGAGTTAAGAATGTAATCAACAGCGATATAGCAGCTTTGATAAACAAATAGTTAACACCTTATGAATTATACATAATCAGAAACAATAAAAATGATCAAGTGAAGAAATTAACAAAACAAAATATCAAGGATAAATAAAATTGGTTCCATTAATAGGAAGTCAAAAAGATACAAGAGAAGGTTTTTGAAGTGATTTAAGAATATTCTAGATTTTTCGTACAGGCTGATAAGGTCACCACTAAATTACTAAAATTATTCAAACAAGAAAGATTGGCGTAAAAGTACTTTAAAATTTTTGAGGAAGCATTAAAAGTGGCAAATTCGGAAGGAAAAGTACTTTTTAACTTTTGGGATATGATACATTTCGAAAGATTAGATTCATATGTTATTTTTACTAAACCAACCAAAACCTGTTCTACAACTATGAAATACTAGTACAAGATGTGTTGGTGTAAATATCAGATAAATGAAGAAAAAAAAATTTCTTTGTTTTCTTCTTCAGAACGTTTGAAGTTGGTAGAATAGTCAATAGATTCATTATTTTAGATGAATGATTTAATAAGCAAGAAAGTTGTTATATCCCTATTCTGTGTTAATGATCATTATGAATTATTTGGACATTAAACCATTCACTAATAAGAAAATTTAGACGAAGACTTTTATAGAAGGAAGATGTATCATCTTGAATACGAATGGGCATTCAATATAGCCAAACCTTGGAGTACTCCGATAAATCAAATTTGTGAATATTATGGTGAAAAGATTGGACTCTATTTCTATTACACCACTTATTATACATAAATGTTATTGAAAATTGCCTTTATTGCACTGGCATGTAATTTAATTTAATGGGTCATATAAGATAGTGAAAGTGATCTCTACTATTTATTAAGAATTATTTTTGCATTTCTCTAAATCCAATGGACGAATCTATTTGTTGTACTTTGGTAAAAGAAGTAATTAATATTTAATATTTAATTTGGTTAAACAGCTAAGGAAGAAATCTAAAAACAGAGGAGTAATTTTATAGGAAGTTACAAAAGATCTGTTGAAAATGACTACATGAATTCTATTGGAATTAATTCATTTGAATTGTTTACTCGTATGCTATTTGCTACTTCTACGTTGATATTCATCATTGGATTATATGCAGCCATAATGATTGGTTTGTATATACTTACAACAACTCTTAAGGCATCATTTCAGAATATATAGGCATTGTAGAGTGGATTCTTTGAAATTCTAGTCACAGCTTCCATAAATATAGTAATAATTCAGTTTTTAGATTAAGTATATGATATAATTGCTATTCATTTGACTGATTTTGAAAATCAAAAATCAGTTAAAGATTATGAAGAGAGCTTTATAGTTAAAAAATATATTTTGTATTTTTTCTCTTATGTTGGACCCTTAATTGTAATTGCATTCTTGAATGGACCATTCGACTTGTATTGCAAGGAAACTAATTGTTCTGATCATGTTTAATATCATTTTGCCACTATGATTATATGGATATTTATATTCAAGACTTTCAAAATTATAAAATTACTCTATTATGTTAAGAAGATCCCAATATTTAAATATACCTTCTATGAAAATGAGATCAATAAGTATGTTGAGGAACAATCGAATAGATAAAATTATGCTAAAAGCTAAGAGAGATATGGAACTTTAGAAGATTATATGGAGATCTTTTTATAAAATACATTGCTGTCTATTTTTGGTTATACATTCCCTTTTAGCTTTTTTCTTCTATGGGTTTAGAATATTGCACAAATGCAAGCAGATAAGGCTAAATTTATTTACTATCTTCAGAGACCCTGGCCTTAAAATAATTCATCTCTAGGAGTATGGAATAGTATCTTAGAGCTAATTAATTATGTTTGTATTCTAACAAATACAGGATAAATGATTATAGATTATAGTTTTAAGTATGGAGAGGAGTTGATTTTAATTTATTTAACATTCTTAATTAGCAATTTTATGATGAATTTCATTATCAATGGAATTTTAGGATAAATCCCTTTTGAATTAGGTTTGTTTTTATAAAGATAAAAATACTTAATTAAAAGTACTATTGAATAATTTAAAAAGACTCAGGCAAAGGCTCTAATGAAAAGTCAAGAAAATTTAAAGAAATTTCCCTTATTCAAAGTTTTTGGTTCATCAAACATTGAAATTAAGGGATAATTTGAAACAATTAGTTCTGAAGATGAATTATTTGATCATTACGATCTGAACTATATGGAAAAGTTTTGCGAAGTATAAAAAAAAGACAAATTAAAATAAAATAAGGGTGTAGAAAATTACCCATAAAAAACTTTTAAAAACATTGAAAATAATTAATTAAGATCGACAAAAAATATAGAAAATCATCAAAGAAGAACATTAATAGGATCCTTTCAAAAGCTACCCTTAGGGTCAATTTAAAAGCTACCTATTGGATCCATATAAAAATTACCTTTAGGATCTGTTTAAAAAATTCAGGAATCTAAATAAACTTTGAGTATTGAAGATAAATTTGGAAAGCATAAATTCTTGTTTAAAGAAGAAAAGGAGAATAAAAAAGAATAAAAATAAGTTGTGAATAGATAAATTAGTGCCCTATTTGATTAAGTAATGTCACATTAAACAATTTCAAAATATTTCTAACGTAGAAAAAATAACTACGTTTTTGAAATAAAAAAATGGAAAAGGTCAGACAAAAAAAAGTTGCATTCAGCATAAGAGTTTTTATATTAAAAAGTACTATTAAACTCTCATAGGTTAATCTGGTCTGACCTAAAGATTTCATGTAGATTTGTGTATATGAGAAGAAAGACTTTATACCTAAGGAACCTTGATTATAGAAAATTTACTATCTTCAAAAGGAATTAACAGGCCATTTAAGAGCTATACAAAGAAAAGGCAAAAAATAAATTTAGAAAAGATTTCAAATTACTTTAGAATTCCAAAAGAAATACAAATCATATAAATATTAAAGAAGATATAGAGGAATTAAGTCTCTTGAAGATAAAATAAAAGAACTATATCAATAAACATACTTGGCTCAATAGTAGAAAAGTCTTACTCTTGAAAGTCAAAGGAATTTGGTTTAGTTAATATAGAAGATTATGCTAAAGGGTTCCTTCCTTTAAAATAGCATTAGATTTTCTCTCTAAAGCCAAATTAATTGAAAAAATTAGAGGAGAGACAGATCTTAAAGAGAAACTTGCGAAATCTCTAGGAGATCCAGCAAAAATCTAATATATTGGACTAGATACTTTAATTACAGGATATCTATCATTACAATATAAGTATTTTATTTGTATATTTAAAGTCCCAAAGATAGATTTGAAATTCCATGTACAACCAGATAATTCAATATAATTGATTACTACATCAATAAAAAGAAATCAGACATTTTCACATTCATAGTGGATAGTTTTAGGGACACTTACATCTTTGATCATTAATACTAAAAATTGTAATAATTTTCAATGCAGTATTTTGAAGAAGAACTATTTCCTATTGAAAACTTTAAGTTGAGAAGATAATTAAATAGTACTACTTGGATTAGTGAAAATTAATAGGGGAGAAAATTCTTAATATAATTTTTGTAAATCAGGCATGAATAGTAATTTAAATATTAAAGGCCTAATTACGAGAGCTATGGAGTTTGTTATTTAGAGGGAGACCTCAACATTCGACTTAGCAATTTAGTAGATTAGGTTGATGACTTCTATATAAAGGGATATTGTGTCATAAAATATAATGTATATTCTTAAATAACTTTAAAATAAGTAATAAAATATAGGTTTATTCATGGGATACAATATAAAATAGAAGAACTCTATGAATTTTTACATGCCTGTCTCTAGATTATAAAGCAGTAGAAGTGTGGAGACATAAATTTAAGTAGTTTTGTGTTTCATCAAAGAACCTATATATTATTCAAATCTAATCATAATGATGATGATGACTTAATCAACTTGGCATAAGTCATTATTGAAATGATATTATTAAAACCAGTCCCTGATGCAATTTCTGGGTATTCTAAAATTACTATATCCCATCCCCTTAAGCCAATACTTTAATCAATGATTTACGAAGATGTATAAATTGATGATTTACTCTATAGAATCCCTCTTACATCTAGTTTTGTTGAAATTGACGTAGAGGATGAGATTAAAATAAAAGAGAGAAAAAAAGATGAAGATATTATAGATTTCTTAACTCTCTCGATTCATTAAATCAATTTGAATTTCAGAATGAAATAATTTAAAGAAGCCTTAAAAGAAATTTAAAAGGCAGAAATTTAATTGAGCAACAATAAATTTACATCTGCAACTTCAATTGAATAGGGGTTTTATCGCTATTTTATAACAAATCAATACAAAATTTTGACTAGTCATTCAGACATCTCTTTTACATTTAATGTTCTCTTAATTATATATATTAAATTTGGCACTTTATTGTAAATGAAGTTTAATTTTATATAAGAACTGGAAATGCTCTACTACGCTTTGATGCGATCAGTTGAAAGCTTAGATGATTTAGTTAAATAATTAACTCTTAATGTTAAATTAGAGTAACTGACAAACACAGAATAGAAGATTATGTTGAGAAGAAAGTTAACACGATCTAATTCACAAATAGACTTATAATCAAAAGATAGATTACAACTTATTAAAGAAATTAGAAAGAATCCTACACATATCAAAATAATTACCAAAGTGAAAAAGGAATTATAACGATATTGCTTATAATTTCAAGCTTTGCATTCATTATATCTCTATTTCAATTAGGATTTCGTTTATTCTGCCTAAATTTTAGAGGATATCTAAACTACCTAGACTATGATTATTTAGGCTTAAACAAAAATCATATAGGTTGTTGAAGAACCTGATGATTTAACACCTAATTAATTTAATTTTAACCAATAATCCCCCACTTTAGATGCTGCTTTGAAGATTGCTTAAGAGGATAACTTTGAAATATAAAAAGAATTTGATGACTCTCCTAATTACTGTTTACAGTTATTATATTACAAATATTTATAATTAATTGTGTGGTTTGATGGAGGAAAAGAAACTTTTCATAATAATTACAGTGACTTCCTAAAAGATCAAGTCAGCTCGCCTGTCTATGAATATTTCTCGTCATAATTGAAGATAATTTAAAGATACGAAATACCAAAAGACTATATTGCATTTAATAAGGAATGTGAAATTGGAAAATACATTGTAATAAGCATGAATAAGTGGATTGAATAGTCGTACTTCATTCCTTCCAAACTAGAATATTGTAATGACTTTCAATTGATGTGGAAACAATTGACATCCTATAGTGTATTAGAGTAATCATTAGAAAACAGACAGATACTAATTAAATTATTAAACTAGAAGGAGCAAACTCTTCCATACATATTATTAGAACTAAGAGCCATCCATTAACTTCTTCATTTAGATAATTATGTTCCACTTCATATATCTTTGAATCCGAAACATATTAACACAAAGAATCTTAATAGCAGTTTTGTTAAAAATAGCTTAATAAAAAGACTACAACAATTGCATAATGAAGTCTCGATTGATTCAGATTCTTGGTTTCATTCTAAAGGATTATTGCAATTTAGATTATTTTACATTTTATCTCTGTTTTTCTCGTTTTCTAGAAAGCATTTTGAAAATATGATGGCAGAAGATTCTAATTTATTATTTTTAGGGGAAATGGCAATGAAACAAGCATCATGCTAATCTGAATCAGATGCAAAAAGAGTTTAAGCATCTTAAATAAGAATGATGACATTTGATGTAAAGGAATTGAAATCTGATCCAAAGCCAAATCAAGTTAATAAAATACTAAGTTCATATTTTTTCATAAGGGATTTTATCTCACAAAATGAAGATGATGATCTCAAATTTTTGATAGATAAATATAATGATTAATTGAAGCCATCTTTAATTGTCTTGGCAATCATTCAATACTATATCGCTATTGATCGTAAGGACTTAGCTGATATAATCATTTTATAAACCTTCAAATTAATTGAGTATAATGTGAGTCTGTTTGACTATGCTCATCCTACCTTTAAAGAAGATCTGCTGTTGTTATAAATAAAGGTTAATGAGGAAAAATTGGTTCACATGGAACCCTTTGACAGACTATTTAAAAGGAAAGCTGATTTTAGAAGTCTTACATCAGATGTTTTATTAAATTTATAGTATGTGATATATAATTAGTTCTTTCATCTAGATATTTAATTTAATATTGATATGTTGGAGGATTAATTTAAGAATTTCAGCCAATTGCCACCTTAATATGATAAACTAAAAAGTATATATTAATTATATCTGCTGTATTTGCAGACTACGCAAGGAAACATTAATTTGGAAGAAATCGAAAAGTACTAATTATAATATATCAAGATTTATAAAAATAGAATTTAAATAGAATACTGCTTATTCAGCAATAATTAAAAATATTTTAGTTAGATATTATATTAATATGCAAGACTTTGAATTGGCCTTACCCTTAGTCTAAAATATTTTAGATTACCTGTATTCTCTAAAAATATTATCAAACTTCGTATTAAAATAAATTAATGAAACCAGCTATGTAAGACTAGATAGTGATTATGATAGGTTATTGAAAATAATGTGAATTTCATATCATCAATTGTGGATGTTTAATTAATTGAAGTCCATCCTGAAGAAACGGATGACTAATATTTTCATATTATTGATACGTAGTTCATACAGGAGAATTTGATTCATTACATAGATATTATTACTAATCTATAAGATGATACTCAAAAATACCCCAAAATATAAGAAATATTTAAGCTCTTATTTGAAATATCAGAACCGACAACTTAAAATAACCTATTTAAGGTGTTATCGCAATTATTTTTATGTTATTCACAACCTGAATACCTTCCCTCTATTTTCAATCAAGTATACAAAAATCAAGAGAGATAAGTAAGTATCCATCAACTATTTTATAATAGCTCTATACATATCTGAATCAAAGGAATGGCTTAAAAGAGAAAATGAGTCAATTAATCATAATTAATGAACTAAGCGAAGAGGACAATGCCAAAATGACTGCTTAAATCAATGTTCTGAATTATCTAATCACTATATACGAAAGTGTGAGCAAAGGCATTACTCAAACCACTATTTTAAGTTGGAGCATATAAGCTGCTGAAAAAGCCATGATTGGGTACAAAATTTAAGGCAAAAACTTTTAATCTTCATGTCATTTCATATACCCTCAACTGTTTCTATAATTGTCTGATTGTTTTGTAAGGTTAGGGTAAATTTCAACTGCTTTGATACATATTGATTAGTCTGAAGAAGATTTGTTGGATTGGTTCCGTTAAAATAAACATCCTTTAAAAGGGTTTTTCTTTATGAAATAAGCTCTCTTAAGGCCCCTTTTAACAGAATTATTTACTAAATATACAGCTTTGTTAATGGAGTTGTAATAGATTAATCGATTATAAATTTATGATATTATTCGTGCTCTATTTTAATTCAATAAAAAAATTTTACAACTTTTTGAAAATAGCTATGATTATCAATCATTAGAATATGGCTTATTAGCTTATACTAAATCTTTAGATTCAGCTGATAAAATCACAGTGGACATATTTGAAATGTATCAAGGGAATGAGCCAATTTCATTAATGAAATAAGTTATGAAGATTTCTCCTTATGATATGACAGGAATAAATATTTTAATTGATGTAAAATATATTATTTACATAATAAATAGGCCTAGTCCATTTTTCAATTATTTAATTAAAATAATTAATTTACTAAAATAGTCTAAAAAAAAATAGAAGAGTACATTTGACTTAAATAATTTAATTCACTCAATTTTATTATTATTAATATGATATTTATTTATGTAATATAATTAATCACAAACTTCGTTTTTATTAATTTAATTATGGAATACATTTCAAGATCAAATATAGCAAAAATGTTCGGCAACTAACTTGTGAAAGGCTCAACAACAGATAAGTGCAAGAAATTAGTTTCTTGGAGTTGGGAAATGCTTGGTTCACTTTTAATTATTATGGGAAGTCCATTATCAGTAAAAAGTCTCAAGAATATCGATGAATGTGATTCATTGAAGTCTATCGATATCAATAGATAAAAGGAGTTCACTTTAGTGTTGGATCTTGATGAAACATTGATTCATTCAGATCTAGAAAGAACTTCTATTCTAGACGAAGAAATTATAGTAAAAATAGGAGAGAATATTGAAAAATATTATATTAAGGTGAGACCTTATGCTAGAGAGTTCTTATAAAGCCTTTCTTAATTGTTTGATTTGGTCATATTTACAGCTGCTTTAAAGGAGTATGCTGATAAGGTTATTGATTTTTTAGACCCATGTGGATTTATCAAAAGAAGATTCTATAGAGATGTAATATAAAATTTATAAAATTAGAGTTGTACAAAAAAGGATGGTGTATATTACAAAGACCTAACAAAAGTGAACCAAAATTTAGAGAAAACTTTCATAATTGACAATTCGTTGTCTGGAATGCAATTAAATTTATGTAGAAAATATTTTTTATTCGAAGCAAATGGAATGTTGATTAAATCATGGTATAATGACACTAAAGATCAAGAGTTGAAGAAATACTAAAGCATGATAAAAAAGGGGATTAAATAAGGTGATAATGTTGTTACTTGCATAAGTGCGATGAAGAGCAAGTATCCAAATAATATTTTGAATTGATTTGAGTCGATTTAACTATTTATTATTGATATGTTTATTTAATGACATCTTATGTTGATATTTTTACTATAGATATATATTTATAAGGCTAATTTACATAAATAAATTAAACATATTTTATTAATTTTTTTATAAATAAAATGAAGTTTGAGGAAATCATTAGAAAATATGTCAGTCCAATCAAGAGATTTGATCATGTTTTGCCTAATAATTATTCAGCCTAAGATATTTATAATTATTATGAAGAATTGGTATTTGATTTAGTGAATTAGGCTAAATTTAATGAGATTGAATCATTTACAAAAATCAGATTTGCAAGAAAATTCGCAGAAGTTGCATAAACACAAGACCAAATGGATTGGTTGAATGATAGAGCCAAGGAGATTTCTAATGTGGCCATGAGTTTATTCAGACTCAGATTTCCTTAATTATGAGAAATAGAAAGATATTAAAAAATATAAACAATATATTTCTTTATATTGAGTCAATGTTCTTTTGAGAATTGCCCCTTTGATATTTCTATTAGATGAGGATATTAAAGTTTAGAATTCAATATGTCTTATGCCCATTATAATATTTTCATTAGTATTGTTATTTTAGCTTGCTCATTTCCTTAAGAGTCTTAAAACAATTATTAATTGACTTCGCTTGCTACCTTAATTCTTTGGGAATTTTGAGTTAGATGATTTAAAGGACATTTACTAAGGTCTTTGTAAGCTAATAAAGACATGGCCTTTTCAATTTCATCAATAAGATGAGGCTTAATACAATCCGAAAATATACTTAATCTTTTAAGAAGTCTATAATTTAATTTTGGGCATATGAAACAGCCTGATCTAATTCGTTAACTTTAATAAGTTCTATCAGCTTTTGCATTTTCAACTTAAACAGAATTTATTTATTGTTGCTCATCGATACTTTTTATAAAGCAGAATCAATCTCACCATTCAATATATTTTTCTTAATTTCAATTCTTTCAATCATCTTATCAAGTTCTTTGTTTGACACTTTACAATAAAATATTTAAATAATACATTAAATCCCAGCCTCTTTAGAAAATTCAATAGCTGCATCCCTGTAGCCTTCAACTATGAAAAAGTTGAGTACAAATTCATTCATTTTAGCTTTTGGTATTGTAATATTGTTTTGATTTTGATGCCAATCTTCAGCGGAAATTTTATCAAAAGTTTAATTCATTTATTATTAATAAAATAAATAATATAATCCATCAAAATTATTCATATTCTAAATCATCATATTCTTCGATAGGTTGTTGAGGCTTTGATTCAAGAACGCCTAAATTACACAAACATAAAGTAGCTATGGATTTTTCATTTAAATGATTGGCACACTATATAAATAATTGATATAAGCATACTTAGATTGCATTTCTTAAAATATCTGTTTAAATTTCAACTGGAGTTTGTAAATATCCGGATATTTTAATTAAATTTAATAGACACTCCAATTGCAATTTATGATTTTTTAATCTTCTGGCTAATTCATAACAATTCTGTCATATTAAATTTATAATAAATACTTGAAAATTCTCATAAGCCAATTGATATTATTTAATTTCTAAATAAACTATCCCTAATTATCCAAAGGATATACATTGGGATTCTGCTTCATCTCTTTTCTGGGCACCAGTGCTCCAAAGCTTATTCAAAATATTCCACTGAATCCTCGTAATTTCTTAACCTTCTTTAAGCTAATCCCATATTATAAAAACCAGTGAACATATTCTCTTAATCGGAATATTAAAGGTTTTGCTTATGGAACTCAATTGATTTAGTGTAATTTCCAGCATTGTAATAGTTAAAAGCCACTCTATTCGTTCCCAATGCCATCCCTATCTTATCCTCCATCAATTTAGCACAAGCCACAAACTTTTTGTAAAATCTGACAGCTTCATTATGATTTTTGCTGCTTTCATAAACCATTCCCAAATAAAAGGATAAATGAGCTTCCTTCTGTATGTCCCCAGCCTACATACCTGCTTTGGCCCTTACTAACAAATCCTTGATGCTGGTTCTATTATTTTCCTTGACATTATGAGTGTAAGGGATAGAAGGAGCATACCCATTGCCAGGAGTTAAAGGGGAAGCAATACTGGCATTGGGGAGATCTGGAGGTTAGACAGAAATTTGTTGATCAAAAAATTAAAAGTTCGTTTCAGGTTGAACTGCTAAGTCCATTTATGCCACCTTGTCGATTTCTTTTTTTAAATCAATATTGTCCATCGGAGCAGTTGATTTCATGATTTGTTCATTGAGCAAAGATCCCAGTAAAGTCTTGGTTTGCTTCTCTTCCACTTCTTTTATGTTTAGTATTTTGTCATATTGTTTGGCTTATCCTTTGTGAAAGAGAGCTTCAAAGTCCTTCTCCTTTTCTTTTAACTCTTATAATGCATCTGCTTTTGGTTATACAAATATGTCTTTATACATTTGCATTTCATTTTCCTATCTCCTAAGAGGTTTCTTTTTATATTCTTTTGGCTAGAAATAACATCGCAGATAATTATTACCTGAATGACTCTTTATTAACTAGGCTGAACACTTTTTAATAGGTTTGGATTCAATATTGTGCTTTCTATTTTAGTTTGAAACTCACTCAATACTTCTTGAGTCTTGTAACTTAAGAAATTAGATTATTATACGTAATAGGTTATAATCTTTCAGCAACCACAAATCTTGAAGGCTGATAATTTTTGGTCTATATTTTTTCGTTTGAAACCTAGATCTTAATAATTGGCTTGGTTGTTTTCTTGGCAAGTGCAGGTGGAGATTTTGATTTATCACTCATAATATAAAATATAAATGATTAATTTAAATTAAATTATAGTAATAAATTGAAATCCATGACAATCAATTTCTTCAATTTTTTCAAATTTATCATTCAAATCAATTTGTGATATGGTTTGAATCAAATGAATTATAGTTTTAAAATATAGATTGCAATATAACATATTTTTTATCTATTTTTATCTGATGATTTTAATTATCAATTAGATAATCATTTAACTAATAAAATATTATTAAGAATTTCAATGTCTATGTGGATTACTTTAAAACAAAAGTTTTAACAACTCAGAATGAGAAATTAGATTTTTTTAATCAAAATCTTTGTGCTGCTTATTAGTTTTTTCTTTATTGGATGTTGTTATCTAGTTCAATAAAACATCATGTTAGAAATATATGAAGATTCCTCAAAGATTGTACTCCACAAACAAGATAGAAAATCACTTATGCTTTTATTACCTTAATTGCATTATTATATAGTTTCAAAGTAACAATCAAGTATTATTTTATTAATTAACCAAGGAATTTAACTTTTATCTAGTATATCTACATTTTACTCATAACTTGACCAATTTACAATATCATCAAATTTTAAAAATTCACTACCATGTTAAACGATTGATTAAGTCAATTTTTTATTCAAGATCCCAGAACCTTGTTATACCTGCTTTCTTTGTGAGGGGGGCAATATCATTCCTGAACAAGTTTTATACAAAGATCTTGAAAAACTGGAAAGAATGCTTACTGAATTCATATTTTCTTTCAATACTTTATAAAAGAACAGAATTTTTTTTCTAGCCACAGGTAATATATCGTTTGGGTACATGTATCCCTAAGTAATTTTTAATTGGTCATATTAACCTGCAAAGGTTAATTGGTTTACGAATCATTTGGAACTAAGGCAGAAGAATCCTGATTAGAAGTATTTCTTCTCATTGCTATACTTTTCTGGAACAGCCAAAATATATAAATAAACTATTTCTTATTCCTTGGAAAATAGGATAAATAATCACTTAGATGCTATTGCAGCAACTGATATGGATGCAGAAGACTGGAATATGAAATCAATTAAAGCAAACACTTATTTGCTTAATTAATATGGGGAAATTATTTACCGGAATGTGGATCTCAATCTATCAGTATTGGAACTCAACTTCATATACGAGGAAAATAAAACGGGTTTTAACTAGACAGATTGGAATTAAATTTAAAATTTGGCCAGAGGAGATAAAGTTTTTTCGAATTGCTACATGCAATAAACTCAGATACTATGTCGATACAATTCAATCTATAAAGAGCCCATTAAAATTGTTGCCAAGATAATTCCTGGCAATTTTACTTTAATGATGTAAGCATAATTATAAATGTTTAGGTTTACTAATTCAAGCTTTGAGGCTAATTTGTAGAATTAATTTTTAATTATGGAACAAAATATATATGAGTAACTAAAATAAGGTTTTAATATTCAGATTTTAAGTTTTTTAGCCATTATTTTTGTTTCAATGATAGTTGTTATACTAATGTTTCTGCCCATCCTTAAAGTTATGTTATTGGCAAAATTATATATTAAGAGGATGGGCAATAATCTTGATAAAGAGATATTCAAAATAGCTAATAAGGCAAATAATAGTAAAGGTATATTTAATGAATTGCAAATTAAAATTATTAATTTTGGAGATATCATAGAAAAGAGCTAGTTATCAAAAAGTGATCTATGTAAAGATATTGAAAAAATTTAATATCAAGAAAAATTCTATAAAAGAGAATAAAGTGAGTTTTTGGGATAAGTTCATCTTTAAAACCTATAGGATGATACATAACAAAGGATACCTCAGAAAGCAATCATTTAATTCATAACTTGTTTATTTAAATAAACAAGTTAATTCCATCATTCTTAAAAATGAGTCTTTTAATTGATTAATATTCAAATAATTTCGTTATTATAAATTTTGTTAAATAAGTATTAATAGATCTATAATTATGTAAGCAATATTTGACTAAAGACACATGCATTTTGTAAGAATTACTATTAATTTATTTGGTTATACTATTATTATGCAATAATCAAATTAAATTTAATATTTTCGTTTGATCTCATTATAAATTCAATATAATTTAAAGTTTAACTATTAATTAAACATTAATATTTAGTTATGTTATGTAAAAATGAAATATATATATCAAATTTTAAAGCACTAGATTTAATTTGTTCATAAAATTAATTGAGAATTCTACGATAATAGATGGTGAGAATAAAAAATTTTATTAGTAGAATTGAGAATAAAAACTTCGATAATAATTTTTTTGTGATTGGATACATCAGAAAATACTGTGTTTTATTGATTGGATTGAAATATTATAAATCGTTTTACTACAATTGATCGATTCACTTTAACATTTTGATTAGAGTAATCAATAACACAGAACCCCAAAAATCTAAATGCAACCTTCTCATCAAATTCACCTTTACAATTATGGATGAAATCTTCATTCTCCTGCATATTGAGATATTTTCAGTATTAAAATGACAAATGTATTTTAGAATATAATTTTAATATAAAAATTATAATAGATAATTATTACAATATAATCTTGCATTCTATTAATCTAATATAATGTATTTCATAATCTTGGTCTTTCTTATTGCTTTTAGGCTTCAATCTTTTCTAATATATCTGGATTGGCTGATTAATCGGCCCTAACTTTTCCATTTTTCTAATTGAATTTCTTATACAATATCACTACACAGGCTCCACCTAAACCAATATTATGTTAAAGTGCATAATTAAGATTCTTGATTTATCTATCTTCAGCCATTCCTCTTAGCTACCAACATAGTTCTGCACATTAGGCTAATCCTGTTGCTCCCAAAGGATGACCCTTGGAAATTAAACCACCTGAAGGCTATGAATTTAGAATGAAGTTTTACATTAACAACTACTCTACCCCCATATGTGTTGTCTCCTTTATCTATAAATTCTCCTGCTTTTCCAACACCACACAACCCTAGAGCTTCATATGTGATTAATTCATTAGCAGAGAAACAATCATGTAATTCAACAGCTCCTATTTATTTTGGATCTACTCCTGTCTTCTTATACACTTATTCAGCAGCTCTTCTACTCATATCATATCCTGCCAAATTCATCAATGACTTTTGAGCAAATGTAGATTCATTATCAGTAGTTAATGCACATCCTACAATTTCTACAGCTTAATCTTGTAAATTATGTTCTAACATAAACTTTTCACTGCAAAGGATGGCTGCAGCTGCTCCATCAGATGTAGGACAACATTAAAGTTTAGTCAAAGGTCCATGAATTTTTGGCGATTTTATAATTTCTTCAAGAGTATATTTATCTCTAAACTGACTGTATGGGTTTCTTGTTGAATGTAAGTGATTCTTAAAAGCAATCTTGGCAAAATGCTCAGGCTTGGTTCCAAATTTCTACATATGCTCTACTCCTGCATTTCCAAATATTTTTGGTGCCCATGGACCTTTACTTTTCTCTGTCGACCATTCGTCTGTATAGTTTATTAATTTATCGACTGGTTATGTTCTATCTGGGAATTTCAAAGTTAAAGAACCTATCATCATCAATCAATTTACCTTTCTCCATCTTTTCAAAGCCTAAAGCAAGTGCACAATCGTAGAGTCCTCCAGTAATAAACTGTTGGGCTAAATGCAAGGCTGAGGAACCAGTTGAGCAATTGTTATTTACATTGTATATTGGTATACCAGTCATACCGACTTCATAGACGGCTCTCTATCCACATGTTGAATCTCCATAAACATATCCTACAGCAGCCATTTTAACATCTTTGAAGGTGAGTCCTGAATCATGAAGAGCTCTTCTTGTTGCTTAGGCTGCCATGATTGGATAATCTGGATTATCATCCTTTCCAGGTTTGATAAATTTCGTCATTCCAACTCCAATTACGAAAACACGCATTATTATTAATTAAAATAATATATAAAAATTTATTGATTGCAATACTAAATTCCCAATAAGACGTAATTTTATATTTAAGGTCTATTTGATAAATTAGGAACTCTATAGTTTATATTTAAATATTGGAAGTTAATCTTGATCTTTACCATCATATCAATATCATAAAATACATTTTTTTACAAAAACATTACAATAAATTAAACAAAATATATTTTTTTTTCAGTCCAATTGACAAACGTTTTGAATTTTAAATTAATAAATAAATGAATAACTAGCCATCCAGATAACTATAAGATACATTTATTCCCTAATCCATAATTGATCGAATGGCAATTGAAAAATGGATAAATGAGATATTAAAAGTATCAGGTGGTAATGGCAAATACACCAATTTGAGATAATTAGGACTTGATAGAAATTCTCTAAAGGTAGTTAAGTTTGATTATCATTTTCACTGTAGAGTGCCGGATTAAAGGATGAAGATGTCAACAGAATTTATCGAAGCATGTTTGTTTATACAGTAGGATTCTATGAAATGCTTAAAGACATACTTAAAAATTATGAATTAACAGCAATGATTTGGTAGGTATTCGGCATACTTTTGGAATATGTTGCAAAAGGGGATTTTTAATTCACGATTAATCAAATTTATAAAGAAGGTTAATAAAAAATAGAAGAGCTCAATGAAAGGTTGATGCAAAGAGAACAGAAATTTATGTCTATAGAAATTTAGGCCTAAGATGAGATAAATCATTTGCAAAATCTAATATAAGATCTAAATAATTAGTATAATTTATTGAAATAACAAAAAGAAAATGTTGAATTGGACTTTCAATAATCTAATATCGCATTTGAGGATGCAGTAACTCTAAAAATTCTGTTCTAATCTAAAATTATTGAAATTGCATCCATCTACAGAGAATAAGCATAAAATTATTCTTAATTATCTGAAGAACTCAATGAATTGAAAATATTGTATGATAAAAATAATGATGATTTGATAATGTCTAAAAAACAAGTAGAGTCTATGATGGCTGAGATAAATATGAGAGATAATTCAATTACTCATTTAAATTAAACAATAGAAAATTAATTAAGATTATTGGATGAAAAATAGAAAAAAATTTAAACCTTAGAATTAAATATTACTCAATTACGAAAAGATTATGTATTTAATAAAAATACTTATATTGATTATGAATATTAATTCAATTTACTCAATATGCAATTTTCAAAATATAAAGAAGAAAACATACAAAAGTATTTATGATCAGTAATTGTAGATTATAAGAATTTTAGATATTTTAAATCACTTATGGAGATACTTTAGAATTGAATAAGAAATTAGCAAATGAGAATTAAGTAATCAGACAAGAAACTTCTAAGTTGCAGAATGAAAATAAATATCTAAAAATTGTAACAGATGAATTAGAAAATTTAGAGTAAGGTTACAAATCCAGTATTTTGTAATTGTAACAAGATACTAGAAATTTAATTGAAGAATACGAAGATAAAATTAAGAAATTTCAAATTACTTAAGTAGAATATTAATTTGGAATATAAAGAATTTAAGTCTAATAAGATGAAATTTTGGCTTTCAATTAAAATCTATAATAAATGAAAATTAATAAAAATCATTTGAATGAAATAATTTTTTAGAACTAAGCCTAAATTTAGTAACTTTAAAGTGGATTAGAAGAAAAAGAACAAACTATTCAAGAGTTAGAAAAGTCTCAAAGTAAATTAAAATAGGATGAAATTTCTTATTAAAAATAAATAGAATAATTACGAAATACAATAAATTCATAGAATTTCGTGATAATTGAAGAAAGGGAAGAATTTGAAAAGCTTAAAAATCAATTCCAATCTTAATTATTAGAATTAAGAAAGGTTAAGTCTTTATATAATGATTAAGTTTTGGAGAATCATCATTTAGTTAAAAGATAAAAATATACTGATAATGCCATCAACGATGAAAAAAATAAAATAATTGAATTAGTTAATGAAATCACTTTTATTCGAGCTAAGCATGCTGATTTTTTATAAGTGTATAAAGCACTTGAAATAAAGTTTGATGAATTCAAGATTTAAATGAATAAGGATATATAATTGCAAAAAGATTAATATACTGACTCATTGAATTATTATAAAAATATGTAAAAGGAAATGGTTCATAAAATGATACTTGAAGATGCGTTAAGTTTAATTGATAGAACTAATTAATAACCGATTAACTTAAATTAATCATAAAAGCACGTAGAAGAGTAAAGGAATTTGTTGAAAAATAAAAATTTAGAATTACATAAAGAAATTGATGAGCTAAACACCAATTTAAAGCAATAAATCAATTTAATCTAAAAGTTATAGTCAGATTAGAATAATACTTCCAATAGGTTAAAGATAGTAAAGTTCAAGTAATTAGTTTATTTTGTCAGTCTAAAGGAAGTAACAGAAGAGCTGAAATTAAAAACTGACTCTTTAATCTAAATTCAAAACAGTAATGAAGATTTGAAAATCGAATTGAAAAGGTTAAAGGAAGAGACCATTAATTAAAAATAGCTAATAAGTAGATAGATAATATCTTCGTAGGGCTAATTTGAATAAATAGAGGATTAGGCTTCAACAAATGATTTTTAAGATTTTAGATCTACTAAACTGTAGATAAATCAAGATTCATCTAATGATTGTTAGGGATATTTTAATTCTTAAATTATGTAATAAAATGAAATTAAAAACTCCTAAAATTAAATGGAAAAAAAAGTTAAAAGATTCTCACAAAAACAGGAACAATAAAAGTTTAAATTGAAATAACTGTTCAAAACTGTTAATTTATTAGAATAATAAGGAGATAATCAGAGCCAGTCTAGAAATTTATAGGATTTTTAAATTCAGGATAGTTTTCGTGACAGTACTTTTGAAAAATATAAAATTTAAAATAGTTCTTTCTCACAATCTCGCAGCATTAGCATAAGTTAAGCAAATGAAAGTTAAAGGGATAACCAATCCAAAAGAAAAATGGATTTTAAGGTAAGAAACAAAAATAATACTTTGATAAAAAATGGAAAGATGAATTCAAAGTAATTTGGTCAACTATTTTAAATCACTAGATCTCGTAATCAATCTTGAATTTTATTAAAATATTATGATATATCATCAATTACAAATTCTTTGTCAAATTCCTTCTTTTTCAGTTATCTGACCTTTGGTTTTTTTCCAACTAGTGGAGGTGCTTTTTATTTAAATGACTTAATAATCTCTTGTTATTCTTCAAAACTAAACGATTTGTTGAATAGTTTTTATTCTTTAGTTAAATTGAATGTTCTTAAGGTTCCACACAACAAAGCATCAAATTTTTAATTCCAATTATAGATATAAGGATTTCTTTCTTTTTCATTGGTTTAAGTGAAGATTTAGGTAACACAGAGTTAATTTTTAGGACTGGAAGAAATTATTGGGAGATCTAATAATCGAGCCTAGAATGATTGATTTTATTTTTTTGGTGTTAAATATCGAGGTTTGCTTTCCTTTTTGCTAAGTTGAACTTATTTTTTAATGTATTTATCTTATTGAATTGCCAATGATGCGTTTCGAGGTTTATGCCTTTAAGAAAACATCAGAATAATTGATTTTCTCGTGCTCCTTTTCTAATCAGATTAATCTTACATTTTCTGAATCTATTTATAATTTAGATAGTCTAATAAAACTTTTATTAATAAATAATTTAGATCACTCTGAATTAAAGTGATCACAAAGAGGGAGAGTTCAAAGTTCAGAAATAACATCATGGGGGAAATATAATATTCAAGTTTATCTAAATCCCACTGGACTTGATAATGAATCAATTTTATAAAGTCCAATTAAAAATATATAAAATATATCCGTTAATATATTAATGTTAAGACAACGATCAACTTCAAAGGGTAAGCATTTTGATAGGTATGAGTATCTTAGTATGTCAGATTAGTTCCAGAGAAAGTCAATTTAAGTGATTATCAAATTCACATGGTGGAGGATTAGAAAAATGAATCATTAAAAGAACTTGATCTTAATGAATAATTGAGAGTTGAAAACAGCTAAGCCAAATACAATAGTTTATTGAAACAAAAATTAATGGAAAACAAATCTTAATCGAGTTTATTTGTCTATCAAAGACAGCCATCCAAATATAAACCTTATATTTTTGAGAATGAATGCCCGTCTCCTGTTAGAAAAATAAACAAGGCACCCTATAAGATTCTGGATGCTCCAAAATTGAAGGATGATTTCTATTACCAACTAGTTGATTGGAGTATGAGCAATTAGATAGGAGTTGGTCTTGGTAATTCAGTCTATACTTGGAATGCATTAACAAATGAAACAACATAATTATTGGAAATTGAAGCTCCTGTTTGTGTTAGTTGTATTAAATGGTGTGATAGAAGCGAGATCATAGCAATAGGAGATGATACTGGTGCAGTCAGAATTTATGATATTGTCAAGGCTAAGATATTAAAAACATATGAGAATCATAATTTGAGAGTAGGCTGTTTAGATTGGAATGGTTGCAATATAACAAGTGGGAGTAGAGACAAGAGTATATTGTTTTAAGATATCAGAACTAATAACGATTATGAATTGTCATTTCAAAGTCATAAACAAGAAGTTTGTGGATTGCAATGGAGTCCAAATGAGCAATTTTTGGCTTCAGGAGGCAATGATAATAATGTCATGATACAATCAATTAAAATGCCAAATTAATCAATGTATGTTTTGAAAGATCACATCGCAGCAGTCAAGGCTCTGGCATGGTCACCTCATTAACCTAATATTCTATGTAGTGGAGGTGGAACAACAGATAAATGTTTAAAATTCTGGAATACTTCAAATGGGCAACTCTAAAATAGTGTAGACACTGGTAGTTAAATCTGTAATATGAAATGGTCGACCAACACCAATGAATTAGTTACTTCACATGGGTATATATACATCATAAATCTCTATAGTTATTCTCTTAATTAAGTTGCTGTTTGGAAAATGCCAAAGATTGAAAGAATTGCTACTTTGTATGGTCATTCTTTTAGAGTTCTGTATTTATCATTAAGTCCTGATGGAGAAAATATAGTAACAGGAAGTGGTGATGAAACTCTTAGATTTTGGAAGTTATTTCCTTCAAAAAATAAACATTCAAATCTTGTTAATCAATCTAAACTGGATTCTATCAGATTGGATATTCGATGATGATAATTAAGTAATCCTTTCTCATTATAATCAATTACTACTTATTAATATATAAATTTATTCTATGAATTCAATTTCTACAAATAATTTGCGCATATTTATTCAATCTTAGATAAGGAATAAATTTGTGGAATAATCATAGATGAAATAGAAGATGAATTGGAACTTAAGTTTGGAAGATAAACTTTAAATATCAATTATTATACATTTTGTTAATAATTCTGTTTGTATTGGTCATTCATTTTCACAATTTTAGATAATACTATAATTGAGTTATTGACCTCTTTAATAATCTTAAATAACATGAATTGAATGATATAAAGGCTGAAAATCGTAAAATATCAATTTAATTATAGACTAAATTAGAGAGACTATTAAGATTACGTTTTTGGAGAATGAAACTATTGAATGGATTATAAAAGATACGTTTTCCAATACAATCTAAGAAAGAACTATAAAAGAAAAGGACGTTTTTTGGTTATGAAAGAGATTCTCATAATTGCAAAGAAATGATATATTTATAAATAAATAGATTCTAAATAAAATGAAATGCATTCTTTCAAAGATTTAGGCATCACTGATACAGGAAATGATTAGTTATAATGCAATTAATATCAGAAGAATATAATTAAAGTTTGTTTTTAATTTATTTTATGTATAAATTTTAAGCTGGTTGTGATCAATTGTAATTGTGGCAGTCATATCTATAAAGTCACAACTCAACTCATAGGGAGATTATATTTTATTAGTTATTTAAAGAAGTTCAAGCTAGACTCAAGAGTGAGTGCAGAGTTGAAAAATGAATGGGTAAGTTGAAATTTTATTCAAAAACATAAAGACTTGAGGTACTAAGTTCATATGATTTTTAATCAATTAGAACATGATATTAAGTAATATTTGATTGAAAAAATAAATGTAACTAAAATTACCAAACTTTAATAAATATTAATGAATACAATTATATTCAACACATCTTAATCCAAGAATCTTTTTTGATGGGTAGCTCTAACTATCATATATGAAAGATACCATATTAACAAAATTGATAATAGTCAATGAAAGACTCAAACAGTAAATAGATAAATTAAGAAATGATACTGAACATCTATTTAAGATCAAAACTCGTAAAGCTAATGAACATTAAATAGATTCGGTTAAGGTTATTAACTACTATTAATGGGTATGAAAATGTAATAAGATGTGTGATCAAACTAAACAATGGAGATTATGCAACATCATCTAGATATAAAACTATTAAGATTTGGAATTAGAACAATTTTGAATGTGTGCAAACACTGAGAGATCACATTAATTGAGTCTAAGATCTTACACGAATACTTGATAATAAAATTGCTAGTTGTTCAGATGAGAAGAATATTAAGATCTATACTCAAATTACGTAAGGTCAGTCAGATAATAGATTTTAATGTTCTCTTTGGGAATTAGGCAACACCTTAAGAGGACACGAATCCTATGTAGTTAGAATTGTATCTAATGATTAATTTAATAATCTTATCACTTCTTCTAACATCCCAAAAAGTGCTCTAACAGTTTTATATGGACATGATAATTGTTATTATACCATAGCCACCGAAAAGAATTTCAGAGTTTCAGGAGATTAGGGGGGTTATTAAATAGAATGGTCACTCAGCCATATGGAAATTGAAAATAAACAAAAGAAATAAAAGAAACATTTTGATGGCAAAGTTATCATCTGAGATATTAACCTTTAATTTATTTATGTTATTGTAAAATTTAAAGTGATAATTCTTAGTAATTAAAAAGAGCAGAATTGGAGTTATTATAATTTATTAATGATGAACTAATTGTGGGGGGAGACGAATATGGATATATCTATAATTCATTAATCCTATCCTAGGAGAAGTGATTTCAGAGATCCTTGTTCATAATGATAGTATTTCCAAAATTAAGTATTACGATGGAATCCTATGCACAGCCAGTTCAGATTTGCCTATCAAGTTATTCAAGTTTAATATTTGAATTATATATCCACAAATAATTTATGCTTAAATTTAAGAGGGTGTATCACTTCTCCAAATGGCCCATTGTCGATCTTCTCGACTACAATCACTAGATAAATTTGCTAAAATCACAACCTGCAAAACCTTATATACCAGAGCTTCTAGGACCCAATTATGAGAAATACTAGCACACATCCATTTAATTCGACTATGTCTCTCATAACTAGGAGCCATCCGAGATTTAAGTTCTCTCATCTGCCCACCCTGAGTTTAAGTAAGCTGATAGGATATTTTCAACTTTCGACCAACTCAAATACGTAAGAGAAACTGAATCCTTGAAACATTAAAAATTTGCTCTTAAAGAAATCGAAGAAGATGATGTTTTTACAGTTGATGCCATGCAATCCTACAAACCTAAATTGACTTGCGACAATCTTACAGAAAATTAATTATTGCTCATCAATCTTCCCATTAATGTTACCATCTAAGAAGTATAAGACTTTGTTTAATCCAAAACCAATTAACAAGTCTAAGTAGAACTTCACACCTGTTCCCTCAATATTAATGCTTATGCCACTCTCACTTTTTAAAACTAAGCTGAATAATACAAATCATAACTACATCTTACAAAATTCAATGGAATATTATAAGAGTGCAGATCCCTTGAAAATACAGCAGAAGAATCGCCATTCAATAGAACCCTTGTGATTACCAATATTAATAAAACTCTCTCCCTTTAAGAAGTATTACACACTGTTGGCTAATATGGAAGAGTTCTCAATGCTGTGATTCCTTTGGAAGTCTAAAATGTTGATCTTCCCCTCTATGAGGATATCATCCAAACCCTAGTTGATCCTTGTAAAATAGAAATCCTCAATGTACAAACTGGGTTAACAGAAATTGAATTCTATCCTAATCTTGAATAATTTGAATAGCTTTACAAAAATTGTAATTATCATTTACTTATTCCATAGTCCCTGAATATTACGATCCTAAACTTGAATTAACCTTATTCGAGTATCAATAATAAAAAGACCAAAAATAAGATTAATTCAGACTATTCAGATTGCTTAATCAAAAAACTGTTAAATGTTTGAAGGTCCCAAGTCACCTTAAAGAAAATTATAAGAAATTGTGGGTTCCTTAAATCAATGTGGAAACTCCTAAGGATAATCTTCAATACTAATTATATGCTAAAACTTATAAAAATAGAGGTTACTGTGTATGCACATTTTCAAGTAAGGCCATGGCTCAAAGAGCTTTATTTGCTATTAATGCAGAAGGCACTCATGATTTAGCAGTCTTGTCATTGCCTTTATTGAATACTCCTAAATTCTATCCTGAGATTACATCCCATAGCAATCAAGAAAAGTATGGTGGCAAATTCAGAATAGAGAATTTGGCATATCCAAAATTAAGAGCTATGAAATCATGGGAAGATTTAGAATTATATCAGATTGATTTGATCTACAATCTCAAATAACTAGAAAGAATTAGAACATAAATTTCTTAAGTCAGAGATTAGACAATTGAGGCTATTTAGACCAATTATGATACTTATTAAAAGGATTTGGAAGAGAAGAAAGAAAAAGTAAAGTAAAAGGCCTATTCTGAATTAAATAAAAGTGATGAATATAAGAATTTTGTTGAAAAGAATAGTTTTGCTGAATCTTTAGATTCTTTTGAAGACAGTGTAGCAGTTGTTAAAGATACTAAACCTGGAAGAAAATTTAATTTTTCTATTCACAACGAACAATATAAAAATTATGTTGAAGCAATTAAAGACAGAGCAAAGGATGTTAAATTGAAAGAAAAAGAGTATGCAGATAAATTAGTCAAAAAATATTAAACTATATTTATAAGTGATTCTATATAAAGAAAGTTAGAGAAGAATGTTGAAAAGTCAGATGACACATTGTTGTCATTACTTTAAGCAAGAGTACTAGGTGGCTATGCAAAAAAGGAGAGAAAAATGAAAAAGAGGCTTACTAGAGGTTCTAGGTTGGTGAGTACAGCTGCTATGTATGCTGCAGATTCAGAGATGCAATTTAAAAGAATTGGAGAATTATTTTCAGAAATCCAGAAAAAAGGTAAGTATGTAATAAATGAAGCGAATAGAGATTCAAAAGAGGCTTAAGCAAAATTAGCATAGAAAATAGCATTGAGAAGGCAAAGAAAATTCAAACGTCGCTTTAGTAGTACTATTTTGAACCCATTTTATTTAAAGAAATTAGCTCTGCAAAAACATGAAGAATTTTTGGAGTATATTAAAAAAATGTTATTGGGAGATGAATCATAAAATGAAAGTTTAATTGCTATCCATCCATTGAATCACAAAGATTAATTAAAGGTTAGTTTGGCTCTTGCAAAGGACGATTTGGGAAATGAATTCTTGAATGACAAAATCATCAATTATGTAAGAGAATTCGATATTACTGATGATACTCGTGATTTGATTAGATAATAAGAAGCTAATAGAAAACACTTAATGAGTCAGATCACAAAAGATTAGATTGCAAGAATCAAAGAGTTTTCAAAATAATCTTACACACAAAAATTAATATCATTAGATAAACATGGAATTACTACAGAAACTTTTGAAGTTACTGATAATGAAGTGGATATTAATCAAATGGTTAAAGATTTGAATACTTTTGTTGCTGTTGGATCTGAAAAATATGATTTTGTTGTTGATAAATTAACTAAGAAAAGATACATTATAAAGAGTGAAAAACCATTTGTTAAATATGATTTAGATGCATTTTCAATTAAAGATTTAGGAGTTCATAACTTAGAAAAGGAGGTATAATAAAAATGTTATTTTTATAGTTTGTAGATCTCTTGTCAAAGAATGGCATTTAAAGTGATAAGGCTATTGAAATGCTTAAAGCCTTGGAGAATGATGGTTAGATTTCAGAGGAGATTTTGGATTTAATTGATAAATTGCCTGAAAATACAGAAACAGATTATGAGAAAATATACTAAACATAAGGATTAACCAGGAAATGTAATATTCAACTAATATTTTAGAATATGAGTTAGCAAAATCATTAGATTTTAGAAATAATTTGGATGAAATTCAAAATGATATCGATTAATAAGCATATTTAAAGGATATATCTAAAAAGTATTCTCCATTGACAAATGATACTTTCGTCAGAGACAAGGAATAAGGAAAACTTAAAATAAAAAATAAAAATGGGAAATTTTTGGTGCCTAAGCAAAAAAAATATTGAATTTTAAATTGTTTTATTATTATGCAGTAAATATTTCAAATTTATAATCAATAAATTAGATGTCTTTAATTTTAAGAATTACTTAAGACTAATTCATTAAATCATATTAATTATGAATGATTTTATTACTTTTGAAATATAAATATTTAGAAAATTAAACAAATTATTTTTTTTTAGCTAATTTTTTAGAATTATATTCTAATTAAATTTAATATCCTAAAAGATTACTCTTAAGCTCAATAATTTTATTTTGATTATAGTTTTCTCCTATATTCTTAATTTCATATCAGAATTCCATTTAAATGGGATTCTGAAATAGCATTTCAACATTTTTATTTCCTTATCACTCAGGAATCGTTTTTATTTTATAATAATATAATAAAATAGATACATTTAATATTCTTCTATCAATATTTTGAAAGACAAGAGATAAAAACAATTTTATTAAGATGAAAGGATTCCTTTTTATATCTATTCAAATATTATATTTGGATATATTTATTAATAAAATAAAGATTTTAATATGCTGAGACTTGTGAGCAAGAAGTCATTCTCGTCAACTTTCAATGTGTTAGATACTTTCAAAACACTCAAAAGCGTGGTAAAATTAATTGCTAAACTCTAAGATCACAGCTCCAATTAGACATATAAGGTCTTATGTTAGATAGGATGGTGTCCATAGTTCAATGACACCTAACTTGACATATTAGGCTTTTGATGAAGTGCTTCATGAATATTATGCTGCTTATTCTGGAAATCCATTCCACTTATAAGTGTATAATAACCTAGATAACATCTAAACAGTCAATTTTGGTACAGTAGACAATCCTTGTGTGATTTTCACTGCAGACACTCCATTCAGATATGTGGGATGCACAGGTTTGTAAAACGAAGACGATTATGAGCAACATGAAATTCATCTCTTCATGCTTAGAGAAGGTCCATTATAGAGATGCCCAATGTGTGGTCAAGTCTTCAAATTGGTTAGACTTAGACAATAAGAGGATGAGGAAATGTCTTACTATAGAGATTCATTCCATCCTATTGATATTTTTGAATTGGATGTAAAATAATTCAATTATGTTAGAATGAAAATGTTTAATCAATCAACATGTTAAAAATGTGGACTCACAGAGAGGCTTCATTATTTGAGAGTGCATTATATGAATAAAACATTATGGTAACAATGGATAACGATGTACACGATAGATTACTTGTTGATCCAGCTTATAGAATGTGGAGATTTTAGCATGGTGAAGATAAATTAAAAATACATCGATTAATAATTGAAATAAGCAGGCTACAATGAAGAAAGAATCTACAGAAATCCAAAATACAAATTACCAATGTAAAAGGCAACATATGCAGCTGTCATTGAAGCAGAGAAAGTGTTGGCTATCTAAGAGAGATTAGAAAGAAAAGTGAACAGATTCCATGTTAGAGAATATCTTGATTTTGCTAATCATGCCAGAAGAGAAAGAAGAATGAGATTAAGATAAAAGGAAAGATGGGAGAACAATTACACTTACTTCTATGGAGGTCTTACTGAAGAAGAATAATTATACAATGATTACTTTGAAACAGATCAAGAATTATACAAGGATGACGAATAAATTGAATAGAGAATTGATGAGGCTGTTGCTTAAGTTGATCCTAAATATAGTCCTCTCAGATTTGACTTCTAAGAAGCCTATACTCATAATCCTGAAGAAGATTAAACCTCACTTCTTGAAAAGAAATTATGGAGATTCAAATATAGATTAGCCTTTGATTGCACCAAAGATTATTAAGCTAGAGAAAGACGATTGATTGAAAGACATTTGGCAAGAATGACCAAAGACCCAGAATACGTTGCTGTATTCAAGAATCTATAAAGTGCTGTTAAATCTGAAAATGAATTTGCACTCTTGTAGGCTGAAAAAGACTATTATAATCTTGCAGCAAAGGAAGGATGTAATATTAAAATATTATTTATTTAGTTCTTTAATACAAGGATTACTTTGAAGGAGATACTTCAGCTGAAATTGAATTAGTTGAGGAATTATACAAAGCTTCACCTTTGGCATTCAGCAAAGTCTTCGTTAATCATTCTGCAAGATTAGTCTAATAAGAAGGATTCTAGAAATTCCCTAAGAGAGCTTGGAATGATAGTCTAGGATTAATTCAAAACTATGTTTTGGATTTCTAAGACTTTTCATCCAATATTGTACCTAAAGCTCAAAAATTAGCTAATTATGCTGGTTTATAAAATGTATTAACTATATCTTATATCATAGGTACTTCCTGCTGACGAATAAGAGTTGGTAAAACTTGGTTTAGATAAAACTGAATAAATTACAAGATAAAAGATTGCTTAGGCTTAAGCAAAACCATAATTAAATGAGCCACCTAAATAAGCATAATAATAAGCACCTCCAAAAGTTGAATAAGAATAATAATAATAACAATAGAAACCTTAATAATAATAGCAATAATAATAATAATAACAATAACAATAATAAAAGAAAGGACCATTTAACAAAAAAAAATGATCATTTTAATTATTCATTAAACCAAAAGATTTCATTATAATTATGCTTCAAACTAATATTATATATATTCATTCTTATATATCTTAATTTTATTCTATTTGCATTTCTTCCCTATTATCTCTATACTCAGAAAACAATTCTTAATAATCAACCTTCTATCTGCTTTCCTTTCCAATAGCATGATGGTCAATTTAAGCACACCCAGGGGTTATTTATTTTAGGTTTTCTAGAATTTAAACACTTTAAACAATATTGATTCAGATTTACATATTTTTTTCTAAATAATCTTTAGAATTTTACTCTTCCATGTTCGAAATTGGTAAATGTAATTTATATTCAGGTCCAAAATAGACTTTGTATTCTGATTCATCAGGAATATTATCTTATATTGGCACATTCAAAGCAAGTGAAGTTTCATATGTCCAGCATCTGGGGACATTTCGAAGAGTATATCCTCCTCCTCCAACCATTATTATTGGAACATTGAATTTCTTCAAATACTCAATGCAAGTGCCATGTCCTACATTGATTCAATTTCAGTAATACCTTTAATACTTAAATTGAAACACCCTAAACGATCACCGCTAAGACTATCTGTACCTCCTTGTAACATTACAACATCAGGTCTGAAATTTTCCATAATTTTATCAATGACTGGTTTGAAAATATGTTAGATTGAGTCATCATTTAACCCTTCATTTAAAGGGAAATTGACGGCATAATATTTTCCTTTATCATGTCCAACATCATCAATATGACCAGTTCCTGGGAAATATTCCTTAAATTTATGAAAAGAACATGTCATCACTCTGTCAGTTAAATAGAAGGCTTCCTCTACTCCATCTCCATGATGAATATCAATATCAACATACAGAACTCGCTAATAGGTTTTCAATAATTCTAATATCCCTAACACACAATCATTAACATAACAGAATCCGCTAGCTTCACTTTACTTGGCATGATGTAATCCTCCACTCCAGTTGATGGCAATGTTGCTCTTTTGATCTGCAATTACACAAGCAGCTCCAACTGATCCAGAAGTTTAGCATAAGCAAAAATCAAACAACCTATCTAAGACTGGACAATCCTCCATAAAATTAACTAATTTCTCAGCCTAATTTTACATCTATAAAGTTGGTCCTCATATTGACATTTATTTTCTGGAGTGATTATCTTAATTAAATCTATGTATTCATAAGAATGAAATTAAGTTAGTACGTCTTCATCTACTCTTTTTATGTATGTTTACACAAAAGATTAATCCTATATTCGATTTTAAATTTCTTACAATACAATTCATATATTATTTCAATCCATAGTGACCGACTAAATCATCAGTAATGGCCACTCTTAATGGCTTCATTGGATGTGTTGTAGAATAATTGTATGTCCCGAATTCTTCATCATAGTAGTATGTCACTTTCTACTTAAAGAGATTCATCCTCCCAAATAAAGTTTAAGAATTTTATTATTGACTTTTTAACACGATTAATTACATGATTTTATAAATTCACTATTCCCCTTTCAAACTATTCCTTTCCAAGCGTTTCAAAATAAACTAATTCTATTCTTGCTTATTGCATTATTCTATTGCCATTAATGAATTTATTCAATTAAATTTCATTTTAATTAGTTTATCTGTTAACCAAAAATGTTTTCTGCCAGAGATTAACTCAGGTTTTCAAGAAAAACCATACAAACCTGCTCAATAGCTTCATCAAAACCTATAAGATATGCAACCTAGTATTGTGGGGATGATGAATATTCTACTTCGAATTTCAATTCTGATTATGAATTGTTGAGAACGAAGGAAAAGTATAAATAAAAGTGCGAGGAAATAGATATGAAGAAAAACCAATTACATTCTGATAACCTAGATTTGGAATTAAGAGCTGAGGTATCATATACTTTAGTAAATAGAAACTAAGGTAGGGAGAGAATGAAGTAAGGTATATGGCTGAAATTCTTAAAAGCAAGATCAAATAAATTTAACAACAAGAATAACAAATTAAGGAAAATCAAACTGCCTTTCTTGAAAAGTTCAAAGACAAGGAATTGTGCTTAATTGAATAACAAAAATTAATCTAAGAAAAACAAGATCAATTAAATATTAGAGAATAATAACTATCAATTCGTGAACAATCCCTAAAAGAAAAGGAATCTCTCCTATCAGAGTAGATTCATTACTATACTCAATTTAATGAACGTCTGAAAATCAATTTAGAAGAACTCAATAAAAAGGAATGTATTTTTATTATCAGTCAAATTTAGAATTTTACATTTAACAAATTAGTAATATGAATCAAACCGTCGAAAGTTTAATGGACCATGAAAATCATATCAGAGATCTAGAATTTAAACTAACTCAATAAATCTAATAATTAAAAGATTTTGATAACTAAATTAGGTAAAAGTATATAGTTACAATAGAATTTAGGTGTTAAATTGCAAATAATAAGAAGAACTAATTGATTAAAAAGAATAAGGAATTTTTAAAAGTTAAGAATTGATTAATCGCAAATTACTTTGGGATTAAAAAAATATCACTAGGCAACATCTACAATAAATTTCAAATTACATGAGTGACTAAAATTACTTTTGAATAAATCATCCATATATATTTCTTATTTAAATAAAATTATATCGCTCTATAGCTTTATTTTATTACAAACTATATATTCTATTAACTAATAATTATTTATCTCATTTTGATTAACATAGTTTTTCTTAAATAATTGAATAAAATATATAAAAAAAATAGATTTATTTCGAAACAAAACTCTGCTTCTAATATAATCAATCAATTTTTAATTCTTATATTTGCAATACTTAGTTGTTAAGACTATGGTTAAAAATTTGAACTATAGTTTATTTCATCAATTATGAATTCATTTGTATTTCACATTTTCAATCAAAAAATGAATAGTTGACGCTGAACAAAATTAACTTATGAATTCTAAACCTTAAATTTAATTTTAATGGTTTTTAAACTACATTCAAGATGATATAAGATATCGATGATAATAATTATAATATACCATAAGTTTTATTCATTTATAAACTTACATCACTTACAATCAAAAAGTTGTACAGCATTGAGACTTTTAGGTTGATTTGGTTCCAATTTTAGATGATTAGTGAGAATTTGTTTTTGGAAATTCCTAATCGATCTCAATTTTTATTTCTAAGTCACAATTAGTTTATGCTACTTTAGGAACAACTTCTAAAGTCTAATTAACTTAAGGACCTTGAATCTATTCTTAAAATTATGATAATTCCGATTCAGAGTGATCGGACTATTCAGATTCTGAGTAATTTTCAAATTCATTCTATGGTGTGTATGAATTTGTTTTCAGGACTATAAAACTATCTTGAAAAGTTATTTTATAATTTCCACCATGAATAATATCATTACCACTTCTGTCTTTCCTATTTCTAATTTCATTGGATTTTTGGCATTTTAAAATAGAATGAATTTTGTTCTTTTCAGATGTATTTCTTTTTCTCTATACTATTTAAGTTGGCATTTTGATAAGTAAAGAAGCTTAATTGAAATTATTAAGTAATTTATATTAATTTATTTAAAACAGATCTTAAATTTCAACTTTACTTGATCAAAGTTTGTATGAATGTGCGTAATATATTTCAGTGGGGAGCTCATAAGAAAATCATATCACATTATCATTGTATTCTAATAGATTTGTCCTTATTTAAGAATAAGCAATTTTATTGCTCTCTTTTGAAATATTAATTTATTAATATTTAAGGAGATTGTACAAGATTCAAATTTAAAAATAAATGATTATTTTAAGATTATTACTCGGTCTAATATGGATAAAAGTGATGAATAGAAAGATTAAATTGAATTTCTTTTTAGTTTTCAATTTACATCTTTTGATATAGCAATTAAATCAATGATTAAGTGAAATATCCTTCAAAATTTGGATGATATGGTACCATTAGAAATTTGAATGAAATTTAATGAATTATTTTTATATAAAATAAAGTAGATTGAATAAGAACTATTGAGAACCCTTGTTAATTTGTCTTCAATTAATTAGAATTCATATTTGTAGCTTAAAACTCTTTTGATTAAATTTATTTTTCATTATATCCTCTTAAATTGAGCGTTGATTTTTATAGGAAAAATTACAAATTATTATTATTACCTGTAAGTTAGTTATGAGTTCTAATTTATCAATTTCACAAAGTTGTTTTAGTTGATGCTATTTATAATTTAATATTTATATAATTAATTTATGCTTAATACTACTGAGCTTGACTAGACATTAAAAACTAATAAGGAGGCTTTAGAAATTCCAAAGTTAATCGTTAACTCATCAAAAATTACTGTGGCTTCTTCAAATAATTTAAATAATAATAGTTAGGTTCCAGAAAAAAAAACTACTTTTTTTCGTACTGAGGACAAGTTCTCAAGATTGGAGTAATATGAAGAAATTGATCGAAATGATGAATTGAACCTTCCTTTTGTTCCACCATAGGGATTCAAAGGACCAGTTGGTAAGTAAGTTTAATTTACTGATTAGTTGATCGGAAGGCAACTGATAAAGCATGGATAGGTTTATTTCTTATTGTATATGTGTTATACGGAGTTTACTCTTATTTTGTAATTGCAGGTGGAAATCCTGATAGATTGGCCAAATGGAATAGACTTTAGAGGCGAGATTTGTGGCATAGGGAGTTTAAAGAATAAGCCCTTCTTATATTATGCTGGCCCAGTGATGGATATAGATGTGACCTGGTGTATTAGGTAATGTCCCCCATCGACAGGGAGAGAAACCTGCATGTACGACACGGATCATATGACGGTGACTTCCTTTTGTTACATCCAAATGCAAGCAGATTAGATGGGTTATTACTGTATACCAAAAGAGCCCAAGAGCAGAGAACTTGTATTTGAATAGTTGGGATCAACGAGGAACACAATGAGAAGGATAGGATCAGATTTATGGCAATCTTGGGACATTACATTATGCGGCTTTGGCTTATCAATTATTTTAAGTTATTTGTTTACAGTTCTGGCTAAATTTGAAAAAATCGCCGCTGGATTAATATGGGGAGCCATTATATTTGCAGAGGCTGGCTTACTTCTATACGGTTGGCTTTTCTATCTGGAATCAATTAGAGTAAATTATGGAATGAATTTAGGCCCACGAATTTAGATGTATTGATGGTATGAACTCAGATACTTGTGGTGGCCAAATAGTAACCACCTATTAGATATTAGCAATCGTATTTCTGGCTTTAGCAGCCATTTACTTAATTGTTACTTTAATACTTTTTAAGAGAATTCAGAGAGGAATTTCCTTATTAAAAACTGCATAGCACATTATCCAAGTTTTAAGTTAGATTCGGTCATTTCCATTTATTGTTGCATTCATTGGATTGGTAGTGTGTTGTTTGGCATTTATCTTGGTATGTTTTGCAATGACAGTGGGGACAACAGAATTAACAAGAGCAAAATGTATAGATTTTATATATTAATTACTAAGATATTGATGGACATCTTCTTTACAAGGTCATCTACAATGATTACATATAGATGGGGCTAATCTATGTTGCATTTACTGTGTTTTTTACTTTAACTTTAATTTTAACTATGAATGATATGTTCACGAGTTATGCCTTATCAGTTTGGTTTTTCACAAAATAGAAAGACACTGTCAGAATCCCTTATTGTTTTTCTTTCAAAACATTATTTCGTTACCATTTTGGTACTTGCGTGTTTATTGCTTTTAATCTCATGTTTCTTACAATTCCTCAATCAATAATGGATTATTCAAGAGTAGATATATTTATTATTCATAGAGTATTATGAGATTTCTTCCTTAAACCAGTAGTTGTGTAAGGTACACTTAGGCAAGTTGTATGGCATGTATTCATGCTTTTGAGGTGTTTTTAAGATATATATCTAAACATTCAGTTGTTTAAGTAGCCATTTGGTCTGAACCATATTATTAAAGTGCTAAGAAGGCTTACTTTTTAATCTTTAGAAATTAGGACAAAATTAAAGATTTAGATTTCCTTTAAACATTGATTGTATTCTAAATTAGAATGGCAACAGCATTTATGGCATCTATTCCAATTTATATTTACATCAATTTTGCTGAATAAACATTTATGGGAAAACCAACATCAGGAATTGAATCACCAATCATCCCAACATTATATGTTTTCATTTGTGGAATGTTCTTTTCAAATATCTTCTAAGGCTCATATGATATTACTTGTAAAACCATTATCTAATTGTATTGCATGGACAGTGAAATGTTTTTTGGTGAATAAAGATTTGTGGAATAATTCATTCGAGAGTTTATGGAATTCGTAGGAAAAATAGAGGACAAGGAATGGAAGATAGGATTTACAAAATAAATTAAATTTAATAAAGATAAATTCAATGAGAAATTGAAAAATTATAATGATTCAGACAATGATTCGGAATCAGAATAAGAATATGATATTAATGAAGATGAAGAACCATAAAGTGATGAAAAAAAAGCAACTTAAAAAAAGAAAATCGAAGATGATCAATATTTTGATTATGATGAAAAAGTTGATAGAGGTAACGCTTTCATTGGATTACCTTTGGAGTATAAACCAAAAAATGATGTAACCAAGAAACCACCTGAAGAATTAGGAAATGCATCTCAATCTGTTATTCAAGATTAGACTATGGTCGCAGGAGATCAAACTATGGCTTTAGGTAGCAATAAATAATTAAGACTCAAAACTCCCATTCTTAATACCAGTCAGTAGTCTTTCTAAATTTTATTAAACGCGAACGATAAAAGTTAAATTAGTTAAGTTAGTGATTTGGATGAAAAACCTTAAAGAGAGAAAGTTATCAAAAAATAAAGAATATGATCAATAAAATATATATCAATCAATAAATATTTTTAATAGTGAAGAGCATATTTAGTTTTCTAATCTTACTCGTATATCTATATCAACTCTCATTTCATCATTTCCTTTCATGGGATATTTGCATCTATATCTTAATGATAAAAGTCTAAATAAATGTTGAAACTCAGCATCCTCTTCATTATTCTTATCACTCTTTCGCTTTTGAGTAGATAATTGAGCCAAGCATTCCTCTAACCATAAGTTTGTATTGTCTCTTCTTTCAGATAAATTAAATTGATCCTCCCCAAGTGCTATCCTTGCCATATGGTCATTCAAAATCAATTTGCCATAATAAGGGAAATATATCTTGATAAATGATTTCATTCTATTATTGTTTACAATATTTACTTTCTGTACAAATATAAAACAACTAGAAATCCTCTGACATTTCTACTTTTTAGTTCCTTTGCATTTATTGAGAATAATATGGCAGAACTCTATTTTCTATTGAAAGCTTGATTAGCAGATCTAACAAAAATTTCAAAAATGATATCCGTAACAGATTCTCTCATATAATGCATCAATGCCAGAATTCCATCTAATAAATTTTTATCTTCTGAGATTTTAACATAGACAGGTTATGATTTCTATTTCATATCATCTTTATCTGCATTCATTTATAGACAATCTTTTAATTTACGTTATGTTTTGGCCAATTCAGTATTTGCATCATTCAATTCAGATTTTAATTTGTTTATTTCATCTTATAAATTTTTAACTTAACGATTCAAATCTGAATTTGCTTTTTTCAAATTATCATTCTCAACTAAAACAGGTAGATTCATCTCCTTCTATTCATTCTAAACCTTTTTTCTTTCTTAGTTGATTGCTTCTTAAATTCTATTCGCAATTTGTGCTTTGAGCAATTAAAGTTCATTAGTGAGATCTTGAATTTATTAATCCTTCAATTTTAGAGTTCTCTCTAATTCTCTGAGTTTAGAAGGATCAAATTCATCTTTATTAGAAATTTGATATTTATTCTGCGGCAATCTATTCAAATGGTAAAGTTCTTCTTCTAAATATTTCACTCTTCCATTTAGTCTAGAGAGTTCAATATTTCTTTTAATTAATCAAAAAAATACTTTTATGCCACAACAGCTTCAAAATTGTATTACATATCCGTGATTATAGCTCTCAATCTCAAATTATCTTCCTCATGTAAACCCTTGATAAAATGCAATCTATCTAAGGTTTAGGATAGTGATGAGATTTCCTGAATATTGAACAAATTAAATACACTATTTCTGATATCAATTCCTTGAAGGAGATTTGGAATGAGATACTCGTCGTTAGCAATTTACATTTAATAATTTAATTTTACAATTAATGAAAATACAGCTCTGTATGTAATAACATTAGCATTATATGAGATTTCAAGATGGGTATTTTTATGTGCAATCAGATTTACTTGATTAGCATAATGAGACCCAAACTTTTTTGATTTATTAATATAATATATAAATTATTAAACATGTCTCAAGAACACGATTTAGATGACATAGCTGAACAACAATTGGCAGAATAAACTGCTCTAAGCTAGATTCCTTCAATTCCTGATCAGGCCTTGCCAACTCGACAATATTTAGAGAAAGCAGTTATCGATCAATTGCATGGTAGATTTAGTTAATTAAATTCAAGATGCCTTAAAGGCTTTGGCAAGGGAGAGACCCAAAAATCCAATCGAATTTTTTTCATATTATTTGTTGACTCAGCATTGCAACAAAAAGCAAGAATTACAAGAATAATGAAATTAACTGCAGTATAATTGTATAATCCCAATGTGATAATAATTATTTAAATATTAATGCTTAAGCATCTTTATGATACAGATTGCGTAACTTGGTCTCCACAAGGAAAATTGTTTCAAGTGGAATATGCTATGGAGGCAGTCAAATAGGGAAGTATTTGTTTAGGCCTCAAATCAAATGATTTTGTTGTATTATGCAGTCTGAAACGATAACCATCTGAATTAGCTGGTTATTAAGAAAAGTAATTCAAAATTGATGATCACATGGCAATTGCAATAGCTGGCTTAACTGCTGATGCTCGTAATATCCATTTATAATTTATTTAGGGGTACTCTGTAAATATATGAGAACAGAATGTTTAGAATATAAATATACATATGAATCTCATCATCCAGTTGGAAGACTAGTATTCAAAGTGGCAGAAAGTATTTTAATACCACATAATTCAAGAGTCACAACATAAAACATAGAGTGGAGCCAAAAGACCCTATGGAGTAGGATTATTAGTTGCAGGCATCGATCCAAATGGTGTACATTTGTTTGAGACTTGCCCATCAGGAAACTATTATGAATATAAGTGTCAAGCAATAGGTTCAAGATCATAGGCAGCCAGAACTTATTTTGAAAGTTGGTTCCATCTATTCGAGAAAAGCACTTTAGAATAGCTAATTCTACATGGCTTGAGTGCTCTTAAGAAGGCAATCATGGAAGACGAAGAGTATTTATTCAATTGCTATTTTAGATTAAATGAAAAAAATGTAGAAGTGGGAATTCTAGGGAAAAATCAGAAATTCATTCATCTTAATGCATAAGAATTAAAAGACTATATAGTAAAATTAGAAACATTCAATGCAAACACTTAAATTCAGCAAGAGTGATGGTTAAATATTAATAATATTGGATATATTTATATAGAAACACTTGAGGTCCAATCATTTTTCTATATTAAACTTTTATCCATATGCAAAGTTAGTATTTAGCTTTGTATCTCTTCTATCTGGTTACTTTTGTTTTTCTAGAAATTATTACTATTAATACTAATTTGCTCCTTTTCTTCCTTTCCCCACTCTTCAATCACTAATTTGTAATCAAATCTACGGACATCTGATTCGCCTTATAACTCAAATAATCTTAAAAAGAAATAATCAAAGGCTTCACTGCTGAGATTTATTCCAATATAGTTAAATGCCTTAGTTAACTAATCTTTTGTCAATAGAGCCTAATTAAATGTGGGCAAATAGGATAAAATTGACTTTTTAAATTTAATTATTTAAGCACTAATCTCATTATTATATTATCGTTCTTCATCCTCTGTGAATAATCTACATTTTCCTACTATTTGTTTAAAAATGCTTCTCACTATTTATAATTGACTGGATGCCTCTTCATCATATTCTACAAAATCTTATGAGTTATCTTCAATCATATATCTAGCCAATAAGTACATTTTCTCGACGTCTTTTAACTCAAAAGGTCTGTCACTTAATTTTAAAGCAATATCTTTTATTGAGATCTTGCCTTTTTATTTTATCTAAGGATCAAAAAAGTCATTTTCAACTACATCTTCTAATTTTAATTTCCTCAATCTAAATCTCATATTCAATTCTAAGCCTAAGTCTTTAATATCTTCTTATTTAACTGTTCTTCTTCTTCTGATACCACCACTCTATGGTCGCTGTTTATTATTTGATTTATCTTCCTAGTGTAATCCTAATTGGTTGCCATAATTATGGTTTTATAGTTAATTTATAGGTAATTAAGACAGAGGGGGTTTGGAATCCTTTTCAAAACTTGGTATAACACCCATAGTACCCATTTTTGCTAATTTAGTTGTTGAAGTTCTTTCACTTTTTCTCTCAGATTTCTAATACTATAGATATTCTTCAGAGATATCTTACTATGCAACTTATAATAATAAATTCTTAAATTTATCGTCTACTAATTCAAATTAATTCTTATAATATTCCATATCATTTTCTAATTACTTTCTTTCTTTTTCTAATTATTTAAAGTTCTCTTATTCATAATATTTCATTTCCTATATTTGTTTTTCTAATTGAGTTATAGTTTCATTCTTTTCATCATTATTAATTTTAAATTCAATAATATTTTATTCTAATTCTCTAATGTGCAAATCATCATTATGAGTTTTGGTTGCTTTAATAATTAAATTGTTGTTAATGGTCTTTAAATTTTAGATTTCTTATTATAAAATTTCGCATTTATTATTGTATTCTTATACTTATTATTATAATTGCTTTGTTTGTTCCTCCGCTCTTATTTTCAATGAATCAAATTATTCACATTTAACTTATGCATCGAGCAATTCTTCATCCTTTAATTTAATCAGTCCATTAAATTAATCCATTTCCTATTAAAGAGAATTGATAACTTTCATCTGAACATAAAATTTCTCTTCAAAATTATCCATCTAAACAGCCCTAATATCAAAAATGTTAATACATCTTTTAAGCTGCCTAATTTCTTAATGCTTAATCCAACAAACTTCTAAGTCTGATTGATTCTTCTATATAGTTTTTTAACTCAGCTTCAATTTCTTAAATTTTTGTTAATTTTATATGTTTCTTCAATATTGTTAATTCTGCCTCTCTCTCTGTCAACTATGACTTTACATCTTTCAGAGTTTTTTTAAGGTTGTTCATCAAAAGATAATCACCTAATGGTTGATGTCCTTGACCAGTTTGGATGTAATTATCCAAATTATCAAGAAGTTTTTCTAATTTTGAATTCTCCTTTTAAAGTTACCCATTTTTAGTTTTGGATCTAATATTCTCCTCTGTCAATTTATTTATTTATTATTTGAGTTCAAATTATTCCTCATAAAGTGTTTCTTTTTCTTTCTTGATATTTTTAGGTAACTTCTTATCTGCAAACTATGAAGGCGGATGTAATAAGATGGCATTAATACTTAATTTTAACAATCATTATATACTCTATTCCTTGCTTATCAAAATTATCATAATCTTACTCTTCTATAATGACTTCTTCGTCAGTTCTTTTCTTCCCTCTGGATTAAGAAGTAAATGTTACAATTTAGAATTTTTTGTTACTATGGCTGAATGTGGTCTAACATTAGGTAACTTCTTTGTGCCTCCATAGGTGTTTGCCAATTAAGCAGGCATACGAGACTTCGCACTATCAGGACGCCCTTTTAAATTGTATGCCTAAATTTCATTAAATTTTACTGAAGAAGGTCGACTTTAAAAATCGAATTCCATTTATAATTTAAATAATAATTGATTCATTCATTCAACAATAATATCTATATTATTGATTTCATCCTCTACTTTATTTTTATTAAATAATTAAATTTAGATATCATCATCATCCCAATACAGCCTTATTCCTCTACTTTCCCATTTGTGATTATATTCATCCAATTTTAATTAAACTTATTTTTCTGCTCTTTCGAAACTAAAGAATGGACAGAGCAAAGAAAACCCACAACTGAATGGAATTAACATATATGAAAGTGTGATTAGTTTTTAAGAAGGCCAATTAATTGCTATTGTTTTATTTAGATCATCAAAAAATAACCTTAGATCTTGATCACTAATGTACTCAATAATTAATGTATTTTGTCTCAAAAAATAGTAAGGATATAGTTTAGATAACACAAATCTACTGCCTTTTGTTTTTAAATTAATTACCGCGTTGGCGTCATATAATTAACTGTATTGTCTCTTTAATTTATTTTTAGTTGTTTATGTATGAGTTTATATTTCCGAAGATTTTTTATTTTAAAACATAATTATATTTATCTAAGTTTTGAATTTACTTTTATGAATAAAAATCAAAGTATGAATTAGATAAAGGGCGATATTAATGTTTATCTAAAATTATAAAACTAGGATATCAATTAATATTTATTTGAGTAAAGCAAATGAAATTACTAAATTATTTAATATGATTAATTGTTTAATATTATTAATCGTTTCATTCGGCATGTCCAAGTTTTGCTGCTTTATAATCTTCTGCAAAATGCAACAAAGAAGCTGTAAAGACTGCTAACATTTTTGCTTTACCCTAAGTTAAGATAAATGAAATGGTCTACATCTCTTATTTATTCCCAAATTAAAAACACTGTAGCGCCCAATCTTCTAGCAACTGAGATCACATACTTGGCATTACTCTCGATTTCTTCTGGGGTTTCACCTTAAGAATTGAATGATTAACCATAATTACCTTTTTAAACAAAGTCCCAATCAATAGCTCTTGGCTCAATTGAATTCAAAAGTCTGAAGAAGAAATGACTTGTCTTAGCCTTTGGATCCTTGAATGAAGCTAATCTCTCAGCTTCAGGGACCTTCTTATTGGCTGCCTCTAAGATTTGGTCATCCTTTTGGTCTCCCATTGTCTATTGGATTATGATAAAATGAATTACCTTTAAGACATCTAATCTAAACAATTACCAGATGACACCCAAGATGAGTTTCTTCTTTCCATCTACAAAATCAACTCCACCAACGTTGACAAGAGTAATTTTGAATGTTTTAGCTTATTCCAAAGAGTAGTTAGCATTTTGAACTTTAATAATTCTTGATTTGGCTGGGATTTTAACATTCTTCCAATTAATTGTTTATGGCTTTAATCTTTCTAACAATCTATTGAGATTGATTCCATCTCTCATGTCTTCAATTAAATTATTGATGTATCCATCTTCTATATTAAGACTGTTAATCCACATTTTGAATACTCTTTCATCCATGCTGCTTTCAGGATCATCATCTTCTTATAACATTTTCGTTTTTTCATAATCTTCTTGACTTGGTGTCAATCCAGGACAAGCATTGAAAATTTAAGCACAGAACAACAAGTTCAATTTTGAATTTCCTTTAACTATATGGACTGGTCTCATGAATTTAGGAACACCAATAGATTCAGCATTTTATATAATAGTTTTAGCTCTGTTTTCTGGATCTTAACCGAGTCCATCCAAGCTACATCTATCCTTATCTAATTGATTGAGCAAGACTATATAGTTTTCACCATCTTGCAAGTCCTTATCAAAGTTATTTACTTGTCTTTGAGCTTTGGCTTCTTTCAAATGATGATTGAACCATCTTAAAAGCAATTAATCAGGTGGTAATTTAAGAATGTCTCCTATTTCTTCTTCCTCCTTTTTGAGTCTTATCAAGAATGGATTTTCTTTCAAATTTACCATTTTTGTTGTTTAAATCTATTACATTATGGAATAATAATACCTTAATGATTTACCAAACCAATCCAAGAATAATGTGCTCTCTTCTATCTTTAATTAAGTCGGGTCTGATATTAACAACTACACATCCGATTGATTTGGCTGATTGGATGGCTAAATTCAAGTTGATCTATAAGAATATATGTCATTCAGAAATACATTTTCATTGAAGATGTTGAGTGGCTTCTTCACATTTATGGCTCTTGGATCAATTGCTCTATGTTATGCCAAATTGATGATTTTACAAAGAAGAATACCATCTCCCACTTTGATAAACATATCATTTGTTTCTGGATCCATTGGCAAAATGTCAGCAACATCTTTGTCGTCTCTAAGGTAGTAATTGATGTGATCACAAAAGGATGACACCTCGTCTTGAGAATAAGTGTGATGAGATCCATCACCCTTTTCTACCTTTAAGGCTTGCATTTGCTTCAGATTATCCATGTTATTTAATAATATAATTTAATCAAGATATTTCTTTGTCTTAAATTGCGGAATTTTATTACAACGCTATATCTTCCTGGTGTTACTTTTCAATCACTTATTCTGTTTTCTCTTTATTTTTATTTTTTTTCTTAGCACTCTTATTTTTAGACTCCACTGTATGCTTTTTCAATATTGCTATTCTCTTTTTGTATTCTATCGATTTTTGAAAATCCTTTAGATTGCAAATGCACATATGATAATCATCCAGTTCAGTCTCCGGAATCACCATAGCATGGTTTTCCTTATCTATCTCCTCATCATCTATAAAGGAGTCCTCTTGATCATACACATTTTGACCCTTTTCATAAGCAATATCCTTTTGCATAGCTCCTGTTTTCCGAGCAATTTAATAAGGGTTGTCTAATTTACCGTATTGAGCGCATCTTTAGACGATATTATCAATTAGATTCCTTTTTACATTATGAATTTGCTCTTCCTAATATATGGGAGACTTAAAGAATTTCCCTTCAGGGGTCTCAATATCAATTACAATCCATTCATCCATTTCTAATACAATTTTATTTAGTTTTAAAATTATCTTGCAATATATAATATATTGATAAAAATTAATTGTTACAACATAAATAAATTTACTCAGTTTTTCATATAATATGTATAATATCTCCTAATAAACTTAACTCATCATTGATAGTATTTAAATAATACATTAATTACTTACTTTTAATCATTTTAATATACTTAGTTTTTTCCTATTTGAATCAGCACTTTAATTTTACAATGTTATTTATTATTAATACTCCATCTTTCACTCTTAATAGTAAAACACATCTTCTAATACTTGGATTCAAAAATTCTATTTATTTCTAATATAAATCATTTAGAACTTTATTCTAAAACTTTTTCAACTAAAAATACAAATCTTCTTCTAATAATAGTTTTTTCCACAAAAAATTAGTATCATCTAGCTATTTTTTCAAATTAATATTCATGTATAGGTAAAGATGCTATAAAAAACTATTGAATTTCACTATCAATACATTTTGATCGAAATTGAACTTAATATTAAATGATTCTTTATATATATCCCATTTAATTGGATAATATAATTTCGTGTTATAGCCTAAAAAAAATGATTCAAATTAATCTCTAACAATAGAAAATTAATGTGATTTACAAATTATCCAATTTTATTGAATCATATCATTTTAATTGTTATCAAGTTAATACAGATTTATTTTATGTCTTAAGACTAAATTTTTGGCTTGGAGTTAATAAGAATTGTACTTGGAGAATCTACATTCTACTTCTATGGAAAGGAAGAAATATTGATTATTTATAATATTGTTGGTTAGAGAATAGATATAATTTATTTAATTTTATTCATAACTTATTTAAATAAAATGATACTGAAGTTTATTTGCAATATGCTAGATATAATTCATCAACAAAATTAGTAAATTAGAATAAAATAAATCTATTATTTCTCATATTTATCATAATAAAAATTAATATGAGTTTGTCATTTTCTTCATTTGGAAAAATTCTTGAAAAAACCAAACCAATCGCAGTTGATGAAGTTATAAATCTCAATGGACACATTCTACCCACTATTTAAAAGGATAAGAAGTAAAGAAATTGAAATGATAAAGCAAGCTCTAAATGTTTTCTCTGTTAAGAAAATTTGAAGGGAGACAGGTAAACGAATCGTTTCCATTTAATTCTGTCTCTAGGAGAGCTAAACCAGCTCTGTGTTGTTTAATGCCTGAGAAATCATACGAAGCAAAATACACACCAAAATTTGATGTAGTTTAGTGTAAGTCTCCTTCTTTTGATTTTGGATAAAGATCTAAAAGTTAAATCAGAACAAGGTCTATCTCAATTTGTAGTCAAGATTACTATATCGATTAATACACATCGTTTAGAACAATATCAAAATCATCAAAAGGGTAAGCTGAAAAGAAAAGCACAAGCTCTCAAACAAGAGAAGAATGTCCCAAATTTTAGCATTACTTAAAAGTATAACTTACAAAGAATAAGAGAAGCAAAACTAATAATTGCTCTCCTGATTTCAACAAATATACAGATCGGAAGTGTAATTAGAGAGAGTTTTTACAATAATATGATTTACTAGGAGTAAATTATGCAAGAATAGTAAAATTTATATAAAATAATGAAAGAATAAAAGACTTGATGTGGGGTATGTTGAGTTTGGTAAATTTACTGACAAAGTAGTCATGAAGTAAGACAGAGCCGAAACACCTCCATCAGTTCGTTTGGATTACGACTTTGATAAGCCAAAATAAGTCAGAAACATTTATTTAAGCAACAATAAACCAACGCAACCAAAACTAAAGCCTAAGTTACTACTACCATTAATTAATGATTCTAGGTAAAGATATGTAAAAAGAATGCAAGAGTTAATTTCCTGGTCGAATTAATGAATAATATTATTAATTTATATAATAAATATATATAGATAGATCTAAATTATTTATCAGCAGCATTTTTTGTTTTTTTGTTAAACTTAATACAGACTTTTAGACGTACCTCTAACAAATTCAGGATTCTCTAATTCCATTTGGGATGCCATGGTGCCAACTTTATCGAACATTTCCTCGATATTTTATTTATATCAAACCTTCTATTCCTTATCCAGTCTTTGCGGATACTAAAAATAGCTCAGCATTAATTGAAACTGCAAATTTCTTAGCTTCCGTATAGGTGACAACGTCATTCTCCAAATCAACTTTATTCCCACATAAAGCCAAAATCATCCTCTTTCCATCGCAATTCTCCTTCAAATCCTCATGCCATCTTGCTAAACTGCGAAAAGAATCCTTATTTGTAATATCATACACCAAAATGGCAATTTAGGATTCTAATATTCTATATATCAAGTTCAAACGAATACATCTATAATATATTTTAGTAAGGGCACGAAAAGCTTCTTGACCTGCTGTGTCCCACAATTGAAATGTTATATCCTCTCCATTTATGTTAATGGTTTTAGATAGAAATGAACTTCCAATTGTTGGTTCCGTCTTCCCATCGTATTAATTGTTGACTATTCTTTTTACAATGCAACTTTTTCCCACATTTGAACTTCCTAAAAACACTGTTTTAAATTATCTATTGTTCATCTTACTTTTATAAAATATTACAAATTAAATGGGTCAGAGCTGCATGAATAAAAAAAAAGAATAAAACGATCCTATGCATTAATCCATAAAACCTTAGCACAGAACAAAAAAACCAACTTGGGAATTGCATTATAATGAAAGCAGGCCAGAGACTCAAGAGGATCTTGACTTTGACATTGAAACCAGAAATCCTAAAAAAAAAGAAGTTCGTTTCACTACTCCTGAGAGAAGTCGACGGTCCTTCTCCTAAGGAGTTAAATATCAAAAAGAATTACTGATGAAGCAGATGTTTGGTGATATGTTTGCTAGAAAAAAATATAGTTTAATAAGATCTGATAGAGAATTGAGATAAAAAGAATACAACAATAGGATCAATAAAACATAAAATGTTGATATCAGTTTCTCCCCTGGGTAATTTTCACTCAAACAAATTCATGTAAACCATTCAGATCAAACATCAACTTTGAAAGAAGATGTTAAATCTCAGAAGTCTGTTAAATCTAATAGTTAGCCTTAATCAAGCATATTAAAACAAAAAAGCACTAAAGCGAAATCGCTTTATTCTGGATCCAGAAGAAGTGTTAGGTTTCAATTTTGATTAAGTTATATTTATTATTTAATTATGCTTTATTCACTTTGATAAATATCAGATTACTGACTTGTTTAATCTTGGTATACTTGAATAAGGGCTGCACTTCTTAACTATTCACTGGGACAAATTAAGTAAATCGTATCAACTATCAATTATATTCTTGAATTTAATTAAAGATTAATCTAAATTAAAATATCATAAAATTTATCACCTTCCTCATCCCAATGATCCTAGGCATTCATTTAATCTCATTTTCTATTCCTATAATTTCATAAGAAAATGTTTATAGTTACACACGGTTTCCATATAATCAAGTAAAAAGATTCTCAATTATTATAAATTAATATATTTATAGATTTTAAATCGAGTTATATCAGGCTCTACTTAATTTTTTGCCCATTATAGTAAAGTTTAAGATAAAAATATATGTCATACGTATAATTTTAATCAAATTTATTTAGATTTATCAAATTTAAATCTTGAAGCTAATAGAAAATACTATTCTCTTAATTTAAAATTAATATACTATCCCTAAAAACAAAACAATGAATTTATGTTTAAATTAATATTGAAAAAAAAATATTAATTCTTATATAAATAATTAAATAAATTATTAACTAATTATAATTGAAATTGTATTCTCTAAATATCTCAATTTCATAAGACGAATTATCTCAACTTCATAATACAAACTATCTACTTACTATATTGAATTCAAAATTTTAATTGTTATTAATTCTAAAATTATAATGCATAAAAATATTATTATTTACTATAAATATCTTTGAAAATGCATGTTTTGCAATTAACTAAAATTGTAAAATGAAAATTTAATATTAAAACATGCTGGTGTAGCTCCAAAGGTAGAGCAGTTGGCTGTTAACCAATTGGTTGAAGGTTCAAATCCTTCCATTAGCGTTTTTATATCTTTTACATTTAAAACCAAAGTTAGATAAACCTCATTTAATTATATTAACATAAATAATGGATTAAGACCCAGAACCTCCTAAATCTAGGCTTACTAAATTCTTTTAAAAGGTTGACAATTGGATTGGACCATCGAGGCTTTAGTATAAGCCTGCGTGTCATGATTTAAAAGAAATGATAGTAGAATGTGTATTAGAGTCGGATTGCATGAAAAACAATGAAGGAGATTTTAGATTCTGCTTAACTGAAGGAATAAATAAAGAATGTAAAGCCATAAGACATGATTGGTATATTTGCAGAAAATCATAAGTGGATTGGAATAAACATCATTTTAAGGATGATCCTCGTTGATTTTGTTATATAATACATTCTAGATAATATTATTTCACTCAATTTTAGTTGATGCTTACTAGGATTCCTCTACATCTATTTTACCTTTCAAGAAATCATTTGACTATTTGTAAATTTAATATGTATTTTGTATATCAATACCAAGTGTATTACAATAATTATGTTCAGCCATGAATTAATAAAGATCTAAAGAATCATCTTCATCAAGTTCTGAGCCAAAACATTTTTCAAATTAATCCTTAAATTGATGTTACATGTCCTTTTTTTCAATTTATAATAAAAATTTGGCCACTTGACTTGGTTTCAATTCTTTTCTTAATTATTCTAGAGTCTGCCCATAAGCACCTAATTCAAGTTAGACTTAATTTTTAATATCTTGAAATGATGAAAGAGTACTATAATATTGAATAATTCGAAAATACTTAGTCAATTCATTTTAAAATCTGATCAATTTTTTCTACTTCTTCTACAGTATTTGTTTTTACTTATCTGTTAATTTTAAACTCCTCAATACACCATGTTCAGACTAAACCTCAGATGTTGAGAAAACATCCTAATCTGTTTTAGCTACTCCAATAACGTAATTTAAATATGGAGATAGGCAATTCTCATATATTTGACGAGCGTAATGATCTATTTATTGTTGTCTCTCTAAAGCTCCTGATCCGAATTTTTTCTTTTTAATCATACTTGAAATTAATTACATTCAGAGATTCTATGATTGTGTCAATATTCATTTCATTAATATTACTTTAAACTGAGTTTTGTAAATTCTAAAACAATGTTATTTTATTCTAATCCTAATCTTATTTCTAACATTAATATTCTGTTACCTAATGTATTTTGTTTTACAAATTTGTCGCCAACTCCGTTGTTTATTCATTTACTCTTTTAAAAATTTCTAATTGCTCAGATAATTTAGTGACCTTAGTTTCAAGTAGTTCTAGGTAGATTTTCTTTCTTTTTCTACTATTTCTCGCCGATTCTCTATTTTTGGCCAACTTGTCTTCTTTATCACAATTAGAACTTCCAACAATGAGTTGGCTTTAGATCTTACTAGGAACTTGTCTTTTGCCGACTCTATTAATACTTTATTTGCCTTTACTTTTCGTCTGATTGCTACTCTTAATTCGTAATCTTAATCAAGGAAGATATCTTGTTTATATATGTGTTTTTTGTGTTTGGTCTTTGCTTTTTATTCTTGGAGCTATTATTTTACCTTTTGCTGGGTTACTCATCTTGTTCGAATTACAAATCACTTGAATTTGAATCGTAATTAAGTTAGTCTATATAATCAGGGAAACTCATTTATTTTATATTTTAATAGATAATTAGTAAATAAATTAATTAATTATTTAATGTTATTTACTTTGAAGAACATTTAATAATTTTAGAGTGTCTTTACATTCTAATAGTATCTATTATTCATCGGAGCAGAGTTTGATTAAAATACCATATTTTATTAAACAACATTAATATGTTCAGATAATATTCCATTAAAAAAATTCCCAATAATAAAACCTTCTAATTTTTTATACTAAGTATATTTAATATGAATTTTAGAAACTCTTTGAAGAAAAAAAAAAGGATGAGAACAAATGTATACAATATTCTAACAACGAAAACAATTTTTAAAATAAAAAATATTTTTTGGTTAGTCAAAAGTTAATACTTTCTGATGAAATGGAAACTTTTTATAAAATAGTGGGGGAACAAAATATTGACTTCATATTATAAAATTTTAAAGTAAAAAGTCCATTTTATTAGATATTAATCAAAGAGGACACCAATAAAGAGACTTATATTCAAATATGGGGAGAACCGATTATGAAAAATACAATAAAATAAAAATCAAACAACCAAGAAAAAATTTGCAGGTAATAAATTCTTTATTGCAATCATATGTCCAGACAAGTAGGCTTCTTTAAGAAAAGTATTGCATCAACTATTATTTTTAGATTTCATAAGTCAGGCCAAAAAAGAGATAATTATGAGGAACTTTATCCCAAAAGAATAAATATCAAATGAAATGATATCTATGAAAGCCACATCAAACATTTTTGATTAATGTTTTTTTGAGGGAAAATTTAAAGAACAAGAAAAATAGTAATTGAGAATTTTAACTTAAAAATTGATCACCAACATGTAAAAATTCAATTTTCCCTAAGCTTTCAAGATATTCGTTCCTCTACCTACTAATTATTTAAATTTAAAAAAAGAAGTCTCTCAATCAATTAAATAAAACCTCTATTACATACCTAATCTATATGATGAAATTTATAAGAACTTTTTAAGTTATGATTAAGTAATTTCAATATTAAGATACTTTCTTCGTACTATCATACCTATTGACTTTTTGGGATAATCAAACTTATATACTTTCCTAAAAGATTTATCCCAATTTATTACATTCCTAAGATTTGAAGATTAAAATTATTTAGATTATATTAATCGACTTAATGTTTTCTAAATTCCATGGATGAATAGTTATTTTTCAAAAAAGAAATAAAAAATTTTAATTTCCAAAAAAAGATAATAACTACTGCCCATCTTTAGGTTTTTATTCCAACTAATCATCATACCTTTTCTTAGACATAACTTTTACATCACTGAAAGAATGAAAGATGATTGGAAATTATTTTACTATAGAAAAGAAATCTGGACTTTGGTACTTAAATTATCATTAAATCAATTATCTTCCAATAATTTGAAATAAATATCTCCAGAAAAAATTACAACCCAATATATTGGTAAACTCAGAATAGTACCTAAACCAGGTACTTTTAGACCAATAGTTACCTATAATAGGAAATCAAGAAGTATATTTTTATTTCAAAATAGTTTCTAAATTGTCACTTAATAAAAAATTATTAGATATTAAGTATGTCCTTAGAAATTTAAGAAGCCAACAACTAGGCTTTTCAGTATTTGGAAATCCTTAAATATTCAACAGATTGGAGGAATTCAAAAAACTATGGATCAAGTATTAATTTCCATAAACTTATTTTATGTCAATGGATATTCATAAATGCTATGATTCTATCCAACTTGAATTTTTACTTAAATTTATTGAAGAAAGTAACTTGATTTAAAGTGCCTATGTCATTAATAAATATTATCTGATTATTAGAAATAATAGGTAAAGCAGGGGATCAAAATAAATGAGAGAACTATTTAATATTTTTGATAGAACTTGTGCCATTCCTATTAACAATCCTTAAGCTCTTTAAAAGGGATACATCGAATACATTTAATAGAATAAATTAGCCATTATCGCTAACCTAGGAATACAAACAACTGTCACATTTAGTGAATTCTTACTTAGCATCAAGGAATTATGTTAGAATAATATTGTTCAATTTGAAGATAGATATTTTATTTAGACTCTTGGAATTCCTTAAGGATTAAATATATCTGGAATTTTATGTTCTTTCTACATAGCCAATATAGAAAAAAACTTGACTAGGAAGTTAATAGGAGATACTTTGATTATGAGATTGACTGATGATTATTGTTGTTTAACATTTGATAAGCAAAATTTAGTAAATTTCATTTGTAATTAGATTACTATTAAAAATAATTTTAAAGAAGTTGAAAAGTAGTATAGCATCCATCTGAATGACGATAAAACACAACATAATATAGATTAAAAGATAGTCAGTTTTAAATGGATTGGCAAAATAATTAATTTGGATAAATTGACCTTAAAACCTGCTTTTGCTTAGGAAAAGGACAGTAGTAAGGAATAAATCTATTTATAGAATTTTCAAATTAAATCAATGTTAATCTACCATCAAGAATTAATTCTTATTTTTTTAAGGCCAAGTTGAAATCCTTAATGCTTAATTAATTTAAATTTTTTTTTAATCCAAAAATAAATGACCAACCAACTTTGATTAAAATAGCCAAAACATTTATACATGCTGGACTGATAAAGTTAATAAATTTTATGGAGAAAGCCAAATTATTCAAGGTATCAAAGTAAAAGAGTAACAAAATTGATTTTTTAAGTAAAATCATATTTTATCATAGAAATAATCAAATAAGTCCAAATAGAAATTGCAAATTATTGCTTCTAATAAGCATAGGAGAGAGGATCAGAATTAGATCAGAATTACATTTTGAGAATAATTAAGAAGTAATTACAAAAAACAATAAAAAATCACAAAAAATTGAAAACCATTATTAATTATAAAAATTTATGAATCAATATATTTATAACTTTCTCAATATACCAATTACTCACAATATGAATTTTGAATTAATAAGAGTACGATTGGATAAGTTTTACATATTTTCATCACATGGAAAATCAATTCATAATGATGAATCATTATGAATTGATTATAAGTCAGAAAATTGATAATTAACTCAATAATACTATATGCTATTAAATACTATGATCTCAAATCTTAAGATGTTCATAGATCAGCAAAAGGTATATTGATAACGTTTGTGAGATAAGTCTGAATAAACTTACTATCATGTTACTCATGGTTATTAGCCATTCTTTGATAATCATAGATTATTATATTAATATAATTATATGGTATTCACTATTTCACCAAAATATTGATGATTGGAATATTTTGGAGTTTAAATAATAAATCCAAAGACATATATAATTTCATTACTCTCAACTTTAAACCTCCTAGCTTTAAATAATTGCTTAAACTGAATGCTTAGTTATATCATACTTAAATCTCTTCATAAAAACTGGATTAAGCATTTTGAGCTAAATAATTCACTAAATCTACCCTATAATTTTAAACCTTTATTCATAAATGAATTTGTAATATATGTATTGAAATAAATCATTAAATATTTTGTAAAAAACAAAATAACTAAATTGATAACATCAATTAATACATATCTAGACACAAAATCAACATAAGATTGGCCTTAAATTTATAAATAAAAGCTTTTTCTTCTAATAATAGAATTATTTAAATGATAACTTGCTTTCTTAATCTAAAAAATGATTATACAGACTAGATTGGAACTATCGAAAGTTAATATTTAAGAGAACTCATCTTAATGACACATTATTGAAACATATATATTTTTAATTTTTAATTTCTAATCCCAATTTCACTAATCTATAATTTGGTTTGATACTTAAATTATAGGCTTCAATTTAGGGCTGAGGAAGATATAGATAGTACCCTCTTTATTTAAACAGACCTTTTAAGATTTTGAATCCATTTATTAATTATTAAATAATTCTCAAAAAAAATTTAATATTTTATGATAACTAATATTTGAGTTTATCATTTTAACAATATCGCTTAAATTAAATTTATTGATATCCTTTACTATAGTAAATGAATAAATTTCTAATTTTTCTTTAACAATAATACTGTCTCATATAATAATGATGTGTTTGTTAATTTGTTTTATTTATTATGATTTATATTTTTATTTTAAGAAGCCATTTTATATGATAGAGAATGATCTCGAAAATATGAAAATGTAATGCATGCTTTTATTCTAGTATGTTAAATAATGATAATCCAATGCCAATAAGTACTTTATAATATGTTTTACTACCAAAATGCAAAGATGAAATTTTCACCAGAAAGAATAACTAAAATTATATAAAGTCATATTTATCTTAGGGAGTAAACCCTAAAAATATAGTTCCAACCAATCTTGAGGATGGAATTTGGGTTGGTCTTCCAAATCAAACCCAAAATTAGTTTACGAAGTCAATACTTAAGGATGCCTAAAAATATACTGAACAGTTAAATTACACCATAAACAGATATTCTGAATATACTTAAATGAATAGTATAATAAAATCGTGTAACACATCAAGAAAAGGTACAAAACGAGTGACTTTCGAGAATTCGGAAACATTACCTGAAAAATATTATTAACCTAAATAATGATTTGTACCATTTACATTTACTTAAATAACCAGAATATATTTAAAGGGTTTCTTATGATTAATAATAAACAATCTATAATCAAGTATTTAAACTTTAATTAAACATTTATTTGGAAATAGGACAAATTGGTTATAATTGTGAAAAATTATGAATAACATTCTTGTTAATATTTATTTGTCCTTCTAAGTTTCCAACTTTACTTTCCTTTTTATCTACTCTTCATTTTTATGATAAGTAATAATATTGATATTAATTTGAGGTTATTTCATTTAAATTTCATATGCTCTTATATATATTAATAATTGTTATAGCTCTTTAATAAGACATATATTCATTGTCTTCAGTAAGTTAAATTCGGATCAAATTTTATAGTAAGTTCTTAGTACATTAGATTGAATTTATATTTATGTAAAATTATATATTATTATAATCAATAAATCTATCTACTAAATCAAATTAATTTTCTTTATGATTATTCTGGTCTTGATGTTTGCGCATTTAGGCCAGCATTAGGTTCGCTTATTTTTCTAAAAATAAATTTTAATAATATACTTTTGCAAGGACATAAGGGAATTGACTTTTTGATTTAGTTATGTTTTCGTTTTGATTAACTTCATGTTCCTCTCTTCATTCTTTTTAGGTACTACTTTTTCTACTTATTTCGGCTATTCTACATTAATTAATTAATCTGCATTTCTCAGGGCCATCGGGTTTTCAAATGGTTGAGCTTATTCTAATTGTTACCATGAATCTAATATTATAAGAGCACTTTGTAGATCACTTAAATTTCTCACTTTTATTGCATTTCTTATAATGTAATTTATTAATAGAATATAAAAAAAAATGCCTTCCACGTATGATGTGTCCTTAATTTCATTTTAATAAAACTTTGTATATGCATTATATAAGGAACTTACTAATCCTAACTTAAAAATAATGTTTGATAAGATAAGGCATAGGAGCTCCTGGCAAAAAATATGGTAAATAAATTTAGTGAAAGTCTGTTCAATAAATTGTATTCTACCTAACTATCTGAAAACCAAATGATAATAATATGGAGCATGGTGTCTGTTAGATTTCTGAAAACACTTTTCAAATTTTTATCTACTTTGATCATATAATTTTATCTGTCATATAATTGCAATCCATTGGTCATCAAGGAAACCAAAATGTATTATTTAAAGGCAAAGGATGAAGAATCTAATTTTTATTTAATTGAATTTAATTAAACTATGCATTTAACTAAATAATCAATTACTAATTAAAATTAATTTTTTAACATCTCCTTGTAATTGTCAAATATTTATATAGTCTTAACTTTTATGTAAAGTTTATGTAATAAGAGTCCACATTCCACAGACATGGAGTTTGGATTATGTGGGATTTCCAAAATTGAATATAGAAAAACTTTAAACAATGAATAGATATTCTTTTCAGTTATTATTAATTCTGCAAATTTATCAACATTAAAAATTTATGTTTTTGGTTATCGTTTCTGCAATTCTTATTGCTTTTCAGCATAGACAATTAATTAATCAAATAAATGAAGTAACATTTTTAAATGAAGTTCTGATATACTATTTTTATTAAACTAAGATTTTTCTTTTTCAAAATCTGATAAAAATATGACTGATTTAGTTGTAGGATATATTTAAACGAGTTTACTGCTTGAAAATCCATCATTTGAATATAATTCAGTATCTTATTCAGTTTTCATTTTATTTTTGCCTTAATGTTGAGAATTCTAATTTCTTTTTCTCATTAAAGGAGATGTCTTTATGTTTCCAGAATTTATTTTATTATCTATACTTTAACTATTATTGATTAACTTACCATCGCAATCTTAACAAGATGTATTTGATGATATTTTTGGTAAATAAAAATTATTTGATTTTCTTTTTTAGACTTAATGAACCTTGCTATTACTTTGATTGATTGAAATAGATGATTGTCTTTTGAACTAATCATCTTCTGCTCTTTTCAGTTTTTCTTATTTTTCATTTTAAAACACTTCTAAATTATCATAATCGTTTTTAGATTGCATTGCGTTCATTTCTTAAATATCTAATGTTTCTTATTTAAGCAACTTTTTTTACATTCTCTGTGGATCAAATATAGATAAAGCTTTAATTACTTAAAATATTTCATTGTAAGCCTTTCATAGTAATGATTATTACTGTTTAATCAGGAGTGGGAATGTCTACAACTAGTTATGCATCAAATGAATAATTAGAAAGTAATTACAAAAAATGAAATGAGTGTAAGTATGACCATAACTATTCTAAATAGTAAATTCCCAACTTAACAATGTCTTCATTAAAATTGATCATTTCTGTCAACAGTTAGTTAACTTAAGGATTGTAAGACAATTCTAATAGTTTAGGGAATATCTTTTGTTCTATAAGTTACTTAATACAAAACTTAGGCTATAGAGTGATTAAGAATTTTATCATCACAGCCAGATGATACAAATTGATATTTTTAGTCTCATCATACAAATTGATATTTATAAAGGAAACTAATTTTTAATGATTCATTTACATGTTTTAGCAAAAATTTGTGAATATTGACCCAACAAATTTTTAAAGTTTTCTATGTTTGTGAGTATTTACAAGGCTCTATAAGATCTAAAAACTTGATATTTACTCAAATTGTTGGTCGATTTGTATTTAAAGATATTTTTTTCATTGTCTATGATATCAGGCAATTTTGGGAAATTTTCATTCTAAATTGTTTTAAATGATTACCCAAAGAGAGGCTATTGAAATTTGAGTGGGATCTAAAACAAATTAAATCAAAATGTCGATATTCTCAATTTCTTCAAATACTGAATTATGTTGTAGTGGTTAGTCTGGGTCTTATTTACAGCATAAGTTTTATATATATAAACTAGGGTCTTATTCAGATGAAACATAAGACCTTCTTTTATTTTATTGTTAAGTTACAGTAATTTAAGTTTAACTAACAATCTCCGTATCTGAATCTTCTTCAATTACTACTATTTTGTATTTAGAGTAAGATGGAAATAACTTTGGAGTGTTCTTAAAAACTAAAGCTATAAACCAAATATTATTACAAATAATAATTTCCTCGCTAAATTAATTAACCCAACTACATTTATCAAATATTGTAAATCTTAAGTCCTAAAAGCAATCCATCACTTTTTCTAATAATTTTTGATTAGTAGTGTTTTGAATATAATGTTTAAACATTAAGCAATAAAGTTGGAAGTCCAACTACAAATTATTTGCCAATTCAAAGAATTTCTTTAAGTAATTAACAGTAAACAATTTAATCGTCACTATTTCCGAAGAAACTGCCTAGCTGAACTGTTATCCATCATGACCATCCTTTGGTTTGCTTTGAATTTTAATTGATAAATACTTATTAAACCGTTATAACATTGTAATTCTTTGCTTTAAGGACTAAGTACTGGTTTCTTGGAGCATAGAAATGTCTGATGTAGCTTCAAAAAAGCAACTTATGAAACGAAAATCCTGGAAATACTCAAAAAATGCAGAAATCAAAGATTCTATGTTGGATTTTTAAAAGGGGTATAAACACATTACTATCAAATTAGTGAAATAGAGCTTACGTTAAAACAATAGTTTTGAACTAGAAAATGTAGTTGCTTGGGGTAATTTTTAAGTTACATATTTTATACCTTCTGTAATTTTCAACAACCTCAAGTAATCATCATTTGCGTTGAGCTATATATTAAGAATGGATTTACTGCTTAGTCAAATACCAAAGCTATATTTTGGTCTGGAACTAACTTAAATGATTAATCCCACATAAAGCTTGTCATTTAATAAATTAAATATTAACTTTATCAATTCATATAAAAATGTTGTCACATAACCAAAGTCCTTCAAATTATACTAAATAATGTAAAAATATAATAATATTAATTTTATGCATTGATATAATAATTCGTTTTTCCTACCAATTATTTCTTCCTCATCCTTTCTCTCCATCTTCAGCAATTTAACAAAGATATTCGAAACTGCCTTCTGATGTCAGAAGCCAAGATGGATTTTATTTTAAAATAAATATAAATTTAAGTTTTTACAGATTTATATTATTTTAACCTACAACAACAAATAAGATTCTAAGGGTTCTCTTTAAGTAATATAATTACTAAAATTTATATGATCAATTGTCGTTCTTCAGACTTGTTCGGTTTCTAAATGATCTTTAACTTAATCTGGGTGGTAGTTTCTTCCCTTATTATGGAATTTTGGGAGTAGATTATAATTTTTGTTTCTCTTATTAAGCCTATTCAAATTATTTAATCTCTCTTAATTTGCTATCAAAACAATCAACAGTCAATTAAGATTTTAATTTTTCGAGTTTGGTTCTTTTGAGTTGAATTCTTCTAATAGGGGTTTATCCAGTTTTGAGTAGTTCCTGCAATTCAATCATATAATTTGAATCTTCTTCAGGTATTAGCTTGCAAACACCTTTCCAAGATTCTAATGGTTGCAAATACTCTTTTAAAATCTATATATTTCTATGATTTAGTGCCTTGTTTATAACGTAAACTATCATTCTCATATAAAAATAGACTCCTGCCTCAAAGCAGCTGCTCTTCATGCCATTAACCCAGAACTATTGTAAAGCATTGTATATTGAATTTATTAATCCAATATTAAACAAAATATTAGATAGTGATTAAAAGGGAGCCTTTGCAAATAAAATGGTTAAAAACTTGGTAAAGAAGTACTAATAGCAATTATTTTGTTGACTATCAAAATACCAAATTATAAATATGTGCATAACAGTTTCATTTAGGTGTTTATAAATGTTTGATGTGCTTATTAACTAAGTATGTATGCTAAACAAATTGAACCCAAAAAAGTAAGTTTATAACAAAAGCTATAATTAACACTTGTTCACAAATTTTGATGTTAATCTCATCTATTTATTTAATGCCACAATAGCCCTTGTTAAATTGTCAACATTAGCAAGGAAGATCGTTCTTAGCTATTCTCTTAACAATTAAAAGAGTTCAATATGATGGCTTTTATGATATATTAAATTAATGAGCTATCCACAACTTTCTCCAATTTTTTACTATGAAACATTTTAATCTATAATGCTTGACAAGTATATTTCAAAGATTGAATTTAAGAAGTTCATACTCAATATTTGTTGAATGAGAATTTATTCATTTAATTACTACAAATTAGTCTTATTTGGCTACTAAAAGTAATCTAGTATAGTTTTTAGTATTTCACTAAAAAAGCTTAGACAATTTTCCACAACGCTTTAGTCTTATCGTTAAACAATCTTTGATTATTCAAATTTAATTTATGCTTGTTTGGATGGATATATAGTTATAAGTCTGCTGCTAGAAAAACCATCATTCGACTAAATAGAATTCATAGCAGCATCATCATTTTCTGTTTTAAGTCTTCTTTAACTGGCTAAACCAAGTTTACTATTTTTAGGAGATTATCCAAATATACTTATATTCCTACTTTTTAAATCGAGACTAATTTCTCCCTAGGAGCCATAGTTTGAGAATTTGGATTCATTGTATTAACTGTTCCCATATATAGACGGCAATTTAATAGAGCGACTGCTATTAGGTTAGCTATTAGTTTGACTTTAATTAGGTGAGGTTGACTAGAATATAAGTTTGGAGTTAGACATAGGCGATTTACAAAGGCTACTGTTGACTTATGACATGCGAACTCTTGAAGTTCTCTTTAATTGTATATTATCAATTTAGATCTACAATTCATCTTAAATTTTTTATTCCAATTACTATTTATATATTTAGTCTCTCTATTTGATAAAATCCATTAGGTTATCATAATCTTAAGACTTAAATTCTTCAAGCGTTAAATGCTCTTTTACTTTTGAGTTCACTTTCCAATTGTCATAATCTTTGGCATTTTACACCATCAAACTTTTCCCAGCCTAAAGTGATCCGAACAAAGATGTCAATTTAATTTTATTATCTTCTGAAGTTTTTGACTTTGCAATTTTCTATTCTTTTTTACTCAATTCTTTCAGACATCTAATTATGAATATCTAGTATAAATAAGAAATTTACAAGGTTATCTCCCTTATATTATTGATCTAATAGTTTTTAATCATTCTCTTTTTCGAATAATATGTTCTATAACCACATAAACCAATCAGTAAAGAGTTAGTATTTCCAAATTTATTCAGTAAAAGCAGGGCCGAAATCATATTTGTTAAATTAGATCTAATGTATATCAATTAATAATCCCATGATTAATGGATTATATATATAACTAGAAAATGCAAATAGTAATTAATTTTCTAAAATTAGAGCCATAGAACTTTTAGGAAAGGAAGATAAACAAGAATCTATAGTTAGAGCTAGATGATACAAATTTAAATTTCTATTCTTATTTTAAAAAGATTCCGAAGTTTGCCTAACTAATTAATATTTATTAAACTTACAAAACTTCTATAAGAATGTTGGATTATATTGTTGCAGTTTTTCTAGATTTTATCTGTGATGAAACATTTAAGCAGTATTAAAAGATCTGACTGTGGCATAAAATTCAATTTTCTGATTTCTTATCTTATTAGATAATCCATCATCAGTAATATCTACCATTGGATATTGATCTTTCTGAAATATTAAATTACACTACCCAACAATCATCTATTTATTACTCAATTGGATTTAAGATAAAATCAATTAAGGCAAGTAAATTTTCTTCCCTAGAAACTATTTCGATTTATTATTATTCAAAAATTAATTATTTTTATGCAATCCACCTTTACAACAACTCTTCTTCATCAACTATGGATTATTTCTCGCTACTAGAATTCGAATTATGTTATTTATTTTATTAATGAAATTCACCATCATCTGAACTACTGTCAGATGAATTTTACTCATATTATTTAGGTTTATTTTACTTTTCTATAAAAAGAGGTACTAAAATATTGTTTTAAGCACAATCTAAATTTATTAATTTATATATATACAATGCTCGATGTCTTGATCAAAATCGACTACCCATTTTTAATCCTTCAATTCAGTTTGTTTTAATTCTTCGAATGTATTTATTAGTAATATTATAAAATGGTGATCTCTAGTATTCACCACGAAATCCTTTATTATGAAAACTCTTTGTTTAATGTCTTAATTTAGAGTTTTTGCTAATACAAGGTACTTTTTAATATAGGAAGCTGCGAATTTCTTTGCCACTGTCAATTGCTCTATCACAGCCTTAGCAAATGGAATAGCACTTTATTTTAGCTACTCTTTTCTTATATTCAGATTATTATAACTAATTTCTAATAATAATTGCTACTTTTGCTAAAGAACCCCTATCCTTAGAGATTGCGATCTCGTGCTTAGAAACACTCTTTATTCTTTCAACTAAGCTATCTCCAGTAATGTTTTTTCGAAAGCATTCAGAAATTCAATATCTTAAAAATAGTCAAAGATTGTGTTCATCAATAACTGTATTACCTCCTACTGAAAGGGATAAGAACAAATCACTATTTAGTTTGCTAATGAATTCTTACTGTATTTTAAAATTTGCCAATTATTAAAAGTTTTAATCCTCATTATCGCTCCTGCAACGAGTTTGATAGCATCGCTTATTTTTGTTAATCTTTGATATTCATCTTCTTCTCCAAGCTGTAATTTAGAATAAGAAATTCATTACCGCTTCTTCGAATAATAAATGGTTCATCTCAATAATATGACAAAAATAGTTACTAAAATTATTTATTATCATTTAATCACAACTAGATAATTAATAAAAGTAACACAGAATCCTGATTAAATATTTCTTATATTTTTAGGATTGGATTTTAATAATAAAAAGAGGTGTTATGAGAATTCTTAAGTCAGGAGTATATTGGCAGATTATACTTTAAAATAAATAATCTAAATTATCTAATTATTTTAATCAAATGAAATTTTTATTTATTTCTTTGAAGTTGAGAAGATTTATTATTCCCACCTACTTTGAATTTATTTCATTAATTTGAATAAGCTAATTTATTGATGGATTTTTAAGAAATCTTTAGTCAAAATTAAATGGGTTCATAAATATGTATAAAAAATATAATTATCATAAATGCAAATATCAAAAGCAATAATTTATGGAACGATCGCTACTTGGCTTGGCAGAAGATCAGATGAAAAGAAAACTCATTCATGGATTTGTTATGTAAGAGGGGCTCATAATGAAGACTTATCCTATTTCATTGATAAAGTAGTATTTGTATTACATAGTTCATTTGAAAACACCAATAGAGGTAAAATATACAATTATATTTTAGTTGTCTCCCAACACCCATTTGTGATTGCAGAAACAGGTTGGGGTTAATTCGATATCATAATAAAAATATATTTGAAGGGCGATTATGATTAGCCCTTGGTTACAGTGCATCCATTAAAACTATATCAAAACTAAACACAAAATATTCCATTAACTAGGAAACCGGTTGTGAGTGAATAATACGATGAAATTGTATTTATTAACCCAAAAGTAATCAATTACTCTTAACATAGCCTGAACTCTTAGAAATCTTAAATGCAAAGCCAACCTAAGAAAACAACCAAGTAGAAGAGGAAGTTTAAGTAGATTAAAAAGAGCCTGATTTTGAACAGATGACTCCTGCATAAATATTGAAATATAATTAGCCGCATTTTACAATTTTTGATATAAATGAATCTAAGGTAACAATTGAAAAGGCCATCTAAATTGTAAGTCAAGACATATTAGCTGATTATAAAAAAAAAGTAAAGTATCATAAATATAAATAAATTAGAATCATCAATTAGATACAGAAATTTAAGAATTATAAATTGAATATGAAAATCTGTAAAATAAAGTAACCCAAACACAATAATGAGTTATTTTTTTATATAATCATTCTGCTGATTATCATTACCTTATAAAAATAAATTTATTAAACTTATTGGCGCAAAATTAAAAACATTATTCTTATGGATTATGGTAAGTAAATTTGCATTAACTTTTATTTCGAATTGATTAATTAAATTACTGGATAAAAGACTTGAAGGAAGATAATAATTTATTAAAATCAAATATAATGATTAACGTAGGAATCATTTTGGAAGAAAATACTTTCAGTTTTTTATTAGGATTGTATGTTAGAATTTCTCAGAGCTTGTGAAGTGATATTTTCTTTTATTCTTTCAGTAATGTTATATTCAGTGGTCACTTGTTTCCTATTTTTTAATTCTTTTCTTTGCTTATTTATAATCGTCGATCTTGGTCTCGAATAGAAGGTTTTAGTGATTTATTGTATTCCTTAATTTATTTTGCTTTAAATTTCTTTATGGTTATTTGCTGGAGAATAGTATTCAAGTCTTTCATCCATACTGACAACTCGATTTGCAGATCTTTTATTAATAGACATCAACGATTAAGATCTGCTTAAGGCATTATCAATCAACCAATTGAAAGAGTGAACATTAAAGTTCATCTTACCTCCATAGGGTTTATTGAGAATGCCTTCTAGTTCTTTTCTTTTATCTTGAGCCCAAATGATTGGTTGTCTTTTTCCCTTACTCGATTCTACAATCATCATTCCCAAAAGTTTATTGGCCACTTTTAAAGTTAAAAACTTGCTAGATCCTTCATCATTTGTGTTTTAATTGATACTCTCTGAAAATTCACTGCTAAACAAACTACATCAAATATAAGGATTTAATTACTCAAATTAAGAGTTTTTTTTTTATAATTGTTAATCTGAATTTGTTGAAGTCATCTTTTGTTTTTGTGGATTGGGTTGAATAATATTAGGTTGATTATCCAATTTTTAGAAGATTTCCTATTAAAACTCTGGAGGAAATTGCATAATACGTTTGTCATCCTTGTGGGCAATCCTGAATGCTTCAAATGTTTTCATTTAAGGATCTAAAAATGAAAATATTGTTACTCTCCTCATGTTATCTATCTTTAATGAACAATCTAATTTTTTTTTCGATATAGTATTAAAGTTTTTTCAACACTTCTATTTCTTTAATTTTATTCAATTTTCCCCTCAATTCCAATCTTTCATTCATTTTTCTCTCAATATTTTTCTGCTTAAGCTTTTCTGAGATATAAAGAAACTCTTTAACCGATCTAATTTCATTGATATGTGAGTAATATTTGAGAGGTATTTTTGATTGAGATTCCATAGCCTTATTGATCTTTTCCTATTTCTGTATGAATTCCTCTTTAGGTATAAAAGCTTCTGTTTCTTTTAATCTTTTAATGTAAATTTATTCTGCAGTTGTTCGATGAGGAATTTATATTTTAGTTGTAACTGCAGATTGCTTAGAATTAATAATTTATTTATCCATGGGGTTTTATAATATTTATTTTATTTATGATATGACTTTCATAATTATGGATTTCTGAAATTCTTTCCAGCATAAACAGCTTTGCTTCCTAATTCTTCTTCAATTCTAAGGATTTAGTTATACTTGGCTGTTCTTTCAGATCTGCATGGAGCACCAGTTTTAATTTATCCAGTTCCCAAACCAACAACCTATGATAAGAATGAAATCTAACCAAATCAGCAATGAAATTATCTTCAGTTTCTCCTGATCTGTGACTGACCATAACACCAAATCCATTCTTTTATGAAAGATTTGAAGCTTCAATGGATTCTGTCAATGATCCGATTTGATTGACTTTTAATAAGAGAGCATTGCAAGCCTTTCTATTAATAGCTTCTTGGACTCTAATTGGATTGGTAACCAAAAGATCATCACCAACAATTTGAACTTTCTATCCAATTTTAGCTGTGAATTAAGTATATCCTTCCCAATCATCTTAATCAAATGGGTCTTCAATGGAAACAATAGGATGTGATGACACAAATTTAAGATATAATTCTGTCAATTATTGGGCAGTTAATTTCTTGGATCCATCATTCTTGGCATTCTTGAAATCCAAATCATAAGTGTTTTTTTCAAAGAACTCAGATGCAGCAACATCCATTCCAATATCAACTTTGCCAGTGTGTCCAGCCTTCTTAATAGCATCTTCCAATAATTGAAGAGCTTCATTTGGATCTTAAATTGAAGGTGCAAATCCTCCCTCGTCTCCAACATTAGTAGCATCCAATCCATACTTAGATTTGATGACACTCTTTAAGCTGTGATAGACTTCACATCCAATTTGAATTGCATCTTTGAATGATTTTGCTCCTGTTGGCAAGATCATGAACTTAGGAATTATTATGTATTGTATACTTCTTGCATAGCTAACTTATTTCCGGCATGCTTTCCACCATTGATGACATTAAGTGAAGGCACTGGAGTGACGAATTTGTCTGTTCTCTTGCCTGCCAATTGAGCCAAGTATTAATAGAGTGGAACATTCTATTCTGCAGCTCCTGCTCTAGCCAAACTCAAGGAGACTGCCAATATGGCATTGGCTCCTAATTTACTCTTTGACCATCCATATTTATTTTTGCTTCCATCTAGCTATTCAACAATAGATTTGTCCAATTTAGTTTGTTCGGTCACATTCTTACCTATCACATTATTCTATATTCTTACCAACCAAAGCTGGTCTAATGATCTCATTTACATTAGCAACAGCCTTAGCAACACCTTTTCCAAGGTATCTTGATTTATCACCATCTCTCAATTCCAAAGCCTCATAAATTCCAGTTGAAGCTCCTGAAGGCACAGCTGATCTGAACACTCCCTTTGATGTAATTACATCAGCTTCCACTGTTGGATTACCTCTAGAATCCAATATTTCTCTTGCTATAACATTCTTGATGCTTGAGAATCCACCCTTGATTTTCATTTAAAAAGATATTTTTAATCTATATAATTAAAATTAATGTATATTTATATCTCAATACTATTATTACGATAAGATCTTCCATCCTAAAAATAGATATTTTATATTTATTTTTAACTCTAGACTTTGTTTATTAATATTCCTAATAAATAAGTTCCTCCTATTTTCCTAGTTTCCTATCCCTTAAATATCATACATTTATATCAATAGTTATAATTGATGTGTTGTGCACTACCAAGTATATTTAATAAATTTAAAGATAACCCAATTTCAAATTTAAGCTTATTTTTACACCTTTTTTTCACAGTAAGGTGAAAACTCTACTAATGCAATCAAATTTTATGCAATTTTATACTTTTACTCAACAAATGTTAAAAAATTTGATACTTTTATACAAAATTTACTTTAATCATTTTTTTCTAAATATTGTTTTGTCAATATACAATTTCATTTATTTAAAAATAATGGGTCTATTATTTATTATATAGGATGAGGAATATTCACGAATAGGTCTTGACATTTTTTGCAGTTAATTTTATTAATTTATGAATTAATGTTTCAATAAGTTATTGGGATCGCTAGATCACATGTACGAGGCTCTATTTCAAAAAATAATTGAAATATTTGCAAGAAGGGGGATCATTCGACCATTAATTAGAAGACCAACAGTCCCAGTCATAGAACTCTAAACTATTGATCCTTCATTAAAATAGCCATTAGTTTTACACTCTTGTACATCAACGCCAGTGTTTGCTAAATGTGAGTCAATTTATCGCAGAGCAGAATCAGAGAAAGATTTCAGAAAATGCTTCATACCTAAGTATATTAGTTAATTAATTAAGTCTAGGTGATACTATAAATAAAGTGGACTCTTATTCGAGAGATGCAAGTTTGTTGAATTTATTTGATGATCAACAGGAGCAACACTAAAATTTGAATTAATAGGATAATCATCAAATTGGACACAGATTGCAAACTATAATCGAGGAAAATAAAATTTAAAATAATAGTCACGAAGGATATCAAAGTCAAAATTAATCATAATAGTTCATAAGACAATAGTAATAGCCAAAAGATAGTAATCCTCAAGAATAGGATCAAACTGAGTAGTTTTTTTCTATAATCGAAAATCCAATGAAAATTACTTAAACTGAATAGTTTTATAGCATAATTGATAGAAGTTCTTTTAGAGTCAGCTTTAATAAATAATAATCTAAGAAATGATTCAATTAGTGTATATTTAAATAGTTTAATCAATTTATCCTTGATTATTAATGTGAAGATTTATAATTCAATTATCAAATATTTTATTATGAAATCTATTAATCTATCATTATCTAAAGTTTTTAAGTGAAACAATTATTTTAATTGAAAGTTTAAAATATTGCTTAAGCCTAAATATTAGAGTTTCATAATTACATCCATTAAAATATTTACTCCATTAAAATCGAAAGCTGATAATGTAGTCACCTGCTTTAACAGTATCTCTGGATCATTACTTTGGCATAATTGAAAAATGTCGACATAAACTTATTAACTCTCATCCAACCCCTTGAGATATAAAAGAAGATTGATTTCTAGATTTATCAGATCTTAATTATTCTACTCAAATATTTAGAGCAATTTTCTATTTTGAAGTAATAACCCTCTGATGACGGTGAAAATATTTAATCTGTTTAATCGAGGCAGTTCATTCATCCATGATATATACAAGACGTATTATTCCTATATCCAAGGTCTGAGAGCCCCTTATTTCATTAGAAAATGAGCCTTCAGGGGGTGTTTGTTCTATTTAAACCAATTCATTAATTCATCTTCCGCTGCTTCCAAGTGAAATATGATCGTGGACAATTACTCCAATTAAATAAAGCAGTCAGTTAAGATCAGATGTATGTCTGGAATCTGATAATGAGTCTATCTCTGAAATGACTTGCTCACTATTCTGAATCCAATAAGTGCTTTTTCAGAAGCAGATATACTCCAGGTTAGTAATGTTTTGTTGGTGATTCCTTTACTAATCCCTTCATAAATTCCTATGGCAAAATTATACAGATTGATTTGAGAATTAATTCTATTACTTTCCTCAATGCTTAATTATTTGATCAGGAACAAATGATTTAACCTCTCCTTCAACTAATTTCTTTATTAAACATAAGTTTGTATCTTGAATAAATTTGAATTATTACTTATAACTCATATGAGTTTCCTATCTATTCTTGCACAAGTTCCACTCCAATAGGAGATGAATAACACAAAAAGATCTAAGACAATACCTTAAATAGATTCTGTTGAGTTTAAAAATTTCTAACTTAAAAGAAAAATGAAAGTATAGTTTGAATACTTGGCAGAATGATTTTATCATTTTGTATATTAGCTAGCACTTCTAAATAATTTATGATTGTTTCTTATATAAATTACTCATCAATTAAATGGTAATATAGATTATCAGAATCTTCTGTTAGTATCTCTAATTATTAAACATCAAAAAGCATCTTGAAAATGGGCATGTTATTGTAAATTTTCTATCATAATGTATTGAATAATATATTTACATAATTAGCTTTATCAACATACAGCATAAAATTAGATTTCATTTAAATAGTGTAAAGAAATGAGATTAGCTCTTCAAGCAATGGTTTTGCTTCTTCATAATCCTTCAAGTTTGTGTGATATCTTGCCAAAAGACTCTTTATTATTGAAGAATAAACAGTTACGTTTTCAAATTACATTTTAAGGAATCTAAATTATATTCAAACTTACATATCAATTTCTTCAAATGGAGCTTCGCCCTTAATCGATTTCTGTACTGATATGTACAATTAGTAAATATTCTTCAATTTGATTAAATGAGGATAAGTAGCAAATATTTTCAGATGATCTTCCAATATGTCAATATTGAAATCTGCATCTTAATGAAAAAACTAATTGTAAATTAGATATTTGAGATTTAAAATTTGTTGATTTAATGAGAAAGATCGAAGGTCTATTGTTCTTTTAAATAAACAATCATAGGGGTATAGATACTCAACCACATCTTAATTACATTCAAGTAAACTTATATGTAAGTCATCCACAAAAGATAGATGAGCATTTTAGAAAAGTTATGCGTCTAAATGAATTAATTTGACTGCTGTTTTAACTACTAATTGAACAATTTCCTTCTATCCTTTAGATATGTAAAAATGGATTAATGCTAACACTACCAAAGAAGGCTTTACTTATTCTCCATATAAATCAAGTATATTTTTAAAGTATTACTCCTTTTCTTACATGCTATAATTTTGAGACACAAAGAAAAATGCACTCACTATTTAATTAATTTAGTTTGGCCTCACATTAGATTTCAATTCAAATAATGAATAAGGTCTTTATAATATTTGAAATGCCTTCAAGCGATGCACATCATTTTAATGATCATATGATATTTATTGTAATGCTATTTCAGCTAAATATAAAAGATTGCTGGACTCACAACACATATTTTCGAAATGTTTCCTAGAAAATGTGAAACATAAAGATTAGAAATAGAATACTCTAAATTATAACAATCCTGTACTATGAAACCAAGAATTAGATTCTATTGATATTTCATTATGTAATGTCTTAAGTCTGACAATTAAACTGGTCTTTAAAAATTCATGGTTTAAATTAGATATATCCAAATTTTAGAGATTAATTGAATTATCTAATGGTCTATAATTATCTAGATGTAATATTTGATGAATTGCTCTAATTTCGTATAATAAATAAGCTTGCTCCAATTTTTGCTATCCCACTATTTTGCTTAAGAATAGTCGATTTTCTAAAGATTATTCTATTGTGCTATAGGTTAATACTTATTTCCAATTGAATTAGAAATCGTTGGATGGTTCATAGTTTGATGGAGTTAAATAAGTTTGTTCTATCCATTTATTCATTTTAACAACAATAAATTTACCAATTTGACAAGTCTTATTAGATTCCATGTATTCCATTGGCAATTCAGATTTCTACATCACTTTTAATTGGGAGCAGAAGTAATCATAAACTGGTGATTAAATTTAATGTTAAATGAAATCTATGCAATCATTTTAAAAAGTTTCTTTGCCCCCATCATACCAAACCAATAGTTGTAAATACTTATAAAAAAGTAACTAAGAACAATAATTGGGAGATTCATAAAATTCCTTTTGTAATTCAAATGCATTTTCCTGATATTACTTTAGTGTAGCATCTAAAGTAGGAGATTATTAATCAAAGTTAAATTGACTTGGACTAAGATCCTAAGGTTCCTCAACCACTAATTAGATTTTATGATCCTGATGAATTATTTCAGTTTAGATCTTCTGAATGTTTTCTAATAGTTATGCAGAATATAAAAAATTCTTATTAAAATATAAGTAGATAGAATGTAAAGCCTGCAATTATAAAGCGTACCTCTATAATTCTTTTTTAAGTTAACAAATGACTTTGATGTAGTTTGGATGCTTTCTTATTTTGTTTATTAAAATCATTCTATCAGCAGCTTGTAAATCAATTTAGGATTTGGATCTGGTCTGTTTTCGTCTTAATAAGATTTTTTATTCAGTGGTGCTCAATTGTTCTAATTTGACATTTAAACTAAGCTATTTGATTAAATCATCAATATTGTCAATAGATCGAGTTAAGGAATGGTATAATTATTCCATTTCAAATTAAAAGTTTTTTCTCATCTACAGTAGAGTGGCTAGTTTAATATAGATTATCAACAAAATATTTTGTAATAGTTTAATTTCAGATTATTTAGAGATGATTCTATTTTGATTAACTATTAAATAAGTGAGAAACGAGTCTAAGAATTCTTAGTTTTCTTCAAACTTTTTTTACATTAAAAATTTTTCAATAATAATAATTTCAGAGAGGGTTTCTTCATATTTTTTCATACGAAAATTTAAGTTTATTTAATGGGTTGCTAATGCCAACTATCCAAGAATAGTATCTTCTTGTTTTATTGATTTATGTCGATCGTCTTGATTGATATTATACTCCATAAAAGAGTGCTTGCTAATCAATTTCTCAATTATTTCATCAATAGTCGGTGATTCATATATCATTATCATTAAGATTGGCCGTAAGGAATGCAGAGTATATAGTTCTTAGTAGCCTTTTACTGCATTTTCGACTGGATGCAACAGGATCATTTCAATTACTACTTATGCTAAATTGATTAGGTCATTTTCTTCTTTGTTTGATTACAATAAGACGTAACTCCTACCATAAAGATAGTAATTATTAATATTTAGATTTCCATGACTCTATTATTTTATTAGAATCAAGTTCGCATGTAAAAATTCATGCAAATCAGTCAAAGAGTATTCTAAACTATAGAGTGATCTATATTTTATGATTTACTTTAAGGTGTACTATGACAATATCTCATACTTAAATATACAGTAACCTTTAATATAGAAATCATCAATTTAATCAACAATATTGGATAGTCTGATTTAAGGATATGCTTTTACATAAAATACACCAGAGTTAATATTGCAATCAACATTCATTTTTAATTGTTATTCATGTCGAATCTATAAAAATTAGATTAAACATTATTTGTTTTTTTTATCAGTGCAAATCCAAACAGTTTCACTCAATTGTCTTTATAATTTAATGGATTCAATAGGAAACATCTCCTCTTCCAAATATTGCATCATGATTTCTTGCAATTTTTGATATTAATAGTCGAATACATAAGTATCTCTGAATCTATCCACAATGTGAATGTAAACTTCAGATTTCTTTTTGTTTTTGTAATAATCCATCATATTTAATTCTCTTGAACATAAAGGAACTTCAAATTGATCTTTGGAACTAGATATAAAATATATTTTTACGTCATCCCTAAAGACCAAAAGGCTTTGATAAATGAATCCAAAGAAATCTATTCCAATTTATGAGGATCACCTAAAGCAGATTCTATTTGATCTTGCAAACCAGAATCTCCTTTTAGCTTGTCAATCAACTTTGTCTTAAAAAAGAAGTCTTTGACCATGCTCAATGATCTTGTTTTCACATTTGATTTACGGTATTGACTAAACCAAATGCCTTTCATTTTTATTATAACTACTTTTGTACTGTCTAGCCAAACATGCTTATTCACATATGTATCGAATTTCTTCTATAATGCTTCCAACTCCTGAATTTCCTCTAGTCTTTTGCTCTTTGGATCAAGCATTTTGAATTGTTTTCTAAATTTACTTTTAGCCTTTTCTTTGTATTACTCAATGACTTTTTTCTCATTTCTTTTAAACACAATTAATTTTCTTAATTCTAATTGTCTCAACACTGATGTCTTCCTTTTAATGTATAAACATCTTTAAGATACTCTTAATTCACACCAAGTGATTCTGTGTTGATTTAACAACTATTTTTAATATAGAAAATGCACTGATTTTAGAAATTTCTTAGGGAAATGTCTTTTCCAAGATTTGATTTCAAATGCCCAATTAAACTTTCTCTTTATGAAGTAATTTAACATAACTTGATCAGACATAACTTATTCTTTTAACATGTCTCTTTATTTCAATTCATTCATCTTCTGTTTTAGCATTTATTTCTCTTAAGTAACAACAGGCTTTTTAGACTTATCATTTACTACTTACTTTTTAGTTGTCTATTCTTTTTTGAAATCTGTTTTGCATAAGAATTTCATTTAATTTAAATCATAATGACTTTCTAGATCATCTTCTGAACTTACAGTTTCAAAATCTCCACATTGTTGATCATAAACACTTGAAAATATTTTAAAAATTGGAAATCTTTTTAAAACATCTTATTTTGATTACTATCCACTTGATTAATTCTTGGAAAACTATTCAATTGTATTTTTTATTAGATATTTCTATCTATTTATAAATAGACCCAATTCATAAGGAATCTAACCAAATGTTCCATTCATTATGAAGTTCATAAAAAAATTAAAAATCAGAAACATCAAATACACCATCAAAATCTCATAGCCATACTTTCTATTATATTCCATAGTCATTTGACCGGTGTTTGTTAAAATGCAAACATAATTAATCAGTTCTAATATTTTATTCCAAACACCTAGTGATGAATTATTTTGAGGCCAAGGTCTTTACAAGAAATACACAAACTTTGCTTTGTCAGCCTGCATCTATGCGATGTTTTACACCCATAAAAGAAAGAAGCTAAATGGAAAACTATAGCCAAATATTGAGAGAAGTGTGTTCTACAAAAATATCTCCATATAATCTTCTAAAGTTCCATATCTTTCTTGACTGATTGCATAGGATCTACGATTAGATTACTCCTAAACGTATTTGGAGATGCTCACTTCTTCAAATTTGTATTTGAAAATAGGAATCTTTTTGACATTGATTATCAGTTGAAATATTTTGACAGTCTTGAAAAAGAATACCCAAATAATCATTGTGGCAAAATGATACTGGATATGCTCTTAGCAATTGGTAGCCTTACAGTAAAGATTAAATGGTTCATTCAAAAATGCTATAATTACTAAGGGACCCACATATGATATGAAATACAAAATGTATTTTTTAGTAACAAAACTCTCTTCATAATCTTTAACTGTCTTTTAATTTTCAAAATCAGTCAATCTGGTTGCTATAATATTGTAAACTCTATCCAAAAATTAGATTATCACAATGTTAATAGTGGCAGTGACCATAACTTCAAAAGTGGCATCTCTTATTGTTTTATCCTCCTACATCTTCAATTTTAATGCAATTGTTAGAATATAAAGACAAATAACTATTCCACAATATAGAAGAATTAATAACATCAAAATCAGTGTGGCTAAAACCATCCTCGAATATAACTCGAGTTCATTGATTCCAACATTATTCATCTAATCATTCTCTACCGATCTTCTATGCTTTCCAATAAAATTACTTCTCTGAACCTAAATCTCATCCTTTCCCGATTAACCAAATTATAAATTGAAGATCATTTGTTATTTCTACCAAATCACAACAAACAAATTAGTCCACTAAATTTAAACAAAGGCAAAGATAATTCTCAACAAGTAAGTTAAATCTGATTTGTCATCCTAAATAACCCATTACACCAAATTACAGCCTAATGCAATAAAGGCTATCTTAAGTAACATCTTGGTATAATAAGTCTAATAATAAAAGTAGAGACCTATCTTCTAACCGTAATAATCACAAATTAGAACAATCGGAGCACTCCAAGGCTTCTAAATATTGAATGCCCACTCAAATTCCAAATGATACAGCTTTTTCCTATAAAAATCATCCTCTAAAATCAAATCGTTTTAATTAGAACTTAAGTGTCCAAATAATTCATAATGATCATTAACACAAAAAAATTATGATACAACCTTTTGGTTAATCAAATCATTTAATTAGAACATGTTATTTATTGCTTAATCAGTTAATTTCAATCTTTCAGAAGTAGAAAATAATGATATTTTCTTAAATTCGTTTATTTGGTATTTACACCAACACATAATATGTTAAAATTTCATAATAGGAGATATAAGCATACTAGGTTTAGAATAAACAACATAAGGCTCTAATTTTTAAACATCAATTAAGTCCCATATTGTGAACAGCAACTTCTTTTAACTATTTGCTACTTTAAGAGCCTCTTCAAATATGCTTTAATAATTGGATGCTAAGCGTTCTTTCTTAAATAATTTAATTAGTTTTGAATTCGGAACCTGATCCTCAGTTAAGAAGTCCTAATATTCCTATATTACACTAAACACTCTTTATTATATTTTCTTAATTTCTTATTAATGATATCTGTTGACTTCCTCTTTGATGTTATTTTTATTCAGTTTTTTTATTTCCTCCTTCCTCTAATTTCTAATAACATATAAATCATATGGCTTTAATTATTTATTAATGATGGCAGCAACATCACTATCAATCTTAAAATGCTTCCGATGTTTTGATATCTCCTTCTCTAAATGAACTAAATATTAATAGTATGCAAACCATTACTCATCAGTTGGCTATTCTTCATCATCCTGCAAATCCATTTTCCCATATTAAAACAACTACCCATTGATCCTACTTTGATTAGTCTCTCTAGATACTCTTTTGAAATTGATTTCATCTAACAATTTGATTATTTTTGGTCTCAGATATAAAAACATCTCTGTAACGTCATCATAATCAATTGGTTTCCATATTCTATTATTCAATCTCAATGGCCTGAAACAATTGTCCACTGGTTCCAAAGAAAACAGATCTGTAAACCAAAAATTCAACTTCTTTTTAAGTTTCTACCTTTCTGCCAAACTTTTAAGATTCTCTTCATGAGCATATAATCTACATAAAATATACTTTCCATCATCTGTAATACAACTTTTTACACTAAATCCACCCATCATGATTTATATTAGCATGATTTATCTAATCAATGTAAGTACATCATTGGTATCTTCGTGACTCCTATGCCATTTCCCATTCACATTTATAAAATAACCTCCTCCTTACATTATTTTGGGTTTCATTTCCTTAATAGCAGAATAATCTATATCAAAAGTGTCCGTTTGTTTATACTATTGCAAGTTTACAGCTTCGGTCCCCATCAACTTGTTTTGCATTTACAAAAGTAAAATAGATAGGGGATCCATTTTTTTATAACTTGAAGATCTATACCATTGTCTGTGATGGATGCTCTCAAAGGGTGTTTGGATATTTTCTTAATCTAATGGAATCTATTCGAGAATTGTCTCTGATTTCAAATTTGAGTTTTACTTGAATCCAAACCTACTTTTGCTTCTTCTCAAGTAAGGACTCAGCTTTGTAAATACTCCTTCAATTGCTTTCATAAATATTTAATTGTCGATCTTCTTCATGTCCAATTTAAGAACCTTTTCTATAAAGAGGATAGCATCAATAGGGGGCATAATCTCTAACTATTCGCATTATGAACAATCAGGATTTGGAAACCTTCATAAATTGCCAATATTTACTTTAATACTGCCTCCGGAAGGATATTTTCATCAATCTACCCAATGAATCGACCAAATTTATAATTCATTCTTTATTCATCTTTACTTTTTATTTATCTTCCAAGCAATAGCTTTAAATAAATTTCATATGTTGCTAAATACTTGTTGACTGTTTTGACCATGTTCTACATTTTTTAATTCTTTAAAGATGCTCTGCCATTCTTTTGAATGTTACCATTATTTTTTTCCAAAACAGGGTCATGGATTACATCAAAATTCACAATGTTCTTTTTATTCCTTTACGAATTAGAATCACTCGATTGGCTTGAAGGAGATAGATTAGAATAACTCATTAAACTAAAATATTATTATTACATCTTATTCCCAATATCATTAATATTTTCAAAATTTCATTTATTATGCGAAAGACTGAATAATTATTTCATTCATTTGCCATCTCGGCAATAATGAAAACAAAATGGTATATCTTTTTTCAGTAAAATGAACAAAGTAATAAAAAAATAGAAAAAATAGAAAATTTCTAAACCTTCACTCAAAAACTTAAGACTATTTTTGATTTTCATTATTTAATGTGATTTACAGCATTCTAAAAATAAATTCAAAATTTAATGTAAAATTTTCACATAAAGCCCGTTCAATTTATTCAAATTATCATTTTTATATCTGGAATATATGTGATATAACGATATTTTCAATTTTGAAATTCAAAAGTAAATCAGCTAAGCATACTTCACATTTTGGGAACCTTTAAAGATGAGTCGCCCTTTAAATGATTTAAAGAATAAAAAACCTAATTAAATAAAAGAATTTCTTGTTAGAATTTATTATAATAGAAATTTACATCATTAATTTAAAAACAGACTTGTAAAGATATTTGCTTCATATATATTTTAAGAACTCTGACAAATCTGTCAACTTTTTTCCATTCAAATTAGATAATCAAAGAAAAATACTAATTATTTACCTAAAACAATTGGAAAATGAATTAATAATGAATAATTAAAATACTTGAAATTTAATTAGTGTAATGTTAAATCAATAAAATTAATATTACTTCTTAAAATATTTGGCCATTGGTTAATCAAATCTAATAAAAAAATTGCCTATTTTATATTAAGGTTAGAAATAACTTCATAAGTAGTTAAACTTAATAGTCTTACTATTATAAGAAAAAAGAAATATATTAAGATACTTCCCTATTGTCATTTTTTTCTCCATACATAATAAATAATTAATATGCTAATTTTCTTCCAAATACAATTCGCTAGAGCATAATGGCATCTTTATTATAGCTCCTTTAATCAACCTACTTTGATTTATTGTTCCGATAATTAATGCCCATTTGGTTTCAAGGATATTTAGAGTTTAAAGAGCTCCCTTTATAGGAATAAAGGGAACTTTATATATTGTAGATCCGACAATTCTGGGAGGTATTTGGCAGGAGCATAAATGACTAGTGCAAATTGTCCAAATTATTTTTTGAAATGTAGTTGGGATTACGTTTGTTAATAATGTAAGGATGGCATGTCCAAAAACTTCAATACTTTAGGAAAATAATTGCATCTTATATGATTAAGTGACTAGATGTAAAACTGATTACTAAAATTAGACTCAAAATATTTCCTTCAACAATTTAATGATTTTACTGTTTCTGATAATATACAATCTTCTTTTGTGTTGGAGTCCTCAACAAGTAAAGACTTTTAAAAAGGTGATATAATCTATTGGTCTTATATTGATTCAAAATTTGTATTTGGAGGAAAGTATGTTTGTCCCACAGCCAGATTTCATAAATATATACAATTAATTAACCATTCCATTCATTAAATATATATTTTGATGCTGTCTTTGGATACAATTTTGATGAGGCTTGTAGTGTAATGTAATGATCATGGATTATCTGCTGATATATGAACAATGTTTGCTATGAGATATGTGGGGATGGTCTAGTATCAAAAAAAGAATAAATGTGATGATGATGATGATCTTCCAGATGATGGGTGTTATAATTGTAAATATTCATGTTATCCAGCTTGTCCACTCTGTATTTTAGGTGAATGTGTTGATGATTGTAGTGCTTGTAAAGAGGGTTTCTATTTGATATATAAATAGCACAATTTTAAAAAATATGTGGCGATGGAATTTTAGTAAAACCTGATGAAGAATGTGATTAGTTTTCAAATGAGGAAGATTTTCAATTTTAAAATTGTAAGAAGATTTGTAATTAGCATTGTTATATTTGTGATGATAATAAAAAGTGTATTTAATGCAAGATAAACTATGAATTATTTGATGGGAAATGTTACGCTAATTAATTGAACAATGATCACTCTTTGATAAATAATTGTATATATTATGAAGACTCTTAATGTAAACAATGTTCAATTGATTATTTCTACCATCCATTTGAAAATAAATGTGTACCTGTTTGTTGCGATGGAATCATTCTTGATGGAAAACTTTGCGATGATGGTAACAAAATTAATGGAGATGGTTGTGATTCAAAATGTAAACCATCAATAGATAGTCAATGTGTAAATAAATAAGGCATTTCTTTTCCTCGTCCAATACCTTTATTGAAACTTATAAAAGAAATAGGTAACTCTTAAATAGTTTATTTGACTATGATTCATAGGTAAAATTATCAGACGATTATTCAATTCAAATTTTTATAAACTCCATCAAATTTTAAATAAATAATGGAGTTATAAATAAATAGTTTTCTGAAATTAGTTAGCTAGATTAAGAATCTTATTAATACCTTCAAATGGAAATTAACACTCTTATCTATTATATATTAGGATTATGACTCAATAGCCGAAAAAATTGAGTTTAATAATGAATAGTGGCATAATCTACTTATTATTTTATTATTTATTATTCCAGAAGCATTTAAACAATAAAATACATATTTAATTTGGATTCTCATGTCTATAAAAAATGTTTTTGAACTATACTTACTGGTCATTTGTTTTAAGTCTCCCATACTTTAAATTTAATACTGTGCTTTAAATGAATTCATGTATTTTTACTATTTATCTCTTTAAAAAAAATAGCTTCATAAAATTGAATTATTCAAAAAATAATTCACTCATTTCAATTTATTTGTAATAAATTTTATGTATTTGAAAAATGAATTATTGAAGAATGATCCATTCAAAATAATATTAATAGGTTGGGTTATCATTGCTTTGATGATTTCAATAATAAGCATAACATTGTTAGTTGATATTTGCAAAATATTATATCCCTTAGTATAAAACCTGTTGGATTAAAATTTAATAAAGAAACTTAATGTGAATATTCAATTGATTTTGTAATAAATATCATTTAATAGTTGATAAATTAATAGATTACTATAATTTTAATATTCTTATTCTTTTCCTTTCTCCCTAAAATTATATCTTTTTAGATATATAATTTATTATTTATTACTATATTAAATTATTGAAATATAAATAAATTTATAGTACACATTTTATTATGAATAAAAATTCAAATATTAATATTCAAACCTATATTCCATTAGTTTTTTCGATATGAATAAATGGAGGGGTTATATTTTCAGACAATATAAAAGAAATAATGAAAAAATGATTTAACTGTAACAACAAATTGGAATTTTTATGTATAAATTAAAAAAACAATTTTATGGATATCTAATAAGTCTTCCTATTATTTTAAATTAATTTTAATTTTACCTCAAAATTAATTTTACAGTTCTAAGGTCGATTATTTTATGAGATATGTGTATTAAGTAAATAATTGAACAAAATAAATATCATTTTCAATGGGCATCTTTTAAAATGAATTTCAAAATGTCTGAAATTGTTATAATTGCTTAAACTTCTTTATTTTCAGCCAAACAAATCAAAGCTGAACTGTCTGATAAGACTAGATTTTCAACAACCTATTAAAATTATTTCTTTTACTTCTTTTATGGTTTAATCCATACTAAAGAACTGTTTAGAATAATAAATATAGGCAGGTATATGTGCTTTTTCATTTTATAAGAACACTAATAATTAAGAGGCTGTCTAAGAAAACTATTGTTCTATTTAGATTATTTACCAATTCAAATAACCCATTTTTTATAATTAATACGATGTCTCTTCTGTTTATTTATCCAATATATTAATTATTGCTATTAACAATAGGAATGATAAAAGATTTATTATTATGCATCATAGTATAAAATACTCTTGTTTAAAATTAAATAGATACTAATAAACAGTTTCATTTTCTTTACAAGTTATAATTTCTTTTGATAGATAATGATTGGAAAAAAATGCTTTAATACTTAATTAATGTTAAGATAGAATGTTATTTTATTATTTTAATACTGCTCCTAAATATTGAGTAAAGCCTTTGATTAAAAATGATAGTATATCTTTTTGATGAATAACCCCTTAAAACATTAAAGTCTCTGGATCGATCACAAAAAGTCTACTATTGCCAGACTTCACAATTTTAACACAAGCATCATATAATCTTTCATCATTTCTACCTTGAACAAACCCAGAAGATTCCAACTATTTGAATAAAGAATTAGAAATTACATCGTCTTTCACTATGCGATTCCACTGTTTTATCGAAATAGTCTTCATTTCATAAATTAATCTTAGTTTTTAATCATCGTTCAATTCACTTGGTTGTTGTTTCTGATATTATTTTTTCTAAATAATTTCTTCTTGGTCTTCACTCTCCTCTTCAATTACATTAAATAAGGGACCATTCTGTTGTACTAAATTAATTATAATTTTATACATGAAGATTTATTGTTAAATGCATTTTCGTACAGTTTTAAGAGCACTTTAATCAAATCTGAGTGTGTGAATACTCCATCATAGTTCGAAATGTCTGAATTCCAGAATAATGTTTCTTCTAAGTTTTCCTCAACAAAGATGTAAAATACTTCCCAACAAGTGAATGTCTAATCCATTACGACTAACTTTTTAATTAATCACACTAATACTTAGTTGTGATGGGCTAAACAATCATATAGATTATTATCTTTTAGAAATTGAGTGATTGTGTCTTTGTATTTGCTATACTCTTAAGTTGAGATTTATAATTAATTCATAATATAAATTTTATATCATTAATTGAGCTCTTTACTTATTGAATCAATAAATCTTAAATTCTACATTTAATTTATGAATAATTATCTATTCAAGTACATTAAAGTCTAAGGGCATCTCAGATTCCTTCATTTCTAAAGGATCATAGATTACTATTTTGAATGGCACATATTCTAATTTAAAATAATGTAAATCATGTTTAATTGACTTATTAATCTTAGCTTGTAACCCATTTCTAAGACATGCTTAACTTAATTCATTGGATAAAGGGAAATCATTAAAATCATACACAAATCTATACTTTCCATCCTATTTTTATAGTTTTATCATTATCAAGAAGGTTTCTAATTAAACTTTCTATAACATGTAACAGAGGTGTAAAAATTCTAAAAGCGTGAAATTTTGTCTAAAAATTGTTTTTTTGAGTTATTTCAAGATTAACTGAGGTGGATGTAATGTTAAGATTACATAATTGGAATCAATTTCACACACTTGTTTTAAACATTTTTTATTGAGATCGATTATGCATTCTTATAATTAATCTTAATTTACTTGCTTGTTTAATTTATAATTATTTTAAAGTGCTTTGATCATATATGTCAATCCCTATTTCTTTAATCCTCAAATTATAAAATTATCTAATGTAAGTTCTCTATTTTCCAAAATTGATCCTTTAACACTATGCTAAAAGATAATTCATACATATTATTAAATTGTGCTAAATTTATTTCCTATTAAATGCAAAACATCTGTATTTGTTAAATAGATGTTTTCACATTATCCTGAATCCTAAAAGTAAGCTTATAATCTTGGATATTGAATTTCGATGATACCCAGATCTTCCAAAGATACTGTAATAGGAGTAGATGGAATTGAAAATTTTTAAAATTGATCTTGATGTTAACCAATGTTTATATTTATGTTTTCATTTTGATTCAACTAAAGATTTTCACAAATGTATTTTGTGATTATATCAATAGATTCTAGATGCATTAATTGAGTTGTTTCTTCAAAATTCAAATTTCTTATGAAATTTCCAAATTTTATCGTAAAAGAATGAAAAGTCAGTATAACAGCATATGAATCAGTGAGCACTACCTTTTCATAACAAATTTATGTTTTAGGGATGATTTCAACTAATTTTTGAATTTCTTCCTCTTGAAAGGAAATTTGATTTATTTGCTTTTCAATTTAGTGTTTTTGTGGAGATCGCTATCCAAATTTTTACTCTTGATAAACTTAACTAGTTTCCATTTAATCATTGTCACATAGATATTAGAAATTTTTAATATCTACATTTTTTTTTAGAGGCGAGAGAATTCTAGGTTTTCTTAAATTAAAATTAATCATTTTGGCTCTTTTTATTAAACAAGCCATAATAATATAATAGTCATATCTTCAAACATTCCTTCATTTAATATCCAGCTATTTTTGCATTGCTTGTATAATGAGTCACAAGCTGACTTGATTTCATGCAGAGAAAAACCTTTCAGTTGACTCATAATGTCGTTTTCCTCTTGATACGCATAGACTGATGCAGTTGATAATATTAAGAAGGTATCCTTAATAGTTATATCATATTCGCGAAAAAATGGTTGAGATGATACTCCGATTACATGGGCAATCACGTCGCCTAGACTTCTGGTCACATGCAACTACGGGTACAACCTGCCTCTTACAAATACGTATTCTTCCCCCTGAGGGATCTTTCTAACTTCGCCTCCGCTATTAAAAATCCTTGCTTTTTCAGAACTATCACTAGGGGTATGGATAGGTAATGTTTAGGCCATGATATTACTTTCTTTGGTCTAATTGACTTATTCTTTATAGATGTAAGCTCTGTTGTCTCCAATTTAAGCGCAATATAATTTGGAATCCCTTTAGATGATAACTAAGTATAAGCATTTGATTTACCTGTTATGACACAACCACTAAGCAAAATGTTGTGAGTGTCATCCAGTTTCTTTTTCTCAATGTACATTTTTAATTTGTTTTGTAACTTTTTAAATATAATCTCCAACCCTCTCATAGGATTCGTATAAAAGGTTGGTGTTCTAATTAAGTAATGAAATACCATTCTATAGGTTAGATTACTAATTTTTTCACCAAATTCTCCATGTCCATTACTCAAAATCAAGATCTTTTGATAATTGTCATTGTAAATTAAATAATCTTAGGCTAAAGGGGCTGTTTCATTTTTATTTCCCTTTTTACTAATGACTGCTATTCCAATTTGGTTTAATAATTATTCAGGGGAGTAATCAGTCTGGATTTCAGATTCTTGATCCTCCGATTCTGAGTCTATTAAATTTGATCGACAGGATAGTTTAACTAATTTATCTTTTCCTGGTAACAATTTCTAGTCACTTATTTGGGTTCTGATATATAATTGAGAAAGGGGATATTGATGAGGGAAAGATTATTATTTCAAATTAATAGTGTCAGCAACATCATTTATTTCAAAATTAGCTAAAAATTATTAATCAACTTTGGAATTTACACTACTTTTTCTGGATGTGACATTATCTTCAGCCTATTAGATTAGTTATTTAATTTTTTTAGTGTTTTCATCTCTTTCTTCAAAAGAATCATCACTCTAGAAGTTTTAGAATTTGGTTTATCTTCTATCATTATATAATTGTTTTTCTTCAATGTCGCTTTCTTCCTCACTGTCAGTATGAAAAGAATTCTTTTTCTTTTAATGTGAAAAATGCATTTTACTTGATTTAACTGATGGACTTGAAGATTTTGATATCTAATCACTGTCATCAGAATAAACAACAGAAGGCTTTTATTCTAATTTTACAGTTTATCTAGGGGATTTATTTTAAAATTAGGATTCCATAAAATTCTTGGTTTCTAAATTTTTAAACATTGTCATTTTATTTGTCCATTTTCTTGATAATTATGATTATTCAATTCCAACTCCCTCATCAATAAATATATTATTCTAGGCTGGTAAATTAAAATTTTATTATTCTTATTCTACACTTGCACCACTACCCATAAATGAATCGATATTATTTTTATAATGCTTTATTAACTAATTTATTATAAAATAACTTATAAACTAAACAATATTTATTACAATTTGAAATTGCTTTAAGCAAGAAATTACATTAATCTTAGCTAATCAAAATATTAGTTGATCTCCATTTCATAATTAAGATATATTGATTTCATAATTTAAAATATTTAGGCAGTAATTTCATATTCTCATTTTTAGAATTTAGCAAATTGTTTACAATTATATAAGTGACCAAATAGTAACAAAAATCTCATCTATTATATGCCCAAACTTTGCCATATTTATTGAAATATCATTTAAAATGGTTATTTAAAGATATGAATAGCAAATATATAAAAAGGACCAATCAAATGAAAAAAAACAATTTTGTCATCAAAAATTTAGTAACCTTAAGGTTTAATGAGGGCTATTAATAATGAACATCTGATTATTCATTTAATAAGAGCCAGGATGAATTAAAAAACAATATTTGACTTCTGGTTCGATTTAAAAGGATCAACATACATTGTTATCTTTTTATTAATATATCTACTCCTAGATTATTTATTAAAATTGATTATATTTCATTATTCTAATGTTTTTTATTAAATTTTTGATTTTATTATATTTATATTCAGTTATGATTAAGTTTGAATTACAAAAATGTACATCACTAAATTTATCATTACTTCTTTAATGCCCCTATGCTAAATCTTATTAGAAATCTTATATAAATGTCTATTTGAATTGTTATTCACACAAATCTTGTTAATTTTTTTATAAAAATTATAATATGTAGAATTTCGAAGATGAAACATTTGTCCGCTAACTGATATCTGATATAACTAGACCAATTGCTGATAAGTAACCAAATCATTTTTAGATAGACTTGAAAAGATATAGAAGGAATTCGAAAATATTAGGCTTAGTATCCACAAACACAGTAGAATGATAGATATTATGTCAGATAAATCAGATCAATTATCTTTTGATATGTACTGCAACATCATTATCATAGCAAACTCACTAATGATACAATCGAGAATCTCAGAAAGAATATAAAGGAAGATTAATAAAAAGTATTTGAAATTGAAAACCATTTTAATTTGGATTTCAATAATACCAGACTAGAATAAGGAGTCATAACACAAGAATAGGATAATCTAAAGAAGGAAATCAAAATTTTAGGCGATGTTTAATAAAGTTTGACTGAGAGAGTTGAAATATATAATAATTACCTAAGTCAGAAATTGTACTAACAAGAGTTTACAATTAGTAATGTCGATACCTCTAATTCAAAAGTCATCAAAGAAATAACAAATTTAAATCTCAAAGTATCTAATCAATCTATTTAATAGAATCAGGAAGAATTATAAGCTTAAAAAATATAAACTTAAGATATACTAGCAAAAATGTAAAAGAATTCATAAGATCTCAATAAGACCCTCTGCAGTTAATAATGGATGTAGGATATGATCGTTGAATTAAGATAAAAATCATAATTCTATCTTACTATTGATTAAGTAGATTCGCAATAAAAGTAACAAACTCCTTAAAATAATACTCCTCCTGTGATTACTTAGAGTTGTTAAATTTCAAAGTATAAATCATATTGTTATTAGTTAAGTTGATTAATAAGATTTCTCTGAAATTATTGCTGAAAAGCTTAATAAACTAAAAAATTAAATTAATACAGAAATGTAATAATAAAAAGAATAAAATTCTTTCTAAATAGAAGAATTAAAAAAAGCATTAAATACTTTTAAGTCAGATTTTGTTAGAAGGCTTCAATTAATCTAATCGAATTTAAAGGACACAAATGATAAGTTATTAATCTCAGTAGGTGAAGTTCAAGAATAAAAGTTGAGTTTGAAATAACAAATCAGTTAAATTAATGAATTGCTCCAAAGATAATTTTCAAAGATTTCTTAAGATATTTAAACTATATAAACTAATATAACTGGTTTGGATCTTCGGATGGCAGAAACACATTCGACAGTTATTCACGTTTAAGATAAGTAAAAGGAGGCATTTGTCAATCAGACACCCTTGGAGTATTTTAATAATTAAAATGATATTATCAGTCTACTGCCTATAAAATAAGAGTCCTAATTTTATGATTCTTTTTAATTCAATAATACTGTTACTTAAAAATTTATCAAAACAGATTAAACTTTATAATTTCAGCCTTAATAATTGAACAGTGTCAAAAAATAAAGAGAAATCTAATTTGTTGAGCCAGAATAAACTCAAACAGTTACAGAAAACTTAGAAAATTAAAATAATTTGATTACTCCCTAAAGAAAAGTTCAAAATGAAATAATTAAATTAAAGTCAGACTTCTTTAATGAATAGCAATACAATCAAAATCAAATGAATAAATTGCTAAAATAGAAGACCATTACAGAATAAGCACTATAAGATGTTGACAAATAACTAAAATAGTTTCATTCATATTTTGGGGTCATTTTTTCTTTGATCTTACATAATGAGTTAACTGGGACAGATTACCAAGCCAAGATTGTAGGAAATGGGTTTAAATTTGAATTCTTACCCTTTTAATAGGATGAAAAAACAATGATGTTATATTAAAACAACAAGATTTCAAAAGTAGATCTGTTAATGAAGACTATTATTTGTACTAACTCTATGATAGCAAAACAAAAATAGAATGGCCTCTAGTTTTAATAAGAAAAATAGAAGTAAAATACAGAAATAATTCGAGAATTATAAAGTAAAATTTATAAATATCCTTACAGCCATGTATATCAATAAAAAGAATAGACTCATAGATGACAAATACTAGACTGAAAGACTTAATTTATCTCTAGACACACCAGCATATTAGTAGACACCAAAATAGAAAGTGACGAAGGTCCTAGTAAAATATAAGAAATTATTGGATTGATTATATTTTTGTAATTTAAACGATTAACATGGAGAATTAATTAATTGCTTTGGTGGGTGATCCTGCTGTTGGGAAGACTTCTATTGTCAAATATTTAAAGGGTCTAGAATTTGAGGAGGATTATAGTCCAACAGAATAGATAGAAAGCACAGATGTTACAATTCAAGATAATGAAACTATAACTATTTATGATACTCCAGGGAATACAGCAGAGAGAAAATAGGTCATTGAAATACTGAAGAGTGTCCAAATAGTGTTTGTATGTTTTGATGTTGAAAATATCGATTCATTTGATTCAACATTACAATGGTTGGATGACATCAAAAAATAAATAAACAATTCGATGCAAGTTTGTCTTGTAGCTTGTAAAATTGATTCTGATAACAGACAAATATCTTAAGAGCAAGCATTTGAATTTATTAATGATTATCCAAATGTTGAATATTTGGAAATTAGTGTAAAGACGGGTGAAAATATGGATATGCTCATCGATGTAACTAAAATTCATTATTCATCAGAAAATACCAGTAACAACACCTTAAGGGGAAGGAGACCTATAATAATCTTACAGAACTTAACAATCTAATAAATAATCTGAGAAACCTCCCCATAGTCCCGAAAGATAATCATAGACCTATAAGTCTTAAACAAGTTTATTGAATAAGGAGGAACCTCTTTGGAAGGTCTATGACTTTTTATTTCCAACTGGGAGAGTTGCTAAACTAGTAAAGATATCAGATGTCAATGCTAAAAACCTATCCATCTAAGATATATTGTTTAAATTGCAATTAAACTAAAGTTACCCAGTTGTAAATCTAATTGGAGCAAAGGAAACAAATAAGGGTAAATTCTATGCAGGAATTGCAAGAGCTTGCTTTAATACGGTATTAAATAGTTCTAATTGAATTTAGGATGCAGTAATAGTGGACAGTGGAATTTCAACAGGAATTGAAAAATATGCGATTAGAAGAGGAGTCAAACTGATTGGAGTTGCTCCTGAACAAGAAGTCAAATATCCAAATTAAAATACTGGATTTATAGACCCTTTTGAAATTAGTAATGGACATACTCACATATTTCTTTTAAGTAATCTTTACTAATTGCTATATAGACAATAAAGAGAAAATGATGGTTTTTGGATTGGAAGGGGTTTTTAAAATTAATTTGTGTAAAAAGTAAAAATTTAATTATTAAAATTTAGATTGGCTGAAGGTAGATTGGCCAAAAATGGTTAAAGAGAAAGTTTGAAAGTTGTTCACATACTTTTAGGTGAATAGGAAGGATTTTTAAATGAATTACAATAGGCAGTTATGGCTAATCATCCAATCATAGTGATAAAGGGATCTCCTTTGTGCGATTAATACTTTTAAAATTATAATAATCCTCATGCAAATTATTCAAATGCAAGTAATTATGTTATCTTATATAAATAGGTTTTGGATAATTAGTAAGAAAAGGACACTTTTATGGACTAAACAGTTTAGATTCAGAAGATATTGCCTAGTACGTCCATTTCTTTTTGACTGTGACTCCATATAATTGATTAATTATTCTTATTGTCAATTAATGATACATATTTTGATGATTTAAAACTACTGATTCGTTTAGATTAAGCATCCTATGTTTATTGAAGAATCTAAAATAATTATTAATAAAAAAAGTTATAAAACTGATAGTATATGCTAAATAATGATTGAATCTCAATTCATAAAGAACATCTTTCCCCCATAATCGATTACAAAATAATGTTAATTGAGTTAGTCTAGAATTAACAATTTAAGATAATATTAGAATAAAATTTCGAACTTAAATTTCTAGCTTTAGATAACTTAGTTTGAAAGAAAAGAATAAAAAGTTTGCAAAAAAAATAAAAGTATAAGTTGAATTAGCATTTGAAAAAAGATGAATAAGTTTGATTTATCATTTTTATAAAGATAATTCAGAAAATTCAATCTCATATTTATAAATGGAATATTTAAAATTAAATGCATAATGAAGTTAATTGATTGGAATACTTTTACAATGTTTTACTTAGATAAATATATCATTTCAAATCTGCTTGATAAAAGTAAATTTTTAATCCGAAGGGTTAATTAAGTACTTCAAAACAGATTCTTCTGGCTTGAAGTTATAATTAGACATAAAATTGAATCTGTTTGCAAAGATTTTAAAAATCTCCTTTATTTTAAAACTGCCACTTCCAATATCGTGATCAGGATCTTACGGACTTATCAACGAAAACTTATCATCAGGAGTAGGTTTATTTGTTATACTTCCTCCATTTATCATCAAAATTCGCTTTCTTTGATAATCAAATTTCTAGCCATAGAATTCTAAGAACCTTAATATATACTCTCCTAAAGTTATATTTTTCAATTGTTCTTATTTTTTATTCGCAAATGCCTCTTTTCTGATTTCTCTTAAGAAGGCTAAAATCATTTGAAAAAGTAAAAAGGAGCCGATTCCTCCACTATATGTTTCATTTAACTCGCGCTACTTCAACATACATTTTAAGATCATTATTAGATATTTGAATTCAGGGTAGATTGTAAATGCTTTTCGAATTTCATCAATTTATTTTAAGCCATCCATCTAATTAAATGATATATCAAATTGATATTGAGATTCAACTTCAAAGAATTTTATAATTGGTACTTTTGCATTGGCAATTAAATTAACATTTTCAAACTTATCACTTTTCATCAAACTTTAGGCTACTTTTTTATACAATTCTTTAGCAGACATACTTTTGTCTATCATCACAACATCAATATCTGCATTAGGCAAATAAAGTTTGGTTTTAAAACTACCAAATGCTTAGATATCAACTTCTGAAGCAAATTCCTTTATAAATGTTTCAACTCTCATGATTGCTTGTTCTCTTCTTCTATGTTCTTCAGATGTAGGAATGATGTAATCATAAAAATCAATGATCTCATTGTGAAATCTAATTGTTGGATGTTTAATAGATGCTGTATTTTGACTAAGCCATGGAGTAATCTCGCCGTCAAATTAGTACTCATTTTACTTTATTTATTTTTATCTATTTTGCAAATTCAATCTTACATATTAGGTTCGTCATCATCGATGGTTATTGCTTGATTTTTATTTTCAATATTCTTAATTCTCAGAGATATATTCTTATGTTTTTCTTACATATTGAACCAAAAATTTATTTAATTTATATGTATATTTCTAAAAACAAAGCTTAAAGAAAAATATAAGAAGGAATTCTTACTTTCAAGTTAACCACAACTACTTAAAAAGGTAATTTTGAAGAAGATTTAAAAAATGAATTTTTATATTATCACCCCTAAGAACAATGAACGCTTCTTTTAAAATAAATCACTTCTGTTATTCTGTATATTATCTATTCTTAGAGTCTCTCTAGTAGGTTTGAGGGTTGCCTATTTTAGTTTAGTTAATTTTGATTTAAATTTAATTTTAAGTCAATAAGTGTATGTTAAATAACATTGATGCATAGATTAATTTATGTTATATATTGCAAATTTAAATCAAAGAACTGAACCAGCAGCTGATGCTATCTTTGGCCATAAATCAGCGGCTTCCTTTCCAACTGGGCCTGTAATTGCAGATCCTTTCATTTCACCCTTTGGATTGATAATAACTCCAGCATTATCTAACAATTAGTTTCATAACTAACCTTCAAAGTAAATATAATATCCTTCTCGACGTCTGTATGGTTTTCTTTGTCTAACAACCACTGCTTACATAACTAAGATTAAATATTCATTCATTACCCTTCTTTCTAAGTGCTGGTTTACCTTATTTGACTGAGCATAAAACCATATCACCAATAGAGGCAGAAGGCAATCTGCTTAAATGTCCCTTAATTCCAAAAGTTGAAATCACATAGATATTTTTTGCTCCTGAGTTATCAGCACAATTTAGAACAGCACCAACATTGCATGCAAGTGTTATTCTCAATTTGATACCAACTTGACCTCCTCTTCCTCTCTTTGACATTGATAATTTTAATTAATTTTTAAAATAGATTTGTGAATATTTTAAGTCTTAACAACCCATTAATCAAAAGGGACTTAAACTTCGGAATATAATTATCATTGCATTCTTAGTTATCAATAACTTATACACATTAACACTTTAGTTCAAATAAACTAGCAAAAAGTTCTTAAATAAATAGTTAATCATTAAGATCTTATATATATATAGGTATTATTAATAAATTCAGCCAAATTAAATTGCTATACTACCAGGCATAGATCTGTGAATCATCACTTCATTTTCTTCAATCATCATACTCTTAAATTCTTATCCGAAGTAGGCATCCTTATTTTCATTAGTAAAACAAGCTTTTTATCCTTCAAGTTTTGGTTCTTTAAATAAGCATATTCTCAATTAAGCAGAATTTGGGTATCTAATGTCTAACAAAGCAATCTATTAATTTATATATATATATGATTACTTCACACTTTCCCATAGATCCTAACAACTCAAATTATGCATTCATAAAATCCATTTGATTGCATATTACTGATGTGAAATAAAACACTTCTCCTTCACAAGCATTCCATAATAGTACTACAACACATTTGGCTGTATCAGTTAAATAAATAGGATATTCAGCTGATGCAGACATTCCTTAATTTATTAAGCATATCTCTGGCTTATCTAAGAATAAATAATCATTATGAAATGAGGCAATAACTATATCTTAATTTTTATCTCTTTTAAATTTACTAACTCCTAATATAACAGTCTTATCACTGTGAAATTTAACTGAATTAGCTTAAACATCAGGTAAGTCCATTCCAATTTTTTATATTGGATTTTTATTCCCACAAATTTATGTACTTGCACCACTCCAATCACAATCCTTGAGGAAATTCAAACAAACTTTCCTTTATTCAACCCATTAGCCTATTTCCCTTTTATTTGTTTCACATTTTCCATTCCTTTATCCCTATAATTACAATAAATTGCAATAGTCTGTTAAGGCCTTTCTATGTTAGTTAATGAAATACTTACTTTAAGTTTTATCCAATTTTTTAATATTCCTTGACTGATGATAATTATCCTTTTCCTTCCAAAACTAATTCGCTTAAGCTTTTTAATGTATATTTAATAGGCGTTGGTTCCAATTCTGTTTCTCTTAGCCAATCCTTAGGTGTATTTTCTGTGCTCTAAGGGCCAATTTCAATAGTGAAACTTTAAGTACTTAATTTTGATACATCACTATAGGCCTTGGCTTCTTGTTCCTTTGGTAGTATTTATTATCCTATCACACCTTTAAGAAGGGCAGATGTAATTGTAGCTGCTTATTTTAGATCAATTTCTTTAAACTTCTTTTAATCGAAATCATCAACTACTCCAGGTGGTAAAGTATATACAAAACCTACTTTTGATCCAAGTAATATATCAGTTGCATAATGTGTTCCAAAATTACTAAGAAATTCCAAATATTAAGGTGCTGAATATTCAACAGGGAGAGCAGATAATTGGTCAATAAAGCTTTGATGAAATTCTGCTAATTCAGGAACTTGTGTGATTTAAGCTATTTAACAAGTAGCCATAGAAATAACAAATGTTGCAGATGTTTACTCTATTTTTTATTGCATATGATTGAATTCAGATGAAGCTGTGAATGCCCATGGAGTTATATCAATATTGGACACTAAATTTACTCTATATTGTTAGAGATACATACCCAACAAAAGAACTCATATAATTTTGAATTTACTCTGTATTCTTGATTACAAATGACTCAAAGTTGTATTTGCATCCTTTCTTTGTTATGACATTTAAATTGTCTGGAATTTTATGTCTTCCATCTGAAGTCACTTATTTTTTGCTATATGAATTCAGAAAGATGTTTCTCCCTGTAAATCCAGGATCCGAAGTTTCCCTCCAGGTTATAGGGTTTCCAAAAAATAAATTATATCCACTGAAAATGAAATCAATATTAGCAATCGCCTTAGGATCTGCTGCTTAAAAATTACCTCCATCATGTATTTCTTGCATTAACAAATGTTAGAGAGTTTTCTATTACTTTTCATTTATTTCTAAGAATCCTCTTGTTAAAACAATAACAATAAGAAGTAATGCAATTCTCATAAATAAAAACGTATTATAAATTAATAATATAATAATGGATTTGATGGATAATTAGTTTTAGCAAAAATTTCAATAGTTGTTAAAGCTCAAAGAAATCTATTCTACTCGTAATGTTTTGCCTTAAAGATTACAGAGATTGAAGCTAGTTGACATCAATTTTCAAATAAAATAAATACAATATAAACAACAAAATAAATTGAACTAAATAATCAACAGTTCTATTGTTTCTCAAAATATTCCGAAAAAGCAATCCACTGAAAGAAGCTTATCCAATTATACTAATCATCTTAATATTGCTGGCTAGTAAAACATTTGTGTAAGTTGTGAAAAATATATTTTTGAAAAGAAAGTCACACTTAATTGCCAAAACAAATTTAATCATAATTACCATTCCACTTGTTTAGCTAATATAATGAAATAATAGTTGGCTAATTAGTGTATTAAATTCTAATGCTTGTGCAAAAGTTAAATCAACAATGGATAAATCTCTAGATAAAAAATATTAGAATTAGATGTTTACATAAACAGGTTAATGTTAAATTAGTTATATTACTTAAAAACCCATTACCAAAATATTAAATAATGTGCTAATAAGGATTGCGAATTTTTTTGGATCTATAAATAACAACAAAAATAAATTAAATCGCGTTCTAACTCTCCTTTGAAGACATATAAAATTACCTATGTTAATTATTGTCCTGATTGTAGATTTTTATGATTTCATGTAATTAATTTATAATACTGAAATATTATTTTTTCAACAATTTTCAGCCATTATATATCTCCTTACCTTTTTTGAAAACATCTATTATTTAGTTATAGATTTATTTATTTTAAAAAAAAAATGACTGAGTAATATAATATTTAAATTTTGATTAACTTTAATATTTAACAATTAAATTGATGTATTATTTCAATATTTGCAGAATAATTATGCATTTTTCTGTCATATTCTTTGAAATAAAGAAAAGATAGTTTTGCTTTGAAAAATCTATTCAATCAATTTGATTAATTTCAATAATTATTTTATTTTTTAGTGTTTTTGGGAAATTTCTATTTTTATAATTTAATTAAATAATATTAATTTTTATAATCACAATCAACATATTATTTATATTTTTATTTTGTATTTATTTAAGCTATAGAATTTTATTTGATAAATTTATGCAAACCAGAGCATTATATAAATACAAATTACTTATAAGGATATTAAGTAATTCTAATGATTGAAAAACAAGATCACTTTTATATCACTCTATAGAATAGTAATAATATTAGATGTGCAATTATTTAAAATAATGTTATGAATTTATTGTATACTTTATATAATATCATTGATCTTCCAAGAACTTCTCTAGTTTTGGTGGACAGCACAAAGCAACTCCTTTTCCATTTTATTTTTCCATTTCTTCATCCATTACAAAGACAATCAATATTGCATCACATGCAACTCCATAGATTGACATGAATAGTGATCCAACAACTAAACCTATGGCACCACATAAAAGTGAAGGTGCTTCTGGATAAGTTACATTATATTTGAACTTTTCAGTTCTTGTTATCACAATATAACAAAATAGACCTGTTAACAAGGCAATAAAACCTCTTCCTAAAGCTATAAATATTTCTCCAAATCCTCCCACTGTTGCAAATCTAAGTGGGTTTCTTGCAATCAAGAAAATTGCCTCTTTGGCTGAATGGAAGAAACCTTTGCCTGTCATATTACTAACGACATAAGCATTTTTGTTTATATATTAGACACATTTCTCGAAACACCACATACAACACATCAAGCATTTAAATAAGTATTCAAAGAACTTGTTTTTCTTAATTAATTCTTCTTGTTATTTATAAAGGAAGGCTAACCAAATTCTAATGAATTCAATGATGGCTAAAATTAATGATCCAAAAGCAACTGTTCCTAAATGATATCTAAAGAATCTTCCAATAGCAGTTGGCAAAGGAATAGGACCTCCTTCTTAAGCTCTTGGTCCTTATTAGAAATACCAAATGCAGACAGAACCAGCAATAATAAATTCAACTGATGCTATGATAAATGAAGAGTTCCATAGTAAACCAAATAAGTGAATGTTGGCGAATATTTTTTAATTTTAAGTAAATGAAAACTATCCAAAAGGCAATTGTTTAGGTTTGCTTGTAGTTTCCCCAGAACTGTATAAATACAATGCAACAACGAACCAATAGATGAAATAAAGAAGCATGATGAAAAAGGTTACAAATGGAAGGACAACAACTGTAAAATTGGCTTGAACATAATCGCAGGCTGTCTATTAAATAATATATATAAAATCTACCTCAAGTATGGCAATTGCAAGCCGAATTCTCGAATACATACAACACACAACAAGTAATATCAATCCTGCTAAAGAAAATAATGTAATTCCTATATATAGATAGTTTTTAGGATTAACGTTCTCTGCTTATGCTTGTTCTTAAAGAGTTTGGGCATCGATTTCAGCTTGAGCTGAAGCTGGCAATTTTGAAGGATCAGTCAATGCATAGTAGTACCCAGTGGTATAGATTCCTCCAGCTATTAACACACTGAATAACAATAAGAGCAGCGTCCATATCACGCATCCAGCCAATGTTTCAATAAGGAACAAAAATATGAATCCAAGTACTAAAGATATACCAATGGAACCGAAAATAAGCCATTTAGTTGTGATCATATCATTTGATACTTTTTCCATAGTTTCAACATCAATTTTATCTTTTACTGTTTCATAATATTATTTGGTGGTTGGTAAACACACAGTTTTCATAACTTAAATAAATTTTATTTATGTACATAATTCAGTATTGTAAATTACTACGACCTCTTCTGGATTAGTACTCAACATATTTTATTTACAACTCTTAACAATGGAATTTGGTTAACACTTTAATTCACTTGGTAATTTTGAGTTTGTTTTGGCTTCTTCCAAATGAGATATTTTAGTATGTCTGGCTGATGGTGCAGGCTCACTCTCCTCTTCTACAGACTAGATTATAACAATTACATGGACATTCAGATACGCAGGTTGTCACATAAAGATACTTTGGATTAGTTGGGTTAGCAAAATAAATGTAGGGATAATCAGCTACATCCTCATCAACTCCACACGCCCGATCTTAATTATTATAAAATTTTACGATCTGGATCATAAGGTTAGGCAATTCTATGAGGATCTCCATTTTTGAAAGCGTAACCACTTATGAAAAACATACCGAAAGTAAAGACAATAAAAAGCAATAGGCAAAAAATATCAGTGCATTCTCTATCGACGACTGGTCCATTTCTTAATTTTGGATCTGTTCCTTCACCCTTTTCACTAGACATTAAATAATTATTGGCAAATAAAAAATATATTAATATCAAATGAGTTTTTGAAATACTAAGTAGATAATATACTTGAATCTAATTATATGTCTGAATCAGACTATATGATTGAATTTAACTTTATGTCATAATATTCAAGCAATGAATAATCAATCATCTTAACTTACAATATTTTCTAGAATGAATTTTAAATTTTTTGTTTTAAAACCTACTTTTTTTGATACTTCTGATAAACAGCAGTAAAGAAAAAAGAGACTTAAGGAGTTTTCTAATTCCTTAATCAGAAAATGATCCAAAGTATATTGCTGATAATTTAATTGCAAAATAAATAGTCTATGAACTAAAGAATTTGGGACAATTTAAATTCTCATATTTAATAAATGGCCATAATCAAACTCAATTAGAATAACATATGATAAATATCTATAAAATTCTAGATATGATAAATCAAATTAAAAACAAATTTTTCATCAATATAAATCCTATTGAAATTATTTTAAGACGGCCAGACTGAATTTAGAATAATTTTCCTCATTTATTTTATCTTGTTAGTTCCTACTAAATCAAAATTCAAAAGAGAATGACCACTATTTATTATATATTCTAATTTTGAATTGAGAATTTTGGATGCTTGTTTCATTAAAGATTTCAAAGGTGATAATCGATCATTATAAATATAAATTCAGAATATAGTATTACATCGATCTGAATGAGAAAAAAATATTCGAACTAAAAAACTAAAGAATTTTCAAAAGATGAAATTGAAAAATTCATAATAATATCCATATTTGAAGAAAGGGTTAGAAATAAAATCCAAAATTAAACCCATCCTCTTCATCTATAAATAAATCAAAATCCTAGAAAAAGATGAACTATAGGATGAAAAACTTATAAAGGTTTTATTAAACATATAAAAAAATTGATAAATTATAAAAGGCTATTAATTAGAATAGATTCTTTCTCCTGTAGATTTTTCACCATAGAATTGATTTAATATTTTGATTTGATTGTGAAATTCTATGAATGATGAAAAAAAGATGTGAAAAGTTGAAACAAATAGTAAAAGATTAATAAAGGTGATGAAATTGAATTAGAATAATTATAAACTTATAATAATCATTTAAATATGTTAATATTTTTAGTTCTGAATAATGTTATATATTGTGAATATATATATATATTATTATTATAATTATTATTATATATAATTGGATGTTGGATTCTGTTTTAACAAGACATTTTAAATTTAATGATCATAAATATGATTCTAGGAAGGAGACAATGTATATTACAAAAAGAAGGAATTCTCATAATAATAGTTTTGATTTATAATCTAGTAGAGATTAATCATATGGATATTTCAATCAATAATTAAACTACGTACATTATTTAGTATGCTAAGTGTGCAGTAGATTATTATGATGTTCCAATACCTAAATATACTCAAAAGGGATTTTCAAGTCCTGTTAAGAAACGTAAGTATATCTCCGAAAAAGAAGTAATTCATATCATTTCCATTCATAACCAAAACAAAATTGTTAAATACTTAAATTTGAAGGTTATATTTCAAGAGAATCACCTTTTAGGAATTGGATAGGAACTATGAATAAATCTTAAGCATCAAAAATATCACAAATTTAACGAATTCATGTAATTTATATAAATATAATATAGAATTAAGTAAGAATTATAGAAAAGAACTAAAAAAGTGAATCATATCAACTTTAAGAATATTTAAATGCTGTTAATCATAGAATACAATGGAATTCACTCCCTAAAGTATTCAATTATCAAAGATGTTAAACTCCAGATATTTTAAAAGGAGCAAGGGAAAGAATTAAAAAGTTCTGAAATTAACTAATCACTCTATTTACATTGTATTTTATATAAGTACTTATTATATTTTCTAAATAATACAATTAAATATTACAAAACCTAATAGAAATTGTTTCTTATATTATTCTATTCAAAAACATATTAAGAACAATTATTTTTCTTATTAATTATCCCCATTATTTTATATAATGTAGAAAATATTCAAAATAAAAGAGCCCTAAGTCAACCCTTAAGTAAAATTGTTTTATTAATAAATTATAGAGAGCCAATGAATTTCAAATCCTTTTTTTGAGAATATAATAAGAAATTGATTAAAATAATGTTTTATATAATTTATCTCCTTTAATGGAAAATGAATAAGTAAATTACTAATTCTGGAGATTTGAATTTAGAGGCCAAGGAAATTTTGAAGGAAAATGCATTAGTGGTCTTAACTTTTTATTGATATTAATAGGTGTCTTAAAGTTGTAATCAGATCATCCAGTATCTGCTCCAGAGTTTTACTTTGATCCAATAACAACAGAATAGAGAAATGAAATCCTATAGCACTTAAATATTTATGGAGGTAATATAGTTTATAATCATATGAAGATCACACTTTATGCATTCCATTATTCACTTATTGGAAGAAAACTACTTCTGAATATGAAATATTGTAAGCCATTGAACACATTTTTCACAATCCAAATTTTTAAGAAGGTGCTGCTCCTGCTAACCCGGGTTTCGAACACGAAACCGAAGAGAAAAAAAATTAGATTTAAAGAAGATAGGCAAAATATTTACCAGATTTTTAGAAGGAATAATGAGTAATATTAAAAAGAATTATTAATAATTATTATTTTCATCGCTCCATAAGGAGCTAATTTTTAAATAAAGTACTTTTATAATATTTCTTAAATCAAATTAGGCTGATGAAAATAAATATATAATTGTAGTTGCATCTAAATTAATAATTAATTTTTATTGCTTTGATTATTATTCTATTTCAAATCAGATATTATCTCAACTTACTTTATATATCAATTTAGATATCTTAATTGATAGCAATATTTTCTAAATAATTTTGAAGTTTAAGGCATTTATTTTTAAAGAGAATTTAATTAATATTTCAAATTTTAATTCCAATTAAAAAATTTTAAACAAAAAAAAACTCCGAAAAGGCGGATTTGAACCACCGACCTGGGGATAACTGGATTAACACTACAGTCCCTCGCTCTACCAACTGAGCTATTTTCGGATGTTAGAAAATAGGAAGTTATTCCACATATATATACCTTAACAAAATGATGAGAGCAAAGACACTATAATATACTTGAATTAAATAATGTTAAGATGGATGTTCAATCTTTATCTTTCATTTAATATAATTGAATTAATATAGAATTAACCTTCCTTTTTAACTTTTAGTAGATTATTATAATTGAAGATTTTAATTATTTGAAGTTTGTTTCATATATTTTTATCAATATCTTTTATAGATTTGAAGTATTTTTTTTTCTAATTCTCCATCATCTTTCATCAATTATTCAAATTTCTCTTTTTCATATTTCCAAACTTCTTTTTAATTTTACCTGTCTTTAATTTTCTCTTCTTTAAGTTCCTTCTCTAGTTTAGATAATATCTAAAGAATAAAAATTCAAATACTGATTTTTCAGATATGCCCTCATATAATCGATCGTTTCTTTGTTTTTATATTTTTTGTTTTAAAAATACTATTTAATCATCATAAGAACTTTCAACTGAATCTAAGATATTCCTTGTTAGAATATTTTACTGCCTTCTGGCTTACCTGTGATCATATTTTTCATCAATTATTTATCTTTTCTCTAACTCAAAAACTATTCGGTGACTAACAACAAAATAGAATATACATTTTTTTTAGATAATTCAATTTTTCATCTCTTAATTTATGTTGCATAAACAAATGAACATTCTCAAACTAATCTTTAATTAAATCATTCTATTTTATTTTAGTACTTGTTCTTGAGTTAACATCTTATTTTTATACATTTTGAATTTATTTAATTTATTGAAAATTTTTCAATTAATCTTTTAAGAAATTCCTATATTAATTTTTTTGTTCATTGATATTTTCCATATTCTCAGTAGAAGGTTTTGGTTTCATTTTTTTAAAAGATTCTTTAATATTTTTCATTTAAATGTCTATTTATTCATCAGAAGCAGGGAAATTTTAATGATTTTCTTCATGTAATATTTTTTCTTATAGAACTTTTAAGATCTCCTCTTTTTATTTTTCTAGAACATATTTTATTTTAATCGGATCATTATCATCCAATTGCTTGATATCTTTTTCATCAAATTATTATAAAAATTCATAATCTACTTCATCTTTATTTTAAGTTTCAAAATCCAAAGAATATTATGAATCTTATGAAGACTTTGTATTTTCTGAGTATTTTTCTTTTTATTTTGTAAATGACTATTATTTTTTTGGTTAAGACCTTGGTTCGTAAGGTAATTTTTTTTGAAACTTTGGGTCTTAATCTGTTGGCTTTTTTAATGAATGAGATCTAATAGGTCTTTTTTATCTTTATTGATTACTTCCTTATTAGTTTTTCAATTAAGATGACTTTCTATCATCTTTTTTTTTAGATTATTGCTCACATGATTGATTATTTCGTTATTTTGCATTTTTATTAATTTAAAATTAATTTGATTAGATACTCGACTTTTATAAGTGATCATTATCTTCTTCTTAATAGGTTTATTTTTCATCTTGAGAATTATAGAAATACTCTAAACATCTAAGTTAATTTTTATGAATTTTACTCAGAGGGTGTAGAATTTTAACTATTTACTAAATAATCTTGTTAACTGCTGATACCGGAATTTAATGCTCTATCCTTAAAAAGTTTTGATAACTCATGCAATATTTATAAAAAATTTGATAAATGCTATAAGTCTCCTTTAACTATTTATGAACCGCGTATATGTGCTAAATTACAATTCAAAACTTAATTCGACTATGAGTAATATTTATATTTATACTAAAAACTCAATAAGCGCTTATATTTTTTTTCCTGATGAAATTGTTTCATTTTTAATATTCTCTATTTCATCTTCTAAGGATGGAAAAAGAATTTAAAAAATAGTGCAATAATTTTCCTCATTTATAAGCTATTATCTAATAGTATGAACCTAATTATAATTTACATATTAATTTCATTTTGAGGTTCCAAATTTAAGTTGTAAACAATTTCTTTGTATATATCAATCATTTATGAAACCTTATGCTTCATTTATTGTAAGTTTTGAATATCAACTAGATTTTAAAATAATTATTAATAAGAATAAAGGGCTAGATGTAGTAATATTAATGTATCTTTTCAAACTTCAATTAAAGATCACAAAGAATTGGAAGTATTAGAGCTAATTGCTTACTTATTCTTCAAAGCCTTTCTTTTTTACATAATTTTGATGGAACTTGAAGATATTGAAAAGCAAAACTCTCAAAAGAAAAAACAAACAAAGATTGTTAACAAAATTGTTCTATTGAGATTATAACCCTTTCAAAATATTATTTCAAATAAATAATTAATCAATTAGGTCTTTCATTTCAATAATCTATGTTCTCAATTAAGAGCCTTCACTTTATACAATAGAGGCTGCAACAACTGGTCTGCTGATACCACAAGCTCTACCTAAACTTGCTTAGGTGGACACAAAACAATATGAAACATTCTAATTTAAATTCCTTTAATTACTTTCTCTTCGCATTTAATCGGTATGTTTGCTACTATTTCTATAGGATCACAATCAGCTGCCAAAATCACTAATTCGCAAATGCCTTTATCAAGACTAATTTAGATGCTTAATCATACTTTTTTAAGACTTCATTAGCTCCTTTTTTTAATTGTTTATAATTTAAAGCCTAACGAAGAAGGTCTAATATTTTGGTCTATAGTTTTGCATCTGCAATTGGAGAAGGTTTAATTCTTGGGGCTTCTACTTTCTACATATAAATAATTTAGTATTAAAATAATTCATAATTAAAATAATTCAAATTAGTGAATTTCAGAAAGTTTAGAATGTTCACTAAATTTAGAAGTAAACCTTAGTAAATATTCTAATGTCCATTAATCAAATCTTTATTTTAAGTAGTTAATAGAGGATGGCATTAAAATTATCTAACATGTGGAAGCACCCTGATCTATACTTTCTAAATCCTTAAAAAATAGTGATTCTTATTATATAGAGCTTTGTTGGTCGGATATTATTTCACATTTTTAGAAATAATCTTAAACAATTTGGATAAGTATTTCTTATATCGAATAATCGCTCATCTAATTGACTGTATTAATCTAGAAATTCAATTTGAGTAAAATAATCAAAATTTCCTCCTTTTTTGATAAATTATCATTTAATATATATTCACTTTTAATTGATTATGATTATATAAATACTTGTAATAAGCTGCTGCCATTTATCTAATTTTTGAATTACCTTTATGGGTTTCTTTTTCGGTTACAACAGTATTTGATTCAATGAATAACTTAGGAGCATTCATTTCATTGTTGCAGTCATATCGACTCCAATTAACAGGTAGTAACCCTTTTGTTTCCTCATGCGAATCAATCGAACTGTCTGAATATTCGATATGATCATTATCTCCTTCCTTTAATAAAGGAGCATCTTATGTTTTAAAATAATAATTCGGCGATTTGCTCATTGTAAAGTAATTAGGTTAATTAATTTTCATAAATGAAGCATTCAATTATTTAGTTAAATTGAAGCAACAAGTATATAAGTTTTCAGGTTTATATATTTATTTACGATATTAATATAACTTATTTCTGGATTTTTGAAAATATTCAGACAAAATGTCCTTATTATTTTTCAGTATAAGTTTCCATAAACAACCATAAGATTTAGGTTTGCAACTAATGTAAAACTAGCTATATTCCAACAACAAAAAACACATTTAGATTTGATTTTATTGCATGCAAATATCAAAAACGCTTAAATTATCTATTCCTGTAACTTAAGTAATTTCAAAAGGGTGCGAGCATCTGTCATATATATCAAGTTATCCTTTATACTACAATGCAAATTAAACTGCAGAGATAAATCCACGTTTAACTCCAATATGAAATGAACTAAAACCTTAAGCGTTTAGCATCAGAGGACAAGCACTAATTATCTTTTGAAGACTTTACCCATAATATAAAAGAAGAGCAGCATATTTTTCTGGAAATTAAAAGCTTGGCCACTTGTTCATTAAGTAATGTAAACCTGTATTCCCATCTTTATCCATTTCATTTGGATCAGTTCCATGTTATAAGAAGCCTTGCATCAAGTTTATCTGTTATTTAATTAATGATATTATAACTAGATTTTACTAGAATAAAGTTATTTTTACTTAATTTAGATTAACATTTAAAGATAATAAACATTTAACACTTTAAAATTTATCCGAAAACAATGCTACTTAGATAGGAGTCTATTTCTGATAATTTTATGAATTTTTATCAACAACGTTACTGCAACCCAAAATAACCCCTAAATGCTATTTTAAAGCAGCTTGATGTATAATAGTATTTCCATTCTCATCAGTATTTTAATAATTAAAATAATCCCCCAGAAAATGTTTTATCATATTTTAGAATGTTGCTTAATGCTCTTTCTATAGCCAATTCTAAAATTATTCCAACTATTGTCCATTTATCCTATCGTTCCAACCCAAATAAATAACCCAATCAATACTGAACTCTTTTAATTAAGAGTAGTATTTTAATTCATATATTGGATTTCCTGTAAGCAACAAAATTTAAATTGAATGTTTCAGTAGCTAAGGAAATAGGTGTACCTGATTATATTCAATATTCAATTAAATTAATTCATCTGGCATTTATGGCAAAATACTGAGATAATTATTTGAAATATCTAAATTCTATAATTGGGGATGAAATTTATTAAACTAAAAATCACATCAGAAACATTACATTAAATGGTAAAATTTTAAGATAATTATTTGATATATCTAATATTCTTAAATTTTATAATATCTTAAATTCATCACCATATTATCGAATGCAATTATGCGACAAATCTAATTTAATGATCCATATATTATTCAACTTTTCTTTATTAATCTCACTTAAACCCTAGTTACTTAAATCAAGTTATTCAATCCGTTTACAAAATACAATCTGCTTTTTATTTAATTAAGGAGAGCTTAATATCACCTCTAAATCTTTATTTTTTTAATTCAAGTGCTATTTTTTTAATGGGTTTTCATTAAAAATTGCTAGCTTAGTGCAATTCATTTCACTCATAAATATTATATTTTATATTATTAATTAAAATCTCATCTTTCTCAACTATAATCTATAATCAGTTGGCAATTTAATTAGAAACTGCATTTAAAATAATTAGATGATGTTCTTAAAGAAGACAATTGAAAATATAATGACTAAATAAGGTTATAAAAATAAACATATAATTAATCTAACTTCTAAAAATAGTATATCGCAAAATATCCGCCCCATATATACTTTCAAAAATAATATGGATATTAAGTGCTAAATATAAAACAATATATTATAAAAACCCTTAATAAATTAATTTAATAATTTGTTAACTTATTCATAAATACTAAGGTATAAGACTTTAATCAAGATATACTATGGCTGAAATATGTATAAAAAACTTTTGGCAATATAAATACACTTGATATAATGATTATTAATATCATAATTTTTTTGAAAAAATGTTTAAAAGTTCATCAAAATAGCTGCAATCTAAAGTTCGATTACCTATTAGTTTCTTAAAGTGTGAAGAAAATAATAATTATTAATAATTCTTTTTAATATTACTCATTATGCCTTCTAAAAATCTGGTAAATATTTTGCCTATCTTCTTTAAATCTAATTTTTTTGCTCTTCGGTTTAGGATGCGAAATTTGGGTTAGCAGGAGCATCACCTTCTTAAAAATTTGGATTGTGAAAAATGTGTTCAATGGCTTACAATATTTCATATTCAGAAGTAGTTTTCTTCCAATAACTGAATAATGGAATGCATAAAGTGTGATCTTTATATGATTATAAACTATATTACCTCCATAAATATTTAAGTGCTATAGGACCTCATATTTCTATTCTATGAATATTGAATCAAAGTAGAACACTGGAGGAGATACTGGATGATCTGATTACAACTTTAAGACACCTATTAATATCAATAAAAGTTAAGACCACTAATGCATTTTCCTTCAAAATTTCCTTGGCCACTAAATTCAAATCTCCAGAATTAGTAATTTACTTATTCATTTTCCATTTAAGGAGATAAATTATACAAAACATCATCTTATTCAATATCTTACTATACTCTCTAAAATAGGTTTTCAAATTCATTGGCTCTCTATAATTTATTAATAAAACAATTTTACTTAAGGGTTGACTTAGGGCTCTTGTTTGACTTTTATATTGCTATTTACGTTCTGCCTTTCATCTAATACAAATAGAATAGAATATTACTTGAGTTTTAAGAAGGGGGTTATTGGATTGTTGATATTATCTTAATCTTTGGATTGTTCTTTGGGAAATTAGGGTCCATCCCTTATCTATCATTCAAAATAATATCTTTGATATGCAATAAATAGGGGGATTATTAATAAGAAAAATAATTGTTCTTAATATGTTTTTGAATAGAATAATATAAGAAACAATTTCTATTAGGTCCCGTAATAACAAATTGTAACATTCAGAAAATATAATAAGTACTTATATATAAATACAATGTAAATAGAGTGATTAGTTAATTTCAGAACTTTTTAATTCTTTCCCTTGCTCCTCTTAAAATATCTGGAGTTTAACATTTTTGATAATTGAATACTTTAGGGAGTGAATTCCATTGGATTCTATGATTAACAGCATTTAAATATTCTTAAAGTTGATATGATTCACTTTTTTAATCCTTTTCTATAATTCTCACACAATTCTATATCACATTTATATAAATTACATGAATTCGTTAAATTTGTGATATTTTTGATGCTTAAGATTTATTCATAGTTCCTATCCAATTCCTAAAAGGTGATTCTCTTGAAATATAACCTTCAAATTTAAGTATTTAACAATTTTGTTTTGGTTATGAATGGAAATGATATGAATTACTTCTTTTTGGAGATTACTTACGTTTCTTAACAGGACTTGAAAATCTCTTTTGAGTATATTTAGGTATTGGAACATCATAATAATCTACTGCACACTTAGCATACTAAATAATGTACGTAGTTTAATTATTGATTGAAATATCCATATGATTAATCTCTACTAGATTATAAATCAAAACTATTATTATGAGAATTCCTTCTTTTTGTAATATACATTGTCTCCTTCCTAGAATCATATTTATGATCATTAAATTTAAAATGTCTTGTTAAAACAGAATCCAACATCCAATTATATATAATAATAATAATAATAATAATAATAATAATAATAATAATAATATATATATATATAAACATACTTAAATGATTATTATAAGTTTATAATTACTCTAATCCAATTTCATCACTTTTATTCATCTTTACTATTTTTTTCAACTTTTCACTTTTTTTTTTCATCATTTATACAATTACACAATCAAATCAAAATATCAAATCAATTTTATGGTGACAAATCTATATCAATATATAGGTCAGTCCATGAGCCCTAACTTTTTATTACCTTATCTAAATTATAGGAAGGATAATTTAATCTAAAAATAATTTTCATTTTCTGTTCTTCATCTATAAAAGAGAGTTAAAAAGTAATATTTGTGGATTGGTTGAATGTTTGATGAATCTTAAAACCTAATACACCTAAAACTACTCGTGCATTTCCCTACTAAACTTTTTATGAATCATAAGAATTAGTATTTTACAGAATTATTTTCTATAATGGAGAAATTATCACAATAGCTGTCATTCTACTCAATCTTCTTTAAATGTTAGAGCTAACTTTAATACATTATTTTCATTTTTTCATAAAAAATTAATAATAATTTAATTTGCTATTAATTTTAATAAGTGATTCATTTAAACTGAAAAAGAATTTCATATTTATTGTTCATAGTAAACTTCGCTAATCCAAGGCTAATCAGTTTTCTCATATTTATCGGGAGGAAATTTAAAAGATAGTTATTCAATAATTGATTATTTTAATTTCGCTGAATCCTTTTTTGGAGGATATAAAACACCTAATTCAGTATTTGATATAAAAAGTTGAGTAGCATTCTTCTCTAACCTTCCCCAAGCAGCCTAACTTAAATTATGACTTCCAATATAAATTGATGTTTTATCATCTATTTTTTCATCTATTCCAGTTATTATCATCACCTTTAGATGTGGAATATTGCCAGCATGCCAATAATAATAATTAGAACCTTGATATCTATGGAAAATATTTTTTGGAAATTTTGGGTTGTCATATTATTACTTTCTAAGAAATAAAGGATTTGCATACTCTGGCCCAGCAGAGGTTTAATTTTAAATATAATCAGAAGTTGGATATATTAATTTTAAGATAGATTTCTCTTCTTATTAATTAAATAGCATTTGAGCAATTGATTTATTATTTTATTCTATTTTTTAGGATTATTTAATTTATTATCCAGAACAACATTGTTAAACAAAATCAACATAATTAACATCTAACTGGCCAATACTTGTAGTTTAGTATGCTATACTAACTTATTTAGGGATTTCAAAATCACTACTTTTAAGTTCTGAATTTATAACAGATTAAATTCTCATCATTCCATATTTATTCATCTGATTTCCAGTGAATCTTCCAGGAATTGATGTAATCAACCTAATATTAATGTTTTGAAAGTCGTAATCATTATATTTTATCTTAAGAAGATCTTCAAACTTATGAGAACTTGGAAGAATATTATCTAAAAATTCCTTCAAACCTACCTTAAATTCTTTTGATACTTCATCTAATTCACTATTCCCTATTTAAAAATCTTATATCCACATTGCTTATGACCAAACTGTCCAATCTCCAACATGTAAATTTTAACTCCCAATTACAATTCTAATAAACTTTGGAAATTTCAATATCCAAATTTTTGGATGAAATGACCCTCCAAAAGTTATAGAACTTAATTTCGAAGGTTTAATCACAGTCCAATTTGGGTGACCATTAAATTCTTCAATAATTTCTAGTTTTTTGTCATTATTATCATTATCATTAATAATAAATAATTTGACTCCTGATAAAACTAAGGGTTTAAGCAGATGATCCTCAAAACCGTAGCAAGTCATCAAAGCAGCTTCTAAAGTAATTTTAGGCTTTTCTTTTTATACTAAATTTTATTAATCATTTTCATACCATCAGAGTAAGCATTCTCTTGTATAATATTTATGAATGATAATATATGCGATTATTTTTCTTCTTTAGGATATTAAGATAATTGATTTAAGCAAAACTTACCAACTGGAAAGCAAAGCTTAATTTTTTCATCAACTTATTTTACTTCATCTCCTTCATTTTTTTATTATTCTTGCTTCTCTTATTTTACGTCCTCTAGTCTCTTTTAATTTTCTAAGTATAACTATTTTTAAAGAGAATTAACATTTATGTAAGAGGAATTAATTTCCTCTTATTCTTCGGATAGTTCCTATAGAGTTCTTTTTTTCATAATTTTTTTATTTTATGAGAAAAGAATTGAATAAAAATAAATTCAATTAATTTTTATATTCTTTGTAATAAAAATCTTTTTTCCCACTTTTCATCAAGATATTGAATTCTTTCGTTTGGATGATCCTGAATCAGAGGGTGATCTTCTAGGACTAATGCTTCTCTTTTTTTATCTCGCATCTCTCCTTGGACTTCTGCTATGTCTTTTTCTTCTGTTTTGATATCTTCTTCTTCTAGATCTAGATGATGAATTTGAAGAGTATGATCTAGAAACAGATCTTCTATGACGCCTCCTAATTTAAATAGCTTTAAATACTTGGATCTTGAATTAGACCTCCTTCTGCTCCTTCTTGGTGATCTTCCATTAGGACAATTACGAGCCCTAAAGAATATACCATACTTATATACCAATGCCCACCTTTACTGCATTTGAAACATTTATCCTCATCATTTGGTCCAGTTTTTCTTCCCTTTTTGTTATCTACCACATCAACTTTCAATTTCTATCCATTATATGTTTGCCCATTTGTTGCCTTTAACGCATCTTGCGCCTCTTGTTCATTACTAAAAGTCTTAATTTCAAATAACTTCATACTACAAATGAGTAAGATCCCTTATATGCCACATCCTTAATTGTTCCATACTTTTTAAAGATTTCCTTTATATCTTTGTCTCCAGATACTTTGCTACGACTGTAACCTGCAACAAAAAGTTGATTTGGGACGATATCTCCCATTTAATTAAATTTATGAACTAAATACACTTTTTCTATGAAAAATGAACTATAAAATTTGGTTAAAAACACAAACAAAAGTTTTGGAGACTAGATAGAAATAAATAAGACATTGGTTAATCAAATTTCGAAAATTCTTTAAAGCTAAAAAATTAGATCAAAATACAAGAAGAAACTTTTTAAAGTAAGAAAATAAGCTACAAATAACTCTAAACTTGATATAAATCTATTTTCGGGTGCAATATTAAAAGACAACCTTATAGCGAGCTCATCTAACTTCTGGTTATTATACCGAAGATTATAATGCTAAATATTAATAGATTGAGTTAATATATTTATTTTTTAATTATTATATCAAATTTTAGAATAAATTGAAAAGTCTTATTAGACAAAAAATAAAGTTGAGCAAGAAATAATGATTGATTTAATTCAATATTTATTAACAAATTGTTTAATACAATCAATTAATATAAAATCAAAAACACAATTCAAAAAAGGACTTTATATTTCTATAATTCTTAAGTACTAATTCTGTTGATTTTATGAAAATACATTTAATTACAATAAACATTAATAAATTTGATAACATATTCTAAATTATAAAATGTATGGATTGATGGAGCTAAAAGGAAGTACTTTGATTTAGCTTTCCTTTTTATTTAGTTCATGACATTCACTTTAAGTACTTTTCTATGAATAAAAAAAGTCATTAAAATTTATATAATTTATATTTTATGTCGGAAATAGAGGAAATAAATTTAGAGTAGACTACATCCAAGAATAGATAATAGAGACAGTAACCTTAATAAGGAAAAACTCGAAAACCAATTAGAAAATTCAAAAGATAGAATAATTCCTTCTAATTCAAAGGTAGGGATAGAGAGAGAGATGCACCAAGATAAAAAGAATGGAAATAATAATAATAAAACAGTGGAAATGCTCCAGAACTCTATGAAATTGATATATACAATTTTTTAGCAAAAAACTAGATCTCAGATCTCATTGTAATAGATTGGTTAATTTTAGAGCGATATAAAGACAAGATGTGGTGAATTAGTAAAACTTCATATCGTCGCAAACAACATTTAAGAAAATGAAGCTGAGACGAGAGTATGATTTAATAATATAAGCAGGTTATTTTAAAAGCTTTTTTTAAGGATAAAAAATCAGCTGATGAATGTTATTTTTAATATAGTGATGCCACTCTAGATAAGTTGCTTTTAAGAACAGAGCGTAAATATTGATGTAAATTTAATATATATAAAAATAAGAGATTAATATGAATTATTCAAATCTATAAGTAAGCCCCTTATTCTTATATATAAAACGATCCTCAAATTGATGTCTTTCAAATAATATTCCTAATGGAATGAAATGATTGCATCAAATTTTGATCTCTTTCATTAAAAATAGCACTCTTGTCAATCTAATAAAAATATTATGTAAAGTTTAACAACAGAATAAATCTCATTTTTACATTTAATATTTTTGAAAATTATGGGAAATATTTGTTTTAAAGAAGAATTTGTTTAAAATGATTTTGTTAAACTAAAATTTGATGAAGATGATCTCTAAGCAACATCTATCTAAATAGAAGGCAGAGAAGCAAAGTAAAAGGTCAAATTATCCGATTTTAAGAAATTAAAACCGCTTGGGTAGGGAGCCTATGGAAAAGTTATGTTAGTTGAATATTATAAAAATGGAATACAGAAGTTATATGCGATGAAGATATTAGAAAAAAAGAATATTAAGAAGGAATCTTAAATTAGGCATGTATTTGATGAAAGAAAAATATTAGAGAAGACAGATTCAAATTTTGTTGTGAAGTAATTCTCTTATTTAGGTTTATAGACTAAGGTATGCATTTTAAAATCATGCTCGTCTCTATTTTATTGTTGATTATATGGCAGGAGGAGATTTTTATTATCATATTAAATCGTAGCCGAGCGTTCCTGATCACTTCATAAAATTTTATTCAGCAGAAATAATATTTGGATTATAACACTTACATTCTTTGAATGTAATATATAGGGATCTTAAACCGGAAAATATTCTTGTAAGTGAATCTAGACATATCAAATTATCTGATTTTGGTCTGTCTAAAATTCTTGAAAATGATAATGAAAAGGCTAAGACTTGCTGTGGAACAATAGATTATTTGGCTCCAGAAGTTTTAGTAAATGATGGATATACTTTTACTTGTGATTTTTACAGTCTTGGATGTCTAATTTATGAGATGTACTTTGGAAAACCTCCTTTTTACAGTAAAGATAAAAAATAAATGATGGAGAATAGAATTATCAGATTAGTACCTTTTTTAGAATTGTGCTCTAAAGAAGCAAGAGATTTGCTTACAAAACTTCTCGAAGTTGATGTATGATATGTTTATGATTAGATAAGCCAAAGAAGAGATTAGGAAGAAAGGGGGCTCAGCAGATTTTAGATCATGCATTTTTTAAGGAATTAGATATAAAAAAGATGAAGGATTTATAAATTGAGCCACCTATTACACTTATTTAATCAAATAAGGTAGATTAAAAAATTTTTAAGGAAAAAATACCAAAGACTTAATCGAAAAAAGAAAATCTTAAAATTTTTGAAGGATTTACTTATTTCCAGAAGGAAAGTTAAGATAATTGATAATTTATTTTCTCGGACATTTAATTATTAATGTATAATAATTATTATGTTACCAAAATAAAATGCATCTTCTTATATTATGGTTCTTCCAAGTAGTAATTAATCTTACATATCCACTGAACAGCCATTTGTTTAAAAGTCTACTGTGTTGCCTGAGTCTAGGAGTAAAATGATAATTCCTTACAATATGACTCCATTAGTGAAGGTATAGTATTGATCTGAAATTAGTTGTTTGAACCAATTAAGACTAAATTCATTCCAAGAGATGCTGTGAATCAATCAATTCAGTACTTCAATGAACCTGCTGAATATTCCTAAGCAGAAATAGATTTGCTTGATTAATCTCTAGATAAATCAATTTAGTAGCATCATTAAGAAAACTACGATCCTTTACAACCAGTTTAAATGCCTTAATAGCCAGACATTATCTCATACCCGTAGTTATTTGTTGAACCTCCTATCTTAATTCCATACTTTATGGATTATATCAATTGGGATTTGAATAAAATGAAGAGCATAGTCAGAACGGAAGAAGATGAAACAACTCGGTATATGAATTTTTATAGATACTTTAAATTCATAACAACTAAAATTTAGCATAAATATTACACAGCCAAAGGTTTAATCAAGTTGTTAATTGAAAAATATTAAATAGTGCAACGTTTGAATGAACTATAGATGGATTTAAAATATCATCTAGACAATCAGGTTGGAGATTTGGCCCATTAAAGTCTTGAGCAACTCAAGAAGCATGAATGGGTTCAACAGGAGTTAGATTTTGAAAAATTAAGACAAAAAATATATCAAATCCGCAGAGAAAGCTTTGAAATATTAATGTTAACAGAACATGTTGAGGATTGTGTGTTATAAGAGACATCATTTACAGATTAACTAAATTAATTAAGGGCAGAATTGGATCATTCTTATGACTTATTCGAAGAATAAATACTAATCTACATCTTTCATGATGTTGCTGGAGTGGAAGTATGCATGAACTATTTAATTGATGATATAATGAATGAAGAAATCGAGGAATTGAAATTTTTTAATTCCATCCCAAACTTCATCAAAGATTTAGATAATTTTGGAGTAGAATTAAGACACTTAGTTAAACATCTGAGATTGATTATCAAATCTTTGACAGATAAAACTAATTAAAATCTAATAGATTTGAATAAAGCACATAGATCTCTGGAAATAGAGGTTAAAAAGATAATTGAACTCTTTAATGAGATTCCAGCTATGGTTACAAAGATGCAACTCAGCATAAACTAAGCAAGAATTATATTGTAAAAGATCAAACTCCCCCATAATAATTATAGAGCAGAAAACCAAGAAATCTATGATGAATATTTGAAATTGTAGGAGGAAAATACAAAACTTGAATAGTTAATTTAAAGACGTATCAACAAAGCCGCAATCATTAGTCAAGTATGTGAAGAGTAGAAAAACATTTTACAATTTGAAATAACATAACTAAAAGAGGACAATAAGAATGTGATTGAACTTTACCAGTTATTATAAGGAATACAAGAGAAGGAATTTTAATTGTCTAAAATTTAATCATAAAGAACAGAGATATGGTATTAAATGAAATAGGTAAAATCAGAAGAAATTTAATAATTAAATCATATAGAGTTGAAGTAATTGGAATAAAAATGCATTAATATCATAGAATAGATCACATCATATTTTGGTTAGAATAGGATGCCTCATTAATTTATAAGATTAAAATTATGGGCCGAATCGGAATTGATGGCTTTAAAAATAAAGTTTGATGTTCCGAAGGTAAACCTTAATGCTTTGGATTCCTCTCTAAAATAAAGAATCGAGAAACTAGTAAAATGGGAATATAGTGAGGAATAAAATGAGGAATAGAATGTTTCATAATATATCTAATACTTCCACAATTTGAATCAAGATATAAGTGTATAGTAGCCTGACATTGAATTAGAGTTGGATAACTAATTTGAATTGCTTCAAGACGATGAGGAATTACTTCAATTGAATGAGACGTATACGATTTGGAAGAATATGTAGACAGCTGCAATTTATTTAAATGACGATTATTTGTAAGGTCTGCTTTCGTCGCATGACTAAGATCGTCTGGTAAAGTTCAGGAAAAATGTGTCTCATTTGTTTATATTCTTTAAGCTGATGAAACAGGATTAGTATGTGGGGTATGTTGATGAAGTTGAATAATTGGCAGATCTGCTAATTCAAGGAAGAAAGTTGGATGCAAAATCTTTTATAAAGTCCTCTAGGTTTATTCCAAAAAATTACAGAGAGAATTTGCTGAGTGCATTTTGAAATATTCAATGAATGACTTGATTTTTAATTAATTATTTTATGAATTTCAGATAAGATCAAATTGATTATAAGGATCTGGTGCGAAGGAGAGAGGAGAAACGCCAGGTCGTTGGAAAGAAGAAGAATCAATTTGCTACAAGTATCAAGCTTATTTACAACTTAGATTCACTTTCAAATAATGAAGAGGTGTACAAACAGTTATATCGCTTTGATCCAGAGGTATGGAAGTTTTAAAATAAAATAGAGAGAATTATAAGAATACAGTCTAGCTAAGAATGAGGAATAGCCTATTTAGCAAGCTGGACCCATTGAATAATCGCAAGAGGAGCCAATCGAAGAGGAGGAGCAAGTAGTGATTAGAATAATAAAATTAGGCTTAGCCAGACAATGTTACATATACAGGAATGGTGAAGGGATTATTTAAAGAGAAGGTGCAAGTGTCTAAAATACAAAAAGCCAATTACATAGATGCTACTGTCTTCCATTAATATTAGAAATTAATTTAAACTGGGGAAGACGCCATCAAATTTTTTGCTAAGTATGGAAACACTACTCCAATTAAATTTATTAATTGTGTGAGCAAAGCTGGATTTATTGAACTCTAATGTGAAGCTTACAATAAGAAAGAGAAATTAAGGCGTCAAAGTAATACTGACAGCGCTGAACTTGAGTTGCCTATGGAATTCAATAAAAGTAAAGAGCCCTTCCGACCTTATGATCTAATTGTTGTCAAAACAAGGGAGAATCAAAAGGAATAAACATTAAGAGAATATTATACTATATCTGCCCATGGAATTGTCCATGTTTATACTGATAAAGGAAAGAAGAGAATGCAAGGGGATTCTAGCACTGAAGTCATCTCACTTTCTGATTGGATGCATGAGAGTACTATGTTCAATATTATCACCAATATTTAATTTTTCAAAAATTATGCCATAAGTAATAACTTTATATTATTCTAGCCAAAATCTTTAATATTTGGAAATCCAATGTCAGATACAATCTATTTAGTAAGACCAGAAAAAGGTTGATACATGAATCCTTTGTAGCTAAACCAGCCTTTGCTCAGCACTTGATGGACATCAATCAAATGATGTATGAATTACAACTCCAGAAAACCCTAAGTAACAGTATTCAATAAGCCAATAAAACTTGGGAAGCTGATGACTTCTTCAAAGGAGATTAGAAGAAAGCCAGATCAGATGCCTCTAAGCATTATGATTCTGTGATTGATAAAGTCTTATAAAAATTAGACACTGTCTGTAAAGAAGTTATTGATAGGACGAACCAAAACAATTAATAAGAAAATGAAGAAGCCAGATTTGGATAATAAGTCAAATAGAAACCTATGAATGAAGAGAGGAAGGAAAAGGAGGAAAACGCTTTGCTTTTACAATTGGCAGAAAAAGACAAAGGCAGATTACATTTGTTCATCAAATTGGTCGATTATATGACAGTTGAAACACTAGTGTCTATCAATCAGACATCTATGAGTATGTTATTAGAGGAAATGAAAAAGGAACGTAAAAATGGATTGTTCAATACAGCAGTTAATTTTGATGTTTAAATATTCACACCTGACGAAAAAGAAATCTCAGAACATCTGAAATGCTTATTAGATGACATGATTGTGGTTATGAGAAATACTGCTAGAGTAATATCTCATTAAAGTATGATTGGATACATAAAGAACACTAAACTAGGAGAATTGCTATCTGAGTAAAAAGAAAATAAGGATTGCATTGCTGATGTCCAAGGTATCATTACTGATAGCATTGAATATTAAAATATCAAAAATGAAATATTTGAAAAAGTAACTAATGATTTTCTAGCTGCAGAAGCCTATGTCACTACAAATTACATGAAATGTAAACCAATTTATGAATTTTTAAATACTTGGAATTAAGGCGACTTTGAAAAAGAAGAACACACACTCGATATCATCAAATCTCATGTTATAGAACTGAAAAAATGGTTGTAGGATATCAATTTTTATATTAAAGATATCGCTAAAGGAATTCTTAATGTAGATGGCAAGAAAATTAAAAACAAACTCTAACCATAAGTTATTACCAAATTAGAAAATTTTAAAGATTACTTATATAAATTGATGTAAAAGAAAGCAAATCAAACTTTAACCACTTTATAGACATACACATCAAATTTATCTAAGAATCCCTAAAATCTTAAAGAATATGCTGAATTTATAGAGGCAATTTAAGAAGCTGAATAAAATATCAAAGGACTAGAAATAGCGAAAATAGAAGTTGAAGCTATGCATTCTTTGTTAAAATCGAAATTTGACTTGAATCCTTTGAAAAACTCTGATATTGTAATGATGGACGATATTCAAGCTGAATATTTAAGATTGACTTTGAAAATTAAAGAAGCGGAAGAGTTATGTAAAGAAAGAAAATAAGAAATGATGAAAAAGCATGAGGCGGAATTCGCCAAATTCATTACCAATATTCAAAATACCACTTCATCAGTTAATAAAGGAAAATTAATATTAGAGGATACTTAACCTGCAGATGCACTACAATAATTAAATGAAATCAAACTCAGATCTTTAGACAGATTCAAAGAGATGGATAAGAATTATTTGCACTATGCCAAATTAATGGGATTGAGTGTTTCAACAAATAGAGATTTACAAGAATTGGAAGCTACTTATAATGATCGAAGGATGCTTTGGACTCACTCTGATAAATTCAACAAATTATATGAAGATTTGTAAAAAAACATATTTACCACATTGAATGTTGAGGAAATAGAAAAAGAAATGAAAAGCTATGAAATTGGAATTTTGAAGTTAAGATAAAACATCAATAATCTATCAAAGGAAGGAAGAGATAAAGTATTAGATCAGCATGCTACTAGAGTCAGTAGTGTTTCAAATATTATGCCTGTGATATAAGCATTAGGAAATAAAGATCTAAGACCTAGACATTGGAAGAAAATATTTGAAGACTTAGGATCATCTTGGTAACCAGGAAAAACATTTACACTCTAAGAGTTGCTAGCTGATGGTGTTATGAATAAGAAGGATAAGATAGAAGAAATATCAGCCAAGGCATCAGGTGAAGCTAGTATTGAAGCATAAATTGAAGATATTAAATCAAAGTGGTCATAATTATCATTCATAGTCAATCATTATAGAGAAGCTAAGGATAAATTTATTATTGGTTCTTTAGATGATATTATTGCAGCATTAGATGATCATTAATTAAAAGTCTAAACTATGTTGGGTACTAGATTTGTTGCTGAAATCAGACCAGTTGTCGAGGAGTGGGAAAGAAAGTTAGTTCTCATTTCAGATATTATTGATGAATGGCTATCTTGTCAAAGATAATGGATGTATTTAGAAAACATTTTCAGTGCTGATGATATTTAAAAATAATTACCATTAAGAAACAACTAAATTTATGGGTGTTGATAAATTTTGGAGAGACATTATGATGAAAACATTCAAAAGACCATTAGTATAAGATTGTTGTAATTACTGAAAGAATTATTAAAGAAGTTTTAGATTAATAATAAAATATTGGAAGATATTTAAAAGAGCTTAGATAATTATCTAGAAACAAAGAGGTAAGCATTTCCAAGATTTTACTTTTTGTCAAATGATGAGTTATTGGAAATTTTATCATAAACTCGTAATCCTCATGCAGTTTAAGCTCATTTAAGAAAGTGTTTTGATAACATAAATAGAATAAAATTCTCTGATATAGAAGATTCAACTGAAATTATTGCAATGTAATCAGCAGAACCAGAGACAATGCCTGACAATTAGTTCCAATTTTCAACAATAGTTATGGCTTAAGGTCCAGTAGAACATTGGCTATTAGAGAATTCAAAATATGATGGTTAAATCATTATATGATATTACTAAGAAGGCATATTTAGCATATCCATAAAAGGAATTAGAGAGAGATGAGTGGTTATTCGACTACCCAGCATAACCAGTTTTGACAGTAGATTTGATAAAATGGACAGAAGGATGTACAACAGCAATTGAGAGAATGGGTATGGGTAGAAAGACATCATTATCATAATATTACGATTTTATGGTCTAATTATTGAATAGGGAAGTATCAATTGTGAGAGGAGATCTGAATACACTTCAAAGAACATTGATGGGTGCTTTGATTGTGTTGGATGTACATGCTAGAGATGTTGTTGCAACTATGGTTGATAAGAATGTAGCATCTTTGAATGATTTTGAATGGGCTAAGCAATTGAGATATTATTGGGAGGCAGATGTAGACAATTGTGTAGTCAGATAAACCAATACAAGATTCATTTATGGTTATGAATACTTGGGTAATGGACCAAGATTAGTTATTACTCCACTTACTAGATAAATGTTATATGACATTGACCGGAGCATTACATTTAAATTTTGGAGGTGCTCCTGCAGGACCTGCTGGTACTGGTAAAACTGAAACAACTAAGGATTTGGCTAAAGCATTAGCTGTTCAATGTGTGGTGTTTAATTGTTCTGATGGTTTGGATTTCAAAACAATGGGTAGATTCTTTTCAGGATTAGCATAATGTGGAGCTTGGGCATGTTTCGATGAATTTAATCGTATAGATATTGAAGTCTTGTCAGTCATAGCCTAATAAATATTAACCATCTAATAGGCTATTAGGTAGAAAGTGGATCAATTTGATTTTGAATCTCGTACAATTCCTTTGAATAGAAGATTTGGAGTATTTATTACAATGAATCCAGGATATGCAGGTAGAACTGAATTACCAGATAATCTTAAGGCTTTATTCAGACCAGTAGCTATGATGATTCCCGATTATGCTATGATTGCAGAAATCATTCTATTTTCAGAAGGATTTGAAGGTGGTAGAATATTAGCTCGTAAGATGGTTAATTTATATTCATTATCATCTGAACAATTAAGTAAACAAGATCATTATGATTTTGGTATGAGAGCAGTCAAATCAGTATTGGTTATGGCAGGTGCCTTACGTAGAAAGAATGCAAATAAACCTGAGAATGAAGTGCTTATAAAAGCAATGAAGGATAGCAATGTACCAAAGTTTCTTGAGCATGATCTACCATTATTCAATGGAATCATCAAAGATTTATTCCCAGAAGTGGATATGAAAGAAGAAATCGATAAATAATTAGTTGATGCTATTACAAATTAACTCAAATTAATTCACTATGATGATCCAGCTGCATATAAAAAGAAGATCTGCTAATCTTGATGGAAACCATCTTAAGTGAGACACGGAGTCATGGTTGTTGGTCTAACTGGTACTGGTAAGACTACATTAATACATACACTTGCAAGAGCTATGGAATAATTAAACAAAGAAGGATCTTAAGATTATTATCATAAAGTTGTGTAAAAGTAAACATTGAATCCAAAATCAGTTACAATGAATGAATTGTTTGGCTATACTAATGTGTTAACAAATGAATGGACAGATGGTATTGTTGCTAGTATAGTAAGAACTGCAGTTACAGATACAACTGATCAGAAGAAATGGATCATTTTTGATGGTCCTGTAGATGCACTTTGGATTGAAAATATGAATACAGTGTTGGATGATAATAAGATGTTATGTTTAAACAATGGTCAGAGAATTAAGTTGCCTGCAACATTCACTATGATGTTTGAAGTATAAGATTTGGCAGTTGCATCTCCAGCTACAGTAAGTAGATGTGGTATGGTTTATATGGAACCACATCATCTAGGATGGGAACCATTAGTTAAGACTTGGGGGGTCTAATTGAGAGAATAATATATGAAAGACGATAAGGTTCCAACTTATGTTGACACTCTAATTGATAAGATTGAGCATTTCTTTAAGGATAACTTGAAAGTTGTGAGAGAAGAATTCAAAGAGAAAATTCCAACTACTGTTAACAATATCTTGAAATCGCTACTAAATTTGGCTTAAATCAATCTGAAATTATTGACTGATACAGTTGTTCTAGAGAAGATGAACAAGTTTGATATGGAATCTCATATAGCTATGGTTTTGATTTTCAGTTACATCTGGAGTGCTGGAGCAAATTTACATGATTCTAGTAGATCTTAATTTAGTTAGTATTTGAAAGGAAAGATCATTTCGCTATTTAGTGGATTCCCATTTGAAGGAGATGTCTACGATTATTATTGTGATTACACTACTAAGGAATTTAAACCTTGGACTGAGAAAATTTAAGAGTTTAAGTATAATTCAAGCATACCTTATTTCAATATCCTTGTACCAACAAGTGACACAGTCAAATTCAAATACTTGATCACTCAATTGATTGAAGGAGGATTCAATATTCTTCTATCAGGGGAAACTGGTACTGGAAAAACAGTTATTATAAATGAATACTTGTATAGTTTAGAATCAGATAGGTTTGTCTTCTCTACACTTAACTTCTCTGCATAAACTAGTGCCAAGAACTTATAAGATCTATTTATGGATAAGGATAAGTTCATGAAAAAGAAGAAAGATCTGTTAGGTCCACCAGCTGGTCGTAAAATGATCCTCTTTATTGATGATGTTAACATGCCTGCATTGGAAAAGTATGGTGCACAACCACCAAATGAATTGTTTAGATAAATCATCGATTAAGGTGGATTCTATGATCTCAAGAAATTGTATTTCATGTATGTTAAGGATTGTCAATTCATTACAGCCTGTGCACCTCCTGGGGGTGGACGTAATCCTGTTACTCCTCGTCTATTCAGGCATTTCAACCAAACCTGGTGTCCTGATCTCTCTTAAAGATCTATGGAAGTCATTTTCACTGCTATTCTTAAAGGATTTCTTATGGAATAAAATAAAGGATTGGACAAATTTGCATCTTACATTGTCAAATCAAGTGTAGAAATCTACTTTAAAATTACCAAGGAGTTGTTACCTACTCCAACCAAGTCTCATTATACTTTCAATTTGAGAGATCTCAGCAAAGTTATCTAAGGAATATTATAAATTAGATATGACAATTTAACTAATAAGGAAATGCTCATTTAATTGTGGGCACATGAATCACAAAGAGTATTCTAAGATAGATTGGTTGATGACAAAGATAGAGATTGGTTTTTGACTCTTTTAATGGGACATACTCAGAGAGTCTTTGAATTTGAATGGGAAAAACCTCAAGTTTAGAATCTACTCTTTGGTGATTATAGCAACGCTAATAAGGATTATATTAGAATTGATAATCCATAAGAATTGCCACGTAAATTTTAGGACTTCTTAAATATGTATAATGCATCTCAAAAGCAAATGAATCTTGTGTTTTTCACTGATGCCATCATGCATCTTAGTAGATTATGCAGAATTCTGAGATAACCTAGAGGAAATGCACTTCTGATTGGTGTTGGTGGTTCAGGAAGACAATCACTAACTAAATTATCTGCCTAAACAAGAGGGTAAACTGTATTTAGCATAGAAATTACTAAGAATTATAAAGAGTAATCATGGAAGGATGATCTTAAGAGATTATTAAAAACAGCAGGAGCTAAGGACTAACCTGTAGTATTCTTGTTCTCTGATACTTAAGTTGTTAGAGAATCATTTTTAGAAGATATCAACAACGTTCTTAATACTGGTGAAGTGCCTAATTTATGGGCAACTGAAGACATTGAAGAAATTATCAATGATGTCAGACCATTGGCCAAGGAATAGGGATTATATGATTCCAGAGATGTTTTACTTAAATTCTTTGTAAGTAAAATAAGAGAGAATTTGCACATTGTCTTAGCATTCTCACCTGTCGGAGAAAAGTTGAGAAACAGATGCAGATAATTCCCTTCAATTATTAATTGTTGTACAATTGATTGGTTTGATAAATGGCCAGATGAGGCACTTAATAGTGTTGCAATGAAAGATTTGGGAGGTTAGGAACATTTGGGCATTGGAGATTTTGTTGACAGCTTGGCTAGCATGTCTGTCATTATCCATTCAGACGTGAAAACATATAGTGAAAGATTTTATGATGAATTAAGAAGAAAGAACTATGTTACACCTACAAGTTATTTGGAACTATTGAAGTTGTACATTGACATGATGAAGGTGTAATCAAATATATTACCTTAAAAAATAAAGAAATATACTGTTGGTTTATAAACTTTGAAAGACACTAATGAGGAGGTTGGAAAGTTGCAAAAGAAAATTATTGAATTTTAACCTATTCTTGAACAAAGTGCAAAAGATAATGCTAAAATGATGGTTGAATTAGAAGGCAAATCAAAAGAAGCGAATGCCACTGAATAAACAGTTTCAAAAGAAGCAGCAGAGGCATAGAAGAAGAAAGATGAAGTCAATGAAATGAGAAATTCCTGCTAGGCTGAACTAGATTAAGCATTGCCTATCTTAGAATAAGCATAAAAGGCAGTCTAGAGTATTGATAAAGCAGCTATTAATGAAATGAAAGCCTTAAAAACTCCACCAAATCTAGTGTAAATTGTCATGTGTGCAGTCAACTTACTCTTTGATGAAAAGGAAGACTGGCCAACAGCTTAAAAAGTTCTTGGTCGTATGACATTTATTCAAGAAATGCTTGAATTCGATGTGACAAAGGTTCAAGAAAGAAGGTTACAGAAGTTGAAGTAAACTTATCTCAGCAATCCTGATTTCACTAAAGAAAAGATTATGAATGTGTCATAAGCAGCTACAACTTTATTGGTATGGGTGGTCGCAACTGAAAAGTTTGCATAGGTTAAAAAGGTTGTTGGTCCGAAGGAGAAGGCATTAAAAGAAGCTGAAGCATCCTTGAAGAAGGTTGAATAAGAATTGGCAGTAAAGATGGGATAATTGAAGGAAGTGTAAGATATGGTTAATGAACTCAAGAGAAATCTTTAGACTTCTATCAACAAATCAGAAATGTTAAGATAACAGTAATAGACAGCTGAGATTTAATTAGTCAGAGCAGAGAAGTTAGTTTCAGGATTGGCTAGTGAAGCTGAGAGATGGAAAGTTAATGCAGCTCTATTAGAAGAAGATTTAAGGAATTTAGTAGGAAATATTATGTTGGCTGCTGGTTCAATAGCATATCTGGGACCATTTACATATAATTATAGATCTGAAATTATAGCCAAATGGATCAACAATTGTAAAGAGCTGAGTATTCCTGTGAGTGATAATTTCACTCTCTAAAGGATTTTAGCAGAAGAAGTAACTATAAGAGAATGGTAAGAAGCAGGATTACCTGCAGATAATTTATCAATTGATAATGGAATCTTTGTTTTCAACTGCAGAAGATGGCCCTTAATTATAGATCCCTAAGGTTAGGCTAATAAGTGGATTAAAGCACTAGGAAAGGAAACTAATTTACAAATTACAAAATTGAGTGAAAGTAATTTCTTGAAGACTCTTGAAAACTCCATTCGCTTTGGATAATAAGTTTTAATGGAAAATGTTGAAGAAGAACTAGATCCTTCTTTAGAACCTATATTATAAAAATAAATCTTCAAAAAAGGAGCTCAATATCTATTACGTTTAGGTGACTAAGATATTCCATACAACAATGACTTCAAATTATATTTTACTACCAAATTACCAAATCCTCATTACATACCTGAAATCAGTATTAAAACTACTATCATCAACTTTACAGTCACACCTTAAGGTTTAGAAGACTAATTATTGGTTGAAGTGGTGCGATAAGAAAGAATCGATTTGGAAGAGAAAAGAGTTAATTTGATTCTTTAAATATCCTAAGATAAGAGATAATTACAAGAATTGGAAGATAAGATATTGAAGTTGATATCTGAGGCATAGGGTAGAATATTGGAAGAAGAAGATTTGATTACAACCTTGGATGCATCTAAAATTACATCTGATACAGTCAATTAACGTATGGCTTAGTCTAAGGTTACAGCTGAGGAAATCAATTAAGCAAGAGAACAATATCGTATTATTGCTAGAAGAGGATCAGTCATTTACTTTGTAATTGCAGATCTTGCTTTGATAGATCCTATGTATCAATATTCTTTGGAGTTCTTTATTAGATTATTTAAAAAGCGATTAGAAGTAGCACCCAATCCTCCATCATTAGAGGAAAGATTGGCAGTACTGATTGACGATATTACTAAAGCATTTTATATCAATATTTGCAGAGGATTGTTCGAAAAAGATAAATTGTTGTTTAGTTTTTTGATTGCTAGTAAAATCTAATTGTAGGCTCAATACATACATGCTAGAGAATGGAACATCTTTTTAAGAGGAGGCACTGGCACAGTACCTCATGAAGAACACCCTTCATTTTTAAATGAGAAATCATGGAAGAATTGTATGATGCTAAGTAAACAATCCCATGTCTTTGCATAATTGCCAATGTCCTTAAGGGATAGTAATGATGAATAATTATGGAGAGAAGTTATGGATGTTTAAGATCCATGGAAATGTGATTTACCCCTTGTGTTCCGTTCATTGGATCCATTTTAGAAGTTACTATTATTCAAAACACTTAGAGATGAAAAATTGGTTATCTTAATTAAAAATTATGTGTCAGACACCTTAACATCATTCTTTATTGAACCACCTGTTTTCAATTTGAAAGGTGCCTTCTAAGATTCATCTTGTACTACTCCAATAATATTCGTATTATCTCCAGGTGCTGATCCAATTACATATTTATTGAACTTGGCTAAAGATATGGAAATGGAAACTAAACTAAAAATCATCTCATTAGGTCAAGGATAAGGTAATATTGCAAAGGAATTGATTAAGACTGGCAGAAGAACAGGAGATTGGGTATGTTTGTAGAATTGTCACTTGGCTATTACTTGGATGCCAGAATTAGAGAGAATTTAAGAATTGCAAGTAGAGGCAGACACTGATGCCAATTATAGATTATGGTTAACCAGTATGCCTACTGATAAATTCCCTGTTCCTGTGTTACAGAGTGGTATTAAATTAACAAACGAACCACCCAAAGGATTAAAGGCCAATATGATGAGAACTTATAATGATATATCTGGATATGATTCTTGCACTAAGTAGGATGAATATAAGAAACTCTTATTCTCCTTGGCTTTCTTCCATGCAGTTATTTTGGAAAGGAGAAAGTTTGGACCCATTGGTTGGAATATTCCATATGAATGGATGAATTCAGATTTTGAAACTTGTTAATTACAATTGAAGATGTACTTGGATGAATAACCAGAAGTACCATACCAAACACTTAATTATATAATTTCAGAAATCAATTATGGTGGTAGAGTTACAGATGATAAGGATGTTAGATTGATTACTGATCTACTCAAATAGTATTTCTGTCCAGCCATTCTGAATGATCCAAACTATATATTCTCATCTAGTGGTGTTTATCATCCTCCTTAGATTGTAGATTTGCAATCAGTTATTTAATATATTAGTTCATTGCCTTTGGAAGATGATCCAGAAGTATTTGGATTACATGCCAATGCAAATATTACATTCTAATAAAAAACAGTGGCTGAATTTATGAGTACCTTACTATCAGTGCAACCTAGAATGGTAGCAGAAAAGGGAGTAGAAGAAACACCTGATTAAATTGTGTTTAAGGTGGCCAAAGAAATACTAGGAAAATTGCCTCCAGTTCTAGTTCAGAAGAAAGAAGTGGCCATTGAATCATTAGCTATTTTTAGATCATAAGAAGTCGATCGTTTCATTAAATTGGTTCGGGTTATGAAAAACTCATTGGAATTATTATAGAAGGCCATTCAAGGATTAGTTGTTATGTCAATAGAATTAGAAAAAATGTTCAATTCCTTCTTGGATGCTAAGGTCCCTGAAAATTGGGAGAATGTGGCCTATCCATCTCTAAAACCCTTAGGTTCCTGGGTTACGGATCTCAACTAAAGACTGGTATTTATCAATGTATTATACTTTTAGGAATTCTTCAAATAGTGGCTCGAAAATGGATCTATGAAGTCGTATTGGTTATCAGCTATGTTCTTCCCTCAAGGTTTCATGACTGCCACTAAACAGACATATGCTCGTAAAACCAAGACTCCTATTGATACTTTGACATTCAGAACTTAAGTTAGGCCTTTCTACAAGGATAATATTTAAGATGTTCCCTAAGATGGTATTTAATGATCTCATATATTTAGGTGTCAATATTGATGGTCTATATTTACAAGGATGCAAATGGGATGTAGGAACTAATCAATTGGAGGAATCTGATCCTTTAGTTTTGTTCCAAGAAATGCCAGTTGTTTGGTAATAATTTAAATTCTATTAGAATAGGCTTGAACCTGTAATAGCATCAACTTAGAATCAAAATTCTTAGAAATTCTATAAATGTCCTCTTTACAAGACTTCCACTAGAAGGGGAACTCTATCAACAACAGGTCATTCAACCAACTTTGTGTTATATTTGGAATTAACTACAGGTGTGGAACCAGCCGTTTGGACTAGACGTGGAGTTGCTCTATTATGTCAACTCGATGATTGATTTTCATTTATCAATAATTATAAATTTAACTTAATAAGGTGTTATTGGTTATTATGCATTCTTCTCTTGGAAATTTGATACATAATTTGCTTTTAAAAACATAAATTTTATTTTTGTTTGTAAATGTCGAATCGCTTAAACTACAAGTCATATTCATATAATCATTCTAGTTTTGCTCTGGTCTTTCGTTGCAAAGTTCTTTTGACAAGAATCAAATCATCCTAAAAGGAAATTAATAGGATCCTGTTTCTTCATTGTAATAAGAAAACCTAATCAATTTTGGGAATACTGAATAAAAGCGAAGAAATAATTGTTCTGGAGATCGCTTTATTCCAACCATAAAAAAGAAATTTAGCATCCTCAGTGAAACCAAGGCACCTGCTCAAGACATAGCTTCATCTTAAGCAGCTCTTGAAATGCTCTATAAATAATAGATTTTAAATTAGGACCCTATTATGGAATCTGAGAGTGGTTCACTTAAATTTATTAATCAAAACAACTTTCAATACAAGAATGAGCATGTACATTACATCGATTCTATTGATCCCAAAAATTATAATAGGTATTAATTTAAATAAATTAGTCCTCTTGTTGATCATAAATACTTTGCATTACCAGAAACCATATCCAGTTAATATGGAAAATACATAAGAAAAATTCCCAAAGCGCCATTTAAAGTTTTAGATGCTCCTTAATTATAAGATGATTTCTATTTAAACCTCATAGATTGGAGCAACTATAACACGTTATCAGTAGCTCTCAACAACAGTGTTTATTTATGGTACCTTTTATATAATACAATCAAATTAGGAATGCTTAATCATAAAAAGTTACGAAACTGCTAGATCTTTGCAATGATGTAGTAACGAGTGTTGGATGGTCATTAAGAGGACCATTGTTAGGAGTTGGAACTAACAATGGAGAAGTCTAAATATGGGATGTTTGTAAGTTACAAAAAGTGAGAACGTTTAAAAGTCATACTGACAAGAGTTGGGACCCTTTGTTTTGCTGAAGGTATTCTAAGTAGTGGTTCAAGAGATAAATCAATAATTTAAAGAGATATAAGATAAAAAGAAGACTATATTTTCATATCTATCGCACATAAGTAAGAAGTTTGTGGATTAAAATGGTCTCCTGATAGCTAATTATTAGCTTCAGGTGGAAATGACAATAAATTATACATTTGGAGTGCAGCTTAATATGATAAACCAATATTTAAATTTTAATGAACATCAAGCAGCTGTTAAAGCTATAGCTTGGAGTCCACATTAACATGGGTTATTAGCAAGTGGTGGTGGAACTGCAGATAAAACTATTAGATTCTGGAATGCTTTAGAAGGCAGAATGTTACTCAAACAGATAGATAGCTGGAAGTTAAGTCTGTAATTTAATGTTCAGCAAAATGGAAAATGAATTTATTTCAACACATGGCTATAGTCAAAATTAGATTATACTATGGAAATGCAATGGTATGAAAAGAATTGCCACTTTAGTTGGTCATACTAGTCGGTATATATATTTATTACAATTAAGTGTGTTATATCTGGCGATGTCTCCTGATGGTTATACCATAGTGACCGGAGCTGGAGATGAGACTTTGAGATTTTGGAGTATCTATACATAATCAATGGGTAATTAATAAAATAGCAAATGCTAATTAGCACCGCACAATATCAGTATTCGTTGATATAAACTAATTTTATACTCATTTTTGTTATTAATAATCCTTTAAAATAATTTGATAGAAATTGAAGAGTCAATAGATTTGGTTACTTTAATTTTATAGATATATATATATCATTAAAGCCATGGAATTTATAGTATTTGCTATGCTGATGGTCTATCATTTGCATTTATTTGCAACATACTCTTCACCAGTTTGAAAAGCTCTACTTCGTATTTATTCCAATGTGCTTTTGCAAATGATATCTTTGCTGGTTGATTCTAGTTTTAAGGCATCAGATTTGGTGAATATGCCATGATCATTTGATGAATCACTATGCCAAAACACCATATATCCATTTTAGGATCTGCTTAAGAGCCTATAGCTAATTCAGGTGGCATCATAGGTTATCTTTTTTTGATGAACTCATAATGAAAGGCATCCAGAATGTCACCCTTTCTTTAGATATTCCCAAAATCTCCAATTTTGACCTCTATTTAATTATTTAGATACTGTTCTAATTAGATCCTCCAGTCCTCTTGTACATTGCAAAGTCTCTATTCTAATATCCATATGAACATAATCTCACATATTTAGACAAATTACTTAAATTATGCAAATAGTTGAGTCCTTCCGCTATATCTTATATATAAGATCTTAATTTAATCATATTCGTTATAGGACGAGCTTACTAAAAGTTTAAAAAACAATTGTACTTCTAGGATTGCTTTCTTAAAGTAGTTTGCTTCATTTAAGAATTCTAATACTATTTTCTTCTCCTCATAGTTCTGCTCTTTAACCTAAATGCTAGATTAAGCTAGTACTTTCACAATATTGGGGTGATCTAAAGTTGGATGTATCTCAAATTATTTGATGACTTAGGCTCTCCAAGTTGGATCCTACAAGGCTTCAATTTAGAGTTATTTTACAAACACCTATGCATTTTAAACAAATATTCTACTTTATTAAAATCCCAATCTAATGCAACTATGTTCTTGTTGAATTTCGATGGTTCAAATTCCTCTAGTTAACTGTAACTCTTTTTAGGAGGCATCCAGTTCTCATCATCTGAATCAATAATTTCTCCAAAATTTTACGGAAGTTGGTATTACTTTAATGAATCATCTGAATCACTCATCACAATTTTTATAATATATTAAAAAATAAGTGCGAAAATTTTGAATTCAAAACCCATCTGGCAATAAGTCAATCAGAGTCTTAATTCTTGTATGTATTCTTAAATCCTTTTCATCTCTCCTTGTTTGTGATCCATTTTTTTTCCCCTTCCTTTCAGATTTCAAAGCCTACATACTTTCCTAAACTTTCTTCTCTAATAATTGCACTATCAAAGCATCTTTCTATTTTGCTTAAGATTTCAGTAAATGATTCTCATTCATCAAAGTTTTAAGAATTTAGGTTTAGAAAACTCTTTAAGAATCACTCCTAATAGCCATTTCAAATGTTAATATTTTGTGATTTTATAAAAATTATCATTTTATTAGAAAATGTGTAAAATATCTCACTAATTTTCTCTTATAAAACTATTAAAAACCTAATCTCCCTCTCCGTAACTTGTATTAATTGACTCAGTTTAGTCTAAATAATAATTAGGATTAAAATTATCAATGTTTTCATCTATATAAGGAATCAGGCATGGTATTCAAAGAGTTAACTAAATATGTAGTTTGATTTTGTTTGGTTGTGTAATTCCTAATGCTTTTAATTTAGTAATTTGACTTTCATCAAGATCTCTATACAATTTTTCAATAATTTTGTTCATATTCATCAAGGAATAAGAGATTCTGAATTTATTAAGTATTTTTCCTTGTCAATTCTTGGATAATTTTGCATGGAAATGTTTGGACTAATGATTTACTAATTTTCTATTCTTATTATAATATATCTATATTTATTAAGTTTCTTAGCCCGCTATAATTAAATTTTTTTTTAATGTTGTAAGAAAATTAAAGGGAAAATGAGAAAAAGTAGTATTCAATGTTCTATCAAGAGGATGAAAGATCAAAGAGCCATTTCTTAAATTAATAATACCTCACTAATTTCTTTGAATTTACTAATCATTTCAAGGATGCTGATTTACCAAATTAAGGAAAATAGGAAGAAAAAAACCAACCTAAATTCCCCATAATTATATAATATGAGCAAGAACCTAGATATGTAAATCAGAAATAGTAATTTAATATATTAATTCTTAGATATAGACGAATCATGATTCGAAGAATTAAAAGAGCTTAATAAGCATTAAAACTCGAGGAATTAAGAAAAGAATAAGCAACAAAGGTTTTGGATAAATCCAATTAAAAATATATATATGAATCAAGGCATTAGCATGCACTAAAAAGAGAAAGAGGACCAGATGGAAAATTTTTAAAAAAGCAGAATTCTGCCGAGTCTCCACCAAAACTATGAGTTCATTCTTTGTGTATTTGCTTTTTCTTTTGTTAATTATTATAATAATCTAATAAAAAGGAATAATTTTCACAACTTGAAAAATATGTTTTTTAAATTAATTGAAAAATAGCATAACACTAAAAAAGAATAGTAAATTTCTGTTTTTGTATCTTAAATTCTCTTCAATAATTGCATAAATAGATTTTATTTCAAAATCTACAATTTGAATAGCTTCATTCTCTACAGATTGATTGCTGTATATCTATAAAATTTAAATTAAGAACATTGATGATGTCAAATCTAAATTAAAAAAGGTTGTCCTCAGAAAATCAAGAAAAAGCTGTATGTAGTATTCAACACAAAGAATTGAAATACAATAATCATTTCCTACGTATTGTAATGATCCAAAGCAATAATAAATTCTATAATATATATTTGAAATTGAGTTTATATTTTAAGTCTCGATAGATATGATGTAAGAATAATCTATCATAATTTATATATCAAATAGATGATCAAAAATCATAATGATATCTAAATTCCAAATTTTTTAAGTTCGTCTATCTTTTTTTTTGCCTTGGCAGCTGTAAAATTGTTTTAATTCACATATATGCTTTTCAATTATGTTTGACCATTTTATCTCAAATGAGTTAAAATATTATCAAGACATTTTTCTGTCAATATGTTTTGTTATAGATGTAATGTATTAATTCTATTAATATAAAAATAACAATTACTTGGTTTGAGTGATATTCAAAACCAACTTATAGAGCAGATCATCTGTCAATTTGCATTTACTTAATTTTAAGACCTTTACAGTTTGAGTTCCCTTTAAGTAATCTCCCAAGATTTGTATAATCTAGTCATTAAAATCTAGGTAAAAATATTATTATTACCAATAGAACTTAGATCAATAATTTCACTTTTGTCTTAATGAATAATACTAAAAGTATTTGATAGTTTATCATTCATTTTTTGATTGTTAGTAAATTTCTTCTATGATTTTGAATTGCTATTTTAATTATTATTGCTAATTTTAGATTGTTTCTAAACAAGAATTTAAGAAACATCCAACAATTCGTGATGTGACAAAGTCATACTTCTTTCTTTAAACTTTATTGGTTGGTTTTGATTTGATGTAAAATTGGTTGATTTTGTCATATCTTGAGAAGGTGAAGTAGGTTGGGTAGGTTATTATGATTAAGAAAATATACCAGAATATCTTTTTCCTTTTGCTACATCTATTTACAATGGTTTATGCTATTCATATTGTTAGAATATTTCTTCTTACAGTTACCTATCATCTAATAAAAAGTCCGATTGATCAATCTTTTTTATAGGATCTTTCTCCTCTAGAATGGATTCTAGAGGTTGAATAAATTCCTATTTAATCACTTCGGATTTTGTTTTGTTCAATCCCATCATTTTGGTGATGTAATTTATGATAATCTAAATAGGAACTTGGACATCTAGTTAATTGTAAGTTTATTCAATTTTGATCTTGATTTGTTCTTTAATCTTATCAAATTGGGATATCAAAATCTCACCTTATTTAACTATTTGATCATCAAATTTGAGGTTTTTTTATTCTTAAGAATCTTCCAATAATAGACTTAATTAGATATTTGCCTAATTTAGCCATTTATCAGCTTCAATCTATAAGGAAATGAATTCTGAATCAAGTTTATTAGAGTGGTGTTCAATGGAATTTTAGTAATTAAGTTCAACCTTATGCAATACTTGTAATTTAATGTCTCCAATAGATTTAATAAGGTCATCAAATTATAATTCTATAAGAGATTTTAAACAATTTTATTATTAATTAAGTCCAAGAACCAGTAATTGCTTAAATTATTCTTAACTATTTCTTTCAATCTGTATTTGTTTGTACACATTTGATATTTGTTGGACTGCCAATTCTATCTATTTGAGATATTATTCAATGGGAAGATAATTATGAAATTTATGTGGACCAAATAATGCACAATTTACACAAATATACTAGCCATCTTCTTGACAGACTAATTCTAGTTCCTTTTAATGCAATTTGCATAGACTAGTTTTAGGCAATGCTTCCTACGATTAAGAATGAGAAAGGCCCTTTTCGCTTGAAAAATCACTAACATCCTTCGTTTAATTGTGAATCTGTTGTTATTGTTCATCAGGTGTTTGAATGGTTGTAATACATCTACCTGATGATCGTCGTTTCTTGAGTAATGCAATAATGCTTTGATTATGGGGGAAACATTTGATATCTCTTGGGACATTGCATTATATTCTTAAATAAATCTAATAGATGTGTACCCGTCTTCTTTGCAAACCAAGGATTACTCTCCAGATGTATATTAATTGACACAAGACAAACAAATGGAATGACCACAGCTTGGCAAGACAAGAGGCGAATGATCAGTCTGATTGAACTCTATCGAACATTAACAACACTAAAATTCCATTAATATTTTATATTTTTTAATGTACTATGATATAAAATTTTCATCTGTAACTCTTTTATCTTCTGGCTCTAGCACCCTTACCACCATACTTTCTTGGCTCACATCTTCTTGGATCAGCAACCAAAAGTGATCTATCATATTATAACAATAGATCTTTGATTTCTCTCTTTTAAGTTTCATCAATGTATTTTTGATAGTAAGCAACGATGCCTTTGCTGATGGCCTAAATAATATTTAAGATTGCTAATTCTACCTATCTAATGGCATAAATTTAAGCAGTGCTTCCTCCACCTCTAACTGTGACTCTGATATCCAATCTGCCTGTTCTGACTTAACCAAGAAGTAATAATGGTTCGAGAGCCTTTTATCTCAATGGGGCTGGATTGACTAATTCAATTGGAGCTCCATTCACTCTTACCAAACCTTATTTTATTGTATTACAGTACCCTTTCCTTCTCTAACACTTGCACTGGCGACAGCATTCTTCTTTCTTCCAAAGGTTTGAACCAATTTTGATTTTATTTGAGGAGTTGACATATCCAAGAATTAAATAATTTAATTTAATCAATTTTTCATTATATTTATAAACCTATGAGAATTTCAATTAAAAGCAGCCTCAACCACTCATCTGCTTATCTAATTAAAGGGTGCTCTAAATACATTAATAAAGAGATTGTTTTAAATAATATTTGAATTGATTCTAATAATTCAATATGGTCGTTGTTTTCTGAGTTCATCGAGCAAAGCACGGCCTTTAGCCTTTTCTAACTCTATTTTTTTATCATATTCCTCTTTTTATTTTCGAAGTGCCTCCTTCCTCCTGTTGTTTCTTATCTCTTAATAATTATTATCTTTGTTTCTTCTCATCCATTTAATTTATTAAATTGTGTTTTGTTTACATTATTTTCTAAACAATTTATACATGTATAATTTACTTCCTATTCTAATCTTTACTTTTCCTCTAATTCCTTTTGATACAGTTCCATTTAACGATGTAGTTCCATCTTATCCAATTACTTAACATTCTTCTCATCCTCAATTATTTTCTTTTTTATTTCCACATTCTCTGCTCTTTGAGCATAAACTTCATACATTAATTTGACTCTTGCATCCTTACAATAAGAATAAGTATTACATCTTCCGCCTTCCATTTAGCCTCTTTTGTTTCCCATTGTCTATTGTTCTCCTCATTAATTAATCTTTCCTTTAATTGATCATTTACACTATATTCATTAGTCCTATTCTTAAAATTAAGTAAAAATTATCTGGTTTCTTCTTTCTACCTTTATTTCTCTGCTTATTCCATCTTGCTAATGGCCTCTTCTCTTGCAAGCACTTAAGAAATCATATCTTTGTCCTCAATCTTCTCTTGCTGTTTAATTTGTTTTTTATATTCCTTTTGTTTTTCATTATTTAATGCAATTTCTGAATTAATTTCCTTCTTATAATGCATATATTGATTTTCCCTTTAATTGTGTCTTTCCTCCTCTCCTTTCCATTCTTCTTTCTATCCTTGTCCGCAAGTGATTTTGCCAAAAAAAATTTTTCCGATTTGATTTCTTCCTTTGTTTTTTAATGTTTAACTTCATTCATTTTTGTTTGTACAGCCAACACCTTATTGCGTTCATCTACTTTTGCCTTTTGTTCCAACACCTTCTCCTTTTCCAACCTCTCCTTTTTAAGTATTTCCCTTCTATACAATTCTGCATATATCATTTCCTCTATAAAGATAATTCTTCAATTATATACCCTCATATTGATCCTCCAACTGTTTTTATTTATCCATCATCTGCATATTTCTATATGCCACTGCTTATAATTCATTAAATTGCTAATTGACCTTTCTGAGTTCATCAGCATTTTCTCTAAATCTACGATCATATGCAGCATCTGCTTATCTAGCTCTTTCAGCCTCCTTCCTTTGTTTTAATTCAGCAACTTCTTTCATCATTCTTTCCTTGACCTATTCTGGAGTTTCAACCATTGCTTTTATCTCTTATTGATATTGCTCGTGCTCTGCATTAAGTAAAAACGCTAGTTTTTCTCTCCTTTAATTCTTATTGGCTTCAGCTTCAGAACGAATTTATTGAAGTCTAAGATAAACGACTACACAACCTATTCTTTGTATACTACCAATTGGCAATATCTTTTCCTTTATTTTCCCAGGCTGCAAATGTTTTCTCGTAATGTTCCTATCGAAGCTTCGTGTTCAATTTGCCCACATACTGTTCCTATTATCGTCTTTAGTATATTAATTGTTCAGAACGGTTACGAGTAGAATTTTATATCATATTTAAATTAATAATAATCATTAAGACAAGAATTATTCCCTCTACTTTAGCAACTCATCCAATAATGGTCTAACATATTTAGTCTTGATTCTGCCCTCACAAGAATAGAATTCATCTAATCTGACATTGTATTTCTGTTCATAATCGAATGCCTAGAATAGCATTTCCAATTTGTCCAATTCTCTAACGACTTCTGCTTCAATACTTTCGCCATTCTCATACTCTTTGTGTATACTGTATAATTCATTTTTAATGTCTTCATCCAAATCCTAAACCATCATTCGCATGGCATTATCTTCCTTCTATTTCTTCTCATTTGCTGGCATATTTTCACTTGGAATGATGTCACCGACAATCACTTCTGCTAGATCATGCAATAAAGCAATCTTAATGCATTTATCTTTATTTAACTCATTGGTAGGTAAAGATAAAGCGATCATTTAAATCATCCAACTGTGATCAGCAACGGATTCAACTTCCTTAATTGGTGGGAATCTAGTCCATCCTTTCCTCTTCACAAACTTGAGTTGTTAAGCGATATTAAAGAATTTCACGTATTTTTACATTTGTTTAATTAAAAATTAAAAAGTATAATTACTATTTAAATTAATGAATACAGACTTAGATCAGAAAACTATAGTATAAAAATATGTTATTGATATAGGATTAAATAGTTGACAAGAAGTTGGCTTTGATGGAAGCTGAGTACGAGATGTTCAAAAAATATGATAATCCAAATTACAAAGGGGCTGACTATCCTGTTGATCAAATTAATAATTTAAACAATGACAATCAATAATAAGAGAACTAAGATGAAAAAGGAAAGGAGGAAAACTTGAATTTAGAGGAGGAAGACGAATTTTAAGAATATCAAGGATATGAAAAAATGGAAGAGAACTCCGATAAAGAAGAGGAAGATGAAATAAATTACGATCAAGTAGAACATGTCGATCCTTTTGCCAAACCGTTGGATGTGGATCTGATTAAGAAATGCATGGCAGAAATCCAATTGCCCACTCCTGCATGGGCTTAAAGTTTTTAAGGATGGGAATAAAAATTGAGTTAAATGAAATCGCTATGATAAGTTTTTAGAAAACAACAAAAATCAGTAACCAATAGTTGCTAATGTCACTAACAATGTAGCACATGTTTCAGCCTTATTTTCATCCAATTCTAGATTATCCAATATAGCCATTTTTATATGCTGCTTTCCCAAGTCCTCTTGATGGGAACACAGTTTTGCTAATTTATATAATTATTCAAAATGTTATCCTAACTTAGATGTTAGTTTATCCTTCAAACTTTTTGAACCACTTTGGTATTTTCCTCTAGGTTCTGGTTATGATTTTGAAGTGTTTACTTTTTGTATTTAATCTGAGTTGCTTTGCATCCATGTATTAATTTGTGTTTTAGGAGGTAAGGTGTCAGCATTTTCTCTAAAATCTTCACTTGAATCCTCTGAATATATTCTGGAGCCTTCGGAATCATTTTATCCTTATAAAGGAAGTTCTTCAACTTTTTTAGGTTGTTCAGACTAAGAAATAGAAAATATTGATTATTACAAGCACATTTTTTAGTTCATTTATCATCTCTTTCATGTCCTCCTCACTATTTCTTTATTACATTACTTTAGCTTTTTTTTAAAATGGATCTTTATAGATGATTTTATAAATTTTTTTTTTATTTTTCTCTTCATCTGTTTTAGAATTCTATGGTTTATTTGGTTTAGTGGGTTTTTTCTAGGTGACATCAAAAACTTAAAACTGAAATTGAGGTTAAAAATCAAATGCTGCAGTTTCAACAGTTTGCTTATTATTTTAAATTAATTATTGTTCTTCTGGACTTTAAAAGTCGCTGATAGTAGTTTTGTCTAGTAATTTTTATTCTGGAGTCTCTGATATTTTTTCTAGTTGTTATTATTAACACTCTTCCTATCTCTATTGAGTTGTTGTTATTTCTTCAGATATCTTCCTGTCCCTTTGTTTCTTTATGAATTATTCTACTAGTTTTGGTTAGGCATGAACCCTGTAAATAGGTTTTTTAGCCTCATCTTCTGATTTCTATACTAATTTAATTTTTTATATCTAATCTAATTTAGATAGTCCTTTGATATTTTTGATATGAGGCTTATCAAGAATATTCTAAAAAAACTTAGGACTTCCTTACTCGCTGTTTTTGGTTACTTCCTCTAAAACTTGATCAGAACCTTGAAAAGAGTCAGGACTTTCCTTTGTTATAAATCGAGAATTCTTATATTTGTGTCCCATTCCTAAATCTGGAGTTGATGGTTATACACGTTGACTAGGCAACTAATGCAATTATTGACGGCTTGTTTGTTGCCTTGAAATTGGAGGCCTTTCAGGTTTAGGGAGTTTAATTTCTGGTAATTTCCTGAGGTCACTATTCTTTCTTTTTTTTTCTTGACCAATAGGGGGACTCTTGATGCCTGGCAATTGTTGTTAGATTTGGTTTCTACTCTTTGGAGTCTACTCAGCTTGATCTCCTTTCGGATCTTAATCATCTATTAATGGAATTGTAGTATCAGTCAATTGAATCTATTGATTGTGAAGAATGGTATGATCAAATTCACTTCTCTTAATGGTTTCAGATAGAAAGTTCTTTATTCTATTAGTGATTATCGGCATTTTTAATATCTGATGCACATCTGGTCTTTTTTCAGGATTCACTGTCAGAAGTTAATTCACAAGGCTACCTTTGTTTAATTATGAGTTTAGATTTACGTTCTTAATTGCGACGAGTAGTTATTTGAAATGGCTTAGTACTGTCCACGGATTATTTTCAAAGCCAGTGATGCCAACGAATCTGCATTAAATGGAGGAGTCTTTGCACACATCTAAGTTATAATTCTCTTGAATACTTCGTATAAGATCACTCCCAATGACCACACATCGCCTTTAAAACTATAAGGCTTGTTTTCTAGCAATTCTGGAGCCAAATAATATGGTGTACCCACCATTGTATGTGCTTTGTCACGAGTGTTATCTAGCAATCTTGCTATACCAAAATCTCCCAGTCTGATTCTCATATCCTTTGTAAGGAACATGTTTTATGTTTTAATATCTCGGTGAATGATTTTACGATCATGACAATGCTTTATTGCTAAACACATTTAAGTAAACCAATCCAAAATTCTGGATTCCGGGAAATAGCCATCATGATTTTTTATCAATTGTGCCAGATCGCCTCCTATTATGAATCAATTAATCATTATTTATACCCTCAGCATAATCCATTACAATACATAATTTTCCTTTTACAGTTTTGTAAACTTCTCTAAAGTTGATTATGTTGGGATGCTTCAATTAAGCCATGATTCTAAACTCTGAATAGGTTTCCTAAATATTTTTAAATTCTCTTTACTTTTTTTTCCTCCTCACTTAAATATCTCATATCTATTTGCTTAATCACACAAAGAGAATGATCTTTCAAAGACTCACATTAGTAAGCCTTTCCAAACGATCCTTGTCCCAACAATCGAATTCTCTTGTAAAAGTCTGATTCCTTAGGTCTCATTTAATAAATTAACTTAATATTATTATCAAGAAGTTACACTAAATTATATGTAGCAAACAAAAATGTTCATATACAACCAATCACTATATTAAGCGAATTAATTAATTGCTGTAAATAAAATTGTTAATATAATGTATTCATTATTTATTTTGATTGGTTCTTTGCAATTTATTTATATAAGTTAAAATCTTAGACAATAGAATAACCTTTTGGTTGTGAAGCAGTCAATTAAAAGTGAAGAGTTTTATATTATTTCCTGAATAGTTTGAGACTATAAGGAAATCAACAAAAAAATTTTGGAGAAATTGGATAAATTTTTTTAGAAAAAATTAAAAGTTAGACTTTGGATAATCATAATTTCAAATAATTCATAGGGTACAAAAAGAAACCAAGAAAAAATCAAAAGCATATAAGAGAAGATTGAAAAAACTAAATGAATGGGATAATGAAAAATACAATATGGATTAAGTAAATCCTTTAACTCATCCTGGATAATATCAACAAAGGTTTGCCATAAATTATTTCGAATGCACAAAGCCTTAAATACAATTAGCTACTTTGACAATACTATTATGTAAGGATAACCTTACATCAAAAGAATGATATTCATGCTTCTTATAATATATAGACCATAAATTTAATTATTTTTTAACATATAACATTATCTCACACACCTCCTTTATTTTAGATAGCTCCATGCAATTCACATAGATAATCCGCATATGATTTTTCAAGTTGCTATTCATCCTCAACTAATTTTTATTATACTAAAGAAGCCTATGGAGAACTATCCATATATTTTAATTGAATACTTTTAGCGAACAACTCTTACAGGAACATAAGTTCCACCTCGGGTCTGCTATAATGACTCAATGATATTTTAGACCTTGGTACTGTAATCAGTCTCTATTTTTGTAAACAATTCGATCGAGCTTAGTTCTGCAAAAGAATTCACTCCAAAAAGCTATATAATTAAGAAGATGAAATTACATTCTATAATAATTACTAATCTGCATTCTATCCTACATAAATATATATAAATTAGCTTGTATCTAAAAGGTAAATACCATCTGGTTTAATTTTATCAATTGTGGTTGCAATATTATGAGGCAAAACTGTCTTTTCGTCATCAGTCAGAGTACCAACATAATATTTATCAGCCACAAGTTAATTATTAATATCATGAATTGGGAATAGTTTTGGATAAAAGAAGTTAGTCAGGAAATGCATTGATTGAGTCAACACTAAATGAATTTCAAAGATTCTATTGTCTATCCTAACATTTCCATATTTGAGTAAATCGCGTTTTGCCAAAGTTTATAAATATAGAGGTAAGATTTTAATAGCTTCTGGCAAAATCAACTACCCCGCAGGACTATTACTTGAACACTAGATTAAATATGAATAATACATATTTTCTATAAGCATGTAAGATATTAACAACTGACTCGAATAGAGTTTGTCTAATTTGCCTAATTTATTGAACCATAATGTTCGGTAGATTCTTTCTGCTTAATAAAGAGGCTATGCAATCGACATCCCCAGTTTTGAAAATGTTATGCCATGCATTGTTTCCACTATTCTTATTAACAACTTATAATTGTAAATTAAACACTCTTATTACTCTCTATCCTTATTGATTAGTATACAACAAAGCATATTAGATGTAAGCTTCAGGATCCAATATCTTTTCCTCTTACTTCAACATAATTGCAATGGATTGATCTGAATTTAGAGTAGACAATTCCAAATCTCTTACAGATATCTTTCCACTACCTGTAAAATAATCAAACAATATGATTCCTGGAGAAGTTCTAACAGTCATGATGAGATCATATGCATAAGACCTTGTAAGATTTCTATATAAGGCATAATGCAATTCTGTTCCATTAATTTATTAATTATAATGCGGGTAAAAATAAATGCTTCCCCCTGTGATGTTTGACACAGGTGAAACTGTGGCTAATTCAAAGTTCTCGTCATTTGCTATAAACAGGTCAACTGAGATATGATTTTTAAGACATGATTACCCTAATTTGACATAAGCTTGATCATTAGGTTAATAAAACAACTTCTCTTAATCAGTTCCAAATAATTTAGTGTCAGTTGGTTTTTATGGTAGTTTGCCTATTCCATATCTTGGTGCTGAACATCCAAAATACAATATACGTCCACTTCTGGGTTACATCAATTAGACTGCATTTGATAACACTGTTCCAACAGAAACAAGTTAATTTGCCTATTGAGTAATAGTTTCCCCAAACTTACTGAGTTTCTCTAGCATATAGTCGATTTTATCTCTGTCATTCTCTATGTTTAGGAATAACTTCTCAGGTGGAAGTGGCACATTAGCTTCATCGATTTCACTCACAACGATTATTTGAGGTTCCCCAGTTAAGGTTTAGGGAATGTTGTAAAATTAAATCTTTGAATCGAATGTTATAAAGGCAATGTCTGTTTTATCTGGATATGGAATTGTATCCAATATGGATTGAAGAGAAGATATCACTTAAGAATACACACCTTTAGCTACTGATATCTGTGTCAACTCTATACAGAGTAGTATTAAGGTATTCTTTATTTCCTTTTTAATATAACTAGTAGGAGCTATTATTTCATAACAACCTTTATGTAATTCATCTCTTTAAAATTTATCTCCTCTTTAATTTCCCTAACCCAAAACACAATAATAATCAGGTGGCACTTAATTCTTCATTTTACAAATGTTACACACATAACTATTACCCCCATCGCAAAATTAAAAGTAAGGACTGACATAGGCTTTACATCTCTAGCAACGCAATGGCTCATTCGTGAATTCAACTTATGGGATTTCTTATTCAAACAGAGATGGCTCCATTAGAGGTTGAACCACTATACCAAATGGAATCTCTGTTTATTATAGAATGGATGGTTCATTTCCTATTGCATAGACTGAACTTCTCATATATCTTGGTCCACAATTTCCCTCATCAAAGGTTTAATAAAATTAATGAACAGATGGAGGATGATACAAAGGTGCAGGAGCTGTGGAGAACCTCTTATAAATATGAACAATTACTATTAATAAGTAATAGATTCTTCTGCTTTTATGTATGGTCTAGGAATTTGGTCAACATCAATTTTTGATGGTTTTCTCTATTACTCAGTCTATTATGCAGGAAAATTTTATTATGGTTGATATTGCTATTATTATGGGTATTATTATTGGCCTGCATATTATTATTATTAAGGATTTTCATGCTATGGTTATTAGTATGCATTTGCTTATCTTTGCTGCACTGGAGGTTATTACACAGGTTTTTCAGGTTCTCGATTGATTGGCTATTACTATTGAGTTCTTCTTAGATGAGGTGGCAATCTTCGTTCTTCCATTATTGAACACGTAAAAATTATTAATTAAATTTAATTATTTCATAAGTTATTTATAAGCTCATTCCTTGAACTCTTCAGATTTCTACTTTTACACTTTAGCAGAATTAATGGCTTAATTATTAACAATATATATACATAATGCCTTATTCCCTTTCTTATCAATGTCTTGATGTTATTTTGGATCATAGGGCCATCTATCGATTAGTTCTAATGGATTTTCCAAATAGCTTCCTTCTCCGAAATTGACTTTCAATCCATAGATTTTACCCTAAAATTGATATATGTCAATATGTTACCCAGAATGCAGGATGGCCTATATCATTGACAATGTGTAGATAGAATTAATTAGGAATTATGTGATTTACAAGAAGTACTTTATCTTGAGGTCCTTCTGGCAACAAAATGTAGGTTCTGGCCTGACCTTTTTCGTATCCAAAGTAAACAAAGGTCCATAGATGCTTTTTGATATCAAATGTATGAGAAACTGGTTCGAAAGAAGGGTCCTTTATAGTATATGTACTAGCCAATAATTGATCAGTCTTAGTGAAAACAGCAAGAGTACGATCTCCAATGAATTTTTCATCTCCAGCCGTATCTGGACCATTAGTAGTTAATCTGACTAAGCCTCTAAAATCATTTTCCATCTCAGGCAACAAAACAGCATTTTAATACCAAAATCCGAAAGAGTATGACTATATCTAAGCCTTATCAGTGAATTCATAATTAAGTTTGTCCTTTTTGGTATCCAAGTCCTCCCAATTGGTTGTGTCCATCATTGTAACTGGCCATTTGAAATCTTCAGCTTATTGTGGAGAGACAGGCAATTTACGATGTAATTTATGTATCATCTCAACAACTTTTTGGGAATCATTGATGAAGCTTCCTGAACCCAAGAAAATTCTTGGATCGAAAAACCATCCATGGAAGGCTTTGTAACCGAACTCACTTGCTCCCAATACAAAGTGTGCATATCCAGTAAGCACCTAATGAGTTACATCTAAGGTTAGATGAACAGCCTTCTATTGTTCCTTAAACAATATCATTCCATAGAACTATTTATTTTTATAGGCTGCATAAACATAAGTCCATTCTCCTTCAATACTGTCATATGGCAATTACCCATCAACTGCATTGGCTGGTTTAGATGCATCATAAGTACTGAATTCATAATTACCTTTTGTAAGGAATGCTGATAACATTCTATTTCCCAATTCACTTTTATCTTAGTATTATCGTGTGCTTGAGAATCTAAATATAGTATGCACATCTGCTCTATCAACTAAAGTAGTCGGGAAAGCAGTAAGCCATCTTGTCCAAACCCCTACAGCATATTCATCTACTGATTCTGTTTCTTATGTAAATGTTACTTCCACTTTTTCTGGAGTTTGAATTACACGATCCTCTTTCTCATACCATAGATATTTTTGATTGATCTAAATGTGTCTAAAGTTAGGTAAGTTGTCTTCGTATCCCTTCTTCAAAACATCAACAAATGCACCTTATCCATATTGAGCAACCCATTTTTAAAGTTCTCCTTAAAATCTCCTTGAATGTGGATCTTTTCCTACATAAATACCAACAAAATGAGGCACGAAATGCTAGATTCCTTTAAAGATGACAGGTTTATCCTCAGCAAATAAATGTAACAATGTATGAACCTCATTGACATTTTCATTATAAGCCATATAGATGTAAGACCAAGCCTTTTTTGAGACACTCAATTCTACCTTCTCCTCCAAGAATTTAGCCTCATTCCAATCTTTAAGTCCTTTGAGAGTATATGTACTCAACTTAATTGTATCACTTGTGCATATTTAGGCATGTAATGTTCTATCTCCTTAGATTTTGCGATCCCCTAAATGTTCTTTATCATTTATTAGTTATTCTAAACAATATTTGACATGGCGAATTAATCTCTCCTTCTTTTTTTACCTAAGTCTCTGCAATCTTAAACCATCCAGAGATGGCATATTCACCCACTCCACTCCAAGTGTCTCCAGTGCTTTCACTACCTTCATTATTATCACCTTCTCCAATCAACTATTATTAACCATGTTTCTGTTTGTGAATGTATTCTACTGTCAATTCTTAAGGTAATGCAAAACTAGTGTCTATCGATTTTAAGAGTTCCTCCCCATTATTAATGAAGGATCCAACTCCGAAATGAGCTGCGACTTCTGTCAACAAACCCTGGAAAGGAGATATATCTTTTTCTCCTCCCAAAATCAAATGAACATAATCTCCAAGAGGTTTGTGTAGTAATTTCTCATTTGTAGCATGCTTGATCTCTTCTCCATCAAACACGAAATAATTGGCCTATTACAATTATCTCTTATAACCAACATAGATGTAGTGCCATTTACCTTCCAAATGGGTATAAGGTATTGTGCTAATTTCATTTGGAGCATCATCATTTAAATCGTAAGTGCCAAACAAGTAATTCTCTAATATAACAAAAGCACTTAAAATTCTGTCTCCCACTGCGATTTTACCACTTTCTCTTTCATCATTGTATGTGAGTCTGAAAATTTGCATTTCAGATGGTGTATGCCACTATCTCTCGGGCCAAGCTTATAAGTATCTTGCCCATAATCCAACAGAGTATTCTTAAACACTCTCTATCTTTCTGTCTGGTTCAGCAAATGTAATTTTTGATCCCCACTTATCAGAGTCACTTGATACCAAAGTTATCGTATCCTCTGCTTCCCAATCAAATTTACTGTCAGAACTGAATAATTTAGGTGCTGCCAAATACACTTAAAGAGTGTTGAAATTGTCTTCTCTGTAACTGCCATCGCCAATATTTAAGATCACTTAAGCAAGTCTACTATCAAAGGGTTTTACTAAAGCATCCTTTGTCAGAAATAGCCAATAGTTTGATGAAACTGCATGTAATGCTGCTTCTAAACCCTTATGTTCATCCTCATCAGCCAATAAATAATAACTGACTTTCTGATGATTCTTTGAGTATCCAAAATATACAAATGTCCATACCTCCAATTATTGGGAGGGAATCTTAGCTTCATATGAATTTGATAACGATAATGGATTCAAACTGTAAGTGCTGAACTCTATGCCATCAGTATGGAAGAGAGCTAATGTTCTATCTCCGATTTTTTGAGCATCGCCCAGACTGTCAGGATTTGTGGATGTGAATCTATATATCAATTATTATGTCTTGACTGGCTACTTGAACCATCTGAACCACAATTAGATGCTGTACTCTCTAGCCTCTTCAGTTATGTGAGTGATATGTTGTTCTTCTTCTATTTTAGCTACATCATGCTTTCCGATCAGAACATCGAATTTCTTTGATGGTGATAAAGTATCTGGAATAGTATCCTTATTTTTAATTCTCTATAATAAACCTTATTTTGTGTCAATATAAGATCCTGGTCCCAAATTGAAACGAATTGTAGTAATCTATCCATTGAATGATGAGTAATACTTACCTGCATTACCTACTGTCAATTACAAATAATCATTCAATAATGAATGCATAACATCCATCTAAATTCCTGAAGTGTTTTCTTGATAATGAGTGAATGCCATAGCATGTCCTTATGTCTATGAAATACGTTTAAAACTGAAATACACATAAGTCCACTCACTTTCAGAATCAATTTAATATGGAATGTCTCCAGCAACATTATTTGATTTAGTGATAACATCATATGTTCCGAAATGATATGAGCTTTTGCCTAATAACACTAAAAGTACCCTATCTCCTGGTGCATCAAAGTCCCTATAGTCTCTGTTACTAGTTAATCTACTTAACCCCATCAATGGAGGTTTGCTGTAGATAGTATTTTTATTAGCAAAGTATTAGAATTTGACCCAATATCCATAACCATATTCACTAACACCATGTAAATGTAGTTTATCACTTTGTTAAAATTCAATTTATAAGGGAATATCTTTGCTTTGAGATGAGCATTCTAAAATGGTTTCTTCATGGTGAGCTTCTTATCCGGCCTATTATAACTTGATATGATCTGTTCCACTAATGAATCCAAAATGAACCTTAATGTTTTCATTTTCATCAAATCCTCCTTCTCTAAAGGCACCATCTCCGACATTTATGACCCATGTCTTTATTTGGCCAATGAATTATGTAAATTATTGTTTCTCTTAAATTAGGACTGAAAAAACTGCTAAATAGAAATGATTAACTTCTTCCTGTCTGAATTCACTCTCTGTAAAGGTGTACTTCAAAAAGCCATAAGTTTTTCTTAATTATTGAGAGAATCCATAATAAATATATGTCCATTGATCTGCATACTCTCCATATGATTCGTCATGAGAGACTAATTTGTATTCCTCTTTATTTTGATTGTAAGTGATAAAAGTAAATGCTTGATCTCCCCTTGTAATTTGTAATGTTTCCTCATTTTTGCCATTTAAATCATCTAATCTTTTTTATGCCATAGTAATAAGATGAGCCACTTTTCCAGTCACTTAAGGTCCGCTCCATTTCACCCATCCTGATAATGCATATTCTTCTGCACCTTGATATTTTTCGAATTCAAATTGAATTGGTTCTTCTTTAATTTATTGAGGTGCCCCCACTAATTGTAGTGTCTATCTGGACACTGGATGAATGTAAGCCTTCTCTGGAAGAGTATTTTAGGTAAACAGCTTCAATGTTTCAGCTGTAGGCACAAATGATCCTGGTCCAAATGAAAAAGTAATTCTTGCCATTTCTCCATTGAACAATGGAGCAGCAGTCTTGCCAACGATGAATTCCACATACTCAAGTAAGAAATCATGATAAATATCGAAGTTTACTTCCTCTACCTCTCCATCAACTCCAAATTACACGTATCCTTTAGCCAACCCTTTATCTCCATGTCTCTTGTATCCAAAGTAAACATAATGCCATCTGCCCTCCAATTAAGTAAACGGAAGCTCATCCTTTAATTTTAAGGTTTAAAACTCATATGAATCTGTTGTGAGAGCAATGGATAAAGTTGTATCTTTAGGAGTTTAGGCTCTATTAGCATTTGATCTAACAAGTCTTCCATCTATTGATTCAATCACATAACCTTGAGTTCCTAATCTAGCTATGTTGTGAATTGGAGCTCTTTTACTCAAATATTTTGGCAAAGTGCTCAACCATCTAGTCCACATTCCAAATGCATATTCACTTTATCCATTAATTTTCATCCCTTCATCATTGTGAATTACAATCTTATCAACAATATTTTCAACTGAATCATATTCCACATATCTTGCTGAATTTATGTCTCCTCCAGCATAGGTCACTGGCTTACCAACTTAATACACAGCCATAACTCCATCACCATAATTAAAGGTCATTCCAAAGTCTAATCCCTCTCTGTAAGCTCCTGTTCCCAAATAAATGCCTACATATCCAATCATACCGTTGAATGGTGATATAACTTCATCTCCTCCAAGTGTTACCATTAAATTATTCACTAATTTATGTTGGATACCTTCAAATTGAATTTCACCTACGTGTCCTGGTTTAATTAGAGCACCATAGGCTCTTCCACCATCATTGTCATAACCAAAGTACACATAAGTCCATAAAAATTCTGAGCTTTCAACAGTCTTTGATAAATATGGTTATCCTTTTGCTCTGTTTCCCTTGATTGTGTAAGTGTTAAAATACACTGTGCTCTTTGCACCTCCTCCGAAAGTATGGTGTAATTCTAATGCTCTATCTCCCAATACTCCTTTTCCAGCTGCCTTATGCTTGTTTGATCTTAAATTCACTATTTAAAATGTATTTGGCTCATCTACTTTAAGATCGTCAATCCATCTAAACCATAATCCAATGGCATATTCCTCGATAACCAATTGTGATTCTTATGGATCAAAATGAAATGATTCACCCTTGTCATTTCCATTGAAGTGTTTTGGCTTAGTCAATATATTTTCATCTATTACTGCAGGTACATTCTAAGGTGGATTACTCAATGTTTTGAGCACTTCATCTAAAGCATCATCTCCATCAACAAATGCTGGAGAATCAATATCATAAAATATATTAGCAAACTGACCATTTAATCCATAATAATTCATATGTTTACCTCCAAATATTATTTTGATATACGCAGGAGGAATGTGAGTGGCATCAATCTCCACTCTGTAAATTCCGTTTCCTTCTCCATAACTAACAACATAACCTACAGCTTTTCTTAATGGACTGCTATACGAGAACATCACAAAATACCACATTCCATCCATATTCTCATTTAATACTACAGCCTTATCCTTAGTCTTAAGTTTATCACTTGTGTCATAAGTACTGAATACAAATGAATTATCGAATAGAAAAACAGCAAGAGCTCTGTCTCCATAAAATGAAAAATCTTCATATTCTTCATTGATCGTCATTCTAGAAAGGAAATAGTACTCTCCTTCTTCTCTAGCATGCTCTTTAGCACTATGTTCAGCATATCTCACCCAATAACCATAACCATATTCAGAGGAATCCTATAATAATGCTCTATCAGTAAACTCTAACTACTCAGTTGTTTCTCCGTCAAATTCTGAATTTTAATATTTTGTATTAACTGCCACAATTTTTCTCTCTTAAACTCTTCCTATATTGGCTTTATGTTTTGGTGGTTAAAATGATGTTGGCTCGTTTGTATCAAGATCTTCTCTTAAGGATTAAATTTTCAAAGACCTCTCTTCATCAATTTATTTCTATTGTACTGTTTAAGAATTGTCTTATTCATTTTTTATTGGCAGATCTAATGGTTTGCTATCATTTTCAGCCTAAGTTTCAGTTTTCTAAACTTTTGTCGATTCTACCTAATGCACTTCTTCATTATTCTAGCTCTCCTCCTGCACAGAAATGCTTTCTTGTTATTCTGTCACACTTTATTCTTCCAAGTTATCATTTTAATTAGTAACATCAGTTATGTGAGATTCTTCATTATTTAAATCCTCAATTTTGCTAACTTTCACAGCTTAAACAACATTTTCAACTTCTTAAGTTTCATCAATATTTTGATTGTCTTCATCCGAATTCTTAATTTCTCCTTCGATTTCATGTCCCAAAGCAATATATCTTTAATTTCTCCTCATTTCCTAATTCTTATCATTCTTGATTAAGTGTTTATGTTAACCATCCTTCTACTTTGAATGAGGATAATGCTAAGGTTCATGATATACATCGTGCAAAGGTGTTTCTAGATCTTCTTCTTCAAAATAATAATATATAGTATCTCCAGGGATTTCGTTATAATAAATATACTCGTCCTCTGAATCCCAATCGCTTTCATAAATGACTCTTGCCTTTCTAATGTCTTATTCGCATTCCCTTTTTAATGTTCTAAGTTAGGCTACCTTTTATCTCAAATTTATTGTTTTCTTAGCATATTAACATTGATTCAAATATAGATATATTTCTTCTTAAGTCCTCCTCAAATGAGCAATAATTTAATTTGCCAACGCTATTTTCTCCTCATTTGCTACGATATATTTCAATAATACTTTATGTAGAATTTAACTAGCCCACATATTCTAGGGCATCTTCCACTCTGTAGGCTGCCCACTTATTTTGAATAAAAATATTTTAAAGAGACTTTTCTATTTTTTATTATATTTCCACCAACATAGTTGAATGAATTACATGTATTGTACCCTTTGCTTTCTCAACAATATTTATGATCTAATTGATTATTGCTAAGTCCTTTATCAATTATTCTCGATTATCAATGATATCAATCCATCGCTCTAATTCACCAATTATGAATTCGAAATCATTATTACAATACAAGCGAGAAACATCTAGATTATACGCTTCAGTATAACTCATTCCTACCAATTAGTACAAGATTACCTCGAGTTCGTAGCTCTGATGCCTCTAACTTCGATGAAATGGCTACAACCATCAGCAACATAAAAGTTATGAAGGTTTTCTTCATTTTTTATAAAAATAAAAATATATATATATAAACCGTTTTTTATATCGGGTATTAATATTCATATCAAATCCTCAAATTCAGTTATCTCCTATCATTTATATGACTATTTTCCCTTGTAAATTTAATTATAAATGGTAGACTTTCATACGAGTTCCTCTCAATCCCTCCTTCAAAATTAACTTATTTTTTAGAATTATTTTGTTATTATAAATATCTGAAATAATAATATAGCATAATATATCACTTAAACTCAATATGAATTTTTAGAAATAAAATATTTAACTAGTTTTATCATAGATAAGAAGTATATGTCTATAATTTAAGCTAATGCTCCGTTTTTGTCTAGATTTATATAACAGTTCTTTTTCATTTTTCATTAATTAATAGGTTTTTAAATCCTAAATTAAGATGCGTGTTAAAATAGTTTAATAGTTGTTAAATCTATCAAATTTAACATCTGAAGAATCAAGAACTCTTTGAAATACAATCTTACCTGCTTTCACATATAAACGAAAATTAAAATATATTAACAAAAAAGTTTCTTGTAGAGAAGATAGAAGTGGTTAAAATGAAAATCATAATTTTCAGAGTTATTATAATCCTTTTTTTTGTATTAAGTTTATTTTTATAATTAATAAGCTTAGAAAATTAATTTAGCTAATTGCTAGTATATAGGAGAGAGAAATATGTCATGTTTATTTTATTTGTAGATTATCTATAAGGATTGAATATTTACATATTTCTTAGAATAAAATTATGTTTCGAATTAATATAAGATTTTTCTTTAAGAAACTTCAAATTTAGAATCATGCTTCGGATATATTTATTAAACATTAGTAACACTCATTATGTTTATTTCAGAAATGGGGAGAAAGGAAAACAAAAGTATAAAAAGGAATTGACAAAAAAAATAAATGTTAGAAAAAACATTTTATCAGACCCTCCTTCCCCTTAGAGATGTAAAAGTAGTTAGAAAAATACATATAGTTAGTGATAACAAAAAAGACCCTCAAAAATAAAAATTTGAAGTTTACTAAATAAAACAGATAAGTTAAGGAGGAGACTTTATAAATTGAACTAAATATAATTAGTCATAAAACTATCCGAATTACAATGCAGTTAAAGCCATAAAATGCTATTAAGTATTTATTATTTTGTAGTATAAAAAATAAATTATCACTCTCACAAACAATTCTAAGTAAATAGAATTGTTAGGAAATTCTTATATAAAATGTTCATATGATTGAATTAATAATATGAACTTAATTATTTATTAATATTATGGAATCTATACTTTGTAAAAATTGTAATACAGAAATATTACAATCAAATATTACTATGCATGAGCTTTATTGTGCTTAAAATATCAAAAAATGCAGTATATGCGAAATAAACTTCGATTCCAATGATCAAGAAGAGCATTTAAATTATCATTTAATAAATACATGTTAAAACTGCAATGTCTTTTAAAGTAAAATTGTCATCTATTGTAACTCAATTAGAAGACCTTTTTAATCATAAATGTTAATAATGCCAATACTGTTCGCAATTTTATTCACCTTAAGAACTTGAAGATCATTTAGAATAATGTAAACTTATTATAACAAAATGTTTATTTTGCGGGGAAGCAATTTAAAATAAGCTTTTGGAATTGCATAGACCTTATTGTTAGCAGTAATACGAGAAAGGAAAATTCAAATGTGAATATTGTAAAGAATACTTTAATAGTAACATTTTGCTTATCATATAGGCTAGTAAAATTTGAAATATCATCAAAAAATGTGTGAAAAAGATCAATAGCTATGTCCATATTGTAATTTGGACTTGATGGCTGATTTTAAGGAGGAACATATCAAAATTTGTGAGAGTAGAACTGAACCCTGTTCATTTTGTGGCTAAAGGATTTTATTAAAGAATAAACCAAATCATGAGTTAAATTGCTTTTAATAATAATAAAATTATGTCTAAGATAAAATAGAAATTTATCAACCAACACAAATATAATATGAGTAAATTACAGATGAATACTTAGAAGAATACCTAAAATTAAATGATTCTGATTATTGAAAAATAATTTAGGAATTTATAATAAATTGTATTTTAATTGTTCATTTCTTTGATTTTTGAGAATAAGATCCCATTTTTTTAAATTATTATGAAATCTTTTCTTTTTGCTACAAAGCCACTGATTAAGGTTTAGGATTTTAAATTGATACTTATGAAGCATTTTAACTTTGATTTACCTAAATTATTATGAATAAATTTTACAGAAGATGCTTCTAATTATCTATTACTCTTTTGAGTGCTATAGCTTGTATTTTAACCACTTTTTTTTTTATCGTCGCTTTATTAGGAAAATTTTTATTAAGCAGCGCTAAAAATTTATTTTAATTATTACTATTTGGTTTATTGTGGTTAAGGTTATGGGCTAGCAACGGTTTTAATGGTAGAGCTACGAGAATTTGAAGTCCTAGTTAATTATTAAGTTGGAGGAGGTGTAGATATAATAATTGAAGTCGATGGAGCCAATGCAGATCTAACAGGCTATCCAGATTTCAATTTATTTTATGATTGTTGTTATTATTCTTTTTAGGGAGTAGTAGTGAATGAATTTCTAAAATTTAATTATTTTGGTAAAATCTATGATTGAGACTTCACTAATACTCTTGATCCTTTTTCATCCGGGCTTAATTCTATAGGTTCAGCTTATTAACCCTATTCTGGGATGTGCTCCATAGCTTAGATTTTATTTTCAGTAAGCATTTAATTGTATTTTATGATATCATCTTCGTTGAATTCTATAATAGTTTTGAGCCTATGCTCGTTTAAAGAAGAGAATGCATATTTAGTTCCAAACTTTTTAATTAATAAAAATGCCTTTTATATTCTTCTATATCTTTCACTAGAAAATATATATATATTTTACTTTATCAAATTTATTTCATCAAATCCAATCCTAATTTTTTGTTAAATCATTTTTTGTAAAAGTCTTTTTATTGTTTTGATACCAATTTAGAAGTTAGAACTCATATTATAGTCTTAGTCGGAAAATGGACTCGATGAACTTCTGTTATTCTTATCTGATCCGATTCTATTTCTTAAGATATCTTATTAAGAATATTTTTTGCTATGATCTTTTCTCTCTAATTGTTTTAAAAACATTTTATCTGTTTCTGAGATGTCAGAAATATTTGTTCTATTAATTATAGCTTGATCATCCATAAATTGCTCATTCGTTTAACCTCTGTTAATTCCTTAGGTTTTATTTTAGGATTCATTAACATTCATTAATGACTTAGATTTTGTTAACTAAGTTTATTCTATTGCTTAAATTAATGATAGTTATGAACAATTAGATTTACTTTTTTTAAGATTTGGTTCTTAATATTTAGGAATTTTTAATTAAATATTAGGGTTGTCATTACCTTACATTACTTTTACGTAAGATCCATCTCTATTTTTGATAAAATCGTTAGTTTTATAAAATGCTAAAGATCTATTTGAAACTTTAGTTCTTCTAACTAAAATTGAATCTTAACCCAGCTATTCTTTCAAATTTTCTCCAAAAACTAATTCTTCATCTTTATATTATTTTCTTGTAATAAGTATTTTTTATTTATTTCCTTTTCCTTCTTTGACCACTTCTTCAATCATTTAAAATGATTCATTTTTGCTCAAAATTCGTTACCAAATTTTATCATTTTATTCATACCATCCTTTTTTCATCAAATCTTATGGTGAAAGCGACTCTACTTGTTGCCTACTTAAAATTACAACATCTTCTTCCTATTCATATAAATCCTCTCCAATCTCTGGATCTTATTCTTCTTACATCTGTTTTCTTTGCAGACGACGCTCTATCTTTTTAGTTTAAGGGTTTTAAATTAAAATTTCTTCTTCTAAAGTCTTCATTAATAATTGCCTTCTTTTATCGCTTGAATTTACAAGAAATTTATCAATTCTTGAGCCATCAAAATCAGATACTCTAATTCCTTGACTATTTAATTCTTCATTGGATCGATATTATGAGTCTCTTTGTTCCTGGCTGTCTTCATCTATTTGATACATTGATCGTTTAATATTAATATTTGGATGCTATTTAAAATACTCTTTAGGAGCATCAGTAACCTTTTTCCAACTTTGCAAGCTATCTATCTAAAATTAATTTATAACTTTTCTTTATCGAATTATAAACCCATTAGGTTGCTTTTCATTTAGATTTTTACTTATTGAAACTTCTGTAATATTGACTTATTTTTACATAGCAAACAATTCTGTTTATCCAGATTTTTGATTAGTAATTTCAACAATTTCTTCTACAAATTAATATGGGTTATAATCTATATCAAGATTTGTTACGATTCTTCTACTAATAATTTGGTTTCCATCAGAATCTTACTCTTTTAATCTCTTACCAATTTATTTACTAGAATTGTAAGGAAACTTTAATAAAATTATCTCCATTTCATTTGTTTTTGGATTTAATATTTAATGTTCTTCTTCAAAATATTATGAATCTTAATTAATTAGTTATTAAGATAATGTTGTGTTAGCTGTAGGCTGATCTACTATCTTTTTTAATATTCCTTTATTATCTTTAACCCAGCCATCTTATTTCAGAGCAGTTAAAGTTTGATTATTTTAAACTACTTTTCTGGATAAAACAAAACCTCCATCCGTTCTTTCAACCTTACCTTCTCCATATATAAAAGGCCTCCTTTCAAGTAATATCTTTTATTGTCCATCTTTATCTGTTAGAAGTATTTCCTCTTCTATGTATTATTCAGGTTCTTGTTCTGATAGCTACATTACTAAAGTTCCATTTTTTTATTTAACCCATCCTTTGCTAGAATTATTATCAACTATTTTTCTTGACAAAATGGTATTTCCTAAAGGATCTACCTCTTAAATAGAATCTCCCATAACAAGATTATCTTAGATTTGCCTTCTCATAAGTTTTCTTTCTAAAAGGCCTGTTTCCTAATTAAAACTCAATATCTCCTCTTCAATATATTTTGAAGGCTCAGAGGATGCAATTACTTTTTCCATTTAACCTTACTTATTAGTTATCCAACCTTCCTTCTTTTTTGCTTCAGATGAAATATTATTTTGAACAAGCTTTCTTGAAATTACTTTACATCCTTACTATTATTCATTTATTTCATCTCCAAATATCATTTATTTATCTTAAATATAAGGCTTTCTGATTAATTTTCGCTCTTATTTTCCTGTATTTTCATTTATAATAAGAACTTCCTCCTCTATAAATTATTCTGGTTCAGAAAAACTCACCAATCTAGTTAATTTACCTTTCTCAACTTTCCACCCTTCCTTTTATTATGATTAAATTGGGGAGACATTATCTATTATTCTTCTTGATAACACTTACTTTCCCTCACTATCAATTTCCTATAAATTGTCACCGAACTTAAGATTTTTTTAATTTGGAGACAAGGGACGTCGTATTATTTTTCTTTCAAGTTATTTGGTTTCCTTATTCATAACTAATATTTCTTCTTCTATGTATTTAGATGGCTCTGCATCAGAAATTACTTATTCTAATTGACCATCTTATTTTTACTACCAACCTTATTAACTTAGGATATCTGAAGAAAACTAATTTTAAATAATTCTTCTGGCAATAATTTTGTTACCATCCTTTCCTAATTCGTTTAAGCATTCTCCATAATTTACTTCTTCATCAATTTGATAAACTGGTTTCCGAATTAATTTACGCTCTTGTTTGCCTGTTTTTGGGTTTTATTATTATTATTTCTTCTTCAACATATTGCTCAGGCTCTTCTTATGAAATTATCTTTTCTAAAGTACCATTTTATCCTTTTTGCCAATCCTTTTAGACTTAATTAAATGATTAAGAATTATCAACTATTTTTCTAGATAAAATTCTATTTCCATCCTTATCAACTTCATTTAAGTTATTACCCATTTATTAATTTTCTTTTGTCAAAGGTCTCCTAACTAATTTTCTTTGTATTCCATTTTCTCCATAACAAAGAACTTCCTCCTCAACATATTTAGTAGGTTCATTCTAAGCTAATTAAATTTCCATCTGTCCTTATTTTGATTACCAATCTTTCATTTAATCCATAGATTATTCATTAGAAACTATCCTTCTAGCAACCACTTTTCTAGTGCCATCACCTTCTTGAAGATTTTCTCCAATTTCACCTACTTCTGATTGAGTCAAAGGTCTTCTGATTAATTTCCTTTCTTGTTTCTAAGTTTTCGGATTTATTATGATAATTTCTTCTTCAATATATGCTTCAGGTTCTTCCTGTGAAACTATTTTCTCTAATTATCCATTATTCAATTAAACCCAGGTTGAATCAACTGGTTTATTATTTGATACAATCTTTCTTGAGACTACTTTATTTCCATTTAAATCTTATTCTATCACAGCTCCTGTTTATAATTTATTATCTTAAGGTAAGAAAGGTCTTCTAATTAGTTTTCTTTAAACAACTCCATCTTCACCTTAAACTAATATCTCTTCTTCAACATATTTAACAGGTTCTGGTTGAAATTTGATTTCCATATTTCCTTCATTATTTTTGATCCAACCTTGTTATTTCAAGGCTTAATTTGATTGATCATTTTAAACAATTTTCCTTGAAATTACTTATTTACCATTTCCTAAATCTTCTTCTAAGTTTTATCCCATCTATAAATTATCTATTTCTTCATTATTTAAGGTTTTCTTACAGAATTCAAATTT